TAATTACGTAACTAGGCGTTAATAGGGTATCGCTTAGTCTTAATAATAATAGTTAGAAGAGTACGTCTCCCCTTAATCGACTATAAAGGTACTAAAACTATACGACTTTACTCTTATCTACTCGGTTAACTATTAGCTTTACTCGCGCTTACGTTAACCACGGGCGGAATACCGCCCTCGTTCTATTAAATTCGGATAGCTCCGGAAGCTTATCCTTTCGTCGTACGGCTACGATCCCGTAACGACGTCCGCTACGACTACCGATAGTATTATCGCCCTCGATAGGGTAGTAATACCCTAACTACTATTTCGCTATTAGAGCTACTACTCTAGTACTACTATATATTAATTCTATACGACTATCTATTCGTTCTACGTTTAAATTATTTAAAATAATTATACTACCTACTATAGGAGAGCTTCCGTTAGTACTACCGATATATCTATCTTATACGATGAGAACTCGTTCTCTTAACTATATAATAGGGAGCTTAACGTAATATAAGAGTTTTAATAGGAGCTTATTTAACTACTATAGGACCTATCTAACTAGGACGTTAAGCTAAAGGAAAGAGAGAAAGAAGTCCTGCCGCTATCTATAGGGAGATATAATCTCCTAGGGTAGGTCGCTCAGTATCCTAGGTAACTATTAGTATTACGTAATATCGTCCGGCTGTATAACTATACGGTCGAGTCTAGGTATCGCTAGTTTAGTCTTAGCGTCGCTCGCTAAGACATCTATAATATTACGTGACATCGATCGGCTGTACAACTGTACGGTCGAATCTAGACGTCGCTAGTTCTTACTAAGACATCCTACGGGTTCAACCCGTGATATTACTTACTTATTCTTCTATACTAAGGCCCTTTTTCTCTTCTTTTATAACTAAGCGCCTCGAGCCCTAATATAGTGCGACTCTAAATTAACCCTAAATACGATAAGAAATAAAGTTAATTCTATAGCGTAAGACTATTTCTCGACTAGTCCGTTTACTATTTTAAAAAACCGGTAAAGTATTAGATAAGCTACAATAGGATATTACGCTAAAATTATAATAACTCGCTACTCAGCGTATATAATTAGATGAGCTAGTTACTCGGAGATAACCGCGAGTAGCAATCGACTATAATATAGTCTTTGCGAGTATTAAGACGATTAAGTAGGGTAGGCAGGGTATGGAGGCATTGGAGGCGACGATAAGGTCTACTACGCGTACGAATACTGAAAATGCTACACGGAATAGGTAGTTGAATGATGTCCTAACACCATTCGTACATCCATTCAATGTCAATGAGTCTATAGAGTAGATAATGTATAATTATATCGAGTGGTTAGCACTCACGAAAAGTGGCACATTACACGGTTGGCACATTACGTGGTGCCTAGACTTGTGCTCGAGTTTTCTAAAAGCAGCTTAGCCAAGTTCGCCAACAAATGCTCGGGGCGGAAACTGAACTCGTAGGAAGTATACATAGTATCGACGTCGTCAAGGCTTCACCGTAACTTGAGACATAATGGAAAGCCCTGCACTATCTGCACCTAGACCCTTGCGACTTGGACAATACCCACGACGCGCTTCCTCTTATGCCTATAGATAAAAATGAGTCTGAATTCCTGGCCTTCGGGCCATTTTTAATGTCGAGGCGTGGGCTCCGACAAGCTCTCACTTGATCAGCATCGACAAAGCAATAGTAGGTTTGGTAGATCGGGGTCGTCGAACGAAAGTCCCTTCCCAGTATAGTGGCATTCTCACATCGTTACATCTACGGGTAACGTCAAGTCAGATCTGTATCTCGCATGACACCCTCGCCCGCGTGCTCACACCCCTGAACGAGCGGGCCTAACGCTCTAGAAGTCCCCCAAGCTCTCAGCCTTATGTCCAGGCACACCAAACGAAGTTATCCAAGAAGGTAGCAAACCGTTTCGCAATTCGCTCTCGAGCCGGCGTGGCTTGGCTTAGATTGCGTGGCCAAGGAGGCCCTGGGCGCCGCATGGCTCACCAGTTTGATTATTCATGATTCGGCCCGTGAGCATTGGTCGCGTATCAATCTTGGCTTTCGGGCTTAACGCCGGGGTTCGTGCGGAGGGTTTTCCCATTACCCACCAACGTTAGCCATCTCCTACTTTAATTATATCTGAGGATTTTGGCTGTAGATCAGCTCTTGACCGGCTCGCGCTCTCTGTCGTTTGCCCCGAATCTAGAAAGCTAAGACCTAGATTTCAGTAAGCCACTTTGACTCTTACTTGGGTCCTTTTGGTAAGCTTGCGAGAAAAAGTTCGCTTTTTGGCATTCGTTATTGGCCGCTTCGCAGACCCCCTCCTCCCATTACCCTCTAGCATTTCGCATTATCTCCATGCCTTCACCATATCGATCGAGTCTATTCCCGCAAAAATTTGACGGATGAGATGTAATACTAACTGATACTGATGCGCAAGCTTGGCCCTTCGTTTGGGGCAGTGGCGATGCCTCGCTTCCGCGGGCGAGGATGCCTAAGTCCGCATAAGGCCTATCCACAGACCACTTCAGGTAACCAAATGCATTTTATGCCAAATCTACCGCTTAAGCAGCTTCTCATGCTTTTCCATTCGAAAAGCCCTATGTCCTAGCCCTCGAGCAGGAAAACCTACGAGTAGGTAATGACAACGCCCATACTGCATCGGGCAGGACTTCCGTTCTGTCAGATCGCCCCATTCAGGCCCGACCAGGTATTTTGACACAGCCATTCTCTAAAAATGCTTTGTCTTTGGTAGACACCGACCCAAAGCTATGGTACGATAGATCCTCCGGAAATGTGTCTGAGTATGACATGATACCTGCATCACCAGTATCCACTAAGTATACTGTCGCTGGTTCAGACTTTAAGGAGCAATATCCCTACGCTATCCAGAACCCACTGATACGTCTTTACCCATACTGTTTTATACCTTGATCCTTATATCCCAAGCCCAAACTGTACCTGCCAGAATATTCAGGATCAAGCGCGAGGCTGCAATTACCCCTGCCCTTGTTCCAAGTCACTATCTACCCTCCCCGCGACCTACCCGCGCCTTTCCAGCTGGAATGGGGATCGACCCTCCCTCATTTTATTCGTCTCATCCCTCTATACTGCCTTCGCTTTACCCAAACAGTGCATATCGATACTTGGACACTTCTCATCTCAGTCATCATCATCTGTTCAGAAAACCCCTGAGATCAAAGCCTGTTTTGATCGAGTTGATCCCTTGATTGATCGATTCCAACCATATTGATACACAATCTACCCACCATCTGCCCTCTATCTGGCCGATGTGGGCGTATTTGATGCTGGTATGAGCAGTTCCGACGAAGATGTCTCCATCCCAGACCCTCCATCACGTCGAGCCTCGACCATGTTAGTTGATAGAGGTCGCACCAAGAAGTGGGCTCCCAAAACGTTCAATGGTTGCTTGACATGCAAGTACGTTGAAATCATTCATGCTTCAAGGCAACGCAACTGATAACCTTTTAGGAAAAGAAGGATAAAATGTGACGAAGGAAAGCCCTCCTGTCAAAGGTTAGTCGACCATCTCAGCAGACATGCAGACTCCTGTCGCATGCTGACCTTTTATTCCAGATGCATCAAGTCCAATATCGACTGTAGTGGATATGCCCCGCCTAAGATACGACTATTTGAACCTGCACCGATAGGCACTCCAGCACCACAATCGGTGCAGCCAAAAGCCATGCCTTCTACGAGTGCAAAGACTCAGCCATCGGATAACCCTCAGTTCCAGTCCTATCTCGACAGCTACCCTCATCCGCATACCTTAGCACTGGTCCCATCGTTTGGCACAGACGAAGAATATCGATCATTCCAATTCTTCCTCGAAAAGACGTCAAGTTTGATCTCTGTCTATTCTCAGCCTTACCTGTGGACCGTGCTTCTTCCCCAGGCAGCATGGCACCAACCTGCGATAAAGCATTCCATCATCTCGCTTGCCACTCTACATCGATCACTTACGACCTTTGACTCAACGGTGGCTACTCAGGAGAAGCATATCTTCATGTCACACTACAACCAGGCCATTCGTGCTTTAGTGACCGAGAAGCCTCCAGTGGATGTGGTTTTAGCAGCGTGCGTGATCTTCTGGGCCCTGGAAAACTTCAATGGTAGCGTGGAAGCAGCTTTCGATCACATGAAGGCAGCAGTCAAAATCCTCGGAGAATGGAAATCGAAGCGACGGCCCGACGACCCTTCGAACGATCTGATCTCGACTTACATCGAACCTACGATTCGCGACAGCATCAAATTTGCCTCCAAGCCTCGAGTGGAGGAGATCAAAACTCAGATGGAGGCCATCTCCCTGAGCACACAAGACTACCGTGTCTTAAACATCGACCACCCCGTGTTCGAGAACTTGGAACATGCAGGCGCATATCTGCTCGACTGCATCGGGGAACTCCTCCACCTGACGCTAACACTGAAGAGCCTGACCTCGGAGCTGCGTGATCAGGTCGATGAACTGGAAGCAAGGCTCTACAAATGGATGAATCTTTTCCAACACCTAACGGCCACTGGGCCAGTGTACCAGCGGAAAATGCTCATCGTCCACAACGTGGCTGCATACTGTCTTCTGAGCCGATTGAAACTCAAAGCCGGGATCTCAGACCCCAACACCACGCCACCAGGCCGCGATCGCTATTCTTTCGTTGTCCTCGAGGTCGAAGACATGTTGAAGTACGACCCTTACTGTGTCGAGTCGAGCAAAAAAGAACCCCCATCGTTGGGCTTTGTGCCTCCAGTCTTCCTTGCAGCTACCACGGCGCCCAAAGCAGAGACCAGGCAACGAGCCATCAACGCCCTTCGACTACTGAGTGCGATGGATGGACCCTGGAACGGTAAGATGGCAGCCTCCGTCGCAGAAGTCATGTGGGAAATCGCACACCAATTCTCCATCCCAGCTTCTGAACTGGACATCGAGCAGATGAACTTCGAGTACGACCTGCAGAAGCACTGCGTCCGCGTGATGTGGCAGCCCGATGACGACCACCTCCAGGGATTTAGCTTTGTGAAAGAGTTAGAAGTGGTCGGCGCGAGCTGGGCGGATTGTGTAAGTTTTTTGCTCTCCCTCTCTCATTCTTACACATCTCCAACAGGGGTGGCCCAAGCAATCCCATTAATCCAAACTGACCTTCAACTTCTTTGAAATAGCAAAATTTGCCTGTCCTGATACAGCGCTTTGGTTACTCAGCGGGGACGAAAGGATGAAATGGATTGAATTAAATTGAATGAACGAATAAAACAAGAGCGCGAGAGGAAGTCTCAAGGTTGGGTACCCAGTCTTTAGAGGCTGCCCCGGCCGCGCACTCCTACCATATGCGGACGCTTCAACAGTACTTATGATAATACCCAAATGACGATGACGCCAGATCATGCCCCTTTACCCGCTGAAATGATAACAGAGACGAGGGAAAAGAATTTTCTAGATAGAATTCAAATCCAACAAACAACGAAAAAAATATATATACACCAGATTAGAGAATGAAAGAATGAATGATCACACATCAGAATGAGGGCAAGACAGGACAAATCGCATATCGATCTCACATATAATTGTTATAACTCTTCACAGCTCCATCTAAAATTTTAACATGATCTGGGATTGCAGTTGCACAATAACATTCCACATCGTTCAATTCATTTCGGGGGAGGTGGCGGCGGATTTCCCAACGTGCCTTGGCTATCTGTCCTGTTCTTCCCCGTCCTCGTCGTCGCGTTACCAGCGCCACCGGCGGCATGCGCACTGACAGCCTCTTGTTCGAGGAAATTCTGCCACAAGTCTGCAAGACTCTCCTTGCTGCCAGGGCTAGTGGCGCTATCCGGGGGGTTGAAAAAGTCATGGTTTTGATGCAACGCGGGCGTACTAGGGGTGCGATGCACGAGTTGCGATCCGGGGAGACGCAGCGAGCCTAACCCGGATGAGTTGCTAGGCATGGTGCCGCCAGGTCGAGCCAGGCCGGCTTGTTCGCGCTGCTCGTCCGACCAGCCCAACAGGGCAGCGATGAGTTGGAGGATTTGAAATTTCTTGGGGTCGGACCGGTCGAGGGCCAGGAAGTGGAGGAAGTGGTTCGTTACGATTTGTCTGCATAGATAGACAGATAGAATGGTTAGCGAGTGATGTAGTTCATTAGCGAGGCAAAATCAGGCAGAGAATGTGTCTTGGGTATTCCGGTTCGCCTCGTGACCTCTCGGCAAGGAGTGCTCGCTGGTGCGATGGAACGAGACTTTGGGCTTGTCGGCTGATACAGTCATGTCCTTCCGCCCCAATAGGGTCGACTTCATGGTCAATGCGTGTACCTATATTTGGGGGGTGGGGCGGGGCGGGAAGCGAAACATCGCGTGGTAATGGGAGAAGGGGGGAACAAGCAAGTGGGCAGGGTGGCCGGAGGGTAAGGCGGGCGGCTTTTGCTGTTTGTCTCAACTTACCTATCCACGTTGTCCTCTGGTTTGCCCCTTTTCAGGAACCGTATAGCTTTGGTCAGGTGGTCGTTCAGGATCACGGCCTCATGTCGGAGCTTGCCGATTAGCAGATTTTTCTCCTTGACCTCCTTCTCGAAGGGCGAGACGCGCTCAAGGTCTCGGGTGAGTAGTTCCAACTCGGCGGTGGTGGTATCGTGCTTGGTCTGCAGGTCTTGGACCTGATGACGCAGGGCTTCCTGTTCTGCCTGATTCGTCTCGACGAGTTCCTTGAGCTCCTGCTTCCGTAGGCTCTGCATTTCCTGCAGCGCCTTTTGCAAACCATCTACGGTGTTGGATTGTGCGTCGCGCTCCGCTGCTGCTTTTTCGTGTGCTTCTTTCAGGGTAGACACTTGCTCTTCGAGGTCGGTGTGGCGGTCGCTCAGGTCTCGCCGGAGGGTGCGCTCTTCCATCGCCAATATCTCCCAGTCGTGCATGGCCTGCTTTGCATTCTCGAATTCATCGCGCAAGTATGCTTCCTGCTCGATCAACTCATCTTTCTCCTTGGTCCAATTCTGTTGTGCCAGTGTCATGCGGTTGCGGAGACTGGACAGCTCTTTGGATTGTTCGGCGGCTTTGATTTCTAATTCCTTGTTTCGGCAGCTTAATTCCTCGACTTCCTTGGAGCGCGAAGTGTATTTTTCCACCAGGTCGGATTTTTGTTCTTCGAGTTCTTCGATGTGAGTCCTCGACTTCGCAAGCTCTTCGGCATCTGCTTTTAGTCTTTCGCCGAGTTGTGATCTGATGGTGTTGACTTTGCCTAGTAGCGACTGGTATTGCTCCTCCGCTGTGTCCTTTGCGTCTTGCGTGTCTGCCAATTCCGCCTGCACGGCCTCCATTTCGGAACTGTGCTTGGACTGTAGTTCCTCAATTGATTGCCGTAGCTGTGTCACTTCCAACCGAAGTGCATCGCGGTCTTTTACCAGCGCATCGAATCGGGCGGCGGCGTCATTGCTTCCTAGTCCATTAGGGGTCTTATTTTGTGCTTTTTCTGATGGACCATCGCCATTTGCGACGTCTTCATCATTGTTTGGCGATAGTGCACCTGGATCTGCGCCTGTCTCCTCGTTTTCTGATGCATCCTCACTTTCCACACCAAATTTCGGTTCTGGGTCATTCGCGGACTGGGTCTCAACTGGTGTGGACGGCGCCTCAACTTCTGTTGAAGTGTTGTAAGAGGGCGGCTTTTTCTTGGACCTTTTCTTCTTTTTCGATTTCTGATCTGTTCGACATCATGGCTCAGTTAAGTTGTCTCAGAGAGCAACAGGGGCAGAGAAACAAGGGTTCAAAGTGGGTGGGCACAAACCTGACGGGGGTAGGGAGGACATTGGCGTGGAGGACATGGGAGGACGGACTATTGGACTATTGGACTATTAGATTGTTTGGTTATGGGAGTTCAGATGCCGGATAGCAAAGGGTCCTTTTGTGTTTGGTGGCGCCAGTGTTCGGATTCAGATACCAGAATTCGCAAAACGTGTCAACACCGAACAAGCGACGCTGACCCCAATTCCAATTCCAATGGTGGCTCCTTCCCCCAATACCCGCTGCCCCCCTCGGCATCGGATTAATCAGTGACGCCGAGCACACCCACCCACCTCGATTTCCAGACATATCACATGGGCTCTAAGTCAACACCATAGAACGGAGTAGGCTCACAAGCCTTCAAGGTAAACTGGTTACTACACGTCTCTTTGTTTTGTGGAACATATTTATTTCTGAAAGAAAAAGGCGACATGTGCCTGCCTGCTTTTTTCACGAACATGTCCGTTCCGGGAAGCCGAATGAGGCCTTGGTAAACCATCGCTCTCATCACTTCATGAAATGGCCATATCAGTGCTGTCTTGGGCCGACTAACAATCCTAGATGATGGTAGTATGGTTATTTGTCTGTTTCGTAGAACTGTGAACGAATCTACTCAGCCTTGACTGCCCCGACCTTTGCTTAGATGGGCAGTAGGAGGTTAGAGCTCTCGCTCCTGGTGAGTAGGCATGCAGTCACCAGCACCAATCTTTGCCAGCCCTTCCTCTTCGACCTCTCCTCCCACCACAACCATATGATGACTGCCTCGGGAAACGATCTTTGCGGGATGACAAGAGCAAAGAACTCGCCTGGGGAGTAAAGGTGTCTGCCTGGAATATGCTTCAAGACTCGGCCTTCCATCTTAAAAATCCCAGTCCTAGGTACAGAGTTACTAGACATTCTTGATCTACCCCATTTCTAGTCGCTAGAGTATTTGGGCTTCTCTAGGACAACTAGGCCGGAGTCGCCGTAGGTCTGACATGTATGAGTAAGACGCTCGGGCGCAACTCATCGCATTTGATTTCCCTCCACCTCCTCAAGTGGGTTAGTCGAGGGCAGCTTCTGGGCGTCGCGTAAGATAACCACCTCTATTGGGCACAGGGCGCAAACTCGGCAAGATCAAGAGGCAACCCATATCGCTCAGAGACACCTGGGCAGGTATGTTTCGACCTACCAGCACCACCACCATTGACTACGGAATCCGACTTTTGGGGCACCTCATAAACTAGTATGATATTATCTCCAAGCGATCTCTGGTTGACGGCAGACGCCTCGGACCGGGTACTACGATGCATTCCGCTACGATACGCGCTTCGTACTCGTGGCTGGGTATTTAGACAACACTGGGAAGCTTCTCCCGACATGCTATTCCAGTTCGAACTCCAGCCTGACAAAGACCGCCAGGTCCCACCCAACCACGGATGTTATCATGGCTGATGCGACACTAGGCATCATCGCCATTATTGTCGATTTGACTCTAGAAATCATCAGATACGTAGGTGACGTCAAGCACGAGGGTGCTGATCGCCAAAGAATAATCACTGAGCTCATCACAACCAATGGTATTCTTGCCATGGTGAAAGTCGTCTGCGATGATCCTGGTAGTGACAAGAACTGGACGATGGTGATAACAGCAGTGCAAGATGAGATACGAAAAATCCACGATGTTACTCAAGAAGTAGCGCGAGAACTAAAGCTCGTACATCATTCAAATCGTCTCTCGCGCATCAGACAGTCTGTATTATGGCCGTTCGAGAAAGCAAACACTCAGCGTTTCTCAAGGGAGCTTGAGCGGTGCAAGACACGTGTCTTAACGGTAATGCAGATCCAGGACCTGTAAGCCATTTTCTGCTGTACTGTGCACGACTGCTGACATTTCCTGCAGACGGGATATGGATGCCATTAGAGCGCATATTGAATCCATCAATAACAGTGTTTCCCGAATAGAGGCATACCAAACCGCTAGTGCAATTCAAACCGACTCCGAACAAGCTGCTCTAAGACGTACGTGGATGGAGGCTGATCCTTGGAGAGATTCAACTGCCTCTAGCCTTGATATTGATATTTCATGCCCGTATTCTGCCTTTCGATGCTGACTAGAGACTCCTAGGTCAACGAGTCCTATCGTGGCTTTCTGAATATCAATACAATGCGAAGCACAATGCTATGTCTGCCATCCGAACGAAGAACACGTCTGAGTGGATTGTAGAAGAGTTCTATTTCAAGGAGTGGATCAATGGTGCAACGGGCACGCTAATACTTTATGGTGGACGTAAGTTATCCCAATCACCTACTCTACTGCTGGTTGACACATTGAAGCCGGCGTGGGCAAACAATCATTGCGTAAGCTTCTCGGATCCGATACACTAGCTTTTCTTTAACAGGTTGCGACCACTTCGGTTGTGGCTAATATTATCCAGATCCTCTTGATCGAGCATCTTGCGGGCCACGTTATCGGACAACAGGGGACAGGATTGGCCTATATCTATCTGGATAACAAAGAAAGGCTTGTGCAGTCCTACCACACTATAATTGCATCTCTGGTCAAGCAGTTGGCCAACATGGATCGCCGTGTGTACTTAAAGCTCAAGGAGTGCTTGACGACAGGATTGCAAACAAGGATGGAGAATACCTTTACACGAAACTGAAACGCCTCAAATCGAAAAGCTCTTTCACAACATCCTCAAGGATTTCGCAAGGGTCTATCTGGTCATCGATGGTTTAGACGAAAGCAACGCAGAAACAAATATCCAACGCTGCCTGGAGAGGCTTCTGAGCTCCCTGCAAGCAACCAGCTGCGATGTAAAAATCTTTGTCACGTTGCGCCCGGATATTAAAGCAGCGACCCAGTTCAAAAGTGTGTATGCGCTTGAGGTCAAAGCCAGAGAGACTGACATCAAGCACTACATCGAGAAGAGAGCGAAAAAGAGCCAGATCTTCAAGAAGAGATTGATTCGGAGCCAAGTCTACTCTCAAGGATAATCGAAACAATTGTGAAGGCCTGTGACGGCATGTTCTGCTTGCTCGACTACATATGTACTCACTTGCGTCTCTCCGGACACGTGCAGACATCGATGATCGGCTCTCAGCGCTTCCCCAGGGAGATGAGAGTCTGAAGAGGACCTATGACGAGGTAATGGAGCGCATCATGTCGCAGCGACAATCTGATTCAGAATTGGCGGTCTGAATCCTTCGCTGGCTGTGTTTCTCAGCTTGGCGCATGAAAGTGCGAGAGCTCCAGCACGCGCTGGCCGTGGATATGACCAAAAACTATGAGAAGCATTTTAACAAGAACCGGATATATCGTCAGAACACCATGCTTCAAGTCTGTATGGGTCTGGTGGCTATTGACAAATCAAATGACCAAGTACACCTCGTCCACTACTCCACCGAGGAATATTTTAGTGCTCACCGAGGAGGGAGATTCCCAAATGCCAAAATAGCACTCGCACATACATGTATGAAATACATCGGCTACAAAGATTTTGACCGACAGAGGTGCAAGAACAAGGAAGAACTCCGGCAGCTCAATGATGAGTATCCCTTCCTGCAGTATGCTGCTCAAAACCTGGGGCTACATTCTTTGGAGGCCGAACGATTCGGCACAAGTGAAATTGTGGAACTTTTCAGCGAACAACGTCGTCTTGATTGCATCAACCAGGTCAGATCCAACTGTTTCCATGACCACTCTAGAAAGTTCTACATCTCTGCACCTGCGACTGCCGTTCAGTATAGCCTACCAGATGTCCTTCGGCTGCTTTTAAGGAAGAAAGGTCACAACATATTTAGCGTGAACGCTGTAGGCACAGAGCGGAGACTACCTGTACACGAAGCAGCCTATCAGAGAAGTTCTGAAATGCTGGACATGCTACTAGACCACGGAGTCGACTTACATCGGGAAGACTGCTGGGAGAACGTTCCATTAAATGGTGCCGTAGCAGGCGGGATGACCGATCAAGTCAAAAGAATCCTAAGCCAATGTCCGGACACCATCAGCCACGCCAATCATGAAGGGAGGACGCCATTGCACGACGCAATAATTTACCAGGCCGAGCATCTTATCCCACTCCTTCTCGAATATGGAGCCAACATCAACATCAGCAGTTCAATCGACGAGCGCGCGCCGATCCACGAGGCAGCTGCCAAGGGGAAAGAAGAATGAAATCAGAATGCTTCTCGAGGCACATAGCCCGAACTTCGACTTCCAGGATGCGTTTGGATTCTCCATCCTACACGCAGTCACCTTGGTCGATATGGATATGGAAGCACGCCTGATCTTAGACCAGTACCCGGAGGTGATTGATCGAATCAACGACCATGGAAAGTTATCTCTTTATGATGCGGCGGAGAGGGGTTGCGCCAAAGTGGCAGAAGTCCTTATCGAATGTGGTGCCAATGTCAACCTACTAGACAACGAGAAGAAGACCCCGCTGTGGTTTGCGGTGTCCAAGAGGGACCACAACGTGATTCGGATGTTGTTGGCCGCTGATGCAGATACATCAATCGACTGGGACTCAAGGCCGCTCGCTTATTACACGGGCGACGCACCGCAGGAACTGTTCAATCTCCTTCTCGAGTATATCCACCAATTAAAATACCATGCCATAGACAAAAACTGTGTGTCTGGCTTGCATGAGGCTGCGTTTCGCGGTCGAGAAGAGACGGCGTTGGCCTTCATCGAGCACGACATCATCCACGGGAAACGCCTGCTAGCGCAGCAGAATAAGTGGGGAAATACTCCGTTGCATGATGCTTGCTCTTCTGGGATGCTGAAGGTTGTCAAGCGGCTACTGCAGGCGTGTGACGATGAGCTGTTGGACATCAGGAATGTGCTAGGAAATACGGCGCCAGACTATGCAATTGAGAACGTCCATGATGCTGTGGTTGAATATCTGCGTGGTAAGGGGCCAAAGACTCTGGACTCCGTGGAGGTAGAAGGAGCCCAATAGGGGCATATGAGTTGAGCCTACTTGCCTAGGTAGGTGGGAAAGGTTGGAGATGCAATAACTCGATCACCTATGATACGACTTCTTGAAATCACAGGGTATATCAGGGAGAGGGATATGAACAATGAACGAAGGAATAAGGTATGAGTTATGAGACTTCAATCGCTAGAGTTACGACATGTACGGGTGAATGTTTCCATTGCTGGCTTCCTGACCTACTATTGTTCGTTTAATGGTCTTGAGACAGACACGCTCTATATGTATGCTACCAGTATTCGTCACTTGTGCTTGACAGATATGTCGCATAGCATCACTTGTTCTCCCAGTTAGAACGAGCACAAAAAGGACAGCCCGGCAATTCTGTTGTATGATGTTCTGATTCCACGACTCGATTCTTATGGAGTTGTAGCATCGCAAAAACAACATAGATTCTAAAGCCAGTACCTAGCCCCCGGCTGCTCCATAGAGGGTATCAATTCAAGCCCTGCAACTATCATTCGAACACTTCTGCGAACAATCCTCGCATACCTTTGAGGAGGCTTCCGATTTCTCTGGTGGTGTTCAGTCGATCCACGACCTTATCCACCTTCTCGGCCTCCAGTCTTGGTTTCATGTATACCACTTCGTACCTCGCGCTCCCTGTATCGGGGATCTGTAACTCAAACAAAGCCTCTCTCTCCTCAGTACTCTTGCTGCCCTTGGCCGGTGGGAACACGAAGGCGACTCTGACTTTGTTCTCGTCGCCACTGCCCTCGATTCGGCAGCCGAGGTATGTCTCCCAGAAGTTCAACTCGGGTCCATTCAACCGACTCTGGCCGTCAATCCTCTGCGAGTATTCCCGTTGAGCTTGAACCTTGGCCTCAATCTGCCGCTGCGTCTGACTGATGGCGCTTTTCAATCGATCGCGGGCCGCGGATTGGTTCGATTGATGCGATTCCAACTTTGATATCTGTCCGTGCATCTCGTTCTTTTCTGCTTGCTCTCTCGACAATACGTGTTCGTGTGTTGAGAGGGTAGACTGCAGTGTGGTGATTTGGGTGCTGCATGATCGTTGTTCCTCTGAAAAACTGTCAGTTAGTTTGTGGTATTTTGCACGAATGCCATCATCAGCTCTTACCGCTGATTTCCCCCAGCCGTGCTCGAAACTCGTTTCTCTCCTGCAGCACCCTCTTCCGGCCTTGCTCAATAAATGCATCGAATTTGACGGTGAATTCAGCCATGCGCTTGCGCAAGTCTTCAAACTTGAAATCCACGGTCGGCAGTTGAGTCAAGGGACTGTCGGTGTAAGACATGATCGCATTTTGCGATTGCGATGCGCGGAAGGACGACGTGCTCGCTGAGAATGACAGAGGAGGTGCTATAGTCGCCATCGCTGTTCTAGCAGGTTATTTCTTGATGAGGATCGTGATTCTTCAATTGTGCAGTGGTCTGTTTGTGAGGCTGTGTTAACATGAATTGTGGTGTCGTGATGTCGTGACGTGAAGGTTGGCAAACCGCAGCCAAAAACAAACGCCGGTTGTTCGGGGCAACCAACGGTTTGGCTTGGCAAGGCTGCAGCCTGATCCCCCACAGTCGCGGTTCTTCACATCGACTCAACTGCGTTACCATTCAACTTCCCAGGTATGTATCGAGGAATCTATTTCTGTATGCTTCCCCTTATGTTATTGCCTACTAGAATAGAGATTCTTTTATTCTTTGTCCGCCTGTGTCACAGGACCTGCATGCTCCGATGTCTGCACCTCCTTGCTTGACTCCGACCGCGCATCATCTCCAAGCAACTGGACAATCATTGTTTCCATTCTAGCCATCGCCTCCTCCATCTTATGCAATCTCGCTGTAGCCTCCAGCAACCTGTGGTCGCGTTCTGTATCATTGAGATCGATTATAGAATCCATGCGTTCTCCACGCCTGGGTTTTCGATATCCTGGTGGGTGATCTCCTTGCTCCTCATCACTCGAATCTACAAACTCCTTCCTTAATGCCTCATCCTTTTGTTCTTCATTATTCTTCGCCGTTGCTCTTGTAGGGCTTTTGCGAGGCTCTTCGACAGCCACACTGTTGTGCCGTGATGAATGACCGAAATGAGTATTCAGCCTATCCCGAGTGAGATCCTCAAGCGGGTCACCTGGTTCATAGTTATCGTCTTCGCTGATTTTGTCCAACACTGACTGTGGAGGATCCACCTCAAAAACTGCGTGAAGGTCGCCGTGGACACTGAATTTTGAGATTGCCCAATACTGAGCATGTGTGATGCTTGGACCATTGACATTCTTCCAATCAATTTTTCTCCCACCATATTTCCGGCGTTTATCGGTAATCCACAAAGTTCTCCTCTCATACCAAGCTATTAACAACAATGTTGGTAAGTTTAGCGTTCTTACTGCTGCCACATGGGTTTTGTGGAACATTCTTTCTGATATGCTCCATTTCAGTGGAAGTAAGAGTATCAAGGCCAAGATGTTGAATGGCGGCATGTACGAGAAGATGGCATCTGATTTGACCCCTTCAAAGGTAAGGACGGCCCGGCGAAATTGGATCTCCTGTACAGCATTGGCGACAATGGCGCTGAAGGTGTTGGACAACATCGATACTAGGATGGTCAAAAACAGAGTATTTCCCAGGAACGCAAATAGGACCATCAAAAGCGGTCCGAGGAACCAGTGAAAATCGGGGGCCTCGTCGATGCCAGTTCCATCCAAGCCAAACCAAATCCAGACCATCCATTTAGATATGGTTATTGACTAGTATTGTTAGAAGCCCTGTCGTTCGTTTTCCAGACCGTTTGAAAGCTTACTTGGTGAACCCCATTATGCAACCATTTCAAACTCAACAAGAATCCGGCGAAACACCACACCGCCAGGGCTGAGAGTGTTACAAAATCCGAGATCATCGCCCTCAGCGATACAAATAGCACGTTCTCGGACATGATATTGAAGGCAAGACGCGGTATCAAAACCGGCGCTGCACAGCTCAGAATGTCTAGAGAAGTGCGGGCCCACAAGGTAGATTCTTCCTCATCTGAGATCCCCATGGCATGCAAGCGCACCACCAAGTAAATCATGAAGAGCGCCGCAAACATGACATCCAGAAACGACCACAGGTTTTGAGAATAGACGCCCCATCCATGTTCGAGAATCGAGGCAAATTGATCGAGGACCTATGTCATCAGCCTCCATTCAAATTACGGAATCCAATGCTTACCCAACCAATGGCATAGATGTCAAAGACAGCTTCAATGGGGTGATATGCCGTCGTCATTCGAGATTCTCGTCCGACCATGACAGCGATATACAAACCAAGCAGGGCCATGAACTGAACGACCTCAATGATATTCCGCGTCCTGGGCACAATCAAGCGATACTGATTGAGAAGAGGTCCCCTCCTTGGATCATACAGTGATATGGGTCTTTTTTTCCAGCGATCGGGGATGATGTCGATAAAGCTCGTTGGCGTGTACACCAACTTCCCGCGATAAATCGCATCCACCACCTTCTGGCAAGCGCTACTTGCGAGGAAACTCTTACTCTCGCTGACAATGGCGACTTCGAGTGCAGTCAGCGTGCGCTCAGTCTTGCCGCTTCTGCTGTTTTGGGAAGACACCCATTGCATGGCGTGGAGATTGTTCTTGCAGACTTCCTCCGGGGCTCCTTGGAATGGCTCAAAGCCGGCCACGAGTATGTTGGCCAGCTTGAGAAGACCTCGCGGACCGGGATTGCCCTCGTTGTATTTTCGGAGGATCTTCTCCGCGATCATTTCACAGAGTAAAGCCCGGGTCAAGTTGACGGTCTGATGATGAGCGGCGTATGATTGTTCGCGGATGAACTGGACACGATTGACCAGAAGGCAGTACACTGGAGGCAATCAGCGGTTTTTTGGGCCATGGTGACTGCATAAGCAGCAAACTCACCGACTGAAAGATCCTTCTTCTCATATAGTGAGTTGACAAAGGGACGCACGACTGTGATATTCATTCTTGGCGCCTTGAGTTGCTCCAAGGAATAGGGATCGTCTTCAAATATCTCAGCGGAGGTCATCCATAATCCGTTCCTCTAAGTGGCCACTCACCTATCGTGTTAATGATATCTCGGCGAATACTGTAATGTCCGCGTCAACCACCTGCAACCACTCCAAGTGGAACATAGGGGACCAAACCAACCGATGTATATTCTCGTAGACATTACAGCTTGCCACATCATAAGGATCCGCCCCTTTAGGCGGATTAGGCTGATCGCTCGTCCACGTACAGTTTGGCGGATACAGCCCATCACTGTCTGGATAGTCATCGGTATCACCGCCTCCTTCGTGGTCGTCACCCTCTTCATCCCGTCCGCGCAAGTCAGACGCAGACAGTAAAGGCTGCCTCTCGAGTTCCGTCTGGGACCGCCGCCTCAAATCACCATTCGCAGTGGTGCCAAACGGCTCCGTGAATTTAATTTGCGGGACTGCGCTGGAACTAGATGCCATTGTGACTCTGCACTGGCCATGCTCTGGGGGATTTAATTCGGTATTGTTCTGGATAGACGATAACCTCTGATGTCACTACAAGAACTGCTACGCGCAACAACAAGAAACAACAACCGTCACTCATCATGTTGCATGGATACTAGACAGCTCCAGGTCGACGTTATCACGTCGCCCAATAAGCAAGGCCAGCGCAATCTGGCTTCCTCGTCCATTGAGACAGACGAACCACCCGGTCTACAAAGCTTATCGCACCAAGCCTTTTCCCGCTTGGGTGCTGTTGGCCAATCACTCACAGGCTGTAGATAGCTTTATCTGAGCTCTTGGGGGTGACTGATGGATTCAACCCCAGTGTGAGAATCCGACTTGCTGACATTGTGCATTCTGGGAGTACCTCGCATGTAGATCTCTTGTTCAATCTGCCGAGTATGGAGTACAGTACAGTCCTGACTAACAGATAGCAAAGACAGCCACTTGTGTTACGACTGTGTAGATAGACGAATGGTCCACTTCCCCAGAATTTCCTGCATCATGTACATCATCATCCTCGTCCTCATTACCATTACCTGCCATTACTCTCATCATCTTACAGCTCCACACTAAAGTAGCTCAATCATTGACCCGTAGTATCGTGCGCATCTAACAAGTTATAAGAAAAAGACAAAGAAATATCCACCCACAAAATAGCAGCTAAAGCACCTTCAAGATTGCCACCCTTTTGGGAAATCTAACACCCGTAAATCAATATGGCAATGGCAACCCCGTCCGCACTCGCTTGGTCGCACTATCATAAGAAAATCATGATACTGGCAATGACTGCCAACGGCATGCAAACTGACCAGAGACTCAGCCCGTTGGAGGAGTCCTGGGCATCATTGCCATTGACAACAGTCTGATAGACGACGCTGGGCTGGGAGTACGGGGTAGTGTCCATGACGACAACGACTACCCCGTTGCTCGTGATGGTTTGGACGGGATAGGGCGTGGTAGTGGTGTAGGAGGTGACCGTGGTCGTGCCGATGTAGGTGAATGGAGGCGGCGACGTGTTGCAGTTATGCTCGCATTGGTCGCAGCACTCGTAGTAGACGACCGTCGAGGTGACTGGACATGGGATTATCGATGTTATCGTCACCGTTACCCCGGCGTACGTCGTCCATGTGGTGTATGTCGTCGAGGGCACCCACGTCGTCCAGTACGAGGTAGGTGTGGGTGTCCAGTAGCCTGAGTCACTATAAATCAAGAAAATGAGTTTTTGAGTTAGTCCGGCTGATGATCACGGTAGCTGCAGGATGGTCGGTATGGGTCAAGGGTAGCGTACTAGGCAGAGCCCTGGCCCAGTAGAAGGCTAAGGCATACGATAATTGAAGTCCGTAATTCCTGCAATGACAATAACATGGTACAAAGCCCTAGAGTAAGGATCGGTGACGGAGTCTATTGGGCGAAAGGCTGGATAGATGTAGCTGTCGGCCTATCAAGTGCTAGGAGAAGCAGCAGGGGGGAGGTGGCGTGAAGCGAGGCGAGGAAGGTGATATTAGTGAGCCATGAGATGAATTGGCCAGATACTGCACTTCTCTGATAAGGTAATTACAGGTGCCGATAAAGCTCAAAAAGCCAGGAATATAAGAACAAGGAAACCTTTGAGAAGTGTAGCAATCCTTAGGTAGAGACCAAGGGATGTAGATAATAAGCTGGCTTACCAGTCACGATCTTTGACATTTCCGAGCTGAAGCGGGAGGGGACAAGCTTGCCCGGTTTGCCTGCCTGTGAGTGTGTGCCACTGCTACCCGAGTGATAAAAAAGAAGAGGCCTTGGGATGGGTGGTGGTGGCGGTTGTGGAGGTGGTATTCCTCCCCGTCGTCATCCTTTTTCTTGGTGTTTGGCATTTCACATTCCGAAGTACTCGTATCCCACTTATTTCCAAGATTTCAAACGAACCTTCGGCAAACGAAGCGGATCATCTTCGGGTAGCGCGCCTGGGACCGCTGGAGGGTCAAGGCGTGAGGGATGTGGCATGAGGATCACCACCCCGCCTCTCTGCCCCGCTCTCTACAATAACAGGAACAGGATTCAGCAGTAATTCGTAGAGTGCACCCACTCCCTAGCGGAGTACTGCGAGTCAACTCAATAAGCTGATATTGGGAGGCCTTACTTGAGTAGGGCCGGTTGTTACGGCCTGGAAGACGACTCTGCTTATCAAGTCTGAGGGTGGAATTGTGCATACAGAGCTAAGGGAGCCCCTCCAGTAAACAAGGCCTACCTAAGCTGCACAGGATAATTTCCTGACAGAGCCAATTAGGTGGGTACGTACTCCGCAAATGATACGAAGTTCAGCAGGGCTGGGAAACGCCTTGCATGAGCTGCAATTCACTGGTCTTTTCGAGCACTGCTGTACTAGCCGACATAGGGTGAGTGAGTCGTAGGGCTCCAGTGTCACAGGCCGAGGGCCCTGCAACATGATGTCAGAATCCTCATGAGAGCATCCCGAGGTAAACGGTGTTGTTATTAGCGTCAGTAACTAACATTGCGACAGCTGCGTTTGAGTTGCGGGAAAGTGTAGCACCGGGAGTTTGTATCCGCTGGTAACGGCGTTCAATTCCGATAGACGTTTGCTGGGTCTCTGCGCGGAGAGCCACGCTAAAGGCATGGAGTGCCTGGAAGATATATCTGACAAGTCCTCATTTATCATTTCTTCGTGTAACCTATGAACTGGTAGGAAAAAGGGAGGAGACGCAGACCTAGGATCTTCAACCCTATTGTCCTGCTCCTCTGCCAGCGCCGGCACCAGTACCTCCACCACCGCCCATGAATTGTTGAGCACTGAAAATGTCAGTATAGCTTTAAAATGGGGTCAAAAAGTACTCACAGTCCTGCAATAGCTGGATCTTGCATCATTTGTTGGATCTGGCTCATATCTGGCACGCCACCGCCACCGCCACCTTCTCTGCGATTGTTCATAATACCCTGAACGGTGGGATTGTTCATCAGCCCGCTCAGCGCATCCGGATTTCGCATAATGTTTTGGGCCATCGACGCAAACATTGGGTTGTTCATTATGCTGGCAAAATCGAAACCGCCCCCGCCCCTGCCTCCGCCTCCTCCTAGCATACTTGCTAGGCCGGCGAGATCAGGGCCTCCTCCACCGCGGCTATCGCCTGGCGCATCGTCAACGTCATCTTCGGGGATGTTGTCTTCTTCCGCTTCCATTCTGGCAAGCTCTTTCTTTGCTGTCTCCAATCCTTTCTTCATAGCTTCACTGCCACCGCTACCTTCGAAATCGATACCTTTCTGGTATGCTTCAACGCTACCCCTTGCATCACCCATAGCAAACCTTGCCAACCCCAACCTTGACCACGCTTTTGTGTATTTGGGATCTGCTGCCACTGCCAACTCTGCGTCCTTGACAGCTGCTGCATGGTCACCACTAGCAGAATATGCAGCCGCACGATTTGATAAGTAGATCGGATTGGTGGGCGAGAATGTGATGGCTTCGCTGTATTTCGCAATTGCAGTCTTATAGTCTTTTTGTTGCATGGCAGCATTTCCGGCGCTCTTAAGTTTCTCGGCCTCGGGGTTTATCGCGGTAGGTTCTGAGGCTGCCTTCGATGTTGCGCCCGCATCCCCTGCCGGGCCACCTTTACCCTTGAGTTTCTCATACACGGAGAATATGCTGAGTAGATTCTGTGAACCTACTGCCTCTGACACGGCAGCTTTATCTGATGCGTCGACCTTGAAGGCCTCCGCAATACAGTTGCTCGCAATCTCGATATTGTCTGCATCGTCGGCGGTCAGGGTTCCGTCCTTGAGCGATGAGGACAAGAAATCTATTATGGAGAGAGCAAGACGCTTTTTGGGGTCGGAGAGAGACTGCATGATGTAAGCGTTGTTCAGAGAGAAATATTCTATCCTCTTACCATTTTTGGTGAGATCTGGGTGTAATTATGACTTGGTGAAATAGACAAGGCAGCAGGCACCAGATTGACATCAACAAGAGACTCGAAATTTCCACGTGGATTGAGACAACTCTTGGCACTGGCGGGTGATGTGCTAATACTCGGCCCTAGCTAAAGTACGGTGAACTATAACAATCCCAGGCGCCGACTTCCAAGCACGAACATCGCCACCCAATCACCTAGGCATCAATGACAGGCGCTTTGGACGACATTCAAGTGGCGGTGCGTCCACCCCCTCTACATAGTAGTGTGAGCATCACTAGATGATAGCTAGAGATGAAACAGTTACATACTGCTCCTGATCGATGACACTGCCACTTCGGAGCATCAACAGATAATCTCGCACCTGTGTGATTTCGGCGCGATCAGGAAAAAGTTCTCCATCTCCATGGTTTGAGATGTAGTGGAAGGCGCCAGTTCCGCGTTTGGGCATCGGAAAAAGAACTCTGCCGCTCCGAGACGCAGTTCCATTCGAGCAAGGTGAATCCCAAGACATGAGCGAGCTCCAGCCCCAAACGGGGAGAAGATTGATTTCGCAAGCTCTGGCTCTGGCAAGTAACTGCTTACTGCTCCGTCTGTTGTGGAAAGCCATCTCGTGTGGTCAAACCTGCAAGAGTTCAGAAATCAGCCGGCCTTCACCCGTGTTATTGATCATTGAAAACTCACATGAAAGGATCGGGAAAGACCCGGGGGTTACGATGTAGTGAGTAAGCCTGAGTTGTGACCGTTGACCAGCCGGGATTAAGTGACCGCCCAGATACTCCGGTTCGGTAGGCTTTTGCCGGGGCATTCCTCCAGGAGCGGCACCATACAACCGAACTGTTTCTTCAATGACTGCATTGAGTACTGGGAGTGCTTCCAAATCACGATCACAATACCCTTGGGGGAGCTGTTTTAGCTCCGTACAAAGCAATCCTGTCAGTTCTGGTCTCGATAGAACGCACCAGACGAGGTATGTGAGCGACACGGCAGTTGTATCAGACCCAGCAATAATCAAAGCGCCCGCTTCCAATTCGACATCGGTTTCGTCCAAGTGTAAGCCCTTTTCAGCTTCATGAATCATGTGCGCAAAAAGATCTTTTTCGTTTCCAGGAGCGTACGCGTTCTTCACAGCGATGTGTGCCTTCTCTTGAAGGTAATGTCTTCCTCCGAAAAGCGTCCTGGAAGGCTCGAAAGGCAGATATTGCCCAATGGCACGAACAAGAGGCAGCTCGGATCCAATTCCGCCCCCTTGCAGCGCCATCTCAAGTACTCTGATGTATTCGTCTTTCTTAGGATCCCAGTCATCAGTTCATAAATCAATTCGCTTCCAGCAGGGCACTGGCATTGATGCTTACCTTGCCCTGTTCAATCATATGAAAGGATTCTCCAAACATTAGATGCGTTGCCACATCCGTGGTCATCAACGTCCACCATTTGAGCACATCCATCTTTCCCAACTGTCTCGCCTCCTCCTTCATCTTTGTGACGGCAAGACGGATCTTGTCTCGAACAATTCCCTCCCAGTTTTGTCTGAGGTACGTCTTGCTAAAGGCTGTTGCCATCAGCCTTCGGCGTGCACCATGGTCTGTCGCATCTACCATAGTGAATAATGTCCACCGCGGAGGTCGCACAATATCTTTATACCAAATCGATTTTGTGAAGCCTGAAGCCACTTTATGGATTTGAATGAATTCTTCAGGATCTGAAACAGCAACTTCTATTAGCGAAATGCGGACATATGATCCGTACCGCTGATGGAGATCATGAACATAGTACATCCGACGGCCGCTGATGATCGCGAGTTTTAAACGCCAGTTGACCCATTTGGCGATGAAGGGACCAGGTATCCCATTCAGTGGATTTGTGGTGGCACCATACACCCACTGCTCCCATAATCGATTGGCTCAGTACAATCTTGGTGAGAATGGCTATCGCAACCAAAGACTGGGGAGCCATGCACTTACACTTCCAAGAGTTGGAATCACAACGAGGCATACTACCAGAAGGGCTAGATAGACCACCGACTTGAAGTCAAGCAACCTTGCACCTATTGATCCAGTTTGCGCCGTGTCATTCGACATTTGAAGTTCGTCAGCACCAGGAGACTTGAATAGGCCTGAGAGTAGCAATGCCCAACGGGTAACCTACGGACCAAGATTCAAGTCTCGACTAGTAAATGTAGGTATAGCTTGTAAACACCCAGGTCGCTCAAGTATATGTTCTGCCGGTGCCAAGGACACCAACAAGACTCTCCTATACCATCGGGTGCAAAACGGCTGGAACGAGCAGATTGATAGACAAGCTCAGATGGTCTCGTGCCCACGATCTGAGGATTCATCCCCACATCGGCACCCGCATTTCTCCCGCATCCCCGGAAAATTCTGGCGTTACAGATGAATACGAATATCTTTGGAAACCGAGGAAAGGAGATTGGCGACAACCCTGGAGCGATTCTCCTACAACAGCAATTGCTCAAGTTGTGCAACTGTGGTTTGAGGTAGAGTATGGGTCCTGGTATCATGAGCGAGATCTGAGTTCTAGATACGCAGACGCTCTCGATTGCAAATGTATAAAAACATCGCCAATATAATATCAGTCTGCGTGTAATTCTCTCTAAGACTCTTCCTATGGACTACTCTATAATAAGAAAGACAAACCAGATACAATCTTTCACTTTGAGGTCAACCCATTAACTAGGTGCTCTAGGAATGGTTGGGCGAGCAACGGATTGTGCTAGGCAGAAGCACCACAAGGAAGTTCTCGCATGGCGGTTGCACCCGACCCAGGATAAATACTGTGCGATGGGACATATATCGTAGATCTGCCGGACTTTAAATTACAGACTAAGGCACTGATAATATGGAGTTTCACTATGAGAAATCGAGCGGGTCCAGAGGGATTCGCTCCTTCAGGCAACGTTTGAATATGATACTGTTCAATGACGGCAGAATTTGCAACTTCCCTCTTTCTCTACACTACCACTCACAAATGCATGCTGTGAAACGGTTTGAGACCAAGATCAAAGTTCATACATTGATAACCTCTCTGTCACCAGTCGTCCACAGGAGCTTAACTTCCCACTTCTTAATCTTCCATAAGCCGTCGGTAACATCCCTCACAAGATCGATAAAGTACAAGCCTCCCGAAGTGTATGAAGTATCTTCTTGCTTGAACGCATCATCGGGCCGAATATGATATGCCTGTGCGTGTGCGCTTAGGGATGCCGTGTCCGTGCCATCTTTCAGATCGACGCGGACACTGGTGATGAAATGTGTGGTGACCAGACGAAGGATTCTCGAGAGGGACTCGCTCATTGCGTTCCAGCCTTGGATGGTGTTCGGACCGATGACAAAACTCGAACTTTCGTCCTTGACGATTGCGGACTCGAACAGGTCCCGGTCATTGTTGTCGAGTCCAAGGATGCACCGCTGGAGAGCATCTGCCACTGCTTCACGTGGACTGAGGCCTGCAAGTGTGTATGATGGCGCCATTGCTTCAGGCAGTGAAGAGAGATATCGAAGAGTCCTTACAGTAGCTAAAGCTCGGTTGCAGACAGATGTGATGCTAAGCCATTGTACCTTTTATCAGTCATCCTTTAATACCGCACTCACTCTCCTTCGACACAAATTGTATACGGTTAGCATTGCAATCACATACGGACTTAACGGAATCAGATCATGATTGAGTACGTGTTCACTTTACAATATGATACCATAAATCTTAAAAGTGGTCTGTACGAGAACACTTTAAGGTGTGAGTCCCGAAGCGGAGTCGTGCAGCTAATTATGTGCTTAACTCCGTTCTAATCCGAACCTCCTGCATGTCGACCTTTCCGTCTCTCGTTCCTGAAACTTAATCCTGGGACCCTTACCCACACTCGTTCCTCGAGGCTATTCGAAGAGTTAGCAACTCGTAGGACCGCTTACGAATCACTGCGCCCTGCTACTAAGAAAGATAGTTTCTGGCAAGTGGTAGTCAACAGGCTCTACCACTTTTTATGTTGAGCTTTCTCCTCATCTAGTACTGGAGGAACTGGAAGATCTATTCGACTCCATGACAACTCAGTGCCCCGCTGAGCACTATCTCTATCTCCCAAGGTATCATTTGACGGAGCCTTATGTGCCATCATTGTGTGATCCCGTTCACATCGTCTCTTAATCGGAACCCACAGGGGGAATTATGGGTAAGACCACATAGTTTTCATATTGCGGCCCAAAATTGATGTGGTTGATGCCGGAAAATCGTTCAGAGGTCCTATCCTCCTCATCAGTGAAGGTTTCTCGCAACGGAAATCTTTTTGACTCACCGGTCTTTCTCACCATTATGCAGAAAGATGCCACTACCCTGGGTATCACCGGAAGAAACCTCAAACACCAAGCGGCTTCCCTTCTCCAAGACGACGTTAGTGGGCCACATCTCGACATCCACCGGATACACCTCCCCCGGTAGAACAGGGAGGACGTCACTGCTGAAGTAGTCTCGGTGGGGAAGGTAGTCATGGTGGTGTGGATGTGAAGTGTTTATTTTGCGGAGACTGGTTCGCAACCATCCCTTGCACACAGGGACAGGGTCACCCGCCGTTCCAGTGTAGAAAACTTCACCCTTTTCTGTCAGATGCCTCAGTGTCAAGAACAGATCGATGTCTTTGGGTAATGTTCCCCCAATGAACGCATTCATTGAGACGTTAATCCGTGCAACGACATGCCCTGTGATTTCTACTGTTCCTTCGACTGGTGGCGTTGAGAACTGGATGACTTCTGGACTTTTAAGTGTACCAAGTGCTTTGTACGACAATTTAGTTGGCTGTGCAACCGCAGGTTTATCCGTCATCAAAGATTTATCAGGTGTGAGGTAATATGGTGTGTATTTGGTCCTGTCAATCGGCCACTCCGTCTCAGTTCGTCTGGAGTACGCTCGTTCTGCTTCAGCATTGTTGAAACCCACGTCCCCTTTGCGAAGTACAATATCCACAGCCGGCAATTTCCCCGTGGACCATCCTTTCTGGTCGTCTCCCTTAAGGAACGCATCTAGAAAACTTTTTTGTAACTCGACTTCCTCAGAATAGTAGAATGGTAAATCGTGTCGCCCAGTTATAAATCGGAGATACTTAAGTGGAGATCCGGCTTTCATATACCCAACGACATTGCCGCGCAGATGGAGCAAGATTCCTCCCCAGTTAGCCACAGATAAGAGTGGCACCTTGATATCCTCTAGGCTGTACTCCTTAGATGCGTAATATTCACAGTCCCTGAAGAAATTCGCGGCATTGTCGATATTCTGATCATTTCTATTGGCGAGCAATTCCTGTTCATCGAGGTCGCCTTCGATCGTGTCCTCGCCCCATTTTCGGTTTTTTCGTCCAGGTCTCCCATATTGATTGGTAACCACTTGCCGATTCCACCAAAATTCGATGAACGAGTTGGAGAGTATTCCACCGTGCCGGCATCGGTCTCTGTAGTAGTCTGACATGCCCTCCCAGGGGATAATGGCGCTCAAACCTTTAGGTTGCAAAGCCGCAACTCTCCATTGACTTCCAGCATAGTATGATATACCAAGCAGGCCGACTTTGCCAGACGACCAGGGTTGCTCGGCGGCCCACTCAATAGCATCGAAGAATGCCTCACTTGTTGATTTTGACATGGTGTCAAGGAGACCAGGAGATTGTCCAAGCCCCCGTTCGTCAACACGCAGGCATGCATACCCTTTGGATGTCCAGTAGCCTGGATCAGGCACTTCCCACGCAGAATGGTCTGATTTCTGCTCAGGGTTGACTTCAGAGAACGAAGTCTCATGGAAATCGCCATAGTAGATGTCTTTCCCGTAGGGTCCATATGTTACCAGCACGGGAACCGGTTTCTGGGTTGAGTCCCTGGGCCGATACACGTTCGCTCTTACCAAACCAGAACTGCTTTTCAATGGTATCGTTACGTTCTTTTCAAATATATATGGGAAGCTGTTGTCATCGACAGTACGGAGGTCTCTGATTTGGTTTGGCATCGTTGCTAGGTTCTTGTGCTCAAAGCTTTTCTTTCTATTATTGAGGGTGTCCGTACATATGATGCATCTCTGAATGAAACCAGTAAGTTATCAACAGTTCTGGGTATTGGCTGCTAAGCCCAGTTCGGATCCGACTATTGGTACATGATGTACGAAGTCGGCTGTATCCCAGAATTGTGGTCCCGATGGCTCGGGAGTTGCCCCCCGGGCTCGCATGAGCTCTCGCACAAACATGAGGTCAAGACATAATAAACTGATAATACGAAAACTTATCTTCATTTTTGCGAAGAGGATCAATCAAAATTAATCTACAAAGTTCACAGTTCCTTTTGGCTATTGAAGAATCGCGCAAAGGGGTTGAGGCTTTGAGCTCTGGCCACGATGGACAAGAATGGGCTTCCCGTAATCCACCGGTTTGTGACGGACCATAATAAGAAGGGCGAGGCGATTTTTAACAAAGACATTGAAGAAGTTCTGCCTTGGAATGACCGGCACGATACCGTCAGATTTGGACTGGGATATACAACCACCCAAACCCCTGTTGACTTAGGAGACGGAGTGGATATCAAGAATTACAAAGCCCACCAACAAAGTCCTCCAGGTATCATGATTCCTGGAGGCTCTGTCCTGAGATACGTGGACGTCCCTCCGGGCCATGTATCAGAGATGCACCGGACTGTAAGCCTCGACTTTGGTGTGGTGCTTGAAGGGGTTGTCGATCTTGTCCTTGATTCGGGCGAGGTCAGGAGAATGAATAGAGGCGATTGCGCTATCCAGAGAGGCACCAACCATGAGTGGAGGAATGCAAGCAACGACCAATGGGCGAGAATGATGTATGTACTGCAGGAGGCAAAACCTATCTTAACCGGCGGGTGTCAACTAAGGGAGGATTATGGAGGGATGCAAGACGTAAAGCCATCCGGGACTTAATCACTGTTCAGTTCGAGACTTCAACATACTATTGCCTCTAGAAATATGATTGCCGAAACATAGGCATAGGCCCAGTCCATAGGAATCACCGGTTGCATTGAATTCAATGTGGTTCAATGACCTGGGCTACTCCAAAACTCTCAAGATTTTTGATTCAGTCACCACTCGCCTCCAACCTTATATCGGAATATTTTATCATTAATCTTCCCTCCCGTAGCTCGCCATACATGGTCGATAGACTTCGGAGATGTAAGCAAACAATTTACTGAATTTCTAAGTCCCAAGATCTCACCGACACTATTCCGACCCCGTGCAACATCAAGTGAACAAAAGTCGCCTCGATATGATTCGCCCCGTCCGGTCTCTCGGGGCCCAAAAGACTCCTATCAATAGGTCTATAGGGGGGGACTCGACGATGCTCCGTATCCCAATTTTCAGGTGTTTCGGCATTTGGGGACGTTTGTTGGTTGGGAGGACTTGGCGTTCCTGATCTCTCTGGGGCACCGCTGTGGTGAAGATCGTAATCAGTGAGTGCTTGCAGCACTGTCGCTGATGCAGGATTCGTGGTTGTGGTTACAGACATTGCAGATGAAAATTATAGTTTTAATTTCGACGATAAGGAAGGCTGGTTGTAAGAACATTTGTGATGACATTAAAGCAAGGCTGAGCACACCACACTCGGCCCCACATGCATCGGCGGTTTAGCCTCAACATATCCGGAAGGCTTGCTCCCCTCTCGGGAACAACATTGACGTCCGGATTGAATGGAGATTGGGTAGCTCTACCACATTTTGCAATTGCCAATGGCCAGGTTCGAAGCCGCAACTTTGATCGTACATACTGTACCAACAATCGTGGCTTTGCCGGCTTGTAAGGCCAAACTTGCAAGTGGTTATACCCTTGGCGTTGTTACGTTTTATACTTGATGATAGGCTAGACCGGAAACTACTTGCCCTTTTGTTGAGATTCGAAACCTCCTTGCGTAAAATCAAGTTTGCAAGCATGGCGGGCTCACTCGATCGCGTACTTGCAGCAGCAGTGGAGGGTCAAGCACGAAGCCAGCGTTTCATTCAACGACAACTCAACACACTGCACGAGATCTTCGTGAAAGACGGCCCTGATATTCGGACCGCCATGAAGACAGATAGCAGCCAAACGAACTCGGAGATCGAAATCCAGTACACGCTTGCTCTTGAGAGCATCGTGAATTCCTTTTCTGAAAGCGACTTCGACCAAGCATTAGCGGCTGAATATAGGCTCGCAAAGTCCGAAAACACACCTGATAATAGGTGCGCCTATGGAATTGTCTATATTGAGCCAGCAAGCTATAATCTTGTCTACTCTTGTGTCACGGCAGTGACAACTGCCATTGCTGCTGGAAACTGTGTTGTTCTGAAGGTATGTAACCTGAAAATTGTCCATCGCTCCTGCTCAAATGACTTCAGTTACCGAAAACGCTCTCGACAACATCTGAAGTCCTAAGGAAGACGTTGTCAAATGGCCTTGATCGTGATACTTTTGCCATCGTTGAACAGACCGTCGATCAAGCAAAGCTATCCCGGAAGGCCATCCGTCTGCATGCATCGGCAGACATTAGCATCTCTCCTTCGCAAGAAGTCCTCACTGTTCCGAACACAAGATCCGTCGCGATTGTAGATCGCTACGCAGATATGCAGACGTCTGCTAAGGCCATTATTCGGGCTCGATTTACTTTTGAAGGAAAATCGCCCTTAGCGCCCCATCTTGTTCTTGTCAATGAATTTCGCATCAAGGAGTTTTGCAGTGCAGTTGCCGAGAATACCGGCAAGTATTTTACATCCCAAATCGAAGGAAATGGAACGCTCGATGGCTCCTTGGCAGCGAAGTCCCGCGCAATTCGAGCATCTGCCAACGAGTTGGATAAGGCCGGCGCAGAAACCATTCTGTCTGGGTCACGAGGTGTCGTTGTGCGCGTTAATGACAGGTCCTCGTCTCTGCTAAAAAAGCATGTCAATGAGCCACTCCTTATTATCCACCCAGTCACCAGTCTCGACGATGCGATGGATTTGGCCAATGAGACCTCTAATGACGAGCCACTTTCTGCTCTGCACATATTTGGTACCCCAGAAGTGGCTAAATATGTTTCTCAATTCGTTCACTGCCATCTGACCTGCGTGAATGAGATTCCTGTGGAGCTCATCGTTGCCCCACTGACACCTATTGGATTTGCAACGCAACTGGGGAAGCCTTATAGGAAAGAAATGTTCTCGTTGGCGAAACCGCAATACATCCATTTTGGAAAGCGAGAAGAACAGCTGACGGTGATAATTGAGAGCAATAATGAAGTTGAGGCGTCCAAGCTGCGAAAGCAAGCCCAGGCAATCAGGGTCCAGATGAACCAGCCTGCTGGTCATGCCATTGGACATTTCGAACAGGGTCTGCTTGTGGGAGCATCCATCGCCCTTGTGACGATCGTGAGTACAGTGACTATTCTGGTAAGACAAGGGATTCCGTTGGCAAAAAGGTGGAGGTTCAGATAAGGCAAGCGAATATGATTGCCGCCGCGTTACTCTTTAACTCATGCGGGTCTAGATTCTAAGGAATAGATTTAATCATCATCTATGAAAGTAAATGAGTGTGATGTCTAATCAGAATCGTTATCTGTACATTAAACAATGTATTAAAGATACAGGAAGGTCACGCATTTAAACCACGCTCTGGATATAAATACTGTTAAATTCATATGTTCAAGCTTTAGATCTCAGGTAGGTACCAATTGTGAACTGTGAATTACACATATTGGTCAATTCCCAAGTCTCAGCGCACAGCTTCCCATAAACGCCTTCATCCTCTGGGTCACCAGCTGCCCCAGCTGCAAACAACCCGGCCATATAATGATCGTCAGTTGCATGTGCCTCTCGATATTGTGGATGCTTCATTAATCTCGTCAAACCTCTCCGGAGCTTTGGTCCTGATGACTGACAGATGATATCTTCGACTGACTGGCGAAATTCTAGCGCCCACGCCTCGGGCGGCGTTTCCTGAGCAAAGTTGTTGCGATATTGGAGCATGGGTGCCCACACGTTGCGGTAAAGATTGTGAACTGCTCCGCCAGAGCCGATAACCAAATAGCCTTCTTTGCGTAACGGGCGCAGTGTAGCACCGACTCTAACATGAAAGTGAGGGTCGTATCGAGCATTCATAGAGATTAGAACGGTAGGAGGACAGCCGTTGGGAAACATTCGGATGAGAACCAGGTATGTATCGTGGATCCAGTCGAATTTGGTGTCTTCTTCAGCGTCAAATCCCGCATCCAGTAACATGTCCAGGCATCGCTTTGCCGTCAGTATATCGGGGTTCAATTCATAGTCCGCATATTTGGAAGGATGTACATATGCAACCGGTGACTTGTTGGGCTTGGGATTTGTGGCAACCATTATTTTGTCGTTCACCCCGGCCCAGTGGGCACCCATCATGACGACGCCTTTGATGCCATTTGCGAGGGCCTCGTCTCCTGCTTTCTTCCAGTACGTTGCTGACTCGCTCTCCTCCCCCAGCATCATAGTTGAACCATGGGAGAACCAATGGACAGGCGTAAGGGCTGGAGTACCGCCATGCTTGGTGGTCATTTTGTAGCCTTTTCGAGCTTGAAATAATACGAGGAGTTGTGTCTTGAACACGTCAACCTGAGTTTAGGTCTGCGAGTGAGACGAGCGTCTCGTTAGTTTATGATAGGCTATAATGGGGCCTTCAGTCGTTGCCAATGTCAAAATGAAGTAGTTCAAGTCCCTCGTGGTGCAATGCTGAAAGCGTCGCAGCTCCCCGTGCAGTTAGTTCAATAGAGTCTATGTGCCGAACCCCATGGTAAAAATCCCGAACAGATCCCTGTCCCGAAGGACACGCCAGCTGCGAAATCGGACGAAGAAGGCAGGGGTTATCTCACAGCCATCCTTTCAGGGACGAGACCTAGAGTGTGGAGCCGAATGTGGGGGAGAGCCGAGCAAGGGATTGTGGGGGAAACTTTATCATTACCCCATTTCCGAATGGCGGTGGATTTCGACTTATCCCCCCTCCTTAGAACCGACCTCCTCTCAACTTCCCTCGGGAGCAACATATCGATCCCTTTGATGGGCGTGCATTTTGTGCACAGTATCACGCTATGAGAGACCAGCCGTTACCAGACGCTTCGCATTCGGAGCCCCATTCTCCATCTGGACCGCCAACCTGTGCCATATGTGGAAGATCGTACTCAAGGATTGACCATCTGGAGCGCCACCTTCGTTCCCGTAGGTATTCATTCTCTCTAAACTAAAACGACACCTGCCTCCGAATGCATTGTCACCTGTGGACCTTGTCCGATAGGGTGGCCTGCATTTGAGTTGGTGTCTTCCGCCTGCATCACCAAACCCTGAGGCATCAGAAATGCCTTTGCCTCCACCACCCAATATGCTTTCTTTTGTACGCTTTGATCCATGCGCTGATTCACTATAGACTCCCATTCAAAGCCTTTCGCCTGTCCTACCTGCAACAAGGCCTTTGCCCGTGTGTAGGTGTCTGCTACTGTGATGTCATATGTGGCACAATCAGTGCTAAACTTCCTACTAGTGATGCTCTCAAACGCCACCAAACCAGTCATGATCCAAAGGTCGCCAAGAGACAGAAGGCCAGTTATCTACCTCGTCATCGTACAGGGCAGGCATGTCGCACGTGTGCTGCTGCTAAGCTCAGATGCGAAGATGAGAAGCCTTGTGCACGTTGCAGACAGAGAAACATCGATTGTGTCTACAATCGCAACGAACCTACTCTCCCAGAGACTGATCATGAACGGGTATCTATATCTACACCAAGTATGTTGTGGAGCCAAACCTGTCACAGTCTACTAACAGTGTGAAGGCCAATCGACGGCAAGGGGCTCGGCCGGACCACGAATGATGAGTACAGTTACTGGCCACAATCAATCAGGGGGCTTCTATGGGATAGGGCAGACTTCTGAACTCTCACCAATGCTTTCCTTCGAGGGCCAGACTACCGATCCAGCTTGCTCAGTGACAGACCCATACCTGAGAACTAGCAACATGGGTCAACCTGCTGACTTGCTTCGTTCGGACGGTATCTCTGAGGAAGCACTACGGCCATTTTCTCCAGATCCAATGATCGCCGATATGTTCGCTGAGTCCTCTCTAGCAGACTTCCTGAGCGATATCATGCTACCATTAGCACCAATCCCCAGTCAAGATCAGGGAGCTGGCGATACGGCAAATCAAACACGTCTGCAGCGAGACTATTTGGATTTTGGTACATCCTGGGCTGATATGACTGACTTCGAAGCGATGCTGGAGGGGAACTATACAGGACCTCTTCAGAGTATCAACAACGTCTCATTCAATCTACCAGCTCCACCATCCGGGACGAAGACTCCCGTATTAGGCGAAAGCTTCGGGGCGAGGAATGCTGCATTTTTGCGATCTATATGGCGATGGGTACCTACGAAAAAGGATCGTGGTGGCGCAGATCAACTCGACTTGTCTCTGCCATCTATCAATTTCGATAGTCCAGAGACGAGAAATCTTGCAGAAACGTTGCTTCCGGGCCAGCACATTGAACAGTCCCTCCGCGACAGACTTTTAGCTCTCATCCTTGGCACTTGTGATCAAGCGGTACACCAGCTTGTAGTTACGGCTTTCCCGAGCGCAGACTTGCTGGATCGACTCATGCATTTTAGCCTGGGTGTCCAGTTCATGGCAATTGATTCCTGGATACACGTGCCGTCACTTATTATTGACGCGAACCTGGAGCTCCTCATGATTATCATTGCCGCTGGTGCTGTTCTTAGCTCCGTGATGCCAATTAGACGTTTGGGATATGCACTTCAGGAGTCTTCGAGAACGGCGTTTGCAACAAAGGTCTGAATCCACTTGAATTGAGCGAGGCTGGATTGTGCTTACTAACCTCAGATAGCTCGAAAGCAACAACCAATATACCCGCGATCTTTCAATGATACAAGGACTTGTTCTTGGCATACACATTGGGTTTTGGAGTGGTGACAAGAGGAAAATGGAAATCGCGGAGAGCTTTGCCCTACCCCCGATCACGATGCTGCGACGCGCTGGTCGCTTTTCTCGAATGAAGGCGAATTTTACACCACCAACATTTGACGATACAGATGAAGCGCTAGAATTCAAATGGCGGGAATGGGTCCAGCGAGAGTCGTACAAACGGTAGGTGCTCCCAATTTGGCTTCGCTGAAGTCGTATATCTAAGTGATTATAATAGCCTTGCTGCTCACCTCTTGATCCGAGACGCACAGACTTCCATGGCTCAGCAAGTGCCGCCGCTTCTCTGTGCCTCTGAGATGACGCTCGAATTGCCTACATCTCGAAAACTATGGACAGCAAGAAACGCAAGTCAATGGAGATATGAATATGTTCAACTTGAGGACTCCTTACAGGATAAAAGTATTTCCATTGCACAAGGTGTCTCCCAAGTCAGTGAGGTACGAAACAACCGCGGCTTGGACATCACCCTGTCGGCCATGGTTATCGTGCACAGTGTTTGGGGAGCAGTTTGGAACCACTTGCAATTGAATTCGCTCATTCGAGGCCCAAGCTCGAGCGAAGGTCTTTTGGCACCCAACCCGTGGGACAACAGTATATCTCAACTTCTAGAACAACTACGCTTCATCTTCTCAGATTGGGGCGCTCAATTCCGACCACAGATGGCACTGGTGTTGGAGCGTGTAGTGTTGAGCCTACATGTCTCATTTGAACAAGTCCAGCTATTTGCCGGTAAAGAAGGTGAAGAGGAGGCACGTCGAGTACTACCAGGCTTGCGACAGTGGGTCTTCACGAAAGATGCTCGCAAAGCAGTCTGGTATGCTGGTCAAGTTCTAGGAGCTGCTGGCAGATGCTCATCCAAGGCGATGCAGGATTTCAATGCTGTATGTGTATATCACGCGGGCATGACCTTTTGGACATATGCCGTGCTTTTGGACTCATCCTCCAATCGCCAAAGGCCTCACACCGACCTCCAACCGGCTTTGGGATCGAATTCAGCATTCGAAGACAGTGAAATAGTGTGGTTAGATGGCCCCGATGGACCCGGTGTACAGAGGTTTATTGCCTTGAACCGTGGAAAACCTGTCATTGAACGATTCAGCCATCAAAACTACGCCGAATCGAGCGAAGCAGTCCCTCTTTCTAATGCAAAAGCGGTTATGGACGTGTGCATTGAATTGCTGCAACGTAGTACGGGTGTCGGAGGAGATGGAACTTCCATGCCCCTGGTTGACAACTTGAGCCAGCTCATGCGCGATCTGGGTAAGGCAGCGCATGAGCTGATGCAGGGAAATGGCCGGCGTCCCAAAAGGCCAGCATCTAAGTAGTTTCTCCCAGGTACCATGGACAAGCATTAGTGTATCATAGCCTCGTGGTTTCTTGAAACTCGCTCCGCTTTCCTCACCTGGTCCACATGTTCTTCTAATAAAGCATAGCTTCGCTGCAGGTGCTTTTAACAACTACTTTCCAGCTGGAGGCTGCCGGAGCCAGTCGACAGAGGCATACATATCGGAACGATCCGTATTGACAGATCAAGAAAAGAGAATACGAAGCGTCAACGGTTTGCCATGGTTCAGACTCCGAGTGTAGAGGAGGGGATTCCCCCACACTTCCCGTAGGCAGCACAGAGTCCCGAGAGTGGGACGACCGAGCATATTCAGGTCACATGTACTCAAAATCATAATAGCCTTCTGACAACGACGAGGTTGAGGTTATCACTCGAACATTCATGTGCTTTTCTTGGTCAAGTCAGACCTCCAGCCTGTAAACACCAACAACTTACAAGATTTTTTAACATGGCGGGTGGCAGCCTCGAGCACAACGCTGATCCCAACGGGACTACCAACGGCACCGGAGGACCGATCAACAATGACTGTTCTGAGGCGAAACCACTGAACATAGTGATAAGCGGAGCAGGTATCGGTGGCCTCTTCGCTGCGATCTCTCTACGACGAGCAGGACACCGGGTGACGATCCTTGAGCGATCGAGTTTCAACCAGGAGCTAGGCGCTGCGGTGCATCTTGCGCCCAACTCGAACGGCCTGCTTCGCCGTAACGGCATCTACGCTGAATCCTTCGGGGCGAACCTGAGCCTCAAGTTCAATGAGTGGAAGCACACTGGCGAGCACGTCAGGGCCCTGCCCCATGCGGCACACCTCTTCCAGCATCCCTGGCTGCTAGCTCATCGCGTGCGGCTGCATGATGCCTTGAAGAAGCTTGCTGTTGCTGAGGATGGGGACGGTATTCCTGTGAGACTGGTGCTCGCGACGAAAGTTGAAAAGTTCGATGCTGCGAGCGCCACGGTCGTGACAGTGGGCGGGGAGACTTTCAGCGCGGATCTGGTCGTGGGCGCGGATGGTGTACATTCCATCGCGCGGCGGTATATTCCCGGTGGGGGAAATGTGGAAGTATTCGATTCTGGAAAGTCGGCGTTCAGATTCATTATCCCGGCAAAGGGGGTGCGGGAACATCCGCTTGCGAATCAATGTGTCAGAGGGCCAGGAGAGCTCAGCGTGTGGTACAGCAACGACAGGCGGGTAGTCATGTACCCGACGAACGACAACGAGGAGTTGAACTTCGTGTGCATCCATCCATCTAAGGAAACGGACGCCAGCGGAGACTGGAACAATGAAACGTCCGTTGAGAGTATGTTGAAGGTGTTTGACAGTTTCGATGACAGTATCAAGTCGCTGTTGCGCATGGCCGAGCCGTCGACGCTAAAGGTGTGGAATCTGTTAGATATGGAGAAACTGCCGAGTTTCGTGGAGGGCAGACTGGCGTTGATCGGCGACGCGGCACATCCGTTCACGCCACATCAAGGACAGGGTGCGGGCATGGCGATCGAGGACGGAGCCAGTCTTGCGGTGATGCTACCGTTCGGGACCCGACGAGATGAAGTCCCCGAGCGGTTGCAGCTCTACAACCAGGCTCGGTACGACCGAGCGCACATGATCCAGCACTTCAGCCGGATTGTGGGCCAGGATGACGACGAGCGGACCGAGAGGGTCGACATGGCGAAATTCACGTTCGTCAACTTCGGGCACGATGAGGTCGACCACTCTTCTCAGCTGCTCCGAATGCATCTGTGGAGCAAAACTCCACAAGTGTACTGGCGGCAACCTACTGCATTTGGCCCAATGCCTGGTCCACGACAAGATTCGAGGGGAGCAGTACGGAAAGCCGATCACTCCACGTTTGTCACGGCAAGCATCAAGTTCAAGACGAGTCGGACGCTGGTTCAGAACTTATTCCCGCACGGGAAGGAGAGGAGGAGCGCATGGGGCTTTACCATCCCTGGGAGCGTGGCGTACGCGAGTTTCAGCCAGACAACGCTGAACAAGATGGATTGGTTGGGCGGCGGGGGGTATAACCATATGGGTCTTTACATCCATGGCGTGCAGTATACAAAAAAAGACGGGACGGTGTTGAAAGGAGCGTACATGCCGATCCTGTTCGAGAACCTGGCCGACCCCATCGTCAGTGGGAGGGAAGAACTGGGTATGCCGAAGCTTTACTCGTCGGTCGATGTCCACCGACGGCAGGACTCGTCGTACTTCATCAACACCAGCTGGCAGGGCGCAAACTGGGGTCGTTTTCGACTCACAGGATTGCAACCCCAAGGAACAGGCCAGGCTGCCACGTCAGGAGGCCACGTCGGCGGCGGCGGAGACGAAGGCATTCTAGTACACAGATACATGCCGACCGTCGGGGGATCTCACAAAGGGATACCAGCCGAGGAGTACGCAGCGTACGTGTCCTTCAAAGACGAGAAGCCTGAACCTCGTGTCGAGAGGACGTGGATGGCTTCTGCTGCGAGCTTCGACATTGACCCTATGGACTGGGCTGCTCTACCGACCCTGCAACATATCATTGCTAGGCTTGCAGAGATTCCGGTCTACGAGATCGTCGAGGCAAAGGTTGTCGAGGGCACTGGAGTGCCGGATGTTGCTTCGGCGGTTAGGATCGAATAGATCAGTTAGACTTAGTAGGGGAAGATAGCGTTATAAGTGAATGACGAGTGGTTGGATTAACTGTTTACCTAGTGCAGTGCCGTCGGATCTGTTCTAGAGACGTTGGACTGCATAGGAGAGCCCAGACGTGGAGTTGATATTGGTGGGTATCAAGTAATTGCTGGGACCATCAGCAAACCTCCAATGCAGGATAGAAACTAGTTAGCGATTCGTGTAAAAATCAAGACAATAAAGCGAAATTGCCGCTTTGCTATATGTCAAGGTCTAGCGATTGATATTGACTTCGAGGATGGTCAATCATTCGTATAACACCTCATATTATGTCAATTATTTCCCGCTAACACGACTCGCCTGCCAGAGCTTGTATGGCTCAGGGAAGACCCAACTAACAAGTGGAGGGGTGAAATAATATGGTATCGATGATGAGTTTGGAGGAAATCCTGGCACTATGTCCCTTCTTGTCCAAAGTCAACATTTCAAATTTTGTCCTTCCTTTATTTCGACTGTGAACTAACTAAATAGTCCTAAAGATTATTCTCAGGACTCAATCTCAGTTGCCCTCGCTTTTGGATCCTGAGAAGCCTTGTCATGTAAACCCTCAAGCCTTGCCTGCTTCTCGGCGACTTCCACCTCGGCAGGGGCATCGATATGCGCATTGAACTCGCTTTTCGGGTCACGAATGAGTAGACTCACTATTGAGAAAAGGGGGTTAGCCAAAAGTTCATGTCTATGAGATTGATCAAGAATGAGAACAGGATTGGTGTGGATGCATACCGATGATAGCCACTGCGGAGAAGCATGATGCTGCGATCCAACAATTACGGAATCCCACACTGTATGCTTGTACCAAGGCTTGGGAGGCTGCACCGGTGATCTCTGGTGTTATGCCAGGGACGTGTGCCAGAATCTGCTCATCATGAGCTGTGATCCCTCCAATCAGCATGCCAAGTGAAGTAGGAGGTAAACCTAAAGGAAGAGCGGCAGCTGCAATTTTGCGAGGGATCTCTGTGGATAGAGCGCTATTGAAGATTGCTGTATTGATCGCCAGGCCCACTGTACCTCCTAAAGACCGGACCGCAATGATTAGGGCGGATGCAGTGGAGATCAAGGCAGGAGGTGTGCACAGTTGAGCAACGACCATGATAAGCGGCAGTACAATGCCAAGGCCCACTCCGAAAATGATTCCAAAAGCCCAAAAAGCCCTGCCAGGATTGGAACTGGTGGTGGTCGCTAAACATATGTTGAAGATGAGAATGCACATGAAGCCCACAGCAATCGGCATCCGGAGTGACTTTCTCTTGGACGAGTAAAGGCTGGATAAGAACGAAAATAACCACCCACTAACAAAAGCCATCCCAAAATGTAAACCCGCGATGAGAAGATCCTCCTGGGTGAAGATGCTAATTTCGAAGGCGAAGAAGTTGTTTGCCGTAAAGAAAACGAGGCCCTCTACGAAGATAGTTAATAGTGCCCACAGAAAATTTTTGTCGTGGAAGAAGTCGTGGTGGAGAACCCCATCTTTCTTGAACCGCCATTCGTAAACCGCAAAGCCGAGGAGGAAGACCACCCCGACCACAAAAGTGGCAATGATGCGAGCATTGGACCAGGGGTATGGATTGCGAGACCATGAGAGTGCCACAGAGAACAAGACTATGCCAGGTGTGAACAGGGCGTACCCAATCCAGTCAAGGCTATACAGCTTCTCATTTGTGGTCATTGTGATCTGCATCTCTCGTGGCGGAGGGTTGAAGAGAAGCCCAACTCCCAAGGCGGCCATGAAAAAGAGTGTCGCAGCCACATACAGATATATGCGATAGTTCTCAAGGTTGCCACTACGTAGCAGAGCACCTCCCATGCAGATTCCACCGAATCCACCTACACCAGCTATGATATTGACCGAAGCTTGAGCCTGTGGCCGATGCTTTCGTGGTAAGACTTCTGACACAACAGCATGGAGCAGCGGCTGGGCTCCGAAACATATCCCTATCACACAGAAGCCAGCGATGACGGTCCCCATTGACTGTGCGCGAGAGGCTGTCATTGAACCAGCAAAGCCACATAATAGCGCGAAGGTGACAGGCCATTTGCGTCCAAATACATCGCCAATTTGCGAAATGATGGGACTGAGGACAACTGTAAAAATTGCTATGGCCTGGCTGAGCCAGCTGCTGGCATTTACGCCACCAAAAAAGGTCTGGATGGAGTTTGCGAGAAGGCCAGCCCCAACAAGAGCCACCATTTGAGCAAAGTATGCGAAGTTGATGGACTATGAACAGTGTTAGTCGAATTGGAAAAACCTGCGGATTCTGCCAGTAACGTACAAGAAGGACGACATACGTCTTCAGGTGAACATGAACCACATCGGCCTCGTTGACCCGTGAAAGTGTGTGTTCGATCTCCATCCCTCCCATGACAGCCAACTAGAATAGATTGCCCTCTAGTGAAAGTGGAACTGGGTCAAAGTTAAAGGGGGTGGAGGGCGAGGAATTCCAACGAGGGCAACTGTGGTGCTGTGTGCGTTGATGTCTCCGCCTCGTAGATTCTCTTGGTCTCTCAACTTGTACAAAGTTGACAAACAACGGCAAAGTGTGGCACAGCATGCGAAAGAGCAGAATATAGGCTTCTACCAAATCAATTTAGATTTGAGGAAGCATTTCTTTTCTAATTTCTTGGGAATGCCGTGTCTGCCTCAGTTCTGAGGGAGTGGGGACCGGGGAAGTGGGCCCGACTGTGGAGGAGAGCTTCGCACTTCCGCTCCCAGCCCACTACTTCCTCAAACTACCGATTTTGGTGCCTTCACGAGTTCAGCTGTTTTTAGTTTTTTTCCGTTGATGCAGGGTGAACTGCCGAGCAATCTGAAATATGCACGGTGTTCCGAATTTTAGAACTTGGGGTGGACCTGGGAACAGGAAAATCTCCACTGCCGAGCATCAATCGAGAGTCTCTGTTGGATATCTCACAAGAGCCATATACCGTATTACACGTACAAGGATTCTGCTTCGATTCTTTTCATCTCGTTGGGCATTTCAGATGCGCCAGAGTGTCGAGGTTTGAGCCAAGAGGCTCACAAAGCATCAAAAGAGCTCAATTCCAATGTGGCGTTTCTGACTCGGAGTCCTGACCGTGTATCACAAGTATCCGACCAGGGAAGCCAAGGCTCGGGATTCCTGTGGAAACTAATCTGTCGAACACCTGGCCAAAGTCTGTGGAGAGCGGGCGCAAGAAGAACGGGATGGATGGTGCCAGCTCCTTCGAGCTTACAATGCCGCTCTGTTATCGACCACTTTGCCCTAGACGCTGCATGTGAACTGGTTTGAACGTTACTATTTCCCCTGCCCCATGAAGTGTAAATGTGGCCAATGCTGCCGTCGTTGTCCTCGTCATGTTCAAGCATGTCATCCCTTATAGCTTTGTTACATTTATTCCAATTCGCTCACCTGGCCAGGGTTTTGTGCTCTTCGGGTATCGTACTTTTGGGGGGGGCGAACTTCGGTCTCTACCGTATCAAGTTCCCGCCTTTCCCAAACTTGTGTCTCTGTATCTTGGATGACAGGGTGGTACTTTGAGTCCGTCATGGCCAGGCCTTCTGGATATACACCTTTGACAAGTCTTTGCTTTCTTCGCCTGAGAATAAGGAAGGTGGCAAATGCAATCGCAGCGATGGCAAGAACCCCGACAGTAATCCCTATGCCCGCCTTCGCACCGCTTGACAGACCTGTCGAAACTGTGTTTGGATCTGGAGATGGTGCAGGGGATGTATTTGCGGGAGAGGAAGAGTTTGTTGCGGCACCTGGTAAGCTCGCTGTGTTTGATATTGTTCCACCAGAAGTTGTTTGTGCCGGTTCAGTAGCCGTTGTCGTTATGCCGAATATCGAAAGGTCTTCTTGCCTGTATTCGACTGTTATGGGTTGAGCCCACATCGTCAAGTCTGTGCCTGCTACTTCAATCATCGTCGAATTCCCTCGGCCAGATACGGTTGTTGTGCCGTCAAACTCAGATATACAGCCCATAAACAAAACTGAGGTCGTTCCGAAATAATTTACACTGGAGTAGGTGCTTCCATATGAGAAGGACCTAGCGCACAGTTAGACCTCACAGGATAGCAAGTACTTGGGGAATCATACTCAGGACAGCAGATGGCAGTTGTGAGGCCACTGTTCTGGAAGAGGCCTGGGGTTGCGTATCCGAAAGGGCCTGCGAGAGTCAGTCGGTGGATCTAGTTGATTGATGACAAGTACCCACATGCTCCGGGGTTATACACTTGAATTGACGATGGCGCACGCCCATTACCGCTAAAGGAGGGAGGAAAGCACGTTTCGTCAAGAGAGAGGGAATCTTGGTTCTGTAGAAGAAGTCCACCGGGAACACTATTGTAAAATTCGTCTTCATAAGTCCACGAGCGAGAGCAATCGGCTGGTGGAGTAAACAGTGTTGTCATCTCTGTGATGGTCTCGGTGAAGAGGGATGCCATTGTGTTGCTGGGCCGTTATGGTGCTTGCGGTGCAAACGCAGAACAGTATGAAATCAAGAGGTTGAATCAACTAATAGTCGTGTTGGACAAAGTCGAGGATGAAAAGTTCTCATTTTCGTTCAAAGTCAGAGCCGCAGAATCAAGGCCGGCAGACTTTACGCAGCCTCTGACTGCGCATTGAGCACAACGGGCTTTGAACTGTGGCTGAAATGGACTCCGTAGAGTTCAGACGAACAGTGGCCATGGTCATTCAGTTAGGCCATCTTTGAAGCAGGCATTCTGCGATAGCCTTACTAGAAGGTCGCTTGTAGCAACGGTACAACCCTGCTCCGGAGCTTATACCCCTCTCAAAAGGCCAAATTCCCCTCGTAAAAGACAAGGATTTGAGCCATGGTCAAGGGTACGGTTCACCAGTTGTATGACCAGGCGAGCCTAGCCAAGAGTGAAACACATCCTTGGGAATAGCTAAGCTATATTAAGGAACGGCCTATTGATGGAGGTGGAGCCAGAGACCCTAAGGACCCCAACAGAGGGTGACGAAGTCGGACAAGATTTCATGGAGAAGAGAGATCAGGCCGAGTTGGCTGGGGCGTAGGCTGGCCTCACTGTTCCACATTTGTACAAGGGTTGCGATCTCCCAGATTGCTTATCGATTGCCAGTCCGGTTTACAAGTCGGAAGGACCACGGTTGGTGAAGCAGGAGCCAAGTCTGAAACATCCGAGAGGTACTATTGCTAGTAGTCTACGGAGGATACGGAGTAGACCTGTAGTACTCCGTGCTCTGAATTATTTCTCAGGATGGACTGGGTTGTGAACTTGTATGCACCACACTTTGAAACCGTGTCTGTGTGCGTGGAAAGATTTAAACTCGAGAATCACGAATTAAGCATTAAGCATTAAGCATTAACAGGGAAGGAAGGACCGACTGTCAACGGTGGGCGGCACCCAGACGGTCCTGCCAATTCTGCAGCCTCACGGCTGCCTTCCGCACGCGTCTCGCGAACCTGAAACGCGCCCAACGGCGAGGCAGGAGCGACCTTCACATCGCGTATCACTCTCTTACGTCGTCGTCACTCCAGTTTCCAGTCACTGACTTCAAGTCGTCACCAACTACAGACGCCATCGGCAGAAGCCACTATTAAGGATACTCGTACAAGATCTTGACAACTACAGGTCAGTCCCAGACACGCGTCATGATAAGCCCTTAGGACCGTCGCTAGCCCACCACCTCTCATCATTCCGCAATCAGGCCATATCGTTGCTGAGTGTGTTAGAACAAGATGAGCCTCCCACTTACTGCACGGAAAATTATCTTCGTATTTGGCGCCCTACTTGTTCTGCTAGTCATCGTTCACCATGGAGCAAACGCTCGATTTCATGGTCAAAATCCTACGCCCTATCCCCCCCCAGACTTCGGGCTGAAAGACCTGTCAGCTTTGTCTCTTCAAAGAAAATTAGAGTATCATTTCTCGTACGACATCGATGCTGGGTTTCCTAAATATATCTGGCAGACTTGGAAACACGCACGTGATGATGAAAACTTTGACCAAGACCTGAAACGTCTCGTGGACTCATGGGACGGGCTCAATCCAGAGTTCTCCCACACCGTGATCCCTGACGAAGCGGCTTTTTACCTCATAAAGAAGATGTACATTTCTATTCCGGAGATAGTTCAAGCATATCAAGACCTGCCCCTTCCTATCCTCAAGGCCGACTTTTTCCGCTATCTCATGCTCCTCGCGAGAGGTGGGGTTTACACCGATGTGGATACAGAAGCACTGCAAGGCGTGCGCAATTGGGTTCCAGCCGCGTTCAATCAGTCAACCGTTGGCATTGTCATTGGAATCGAGGCTGACCCCGACCGAGATGACTGGGCGCAGTGGTACGCTCGCCGCATTCAATTTTGTCAATGGACCATCATGTCGAAGCCAGGACATCCCATCTTGATAAATGTCGTGGAAAGAATCACGAACATCACAAATCAGATGAAGAAAGATGGGCGTTTGAACAAGGCTGAATCAGACAAGGTGGTGCTGGAGCACACTGGACCAGGCGTGTGGACGGATGCTGTGTTTGCATATTTCAACGATCCTGTTTATTTCGACACCAGCTCCATCAACGTGACAAACTCGGATTTCTTCAACTTACGTGAGCCTAAACGTCTGGGAGATACCGTCATCCTACCCATCACTAGTTTCAGCCCTGCAATTGGTCATATGGGGGCAGAAGGAACCGAACATCCGTTGGCGTTTGTGCGACATGCATTTAGAGGTATGCAATGCACTTGGAAAGATAAAGCAGAACTCACTAGAATAGGATCATGGCGCCCACATGAAAATCAACGAGGTGGCCCTTAAGAGAATCCGTCAGAACTATCTCTACATCGAAACACTACTCCGTCTGCTAGTTTCGGAACTAGTAGTCATGGCATGATGGACACAATACGTCTGTTGCGGCCACTGGAGCCTGACAGCCGATGATTGCAACGGACCAAACGATATGTCACCAGATTAACCAGATGCAGTCACAGCAAAGGTAAGTTGTTACCATTCAATAAACTTCGGATGGACCTCTAACGATCAATAATCTAGTTGGGCGTTGCTGGCGCCATGTCATGTGCCGTGGAGTTGCCTGAATCCTAGCATGCAGGTGCTGCAGTGGACGGATAATAATGAGTCAAGCAACATCCGTCAAGTACTTAACCAGAAAGCTAAGTAGAGAGTAATGTTGATGATAATGCCTTGACTTGACCAGGTCTGATGACATGGGTCTCTCTGCTAAAGTGACACTTGAGCCTTACCATCCAATCCATTATCAAGACCCGCCACGCCAGATCGATCTCCGGCATCGAGATAGCCACAAATCACACCATTCGGATCCCATCTCCGTCGAATATCCATCAGCCTGGCGGCGTGGTCATCGCTCCAGAACTTCGTCGTTCTGATCTGGAGATCCATGTCTCCAAGGTAAGACCCGACCGAGTACTTCTTCATCTCATCCATGATATCCCTCGTCCAGGCCTGACAATTCTCATCGTTGGCCTCATCCTTGCAGATTGTGTACATCGCGATATAGTTATCCGCCTGGAGACTCAGCGCCATGTCCGGAAGAGGCCGTTTACTCCATGGGTAAAATGGATACCAAAATGTGTATGTTTCCTTGGACGGCGACGTGGTCATGGCTTTCTCGAGGACCGAGACGACATCTTCGCCGTCGCGGAGGAAGGCATTCTCACAGTGGTAGCGATGTCCAGCGGGGTTGGCGTGCGCCTGGCCCGCGTACTCCTTCTCCAGGTCGGTCTCCTGGCAGAACCAGTGGAGCACCGGCTCGTCGGGGAACGAGTCTTCGGCTGGTCGGAGTGCCTGCTGGGCCGAGTCTTCGCTGTCTTGGAATGTAATGAACATGACCATGATATGCTGTTCGTCCACGCCAGGAGGGTATGTGGAGATCATGACGATTTCCGTCTCTTTGTCAAATGTCGGCGTGAGCTACAGCTCATATATGTCAGGAAGCTTTGAACGAATTGAGAAGGCCCATGACAATTGCCTCTCGCAAGGTCAACCTTACATACCTTGAGAACCCATTCAAACGCGCAACGATACTTTGCAGTCGGGTACGCATACAGCGACGATCGCATCACCTTTTTCAACGGCCGCGTTTGAAGATGAAATCTTGTGATGACGCCCGGAAAACCAGGGCCACATCCTCGAGCAGCCCAGTAGAGTTCTGTGTTTTCTTGCACATCGGCCCGCAGCATGCGACCATCGGCTGTGACAACATCCAGAGCAACAACTTGTTCGCAAGCCCAGCCCCAATTCTAAGCAGCACATAATGTCAATCAATAATACGGGCCCGATTGGTCAGCTTCCTTCGGGGATCTGAACCACACTCACCCGAGCATTCCATCCCACGCCACCAAGCAGCAAGAACCCACCCACCGCGACGTCAGGACAATGCCCTCCGGCGAACATGCGACCCCTCGGGTGCAAGAAAGTATTCAATTCGGCTGAAGTCGTCGAAGGCGACACCTGCACAACACCCGTCGTTTCGTCCAGGGTCATTTCGTGATAGTCTCCCAGATCCACGAGGATTGCATTGTCCCGGATGCTCGACACCGACCAGCTATGGCCGCCGGAGCGGACGGAGACGCGGGATTTTCGATCGATCGCGAGTTTGACAGCCTCGGCGACGTGCGCCGGCTCGCGGGCTTGGACAACAGCCAGCGGATACCTGCTGGGTCGACGTTGATTGAAAATTCTGCCTACGCGGGCCTCTTCGTATGGGGAAGAGGGATCGTCACCCTTCCAGATAATTGGGAACGTTGGTATTTTCTCCATATCTAGATCATGCCTCTAAAGCTCCACTAACTGGCTGAATAGCAACGTCGAGGACAGGCCTCCAATTGACGAACCGGCTATCTAGTCAAACCTGATGCTGAAAGGGCGACTCACGCACGCGTTGAAATCAAGAATTGCCTTCTCATCATTTCAGATGGATGTCTGGTACTTATTAGGAAGGGCGTTTGAGTTTGGACATGCTCGAGATTGGGGTTTCTGCGGTCATCAATGTCGAGTACAGGATTGGCCCGTCGGGTCAAGCGAAGATCACACGACCTTCGTGACCAGACTTTCGCTTTCCACCGTGAACACGAGGTTGCGATGTACAGCTGAAAGACTTGGCAATAGTTGTGGCGTTGGATCTGTTAGGACGTCGGTCTCAAGTACACCATGCTTGGGCGATCTAGCAGTTCAGTTCTGAACCACAGAGGCTGGGCATGCTATATATTGCATCCAAACAAAAAGCTTAGCGTCGTAGATAGGTACTTCATTCTTTCTTCTACAATTCTATTTGCCCTCGGCTTCACGATCCATCCTATATCGCACTCTCAACCAACGAGGGGCAGACCAGGCCCGTCAGAGGACCAAACCCCGCTCTGCCACCGGCTGCGGTCTTGAACCAGGCTTCAATAGTAAGTCGATCGCCATCCTCCAGCCAACCCATGGGCTGTCCTCCAACGTCAGGAAGGGTCTCACCGAGGCCGAAGACTTCAACCAAGCAGCCACCGGTTGATGGTGTTGCAGATTCGTGAGAGATCTTTCTTTCCGAAAGCTTTACTCGATGTGTTAGTTTTTCCAAAGCAAGACTACGTGCCCAGGCCAAGGCTAAGGAGGGCAATGCATGCATACCGGGCTTGAGTGAGTACCGGTGCCCAGAAGGTCACCGGTGGAAACGCCAACGCCAGACAGTGAATGATAAGCAAGCATTTGATATGGCGACCAGTAGGCATGCTTAGCGTTGCTCTCACAGATCGTAACCGCTGCAGCTCCGCCTCCTATCATGCTCACCGTCAGATCCTTATTCCCACAACGAACGCAGCGCAGCGCCATTCGAGACTTCTACTTACGAGAGACCTTTGCTGAGAGCTCTAGATCAAACACGCCATGGTCCTGATCGTCACAGACGAGAAGCGACTCGATCTTCGTCTGGTTAGACTTGGGAGGCCCTGCGGAGCTTCCTCTCAGGGCATCGAGCGTGATTATCCACGGCGAAATGCTAGTCTGGAAAGACTTGGAATGAAAGACGCCAAGGGGCGCCATTTCATGCTTCTGGATGTCCCGGGCGGACCAATCGTTCAGCAGCACGAATCCAAAGATATGCTCTGCAGCGTCCTTTGCAGTCACAATTGTCCCCTGCGGGATCGGTGCAGAGATGAAGAACGCCAACTCGAGTTCGAAGTCTAGCTTCCGGGTGGGATGCAACCGCGCCCGCTCTCCTTCGTGACCAGGATATATACCGCGAGGACGCACGACATCCGTTGGTGACACGGCCAGTCCCCCCGTCCGCCCGTAGTACGCCATAGGAAAGTCGTACCATGCAGGCACCAGCGGTATCCCCAGTGGTGCGAGAGCCTACAGCACATTCCTCGTTCGTCAACTGGCTTTCTTTCTTCGCGGTATCTGACGGGGTGAAGGGGAGCTGTCAACATACGTTTTCCGCATGTATCAGCGAGCAAAATGAATCGCTGTAGTGCTCGGTCTTCATAGGGAAATGCATCTGCACCTGATTCCGAGGCACAAAGGCACGGCTATTGAGGTCTGCATCTCTGAATAGCGGAGACTCTTCATCCCTCAACGCATCGATGATCCCCGTCCTCACAAGACTGCGATCCCTTGCAGGGCGAGCCGCAAACTCGTTCAAGTTCGACTATTCGGTGATCCAACGGTTAGCTAATAACGAAAAATGCTTTGATTCCCTATGTCTCGCCGGAAGCCACATGCATACCTGAGAGAAGATATTGTCGATCAGCCTAGTCAGATTAATCGTGCTGAATATCCCGTGCCGCTCTGCGAGGTGCAGATCGAGCACGTAGTCCCCGATTGCCGTACAAGCTCCCGGGTCAGACTATCCACGTTTGCGGCTCTGTTATCATCTGATATTCTGCAAAGCGATTTCCAGTTGTATGGATTTAAGGAGCCCCAGATCAAATCAGATGGGCAATCTCACCTTCTGGCCATTTCCTGACCCAGTACTAAAGATCCCAAATGGTATGTTGTCGTATCCGAATTCGCTGCCCTCGGGGATTGGTATAGGGAATTGCACAGTCATTTTGCGCAGAGATCAGAGGTACATTGCATTTGAGAACAGCCGTTAATTTCGATGAGAGAATTCAAGAAATTCGATTATTGGTTTTACCTCTGATGATGTGTAGATGTAGTAGATGCTATGGACATTGCTACCCAATACTGTGCCATTTACCGAGCATCTCGGCCCGAAGTGGTTGTCCCGACATCAAGACATGATACGGAAGATTTCATCTTCACAAGCGACACTCCAAGCGGGGATATCGCCAACTTCGGTCCATGTTTCTAGCACTGAAGCGCGGCTCGGTGTTCAGAAGACATTCGCCATGACAATCCTGTGCCCAAATGATCGACGGCTTTCCTAGTGCCCAATCACGTGCCACCGAATGGCTGCTCAAGCCTGGGTGGGAAAACAAGTCTCCCTGTTGCCTTTGCTGCTCACGCCGCGAGTTGTGACGTGAATTCTTTCCCGTTGTATAACCAAAATTGATTCCTCTGCACAGCGTCTACCCGTTGCAGGACTGCCTCTGCTGAGGAGCGCGAATCGACAACTCTTCCAATATAGTGGAATGCAAGAGTGGAGCAGACCCTAGTTATGTTCGTCTGAGCGCTCCCTTTTTCCGCTGTACATAAAGAGTAGAGTCATGTTAAGCCAGTAAGTGATGACCAGACAATTAAGAAAACCCACTCGCAGAATCTTGGACAATCGAAGGGCTGTTTGGATGTACACACTGTGAGAACAGGCTATCCAACGCAGATTGCGGGAATCCATCGAAAGTGCCATGGTGAACCCTCGATCTCAGGAGAGGCAACTGCGTATCACGATCGCCATCATTCGAGTTGAGTGAGTGTTTTTATGAATGATTTGAGTCTTGATAGAGCCGGTCATATGGTTGGTCCACCCGCAGCACCAATGATCTTCAGGCTTGATTTCCCTTGTCTGGTTTCTTCGACTTGGGTGTATGCGAGCCAGTACCGATTTGGGTGCCACGCAACAGCAGGAATTCCACTCGTTCCTGTTGGTATCGTGTGCACCACATCACCCGTCTCAGCATGATAGATGTCAAAGCCAGAGCTAAGACCCTCACCGCCGCCTGCGCCCATCTCTTCACTAGCACCAGCAAGGTACCGTCCATCCCAAGACCAGCTAAGGCCCTTGATGGCTCCAGAGCTTGCATTTGACAAAGTGCGCCGGCAAACCCAGTCAATTGTATCCCACAGCGATATCATAGCGTCAGAACCGCCTACCGCAATGTATTTCCCGTTCGGACAATACGTGATCGAGGTACACGATGAGGTGTGTGCCGATATGCTATGCAAGGGTGCAAAAGTAGGATAGTCAAGGATCTTAACCGAGCCATCGCCCTGAGTGATAAGCAATTCAGTGGGAGGGTAGGCGTTGGAGAAAGTTGTCTGGTTTGTCTGTTGGGGCTGCTTGTAGCGAGAGAGGATTTCTGGAGAGGACGGGATACTTGTTGAGACAGGAATGAGAACATCGCCCTGTCTCGATTGTCAGATGCATTTCAGACCTTCCAAAGGGTCCATCTCTTGGGAGAAATACCTTAGTCCCGACCATTAGCACCCCTCCATCAGCACTCCATGTCATGGTGAATGGTTCCCCGCCCACCTCAAGCTTTGTCACGCAGGTTTTGCTTCTTGTATCCCAGAAACGCACTGTGCCATCCGAAGAGCAGCTTGCCAGCTCAAACTCGCGGACAGGGTTGAACAAGACCTTCTCCACCGCATGTCCGTGTCCTCGAAGTTCCGTCTGGCTGCGTGGACTCGTGCGCTCGGGGTTCCAGACTCGAACTGTCTTGTCATTTGCACCTGTGGCAATGAGACCGCCAGATGCATTCCATGAGATCGTGCGATGACTGAGAGGAGCGATCAGACGAATATTCGTGAGTGCTTTGGGAGGTATTCATGCGGGAGGTACGTACATGGTCGGCGTAACGGTTCTCGCTGCAGGATCGGTGTACTGTTGGGTCTTGAGGAGGCTGAACTGCGTCCCAAACTTATCTCGGCCGATATGCTTGCGTTGGCTTATCGGGGCCATTGGGGAGGGTCGAAGCGTGTCAGCACTGGCGGTACATTTCTACCGACATACTATTGCTGTGCTATATACATATAAATAAAACCGTAGATGATTGATCAAGTAGTCGCTTAACATTCGAATTCGAATGTCAGTTTGGACGGTCCCAGGTCCGGGCACCTTTTGGGGGGGAATATCATGCCGTTATATACGTCTTGGCACTATACATCTGGCCGCTTTTAATCACACTTGCCCTTCCTCTCAATCTGCCGTGAGATTCTCCTAGTTTTGGAGATGGTAGAATGGAAACGTCTTGTTCAAGGGCCAGTTTCTCCGGCATGTTCGACGTATAATCTCTAACTCAGATACCGTGCTCAAAGCTATTATTTTCAGGGGCAACACGCCAACCGCCTACATCACCTCCGTCAAACAACTTTCGTCTCACCCAAATCCTTACCATCATTCTCGGCAATTAACTTGTAAATACTCCTGCACTCTTTATCAGCACATTTCGGGTGCTGAACTGCTCGTGCATATATATCCTTGACCACGGCGCCCATTATGTGTTTTGCGCCGAGCTGATCCATCAACTCCACTGTCATGTCCATCACCCCTTTGGCTAGTTCCGTTTTGAACCCACCCTCAAAATCTTTGGATGACGAGGAGTTCGGTTGCACTCCCTTGATCGGGTTCATGTTTAACGAGTTCCAGCTCATTCCGCTGCCGACGTTGATAGCATCTAACTCGCCATTAGCACACGTTTTGCAGTCGCTGTAGATATGGAGAACTAACTGGCTAGGATCTTCGGATCCAGACCGTATTTGACACCGACATTCATACCTATTCGAGCAGTGTTAATGTCGACTGTCGAAAAGAAAGACGTGTACCAAGACAAACCTTCGCAAAGAGCGATATATGCAACGTTACCGCAGTAATTGTTGATCTGCTTGGTCACAAGTCCAGCACCCGGTGGCCCACAGAAGATGATGTTATCTTCTTTCCCCATAGATGCCAGAATAGGCTTCGCCTGCTCATAGAGCGCTTCACTTCCACCTACCATAAATGAGAGATTCCCTTGATGCGCAGCAAGGATGCCTCCAGACACTGGACAGTCGATGAAATCGCCCAACCCTGACCGCTCGACTTCTTTCAGAACTTCGTTCGACATGCGTACTTCGACTGTAGAAGTCTCGAGGAAGAACTTTCGCCGCGCTGAAGAAGCATCAGCCACTGATAAGAGTCCGCTAGATGGATCTGTGAAAACACGCTTCACAGCCATGGCATGCGGCAAGCTTGTCACAATGACATCCTAGGCAAGCGATTGTCAGTCCTCTGGATCCAACCGGCTCGAGGAACTGTGTAAATAATCTTGAATCCCTACACTTTTCTCGGCCAACTCTCGTGGCGTATCTGCAGTCTCAACTAGTCCTTCAACCGAGGATACAAAATCTTGTGTCTTCTTCTCGTCCAGCTCGCAGACTACCAGCTTTGATTGCATGGGCATCCTTGCTCTAAGGTTCTTAGCCATTCCAAAGCCCATGTTTCCAAGACCAATGAAGCCATAGGTGACATCCGGCATGCTATGGCCATCACCACCATTGGATGCGGACGCAGACATTTTGCTTTGGGTTTTGGCCTGACCACTAGGGCGGACTTGCAAATTGCTCCCTATGAACACCAGTCTATTGGCAAGCTCTGATTAAACAATGCTAAGCTGATGTTCGAGGTTCGATCTTGTGAAGGTTTAGACTCGAGAAATGGACTCAGTTAACCCGGTGCTTTGGCAATGGAGAAGGTCCTCGTCAAACTAATTACAGCAGAGAAGTCAAACCCACACACCGGAAGTGTGCGATGACGGGTCTTTCACTGTCAATGTAGAGCCCTAGTGATCCTCAAGCGCCATCTCCGCATCATTATGATATTCCCCCACATTTTCAGCCTCGAGTGAATCCTACATGATTTACTCGTTGGCAAGCAAACTTGGCATCAATCTCCAATTCCAGCGCAGCAAATTTCCTTGCCGTACGACCTTTTGGAGAACGAAGACTGATGGCTGATTGCTGATAAATATTCGGGGAAGCAGAAACCTGAGGGCGAGTTCGGACTAGCATTGCAGCGTCATCAGGCACTTCTCCCTCCTCGAAGTAATGAATTTCGAAGCAAGTATGACATCGGCAGACCCTGCATTTCTGAAGGCTGTAGGCACCTAGCCAGAAGATGCAACCGGGACCAAACGGCATTTAGGAATGGGCCGAAAGGTAGTACTGCAAACACCCATTTGCTGTCTTTCTTACACACGAGTAGAGACGGTTAAAAGTTACAGGAAAAGTAATCAATCAAGGGGATGACTGGAAATGTGGTCTCTGAACGAAGTCTCCATCCAGCCTGCACCCAAAGCTAGAAAATCCACTCTTCCACCTCCAATGTTGGTTTCGTTCAAGCCAACATGTGACGACAACAGTACAGACACAGGAAAACCAAGCCAGAGTGGTCCTGGCGGTTCCGTCCGAGTTACATCACCACCATCAAGACACCGGGAAGCAGCATCACCATAAGCAATGCAAAACTAGACGACCCTGGCAAGTGTATACTCGCGCTGGCTCCACTTTCTGAAGAGGAACTAGAGGTCGCGCTCACGGTGGCTGCGCTAGATGATGAGCCATCTCCTGAACTTGCAGATCCACTTGCTGTTGCAGATGCCGTCGCCGTCGCCGTCGCCGACGACGCAGACCCTGTAGCATCTTCCACTCCCCCGCATTGGGAAGCCTTTTAGAGTATGCCTGTTCAGCGAACGGTGCCAACTTTTGGAAAGAAGTAAAACACTCACCGTCAAATAGTCCGTCCACTTGTTTCCTCCCGTGGTACATACATTCGCTGGGGCGGGCGCCTCGAGTTGACCTGGCCCCCAACCGTCCTCGCAGCAGAATGGTAGTGTGGGTGGGACCTGCATTAACAATTTGTACTCAGAACAAATTCCCGAAGCTCTTTGTACGACCTTGACCTACATTCGTTCCATTGACGTCCCAATAGGTCCAGGTACTGTCTGCACACGTGGGACACTGCAGAACATCGGCACGACAATCTACCCCTGTTGGGCAACAAAGATAGCTGGTGAAGCTATTTATATCCGTGTTAAGTTCATAGCCATCCGGGCAGCACCACTCGTCGAACACCGTTGGATTAGAACCGGGCGCGCATTTGTACGTGCTACCGTCCCAGCCTGCGTTCAATGCGATACCGGGTCGAGCAGATCGTTTGAAAAGAGAGCCAGGACGTGGGTTGCCAGCTGCAAGCCCGCTGGACAGCGCGCAGATGGTGGAGAAGGGTGAAATCAACATGATTGATCGAGCCCCGGAAACCTTTGCTCTAATAGAAAATATAGAAGAATATCGAACTCTGAAGCAAACAGGGAAATTTCGAAGTGGTCGACCAAGCTTTATGAAGGGCTCGAATGAATCATCTTCCCGGTGTTGTGCTGCAAAAAATCGGCCTGTAAAGATTGGAGTTTCCAGCTGAGCGTCAACTCAAGTGACCTCGTATTCAATCCCCCATCGTTGGATGCGATGATAGTCCTCCTGTGAACGAGAGGAAATAGATCATGAGGATTACGAGGTCAAGGCTAGACCCGTTGATAGGCAGCATGGGTTTTATCCCTTTCGAACCCAATCAGCAGTCGTTCCCCTGACGGGCCAAATGTTGACTGGGCATGAGGCTGATTGTGGGCCGTCTCTTAGAAGGTAACAAACACTTTTCCGTTTCTGGTATTTGCAACTTGCCAGTCATACTATGGTCCGACCCGTATCGTGCAAAGCTGACCAACAAAGATATACCCCGGCGAATGGGTTGAGCAGATCTCGGACTTTTGTTCCTGGACAACTGCCAAACTGGGCCGATGTGAAATTTGAAGGGTTTAATGTCTATCAGTATTCTAATAGTCAATTTCAGTCTCAGATCGATGTGAGCCAAAGCTTGAGGTCTGCCGGAGCTACTGTATTTTGTGAGGAGAGCATTTTGCCGAGGCCAGTCTGTGCTTCCCGCGATGCACGCTGCCCCGGTAAAGCCCTCGCTGCCGCCTCCACGAGACCTGCTTGACCGTCCCTTCATAGCTTTTGAATGTATATTCGAATACAAACGGCCAGCCACACCCTAGCTGTCATCTACAAGGGCCTTCAATTTCTCTAGAACCACCTCGTCAACCTCAAACCCGCCATCGGCACGGGTCTGGTCTCTCACACGATTCGACCGCTCAAACGGCAGCCGCAGGGAGCCCAGGCCCCCCGAAGCCGGCGCTGCGTGAAACGCATCTACCAACGTGCCCACCTCACGCTTGAACTCATCAATCGGGCGAAACCTGGCGGGATCAACCGCTATGATAAAATACCCGAAATCCTCGAGATTCGGCGGTAGCGCAGGCGAACCGGCGAGTACTCCAAGTAGCTGCACTGCAATCGCAAGGCCGCTGCCTTTGGCGCCGCCCCAGATCGCCAGTGCGCCTTCCAGCGCCGCCGCGGGGTCGGTGGTCGAGTTCCCGTCTGCGTCGAAAGCGGTATCTGGCGGGAGAGGCTTTCCAGTCCGTTGCGCAAGCAGCACCTGAGCGTGGATGATCCTCGACGTGCCGATGTCGTAGATTATGGGCACGTCGTTCGTCGGGATTCCGACGCAGAATGGGTTCGTCCCGAGGAGAGCTTTGTGCGTGCCCTCGGGCGCGACCCAGGGGCTGGTATTGGACGCGATGATGGTGACGAGATCCTGCGCCGCCGCCATCTCCGCGTAGTACGACAGCATGCCGGTGTAGTATGTGTTGTTCGCGCCGATCGCCGCGACGCCCATGGTCTTCGCCTTCTGGATAGCTACTTCCGTCGCTTTGTGCGCAACCAAGTAGCCCAGCGTGTCTCTGCCGTCGATTTGAGCCGTTGTCGCTTCGTCCTTGGTCACTTCGGAGGCATGAGATGGTACTTTGCCGCCGAGTCGCTCGCCGATGCTGAGGATCCGAGCGAGTCCTGCTATTCCATACCCGCGCAGCTCGCTGTCGATGAGGTGGTCGGCTATTATCTTTGTGTCTGCGGCATTGTATCCCAGCTTCCGCAATGCCACGGTCGCAAGCTGCTGCGCTCCTTCCACCGAGACCTTCATGTCTTTGAGTCCTGATGTCTGGGCTTAGATATCCCGTCCCCAAGGAGCAAGAACCGGTACCCCTAGGCTCTTCAGGCGGCCTGAAGCAGGATGTGCAGCTACCTAGTAAGCAGAAATCATTCCAGTGAGATACTTTTGCTTGCGAATTAGTTCTGTTCTTCGCTCGCCGTGGTACCGTTGTTAATATCTTACACGGTCATATGCAATGGAGGAGAACCGCATAGTCAGACCCAGGGTTCCCCTCTCTGATACTCCGATGCGAAATGAAGATCTTCTAGGCAGCTCTAAGGCAGGTGTGCCCCAGGGCTAGGTCAAAGTGAGACACCCCAACCATGTACAATGGGGGGAGAGATACTGGATCTTGCATATGCGGGGAAGTTTGGCCTTCGGAGCAAACATGGAAGACCTTGGACAAGTACGCGGGTATTGCATGAACCACGATACAGAGTCAGGGCTGTGAGGAAATAAAACTAAAATTACGAACTGTTGGAGAAAAGGCTTGGAGAAATGCGCGCTCGCTCAGCCGCAGCAAATACATTGATGGTCGGAGCAGATCAATTTCTCCAAGGAACCCAGGATTTGAAAGCATATTATGATTAGCTGGCTTTGAGTTCTCCGTACAACATAGTGATTAGCTTTTTTCAAAACCCCGTGGAAATGGGTTCAAATCCTCCAGACGATTCAGCTAGTTCACTTTGACGTCACATTAATCAGCAGATATAAAAAGCAATAGTTGCTGATACAGCTTCGAAAGGGGAACACAGCTCAACAATGACCAGAACACGGACCCTCAGCTCACATGTATCCGAGAGGTAGAAAACCACCATCTCGCCTGCTTGTGGACGGTGGACGGAGTATCGGGATCGGCTTCTTCTAGGGTCGTTTCAATGTCCGAGCCGAGTTGCTGACCCACGGTGGCAGGCCGCAGCACGATCCGTCAACTGTCCATCGACGGAGTCCCCGGCATCTGCTCTTGGCTCGCGGCGCCAGAGGCACCAACTGCGGCCAACACGTTTGCGGCACCGTTTGCGATTTTGTCCGCCTGGCGTCTGGTATTTCGTGAGGTTGATGGAACGCCAGGAGTGACCTCTTTAGTGATGTGATGAGGAAGGCGGTGTTATCCTCGGCATTCTCGACTCCATATCCAACTCCATTTTCGGCGGAGGAAAGGGTCCAGTTCGCTGCAGACCCCTTCATCAGCTAGCTGGCGTTTAGCGGGTGGTGCGAAGCCCCTGGTCGAAGTAATCAGAGCGTCAATGTTGTCCTCAGCATTCTCAATTCCATAATCGACTCCATTATCAATGCAGGAGAGAATAGAATCGGCAGCCGACCCTTCACCAGCCGGCTGGCGTTTAGCAGGCGGTGCTGGGCCTTGGCTGAAGTGATCAGGGCAGCTGTATTATCTTCGGCGTTCTCAGTGCCATACCTAACTCTATTGTTGGTGGAAGAGAGGATTGAGTTGGCTGCTGACCCTCCGCCGGCCAGCTGATGTGCAGCTAAGATACCTGTGTTGGCAAAAGGCACTGGGGGCTGCAAAGGTTGGTTCAAGTGTTGCAACCACAAGCTGGACCGGAACGAGAGCCTTCGCGAAAGAGCGCGCCATTGCTAATAACAGATAGAGTAAAGACAGGGCTAAAGTAGCTCGAATACCGACTGGCCGGTGGCTCAGGTGGTGTTATCGAGGCTCTGAGTTCTGGTGTTTGAAACAAATGTCTGATTCTGATTGATGTTGAGAGTCCTGTTCTGATGAGAGAATACAAGGATGGATATGTGGATGATCCTGGAACCTCTTCATCCCCATGAAAGGCCTATCTATCTTCAAGGAAGTAACAATTGCTCCCACTCTGAGGCAAACTGCCTCCCATTCCTTGAACCTCACTCTGCGTCCGCACTCGTACTATCCCTTAAAGGATATCAAGAAGCATTAAACATCTATGGCGTAGCACATGTTGAGTCAAACAATACCGCTACCACAGAGGAGACTTACCGTGTCTACCGTACCCAATTGGTTCGGTGGGAGTATGGAACAGGATGCCACCAACCTCCCAATGCGTCGGTTGGGTACTTTTGCTCGCCATGCTTTGAAAGTGTTCAGATGGTGAACTGTCTGGTGTACAGATAGTTTGGTAGCCAGGCAGACAGCCACCCATGCCATAACACCCTCGAGAACGGTTGAGGCGGCTGCTGAAATGTTTTGATATCCATCGCAAATGCTTGGCAAGGGCCGTCTCGGAGTAGATATGCAGGTCTCAGACATTGCGAGGCCTTCTCAGCCTTCCCGAATATATAGACGTGGCACTAGTTGCTCGTCCACATAGGTTTTTTTCTAGTTGGGACGACTGATACGAACATGCGCCGTGAATCGAAAATACTTCAGGAGAGGGGGAAGCGCAGGTGCCTTGCTCAGCTTTTGCGCATTATTGCCGCCAGAGTTGGGAAGGTTCTTCAAAGTTCTCACACACCGCGTCATATCAACTGGGAAGCTTGATCATGAAAAGTGCGAAGCTCTCCATCGACGCAATATCCATGACCCAATTTTTGACAACTTGGCCTTTCCCAAGCAACTGTCAAGCAACGCCGAGGCAAAGAATCCCACGGCTTGGTATGCAGGGCTTCAGCCCCCAACGCCACTAGAATTTTGGCATTCAGATCGATTGCAGGCACTGTACGTGCCCACGTGCCGCGTGTCCTGCGACCCATCCTCAACACCGACTACGCCCAGGGGGGTGGTTTCGCTTTCTCGTTTGCACGTTCGCAAAGGTTGTATGAGTCTTTTTCTTACCCCTGATGCAAGCTCAAAACAATGTCAAAGGAAGCCTCGAAATCAAGGTGCGAACGGACAACTGACCATGCCACATTCGCAGCCGATGGATGATTCGTGAGTCAGTTGAAGAGATTCGGAAGCCAAAGTCCGACCTCAAGAACTTCCACACTCTCCACTTTGTAAGGCAAGCAGAGAGTCGAATGTCTCGTTGGCTCTCTCGGGTACTCCACTGTTTGTCGTCCGGCCGGTCCCAATCTCTGTTTTCACGTTTGTCTGCCTCCCGACCTCTGGCCTCTTAGTCGATCATTGACATATCGCTCAACCAGAGGCAGGTTTGAGAGTATCGTATCTTCACGTTAAACACCTTCAAGGTAACTCGTTGTAGGAGCGAGCGAGCGATAGTGGCGTAACCCCACCGTGCGAGAAGGGGATATGAGGCAGTCTTACCATCTGCCCGTCATCTCTCATCCTGTGCGAGAGCTTGGACCCTGCATCGAGGAGCCAAGGCGGCCAACGTCGAATACCAAGGACTCTTCATTTCGCTTTGACTGTATCCTCAGCTGCATATACTTGAGATAGATCATCCATCGACGACTAGGCCTTTGGAATTGGAGGAGTAGGTCTCGATATGCACATGATAAGGGATTAGCTTACTGCCCAGTTCACTGGGAGCGCTGAAAATATTGACGTCAAGTTCCATCCTTGTGTGGCTTAAAGGAGGGCTTTTGAATCGCATGAATTCAAGCTCAGCGATCGGCACAGAGCTCTGAGATAGACTTGGCTATGATCGGATTGTCCTATTCTGTCCCAATTGAGGCAGAATTCTGCAGCCACGCAGTTAAGTGGCTAAACTCCGTTCGAAGAAAGGGGTAGTAGGCACTATATTAGAGCTCTAGAACTAGTACATCGTTATAAGAAGGAAATTACTGACGAGGAAATTCGGCGAGGAACAAGGTCGGTATCTATTGGTATATTACTGGGAGATATGAGACAATAGTGCTGCAATTAGATATCAGACGCGTGAGGACTACATATCTGTGGAGGGGTTGCGGTCGGAATAATGTTGTTCCGTCCGCCCCACCAGTCCGTTGTTCAGGGTACGGACCAGCACAGAGAGAACGAATCAGCATCGCACGTTGAGTCTCTAAAACCATGTATTCTATATCCAAGGGCTAATTGAAGTAAATTTTATGTACTAGAACGAGGCGTGAAAGTGAACTCGAGGCGGCCAAGCCAACGGCGCCGCAGCGGGCCATTGTAACTTCCAGCTTTTACCCTGTCAAAGAAATAGGGACCTGACTACTATCCAATATACAAGCGTGTATAAATATATATAGGGGGAGATTCCGGGTATCGTTGATAGAAAAAGCTCATACAAAATCGTTACTAGGCCGGTAGCCCACGTCAATCAAACCTGCGGTCTACCCAGGCAAGCACGGGATAATGCTTGCACAGTCGATCTTGGACAGCAGGGATACGGCTTCTCATAGACTACTATTGAGGCTGTGGCGTTTGGCCTGGCCAGCCGAACATCCAGTCGTTGTTGTCGCTCATGGCGTCTGCTGGCCACATCTCACTCATGGGCGTCATGCCTGTGCTATTCATATGCATGATAGGCTGCATGATGTTGTGATCTGGCAGTGGCTGTTGCTGCTGCTGCCTGGCACCACTGTTACTACCACTAGCGGTTGACATTGACATGCTGGCTTGCCACGAAGCCGCACCGGGGTATATGTAGCCCAATGGTGGGTCTTGACTCTGGCGTGCTTGAGAAGCATTGGTGTTGTTGGCATTGCTACTATTTACCGACCCACCACTGATGGAATGATTCTGGGGTGAGGTGTAGGAGGTGTGTGAGGATGAGTTGTGGAGGGACGACGTCGAAGGCGTCGGGTGGTTCGACTGTGGTCTTGACCCAGAACTTTCGGGATAGGAGTTTCCTCCTGGAGAGTGCTGGCTTCCTGTCGATCGCGTTGTGGAGAAGAACGGGTTCTCGAATCCGTCAGGTACAACGGGTGCGCTGGAATTGGTGTGCGACATGTCTGTGGTCGCGTAAAGGCTCGGGTAATCATTGCTGGATTGGCTATTAATGCCTGGGCCAAGCCCGTTAGCCTGTGGGGATGATTGAATATTGGGAGCTAGCCCATGAACTGCTCCTTGAGAATTCCGGATCTCAAATAACGGGGAGCACTTCACGGCGTCGGTGTTGGGAGGGTATTCGCCCTGTTGATATATTTTGTCAGTATCAGACCTGTTCGAACTTCCCACTGAGACGGCCAGGAAATGATAAACTTACAGGTGGACGGTGACCGAACTTCCACCGGGAATGGCTGATGGGTAGGTCCAGACCACTTCCTTCAAGATCCACGTCGAGCTGTACCAAGAAGGACTCCGTCAATGGATTTTTGGCTGTCAACACTTGCATTGCGGCAAGTAAGAAGTGAAGCGATGACTTGACTGCAGTGTCCTCTCTTCGCGCTTTGAGATATTGGACGAATACCCGGGCAGAGACATACAAGCAGAAAGCGAGAAAGGGGTTCATCTGTAGAGGAAACAGGTTAGTGTTGTAATAGAAGACGGAGACGGCTTATCACAAGAGCGAGGAGACATACCGCAGACATGTCCATATGACTGATCATCTTCATAATATTAGTGACTTGATCAGCAGCGACAATACATCTCCGCTTGGACTCGGCGCTAATTTGTGCTGGTAAGCGGTTTTTATCGGCCTTGAAGATGGCAGCTTGGTGCAAACAGATGGTCGCCGTATGTATGTTCATATTGAGGAAGATGGTGTTTGGGTCATTGAGACCGGCCGGTAGGCGGAGGTTAGGAGGGATGGCTAATGAAGTGTTGAGAAGGATGTTATCAAGGGCACGATGTCGCTTCCAGAATGGCCCATTGAGGTCGTGATCGTTGTCTGCGTCTGCAGGCCGATGCAAATGAGTGAGATTGCGGCCATAGATGGTGGCTATGAGAATCACACCCCCGAGAGACGAAAGAGAGGCGGCTCCTTCACCACTCATTATATCTGATAATTGTAACGTTGGTTCCGGTTGACACCGCTTGAAAGCTTCTTCGCTGGCCGGCAAGTTTGTAAGTATCTGTGACTGGGTCAGCTGGAAGCGACTGAGGATAGCCTAGAGAAGAACCCACGTCTTGCTCATCAAAAGTCATCGGCCAGCCTGTGCCAATACTGGCATATCGATCCTGACAATAGGCCATCCAAAAAGTCCGCCTTCTCTCCTCTCGATCTGTCCAATCACGCGGAGGAGGGAGAGTCTGTTTCACATCAAGGCCGACGCGATCTTGCCGGTGTAGGCCCATCATTTGGGCAAGCCTCGAACCTCTCCCTACACTCATCCATGCTCTGGGAAAATACATGACCTTGAATTCATAGGTCCCAATCAAGGTCCAAGCCTGTGCATGACCAACAGAGACGATGCCTTCGCCATGGCCTCTCATTTCGTCTGCCTGGGCATATTTCCGGGCTCTAGCGTAGAAATGCTCTGTGTAAGCTGAGTATTTGGAGCTGACCATACAGGAATGGGTCCACATTGCGTATCTTAGACAAACGGCGGGTCGCATATGAGGGGCAAGGTCCATGCTAGATAAGAATCTAGCTTTGTGAATCATCGGCATAGAAGGATGAATCTTATCGAAGTATATTTCATTCCTAAGATAGTCAGCAAGGATCGAAGCGGGGGTGGGTCAAGGAGAGTACAATTCATCAACGACGTCCCGGGGAGGCAGGGCTTCCTCCAGACCGAGGCCTATCATCTCCCATGAAAAATCATCGCCAGTGTCCATATTAAAGTCGGCAACCCCGTCTAAAGCAGGGGCAGCAAATTCTGAGTCGGTGATGGGAGGTGCCATTGCAATGTTGTCCAGGTTCATGGCAGACGTGGAATCATCCAGCGCATTTGAGATTGCAGGCCGTGCGGTAGTATTCTGGGCAAGGGAGTCGTTGCTTCCATCTCTCGTTTCAAGCAGGTTTTCGACCTGCTTGAGGCGGGCTTCTAGTAACTTGACATAACCTCTTTTGGGGCCACTCTTCTTTCGCTCCTCGGAATATTCACAGTTGTGATTCAGTCGAGAGCATGTTCCGCAACTTGGCTTGTTCCCATCACAGCGTAGCTTCCGTTTTCTACAGAGAATGCATGCGATTCTCTTTGGACGGGGGACCGCATCACTGGCGCCTCCCGTATGGTAGGATGTCTCGCCCTCGTCATGTTGGCTCTCGCCGGGTGTGTCGTCGTTGTTATTATTGAGCGTCATGCCGATGTTAATATCATGAATCGAACTGCTTCGGAGGGCCAAATCTACTAGCGGGCTTGATTCAGACTGCCAGCACACACAGGTGAAGCAAAAGATTCCGTAGGTCGTGTAGGTTACGGTGAGAAGACTTGCGCGTAAGAGGAGAGAGTGGGTAGGTCCTCCAACGGAGGACAGAGTGTGGTGATTGAGAAATTGATGTTCATGCGCCGAGTTGAGACACTTGGGACGGCTAAAGCCTACGTAGACCGCGTGGTAGGTGTTAGTTTCGAGGAGTAGTCATACAACCATTATGGAGTAGCTGCTGGTAGGTGGTGGACACTGCAGAGGGCCGTTGAGCCAGGCAGAAGGGAAGGACGCAGACGGGGACGTTTCGTTGACTCCTCTTCACTTTGCCGACAGAGCACTGTCCAGGTGGTCCGTCAAAGTGTCAGTGATCTCTTGGTGTCTGGCGGTGGGCCTAGCGAGGGTCATGTTAGCGTGAAGCAGTGCTTAGTAAACACCCTTAACCCCCTCGAAGCCAGGCAACTCTTTAAAGAGCCGTATTGCCGGCGTCATAGACTAAATTGGGGCTTGGGGGTGTTGCCAGTGGGATGACCGACCGCTGCAAGGGTGTGAGTATTAGTGGCAACAAGTAAGGTACTTACTTGATAGGATGGTACTTGTGTGTTCCCAAGTGCAATGTTGTATATCATCTAAAAACTCATGTATACTCTATACTTTCTATGAGCAACTTACTGTACGCGTAAATTGGAAGTCGACATGGCAGGTTCGAAACCTCGCATTTCATCAGCCTCAGAATATAGAATGACAGCTGATGTTATTCTACTTGACCACACATGATCCCGCATATATGAATCCACAGCACAATTACTGGCGTTCTGGCCTGTCTGACAGCGAATTCACCAGTCTGACGCAGCCCTTATTGATTGGCATGCGAATACGCGCATTTCGCAGGAAGCGGGTTTAGGTCGCCAAGAGCGCGTGGAAAGATCGTCTGACATTGGAATTTCCGGGATTTTTGCATTCGGCCTCGGAACTCTCACGGCCGAACTGCCAGACTTTCTTGTACGAGTACGAGTGTGTATGGAGTACATATACTCGTATGGTGGCCATGTTGTCGCTAGCTAAACACCCGAGGGGTTTTCCACCACTAGCAGTTCTCGACTTATAGGGCACATGCGGAAATACGTCATTGTCATGCTCGCGCATCACAAACGCCAAGCTGTCCTTATCCTCAAAGAAACTGCTTTCCGTTCATCTATGCTTGTCGTCGTCTAATTGCTGGCCTTTCCTTGCCAGTTTACTCATACACGACGCGTAAGTCTTGCTGGAGCCACCTTGACCTTTTCGTCTCGATGTGACAAAATCAATGGCTTGGGCTGTCACCTCCATCACCCTCCTCATTGAAAAAGACCTTGATTGGTAGCCATGAATCACCGCAAACCTTAAATCTGTCGGGAATACTGCTCAGCGTGTCGACCTCCTCCGAGGTCAGCTCGAAGTCATCCAGTTGGAAGTTGGCTTCGATTCGCGACTTGGTGACTGATTTGGGGATTACAGATGTTCCACGTTGGAGGCCCCAGGCCAAAAGAACTTGCTGGGGAGACTTTCCCTTGGCCTCTGCGATCTTGCCCAAGGTCTTGTCGTGGGCGAGAGGTGAGTCTGTCGATCCCAGGCACGAGTATGCCGTGACGTGAATGCCTTTCTCTTTGCAATACGCCAGGGTCTTAGGGGAAGGCATATTGGGGTGCAGTTCGATTTGGTTCACTGCAGGGACCACGGTGGTGGACGGAGCCTTGAGGAGCTTCTCAAGATTGGAGATGACAAAGTTGGACACGCCGATGTTGCGGACTTTGCCAGTTCCAACAAGCTTCTGCATCTCACGCCTATTGGAAGAAGTCAGCCTCTTGCTTCAAAGCAGCCGATCAAGGCAGAAATGCAAGTGCCCACCATGTGTCAATGAAGTTCCAGTCGTCATAATGTTTCTTAAGATCTTCGGGAACTGAGGAGCTGGGCCAGTGCATGAGATACAGGTCAACATAATCGGTGTCGAGAGACTTTAGAGAAGATGCGATTCCCTCCTCGACGCGCTTGTGCCATGGGTTGTCGAGTTTGGTGGTGATCCAGATTTCACTGCGAGGAACACCGGAATCCTTGATTCCAGCACCGACCTCAGCTTCGTTGCCATATGCAAGAGCACTAGGTAAGGCATTCATCCGTTAGTGCAACCGTCCCTCTATTAGTCGCATGAGTCGACTCGAGATCTTACGTGTCAATGTGTCGGTAGCCGGCCAGAAGGGCATTCTTGACGGCTTCACGAACCTCGTTAGGCTGGGACTGCCATGTGCCCAGGCCAACGCCGGGGATCTTGTCGCCAGTGTTCAAGGTGAACACAGTCCTGAAAGAAATCCATGTCAGCATAACCCACGGAGCATCACCGGGCGGGCTTTGGCTTACTTTGTGCCTTTGCCAGACTGTGTGGTCGACATGGTGCGGGCTAGACTAGAATGAAGTGCTGGAAGGCTGAGGTTTTTGGATAACAGCTGAGATTGCAAGGACAGTCGAGTGAGAGCAGTGGCAGTGTGAGAATGGAGAATGCGTGAAGGGGACATGCGACAGAATTGTAGAAGGCGATGCGAACTGGGAAATGTGCAGGCGGGAGTCGAGATAAATAGACTTGATCATCACTTTCGAGTAATATCCCGGTGATGGTGTCGGGACTCTCTGCTAACCTTCCTGAGGTGGGGCACAGTCTTCGAAAGGATGGCAAACGACGCAATGGAAGAGGGGCAGTCTTGGGTCATTCGGTGGATCTTGGTCCCAGTGTAGCCTTTATATTGGTCCCTCATTGCTGGAAGTGCACCCCAGTACCTGAATCAAGCGGGATTTAGCCTGAATATGAGGTAGGCGTAGGCTGGTTTCCGTGTGAAGCACGGATAAGAGCCTTTTAAAAAGTATCTGGATCCCCAAAATCGGGGTTGGAGTTGGCAATGTGCCTGTTCTAAGCGCGGGCGGAGGACAGCACCACGAGACCCTTTAGGCGGTACTTCTATCCGTTCTCAATACGAGCCATACACGGCCGTGTTACCTCAAGGGGCAGGGAGCGGCTCGTCTTAGCGACTGCGAACTGAACGGCATGACGGGGCATGGCAGGACATTAGCCGCCTGGTGTAGGCGACTGTCCTGACAGACCCATGGTGCTACCTTACAGTAGTTCACCACACCACAAACATGAAGTGGAATCCACATGAGGACCTCCACGCGCGCCCTGACCGCGGCGGAAACATGAATGATGTAGATATCTAGAAGCCTGGGCCTTGCTACAGACTACTGTGAGTTAAAGTTAGCAGAGTCCCCATGGTGTGCAAGGTGTGCATGGTGTGGCTCGCCTCTGGCGCAGGGTTCCCGCTGATCTGAGGATCGCGGGCGGTGGACTGCCGATTTGTCGACGGCCTCCTCGGTCCATCGTTCCCTACAGGCTTCTGGAACACCCCTAATACACCCCCTTCTCGCCCCGAACGAAGCTGCCTAGTGCCCACCGTCGCCCGAGCAAGGAGCCAACGTCACAGTCACACTGAGACCGCCCGCCTGCCACCTGCACCCGTACGCCACATTACGCACTCCGTCAAACACTGGCTGCCACATCCCATCGATGCTCCCCCGGATTATTTCTCCAATGATCAAGTCTGCATCTGTCCAGTGTGCACTCATCCCATTGCTAAATAACATCCGACCCGTGGCTGCAGGGCTGTTGACTTGCAGGCCCAAGGGAAAGACATGATAAAATGTCTCGTTTCGTATCAGCTGGTACTGATGTCGACCCTCGCCCACCAGATGATGCTTGGGTCCAGGCTCAGCAGGCAGTCGAGGCCAAACAACAGCCCAAACCCACGAACCGGGGGGCACAGGAAGACGGCAAGAGCCTCTACGAGGTTCTGCAGCAGAATAAAGGTAGGCAATCCGTAAAACCACACCACTCCTCCAGTTTTCCTCACTTGATGCTGTCTGACACGAAGCTGGTTGTGTGAAAAATAGCCGCCAAGCAAGAGGCTTTTGAAGAAGCCGCCCGCCTAAAGAACCAATTCCGAGCACTTGATGATGATGAAGTCGACTTTCTCGACTCGGTGCTTGAATCTACCAGGGCCAAAGAGAATGCCGTCAAAGAAGAGACTGCCGAACAGCTTGACGCGTTTCGCAAGCAACGCGCCCTCGCCGAACAATCGCTCCTTGGTCTCGACGATGAGAATAGCAACAAACCTGACAGCCAGGCGGGTGATGCTTGGTCGCTCAAGAAGAAGAAGCGACGCAGAGACGAAGATCATTCTACGGAATCGGCGGGCGTCGGAACCAAAGTGAGGAAGACATCTTCCTCGGCTACGGACGATAGAAGCCCGATCGAGAGCTTGAATGCACCTGCAGCCCATTCAAAGGAGGCTTCTGTCAACAAGGCGGAGAGCTCAACCATGCCGACAACCATCAAGTCACCATCTCCATCATTACCACAGCAGAAACCCTCGCCCGTCTCGGCTGGACTTGGGCTAGGTGGCTACACCTCCGACGAAGATGACTGACGTGCGGCATAGTATAGCTGCTGCCGCTGCAAAAGTCTCCAGCCCACCACCGTCAATTATCAATGGCTGTCACAAGTTCTTTAATACATGCCAGAAAGCGACACGGAGCAAAGTCATCCGTTAGGCAGGAATGACTTCATAGTCGTGTCTCGCTCCCACCAGCAAGAAAGCATTTTCACTCTGTATGGAGATGTCAGCCAACGACAAATGAAGTGTCGAGACCTCCACGGCCACCATAGCCACCCCACGGGCCACGAGATTGCTGTACATAACAAGTCAAGAGGACCAACTGACAACACGAGTTGGGACCAAGCTCGGGTGTGCGAGCTCGACCTTGCAAAGTGTCCGTCAGCCACCCTGGCGACCGAGAACCGGCGAGCACGGCCACTGCCGGAGAACTGCGTCGCCAATTCTGCAGCCCAATGGTCCCTGTGGATTGCCTCCCTCGGCCCCTCTGCCTTGCCCGTGCAGCCGGTGTGGGTAGGCCTAGTGGTGGGTTTCCCCCATTCTGGTCGACCTGAAAGGCCCGAGGCGCCCTCGACCAGCTTTCCACACCCCCAAAGCAGGGATTCGACATTGGACACAACAGCTGGTTTCATGAGCTGTTTCTCATCAAACCTATACGGTACGGTACTCAACCCTCGTCTCCAGCAAATGTCCTCCATCTCTGGGAACGTTACGAGCTTTTCTTCTATGGCCAGGCAAAACGGGGACTGTCGGAGGTTTTTCTCTCTCTGATGGGTCCCTGTCTCTGTCAACAGATTCTCGTGCCCCATCCAGACGAGCGGGCCAATTGTTTGTCACGCGTGCAAGTAGCTATTTGGGTTGGCATGTTTTGGCTCGCCTAGCTACCAAACTCAAGACGCTTTCGCCCACACCAACAAACGCGTCTCGGCTTGCTATCGTCCAATTCGCCTGGCAACCATCTCGTAGTTGTAGCGGTGAGCAGTCGATTGTTCGAATAGATTGCCTCCGTATCCGGGCTTGCATGCACCCAAATACTGGTCGCAGCGCTATTCGCTCTCGGGTCCTGCAAATGAACACCGCCATATGTTTGATGATGCGCTCTATGGAGAATCTTAGGCATCGATCAAATTTTTTCGTCGTGTTGTTGTCTGATAGCCTCATTCATGGCATTCTTGAGATCTTTGACTGAGTAGATATACGACCAAGGCACAACACTACCACCGTCACAGACTGACATTCCTCCCCCTTTTCCTTTTTGCCTGCAATCGTTTGTGTATCGATAGTCGATCCATCCGATTAGCAGATAGGCCGTGATAGCGAGCCCGCCTTTCCTGTTTCCGGCCTTGAGCATCCCTGCAAGCCCCTTACAGGCGCCGCCACCCACTCAAGTGGCAGGTCGCACACACCACCCCGGCCAATGGACGGTGCCAGACGGACCACTGTGACCAGTCTTCTCTTGTGACCTCCTGACACCCAGCTCGCTGTTGCTTGCAAACCTGTTATCACAACCAGCAAAGCTTCTCGTCGTTGCTGTCTTTACACGTCGCCCTGACCTTCCTGTCGCTTTCTCTACTCTCGGCGCTCATTCCGCCAGCGCATCAAATGCTCTCCTACTCCAACATAGATCATTTCACTACTCAACAACAGCATGGCTGCCGCACTGGTAGCCGCGTCGCCCGCCGGTGTCAGAGAGAGCGCGTATCGTCGACCAAGGACCCTGCGATGCTGCAGGACTGGAATGGATGAGATTCAAAGGTCGCGTTGTTGTCGCATGCGGGAGGCTGGTTCTTATAGCCCAGCCGATTGGCCCTGTAGCTTCTACACCGCCAGACCCCAACTTGGACTATGCAAGAACAACAAGCCTGAACTACGGGTATGCGCAACATCTTTCTTCTAACTCGAACTGTGTAGTCCCTGCCTGTTCTTACTATTACTATTACTTCTCCCGATCGCCCCTGCACCTCCACCTGCTCGGTCGTGTTGCGTTTCTCTCTTGAACCTCGACCGAGACCACTCCTAACAATACCTAACAGCACACACCCACACCCACTCTCACTCCCACACCCAGTCCCGAGGTCTATTTGAAAGCAACTGCGCTGGTCGCAGCTCTTCTAGACCAACTAGCATCTTATCCACTGCCATATGGCTCAAGTCCACCCTCACATGCATCCGAAGACCACGACCTATTACAGGCCTTATCCGACCCCGTCGCAAAGGCCCATAGTCTTGCCGATTCCACCTCGGTAGAGCTGCACGGCCCCCCCCCCTCGACTCAGAGCCCTCCCTCTTCGTCTGTCCACATGGATTTCAAGATTGACTTTGGTGACACTGCTGGCGTGCAAACACGTGGGAAGAAAGCGGCCAAGAAGGCCGCCAAAGCCGCCCAGCAAGCCAAATGGATGGAATCGGACAATGAAGGCGACGGCAATGCAGTCGGTGATGGTGGTGACGGTGGCGCAGGTGGCAATGGAGGGGGAGACAATGGTTCGGGGGCTGGAGGTGATGGTGATGGCGATAATAATGGAGGAGGCGATGAGGACGACTGGGCATATGGTGGCGGTAAGAAGAACAAGAAGAAGACCGCTAAACAGAAACAGGAGGAGGAAGAGCAGAAACGAAAGGAGGAGGAGGAAGCTGCTGCCGCCAATGCCGCAAACAATCTGAGTTGGGCAGATGAAGCCAATGACGCCGCCGTGAACGACGACTGGACCACTGGTTTCGCTACTAAGAAGGACAAAAAGAAGAAGGGAAAGAAGGTAAGCTGAGCTGTGCCTCGATCAGGTGCTTGACTAACCGTCATATCCAGGGCGTCGACGAGGCCCCTGCAGAAACCCCGGCGTCAACCGCATTCCAGGACATCAGCTTGGACGATACTGCTCCTAAGCTAGACTTCAGTTTTGGCGGTGTTGACAGCAAAAAAGATACGGGTGGGTTTGGGGCATGGGGCAAGACTTGGGATTTTGGTTCGCTTGAAAATGGCACTACTGACAAAACAGATTCCAAGAAAGACTCCAGGACAACCGATTTCGGCGACAACAATCCCTGGTCCGCTGGCAGCAAATCAAAGAAAAAAACATCGGCTTATGGGACCGGCTTTGACTTTGATGAGTTCAACGCCGAGGAACCGACTCTCAATTTCGACGGCGACATGGGCCAGTCGAAACCTGCCGATGATGCATGGGGATTCACAACCACGGGCAAGAAGGACAAGAAAAAGAAGGATGAGCCTGTCTCACTGGTGCCCGAGCCCAAGGAGGAAACCTCCTGGGGGGCGTGGGGGACTAAGAGCAAGAAGAAGTCCAGTTTCTATGGAGACGATCCAGAGATCCCACCACCACCTCCTCCAGCCGCGCCGGAGCCCGTCAGTGCCATTGATAACACTTTCGATTGGGGCTTTGGTGGTGGCAAAAAGGGTAAAAAGGGGAAGAAGGACCTTATCAGTGAAGTTCAAGATACGGATGATCTTCTGGCTGTACCAGAACCCCCAGCAGTTGTGGAGACCAAAGCTGATGGCAGTGATGACTGGATGTCCGCTGCTTGGGGCAAGAAAACCACAAAGAAAGGAAAGAAAGGAGGCATTGAGGATCTTTCCGCTTCAATTGATCTGGGGAATGCCATGGATACCAAAGCAACCACAAATGATGCCCCGGCAGAAGACGACACTTGGGGTGCTTTCACTACGGCGAAGGGCAAGAAAGACAAGAAGGCCAAGAAGGGATCATTTCTTGATGACTCCGTTCAAGAGGCCCCGCCGGCTCCTGAACCGCCAGCCGTTGCGAATGACATATGGGGCACCTTCGACAAGAAAGACAAGAAGGGCAAGAAGGGCAAATTTGCAAGCCCTGAGCCTTCTATACCTGATCCGGTTTTCGAGGCGGAGGCGGAGTTCGAGCCTATACAAGAAGAACCCAAGGAACTCGGTATGAGCTACAGCGACTGGATGGCACTCTCAGCCAAAGACAGGAAAAAGAAGGAGAAGGAGTATATCAAAAAGGGGATTCCAATTCCTACAGAGCCTGAACCTGAACCCGAACCCGAGATTCTCGAGGAGCGACAAGAGAAGCCCATGAGTTATGCTGACTGGATTTCCCTGTCGACCAAAGAACGACGAAAGAAGGAGAAGGAGTACAATGAAAAGGGTATACCCATTCCCACTGAAGCTGAGCTCGTTGAAGAGGAACCAGAAGAACAAGCCATGAGCTACGCTGATTGGATCGCCCTGTCCAGTAAAGAGCGCCGGAAGAAGGAGAAAGAATATACAGAAAAGGGCATACCAATTCCAACTGAAGCTGAAGTTGTAGAAGAACAGCCGCTGGAACAGGCTATGAGCTACGATGACTGGATGCTCTTATCAACCAAGGAACGAAGAAAAAAAGAAAAGGAGTATCTCGAAAAGGGTATACCCATCCCGACTGAGCCTGCGTTTATCGAGGAGGAACCGACGGAGCAAGGAATGAGTTACGCTGACTGGATCTGCCTGTCGTCAAAGGAACGAAAAAGGAAAGAGAAGGAATATGCAGAAAAGGGAATACTAATCCCTCAGCCTGAGCCGGAACCCGTACCGGATATTCCTGAAGAAGCACCTGAACCGAAGGGCATGAGTTATGCCGACTGGATGAATCTGTCACTCCGTGAGAGAAAGAAAACGGAAAAGGAATATAAAGCCAAGGGGATCCCGATCCCTACGGAGCCTGAGCCTGAACCCGAACCACTAGCTGAAGAGCCTCAAGCAGAAGGGATGAGTTACTCTGAATGGATGGCATTGACACCAAGAGAGAGAAAGAAGAAAGAGAAGGAGTACAACTTTCTCGGTATAGCTATACCCACCGAGCCAGTACCAGAGCCCGAGCCAGTGGTAGAAGAGCCTGGCCCTCAAGGGATGCCATACTCTGAGTGGATAGCATTAGCACCAAAAGAAAGAAGGAAGAAGGAAAAGGAATACAACCTCCTTGGCATACCGATACCCTTTGAACCTGAGCCCGAACCTGAGCCCGCCCTTGAAGAGCCCGAACAAGAAGGCATGAGCTACTCCGATTGGATAGCTCTGACACCGAAGGAGAGAAAGAGGAAGGAAAAGGAGTACAACCTTCTTGGTATAGCGATACCTACCGAACCAGTACCAGAGCCAGAGCCCTGGATAGAGGAGCCTAAGAATGAGGGCATGAGCTATACTGAATGGATGGCCTTGACTCCGAAGGAGAGAAAGAAAAAGGAAAAGGAGTACCTTGCAAATAACATCCCTATTCCCACGGAACCTCCTTCTGAGCCTGAACCTCCCGCGGAGGAGCCAAAAGAGAAGGCTATTAGTTGGGAAGAGTGGAATCTCCTTTCACTAAGAGACAGAAAAAGGCTGGAAAAGGATTATAAACTCAAGGGAATACCAATTCCTACCGAACCCGAATTCGAGGCTCCACCTGAACCCGAGGTTGTTGAAAAGTCTAAGCAGGAAGGTATGACATACGCAGAATGGATGGCTCTTACACCAAAGGACAGGAAAAAGAAAGAGAAGGAATATATCAAGAGTGGAATCCCTGTTCCCACCGAGCCCGAAGTCGTCCTAGAGCCAGAACCAGAAACCAAAGAGGATACGTGGGGCTCTTGGGGAGTCTCCACAAAGAACAAGAAAGACTCCAAGAAGAAAGAGTCGAGTTTCCTTGACTTTGGAAATGAACCATCAACGTCGGTCAACGAGCCTGAGGAGCAAGTAGGCGACAGTTGGTCCGCCTGGGGTTCCAAAAAGACTACCAAGAAGAAAGGCTTCCTGAACCCAATCGACGAGCCATCATCTCTGATGGACACGGCACCAGCTGCCAAAGACTTGGATCTTTGGGGAGGAATCGGGACTTCTTCGAAAGACAAGAAAAAGAGCAAGGGTTTCCTGGGCATGGATGAGCCAATGGGAGGCACAGACAATTTCGCAGAGGCGAAGGATAACGACGGCTGGGGAAGCAGCTGGGGTGCTGCGACCTCCAAAGACAAGAAATCGGGTTCGCAGAAGAAGGGCTTCTTGAGTTTTGACGACCCAGACCCTGTACCCGAGCCGATGGCAGAAGTGGAGGGGAAAGCCGACGAAGGATGGAGTCCTTGGGGAGCTACCGCCTCGGATAAGAAGAAGAAAGACTCTAAACTCAAGGGCGCTGGTACAATCGCTGAATCCAAAGCTTCTAAGAAAGATGAACCACAGGAGGATACCTGGGGCTCTTTTGGAACTAAGGACAAAAAGGGACTGTCGAAATCAAAGACGAAGACTGAACCACCCCCGCCTGTCCCCACACCACCTGCCCAAGGCCTTACACCAGAACCAGATCCAATGGACTTTGGAGACAATGATTTTGGTGGCGACACATGGGCACCATTGACTGCCACCAAGAGTAAGGCTTCCAGCAAGAGGAGCGAGATTTCCAAGACTGCGACTGGGAAGGACAAGCTCAAGAAAGGGACATTTTCTAGTTCTTTCAATGACTTTGATGAAGATCCACCTGTTGTGGAAGAAGCCATACCTGCGAAGACAGGGAAGAGCCTGTGGGGCTTTGGAGCTGCAGCTACCGCAGCGACCGTGACAACCGTCAAGCTGACCAAGAAAGAGAGAGAGGCCAAGGCGAAGAAGGAAGCAGAGGAACAAGCTCAGAGGGAAGAAGAGGAGCGGGTTGCACGCGAGGCTGAGGAGGCGGAAGCCGCCCGACTGGCTGAAGAAGAAGCTGCAAAGAAATCCAAGAAGTCTAGCGGCAAATTGACAAAGGTTGGTAGCAAGGGGAAAACAACCACAAAAGAACCGGCCGAGCCCGACCTCCTTGACATGCTTGAAGAGCCCACCCCTGCGTCGAAAGCCGGGAAAAGTTCCAAGCTCATCAAGTCGACTCCAGGCAAGGAGGAAGACAAGAAGGCCGACGACTACTTTGGATTCTGGGGAAGCGGGTCTGGCAAGAAGACAGCTGGCAAGAAGGAGATAGACTCCAAAAGGGAAATTGCCAAACAGGGGTGGGCCAATCAAGACGACACGCTAGCAGAGCTCAACGACGACTTTGACCTTGGACTTGACCTTGACAAGCCGACTACCTCTTCCAAGACTGCAAAGGTCATGACCACTGGGAAGTCCAAACTTGGAGGTTCTGTGGCCGACCGCATCAAAGCATTGGAAGTCGGTAAAGAAGCAACCGGAAAGAAGTCGAAGGCAGGGAGTCCACTGACTAAGGACTATCCTCCACCAGAGGGCGCGCTATCGCCCAAAGAGGAAAGGAGCCAAGCGGACAAGGCATCAGCCTCCAAGACAAAGCCAACCTCATCAAAGGAGTCCAAGCTGACCAGGAAGAGTGGCAACGCGTCTCCCATCACAGAGGAACGAAAGTCAAAAGACACTGTGCCTGGCAGTTTCCCCGGCGCGTTTGGCGACGACTTCGACGAAACCGAACCTTCTATGCCTCCATCTCCAGAGAAGACTAAGTCGAGGGCGAAAGTGTCAGAGAAGAAAGCCATCAAGTCCAAAACTACGACCCCCAAAGTCTCAGCAACAAGGGATCTGAATATCTTGGACGACGAAGCTGAAGGCCACAAGCTTCCCACTCCACCACCAGAGGACAAAAAATCCGCCAAGAAGGAGAGGCCGAGAGTTGAACGATCCGCAACGGCATCTTGGGGGTTTTGGGGCGCTGCCCCTCCTCCTAAGAAGTCGTCCAAGGCGAAGTCGAAGGACGACGAGGACACTTCGACACCTTCCAAGAAGGAAAAGTCACCTCCTCCAATGCTTCGATCCAAGTCAACCAAGACGCCAAAGGAAAAGGAAAGCGACGACAAGAAAGATTCCGAGAAGTTGTCCAAGTCTTCCAGCTCGGATCAGGAGGGAAAGCCAAAAGCTGCTGAACGACCCAAGGCTGCTCGAGGCACAAGTTTCTCAAATTTCATGTTTGGTGGACCCCCTCCTTCCGCCATGCGGTCCTCAGCGACGAAGCGACCAGGTAGTGCAGCAAGCTCGCGCCCATCGTCGCGGCGCCAGTCACAAGATGGTCTAGTATCACCTCCGCCAGAGGACGAAAGCCCAATGAATTCCAAGGCCGCGAAGCTCATGGGCATGAAGACTGGGAAGATGGAGCGTAGAACATCAGTCAAGTCTAAGGGCAAAGGTCGGTCCCCCACTCCCGGATCTTTTGCGAAAGTGCAAGGTATTGACTCCGCTCTAGGTCCACCTGATCCGTATCCAATTGACGACGACGACATGGTGATGATCCACACACATGAGGATGCACCTGCTGAGAATGGGACTGGTGCCAAGGTCAAGTCCAAGACTAAGGCTTCCATACCTAAGAAAGAGGTAGGTGAAAAGTCCTCCTCTATGCTTCCTGGACATATTGTCCGCCCGTCGTGGTCGCCAGATTTCAAGAAAGAGCAGCATGCTGACGGGAGGGTTTCGTTCACACAGATTAAGTCGCAAATCAGAAATTTTTCCAATGACCATGATGTCGTCATGGTTGAACATGGTGATCCGCTCGTCACTAGCGGTCCTGACGATCTTGCCTTTGTGGATCATCCTCCACATCTCAAGAGAAGCAACACAGCGCCCAGGAAGTCGACTGGCTTTTTTGGGAGTCTCTTTGGTGGTGCAAAAGCCATCGATCCTGAACCAAGGCCGCGGAGCATGACCTTAACGGATGCCGAAGATCAAGGTCTCCCTATACGCTCCAAAGATCGATCCAGGAGACGATCTCGAGCAGTGGATGGTGACGGTTTTACCACAGACGCGCCTGCTGAGACTGACGCTGATGTTGAAGCACGACGTATCGCGAGAAGAGCGAAGCGGGAGGCACGCGACCAACAGGAGGAGGCAGGACGAGCAGAACGGGAGCAAAAACGGCGGGAGAGGCGAGAACGAGAGAAGGCCGATCTTGAAGCGCATCAACGGAAAGCACGTGAACGAGCTCGAAAGGAGCAAGAAGCAGAAGACCAGCGACGCGAAGAGAAGCGAGCTCGTCGGGCTGCTAAGGAAGCTCGTATCCGACGAGAAGAGCTCGAGATGAGTCAAGAGGCCGACAGAAAGCGTGAAGAACGAAGACGTCTTCGTGCTCAACTCGAAGCAGAGGACGGGGCCAATCATGAGATGTCGAAGGAGGAACGTCGACGCGTGTACGAGGAGGAGGAAGATGAGCGCAAAAGGCGAAGGGAGTACAAGTCAAGAGACAAAGACCGAGCACGTTCTAGTCGACATCGCCCCAGTGCTCTAGCTGAGGAATACCACGAGAGTCGAAGTGGTGGCGGCAAAGGAACTCCACCGCCAGCCAATAAGACCAGCTCTTGGGTCCATTCACAAGCAGATGAACCACCCGAGTTACCACCAGTCGCAGAGACAATCTTGGACCCCAGCGGTGAGAAGCCTCGTCCCGCCGATGATGACTATGACCATAAACGGAGAAGTCGAAGGCGCGACAAACACGGTGGAATGACCGATGCCGAGGCCGAAGAATATCGGGCAAGGAGAAAAAGCTCCAGGCGTGCTGAAGGCAAAAGCCACAGTGGTGGCAGTGACGAGCGCGATCGAGATCCAGACCGAAGAGAGCGGCGAAGACACCGTGATAGAGACCCGGCTGATGAGCGAGGTTCTGGTGGTGGCTACGGCTACGACGAAGCCCCGGTCAAGACATTCGATGGAAGACCGACGCTGGGGAGGAATGACAGCAAACGAAGGAGTTTCCTCGGCGGGTTCTTCTGATGACCTTGATCCCTCGACTTCTGGGAGATGTCGGGCTCGATCAGGAGTCATCGGCGGCCTTCTCACCAGCCCAGCCCAGCCCGGCCCAGCCCAACCGCAATCAGACTTTGCCACTCAATTCGCGATAAGCAGATGAACATAACCTGGCTGGAACAGGTGTGCAACTATCTATCGCATTATCATTTTCTGCTTATTTATATAATCTATACCCTTGTTTGATTGATTGGCATTTCAGCGATAGCGAGAGCAGGGGAGCAATTTAGCTTGCTCTTCGGAAATGGGGAATATATCGAATTCCCTCAATCTGGCAGATCCTGTTCTATGGTAGGGAGAGAAAGGAAGAAATTGAAGTGGGCAAGATTTTCGAAGTTACTTCCAAGGGTACAGCCGAGCGTACCACCAGCACTACAATATATTTCGGTATAATCTGGTCATCATGTGTGTGGGTGCTTGTCAGCGTCTATTCGAAGTTTGAAGTTATGTTCGATGCAGAGAAGAGATATACCCACTTTGTGTTGTTGGTGTTGATGATGATGATGATGATGATGATGATTAGCCTCTGGGATCTACCTGGCAGTACTTGCCTCTCAATATCTATCAATATCAACCATCATTCCCACAGACGCGGGCGGGAGCCCTATCGTAGCATTTGAAAGAGGGAGTGATAGCGGTGGTGGATAAGTCGTCGCGAAGGAAAGGGGAAGGGGAAGGGAAGAGATTGTTTTGGCCTGGTGTTGACGTAAATAAAGATGCACTGGACAGTTCATGGTCATACAGTATCGTGAAGAGCTCTCAGAGGATGGATGGATGGATAGATGAAGCATTTCGAATTTGGTTTTCGGCCAATTTGAAGCACGAATTACAATTTCAAGTTACCGGCGCCTCCGTTGGCGGCGACGTCGGTGTCCCTGCCGCCCGAGGCACTCTTCTTCCTCCTCGTCTTCTTGCCCGCCAGATCTTGCAATTCTCCTTTCTTGTCGATGACCTTGACGTTGCCCTTTCGCAGCTGGGTCAGGATGTCTTCCTTCTCGGCGTCCTTGGGTTTCCGTCCCGGCCGTTCGACGCGGTTCTTCTGCAGGTGGGCGGCGTCGGTAGTACCCTGCATCTGGTTTGCTTTCTTGATCCGTTCCTTCTCCCGCCTCCTTCGCCGGAGCTTCTCTTCGCGGGTCATCTCGTCTCTCGCGGCGCTCGAGCCGCCTTTTCGAACGACAATGTCGTTGTCGTCGCCGCCGGCCCCTTTGCGCTTCTGGTCCTCGCCCGGGCGGTAAATTTCCTGGGGTGCGAGCATGCTGTCCTCTCCGCCCGCTCCGACGGGCCGGGCGTCTTCCATGGAGATGGTCGGCTTGTCTTCGACGGTCTTGATCTCTGCCTGTGCGCGTCGAGGCTTGAAGTTCAAATTGCTCAGCAGGTCGAGCTGGGACGAGACTTCTTTCCAGATCCTGCTGATTTCTTGCTGAGCCTTCTTGGTCGCCGCGGACCGTTGGTCCACGTAGCCCGGGTCCGTGGATTTTAGATGTTCTTGTTCGTAGATTTCACCCAGCCCCGCTGTGGGCTTGTTGTCGTCCAGCTCCACTCGTCCACGACGCGTCGTGCTCGCGTCGCCGAGTGCATCCGGATGACGGCGGATCACTTCGTCGAATTCTCGTGCGAGAATCCGGCGCTTGATTAGCTGCTCAATCTCCTCGGTCGTCTCGGCTGTGTCCACAAGGACCGGCTTGCCTACGCGCTCGAACTCAAGGTCCTCTTCCAGTAGGGAGTTGACTGGGCGGTCGGCGCCACGGGCTTCGCCGGAGACGGTCCAGTCCTTTTTGGCGATGTTCGCGGCCTCGAGGCGACGGATCTCGGCCGCGATTTGAAGTCGCTGTTTTTCATGGGTGGACAAATTCTTCATCGAGGGCTTGTCCAGATCTGACCCAGATAAGTCGTCATCGGAAGCTTCATCCTCTGATCCGAGCAGATCTCGACGCACATCTGCCATGGCTCGAGAAATGTCGTTTTCAGCGTCCGAGTCGGTTTGATTGGCGATTCGTGGCTTTGGCTGTGTTTTGGGTAGAGCCCGCATCCGGTTGGATCTGGATGGTTTCTTGGGAGGAGGGGCGAAAAAGTCCGCATAGCGAATGTCATTTGTGTTGTCGATTCCAGCCAGTCCTTGATCAAGGTCGTCATCAGGGTCAAGGATTTCTTCGTCACTGCCAATGGCACTCAAATCGGCGTCCCCGAATGTTGGGCCGTCGTCGGAGGAGTCAGCTTCTTCCTCGTGTTTTCCCTTGCCTTTAGTTCCCTCGTGATCTTTTGGCTTGTAGAAGGCCATGGTCAAAGGGTCAGCATCCCAATCGACTTCATCCTCATCACTTGGGTTGTCATCGTCGCCTCGAGCGTCTTGTTGTTCAAGAAATTGAGTTTGTTTGTTGAAGTCGTCGATGGAGAAGAATCCATCGTTGAGGTTATTTGGATCTTGAAGATAGGTTCCTGGATTGGCGTCCTTGGCTTTAGAGGACGAGTCCTGATGGTCGCTGTCTTCAGTGTCTTGTCCAGTATCGTTGTCGTCAATGCCAATGCCATCGCCATCATCATCATCATCATATTCTTCTTCTTCTTCTTCTTCTTCTTCTTCTTCTTCTTCTTCTTCTTCTTCTTCTTCTTCTTCTTCTTCTTCTTCTTCTTCTTCTTCTTCAATCTCTTTCTCGTCCTCCCACTCATCGAGAGCTTCTTCATCAAGGCCGTCCTCCTCCTCCTTCTCCTCCTGCTCATCGGTGGGGCGATTCTCTGTTGCAATAGCATTGACAATGGGCTCGTCCTGGGCAGCCTGGGCAACGATGTTCTTGGCGACTTCATCGGAAGCAGCATCTAGAATCCTCCTTGCCTGCTCCCAGATTTGTCTGATGGCTAGCCCATCGGTGTAAATTTGACGCAATTGCAGGGGCAGAGGGGTGTCCTCATGACCGGTGTCCCCTCGTTTTCTTTTTCTCCTATTCTCATCCCTTCTCAATGTCTGCGCACCGGCAATGTCGAAAGCTAAGGGGTCAAGTAGTGTCTTGATAGTAGACAAGGTCTGATGGTGTAAATTAAACGTGGGCTGCAAGAAATGATGACAGTCTGAGGACAGGCTTGACAGCAGCGAGCTGGGAAGGGCCATGGTGGTGGCCTCGACGAGGGACATGGAGAATCTCAAGACTGAGGAGGCCCGCAGATACAGTGAAAGGTAAAGCCTGCCCGCAGCCTGATAGGAAAAATCTGGCAATGCCTAATTTGGCGAGTTCGAGTTTGTCTGCGGGCGCACACAAAGGATGTTGCATGTGTCTGCTCGGAGAATAATTTTTTCTCTTGTTTTCGAGATGGAGCAAAGCGACTAGGGCAGGGTGACCAACCGGATACAACGGGTGCCTTACCCTGCACCTAGTTACTGACGGAATACGGGAGGGGGCCCTGCTCTCAGGTACTTGTCAGACTCCTCGGTACCAACTGGCCCAAGGTATACGCGGTATTACTCCGTCCTCCGTACCTCCTAGGTGAGCACAGATAGACTGACCCCCCATAAGGCCCTGATTATTGGGCAGGGGAGCGCCAAGCAAGCCTACTCTGACGATCAGGGCTCTCCGATTTTAGGCTAATCTATGCTGGCACCAGCTTGGTCTTCGAGTGGGTCTGAGAGCCCGAGGCCCCTCATATTTGGGCCCTGGCAGTCATGTAACTGGCATGCTCCCTAGGTGGAACAACGCCTGATGGCTCTTTCTGGAAATACTCGTGTAGCGGAGGGGAGGGGAGAGTCGAGCTGGCCACACAAGATGTTTACTCGTAATCTACCTTGGTACGGAGTATTATCATCCAGTCAGCTCCGGGTTCTCGTGTTGGAGGTCCCAACAAACATGTGCATAATCATGGTCTGTATTCATTCGGGGACGAGTCTGTGGACGTTGCTCCGTTCTCTGGACTAGTCTAATGGTAAAGTATCAGAAATTCAAGAATACCTCGCAATCGGCCGGTGGGAGGTGGCATCTGTCATGTCGCAAGATGCAAGTCAATTCAAACTCAAAGGGCCATCTGCATGCTTTGCTGCTGTTGAGCCCTGCGTGCGGACAGTCTAGGCTCGATCGAGTTACAGCAGCTGTTATCCTAAGCCTGGACATGCAGTGGGGGGTGGCACCTAAACGCGACCAGGGCTTAACTGCCGTTCGGGGAGCCACAGGGTAGCCACTGGGGCGTCACTGGCCCTTTTTCACAGACCACAGCCTGTAGGCCCTAGGTAGACATAGCTGAGAGGTCTGGCTACGACCGCTGGGGAAGATTGGCGTTGTTGGATTGCCACTACCACCACCGTCGCCAGCCAGTGAGACGTTGGAAGACTCTTCAATCGCCCCTCCTCGTATCGAACGACCCGCCTTCCCAGTCCGTTCTGGCTTCAACTCTCTAATTACTAGTCTTGAGTTTTCTGGTCCTACGAGTAAGTCTCTAGTCGTTAGGAGAGGCCTCTACGAGTGCAGTCTCTCAGATCACAAGGATTCAACTCCCAAGAGATACCACTCCGAGGAACGCAAGACACTGGCTGGGAAGACCAGAATCTCTTCGCCTCTCACCTCTCACCTGTTAGTTCTCACTTCTTACCTGTTACCTCTTGCATTCTTGTCATCGACTGTGGTACGGAGCACTGTTCTGATCAGCACAAGCTCCGCAGTACTCGGTGCTGTCCCATCGTCCTGCACGTTTGCAGAAAAGCTCCCACTTGGACGCCAGTCTCACTCCCACTTCCAAGCCCACTCTCAATCCCATTCCCAATCCTACCTGTGCCCACACAGGGCTCCTGCGCCTGCCTGTGACATACTCAAATAGCCAGTCCCAGTCCCGGTTCCTATGAAGTTTACGACCACTGTCAATCTCGCTGCTATCATTCCTTCCTGATCTTCCCAACCTATCGCCTCCACCAAATGAAGTTCGGCGATACTCTCTACCAGAGATCAGTACCTAAGTGGGCTGCGTATAACTTCAAATACAATGAATTAAAACACCTGATAAAGACAAGGACCTCCGCCGGCTTTGCCGTGCCTCTGGACATCCCTGCTCAGGGCAAAAGCCGTTGGCAAGAGCTGGACAATCAATTGCTGAGGCTGTTACAGGGAGAGTACGACAACGTTACTCTGTTCCTTCGGAGCAAGCAGGGCGAAATTGACCGTCGAGTCGCCCACCTTGAGAAGCAGGTCAAGATCGCTGAACATGCCGTTGATGAGAACCACCTCGACCGCCCAATTCTGCAAGCCAGAAAATACCAGCGCTTGGTCAAGGACGCCGAAGACATCAGTGATGACATCCAGAACCTCGCCCGTTTCGCCGCCGTGCAGAAGACGGCTTTCCGTAAACTCCTCAAGAAGTATCGCAAATGGACTGGCTCCACCGATCTCCAGACTAGGGTCGACGTTGAGGTCTTTTCCTCCGAGAAACTACGGACCGACTACTCGGATTATCAGGCACAGATCACCGAACTCTCAACCATTCTGACCGACGAATTGGCCGCTCCGATGCTGACCGGCAAATCCACGAATCCCTCGTCGGAACGAAACCGTCTCTCCACTCAATCACTTAAGAAGTCCATTGTCGGTCAGATTAACGAGGCTGCTTTACGTACTCCTCTAGCTTTTGATGCTGCCGTTTTGACCATCCCGTATGGAGAGGCCGCCGGCAGTGCCATCTACTGGATCCATCCCGATAACCTTGACGAGGCTCGTACGCTGTTGCTGAAATACATGCGTGATGCATCCACTGCTCCTCCTCGTGCCAATTCTTCACTATCAATTGCTTCTCAAAGGCGGCCATCTGCCCTGTCTACGTCTGCCGATGATTTGACCCACGCCATCTTCTTTGATAATGCCCAAAGATTTGTCAAGGACTCCAGCCAGTCGCGACCAACTCGCATTGCTCTAAGTGCCCATTGGAGTCAAGAGCCAGAAGCTGCCGTCACCCTGGCTGGTCTGTCTCCCAGTTCAGCTGGCTCGACCATCTTGACCATCAAAACAAAGGACTTATCTTCTGCTCTGCAACGCGAGTCAAGCCCTCCTAAGCAGTCATATGAAGTCTCAGCAATCCGCAACTACTTGACCGAGCATCGCGACGTCAAGCCCCTGGCCGAGATTTCTTCCGTTCGTTCTCGCTATTTTGGCATCACCAATTCAGCTGACGTTGCCAATTGGGCCACTCTTGATTCGTCCCTGACCGTCACCCCCGTAGACATCGCTCACCTGGAGGATCCCACCCATCACCCAAACACCGGTGACGCTTTCCCCTACGCCGTTTTGCACATTCGTTGGGAGTTCGCACGTACCCCTGCCGTGGTCCGAACATTCGACAGCTCTCACCTGGCTGAACGCATCTATGACTTTACTCTAGAGAACATGGCAATCCACACCGTCCAAAGGCACCTTCCAGAGCCCTCTTGGCACTGTCTTCTTGACAAAGATATCAGGAAAGTCCCAATAGCTCCTGGCAAGAACAGATCTCGACTTTCGAGTCGGGCCAACCCTAGCCAAACCGACATGTCTGGCATCTCATCAGGTCCATCCTCTACCGATGGTATTGCTGCCAGTAGTATCTTCTCAGCCCCCCAACGACGGCTCTCGTCTGTGACATCAGACGATCACATCACTAGCAGTGAGATCTCCGACCCATTCCAGCCGACCACCTCACCCGCCATTGGCCGGAAAAAGAAGCGCGCTCGTCTCTTGCTCCCCAAACCTGATCCACCGTCACAACGGTACTGGAATGAGTTCGACGATGGTGATTCCGATGTCAACCCCGACGATCGGTATGCTATATATGTTGATCCAGACGCTCCTCTCTTCCCTGGTACCGAGACCGTCTCAAAGACGTTTGCGGCCATGTATGCCAGCCTTAGTAAGGGCACGAGCCGAGCCGCTTCGTGGTTCCCGCTCGGCGTCAAGTTGTGGGACAATCAATCATCTCCCGAACGGGCACCACTGCTTGGAGACCAAATGTTCGGCAATGACGATGCCAATGGCGATGGCGACTCGTCTGGTTCGGACACCGATGAATTTCTCATTCCACGGCCCCATAAGCCCAAATCGTCTTGGAGGACAGCTTCTCACGGATCCGGCTCAAGGTCGATGTATCGTCCATATCAAGTGCTTACCCCACGACAAAAGGCTCTTGAACGAACCCTTTGCCTTTTTTACGGCTTTTTGATTGCCGTTTCTGGTATTCTACTAGCCATGTCCGCCGTTCTATTGGGGACAGGCCGTAGAAAGGCTGTGGTCGAAGTCGATGCCGGTGTTGTTGCTGGCGTGATAGCTGCTGAGGCCTGTGCTGTTGGCGCTATTGTCTTGATAATGTTGAGAAAACAAAGACTCAGCATATTGCACTGGGGCATTGTTGGCGCCTCTGTTGCAACTATTGTCATCGTTGGAGTATCTCTCTTAGCGTTGATGTTTGCTGAAATCCACAACGCCGCTGAGCGGAAGAGCTCAGCGCCTGGACATTAGTCAGCTCGCTGACTAACGACAATGGTAGACAAAAGTAGCCCAATTTTGAATGTCGGGCCTGGGCTCTTTTTGGGCATTGGGGAGGGAATTTGATTCCCCACATCTTGATCTTATCTGGTTCGTGTGAGCATACAGGCTCAACTGAAGTATTATTTTTCAAGTATTTGTTATGATTGCGATGTACAGAAATTATGTCGGTTTTGATGGTTACTGCAGGAACGTTGGGCAGCGTGAGTGAGGATGATCAAGATGGAATCATGAACAGCATCATGTTTATGAGGAGCATGGAGTTAAGCCACGGATATCATAGGTTTCTATGTGGCGGCGATACCCCAGGCTCGAATATTTACTACCCCTGAGAATTAGAGATTGAGGGCATCGGGGCTTGTGGAAATGAGGCATTAGGGCGAGGAAATTGGCTGTGCTGGACTGATGCTACATCGGCCTAGTCGAGCTATAGTAGTACTATAGTGTAAAGTCCATGCCTCCGTTCGCATGACTGTAATGCTTAATGCGACAATAAGTCATTCAACCAACATTGAACCACCCTCGGATTACTGGCTATTGATTTCAGGAGCCACCTGTTACATCGCTCTCGGTAGGTATATCATCATGCCATGATGGCCAAACATTTCTAATGAACTATTCTACAGTCTGCGAAATGTCCCCTCCGTATGAGAGGATATAACAATACACTCAGGGATCCACCGGCCACACCGGGCACCTCGGCCACCCCTACATCCGTTCTTCCCATGAGGACCCCTTGGATCTTCACTGCAAAGGATGCTGAAACGGCCCGCTCAGCAGCGTATCATACTTGATCCTCACGGCCTCGCTGTCCGCCCACGCCGCCCTGACGCGCTCGTCTCGGTTTCGACAGTCCTCAGGCCCTGTCGTGACGACTCGCTGTTGACCTTGTGAGCGCGCGCCTTTGACCAGCGCGGCCGTACGCGGCTGTCGCTTCTGTGCGTACTCTTCGAATGTTGCGGTGAGTGCGGCGGCGCCGAGCTTCGATAGTCCCCTCGCATACTCGGCCGAGTCGCTCGCGTCCAGGTACGGCAGGGCATGTGACAGGATGAAGCAGTCTTCCCTGGTTGGTGAGAAGAGTTTTGTCAGGACATGCGAGGACATGCATGGTGGAGGACGAGGAGACAAGAAGCAGAAGGAGAGATCAGAGTTAACTTACAGCGCCTGATTCGCACCCTGTCCCAAGTGCGGACTTGTCGGATGCGCTGCGTCGCCCACAAGCACACACCGCTGTGAATACCACTGCTCGGGTGCCATCTCTTCGCGGTCGTAGATGCCGAACTTGATGATCCTGGTCGCGCCGCGGATCAGCTGCGCCGGGACCTCGTCAGTCCACGAGTTCACGTGTTCAACGAGTGTGCGCTTGCGCTCCTCGATCTCTGCTGCAGAGCAGAGTCCCCACGCTGCCTCTTGGCCAGACCCCTCTGGTAGCGTGACCGCCCAGGATGTAATGGTGGAGGATACCGGGTAGGATATCACGTGCACTCCTGAGCCGTACCAGTTGCGCAGCGCCGGGAGGGATTGCAGGGCGGGCGGAGTGGGTGAGAGTCCGGCTGTCTGTTTCGTAGGAAGAGGGTGGATGTTAGTCATGCATGCATGGGACTTGGTGGGTGAGTGAGACAGCACGAAGGGGCATTCGGTGTCTCGTGGATTTCCTCACCTGCGTCAGACCTGTGAATTCCGGCAGGCCTTCCTGCAGCGCTCTCTTCGCCAACAGAACACTCCTCGACGCCGCTTTGATTCCATCACATCCGATCAAAAACGAACCCGTGACCGACTCCCTCCCCCTGAAATGCGCTGTGACTGACTCCTCCGTCTCGTCGATGCCCTCTAACTCCCACCCTTCCCTGACATCCACACCAAGATCTTGCACCATCCCCTTCAGCTTCAAGTTGAGCTCCGTGCGCTTGACGCCCAACCCCGGCGTGCCGTACTTCTGCTCGAACGTCGTCGGGATATCCGACATGCCGAGCACCTCGCCACTGGACGTCGTGTCGATCAGCGCCTCTAGGTCGATCGAGTCCCGCCGGATGTCGTCGAGGATCCCGACGAGACCGAGCACCTTCAGGCCGTTCGGCATCAGCATCAGGGACGCCCCTGCATCGCCCAGCTTCGACACTTTCTCAAACACGATCGGCACGTAGCCCTTGCGCTTGAGGAAGTGTGCTAGCACTGGGCCTGCTACGCCGCAGCCGATGATGAGGACCTTGATTTTGGGCATTTTGATGATGATGATGATGATTCTTCTTTTGGTCGTCTTGTGTATTTCTGTCCGCAAGCACTGGGGAGATTTGAAGTTCGCCCTATGCTTCTAGTCGTGAATGGGATGGATGGGGAGGGTTAGAATGGCCGCCGACTTTGATGTACACACATATATATCCTCGACTGAATGAACGGCTAAAAATCCGAGCCGCGGAATACTGGAGGAGTCTCTATGTCGCAAGCCACAAGACCCAGAAAGCTGCTTTTCACCCAGAGCTCTCAAACCGGAGATGGGTGAGTCAGACTGTCAGGGTAGTCATTTCCACCAATAGTTCTTCGTGCTCCAAGCCCCCCTTTAGTCAGTCAGCATGCAAAACCGGCAGCGTCCCTTTCGGTGTCTGTGCCACCAAATCGGATATGGGATACGAGGGCTGGATGTTCTTCATGGTGCATGTCCAGCGTCATTGTGCACCAAATATTTTACCGGATAAGGCCATATGGTTGGCATTGGACTTGCAGTCGTACGACTTACTATCTGGGGATCGAAGTCGGTATTATTTTGGTTTAGTATATGACGTCACACTAAATTGTGTTTGTGGGGTCAGCCTTGGCACCACTATCAGTTGGGTACGGATCCCCTTAGCCCAACGAGATGTCGTGTTGATAACGCTGAAGGCTGAGGCCAGCCAAGATGGTGACATGGTCATCGCATGAGCTTGATCTATCCTTCAGCCCTCATCAATAATAGTGCTACGGGCCATGACCATCATGGTGATCAATGCCATGTGTGCGCTTCCATCACGGAATACACCAACCAGTTCTCTGCAAACTGACACGGAGGACATCCTCGCGTTTTCCCTGAACCGCTGTCCGTCAAACCCGTGCCTGAGGCAGAGGGTAGCCACCCAAATCCTCGAAGAATTCTCTCGCCTGGTCCAACGCCAGCTTCACATATTCGCCCATGTAAGATGCTACCGCGGCGTTGCGCGGTCCTTCAACTTCTCGGGTCGTTCCACCTGCGACCTATTGTACGAATGAAATCAGTTAGTGGTAGTCTTCAGAACGAGGTCAATTCTTGCCACTCTAGCTCCCAAGCTAGCGGGAAGGAGATTCGGCTCTTCATCTACCGGACTATCTACGTAAATGAACCAGGAAAGAGCTGGGCTTACCAAGAAACACATCCCTGAAGCCTGTTCAGCACCAAGGGCCAAACTCGTGCCAACAACCACATCCGCCACGTTCTCCGGCGTATTCAACGGCAGTCCCCGCCGCCGATATTTTCCCGAGTACGCCTCGGTGATGAACGTCGGCGTGATGAATGGCGCAACCCCATTGACCTGAATGCCGAACCGACGCGCCGCCGCTTGTGATGCCCGCAGTAGCCCGATCACGCCGTGCTTCGATGCGCAGTAGCTCACCACTGACGTGCCGCCGAAGAAGCCTGAGGTCGAAGATATCAGCACGATGCTGCCTCGTGTTTGCTGTGCTCGTAGGGAGGCCGTTTGCTTCGAGGTTTGTGCCGTGGATGGAGCTGTATCGTGGTGGCTAAGATATTGCAGCGGGTTAGACTGCATGTGGAACATTGAGAGGCGGAGGGCTTGGTAATGTACCGGTTAGTGGATATCCATCAAAGGAAAGGAAAGCAGAGACTCCACGCCCTCCCCTTTTCCCAATCGCTGAAACCAACATTAACAACCTAATTTCAAAACGACCTACGTACTATTCATCGTCCCTTTCAAATTGATATCAAGCACTCTGGTAACCCCAGCATCCTCCCTCAGATCACCGGTGGCCTCATCGACCTCGAAATCGAAGAATGGCTTCGTCTCCATAACGCCCGCGTTCGCAACGACGATATCTACTGTCCCGAATCTGGAGATCGCGGTCTTGAACAGTCCAACCATTGATGACCAGTCGGTGATGTCCACTGGCACGAAAATTGCACGAGCGGGGTGCTTGAGAGAGTCGATGACCTTCTTTGCAGACGAGGACGTCGAGGGAAGGTCAGCGATCACGATGCTCGCGTTGAGCCTCGCGTAGGCTTGCACCATCGCCGCCCCAATGCCGTTCGACCCACCTGTTATCAGGGCGGTTTTGCCTGTTAAGTCGAGGGGAATCGGGGTCGCCATCCTTTCTTTCTACTTAGAGGTGTGATGGAGTGAGTAGAATTTAGATGGCCTAGTGCCTTTTATATCCGCAGGTAGTGCAACAACTATGCTGGTCAGCAAAGTGCAACTATTCCTATCTAGAACAAAAAGAAGGAATGACACTCTTAGAATCCTGCCCATTGATGCCAAAGCAGCGCTCATTTGTAAAAAGTAATCGAGGTATTCAAAATAGGACATCATGGCAGAAATGGCCGAACTAAAGGCTGTTATACGGAGTTGCGCAGAAAGGACCTTGCCAGCCTTGCCATCTCCGAAGCCCTTCGGAGATATTCTCAGTCACCGAGAATATGGAGGCCCTATGACTTGCCATTGGTGGAATGGTGACTCATTTGTTTTCAAGTCATCTTTCTGGGTCCCCCTGTCGGATAAAGGAGTGGTTGCATTCCTGTTTTCTTTTGAACTTCCTGGCCTCTAAAAGAGCAGCAAGAACTCACCATACAAAACTCCTAGGGAGAGTGAGGTGGAGCATGAAGAGGTGTCAGGGTGATAATCGGCGAAGGGGTACCGAGGTCTGACGGAATAAAAGGGGCTGCATATCCATGTCTGCCCCAAATACTCCCTACGAGCGCTTAGGTGTGTCCATCAATGATCACGCCCCTCATGTGGAATTAATCGAACGGAAATGAACCGCGTCGATATTAAACCCTGTCTTATTGGCGACTGACTGACTGCACTACTCGTGCAGTATCAACACAATGCCTACACGGCACAATTACGGGATTACCCTGCCAAATGGCAGCACGATAGTCCACAGGCGTGGCGCCAACATCAAAACTCCATTCAGCGACATCCCGGTGATAATGCACGAGCTGTCACCCGGTCAGCAGCCAAAGGTGCAAAATTCCGATCACGACCAGTCCGCAAGTAGGTCGTACGCCGGCCAATTTGGCCTCATTGAGTTCACGACGGAATACCGGCTGCCGCGTCATGTACATATCGCACCGCCGGATTCTACGGACCCAAAGAACCAAGTCTTCACGGCGGAGCGCATACTCGTGCTCTCAGGCGTGGCTCTGGTTGAACTCAACGGTGAGATATATGTGATACCGCCAAAGACCCTGGTGACGATTGCGCCGGGCGTGCCACACACTTGGACCGCATGTCCAGCTGGAGTGAGGGTTTCTGCGCCTTCTGGCCTTCCGCCATCTGCTCAGCGGGGAGGGCAGAGCAACGAGGAGTATCCAGACTCTGGGCCTGAGGCTGTGTCATCTACGGGCCAATTTTTGATGGTGTACGAGTATGAGGAACCGACGGGATTCTTCCCCACCAAGCAGAATGAAACGCTCTGCAGTGTCGAGGAATATCAACGCTGTGATGATCTCGAATCGATCAGGATACCGAAACTGAGCGCCACGGAGGTTGAACTGAACTGCACGTTCGTGTGGGAGAGGGAGACGTGGAAGGAAGAAGAATATGAATGATGGGACTGAGACAGTTCAATGATCGGAGCGCGAGCCCCGAAGTGATTACTGCTCATGCTTGCCCTATCATCCCCGGTTTAGTCTGTTGATACAACAATTAATCCAACTCACGATCATAATTTGAGGGCATAAAAGGTTATTCTTTGTGCAGTATCTGCTGAAATATGTCATTGTCTCCTGAAACTTCTTGCCACAGATCTGGAAACTACTGCACATCTGCTTTCGTAGGCAGCCAGCTTTGATTCGGAATTGGTCCAAATGCGAAGCTGCTGCCAATCACTTGTCCTCAACATGAGTTGTTGCGTCACAGCCCTTGCTCTCCTCGTCCACCATTCTGGACTCTGCCAGATCCCGAGACTTGTCAACAACGTCGTGGCGCACGTTTTATTCCTCGGTAGGCTATGCGTGCTTCCACATGGTCCAGAGAGGGCGCTGGAACAAGTTATCCATACTTTCGATGGAGCGACCTTTAAGCTCGGGCAGGCAGAAGTAGATGAACACAACACCGGCATATGTCAGCACTGAGTAGAGCAGAAACACTCCTCAGCCCATGCCGGAGATCATGTTAGGCGTTCCACGAGTGATGCCGTAGTCGACAATCCAGTTGTCGAAGAAGCAGAATGACATGCGAACAGCTCGCGGGGCCATCCGTTAGCGGATGGCATTTAGTAGCTGTCAGGGCTGTGGTTTCAACTTGCGATACGAGTGGGGAAGATTTCCACTGCGACAATAGAATGAGCGACGCTGTGTCCAAATGACCATCCAAAGGCATAGACGTAGATCCATATCACTCCGAAGATACCACCTGTTGGAACACCGGAGATGGTCTGGGTATTCGTGCTGGCAAAGCGCAGATACAGAGCTAAGTAGAGCATGGCAGTAGCCTGTAAAGTGGCGCCGATGAGTAGAGGAAGGCGTCGACCAACCCTATCGACAAGGAACGCAACATTGAAGATGGTGGTGACAAATTTGACCACTCCTTATACACCTGTAGTAAGCAGGCTAGAGGAGCCACCCTTGACACCGATGAGCTGGAATATCTCGAGAGTATAATACTTCAAGGCTCATTAGTAATGCTATTTCACGCCCGTGCGAAGAAACTTGCGTTCAGAGAGTCTGTGCCTGTGAATTTGTGGAACAAGAAGAGCATTACCGCGAGGAAAAAGTGTCGAGGATGACACCCGATGAGAAAGATGTCTTTGAGCACAACCCAGTAGCTATGGAATTGATAGCATTCTTATTCGTAGCGGACCTGTACCATGATCTCCTGGTATTCTGTTTGGACGTGTGGGTGGTCGGCTGGGAGGCCTCTGAGTTGAACTATTTTTGCCAGACCCTGCTCAGATTTGCCATGGTTGACTAATTGCACCTGTCAGGCACCCATGAGATGCAGTCTGTGTGCAGATGACTTGCTCAGATACCGGGGGTCCTCTAGCACGGATGGAACCATCAGACACATGAGCGCGTCGGGGATCAGTTGAATTCCGAGGATCGTTCGCCATTGTGTGTCATCGGTCTTAATGTCTGGCCTGGACCAGAGACTGAAGGATCATCAAATTATAAGTGGCTGTCATGGAGCCACGAATCAATTTCGGAGAGTTTTCTGCAAGGAATTGAGGAGCAGGCATTGATGTTGCACCCACTCCCAAGCCTCCAAAGAAACGGCCAGCGATCAGGACGTCGTAGTTTGCAATCATTTGCATGACTGCACCGATCAAAAAGACGATGCCCCAGAGGAAGACGGACCACTCCCTGCCGAGGAAATCAGCTGTAGGTGCAGCACAGAGAGCACCTGCAGAGCCACCAGCTGCGAGCATGGCCGCAATAGTACCCTAAGTAATTCCAGTTGGGAGGGACCAATGTTTGAGACGGGGCCATCTTGCCCTTCTGCTGTCATAATCCTCCTGGGACAGCTCGGACAAGCCAAACGCATGCTTAAAAGAAGGCAGCGTCAAAACGCCACCGATGTTGCCGCTATCGAATCCATAAAAGCATCCCACCCAAGCGACAGAAATGAGAATGAACAGAAGCCGTAGATTGAAGATCTCCCTTGGACCATGCTTGGCTTGCTGGCTGAACCAGATACTTGTGCCTCCCGCCATCGTGTCAACTGTGAGTGATTTACTTCAAGACAAACCTCAGTGATATTTATCTGTAGAAAATAGCTTTCTCATGAACAAAGATCTTGGGGGAGAATGCGTTTCGAGAGACGGCGACCAGCGGGATTTAAGGTGGAGACTGTGCGAGGAGTAACTCTTGTCGGACCCTCCATATGTTAAGCTTCATACCTCCGCAAACTCAGTACCCGGGTCAAAAGCGTGTTCAATCACTCTGGGGTCGTGGCCTCGTGTCGAGCGGCATGGCGAGGTTCGGATGGGAAGCCGATCATAGAATGGTGGGATTGGTGGTACGCGAATCGTATCGGCCAGAGTCCGCACATTCGGCCAGCTCACCCGTGCAATGGCCAACTCTATTCGAACGTAGGAGATCAACCCAGGTGATTAACCACACTGAAGGTATTGGAAGGGTGCTTAACGCCTTAGTACACCATGTACGTCAAAGTCCTTAGAAAAGCACGCAAGCATGGCAACCAGAATAGGGACTTAAACTAACGGCCCAACTAACTAGTAACTACGCAACCTTGAGATTGATAACTTCTCCCCTGCAGCGGGAAGAACTCATCCTTCCAACAACAACGCAGCAATGTCACGCCTCCAATCTATGCATTCTTGCAAATGGCGATATATTGTGTGCCTGTTTCGGTGGCAGTCAAGAGGGCAAACCGGACATTAACATCTATATGTCTCGTCTCGCAAAGGGTTCATCGAAACGGACTGAAGCTATGAAGATGTCCCATGACAACACGAGAAGTGAGCAAATCCGGTGATTTTTCAGACTCCATCAGGTGAGCTCTGGCTTCTCTATACTTATCAGATTTCTGGAAATCAGGATTCTGCCATCGTCAAAAGGCGAGTTTCTAGGGACGCAGGATCTCTTGGGACGCCCCTGTAATTCTCTTTGGTGAACCCGGAACGTTCATCTACCAGCCTGTGGTGGCTCTCGAAAATGGCACATGGGTTATTCCAACTTTTGAATGCCGTACTGAGCCAAATACAAGATGGGCTGGCAATGATGATACCTCTTGTATCCGAACTTCGAGCGATCAGGTAGAGACCTTGGTGGAAACCGAGATGCCAGCTACGGATCTGTTCATATGCAGATCGGACAATTAAGAGACAAGACCTATCTGGCAGCTTTTCGAAGCAGATAGGCGGACAACGTTTACCTGTCACGCTCCTCTGATGGACTGGGTTGGTCGGAACGGAACCGACCCCGTCGTGCTTACCTAACACAAACGCTGGCATTTGTTTTGGTTTTCTTCCTTCGGGTCGCGTTCTGATTGTTTACAATCATTCATCGAAAGAGAATGCTGTCGGCAGGCGCGAAGGACTATATGATGATATCGGTGAAGAAGGTGACAAGTGCAAGAACCAGACCAGCTAACATGCTGGGAAAGAAGCATTCTGGGGTGCGCCGAGGTTACCGATATGTCTCGGATGGAGTGATGATAACGGCCAGGTGGACAAGCCAAGTCCTTGAAGACGGTGATGGCTATTGTATGACTAACAACAGCGAGCATAAACTGAACAGAGAACTATCTTACCCGAGCATGGTAACAGACAGTGACGGCTTCATTCACTTGGCATATACACACTGGAGGCAGAGGATGAAATATATCCAGCTGACCCCGGCGGACTTTTCGAGATCGCAGCGCTCCCTCCGGCTACCAGGAAACGAGAAGCATTCAAGTTAATATGTACTAATCACTTTTGATGCAGAATAAATACAGCTTTCTTAGGGCTATCTGATATTGTTTACCTAGTAAAATCTGTCAATGTTACAACAACAGTTCAAGTTCTCTTCATAATTTTTGTACCTACTTTCTATGATGTTGAAGAAGACAAATCGTGTTCTATTGTGTTGATACCATGTAAAATGAATTGTCTTTCATAGGGTGGTCTCTATGAACCTTACATTTCGATCTTATACTAAGCAGGACCTCATTAAAAGAATTGGACGATAGAGGCTCTTAGCACGCTCTGTCACCAACGCAGCCCTAAATTCACCCAGACACAAAAGAGTCCAAATCTATCATTGGCAAGAGGATGACTAAGCTTTCTCAATAATTGTGTCAATGCTTGTCGATGCCATTGATTTGTTCTATAGGCTTAACAGTCCCAATGTTGGTAGAGAATTCTCCACTTCCACCAAATGCTTCATCACATCCACGATCCAGGTTTGCATTTCCTTACCAGCAGGCTTGTATGGCTTTCGCGGATAAAATACTCGGGGGTCATTTACTCCAGCGAGCGGACCGGCGAAATGGCCAGCTCCAAACTTAATCGCGGCAATTCCTTCTTTACAAGCCTTTTCTGCCTGAGCCACAAGACCTTGTAGCTTGATTGCTTCCTGTACCTTCCCTTCCTGCCAAAGATTGTAGAGTCGGCACACAGACTTTGGGAAGACATTTCCGATTCCGGTGACACAACCGTGGCCGCCGCCACTTAAACATGGCACTAACCAATCTGATTGGCCAGCAAAAACGCCAAATTGAGCATGCGTGTATTCTTGAGTCAGGCGGGTTACCTTGCCGGCATTCCCACAAGTCAGCTTCACACCAACAATATTGGGGTGTTTGGCAAGTTCAGAGAGGACATCTGAGTTCAGGTCGATGCCATTGCACACAGCAGGGAACTGGTATCGGAGGTCAGTCATTGTAGGAAAGTTGTCATGAATGGAGAAACCGGCTCACGTTATATATTACAACTGGTATCGGGCTCTGCTCGGCTACATCGCGATAGAAGCTGAGAATGACATCTTTTGTGACGGCCTTCGCCCAATAACTGGGAGGTAGCAGAAGCGCAAAATCCGCCCCGGCTTCCCTTGCTTCTTCTGCAAGTCGAACAGATTCAATGGTTGATTGCCCACTGATGCCAGCTACCAGCGGATAGTTTGCGAAACCTAAATCAAGAGCTGCTTTCCGGGCTATTCGCAATAAATCTTGACGTTCAGTGGGAGATAGCAGGACTGCCTCCGCAGTCGATCCTGCTAGCACGAGAGCATCCACTCCTCCAGATATTAGGTAAGAGAAGTACTTGTATGAGGAGTCTAGATCAACTTCTTGGCGGTCAGTGGCTTGATAGACTGAGACGACAGGGCAATAGACGCCCTTGGGAAGTGGCCGCGGCTTCACAGCAATAGTTGAAGTCATACTTGGCTGATTGAAGATGAGAGAGCAAGCTAGTCAATTGATTCCTGCTTCGTTGAGTGAGGACGGTGGTTGTCAAATCCAATTAGTCTCCGTAAGAAACTTCAGTCAGGATACATACCAGTAAACTAGTCAAGCCTTCTTGCTGTGACGGGGCGGTCATTTCAAGCATGTTGTCTGGCTTCCTACGGAAATTCCGACGGGCTGGCGCGGCATTTGAGCCACTAGGATTAACTCTGGCTGCCGGGTTTGCATCCGGTTCCTAATAGACTTGTCGGAGGATCTCCGGCTGCAGCCTTTTCGGTCACGCGGCGAAGAGCATACCTCCAGTGTCAGTATACACTGCCATCCTTGGTCTATTCCTCATCTTTGGTATTCTAGAACCACTTGTACGTGAACAGAGTCGTGCTACTCTCCAGCGGGGAGTGGTATCCTCATCCAACCTGTGGATTGGTGGAGGTGGTCAGCCAATCAGTGCTCAATAAGCCAGGCGCGCGATAACCAAAACAGGACTAGACAACTCAAGGTAAGCAAGTCAGCCGAGGGATAGTGAAGTGGGAGAACTTTCCGTTCACCTCATCTCAACCACCCCCACTTCAGTAAGAGCAAAAAACACTTTCAAGAAAGGCGATATCCAATCTGCGATCTGTGATCTTCCCAACAGTGTTTGACCCCTAGCGGATAAGATATCACCGCACGTAGGCTATCCAAAGTTGAACCGCCAGCTGGTCCTACCTCCTGGTTGGATCCTTGCTGCATTCCACGCGGTGATTGGCCGGATTGCCAATGACGATACGTATCATGCTTCCTTTGTTCTAAGTTCACTCGTGCTTGGCTTGCAGAGGGATCGATTAACACCAGTGGAAACCCCAAATTATCGCATTCGATATCACGACCCTTAAAATGTCAAAACGAAAGCGTTCTTGGGAGTCTTCCACTATCTCAAGCCAGGGGCAAACAGCAGAGATCGCATTGACTGGCTACGAGGGACACAACTTTAGTGGCAGTTCCATAACCAATCACTGCGTAAACCCTTCGGAAGCTATCCAGAATCTCAGCGGCGAGGAAATTCTTCCTTACGAAGCATCATCCATCGACCAACGGTTACATGAAGCCTCAGCAGCAGGGCCCCCCATCGATGCTTCATGGAAGCCAGATAGTGTTACGCCAGCTGTGCGCAACGACTCTGAAGCCTTTCCAAGCATCACTAGGAAGATCACAGCATGCGACGTCTGCAGGAAGCAGAAAGTAGGGACATCTCTCTAAAAGTTCGAGTATTGAGATGGGCCTTGTGCTAATGAAGGCTCTGTTCAGATCAAATGTGAGATGCCCAATGACAGGCCACCGTGTGTTCGTTGTTCACGAAGAGGTGTGCAATGCGTTCTCAATAAGAGCCTTCAAACTCTACTCGATGGAAGCAAGTAAGTCTCATTCTTGACAACTCTGTCCCTTGCTTCATTCGATTTTGCTCGAGAAAGTGAGATACTGCCAAGTTTTCATTATTCTTTAGCTCATCTTGCGATCGTCTTCATGACATATTAGTTGCAGGAGAAAACTCATGTACGGAATACAGGCAAACGGAGCTGTTGCAAATCGACATTTACAATCTCCACGAAACACTTGAAATTGTGTGTCGCAGACTTGGTGTTTCGGTTCCCCGAGCACTCTCCACCAGAGCCCCCGTAAAAGTCTCCCAGGACAATGGAGCTATCAGCAGCGATAACGACCAAGAGTGTGAAATATCCCCTCCAACATCGCCCTCGGCCGTGCAAGCTCCGATTGACACCTTCCTCGAAGTTACTAAGCTTGGAAGCCCAACATCAGCCGATACTCCACACAGTCTGCGCCAGAATCGTCCGAATCAAAATTTTGATCTGATTGGCAAAGGTGTCACTTCACTGGCAGTGGCAGAGAATCTCGCCCAAAGCTACTTTTCTCGCCTCGACCATTACCTTTATGGTATTGGAAGTAGCCTGGGGGACTTACAGTCTTTGAGACATACATCACCTATATTGATAGCCGCTATCTGCACAGTCTCTGCCCTCCACGATCCCAAGGACCAGTCGCTCTACGAGGCTTGTAACCGAGAATTTCGTCGTCGCGTATCAAGATCGGTTTTCGAAAAGCGAGGGATAGATCATCTACAAGCTTTATGCATTGGCTCTTTCTGGTTGACAGACGCATCAAGAATCCTTTGTAGTGATGCTCTGCGCAGAGCAGCAGACACAAGGCTGCACAAGCACTTCCAGCAGCTTCTTCAACCTCAAGCTTTTCAACCGGGTTCGGGTATGAACCTAACTCCAGCTGATCATACCAATCGCATCCGACTTTGGTACTTGCTCTTTATTTGCGACCAGCACCTCTCCATTCTTCATAACCGTGATCCACTCCTACGGACAGACAAAGAAATCACTGCTAACTGGGAACTCTTCTTGGAACGAGAAGGGGCGACCGATTCAGACATTCGATTAATGTCACAAGTTGCCTTACTTTTGATCATGGGTCAAGTACGGGACACGTTTGGGTCGGAACTTGATGACAAACTCTCGAAAGGTCTCGCAGTCCACCTGGTGAGTTACTCAAAGCAGTTGGATATGTGGTACAACAGATTTTCGAAGCTCTTCAAACCAAATCCTCACATTGGCAATTTTCCCATGAGAGGTCTGCAGATGCATTATCAATTTGGGAAGCTATACTTGGGACACCATGTCTTTAAGGGTCTCAAAGGAGAACCCGTTCCACCATACTTTTTGTCCTTGGCAAACACCACCCGCGACGCGGCTGTCGAGATCTTTGACATGATCATCAGGGATACTGAACTACAACAAAGCCTTGTCGGCATGCCACACTATTTTCACATCATGATAGCCTTCGCAGGGCACTTCCTTCTCGAAATCTGCAGCAAATATCACAGCCAATTGTGCATCGATCTTGACCATAACTTCGATTTGATCAGCAGAGTCCTGAACTTGTTTCAGAGTCTACCATGTATTCCACAACATCCAATTTCGCGCATGACTGCCGGTTTGGCCCGCAAGCTGATGACGAGCGCAGCAACCGTCAATATCAATGGAGGCATCGATTATCAATCCACTGGTATCCAAGAAATGGCGATGGGCCATCCTAATGGGCCCGATTCGTACTTGGCATCTCAGGTACTAGACAATGGACAGCAGCGCAATAATAACCAATTTGTTCCCGGTTTCATGCATCCAGCAACAAACCAACATGGCCTCATGTTCTCGGATTTTGAACAGTTCAGTTTTCCGGAGATGACCATGAACTTCATGTCTTGAAGGAGGTATTCCAGTCTCACTGAGATTGAAGTCGGCTTATGTTTTCGGTAGGGACATGACATCCTCAATAGATTGCTCAACAGTCTGCAAGAGCAGGCCATCATCCTGAAATCCCAACGCCCTGGCTCGAGACACATCGAACCTAGCTAGCCAAGAGCCTACAATCATGGCGACTGTCTCGTCTGGTATCTCCTCAACAAGGGAGAGGGCACTCTTTCCGCCGACGATCTCCAATGCATTGAGCATTTCCTGGACGGTCACTGTGATACCTGATAGATTCAACGTCCGGCTTCCTGACCCGTACGCAGGCTCTGGGATATTTCCAGCAATCAGCAGATTTTTGATAATTGTTCTTGTCGAGCAGACCCAGGGCTTGAGATGACGCGGCACTGGCAGGGCGCTCCTTTCTCCGTTTAGAGGTTCGCGGATAACTCCAGAACAAAATGATGATGCTGCTCCAGTCGGCTTCCCCAGCCGGACGATGATAGTGGGTAGCCTCACAATTCGGCCATCCAATAAGCCTCGGCGAGAGAAGTCGTTCAGTAGGGTTTCAATCATGAACTTCTGCGCTCTATAGGATGACTGCGGGACCGGCATGGTAGAATCGTCAATGAAGGCCTCCTCGGAGTTCTGCCCAAACACTGCCAGACTCGAAGGGAAAATAACTCGAACACCAGGCTTGACTTTGCGCATAGTGTCCATGATGCAGCGCATTGAATCAACATTTACAGGCAGTCTGGGATCCAAGTTCGCCTCTGCCGCTCCTGACATGATTCCATGGAGATAAACGTGGGTAAGCTCAGGGGTGAGTAATTTTTCACAAGCGTTCAGTTTAGTGAGTTCTGTTGCAGTGTTCCTAATAGTGCACCTTGCAATGCTGGACTTTGACTGTTCAGGGATCTTTGGTTCTACAACATCAGTGAGAAAGAGATTGCCGACAGACGGGTCGGTCAGCAGGGAAGCAAGCAGCTAGGCACTGGCCAATGAAACCCCTGCCCCAGTTACAAGAATCGTCTTTTGGGTGTTGTGAAGGCTTCCCATGTTGCTCTCAATCGGCGTGTGCGGCTTAGGTGATCGTTGTGTGATTCCGTAGAATCTTAATGTCTAGGGGTGAATAACTGTGGGCAGGCATAAATAATTGTCGCTCCGGTTTGACAAAAATTTTCCAATATTTGGGAAAAAGTTTCTTATGAGGTACAAATTATCCACCTATAATTACTGCTATTGAGACCGTCATTTATATCGCTCAAACCCTAGGATTTATGTTATAACGAGCAATGAATAATGCAAGGAGCACATGCACCTCCAGCATCCAAGGCCAAATGCAACACTGTTGGTGGGTCGAGTATACTTGCCGGATACCTGCCCGCCTAATTGTATAGATTAGACGCACCGTCGGAACAAACACCAATGGACAGAATATGATCAAATGTGGCCTCCCCATGTGTTTAATGCACTAGCGGCGCCCAAGCCGAGTGTTCTTAGCCCCTCAATAGCCCGTAGACGGTGTTTGCCCGGCTGGGGAAGGCTAGGGTCTGGTGGAACGAACTACGGCTTTCAGGGGCCTAGCTTACGGCCGGTATATCGGCAATCTTCGATCTTGAGAAATTGAGATTGCATGTATCGATCATGATATCTTGATGAGCAAAAGCAGTGTAAAACTGAGCTGGTACAGCCTGAACTTCCTTAATTTCAGCATACCGAAGCTTTTGGAGAAGAACGTACAGTTAGGTGTCTTGGGGCGCAAGGCTGATAGCAAACGGGTGATACTGCATGCCAGCAACTCTTATCGATCTGATATCGCCGTAATGCAAGGCTTTCTACATAGCTTGCGCTCTCAAAGGTTGATATAGGTCCTGCAAATACTCCATCTCCTCTGAACTCAACGTGAGGTCCAGCGAACGTGGACAAGACTCAACCCTACTGATGCTGTTGAGCCCCACAATCGGACAAGCACCTTTCGCCATCAGCCAAGCCAAGGAAATATCCCCCATTGTACACTTCTTTCGTGCAGAAAGCTCCTCTACACGATGGGCGATCTCCTCATCTTGCTTGCCCTCAAACCTTTTTGCAGTCTTTGCATCTTTCTCGCTGCGTGCCGTCTTCTCGTTCCATGGCCTAGCTAGGAGGCCTCCGAGCGAGAGGGGACCAGGGGGTCAAGCCGATACCTTCGGCTTTGCAGAAGGGTATCAGGTCTCTCTCTTGGCCTCGCGATAAAGTAGGTTGTACAGATTCTGTATACTTATGAAAGGCATCCAGCCATTCATTTTGGCGGCGTATTGCAAATGTGCTAGCTGCCAGCAATACATGCTGGATGCACCAACATAGTGGACCTTTCCTGCCTGCACTAGATCGTGGAGTGCTCGCATCACCTCGTCGGGAGACGAGTCCGGGTCCACACAATGTAACTGTAGGACATCAACGTAATGAGTGCCTAGACGGCGGAGGGAGCCTTCCACAGCCTCGAAGATGTGCTTGCGGCTCAAGCCCATCTGATTGACAAGCGGGCCATCGTTAGTCGGAGGGTACGGCCGCGCGTCCAGGTCATCATCCATGACCGGGAAAAATGATTTTGTCATGATTACAACTTTGCTTCTGGGAATGTTGTATGTTTTCAAGGCTTTGCCAATGATTGACTCAGACACTCCATTCGAATAGGTGTTTGCGGTATCCCAGGTGTCGATGCCCATATCGTATGCCTTTTTGAGGATTGGTAACGACTCTTCCTCTGGAAGAATCCAGGGACTGCCCTGCCATTTCGGATTGCCGAATGTCATACAACCAAGAATGATTTTTGATGTTTTGATTGCGCTATTTCCTAATCTGCATTCGCCCTCAGCACAATAGCCTCCCTTGGGAATTCAAGCAATGGAAATCTTACCTTTGAAATTGCATCTGGCATTGCTTTGGCCGCTCAGGCGCCGCCCAGCTTGTGACAAGGTCTCGAAGTGTCTCGTTCTCGCCCACATTTCCAGGGAAGACAATGTAAGCTAATGCAGCTGTCAGCCTGAATGCAATAGTAGATAAGATCTTCCAACTTCGGACTTGTCGAGGTGCCCGTTCTCAAGGGACAATATCGGACAACCGACTTATGTATACCCGTGAATTTTGATGTAGGTTCGTCACATCTCCAAAGCGGAACACCTGAAGCTGCTTGGCCGACTACCTTTGCACGTAGCATTCGCAATCCTTTTGTTGCTGCATCAGAAGATGTTATTCCGCACAAGTGAAGTGTGATTATTGGCCCGGCATCAATCTCATAGCAAAATCGAAAGACATACTTTGGCAATCACGTAATGAGGGCGAGGATTTAGCATCCGTAGGAATAAAACCAAGGAACTAGCTACCACACTTCCAATGTCTAAACTTGTTCTTTTATCACTGCCAGTGATGAGTTTTCTGCTCGTCATAATAAGCACATCTTTGCCATCTATAATTAAGCGACATGTCTCATCAGAAGCTTGTAAAATTGTCGCTTCTGCGGCACGAGGACCCTCCAGCAAATTGTCAACTCGTAACACAATAGTCGCAAGTTTGTTACCAAGACCTTCAATAAGAGACTCTAAGTGCGCCGTGGTTTTTGGCACATACGAGCCTGCAAGAATGAGACCACCGGGACTTGAAGGGGAGACGTCCAGTTCTAGTGTTCGAGCTGTTAATGGAGGAATCTGCTCCAAGCCTAATCTACTTGAAACAAAAGCGGCCCCTATACGGTAGATGTATCGTTTCCCCCGACGCCTCGCTATGATCCAAGTTAGTGGAAGGGTTGACAATAGGGAGCGTACTAACCTTCAAAGAGGCCTTGGACAAGGATCTCCATGTCGCTATCTACGACAGCGTTTGCGATTATGACACATTTGGTCTCAGAACTTAAGAGACGTTCAGCAACGACTTTTGGGCCGCCAATTCGTATATCGTCCAAGGAGACTGATTGCACGTGAGCAGCTGATATCGACCCTTTTGATTTCTCGACGACATAATCCCATAAATCCGAGCTTTTAAACCCAAATGTGGCATCCTTGGCAAAAGGACTCAGGCCAACCGGGGTGAGATTCCCATTCACGTCGGCTACGTAGTGAATGTGTTCAGAGTGAGATGGCCTCCTTGTCGAAAGAAAGGGGCAAGAATCCACCAATTGACCTTGCCTAGAACTGATTCTGCAGCTTCAAGTTCACCCGGAAAGTGACCACGCAGTGTCGAGTCGCCTCCCAGAACAATCTCAAAATCCTTCTAAACTATGGAAGCGGCCTCCTTGACAGCTCGGCATATCGATTCGATTAGTGCTCTTGCGTCATTAGTATGCAAAGCAAGGGAATTGGTGAGAATGAAGAAGCCTCCATTGTCGGCACGAAGCTCTGTGGCAAGGCTGTCGACATCCCACACAGTCAACACGTTAATGCCATGACAAGTTTGTGTGCCTGTTGGGTCGTCATCGAGAACGACCAGGACAGGAAGATCTCCACGGAGTCTGTGCTGCTTATATCAGCTGCCACATCGGTAGCTTCTCTTGGCGCGGGGGGCTTGTCCAACGTCTCTTTGACTGGGATCACTTTCAGGTCCATCTTCTGCTGCAAAGTTCGATTCAAGCGTCACACCCTATGCATATTGGGGAGTCTTAGATCTCGGTTCAACGAATAACCTGCATGGTTCGAAAACTAAAGTGGCTAACCGGGGTAACCGGACACTTCGCCGGATTCACGGTACAGTGTCGGATGGGCTCCGTTCCCACCTCTCCGTGCCTTGAACACTCACCACGACCCCACAGGGGCCTGGAGCTTATGGGGGCAAAAGTAGGAATGTTCTCTGAAGGAGTGCGTACGGAAGCTGGCCAACCATTGATGTGCATGGGTCGGAGTTGTGACAACGAATTCTCCTTTCTTTCAGACCTTCTAAAAAGAAGCTTGGCCGGCTCGTAGGGGCAATACTCTCTATGTACTTGGAATCCTCAACTACAGACACACTAACCGACTGATGGGAAAATGGAATCTGGATCAGGATCAAGGCACTTAGAATATGTTCCTTATGAGGAACTCAAAAAGCATAATCTGCGGGAAGATTGTTGGATAGTTGTTCATTCAAAGGTGTACAACGTCTCATCCTTCTTGACTGAGCATCCAGGAGGTTCAGCCAGTGAGGCTTTTTATTTCTCTAATAGACCTATTCTCTGACTTATCGCAGTAATACTGGAGTTTGCTGGCGGAGATGCAACATCGGCCTACGATGAGATACATGCGCCGAGTATTCTTGAGGAGAACATTGGAAAAAGAATCCTTTATGGGATTGATTGATCTATCGACAAGCTTCTCAATACAGGTCGAGGATGTCAGCACACAGGACCAATCACAACCCAGCAGAGACAGGCCGCCGCTAGAAAGTCTTATATCGGTGCACGATTTTGAAGATGTCGCCCAAAAGTTTTACACTGAGAAGACGTATGCCTTCTACTCGTCTGCAGCCACAGATTTGATAACCCATAAGGCAAATATAGAAAGCTACCGGAAGCTTCTACTTCGACCACGAGTCTTACGCAATGTCAAGAACGTGTCAATAAAAAGGACGATTCTCGGATACGATAGCGATGCGCCTTTCTTCGTCAGCCCAGCAGCGATGGCAAGGCTGGCTCATCCCGATGGAGAATTAGCGATTGCAAGGGGCTGTGGGGCTCAAGGGGTTATTCATACTGTATGTTTACCATACCATCGCTAGGGAAGCTAAAATTCATTTTGTTCTCAGGTTTCGAGTAACGCATCTTATCCTCTCAGCGAGATTGTTAAAGCTGGTTGTCCTGGTCAACCATTCTTCTTACAGCTATACGTGAATTCAGAACGCTCCGAAACAGAAGAGCTACTACGAAAGGCCAAAGACCTTGGGGTACGTGCAGTATTTGTTACAGTTGACGCTCCCATTCCAGGGAAACGTGAAGCAGACGAGCGATTATCAGCCGGTAATCTATCTTCACCTGTAAGTGGAGCTGTGGCTTCAAATGACAAGAAGGGCGGTGGCTTAGGTCGCGTCATGGCCAAGTACATTGATTCTACTCTCTGTTGGGAGGATCTGACTTGGATCCGACGAGTTGCCGGGCTGCCGATTGTGCTGAAAGGTATACAAACGGCGGCAGATGCCGGGAAGGCTGTTAGGCATGGAGTAGAAGGAATAATGCTGAGCAATCATGGAGGACGCTCTTTGGATACGTATGCGACCCTCGGAGTATTATCAGACCGAAACATGCTGAATTCTTCGAATCTAGGACCCAACCTGCGATTCTCACGTTGCTAGAAATCCACAAAGAGTGCCCAGAGATCCTTAGCAAACTCGAGATATATGTGGATGGCGGCATCCTGCGCGGCACAGATGTTCTCAAAGCTCTTGCTCTGGGAGCCACTGCCGTAGGTATAGGCAGGCCCTATCTCTATTCTTTAGCCTACGGACAGGAGGGCGTTGAGCATTTGACAGAAAGTGAGTGTCCACCCACGAATCTCTTAGTTCAATTCATTGCTGACTACTAAAATTATGAGTAATTTTGAAAGATGAGGTTGAATCGGCGATGAAGCTCACTGGCATCACTGATGTGGATCAGGCGCACGCTGGAATGGTAAATACAGCTCGTCTTGAGCCGCTGATCAGAACAGGAGAGTCACATCCTTGGATCCAGTGGAAGCCGAAGTGTATGCTCTGAACAATGAACATCAATTGTGGAGTATGAAATAGTTCTTCCCTGCGAAGAGCGTGCTGGCCGCTGCATCAAGTAAGGCGCAACAAGGTACGATCATCACCAGTCCTTGGGGTCATGGCTCTCCGAGACAACATCTAACTCGAGCCAGTACTAAAATAGAAGCAATAAGATAGTGCCAGGTACACTCAATGTCTAAGTGAGGCCGTATAGTGTGAGGTATCGCGCAGATTAATCAAACCCTCCTTAAAGAGGAGATACCCGCTCCGTTAAGCAGATTCCAGTCGATGTAGCCGAAGCGCAAGCACCATCTTCACTTAATGTACGCATGTTCTATGCCACTAAAAACACAGTGATTAAAGCCTCTCGTTCTACTCAAGAAGATGTTATTACGTGGTTTGATAGAAAATGAAAGTTTACCGAAATCAGGACTTCGCGACAACACTCCGCAATATACCCTCATTGTCGTGCTGGCGCTGTTAGCTACGGGGCTACAACCTCCCGCAGGCCACACTAGAACAGATCCCAGGAATACCATCAAAATGCGACCATGCCAGAGGCACCGTTAGCAGGCGGCAAACCCTTTCCCTCGCCAACCCGACCCAAGCTGGTCAGACTACCGTCCTCCTGAACCGCAAAAGCATCCACGGCGCCGGTACCTCTCAGTAGATTGTATAGGAATTTCCCTTTCTCTGCAACAGCGAGATCGACCGGCTCCGAGCTATTTCCAGCGAAATACGCGGACCCCTCAATCAAGCTCACACTTGCATCGGCGGCCACGGCGTATGAGGAGATGGTTCCGGAGACGAAGTTTGCAGTATACGCGTACTGCTCATTGGAGCCTGCGAGAGCGATCCAGCAGCCATCGGTTTGCTGGTTCTTCTCACTAGCTGTCACCGAGGAGATGGCACCAGAGCTGCCATCTACTTTGTAGGCGGAGATGGCGCTGTTAGTGAAAACGGGCAGACCTGACTCGACCACGAATAACGCACCATCTTGGCGAAACACAGCACCAAACGGCCGATCGCCAGCGGACTTGGTAGTGGTCTTCAGTGTTGCAGCACCAGCGGAATCGACGGCGTAAAAGTCGATAGAAGAGCCGACCTTGTTGGTAACGATCAAGCTCTTGCCGTCCGGTGAGAAGTCAATTGTTCCAGGAACACCGATTGGAGTGCTCGTAGGGATTGTTTCATTCGTGATGGGATTCAAGGTCCCGTCACTACCTATTGTGAAGCCGAAAATCCCAGTGGAAGCCACTGAGCCGTCAAGAACGTACGCCAGCTTGTTGTCCGGCGAGAGGCTAAGAGCAAGCGGCTGGTCGCCAGCGTAGACCTCCTGAATCATTGTGAGACAGGAGCCGTCGACGGAGAAGACAGTGACCTGGTCCGTACCAGGAGAGACTGCGTAAAGAAAGCTATTATCCGACGAGAGGCGGAGACCTCCCTGTGTATCGAAGTCAACTCCAATGCCCATGCCCCCGGTTGGGATGATGGCGTTCTGAACGAGTTGGCCATCCGATGCACGAGAGAACGTGACAACGTCGTTCGAGAATGGTGAGTTTGTCAATGCGAACACTGCTCCTACTTCACCAGGCGGCTTCTGGCAAGCCTGTGCTCGCAGGTCCCCTTGTGGAGCTGCGTAGGCTGTGGCTGAGAGACAAGTAAAAAAGACTAGGATGGTGGACTTCATGCTGAGAAAATATTGTCGTTATATGCTACAAAAAGCTGGTGAGTGATGAACTGACTTGCAAGAACAAGCGAGAGAAATCAGGAGATTCTTGATGAATTGTAATCTCCATATAGAGGGTCTCTAGCCATCTTTATACTCTGCGGCTTTGTCTTCCTAACAACTCGCCTTGCGAGATAGTCAAGGCTGTGCAGTCCAGTAAGGGTTCGCCCCCTCCTTGATCACACAACGATCTGATCTCCGACACGATTGCTGACGTGGTGGTCATCAGGCAAACAATAGTGATCAGTTCTTGCCAGATACTGCCATAGCTGTCAGCTCAATATCCAATAACACAGGTTTGGAGATTGAATCGCCCCAACGTTGGGTGAGGGCCATCGCTAAGACGTCATCAGGGAGAGCCAGGACTCCAGGAGGACATTTCACACATGTTCAACTATGGATAGCGAAACTCGTTAGAAGATGATGGCCATAGAATTCCTAGACTTCGAGATTGTTGATATGGAATCAAATCTTATTTCTAGCAGTAGAAATAATATTGTTACGTTTCTATTGAGTAATTGAAAATCATGGGCAGAGGTCTGGTTGGCTGCTACCCAGCCTTCGTTATACTCAGCCCCCAATTAACATGCAGAAAGATCAACCTACAATCCCGTGTTTATATGCACTACCAACGAGTATGTAACCTAGAGGTGCTAAAACTTGCCTCGAATTTTCCCAATCTACGGGGAGTATATTCTGCTTTATGGCTGGGATTGATAAATATGCCCCATATCAGGAATTCCTGCAGCGGCAAGGTGACTGACTAATGGGGCCTACGTGTCTTAGTTATTAGGCTCTTATTGACGGCGAGGCTGAACATGTGACAGGTCCATCCAATCGAGCACGCGGAACAATTTGACACATTCGGATGTAACACCGACATCAACGCTGCAGTGGAGACAAGCTTCATCTTGCTGAGCCATAAGATTGGAAGATGTTGACATATCAATAGTTGATGCTGTTAAGCAGGTAAGCCATCCCTTGTTCCAACTTGACATACTAGTTGGACCATGCATTTGAGCAGCTGCTTTATTTCCGCGGGCGAACTTGTACATTGGTATCTGAGGCGGAGAGGCCGCGAACCAAAGAGAGATAGGGCTTGAATATCAAAGCCTCCCCCACTTTCTGGCACTTCCCCCAGACAGGGACGCTGGGCCCTTAGGCACCGGAGCAATCGAACGGAAGATATCGCTGCAACACCGATGTCCGTTCAGGTTCTCTGAAGTCAATCAGCACCATATAATATCCATTGTGACGGTCACGCAGAAAGGGCGAGAAGTCTGGTCTGCAACGTTCATGTGCCCAAAATCAAACTAAATCTGGAACAGGCTAGTGTTGTAGTTATGCAATACATCGTCTTAATTCTCCTTCGGGCTCCGTAAGTAGCTTACCGCTATGTGCGTTACAATCCCAAAGCAGAATAGACAGGACATCGCGTCGCTGCTTTAGAAATTTCTCGGTACCAATCAGGGGATTCCGCGCCTGGGGTTTTCAAAAGCTCAACGTACGACTTGCCGACAGCGATTGCAGTAGAAGGCCAGAATGGACCTTGTAGACTGCAGCAGAGTACAAGCTCACTTGAGTGAGAAGCCTGGGCTTGGTTTTGAGTTCCCTGATGGGGTTGATCGAGAAGGAGCCAGTGTTTGGCGGTACTGCGAGGCCAAAGCAGTTCAATCTGGACCGATGAAGGCCTCCTAAATGAGGACTCCGATTGACGCTTTTCTTGGTAAAATTCGGCGGATGCTATCACTGGTAGCGAACGAGACGAACAGGCCCTAGGGTGGACATCGTCGTCGTCTTGGTGAATGAGCCACTCAGCCAGCTGTGCGGCTTGCATACTGTCCCATAGCCACTCCTGCCGAAAACATGAGCGGAGCAGTGAAATGGCGGATTGTCGAATTTGTGGACTGCCACATATCGTGGCAACAAACAGTATGTTAGAGATGAATTCAGTACCAAAACCGAGTCTTATCTGCCGACCTTCGGATGAGAGTGTCTTCGCACCTTCCAACGCGAGCTCATTGAGTTTGGCACACAGATCAAGGATGTCCTGAAGCGCCCGGTATGATGCTGACTCTGAGAGGATGCGCAGATCTTCCAGATTCACGAGCACAAGGCGGCATATCTGATATTGGATGTGCAAATAAACGTAGGAGGTACTTCGACTGAGGGAGATTGCGTCGATTTCGAGATTAGGGAAGAAAGAGTCCAGTTGCTTGACAGATTTCTGAATCAACTCAAGTCTTTCAACTCCACGGGATCTTGTGCCACCGGCCGCATCAAATTCACTACAAATTCCATCGACTATTGAGTTGAATTGAGCAAAGGGTGACATTGGAGAGTGCGAAATAAACTTTGATCGGCTGTTCATTTTAGCCTTTACGCGGTTGATAATGTGCTGAACGCAGAAATCAAGTGGTTGCATTGCATTGGACGACTTATGATCTTGGATGATTCCAATGGCGCCTTGCAGATGTGTCACCGCGCGCTTGTAGTCGTTGCGATATGTTTCCAAGCACCTGAGTAGCATTGAGACGAGAAAAATCTCAACCCAACTTGAATTTGAAGATGGAGGAGGTTTCGCAGATCCAGCCGATAAGAGAACTTTCCGGTAGTGCCATTCTGCAGCGAGTTGACAATATCTCGTGTTGATTGGGTCGATCAAGCTACCAATATATGATGCGAAACACAAGACCGCGGATCGAATAGCGGGAACATGCATGCTAGCTTGTGGTAGAATATTACAAAATAACTCGACATCAGCATCTCCAAATGCCTCAAGAGTGCTATGGGAGAGCTGCATGTAGAGCCAGAACCCGTGACGCTCCATTTCTTTCCACTCAACATCGACGGCTAATGTTCGAGTAAGGGGTTGTAGAGGAAATCGAGGCATAGAATTTCTGTTTCTGTGATCGAGCAGCTGTATGCGGGCTTGAGGGGCAGTTTTGTTTCTGCGATTGGACGTGGAACCTTTCTGAATGATGCCGATCGGTTGAAAAACTAAGGTAGGATTTGTAGACTTAGGCTCAAATATCCAAGGGACTGGAGTGTCATAGCCTTCACATCGTCGTCGGCCGTTTGCGCATCGGTTACAACAAGGTTTTCCCTCATCACACTTTAGATGGCGACGGCGGCAGGTGATGCAGCCAGAGCGTGTCTTGTTATGTTGTCGTCTGGCTCTCTTCTGGCTCTGCGGAACCGCAACCCCTGGCTTCATTTCATGCATAATCTGCTGCAATCCGACTGCACAAAAGGGTTCTTGCGTACGCCAGGGACCCTTGGGAAGCAGCAACGAGGCGCTCAGTGATGCACAAGAATGTCACATTCACTCCCGTTCGATGATTTCAACACATCCTTGGAGGAGTTCATGGGGCGCCTTAGGTCTTGGCCTTGTATTCCCCGCACAGACCTATATGTCTAAACAGATAAGGTCCCTCAGGTATATAGTTATGCACAAAACCAAGAGGCTTGATGACAATACACGTGCAAAAGGTCCGTGGTGTGGTCAACTTAAGCTCAATTCCCCGGTCAGAGAGTAAGCAGGATCAGATGGACCGCATGCACAAGAATTGTGGTGGGTGGCCTGAATTCCATGCCGAGGGTAGAGCCCTCGTTCAAGAGCTGCTTACGTACCATAAGTTTGATGGGCGATCGAGATGTGAACCTCTTGAGGGACGGTTTGAGATAAAAACCTCCCTAAGAGTTACTTATGTATGCACCTACCTTGTACTCGGTACCTGGCCCGTCTATAGCTACTCGTAGAGAAGCGAACCTTCACTATTTTCAGCCCTACCACACTAAGAGTGATCCGAATTCCTTGCAACGTCAGCGCGACTGACTTAAGCCATCACAGCCCTCCTCGTAAGTGCGAACGGGACCACTTCGTCTCTGTTGTCCAAGGTTTCGCGGATGCTAGCGGCGTGCTTCACCTAATGTGAATTGGACCCCGAAACCATTCTATTGAGCCCCACGGAGTACTCGTATGAGTAAGAAGCTTAGGGGCTTTCGTACCTGGGCTCGAAATCTCCGGCCGAGAAGCTGATCACTTTGAGAACAGCGCCGGCGTGAAGTCTGAAACAAACTTGGCTCAGGTGCAAGGAGAGGAGAAGACCAGGCCATGATTTCTATTTGGTGCTTTTGAGAGTACTACTCCATACCTCGTACGATGAGCTGCCTGTGGTCCCCTGAGCACTACCCAAGGGGTGAACCATCCGTATTAGGCTTAACATTATCAATGTATCGACAAGACGCCGTTTCTTCGCCCTACCGGGTCTCAAGCCCACCCACTGCTGCGGATCCCAGCTGAGGATTCACAGCTGTTTCAAGCTATCATTTCCACTGATTGGAATATCTCCACTCTCGAAGCCAGCGATGCGGCCCTTGCCCAAGACCAAATCGCGCGGCAGGTCGATACATATTCTTGAAGATATGGCATGGTTCCTTGAGCTCTTCCTTTCTTGTACATCTCTTGGCAACAAGTCTCTTCTCCGTTGAAGAAAAATACGTTCACGAGCTCCTAAAACCACACCTCTTCGATTACCAGCCCCAATCATACCTCCGGAGAACGCGAATTGTGAGATCTCCCTACGACCGGTGATTTGCTCCGATTTGGTCACAAACCCCACCATGTCAGACGATAGCCTTGGTGGACTTGCTTTGCGCAGAAATGGCAGCTGCTTGTCGACAGAAACAGAATGTGGTCCCACAGCAGCGCCCTTCTATGCATGCTGTCCAGGAGATACGGCTTGTTCAAATCCATATAACCAAGTGTGCTGCCCTTCAGGGAATTGTACCACAACAGTCGTTCAGAATCCCGTATGTGGTGACAGATCTTGGAACCTTTATAACAACGGCGGTGTGGACTCGGGCTACTTCTGTTGCTTATCAACATCCTTTGGGTATGCTGTAAGTAGCACCGATAGCAGTGGTTGCGGAAATGAGGGATATGAACTTGGATCTGGAGAGGTTGCGTTGCAACTACTAATTCAAGCAGCTGCCTCCTCAAGCTGTACTACTATTCTCAAGAGGTGATTCAATAATGTACTAACAACGGTGTAGCTTCAACTTCCTCCTCCGCAGCGCCTACGTCAATAACATCAGCTGTTTCAAGCACCTACGTCTTCTCGTCTGCAACATCTAACTTAGCTCCCTCCACAACCTCAGACGGATCTGCACTACCAACAAATACATCATCCAGTTCAAGTTCCTCTGGCCCCATTATTGGCGGTGCTGTAGCTGGCGTTGTCGGAGTCGTACTTCTAGCTGCCGTTGGTTTCTTCATCTATCGCAAACGACGTCGTACCAATCAGAACAAAGCGCAAAGCAACACACATGACACATACTACGAACATCATCCAAATAATAAATCCGACTACCAAGAAGTCGTCGAGCTTTCAGACTCCTATGTGGTGGAGTTGCCTTCCTCAGAACAATTAACGCCACAGCTTCAGAAACCAAAACAGCACCCAGTCGAATTAGCATAGCAATGTTTCTCATTGCCTTTGAACTCCGAGATGAGAAACTGGCCTCGAGATTGAAAGAATTTGTCATTATTAGACATTACTTAAATTCGTGCTAAAAGAGACGATTTCGGACTCCTGCACTATCAAAACCGGGGTTTCGACTGATCTTCCTCCAGTCTGGCAGGTGTCGATGAGCCGTGGATGGGGGAAGCGTCATCATATTGTTCGGTTCGTCATATCTTGGTCTCACCACATTTCGTGCAGACCGAGCTCTGCAACTTTGTCAACGTCTCTATCGACACCAATGCCATTCCCGGGGCGATTTCCTTGATTGGGCCCCTGTTGGACAACTCAAAACTCTCGGTTTCTTTCAAAGTGGTCACTGCTTGTGCGACTAAATCTAGCTGGTTCTTTTTGCGGCGGCGATCGCAATCGATACAGGCGTAAATGAACATGACGAAGTGACAGATACTGGAAACAGGAATGTCAGTGACAAGCTTAATTGCGAGCAACATGCAATTAGAAATTGGAGTCATACCAGCCAAGAATCTTCACTGAACCAGCCGCTACGGCCAGCGCAGTCCAGTAGTTTATCAGAATCTGGACAAGTCCAGAACTGAACAGTCCCATCCAGAGGATCAGATCGAGCCCAACGTGAGCCCCTGGGTGGATTCCTCTTTTCTTGATGAATCGAACACAGAACTCAGCAAGGTTCCAGAACAAGGATATTGCAAGCTGTCTTGCAGTTAGCAATGCTTTTCAATCCTCCCAAAGGGTTCCAGGGGAAGGCGAACGAAGACAAACGATTCGGGAGACACCCAAATTTCATAATTGTCAGTAGTATCAACCGCGACCCCTATTTGCACACCAGTGCCAACCAGAATGATCAGAGTCGTCAGGAACCTCAGCCTGACATTCCAAACGGCTGAAGCTCGAGTCCGTTCGCTTTCATGAATAAATGCGTTTTCCACGCGAGGCTGCATTGTCGTGGTGAATTGGACTTGATTACGAATTCACAGTGGCGGGCTCGAGTATATTTCTTCGAAAACAATCGGTTCAGCAGATGGAAGGTAGGACCGAGGTACTGTGACCGGGTTGGCTCATGTACAAGTGATATACTTCTCGTTAGGAAACATCGACTTGGAAATACTATAGTTAGAATCTACGCCTTGACCTCCTATACTCCGTAGATCACGGACAGAATCGAATAGCACAGCCTCGCTTAGAGCACATAACTACGATACTGGGAATGCTTTTCAGTGGATACTAGAATTTTGGGGTCCTTGGAAGCTTAGGCAAGGAAACCTGCTCGCTAAAAGTATGGTGGTGCCTGGAATACCAAGCCAGAGGAGGAGCAGCAGCTCTGAATCCGGCTTAATTGATCCGTCGTTTTGCATCCCACTGGTTAGGTAAGAACCACAGCTGCCATCGAATGAGTGATTAGGCTTGGGAGGCGGAGCGTAGCCTTCGTTGTTTGACAAGTCACAAGACTTTGGGGGCTGACTTAATGCTACGCGTGGCCATTGGTTTGGCCAGCCCCACTGATCAGTTCCTTTGCCAGGGGCGGCACGGCGAGGGTTAGAGGGCTCTCCTGGTTAAGCACACCAATAAATCGGCATCTTCCAATTTCCCTTGGCCATCGCAATTAATCCGGGTCAAGCACGAAATAATGCAAGAGGATGGCAAGAGGATGGCAAGAGAATGGAGCCCACCGAAAGGACCTGCCCCAAGGAACACGAATGTCCTCCAACAGCTGCACAGTCCCCTTGGTACTCGGGACCTCGTACCGATATTCCTCAAAGAAAGTGACTTCCTAACTACGAGTAGTCCACTAAATATAGCTTGAGAAATAGGTAACCACCTACAGGGGTACAGGTATTCAGCCGTTCAATCGTTGATTAGGTCTTTCCATTCCGTGGTCATAGCCTTGTCTGGCGAAGACTTGAAGGATGCGCGTCGTACTTCACCATTTCAGGGCAGGCTTCGTTGTCGCTATGATAGTGGTCTGGGCGAGACGAGTATTTTAATGTGGTCATCCTTATTGTTGACTAATTCCTCGAACCCCTTGGTGACAACATCCTCAATCGATATCCGATCAGTGACCATGGTTTCATATCCGGGAAATTTCCCTTGAAGATGGCCGATTAGAGTATTTTCTTTATTGGGAGAATGAAATTCTTTACCTCGTCCAATTAGCCCCATCACCTCCTCAAAGTCCTGTTTGTTGTAGCAGCAGGAGCTAAAGACCTTTATTTCTTTGAGGAAGAATTGCCAGAACGGGATTGTCATCTGTGCATACCGATTCAGCACATCTCAAAACGTGCAGTTGAGCTCGAGGGGGACTTACCGGGGCTTCCCAAACAGCTACATTGACGAAATAGCCTCCTCGCACAATTGCGTTGAAGGCAGATTCGAGCCCGACTTGAATGCCAGCGCAGTCGAAAACGACGTCCGCTCCCTTGCCTCCTGTGAAGCTTCTGCAGACTTCGCCAACGTTCTCGGACCTTGGGTCGATGATTTTGTCGACAACTGCCTCGGCTTGCTCTCTCCGTTTGAGGGCAGGCTCAGTCACTATGATGCTCTTGACATTCTCTGCTCTGAGAACGCAGGCGAGGGCATAACCGACTGGCCCACCTCCCACGATCAATACGTCAAGACCCTCGAGCTTCGCATTAATAGTCTTGACTGCGTGGTGCGCAACGGTCAAAGGCTCAATGAGAGCCGCAAAGTCGATGTTGACACTTTCAGGTAGCGCGTACAGCATGTCCTCATCGATTGCAACGAACTCAGAAAGGCCTCCACCTCCTTCGCCACCACTGATGCCCAAAAATCCAAGTTGATCACAAGTATGGTCTTGGCCGGTGGAGCAAGAGTGACAATCCGCACACAGAATCCGAGGGTCAGCCATCACAGCTTGTCCTTCCTTAAACTTCGACCCCGAGGGAGCACTTCTGATATGTCCACAGAACTCATGTCCCATGGTGACCGGCACATAGCCGCCTGTCAATGGGTGAGGGCGCTCTGGAGGCGGACATCCCACTGGACCTAAGAAATATCAGTCATTGAGACTACCGCAAAAGACCCCAGAGGGCAGAGAGACCTGCGACATATTCGTGGAGGTCACTTCCACAAATACCGCTCCAAGCAATCTCAATAAGACATTGTTTGGGTCCCGGCTTTGGGATCGGAACGTCCTCCACCCGAATGTCGCGCCTGCCGTAATACCGAGCTGCCCTCATTCTGCGCTGTCAAAGGATTCAAAAAGCCCCAAGAGTATATACCGAGAAAGCTCTCGCAAGACGTCGTATCTGAGGTGCCACATGCAGGATTATGAGAGAGTTTTCCTGCTTGGGGGATCAAGTCGGAAAATCGCAAGGGATGGTACGTAGGGATGCCTAACCCCACAAAATGCATAGCCAGACTCGGCTCCCGGAAATTCGCAGATGTTCTCCGCATCTTTGTTGCCTCGGATGACCAACACCTTGGCAATGGGCCTGAATCGTGCGAGAAAAGAAAACCGGTGTCAATTGAAGCAGTCAACACTATGATGGCTGTGGATTGACAGAGTCAGGACGCAAGGCTGCGCTTATACATAGATAAAGGGTTGAACCCTTCTGGATCTCACAATCGTGAGGAATATTGCAGCTACTGAACGACAGGCGAGGATAACCTCTTTCAAGCCAAAATCTGTTTGGCGAGCGAATCCGCCAGATGACTCAGCATTTCGGCATTTTTGGTAGCTGGGATGGGATGGGATCTGACTCCCAGTATTGTGAGAGTCCTTTTCTGACCGAGGCAATGGTGATTGAGGAGTATCCGCTCTATTCAAATCGCGCCCGGTCTACGATGCACGAGATGGCCCAATTGATCCCACACATCGCAACACTGAGGTGGTCTTCATCTTGGTAGACTTTCAAGCGCACTTCCTCAAAATGGTGAGATGTCTTGAGTTCACCATACATTCTTCCCGCGTTCTCGCCAAGCGCTTTTTGCTGAAACCAATCAGTTTGTGTTCGGTACTCATCGTCTGTCCAGGTTGGCAGACGGCGAGGAGCTTGTTCATATGATCCGTAAGATAAGAACAACGAGGGCCTGGGCCGATCTTTATCCGCACTCGTGTCCACGCTGTCGCTGAGGAAGCTCTCTTGCTCAGACAATAAGAACCGGTTGTTCCACCAAATAGAAGGGCTGACAGCGACAAAGGCGTGGAAGGGAGTAGACCTGGTGAATAACGCGTGCAGTGTACAGAGGCCACCGTAGGAGTGGCCAACTAGCGTTTCCGTGGACACAGCCTGGCGAGAGAACGGTCCCGCGAACAGGAACTCACGGACAGTGTTCACGAGAAACTCGATGAATTTTGTAGCTCCACCATGCTCGCCCATAAAAATCTTCCCGTCTGGACTTGAAGGAGCTGTGTAATGAGGCGAAGGTGGCGTCAAGTCAACGTTCCTTCTCGCATCGAAGGGAAATTTGGATTGGGGATATCCAATTCCGATGACTATTCCATCTTTGCCTCCTGGCAGCACTCCATTCCTACGCACAGCCTCTACCGTACCGAAAAAGTATGCATTGCCGTCAAGGACATAGCTGAAACGAAATCAGTGCGAAGCCACAATCGGAACAGCGGGCGAGGCGCCTCACAAGACTGGAACTTTGTCTCCTTTCTTGGTGCTCGTGTCCCACGCCAGCGGCCATGCCGCTTGTATGAGGTACGAATCCCCCTTGAGGTTTTTGATATTCCATTGGCAAGAATTAGGGATAATTGCTGAAGTCTGCGAGACCTCCGACTGCATGTTGGAACTCATGCAGGAGATTGTAAGGCAAGGAGATATTCGTCCAGGCTGAGAGATAAACTCGCCATTTGGAATGGCTCACTTTTGATCTTATCGGATAGCCTAGATAGCTTAAAAGCGGCCATAAGCCTTGGCATATTTCGGAATCACGCTTCATCTAAGCATCTAAGCTGAATGAGAATTTGGAGGACATTATGGAGAAGACACAATATTTTGACTATAGTATATCTTCTAAAAGATTAATATTCGCTTTTGATTATAAAAAATTTCAGTGTCACCGTCACGACCAAGTGCAAACCTTCATCATGGGGCGTTCATAGCTTCTCGTGGATTGTGGTTGGGGCAGGTTCATCAGTGATTGAGATTTCCTCGATGTCCTTCACAGCAACGACGTGGCCTTCGGGCAGCAAATTAAGTTGATCTTCTTCCTTGTCGAGCGACCAGAATTGGACGATGAAGATGCAACCACCAATGAAGGACACAACGGCAAAGACTCCATAGTTCCAGATCAACAAAGGATCTCCGGCGAGAGGATTCAATGCCTCTGCGATGGCGGCGGAGATGGCGTTGGTGAAGAGTGCGATAGCTTGCACAAGTGATCGCATGTTCTTTGGTGCCTTTGAGTAAGCATACTCAAGCGATGTAATGGAGGCAAAGATCTCGGACAGGGCGATGAGCACATAGCAGCCTGTTTGGGCCCAGACGTTGATTGGTGCAGGGTTCACAGTACCATCGTCGTTGAAGCAATTGTTTGCATCAAAGCCACATGGAGAGGTCTTGTAAATATAATATTGAACGACGGCCGCCCAGATCATGGCTGCGGCTGCTGTCCAGAAACCAACAGTAATCTTCTTAATGGCGGTAAACCGGATGCCCATTTTCCGAAGACCAGGATACAGGAAGGAATCGCAGAGTGGGATAAAGAGGATCAAGGCGAATGGATCAAGATTGTTGACGACATCATTTGGAACACCGTGCAGAGTCATGGTACCAGCTTGAGCAGTGAAGTTGTTGGTAAGTTGCCCATAGGCCAACCAGTACAGGGGATACCAGCAGAAGACAGCACAAGCAGCAAAGCCACGACGGACCTCATCGACCCAGGCGTCGTCAAAGGTCATCCATGTTGGTCGTTGAGAAGGAGGAATATTAGAGGGCTTAGCTCCCTCCCACAGAGAACCATCGTGGGTGCGCTTCCACATTGTGACGGGATTCAGCGACCAGCGGCCCTTCATGCCATAAAAGAGAACTTTGAAGGCCTTGGTAACCACAGATCCAGCTGGGGGCCTTTGTTGGTAACGCTTGCGTCCCCACCACATGATGGCTGGGGTTGTGAGGAATGCGGCCGTTGGGAGAAGGAAGGAAAGCCAAAATCCAACATACTTCTCCGCGTAGACCATTCCAATTTGGCCGATGAGAGCGCCTACATTGATGAAAAGATAGAAATAATGGTAGATTCTGCTCTGGGTAATGATTGGGTCAACCACCACTCGCTCTCCGGAGGGCAAGGTCTTGACGTAAGCTCTGGTGATCTCAATTTGCTCGACAACCAGTGGAGAAATGTTTGGTTTAAAGCCACCGGTTCCTAGACCCATGACAATAATCCCAATCATGAATAGAGCGTAGCAAGCGTTCTGGTGGGTGATGACCGGAGGAATGGCTGACAGGACGAGGATGATGTGGCCGACGATGGCGATTCCGATAGAGACACAGATGGTCTTGTATCTTCCCCAGTGCTCGTCGGCAATCCATGCGCCGAGAAGAGGAACGCAGTACACCCAAAAGGTGTTAAAGGTGTTTATCCCGTTAGCAGTTTGTGGCCCTTGTCCAAGGGCTCCGGAGATACCCTGGGCAGATCCACCTCCTGCACCGGTGTTGTGGTGAGAGCCTGGTGGTCCGTCTGGTGCAGGAAGAGGCAATGCATGGTTCACAAAGTTCGAGTCTATGCTCGTGTTAGTGATATCTTTGGAGCCTTGTATTCGTGGAGGGGAAAGAGCCAGACATACAAACAACCTGGGTGCCGTAGTAGGAGAATCGCTCGCATAATTCAACAAATGCGACTGTATAAACCGCCCATGGGATTGGGGCTGCTATCCTACGCAGGGCGGTAGGTCCATGGAGCTCGGCTTCAGTGGGCAGGTTGTCATATTCCGAAAGCCTTCTTAGAGCGATCGTTTCCATGCCAGCCTTGGTGACAGATTCACGTCGACCGCCATCGTTGGGTAGGTCTGTCAAACCAGCGGTTTGAATGGCTTCTGGACTATCCACAGGCATCGCGATAAGTATTGAAAGCTCACGTTGCAGTTCTAGGGAGGGTGAGGACGTAACAAGAGAAAATATGAATTCTACGGGTTCATGAGAGATTCTTATACTTATCACCAACAGTCAACAGACCAAACAGCACACCAGCTACCGGATCTCATCGGGGGCATCCGAGTCAAGCGCGATCAACCAGTCCATCCGAGTAGTCGACATGGCGCAAATCTTCCATGGTGGACAGTTCCAACCAAACTTAACGTCCTTATCAGCAGGCGATCTTGCTCGGCGACCATGTGATTGCTTCTAGAACGGGCACGGCGACAACGATCAATGATTACGATGTAGCATTGATTCGCCTGCATATGAGTTGCGATCATGTCATGTTACATTTTCCCCTGCAAGTCGACATTCCCTGAGAGATTTGGTGAAATATCACAGATCCAATTGAGGAGGTCGATGGCGACCCCTGCACTGCGTAGGTTGTGGGGGCTAAGCATTGAGCAGTCTGGAACTTGGCTGGCTTGATCAAGTTAAGCTTCCATGGCAATCAGCGCACCCAGGGCAACGCCTATACCAGATCAGTGGAGTGGCCCGAGAACGGCGAGGAGATGATCCCCATTGTCTTTATGCGTCGACCTAGAGTAAGCGCTTAGTGGTGGGTAAAAGATTATCTTGGAAGCACACGACGTTGTCGCCCAATCAACCCTGACAGAGCAACACGCGATGAAAGACGTGGCGAACCGGCAAAGGAATCAGGAGCGATTCGGCCAGGTCCGTGGTGCAACATCCTGCAATGAGGTTGCACTCAACCCTCAACTCCACCACGGCCACTGACCCCATTCTGTGAAGCTGGTTGATTAACCAGCCAGCATACTTTCCCGTCGTCTTCTACAGGTTGTTGATGATCCTCGATAGGCTCTTAGCGCAGTGTTCAATGATAACCAAGCCTGCCGAGGTTGGACACATGCCTATGTTCCTCTGTGGTAATGGGAGGCTGGTCAGACCATCCGAGCCATAGGTTCCCTGCCACTCAAGCAGAGTCAGAGATGAATCTCACATACACGCATTGCTTGTCTTCAGAGCTGTCGTTTGGCACCCGGATGGGAACTGTGTACTCAACACGGGAGTATTTCCTCCCTGGTGGAAGTTAAGGGATCAATGGTATTGAGTTGCCATGTACAGTACAAATAGATTGCCACCGTTCATTCCACCCACCAAAAGTTGTTCAGTTACATTTAGGATTGAAACCTCGTGTTCAAGAATTGACCTTCCAAATATGGAATCGGTGAAAGCAGCCCAACGTAAGCGGCTCTCGCCACGAGAGGAGAAGGTTGATCCGCCTTCTAGTCATAAGTTGGTCGAACTTGAACTGCACTGCTAGCACTCAATCATATTCAGAGCAAGTGAGAATCCTCGACCTGCACATTAGCCACTGACGACGAGTTCGTATCAGAACCCATGCTTTTTGCATATATAGAGATACTTATATGATCGAGTTCCTGGGCGGTTAGCGACGGTTTCCACACCGTTCAAAGCTGAACTGTTTGTCGATAACCAAGAGGAAGGATGCAAGAGCGCCATATTTCCAGGCCAATGCAACTTGTAGATCGCTTGAGCTTCTAGAAACCTCTAGCGCTCCAGAACGGATGATGACCGCTTTTGTTCTCGGTTTGGTAATATAGCGAAAATGCTAGCCGTGGCGCCATCAACTGAAGTTGCCTCAGTACCGAGTACCGAGTAAGGACTACCATGCACAGGCAAGATGCTCGACCCATAGCAGTTGAATCACGGGAAAACTATGGATTCTCAACATAGGAAAATCACAATTAGATGGCTAGGGCGTCGAGGGTGTATATGCGGACGCGGGGGGTAGCAGCGTGGTGGACATCGTGTGTGGATATTAGTATGGCTGCTGCCCTGATGCTCATCCTCAGTACTCGGTACCCTAGCAAAGATACGTACTTGACCATTGCCTGATAGGATAGCCTGGCCCATGTGAAGGGCGCCTCTCGTGCCTGAGCTAAGTCGAGCAATTGCTGCCGGTAATGAGCAAGAAAAGTTCTTTCCGGGCTTCGGAATAAGTGCATGGAGGGAGCCGCTGTGATTTTTACGGGGGCCGCTCCGGCCGCCTCCAGTGGCCTAAAGGCTCCTTAGCTAACTTAGTTAGGGAGGACCCCAGACGAAGTACGGAGTACGCAGTACTCCGTATCTCCAGGCGCCACACGATGCTACATGCCACGCTCTGTTTAGCTTTCGGCGCGGCAACACTTCGAAAGGGTTACGCGTTTCACAGACAAAATCACGCCCATCCTCGGAGCGAAATCGAGACTACCAGAGACTCAGAGCCTTTCCCACCCGAATGTCAAGTCGAAGATGAGAGTAAAGTAAAAGGAGGTCAGAGACGCCGTCGTTCCTATCGCGCCGTTGCCACTTGGACATCCTGATCATTCGAACCTCCGCTTACGCCAATAGCACCGACGAAGCGTCCGTCAATGAAAAGGCCTCAGCCTCAAGGAGAACGTGATGGAGGCTTTACGGGTTTTGTGGGCCCATATCCCCCTCTTTGCGAGGCTCAGATCAGTTCGAATGCCATACCCGGAAACAATACACGATGCAGAATCACATTTTAGTGTTCGAGGGCCCGAACTCGGTACGAGATGCTCATTACGGCGTGACCATTTCACGAGATTGCTAAGCCAGTGAGTCGCAAGATATTGACGTTTCCTGCTGAAGGTACTTTTGTTGCCATCCACAGAGTGTGATTCAACACATGGGTGCCAGTCGTACTCTCATGCCATTGTTAATCATTCTCTTGGGTATTGACTTGAATATCTTCTAAGGGATTAATGCTTAACCCTGGATACGCAAGCTTGTGGTTTGGCTATGATGCTCAGAGGATATGCGGAAGATAACATTCTAGCGTTGAAATACATGTCCCTTCATCGATCATAAAGGAGTAACTCTCCCACTACCTCGCCTCGTGCTATTATACCTGTGCTACGGAAATCAAAGATGCAGTCTGGCTTACTCGTCAAAGTACTTCGTAACCCTCTACAGCCTCAGCGCGCCAATGATAGGTCCTCCAATACCGCCCTGCACAAGAGCGACTCGCTCGTAACCGTCATTTCTGAATGCTGGCAACTGGATTCGTTCAATGCCTCCTCTCCATTCCCCGACTTGCGTAAGCTCTTTCACAATGTTGCGGTGTGGTACCTTCTTCCCCTTGTTTGGGCCTTTCCCAACCTTGACGGTCTCGTGCGTTGGCTGGAATTTGACGATATACACGTTGTAGACCTGGTCAGCCTCAGGCATTTCAGATGCAATTCTCAAGTCATTGCCGACTCGGTCCAGTCCAACAGCCCACTGCATGTTGTTTCTGACCTCCATGGCTTTGGTGATGACCTCATTGATGTTCTCCTTTGTCGCGCCGATACCATCCGAGACTCCGTCAATGACAATTTGGGGTGTGAAGATGCCATTGCGACCCCACCTCTGGACGTACTGGCGCTGTCGAGAGTCCCATTGTGACGAGCCAAAGGTATCTTCCCAACCACTCGAGGCGTTCCAGTAAGTAACATCGTATGTCAAAAGGAGAAGGTTGGGGTTATTTGTCGCGTCATGAATGCCCGGCAGCGCGGGAGGACATGACACGCATCCTTGAGATTGGAACAGCTCGACCACAGAGAGCGGCCTGATATCAACAAAGCATGCTGCTGTGTGCGTGTGATCATGATCGAGCGACATCGTGCAGGCGAGTGGGGCCTTACGGCGTCTGAAGAGATTCAAAAAACTAGACATTGTGCGCGTTGCTTGCTAAATCGTGCAGGTCCGTAAGCGCAGACGAAGTTTTGCTTTTGAAGGGGGAAAATAACTGCAAGTTGGGATGGGAGTTTGCTGGTGTCAAAGATCGATGCCTGACATGCACCTTAGAGCGGCTTATGCACCCCTTTATAAGTAGTAAGCACTGACAGCTGACCAGCACTAACCAGCAGCTTCAGGATATGGCGCAGCATTGTTGCTGCCAATACCTTTGATATGATTATCGTCATAGGCTGGGAGCTATCAATGGTTGATCCGATCATCACACGCGACCCTGGAGGAGGGATTCCAAAGTACAATCGAGCGGCTGAGGCTGAGTGAACCGTTGTGAGGTTTGGCATGCATGTCTCATGGTGTGACAACTAGAAGAGAACAGCTCGACGCCATTCAGCCAGTCACTGATGTTGTCGCAGCATATGAGTTCATATCTTCGGCGTAGTGGAAATAAACGCCTGGGGGATAGCATAATCTTTTTGGGGGCCATGCCAAAGCGGGTCGAACAGATCCACCAACGCTAGTCCATTTACGGAGGCATATGGCGAGGTGCAGCTAAGGCCTCGAACACTAATTTGAAATTTGCTTCTCACCGCGGCTCACCCTTGTGTAAAGCATTCTAAATCAATAGCAGCCTCTTAGTTGCAGGGCGATCCCCTTGGTCCATAGAAGAAATTGGGCGTTATTGAACGAGGAGATCAGCGTGGATACCCAGCCGTCTCGGGCAACAGGAACTAATGGCGAGTCAACAGATATTCGCGAACCAACATACGAGGTACTTCGAAGTAAGAAAGGTGTCGGGCTCCCCAGAAAAGAAATGATCTCTCGTTCTTGATAGCTGAAGGCTGTCTGATCCAATTGTCGCCCAGATTATTTGACATCCACTTTGATTTGCAGATTCAATAACCCACTCAAGAGATACTCCCAAACATACATTCCGGGGCGCAGCTCGTCAAGAGTGTGCCAGTTTGGTTGGGTCTCCTTCGCGTCATCAGCCCGCTTTCACACCTTTCACTAGGCGTGTAACTTCATCCAAGCTTCCCATCTTCCTCATCTCGCGGTCAGGGAATGTGAAGGGCGTGAACCTGCGCAAAAACCAGACAAGGAACGCGGATGTGCCCTTCCAAATTCTCGCCGGGGGATCTCTCTGCTTGTTCTGGAGGATCGCCACAATTTCCTCGGCATACTGGTCTACCGGTGTCGCGCTGTCGACGAATTGTCCTCCGGCAAGACATCTCTCCACGATCGCTCGAGCTGGACCAAATATGCTATCTGCCGGCAAGGAAACTCCTTGTTCAGGCTCGGCTCCCCTCACATTGTGCCCGAAATTGGTCGCCACCATGCCCGTCATGAGATTGACAACGTTGATGCCGAAACATGACATCTCGAGGCGCATGGTGTCCGTGAGATGCGCCAGAGCGGCTTTGGAGGCGCCATATATGCCAATGAACGGAACTGGCGTTGCTGCGCTGATAGATGCCTGATTTACGATGACAGGATCACGACTGGAAGCTGCTGATTTCAAGAGCAGCGGTAGAAATGCGTTTGTAACAGCGAGGACTGCGAACACATTGAGGTTGAATACTGACTGTGCAGTTTTCATGTCAACGTCGGCTAAGGGCATGTTGTAACCCACCCCACTGTTATTGATTAGTACATCGAGGACGCCTCCGGTCGCTGCGCCTAACTCCTTCACACAATTGCGAATCGAATCATCGGACTCGACATCAAGCTGGAGTGTCTCGATTCCCCGACCGTCAAAATGTGCCATTTTGGACATGGTTCGCGCGGTTGCGAAGACACGAGTCTTCCCAGTCCTGTGGAAGGCCTGTGCCAGCGCATCACCGATCCCCCCAGCTGAGCATCCAGTGATCAGCACGACCCTCTTTCGTTCCACCCCTTCGCTCTCCCCTGTGGTCGCCATTTTGAGCGGTATGCTGATGCCGAAGACCTTTGTCAAGGATGCTGCAGTTCTATGTCCAGCTGTCTACCGGTGGATTTGGAGGATCCCCCCAAAAACGCGACTCTCATGTTTGACGGTGCTTAAACCCTTCTTATTGAGACCAATGGGTGGCCAAGATACGATGGAAGCTCACCTATTGACCCAATTGGGTATACAATAAACTCCGGCGTGATGTTGCACCGACGCCGCTAAGGCCATCTCGGGGCAATCAATCACGCCGAGGAAATCTCCATATTCCTGGTGCACTATTACTTCTGGTCGCTCTTGCAGCAGAGTCAGGCTACCTGACCTGTCAATCTCGTCTTCCGAACGAGGGATAATGCAATACCTATGTTCTGTACGAGCAGGAGACATACCATTCGGCCTTCTGAGATGACTAATCACTGGCAACCGGACGAAAAGAGCAAACGGCGGAACTCTTTCATGGTTAAAATTGATTTTGATTATTCGGAGACACTATCTATCTGCGTGGCGTTCATAGTGCATTCGCTCAGTCACACGTCCACTGAGAGTCAGAACTGTCGGCAGGTTCACGCCGGCGAGCTCGAAGATGGCCATACGCTGTGTTCGGCTGCGGACCAGGGAATTTCGCCTTGTCTGCGGCACCGACCACCATTTCAAGATGGCCGGCATAAGTCTCTCTGATAGATACAACTTGCCGCCACGTTTTCGCCGCATCGACGCCTGCGCAGGTATCTTGCAGATTCGGCGACGGCGTCGAGTTCATCGCCAGGGCCAGCAGCTCGGATATCGTAGTCCACGATCCCACCAGGCCTTCCCTGGAGATTAGTACTTTGTAAAGAATGACTGCAGTGTGTATGGAAGAGAAGACGAAATGTATCAGGAGTACGAGAATGCCAAATTGCGTGGTTCTAGAGTCCTTCCAATCGTAACCATAGCCGTACCGAGAGAACACGGGATCGACCCGAAGCCATTCGCTGACGTCTGCATCTGTGGCGTTCAGCGGGTTGTCATCTCCCCCGTGGGCGCTTGATATCAAGAATCTGCCCACGATGCTTCCGGAGTCTGTGGTTTGGTTAGTTAAGAACATCGAGGCAGAGTATGGAAAGATGCCGTTCCCAGCGATGCGCGCCAGCCCGTCGGTGACTACCCCCGCGAGCATGGTCCCGATCATAGTAGAATGACTCTTTCGTGTGTCATCTAGCGTCGTGTTCGTCGTCCCGTCCACACTCGAAATCGAGACCAATGGAGCTTTGAATGTGTAGCCCGTCTCATTACCCGCCAACCTATCATCTTCAAATACCATACGTGCCAGCATTGCGTCAAGTACGGGGAGAGGGCCATCGGTAAATGGTATAGGTTGATTGATTGCGTTCGCGTAGTCCATGTCGATGGAGGCGTTCCTTGGCGGTAGGGAGTCCCCAGGCTGTTCGTTCCCAATAGGCAAGCATGTCTCCTTGACGTTATTCTTGACCCGATATGAAACTTGATCCTGCTGTCTGGGCTCATAGTACACCTCTACGGGCACCCATTGCGCGTAAATGCTGCATGCATGTATCTCCGTCGCCTGGGCTATATTGGTGACGCTGCCGTTCCCATATGTGTATGGAACCCGTATCACGATTCCGATCGACGGGTTGTCGGACCCTGCTGGCATCGACACCCAAGTCACATTGGTCGCATTCAGGATGCCGTTGTACGGGAAGACGTAGTTGGCGCTTGGAAGCTGTCTATCAGGCGTGAAACTTGGGAAATTGACCGGCGCACGACTTTCGATCATGCTTGTGTTGTAGTACACGTAGCCGTCACACAGGACCTCGACCCTCGGTGCGTATAGCGACCCTTGAAAAGTGATTCTCGGTTTCGCTGTAAGCAACGCGAGCCCATGGAAATTGTTATTCGCGAATGACCAAAATGAGGACACGGCTCCAGTAAGGAAGGTGTTCAGGGACAACCCGGACGCTCGACCATCGAAACTGCTGTCACAGCTTTGTGTTGTGACTACCCTCCGAGATTCTCCATGGGCGTCACTAAAGCTGATATTGGTGCCTGCGGAAGAATTAGCGAATAGCAGATTGCCTGCCCACTCATAAGTATCTCGAAAGCCGCCGGCAGGACAGACGTCCTGATAGGCGGTCTTCGTGGAGGCGATGGTACAATTGATCCCAGAATTGGGGCCGTTGAGACTAGCCGCTGTGATGTTGGAGGGCCACAGGACTGTACTTTGATTGAAGATGTAAAAGGGCAGCACCTCTTCTTGAAACGGGTACGCCAATGGATACCAGTTGAGTGAAGGGATGACCGCTATTGCAGACGATGGACCAGCTAGCATTGCCAAGACGGTCGCGAGCAGAGATACCAGCCAAAACCGCCAGTGCTTGTTCTTGATAGTCCATATTGACTTCCAGTATGCTTTTGTCCAGAGGAAATCTCCAGCGCCTATCGAGAAACTGTTGGTAATCAGACCGAGAGGGAGGCCGGACCTGCCCACCAGGTGATCTTGAGCCACGTGTAACACTATCTTGCCTAATGAGGCCACAAGAATGAGCTCATGAAGCTTGGCTGCCAACTGCAATGCGTTCAACGCACCGCCCTGAGTGATTCCAGGGAGTATCTCGTACATTGGATCCCGTAAGTCCATCCAGTAGTGGTTGCGAAAGCTGAGCTGGACAACTGCTACAGTAACGCCAATGGCGATGATGTGTGGAATGAGTTTTGGTGAATTGTTCCAGAAGCCCGTGTAGATAGCAGGTTTAGGTTGCTCAAATGTTGCATTTCTTGCAAGTGCTGTGTGAGGGGACTTGGTATCCCCATAGCTAGTCAGGTTGATGTTGGAATAGGAGAATTCCTTTTCCTCAGGAGGGCTCGTAAGGCAGTGAACGGTATATGCAGATTTGATGGGCTGCGAAGTTGGGTTTGGGCTGGGCGGCAAAGGACTGACAGGACTATTAGGGTTGAGAGCGTCCTGAGACTCGAGGGGAATATGAGCAGTGTAAGGATTAAAGAATTGCCCATAGGAAGCACGGAGGTACGATCGACGACCAGCGCCCGGAAGATCCATTTGCTAAAAGCGAGTGGACTATTACAACACAAGGCCAGAGAAGGATTTGGATGACACTTTGGATATGAAGGATGGGACTTACCATCTCATAGTAATATCTTGTTCAAGTTCACAATGGCCCAGGCCACAGTCTGGCGGCTTACAGTATCATCATGGGAGATGGAGGCCATGTCTATCCCATGCAGCTCAAGCGGCATTTGGCCTGGTGAGCGCTCAAAGGAGCAATCAAAAACTTCCCACGGCTGGAAACTGTGCACAGGACTCGGGGGTTGTCTAGGACAGTCAGCAAAGAGGCGAACGGAGGCTGCGTGATGGTGAAACGAGAATCGGTTTGAATCCTCATATACCAATTACTGATTGATGTAAAGGAGAAGCTTGAAACCTCGCTTCCGCGCTTCTTGTCGCCTGGGTCAGCACTAAGCCAAACGAAGATGTACATGGGATGGCTGATTGTCGTGTGGGAATCAACATGTCCCACAACGTAAATGGGTCCCTGTTGAAAGATCCAATGGGAGGGTTCATGGTACTCTATCACCAATTATGGCAGCGGCAGGAGTTTCAACTCAAAAATAGAAGCACGAACACTGTTGTGAAAAAGCACAGGAGCTAAAGTAATCGTGTTTGGAGGACTGCTCCAGGAGAGGACAGTCATCGGTGTCTCACAGTCGCAGCAGACAATTTAGTACGTAGAAAAGACCAGGAGTGGAGCATGGAAAACCGCAATGACAGTATACGAGTAGATATGTCATGGCTTTGAATATGGCAATGACGATTACTCCAAATGGAGAAATGTCGTGCAAGCATCATGTCCACTGTCCTGAGACTTTGAGCTTTTGACCATAAACAGCCCCTTTTTGTGGCCCCGCCATCCTAGAATATGGTACAACACCAATATGCAATTCCATGGTGCAAAAGATCAACCCGTAACACCTATGGACAAGTACACACTTTTTCCAGAGTTTATCCAAGATAACAGGAGTATGATATCTAGCAGCGCATATCAAATTTGGGATTGCGCTCGGCGTCAAATGAACCCCAATGGGACTCATCCGCCTCTTGGCCATTATCGCCAATGGCAGCAGGCTTGTTGGGCTCATCGAAAGCTTCAAACCAGAAGAGGTCAACACCCCAGTCAAGAAGTCCACAGACTGCTGATTTCCAATAGCTTTCCATATTGTCGTCACCTGCTTTCGCAGCACCAGCATCAGTGCCTCCAGTACCAGGCCATCCAGTTTCTGTCAAAATTTAGTTATGTCTGCAAAGAAGCGAGACTTATTCCTCATACCTCCATTCATGAAGTGGATTTGGTCCAAGGAGCCAGTAACATCTTGAACATGGGCAAGCGCCTGTGCCATATCATCGAAGTATGTTTTTGTTGCATTACCAATCTCTTGATATTGCCAGTAGGCGAATCCGTTGGCAAGACTAGTCCTGTCAGCTAGACGCACTCGACTTGAGCTTCCGACTTACACCAAGTCCAAACCGCTTGTAATGATGGAATCCATTGTGCCATTGGCCCAACAGTTCCAGCTGTCTGCAGTTCCGACTTTTGTGTTGGGGTAGTCTTTCTTCGTTTCTTGGATCCAACCCACAAGTTCCTCGGCGTTGTATGTTCCACGATACATGCCCTCTGAGCCTACTGTAATGCCGTAGAGGGTATCCCCGAATGAAGAAGGATCAGCCGCATCCAGAGCGGCTTTCTCTTTCTCCCAAGCACCTCCGTCGGGCCTACGTATCTGTAAGTCTCCACGGGACTGCATGATTTATGACTTGACTGAACTCACCACAGGCCTAACAGAACTTTGATGCCAGCTGATTTTGCAGCCGGGAGGACCTCTGAAGGAGTATTACAAGCATTTCCAAACTGGTCAGTGGATGAGTATGTTCGAACGAGCCCAGCATCGGTATTTCCTTTGATGGCCTCGAAATCGGCTTCGAAGTCTGAAATTTTCTTGCAGGTGCCATCAGGGTTCGTATTTCCTACGGCAAAGCCAAGGGTTCCTGCTGCAGACACTGCCAGCGGTGCCGCTGCAAGGGCAGTCGAGATAACTGTTCGTAGTTGCATGGTCAAGGTGTTTGGGGTTCGGAGGATAGATTAGGCTCGTGCAACGTAGCGTAAGTGGCCGGGGGGGATCCTACAAACGCGGAGAAAGAGAGGTTGACGAGAGAAGATGACAAAGGAGGGACTAAGAGGGTCAGTAGTGAGAAGGAGTGGAAGAGTCAAAGATGCAACAAAGATCGTGAGTGACACGCAAGAATCGACAGCAGACTCAGGTAGTTTGAAGATGGCTATCCAGACGCAAGTCCGGGCCCCCCAGCTTTGGACTTTGCAAGTTGCCCCTGTGACGCGCCCAGCCAAGGGGAATTTCTTGTGGCGCGAGGCGCAGCTCAGCCTAATCTGATTTCAGAATGGCTCCAGTCTTGGCAAGCGCCTGGTCACGTGGGTCCACTTGACGCACGACCTCGCAGTAAGCCAGACAAAGAAAGATGATCTGAACTCTGATGTACGATCAACAAAGGATACGAAAATGGGCTGACCTTCTAATCGGTCCTCTCATAAGACAAGATGCATTCCAAAGGAGCTCACACACCATGGCCATCCACTAATCTTCGCCGATGGCTCAGCTCATGTCAAGGTCTGAAAAGCTGACTCCCATGCGAGGAGTGTTATACGGACATATTGTCATTTGGGAACTCTATGGGACCCATCGGGCCATGGCTTGAATGTTTGACCCATACATCTCTTAGAAACTCCGCACTTTATGACAGACCAAAGTCAAAGTATTTCTATTAGCACCATCCTGGGTCTTCTATGGTCTTCTGAAGTTCTAGGTCTCTACTAAGGAGCGTACTGCTTCTACACCATGATTCAAATGCAAAAGAAATCTTGAAAGCAGCTGTTTTGGAGTATACAATACACACAAGCAAGCGATGTCGATGCCGAGTGGGATAGGTAAGCGCAGGAGGATCTTAAATGGACGGACTAGATCCCAATCTTGATCTCCTGACGGAGCCTGAGAGGTGGAACATCTTCACATTCAACATTCATTGGTGCCAGTCGCCGTATTGATGAAACTTCCAGCTACATTGGAATGATCGCAGATCATCTTCAGATGAACTCAGATCCACCTCCCCACCGAAGGAACAAAGAAACTCGACAGCTTGGGTTCGAGGATCCTGGTCGTAGGCACGAGGTTCCTACAGTTCTCGCTAATTTTGACCTGGATATGCCAGTGAGCTCATTCCAGACATCACTTTCTTATACGACGAAACCAGATGGATTAATTCTAGGCTCAGGTGAGGTCGTTGGCCAGATGAACTATTCGAACAAGGACAAGGTCGAGGTTCATGGGGAGACATGCCTATAATAGGCCATCAATGTCCCAACAACACAAGGTATACCATTCACACGTCCCTGAACAAGGCAGAGATTTCTCTAAACAACAGCAACATCCATTTCTACTCCACGACTTATAAGAATGTTCTACCGTACCCTACTATTACTCCCTGTTGTTGTGGTTCTAGCACTACCTGCTCCCGAACCAAATCCTGTGCCTTTACAACGTGAGTATCTCCATTCATTCATCCATACGAGTCATCCTTCACCTGTTGAACGTATGACTGACGATTTCATCATTCAGCACTGGCCCAAGACGAGGTTGCGAAGCGTGACCCATTACTGGGCATCTCAATTCCAGCTGTAACAGTTCCACTCTCAAACGTTGTCAGCACGATGACTTCTGCTGTCAACTCGTATGCCACTGCAGTGATTGGGGGCACAGTCACATATGTTGCGGATATTATCGGCAATAGCAACAATCTGGTCGACGATGCTATTGGGATTATTCCACGTGGGGCTCGAATTGAACTGGACCGCTGACGGGCCAGAGATGAGTAGCACTAGTGACGGCGCCGACCTGAAAAGGATTAACCATCTCACCGTCGTCGAGTGGTAATGGTTTTAAAGAGGCCTTCAAACGGCTAGCTAGTGCTGTTGAAACGTCGGTGTCTAGAAGTCTGCGCAGATAGTCGTGGGAGCTTTCAACAAGCTTTCCCATCAGCTTCACTGGAATTCTTTACAGGGCCATTCCTGAGGTATTCATGTTGATTAATGTTAAGCCCTCTTCTTATATGGTGGAGTTTGTGTGTTTACAACCCCGTCTAGAACTCCTTCAAAAGCTTTCCCCGGCGCGGCTTGTAGAGGAGGGTCCATCTACCATTTCCATCCGAGCAATGGTCCGTTGACTCTCTCCCACGCCGAATGAGCACCCAAAAGCCCACTTATGCTACCAGCGACACCAACCGTAACGGTATCGACCGGGAACCAGCCCGCCACATGCCCAGGGACGATCAGATCACTCATGTCGATAACCAGTTGTTTGTAAATTGCGCGTCGTTTTGGTTGCGACTCGTCTTGGGGCGGCGAGGCCGGAGGAGCCGATTTGGCTTTTCCCTTGGCCTCAGGAGCGCTTGAGCTAGGGAGAATCGACAGTTCGTAAAGACCGAGAAGAATGGAGACGGCGAGTGAGTAAAACCAGACTTTCAGCGCCTCGATCTGCAGGGATCCAGACCAGGGGTAAGAAGTAAGTCCAATCGAGTCGGTCTGCGAAGAGAGTCAGGATATACATCCTAACGGGGATTTTGCGGCACTCAGCAGGAGGAAATGGGAGCCTCACTATCACAAACATCTCCATAAAGAGATACATTCCTAGTAATGAAAATTTCGAGACCGTCAGGAAGACCTTGAGATTATCCGACTCTGGACGAGGAGGATCTGCCGGCTGCTTAGTCTTTTCAGACGTGCGCTCGCTAGACTTCTCCTGAGAGACAGTCGCCGGGGGGGAGAGCTGGGCTTGCGCGGCATTGAAGCAATCTATCCATTTGAAGAGACGGAAGAACCGTCGCGCTGGGTGCCCAGAGAGAGAATTAGCAAATGCTTACGAAAGTGATAAAAATGGCTTCCTCCAAAACCGGGCTGTCATTTACGCTGAAACACTAACCAGTATTGATGTTGGCCTTGGTATTATTCCACCTTGCGGCTTCGAGACTCGTCGCTGAGAGGGCGGCAATGACATGCGACGAGAATTGTGTAAACTTAAGCGTCTTCTCTAGGCCGACTAAATATCACGGAGTTAGTCGTCCCCAGGCCGGAGTCAAGGGACAATGACGAAAATCTTAACAATGCCTCCTGGCAAGCCGGTGTAACTTGCGTCTGGAAAGGAGTTGGTGGACATTCTGAAAGTTGCCGAAGAACAGGACATACCTGCGTCATTGGAAAATTTAGCTATTGACTGAAGCATCGTAGACGGATATCCAAGAGGTCAGGTGGTGAGGTTACCAATGAGAAGCTTCTAAAGAATTGAGAGTCGATTTGGTGGGGATATGGAAAAGATCAAGATCAGATATCAAAGCGGTCAACATTGGAAGTTATTCAGTCAGGCACCCAATCTGCTCAATATCTATTACCGAGAGGCCGACATGTTCGTACCCAGACACAGAAATGGGTTTCATGTGTGTGGTCGTTGGCACCCGTTGGTATTGCGTGATCCGCTTGTGCGTGGAGCCACCCCCCAGCGATCTTACCTTTGATTGGCTTATTTAACGTAACTCCAAATGAATGGAGTGCGGCCTCGGGCAGCGCCGGCACCACGAAGGCAATGTAGAAACATCATTACTTATGGCCGGCTCATGTTTACGCTAGGAGAAACGGGTCCCTGTGAAGTTCGGCGGTTTCTTGAAAGAGAGCCTGAGGTGAAGTGCTATGAATGCATGCTGCTCGACCCTTAAATATAAGCCTGTGAGAAGGCTCATCATCATCAGAGTAACATCAGTCATGATATCTTCCAAGCAACGAGTTTGCAGTCCAACAGTCTATCCAACTTGTATCGATGCCATTTTCGAACGGATCAATGCTCAAGTTTTAGATAATTTAAGCTGCTCCTAAGACTTCCGCGACTATGTTCAGACTTTTTTTGTCATCAACAAGTAGCGATACTGCAGCTGTGACCACCAGGTCCAAAAGCATATCGTTAAGAGGGACGAATATTTCAAGCTTGGGATCGCCGGACAATTTCAGATAGACGTATCGAGCCAACTTAACTCCTGCTTGATCCCAAAGCTCCATCCCGTTCCCCCATGACGTAGATCTCCATGTCATGACACCAGCCGGGCAGGTAAAAGATTTGGTGGGTGTCAGGCTTTCATATTTGATTTTCATTTTGATCTCCTGTCCATGTATGGAGATCACGGTGGATCCACTGAGCGACGAGATCGCCGCCGTACCTAGAGGCTGGAGCAGACCTCCTTGGACGATGCGATACATTTGTAACTGAGGTTTTGATTCATTGACTTTGCTGGAAAAGAGGACGCAGCGGTTGTTGGCCTGGTCTACCGTGTACAACGAACCATCCCCAGTCGGTCCATATAGGATAAGAGAAGGAATTGAGTTTGACATTTTCGTTGCTGTTAAATGTCTGGATGGATCTTTGGGAGCACAGAAGTCAGGAAAAGTATGAGGCGGCTGTCTAGACCGGTTTTGACTTCAAATGGAACCCAGTTTACATTCAAGATCGATTACCAGGGAAAGGACTGAGGGCTCCAGCCTTTGTGGAGAGGGAGCAGCATCATTTATAGCGTTGGTAGAGCATCGGATTCGCGAGTGTGGCTGGAATCTTACCTGGGAAGTGACATATCCTCCCCAGTGTTCTGGTGATGGGAGCGACGATCGAATTGCATGTGTTTCATGTCAATAGCTCTTTTCGAAACTGACCAGTTCACTTTTGGTAATATCCGAAAGAGCAAGCACTCTGGGTCGTGGCACCGCCTCGCTAGTGGGCCGATGATGTCGATAATCACAGCTGGAGACAATGGACCTGCGCCCTGCTCTGAAAGGCCGCACTTTTCCCGTTTTGGTTTTACGTGCCGCTGTTCCAATCAAATCCAACGAGGCGCCTCAAGGGTCCGCCACAATGGGGGGGTTTAGGCAACCTGGACGTCATATTGATGATTAGCTAACAGAGGATACACCCTTTACTGTAGTTGTGGGGATGAGGCAGGTTTGGCGGAAGCAAGAAAGCGGCGTATGCAACGAGATACTTCTGGTCAAAACGAGTTCAAAACGAGATCAAACCGAGGATTCAATCAGGAACTTAGAGCATGTAGAAAGGATGAGGGGCGGAGAATGCCGATGCCAAGCCATTATGGCTTTGGGTCACGTGGCTCACTCTTAATCTATGGCGCTTTTCACGTGCTTTCCTCGTTCCTCACAATTATGAACAGACGCCACAGTCTTCGCTGCCACACGATCAGCAAACAAAGCACCATGTCTGTTCTGTCGCGGATTCTAGTCGTTGTTGGGGTCCTATCTCTCTTCCATGCGTAAGTATAGACTACAACATGGATCCAAACATGTTAACGTGGTGCTTAGGGCCTACTCCGCCCACGAGTTCTCAACTCTGTCCACGAAGCTGCACAACAATTCAACTCTTCCACTCGACATCAAGCTTGAGACTCTGATTTCTATACTGCTTGCGAGCTGTGGCCTGGTGATTGGATCCGATCCGTTGAAGCCGGTCAGCTGGAATGTGTGGGCTGGACAGCTCGAAAAAGAGGGAGGATTAAACCCATTCCGCGGTCTTGAGGAACGAGTTGGCTTCATGGACATCAGAGCCCAGCGCAAGAAATTCTCAGCCTGGGCCCGTCAAAATGGTGGCGGTTCGACGAGTTGAGACATGCACTATCAGAGCTCTACACGTCCGACTTTGGCGCAAGTCTGTGACTGAAGGGGTGTGGCTGTGTTCTCATAAACATCCACTCTGACATTCTCGCTCTCAATTGGATTGACCCAGGAATTCGAATATTAATTCCACAAGAGCTACAACATGAGCGCACCTGGCAATTCTTATCCGCGCGCCCTCTACGCAAGATCTGAGATTCCCGTGGGCTTATCAATCATATCTTCGATGAAAGGTACGATCAAAGGGCCTCCCAGGTGTAACCGATATACTGCGAGGACTCGGAACGTCAATTCTAGTTGCAGGCTGTATAATTGGGAGTATCCCTGGGGCAACAAACTAACCAGAAAACTTTACGATATGCCAGCGGAGGATCCAACGGCCTTACGGAGTACCAAGGGCAGATGGAATCATTTGTGAGTTATCGCCAGTACCGGTCACCTATCTCAGCAATACAAGAACACTCAGACATTCTTGCCCGTTAAGGTGAAACATAGACAATCAACAGTGGAGAGAATACGAAGAAGATATTGTTTTAAGTGTTTCATTGATTTCACTATTTTGCGAGGCTGCTCGCCGTGTTCCAACCAACCTTTTTCAAGGGATTTTTGTTCTTTTCCTCCGAAATACCCTCCAATGATGCCGACCCAACAATTTCTTTCATCCGTTGCCTCGTTCTATCCGAAAATCATTTCGCCATGTGCTGTTTTCCTCATCCCAAATGCTATTGGCCCATGAATATCCCTGGCGTGTCAGCCCCCAATGATGCTTTTTCTTAAAGAATTTTAACCTCCAAGTCGTCAAAGGAAACCAAGAAGTACCCACGAGGGCCTCTCGCTTGCCTGCTCGCTGGAACCCTCCCTCTCGTTATGATTTACTATCATAGCATGGAGAAGCCCAATGCGAGGATGATCAGGCCCATTCCAGCGCCAGTGACTGTATTCGAACCCGCGGCGCCCGTGGCTTGAGCGAAGGTGGCAGAGGCAGACGTTGAGCCAGAGGCACCTGAGCTTTCGCTTTCACTTGCGGTGGCTGTGCTGGTGGCGAGGGTCGTCGGCTGAGCTTCTGTCAGGCTACTTGCCGAGGTCGTGCTATTGCCGTACCAGTATCCGGACAGAGTTGGCTGGGTTGCGGATGGAGGCTGAGAAGTAACGGCCTCTGGCTGGCTGGTCACAACCGACGGCATGCCGGTGATCACGCCCAGCGAGTTGGTCTGTGTGGTGTAGATGGTGAATGGGTTTTCATATGCCGCCGTGCTTGTCGTGACGCTGGGGTTGGCGACCGCCACTGTCGTTGATACTGTTGCTGTTCCAGTTGGTGCTTGGATCTGTCCATCGGAAATTTGTGAGACGCCTGTCACTGTGCTCTGTGCATTGGTGGAGGCTGAGAGGAGGAAGATGCCCAGGGTAAGTGTGTTGACGGCGATGGTATGCATGGTCTCTGGTGGTGTTGAGTGGGATGGATGTGTGTGCTTGTTTGGCGTCTGCTGGAAAGGGGCTGTGGTAGTGGCAGTGCCTTGCGTCTCTCAACGCGGAGTAATGTTGTTCTGTTTCTGTGCAACAATATCGTCAAATGACTTGAAGAGCACTTATCATGAAAAGTGAAGGGCGTGTTGACTAATGGCAAGTCTTGATTTTTCTGCTGTGGATGGAATAAAGGAAGAAGAAACCCCTTTCCCAGTTGTGGCCGTTTTCAGCCCATCTATATACCGAGGAGGCCTCCTTGCCCTGAACACAGCGTCTATACAAAGAAAATGGCCGGGCAAATGCAAAACCCCAGCCTGGCCAACCACCTGTTGTAACTCCCCCTCCCCCTCGCCTGTGTAAGGCGAGGGAACCAAATGTCTGGTGGCGCTGTCGCAGAACATGCTTAACCCCTTGCACAAATCGGTGATGTGCAGTGACCTAGAGTGGTAAGGTAGCTGCTTTAGGTTTAGTGCCCGCTGGTTATGGTTAGCTCGGAGGTTGGGCAGGGGATGGCTGGTGCGTCCCGACCCACTTTGCTGGGGCTTCAAGGAATGCGCTGGAGGAACTTCTCGCAAATTGTGCTACGGAGTACTTCGAAGGGCAAGCTTTTTGATTATGACGTGTGCTATCTCTGCTGTTGCTACGAATACGGAGTATTTACCCTATAGTACTCCATACGGATGGGCGTGTTACGTCGCACGCTTGAACGCTTAGACGAAAATTCAAAACAAACCACCCTTTCATAGCCGTCGGATACCAACACGTGGCTGCGGCGTTCTGGAACCCACATTCGAGACTTTGCGTAGAACCTGGGGTCTTGAAGCCTGGCTCAATCCCGTCTCGGGGGCCCTATGCTTAGAAGCCATCAGGTTTTCTTTATCGTTCTCAACGGGTAAGGAGCACGGCTCTGGTTGTTGTCCCATCAGCGGAGATCCTTTCGAGATCGCTAGACCACCCGCTTCCGGGCGTATAAGCTTGGGGGACTTTCTGAGTGGCCCTTCAGCCAGTGGTTCCGGTCCTTTGCGAATCGTCGTGTCCTTGGAGGTATCATCATTTCCAGTGACATGGACCTCCTCCTCTGGGCCTTCAGAAGTGTATAGTTCCATAAGTGGCCGCTTCACCTTTGCATTGTCCCGTTGACCTCGAACGATCGTGCTACCTAGAGCGTTCTCCTTCGGGTGTTCGCATTCCGAATCTCGACCAGAGGAGGGAGCAGGTACGCTCAGTGGCCTCTCCTGTACTGAGGGTGGTTCTTCTCCGCGCTTCTTTGCATCTTGAACGGCGTTGACAAGGGCCAAGGGAATTGGGGCGTGGATTCTGGTCATTAACTTGGCTTGCGTCGAGAACGCCTCATAATCTTCTTGTATCAAGGCGCCGGCCGTGGCATTCAATGCCGAGTCTGGGTTGGGTTGAATGAGTAAACACGATATTGTGATAAGGATATCCTTCAATGTCAACTTTGGATCCCAGTCTCTTTTCAATGTCTCCAAACAAACGGCTCCAGTCGACTCTTCAACATTTGGATGGTAGATCCTTGTTCTAAAAGTTGCCTTGGGGGGATTCTTCGGGTAGTCCGCTGGCATCTTTAGATGAAGCCGCCATAGCCCTTGCGAGTATGGTGTGCCCTCGGCACCTGTGATGAGAACCAACAGTTGTGTGAGGTCGTCGGGTATTGATGAGGGGTCATCGCTATCTGGAAATATGTAGTTGGGAGGCGGGTTATTCCTCAATGCCGCATGGTCTTTGACGAGCCGACGTAATGACGATGCCTACCACAGTCATTAGTTGCGCGGACGAGCATTGCAAAGAGAAAACTGGATTATGATTGGCGGAGGTGATGGTATCTCCAACCGAGGAATTGAAAGGGCGACGGCGAGGTGTTTTGAGGAACTCACCATTGTTGAATATGTGATCGATGTGATTGCGACTATGCGCTCATCTTTTGTGAAATGATTTGTTTCTGAGATGGAGACTGTTTATTGTCCAGGTCTAACACGACACTCGCGACGTGGGGTAGTCTGTGTCGACTCCCCCACAACCCTTGCAGGCACATCACGTGCAGCGGATCAACTATTGTCCTGTTCCGTGTGATTCTATCTATTTATTTTGGCTCCTCCCTCAGCATCTCTTCCATTTCTCAGTGTGTCCCATGTAACTTCTTCAGCAATGGCCCGCAATCTAACGGATCGCGAAAATGGAAATATCCAATTTGGAATGACAAGTACCCTTAGCAATTATGGCCTTCGTTCGACTGTGTGGAGAATGCACATTCAAGGAACGTTTGATGCTGCTCTTCGTGAATCGACTTGACTCCGTGTTGGCGAATTTGACTGCGGTTGCTGCGGCAGCTGGCCGCCCTGCGTCGAGCATGCGTTTCTGTCGGTGAGCTGGTCGTCCGACAAAAACTGGCCTCGAAACGATCACGGACGTATTGCCAAGCTCCACCATTCCTAGGCTCTTCTTGAGCCCAAACAAATGAACTGGCATTAGGATACTGCATGAGAGCGTCTTGGACTTCTTGCCACGGAAATGAATGCAATTCTTCGATACGAACAACGAAAACAACGAAGCAACATGATTGAAGGACTAAAGGCCGAGCAGCCATATTGTCCCAACGTAGTGGATATGCGAATGTCTCTTCTCAAGACCTTGACAGAATGCTGAGCACTCCAACGTGTGACTTGATCTCTAAGACATCCAATATGTTGACGACATTGTTACACTCTGTCAGCACAGAGCAGATTCATTTCTGCAGGGAAACGCAGCCGGCTACCTGGACGAAATGTATAAAATGTGGCAGCATGATCTACATTCAGTACACGTGTCGTGACAAGTGTATTTCAGCAGAATACAAGACCGCAACAAGCCTGTGTGGCAGGATTTTAGTCCGCCGACTGGTTTCCTATCCTCTCGCAAAGACATCAATGGCCAGCCGGCTTCACCAAATAATCCAATGACTAAGGACTTTACGCGCCTCGAGAAGTGGCTAAGCGTGCAGCTACTTGTGTCCGCATCTCAGATGAAAGGCTACGTATATGCAGATCTCAATCCTCTTGCCTCTCGGTCAGACCAATCTATGGGCAAGCCGGTAGAATTGGTGCCTGTTTTTTACAGTCTTACCACTTACGACATAGAAAAGAGTTCGTGCTTGGGCCGAACTTCCTCCCACGTTTCATCACAAATGAGGGAAAATCCATGAGTTTGAAGGATATCATTGATGCATGTAAATCGATGTATTGCTCCACCTACGGGTTGAATATTACCACATCACTGATCCTACCAAGCGCGAGTGGCTCAGACGGCGGCTGGAAATGCCAACTCCGCTCAATTTCACAGGAACAGAAAAGTGGTACCTTCTCCGTGAGACTATGAAGGCCTCAATGTTGGAACGTTTTCTTGGCATGAAGAATCCCAGCGATAAGAGATTTGAACTTGACGGGGCCGAGGCACTGGCTCCAGCAATGTCAATGTTAATTGATCGGAGTTTCAATAAGCACGATGTTGATATTGGTCATCGTCAGTTGCCATCGAGGCCGTTTAACACGGACGGGCAGTATTTGCCAGAAGCCTTGCGAAGCCATCCACAGCGATGTCGCGTTCTCTGGTCAAGAGGTTGTGTACGAAACACTGAATATGTCCAAGGTACCAATATACGATGTTGGATTGCTGTCCGGGCTGGGAGCTAAAATTCCTGTAGCCTTCCTATTTCAGACCTCGGCCACGGCCGATCATGAGATGGGAGGATTTCAAGAGTCAGCAAGAGTCTAGAATGAGAGACATCTGTTTGCTGTTTCCGACCGTGACTGAGCGATTAGTATCCCGAAATGTTAAACCACAAAACTAACGGCACTTGACTCTAGGGATTACTTTCTGCGCTCGGTACACGCCCCAGCGGAGTATTGCGATGAAGATTTTGGGTCAAGGTTGAAAGCGATAGAAGTCATACACAGCGCGTCCCCCTCACTACGAATGGGGCTTGCTCAACAATCCTTGAAGCCGTTGCTACTGTGGGGATTCAGTTGCTGTTCGGAGCTTCGGTTTCTCGGGAACAATCCTAACTGCCTCCATTGTAGTCAACTGTGGGTCCTAAGCAAAAACCGAGCCCCTGAGATTTTCGGCTCATACATCTCATTGTCCTACTGCCTGAGTGTTCAACTCCTTCCTTTAGTCTTGATAATTCGAATCTGAAATGCTGTGACTCAGAACACCGCTCGTGGCAAGTACACCGATGTAGCCACCGGGTCACAGATCTGATCCAGACTGCTAAACCAGACACCTTGCAGCAGACAGCAAACTTTTACCTGAACATTATTGTAATATTGCCCTTCCCTCCGTTTTCAAAACGAGTAACCTGCTTGGTTGCTACTTCATACTGTAATATTATTGAGGTCTCAGGCACTTAGAATTGACGCAATTCTAATTGAAGTAATCGTGGACACGAATTTGACAGTGCGCACAGAGCACGATGCGTTCATTGGAGAGCCATCCGCGCTGAAGAATGCGCTCAAAAACCACTCTGTACTAATTGTCGTCGAGACCGACAAGCCTGTGAGCCTCGACGTCGTCAGCTAAAGAAAAGGAGAAATGCCTCGCTACAAAATTCTACCCCACGCAAAACCGCAGGGTCTATGCCCCTTCTGCACCATGATCAGGATGACGACCATTCTTTGCCTTTGCGTGAGGTCAGTTTCTGGTTGCCTATCCTCTTGCTTTGTTTTCCTCAGCCCTCCCTCCAAATGCCGAAAATGCTAACCAGCTTCTAGCAAACCGCAAACTCTAGTACTCAACAGCTTAGTGGAAGGATGAGCCATTCGATTCCTCATCCTCCTGTCACTCAGCATGAAATTTCGAGTCACATTAAAGGATGCGCTAGTACCACTTCCTCTTCCACTTTCAGAATTTCCTCGGACGCATGGAAGCATATATGCTTCCACCCAAAGTCGTTCCGAGCGTGTTTGAAAATACTCCAGCAGAGAATTTTTCGCTTACAGAAAGCGTTGCATTTGCCATCTCGAGTTGGTCACGATGCACTACTGGAGAGCTATTGGGGAAATTGCCGCCCGTGGATGTATGCCAACTGTTAACAAAGTGAAATTTAGTGCAACTCTGGACTACATCTCTCCACTTCTTTTGCAGGCAATGCTCCTGGCAGGAAGCCAAATGATATCCACACGGATTTCATATACATCATCGGCAGAGCTCTATGCAAGAGCAAGACTCTCTTCTGGCTTGGAACCGAAAAGAATCCGTCAACTTGCCTGCATAGACCGGAAAACTGTCCTTTGGACACCACTTACTCCTGGCTGCGTCTATCTGTGAGCATCGCCTTTCAAACTGGCTTGCATCAGGACGGCAGAGCCTGTGTGGATACTTCGTTACAACACAGGAGATGGTGGTCGGTTGTGGCAAGTACCGTTGATGCCGTGGTGTGGTTCTGCTGCTGAGACTCAGGCAATAGACTGCTGTATCAGCGTTGCACTTCGTGGCATTGAGAGCGACGGCCTGGGCTTTAGCATTCCTGACTCTATCATAGGGATGGACAAAATCGCTGAGTCTAACGATCCATCCACAGGTCTCGAAGATTAGTTCGCCATTTTGGCAAGTTCAAACAATCCATTTTTTGTGCTGAACTCAGATTTAGGCCAATACAGGGAGATCATAGGCGGCGACATTGGTAGCTGGCTCCTGGGGACGATGTAACGCTGGAGATTGTCCTTCATGGGAGCCCAAAGTGTCAGATGAGCTGAGGTACGCAGATATGAGTGTATCGTCAGCAGGACAAGTGCGGAAGCTTTTTCCACCAAACAGAAATCAAAAATTGGTCGGCGAAGCGAGGATCACCAATAAAGTACTCTGCTAAACAAGGCTACCGGATGATTTCCCAGCACTGAAAGCCTGATCTAGATTCATCAGACTTTGCCTGCTCCCACAGGACGAGGCAGTCGTGCCTCGCCCTCTCCAAATCCGCTGTCTCGTTGCAACACTCGTTGTGTTCCTCTTTGCCCACAAACAGCCAGAGCCGGAACCTTATACACAGTATCCCAACTCGCAATGTCTCCACAGCAGATGTGCTGTGCTTCTCCGGGTTAGCATGTGTGGTTGATTTTACATGTGATTCGCCTAGGGATGTAATCTCATCCAATTCTGCCAGTTGCTCATCGGTCACATCAGTCAGATGAACGACTACCTCGTCATCAGAGCTTTCCCCAATTTCGTTCAAAGACAGCTTTTTAGTTTCTAAAAACAGGTACTACACCATTGGAGTGGACATCGTAGTCAGGATGATAAATACTGGGTAGTATTTCCAACCGATGCTCCCAAATGCGGTAGAGGCGGGCGTGAGGCATGCTATAGTGGAAAGGAAGAGAACGGAGATCGAAAACGAGACTCTACGCGAACGAATGTGTGTCTGAAAGATCTAGCTACAGTATATAAAAGTGTTTGCGTTAAGATAGGATCCATAGATGTAAAATAGTCAGTTTCTGGGTGGTAGAATACCTATAGGACCAGCCTTACAAGCCGACATATACGAAGAGGAAGAACACCTAGACGCTTAACCCAACCTTGTTGGTGCCTGCATACACGGCGCTCAGGCGGTCTCGAAGCACAAACGGATCATGCACCCTGTATAATTGATCACTGTTGCCTTGCGTTAGTATCGTTATTGTTAGAAAGGGCTCTTAGAAGAACAGAAACACGCCGAAGAGTTCGACTTATGCCAATATTGTCGACAATTATAGAGTTGATGTAGTTACCGATGCACGCCACCGCAACATAGGATGCAGCTAGGACCGGGGGTGTACTACCGCTGAAGCTCAATCCCTGATAAATAAGAACACTATAGTCTATGGTGTATGACTTAGGGACGATCGCAAGCCCACGCAACAAAGAGAGCACCGAAGCATCCTCTAGCAGAGAAAACCCTGTTCATCGTGCCTAAACCAGAGTTGGTATAACGATATCGCTCTTGGTTTGATCCTGGCTCAAGTTGACATGTATGTACCAGGAAGACTGGCCCCATGTTGTAGACACAATACTAAAGCTGTATCCATAGGAGAGGCTCCCCAAACAAAGTGAGAAAACAATCTACATGAAGATCTCAGTCAGTCTTGGCTCTATAACATGAAGGAAGAGACACGGGTTCTTAGAGGGATTTCATACAACCGAATCGATGGCGGTAAGCTTTTGTTCCTGATTACAAGCAATGGTGGGTGATGAATGAGTTTAAACGGGTTTCTAGGTTTGAGAAATAACAATGAAACCTTCAGATGAACTTCGTCTGTATAAGGAAAAGGATCAGCTCTGCCCGTTACCCCATGTGAAATGGACTTCCCTATATAGCTCCGCGAGGGCGTCTACTGGCCTCAGTTGACATCTCACATAACCGAATACTGTATAGAGAAACTCATAGAGCTCATGGGCTTCAGAAGTGCTCCTATGCCAGAGCCGAGCACACAAAGCCGAAACAATATATAAGAGTTGATATGAAAGCCAATGACTACCATGTAGACATGCTGGGCCGAAAGGTTTTGACCCTTGACCGCATATTTTCATACAACCGAGAAGCCACCGGCTTCGACAAGTGGTTTTTATTCAGAGTTTTCGACAAACTAGCCAGGGTCGCGGGGTGGTAAAGACTCGAGTCATGACTCGAGTCTTTTACTATATATAGCATGTTAATTTCGCTTGTAGTTTCAGGGGGCTCCTGAGCTGGGTTCTCTATGCCTTTCACTATTTATTAGCACTGTAAATCACACAGAAAACAGTAATACTCGATCTCTTTTTATCGACCGACTTAGCCCTATAAACCTACCGCATTTGAAATGTCGTCCCGCAGCACACCTTTCTACAATAACAAGAGTATCAATATCGACTCATCATACACTACTAACATACTTAGTTCTCCTACGCTAACGCCTGCGCCTGAGGCTCCCATTTCTCTATCATTAAGCAAACGATTCGAGAATCGCTGAGTCAATGGCAGCGTATAGCTCCTAGTACCTCCTAGTACCTCCTAGTACCTCCTAGTACCTCCTAAGGCCACTCAATACGCAGGATCTGCCACCTCTAGTATCTACGAGCATGGCGCGGAGCACGCTTGCCTCAATGTCCCATAAAAGGAGAATGTTTGGATATGTAACTATTGCGACTCTTGTATAGCACTCAGTGCTAATATCAGCACGGTAAACGCTATAAGCGACTTAGGAGACGCCACAATATTGTCATAAAGCGCGCCAGAGATAAAATATAAATCTATCCTACAGGTAGTTACACTCTCAATTAAAATTCCGCCAGCGGGGTATTTAATAATTTTTCTTTGCCTGCAACTTCCGCTGAAATCGGGAGAGTCTTCAACCTTACTAGGAGGATCATTACAGCGGAGCGTGATAGCTTATCAAGTGAGAACTTAGAGATAATTCTTCACTACAAGCATTGGATGATACAGGGTCTTAAAGAGCAGCCCAACGAGGCTTGCACCAGAGGACAATTTGCTAGTATAGCGTACTTGAAATGGCCAGGACTCGATGTCGGATTGGGGCTGGTATTCGAGTCCCGCTATCCGTCACGCCAAAGAGTCGGACTCGGGACTCGGCGACTCAGGAGTTGGCAGTGCTGTGTGTAGACGAGAGCACTCGGTATTGTCAAATTCTTTGGCAGGTTTTGGTCGTTCTTCATGCTCTGCATCTCAACACCTACAGCTTCAATTAGCTGATTCTAGCAAGCCAAGCCCTCTCCCGGGCGGCGCAAAGGACTTTCTCAGCTGCGCTCAGTGTTTTGGTCGACGTCTTTATCCACAAAGCTTCGGACAAAAACCTCGGATAGTCGAGCAAAATCGAAAGCGCGAGCCCCAGTTCGACATCTGCCGCAAGGCAACTGCATGCGCGCCACGATTAGTGTCCCGAAAGCGATTCCTCGCCCAGATTTTGTACATTTCTCTCCACGCCGGAGTGTGAGCGGTACGTGTTGCAGATGGTTTCGTGGTCTCAGCGTCTTCACCAGCGTACAGAAATCCATGGCTGATATGCTTGAGCCGCGTCTCCGATCATTCCTGCGACAATACCAGTATACTCAGCGTCGAATCTTGACCTCATTAATGTTCATTTCTTGTTGCAGGTTTCAGCATGCGCCGATTTATCCTTGAGTCCCGACGGAGCAATCTGAGCTGTGGCGGTGCAATCCTGTCGCCAGAGCTCCCTGGGCCCAACATGGGCGGCAGTCTGAGCCCCTGTGCAGGGTTCTACTTAACCCCATCGGTCCTTCTAGACAAGGGGTACTCAGTTTTGGGCTTTCGTAGTCTCGGAGTGCCCAGCTTGAGCACCCTGTGATTGGCGTTTGCCATGGCTTCGAGAGCTAAGTTGCGGCGAAGCGCCATCAATACCTGAGAACTACAGCCATTCTTTAGTCGAAGCTGGTGCCTGGCTGTTCATGTAGGCTTTTTTGCCAAACAATATGCTACCACCGTGCTGCCCTTGTCAGCAGACATGTCAGCCTGTTTTCATTCTTGAAACCTTCAGTTCGTCTTTGAAATACTCTACAGCTTCGCTAAAGACCAAAGCAAATATTCTTCTGTGCTCCTTATCATGTCCGTTCGCATTTCTCCAAACCCACAAACGTAAGTTCCACTGTCAAAGTCTCCCCTATTGCTCAGTCTAATTTATTTCAAGAAGGCTACCGCTTGTCCAACGTTGCAAAAATTGTGGTGTGATTTTACTTGGATACCTTCGATTAATATGTTCTGCACTTGCATCGGGCATCCTTCTAATGATTCCGAATCGAATACAACAACTCAACAACGTTGTTCAACGAGTCAGTGAGCCTGAAACCACCAAAGTGCCCGTATCTAGGTGGCCGTCGCCTTTCGGATTTCGGCCCTGTCTTCACTTATTGGGCGTGCTTGGAGCGGTAGTCGTTATCACATTGAATCTCAGCTACGCCTGGATTGGTAAAGAGCTCACGGGAAAACCCCAAGATGATGGAAGGAAGTTACTCGCCCTGCAGCTTACTGCAAAGTTGCATGAGCTACTCATGAATGCTTCTTTAGCGAATATCCTATCCTCCATCGTTCTTGAACAACTGGTCCTTGGAAGTGGAGTTCCCCTTGGAGCCTTGGGCACTGCGTTTCTCTTTCATGATATCTCTTTTCTCTGGTCCAAGGAGTTGATCGCTATTTGCATTGCAAAGTTTAAAGGCAAAGCATATATCCTTCCGTTAACGATACTTTGCACAATACTTGCGGCTACGATTGGTCCCTCGTCTGCGACAGTCATGACCCCTGTTCTGACTGAATGGCCGGCCGGGAATATTCGCTTTACGTTGAATGCAACTAAAGAAGAATTATGGCCTTCTTTTCTTTCTGAGGCCACGATATCAGACATGGAGCCCTACACATCCGCGTCGGCACCAGGGAGTACTGATACTACGTGGAAATCGATCGCTGACAATATGCTACGCTTTTGGGGCCATGAAACCTTAGGAGGGGTCTTCGCATTACCAGAAAGTGCTAAAGTTGCTGGCAAATCTTCCGTTCGTACCCTAAATTCTCGTTTACGTGGGCCCTTAACACTATATCAGCCGGAGTATACCGCGACAACGATCCAAACCGCTATAACTGCAGATGCTCTTAATGCTCTTCGCCTGGATTGGTTTCCTGCAAATGCCTATCGATGCACTTGGGCAGGTTATAGGCTTACTCGAGGGATTTGTACATACCAGGACATTCACTGGTCGATAAATACTCACCAACCAGTCGTATATACAGCATGCACCAGGACTTCAACAATGACGGCAACTTCGTTTCCCACTCTGGCTCGTGGAGAGGATGGCCCAAAAGCAGCTACGGTTAATATCAACTCCAACTTTGATAAAGATAGCGGCAATTCTTCCGCCCTAGAATGGATCGACTTAGAAGGTCCTGAATTCTCAAGGACGTCTGTCGGCGTCTTGGTTTCGACCAATATATTTAGTGGTTCTCCAACTCCTGAAACGTATGCGTGTAGTATTGATGCTCAATGGGGAGATGCCACAATTCGGACTTCCTTCTTAGGACTTCCTTATGCCGTCGATGGCGAACCTCCTGAGTTTTACGAGCCATCTATTCACGCCAGCAGGTATCACGGCAGGCGGATAACAATATCTCCAGAATGGGCGGCACAAACATTTTCGTCCCTGCTTTCCAATACTACGGGCACGAGTATTTTCGACCAGCTCCTCATGACAAGCGCTTTGCCATCCCATGCATACAACGCATCAAAAGTCGAAGCAGTACTAGCCATCGCTTTAACAGAGCAAATGGCTAGGATCAAATCTCGAGCCCCCAACCAAATAATTAGTTCTGATGCTAATAAGGTCCACTTTTCAGCTAAGACCGAATCGGATAACACAGTGCAAGCTTCAAGGCACCACAATTTTACACTAGAGGTCACAGTCACGGGCTATGGCTATGGACTACGCACAGCAGGTGGAATCTCTGTTTCATCGACTCTAGCGATTGTTACCCTATTTGCATACACTTTAGTTGTGGCTTTTCATATGATGCGCCAACTTTCTTCACGGTGTTATGTTAATAGTTGGAACAATTTCATTGATATTGTGGTACTTGCTCTCAACTCTCCTGCAGGTGCGGACATGAAAAATACAAGTGCGGGTGTGAAGACTTTGGGTGTGCTGGGATTCCTCACAAGCTTCAGAGCTCAAAATGGTGCTGTTCAAATGGTGATCGGAGAGAAGCAGACATCAAAAAACGCCCTAACGGAGAAATTGGAAAGAGAGGTTCCATATCGGTAGACACCTAGACTTGTGGTCCTCAAGCTCGAGAGTGCATATGTGAAGACATAAATGACCACCTTGTCGGGCATTGAAAGTGTCGGCACAACAAAACCTGGTGCACCTCGAACAACTCCTCAGCGGACATGCAGAGTTCAGGATGTATGGCTCACAAGATCATTCTTCTCTTGTCTCGAAAAGCATTTTGAGGATTGATATCGACGTAGGGCCATGTGCTGGATCCTGACGATTTATGCGGCAGGTCCTCGATATGCACGTCATGACCTTCGATTGCGATGCCCAACTATTTCGCCGCCAGGTACCAGGAGAAAGGCCTTACTAGGTTGGACATAACGTGGAAAATTCTTAGAGTTCAAAAGACTTTGCCTGATACATTAGAACTCACGAAAAGAAGCACGGCGTCTTTACTCGAAGCTTCTATTCAAGCCAGGATCGAACTGATGTGTACACCACATGACCCCGTTCCATCCCTTGCTTGTAGGTAGATGTTTAATAGCGACGAGATCTTAGAGCCGTTGTGGGTATCTTCCGAATGGCATCTTCCTAGCCACAGACGCCTTCTATAAAGACAATAAGTTTTCCATAGTGAAGCAGGACTCCGCGCCTCAAGGATAGCGCGAGAGCTATTGCGTGGTATGCAATTTCGCATGTACCGTATTCTGTCAATCATTGGTGAGGAATCAGGAGGCAGCTATCAGGATAAAGTAAGAAGCATTCTTTGGTACTTGGCACGTTGCAAACGGTTACGCCTCGTTCTCCCAGAGCTCTTCGGTCAAGCCGGTGGCAGCCAACCCCCATCAGAACACTACTACAGATAATAGAGCGTCAGCCAGGTGTGGAAATTGTGAAAATCGGAGTGTCCCTGTTCGCATCCACGCATATCTTCTCCGCTTCTTTCACTCACACTTTCAATTTAGGGAAGAGCTCTAGATCCTCTGCTGTGAAGCAAGCTTTAAGCAGCATGATGCCGTCAACCTGGTCTCGGAGCTCCTTCTTGATACTGGACCAAGGATTAGCAGACAGTGCGCCTGGTGGTATTAAATCGGCCTGTACATAATGCACGTCGTAAGCTTGGGAGTCTCTAGGCGCAAAAGTGCTCTGTTCAACCAGGTCATCCTGTCGTATGGTTCAGTCCGCACATCAAGCAGGTCTGTCTTTGGCAGGAGCAGCATCATACGAAGTAAAGTCCATCCGCTTGGACAATAGTATATTTCCGTCGTTCAACAGCCGATACTTCAATCATGGTTGAAGGGGTGAAGAAAATATAGTAGCAGAGAATGCATTCATAGGAGTAAAGATTCCTTAAATCTAACGGTAACAGTCCAACGCACAACATTCTGGGATCTGGCCGGTGGGGCATTGTCCGGGTCCCTGCCGGGGTCAGACAAGTATAAACAGGACAATAAGGATCCGGGACCTAAGGGCGTTTGCCGAAAAGTATCGACACAGTCATCATCTGTTGGCCGGCAAAGTAGAAGAATGTAACTTACAGCCTCACGACTGACTCCTAGTTTAGTTGGCTGGTCTAGGGTGAGGCGGTCCCAGAGATTGTTCTGACCATAGACCCGAGAAGCCGCGCGAAGTCCCAGCAAGCTAATGGAGCGGCGATTTCCGCTGGGAGGCTTCTGAAAGTCCAAGCAAATAAAATAGAAAGGGGATTCTTTCAATAAGCTTCACGCCTTCGTTGAACTCTTCCATGTGGACGTATTGTTCCTCGTTATCGTTTTGGGCCGACTAGAAGAACAATTTCAGCCGTGTCATCGACACGAAATAATCGTCCGAACGGATACATGGGATACGCATCTTCATCTCCTCGATCCTCAATCATTCCCCTATGTCTCTAACAGGCTGTACACGCCGGCCGCAGCCAAGCTTGACGACTTTATGGCATCAATGTCGGCTGACTGCTTTCTCGTTGTACAAGCTTCTGTGGAGGACGGAAGCAGGGGCATTCTGAGTAATTTGAGAAAGGCATCATCCCAATTCCCGGACAAAACGTTTCGTGCAGAGATTGAGATTCCACCATACCAAAATTACGGAGGAGGAACTCTAGGAGCTGAACAACGTCAGTGTTCGCGCAATACGGGTTCATGGGGTTCTTGGCTGAGAGGGTGACAATGTCATGATAGGTATGCAGAAGGAGTTAACTCGCCTTGCCACTTTTGCGAAAGCGACAGGGTGGTTCTTAGCGTGCATGTGTTCTTTAGAAACCTGGACCGAACTCGCTCCCGGGTGGTCAATTCGCCAGAGCTGGAGTCTATCCGAATCATTATCGAGCATAACATCAGGATCGAAGGATGTTGCAGATAGTCCTGAGCTAGTCAAGCTCCTGGATCTCTTCGCTCAAAACCCTACCCGGTTCTTCATTAAGATCTGTGGACTCAACCGCTTGGGATCCAAGACAGACGACCCTGGAAAGATGGCGAAAGTACCTTTACCAATACTTTCCATTATCAAAGACTACCCAACCAAACCATTTGGGAATCAGACCGGCCGCATACGCAGTTTGAGAGCAAGACATTAGACCAAACTGCAAATAAAAGCGTCGACTTGCACAATGAGCTTAGTCTGCTCAACGAAGCGTTGCAGTCGGATTTTTTACGCAAGCTTCTCGTCGACAACGCCGAGCTGCTGTTTAGATAGCAGATCGTCGACGTTCAGCTGGGTTGAAACGTTATTCTGGATCGGAGCTCCTTGTAACAGCCTCATCAGACCATCAGTCACTGTGCTCATTGCTCGATTGAAACGTACGCGATGGTATTGATCGACGTGATGTCCACATCAATAGTGTAATGCTACTACCACAGGCTCACATGCAGGAGACGCATCACGCTCGACCGGGTTGGGGAGATATATGACAAGAATCATGGGACGAAGAGCATGCTTACCAGCGAGGCACTAAGAATTGAGGACCACGAAATATGCAAGTACCTCAAGTACCTGAGACTGCTACAGTACGAGTACTTGGTGCTGGAGCAGAACAAGGCTGTGAGTTATGCAAGGCTGTGAGTTATGCAAGGCTGTGAGTTATGCAAGGCTGTGAGTTATGCAAGGCTGAAAGTTACGATCACATGACCGCTCTACTGGCGCGAGCTCCCATCTTGGTGTTTGGAGAAGAGCGGGTGGTCGATTACGGCGTGCACTGCCGACCGTTGTGCTGTACAAGGAGCATGCATCTTGTCTATATCTGAGACTCTTCGTACGATGCCTCCCGACTTGCAAGCCTCTCTTTAATGCAGGAGTGGGTTACGAGATAAGCGACGACTTCGCATTAAAGTGCAGAATGCTACAGTTCTCTGCATCGAGTCCAGTGCCTCTTCAATTTCAATGCATCGGTCGCTGGGCCAACAGTGCTTTTACGAGCTGCCACAGCAGGCTCACTCTGGTCTGCACCAGGTCACTGTAGCTGCATGACATTAGTTGCATTTTTGAAGCCCCAAGAGGGGTGGATTCTATACGAGCTTTTCTTGGAAAAACGGATGCAGGTCAATGACAAAGTGCCACAGTCCCAGGCCACCGCGTTCCCGAGCAAGGGAAGACTACTCAGGTAATGGAAGTACGAGGCACGCATTGACATCCTTTGCAAGATTGTGATGGGGGTCGCACGTTAGTCTTGCTTGCTTTGCCATGTACCTGCTGATACGATGTGTGTCCTTCTGGTGAGGTTGGTTTTGCCAAGCCCAGGCTGCGGTGGCGCCGTGATTTGCTCGCTCGTACCACAGCCACCCGCCAAGCCCGCCAAGCCCGCCAACACCCACTTTGGAATTGTGAACTAAATTTGGGAGTCTGTTTCGACGCGGATGCCGGGCAAGGAGCAGAGAGCGCAGAATTCAAGCAAGGCGCAAAGCCAGACACCGACTTACTGCTTGCTTACCCCGAGTGTTTTCACTTTCATACCCGAACCTGACTCGTACGAGTATGCCATCCATCTGGACAGCAGGTGCTGGGGCCAAAGGGCTGCCAACCTCTGCTTAGGCGAATGCCCTACCTATGGCCTCTGTTGACGCCTGGAGCCTGCCCCAAGCTTAGCCACACCATAGCTAAGCAGAAGCACTGACTCTCGGCCACCGCGAGCTCTAACCCCCAAGCCCTCACCTATCCATCAACCTTTCAGGCCATGCTGCCATCCCCTGTGCAACAGAGCTGTCGGTGTCCTCGACGTTCTTATTGAACAGCCTCGCCCACATTTATGCGCTGTCTCTTGCACCTCGGCTTAACTTCGAAAAGGCAGCCAGATTGGAAAGGCTGCTGGATTGTTCGCTCAAAAGCCCTTCAAAAGTTCGACTATGCTCCCTAAGCCCACGGGCCCATATACGTATAATACACTGCACCGTCAAGCGCTTGATCTTTCTCACTCAGTTCCTGCAGATTCAGATCCGCCCATAATACTCCATACGCCCGCCGGAACGGGGACTGGGATTGCGCTGTCTCGCCTTGTTGTACTTACCGAACAAATCAGGCATTTGTACTTTTGTTTGAGACCACGTTTTTGACAGCACTCGCCACTCGACCACTCGACCACTCGACCACTTCACCTCGCTCGCAATGTGGCCCGCCCCCGTCCCCACTCATCACATTCTCGTACCTCATTTCGAGCCGGCTGGTCACTATGGGTACGCACCAACTGCCACCTCGACCGCTGCAGCCACTCTGGCGAAACGCCGTCGGGCGAGCAAGCCCAAGGTGAGCACCACGAGCCATCGGCCTAGCACACACGATCTAATCTAGATCCAGGTTCGGACGGGATGCAAAACCTGCAAAGTAAGAATGGCCTTGACCTACTCTCCGTTCATTCCCCACAATGTGCTTCCTGTTTTACATGTACTCGTACCCGCTTTGAGACAGCCACGATCAGTCTTTTGTCAAGTCCTGAGCTGAACTCCGTACTCTCCGTCGCTGTCTGCCCTCCTGACTCGTTGTCTGATGTGGAATTGCCTCCCAGATACGGCGCATCAAATGCGATGAAACCAAACCCAGCTGTACGATGACCCGCCTTGCTGGTTCCTCTTCGTAAAATGCTCACGTGTGTCTTTAGGCAAGCGATGCACTTCGACCGGTCGAAAATGTGACGGTTACGATTTCCCAAAGGGGTCCTTGGAAAGTTCAAAAGCCTCTCCGCTGTCGCCACCTCAAAGACCGGAGTTCACCTTTTACCAGCTATTTCAACCAGGCTCAATCTCGAAACCGTTTCAAGGGAATACCCAGGAGCGACGAATCTTCCACCGCTTCCAATATTGCACCGTGCCAGCCTTTGCTGGTGGGTCTGAGACTGGGTTTTGGACCAGGCTCGTACTCAAAGTGGGCCAGGAGGAACCAGTTGTTCGGAACGCCATCATTGCGCTGGGGACACTACATGAGGACTACCAGGATCGCTGTGGCAAATATACGACAGAGTTGATAGACGACAAGAGCTATCGCCACGCCTTGAAGTTATATGGAGACGCCCTTCGCCAATTGAATCAACGATTGAATCTCCCGTCACGGACCAACGCGAAGCTGGCAATTATTGCAAGTATATTATTTGCCTGCTTCGAAGTCCTTCGACGCAACAACATGGCAGCAGTGATTCACTACCAGCAAGGCATGCGAGAACTGATCCGTCAGATGAATCTTCCAGAGGGTGACGATATGTCACTGACGCCTTATTCACCTGAAGAGTACGCTGGTTCACGGGCAAGCTTCCGAGACATCCCTCAAAACGAACTGGACGAATTATTACGAGTGTTTGCACGATATGATATCCAAGCATGCACTTTCTCCAAAGAGAAGGCGGAACCCTTGACCTACCCTGTCACCGCCCTACCAAGGATAATGCCGACAAATTTGACCCTCAGCCAAGTGCGAAACCATCTGGATAACCTTCTTGTATCAGTGTATCAACTGGTCAAGTCTGACTTGAGGATGTATCGCTATTGGAAGACAGAGTTGGTCCCCTTGGAATGGCGGACACAGCAACGAGAAGCAGTCGAAATCTTTGACGCCTGGGTTGCTGCTCTCGAAGAATTCTTTCGGTTAGAGGGAGCGAGATTGAGTCTGACCGAGATCAAAAGCCTTCTCGGGCTGCGACTGCAGATTAAGTGTGCAGTGATCATGCTCAAGGTCAGCATTGATTGTGGACCCGAGATAACATTCGACGGGTTCCGAGACGATTTCGAAGATATGGTAGCAAAGGTCGAACAGATGACTACGTCTTTCAAAATGAGTGACGCCCAGCCACTGGAAGTCGAAAACACACCATTCAGCATGGAACTTGGAGTGGTACACCCATTATTCTTTATCGCTTGCAAATGTCGAGACCGGAATATTCGACGACGCGCACTGGCCCAGTTGAAGAAGGCTGGTAAGGAGGGTGTCTGGGAAGGGCCAATCATGGCCGTCTTAGGCCGCAAGGTCATGCTTCTGGAAGAAGAGGGCGTCGCTCAGGACGAGGTGATACCTGAAGCTAATCGATTCCACGAGCTAAAGAAAAATGTGGACTATGACACACGGCAGATTTTTTGGGAAGGGACAAAGGCATTGGATTCTGCCTGGCAGAACTTTTCCATTCATCGGGATGCGCTCCCATTTTGAAGCGTTCGAGAGACAAGTGGCGTGGCGTTACATGGAGAGGGAAATATCTGGGGCTTGGAGTCTTCAACTGCTTGCCTGCACCGTTGAGGATAGACAGTCTAATGGATGGTGACAAGAAATCGTATCGAAGATCATCGCATGAGGGGTCAATATCATATGAATACCCGAAATAATATAAATTTGGTAGCGGACGGCGATTTCACCACAGCTTCGTCGGGCCCTGCAGGACGCGTGATATGCACCTGGTGTTTGGCACAACGTACGAATACAACAATATCTTGAGTCTTGACGACCCGCCAGTGTCACGCCTCACAAGGTGACAGACAACGCCAGGAGTGGGCAGAGGCTCCCACTTGATTCCTGCCGGAGAATTTTACGGATGGGACGAACAGGCGAAGGGGAAGAGACAGGCCTCGGACCCTGATCCTGGTCTTCAACTAATAGAATGCGTCTGCCACGAGCCCCCTGTGCCTTCCCAACAGCCCAATCCACACCCAACTGCAACTTTAACAACTGGAGCTGCCAAATTGGAACGGAAGGCGCCGTTTTGAAGGCTTGGCTCTTTGGTGCTGAACATCAGCCACTCACGGCCGATCATCTACATGCGCCAGTCCACCTTCGGTAAGGCTCCCTCCGCCGTTACCTGTTAGCGTGTTCTTTCCAATTCCAGCGAGCCAGGTAATCAATCTCGGTCTCATCCACCGCCAACACCTTGATTTTTTGAACACCTCATCTCCAGTCTTCATTCAACCCCGTTCCAGTTCACTTTACATACTTCACATTTTCACGTCCTTCCATGGCGCAGTTGCTGGTCTTGACCCTCTGGTCCCAAGTCAGCTTCTTCCCAACTGCGACCTTGCAACGCCAAGCCAACCCATGACCGAAGACCTCCCTCCAGATTCCGCAGCCTGGGTCTCCCCCTACACGCTTCCTCCTTTACCAAATCTGCAACGTTCTCGCGGTCAGTCTTCACATCTGAAGTCCCCTGATCTTCCTCGGCCATACTACGCCGCAGCCTGGGGCAGTCCGTACGCTACACCGAGTCCGAGGAGGTCATCTCGTCCGACATCATTCAGCGGACACCACGCCGCGTTTGGCTCTTCATCTCCATCACTTCCGACGCGACAACAGCCCCGGACAGCTCCACCCCACGAATTGACCGAAAGATCTGCATCTCTGAGGGATCAACAACAACCTACGCAGACGCGACGAAATCCCCGCGCCGAAGCCCTCAACTGGTTAAGCGATTCAGAGGATAATAGCTCCGAGGCGAGTGGAAGAGAGGGAGGTGATCAGACACCGACACGGGACGCTTATCTCGACAGTTGGGGTCCGTCTCCGGCCAGCACTCCGTCCGAAATATCTCGAGTACATCGAAGATCGGAAAGCCTTGCGACAATCACTCCTGACATCTTCCATGGTGCAGACAGTCACCCAATAGAGTCGGACAGTCCAGACCACTTGTTGTTTCCATCCTTGGATTTCAGTATGGCGGCTCAAGACTCAGCAAACATGAACTCGGAGAGTAAGCCTCCACAACCACTCGATCGTCGAATGTCCCTGATCGAAGCGGGGGACAAACCCCTTGGAAGCCCTACCTCTCCGCTACGACCTCGACCTAATTCCATGCAGTCGCACCAGCGACCGAAGAAAAAAGTAGTTTGGAAGGGCAAGGCGTGCATTATCGCCCTTCCGCTCACAGATAGAGAGGCAGCCGGTCTACCGCCCTTGCTCACAGCTGAACAATTTCAAGACCGGATAAGCGGATGGATTGCTCAGGGATATATCATTGACGGTTTGGAACCCACAAACGCTTCATTGAACCACGATATACAAAGCAGCGGTCAGAGTCGTCCACTATATCCCGATCCTCAGGATATGCAATCGGAGCGGAAGCTACACAAGTACCACGTGCATTTGCCCAACCAGGCCGAGTGGGAATCGTGGGTCAATCACCTCAAGGAGGAAAAGTTGAGAGCATTGGGTGTGAGTCCTAGCAATTCAGAAGCTCCGCCCTCCACGAGATCGCCATTTTCGCCAGATCTAAGTCGCGTTTCCTCGGGTTACCCAGGACTGGCTCCCTCACCCCCGGTCGCGCCATCTTCATCTGCAAGCAATCCTCTCAGAGCAACGAGCAATCCCTTTTCACCATCCCTTATGTCCTCTGCCGGTATCAGTCCACAACCCGGGTCAGTCAACTCGTCGCAATTCAGTGGCTTGCCAAAGCCTCTACATGCCCACAAACAATCGGTCGCACAACCTACCCCCCGTGGTCGCATCAACTCTCCTTTCGACCATGCTCTGTCACAATCGATCTCGTTCAGTCCAGGTGTTCCACCGAGTATGGCAGCACGGTCGTCTCGACAGAATAGCTTTTCTCCCAACAACCCATTGCGACTACCAAATCTGAGTGAAGTTCTATCTCCTATCTCGCAGCAGCCAGGCTTTGATGCCCGTGGTCCTAACATGAATCTTCCTCCTACATACACGCGACATGGATATTTCCCGTCACAGGCTAATTTCACGGTCCCACACCCTAGCAACTGGAAAGCACCAAGTCCGGCACTGCCCCAGCGTGTCGATAGCTTGGCACGTACTCCAGAATTCCGTGTACCATCACGATCACCGATCGAAATAGCCCACCCAACTCCGAAAAGCCATCGTCATAATCTTAGCATGGCGTTGCAAAGGGAAATTGATGAAGCTGAAGCTTCCTTGACCGAAAAGGATCGAACTCATAACCCTGACTCGACTGAGGACGGGGAAGAAATCTCACGGAAAGACTCACACGTTGATGAGTCTATGAATGACGAACCTCCTATACTGCGACGACCCGAAACATTAACAGATGAGAGGTCAGAGATTGAAACAAATCCAAGCATAGCTGCGACTCCCATGCTCATGGACGATAAGAACCCATTCGTGACCTGGCAAGCATTGAGTGACGCAGCTAAAGGTGATACAAAGCCCTCGAAGGAGTCATCCACTGCTCCTTCGAAGTTCAATGTTCAGGCGAAAGAATTTGACCCCCGGGGAGGCTTCTCAAGCTCCAACTTCACTTTCAATGGTGATGCTTTTGCCCCATTTGGCCTATCTCAACCGCCCCTCGCCTCTGCTCCAGTTGTGCCTAAAACTTCCGCAAGGAACAGATCGTCTTTATCGCATCTAAACGCAGATGCCCCTGCCTTTACTCCCTCATTCCTCGCACAACCAACACCGGAGAGATTATCCTTCGGGCAACACGTGGAGGACAAAGCAGACCATTCAGTACCTGCAGAGGACCCCTCCGTTTCCCAGAACATTCCCAAAGATTCGGGTTTCAAATTCTCCTCTGCTACGTTCAATGTCGATGCACCAGTATTCAGCCCATCACAGTCCTTGTTCGCTCATTTGGGGCCCAGTTTGAAGACTCCACCTGTTGATAAAACCCTCGAGTCCAATTCTATATTTGGAAATGTTGTGATCGATCCGGACTCCAAAGTGACAAGGAGGGCGAGCAAAGCTCTGACTATCACCCGTCCTAGATCAAAGGACGGACCAGTCGAGGCCGATGTGGGCAGTTCAGGGGAAGACATTGAAGATGATGGTGGCCGCCCCATGGCACCTGCGGATCGTCAAAAAAGAGCGCGCCGCATTGGCAGTGGTGGCAATCGAAGCCCGATCTATAGTGATTCTGCGCCCTTCCGCCAATCGAGCACCCTGTCAGAAGGCTTCGATTCTGCGAAAGCAGACCTTGGTAACCAGAAAGATTCCGGTACACCATTCGAAGGCTGGCTATACATTTCTCCAGACGAGAACGAACTCAAACCCAACGTTGAGCCAGTTGACGAAAAGAAGTCAACTTCTCATAGTCCTCAGGAAAGTGAGTCGAGCTTTACTTTCAAGAATGAGACCGATGCCGCGAGATTCAATGACGCACGGCCTCCATGGGATGGCAAAGGGGAAGACGAATCAACCAAAGTGCTCGAACAGGAGCCTGTTGTTGATGGCGATGAGTCGAATGATGATCTGTCCAACGGAGAAGACCCAGAAGACCATGAGACTTCTCCGAAACAACCAAAGGGCCAGTCTCATAAGGTAAAGTCATCGTTGTCAGCACTTGCGAAACCCTTCCACTTTAGTCCTCAGTTGTCGAGCCCTAAAACAACTGCATCCTTTGCTGCGCCTCGAAAAACCCAGGGGCTGGAGGCTTCACGATTTGCAGGGCCAATGAACCCTCAAGAGTCACCTGCAATCCTCACAGCCAATCTCTCTTCCCCTCCACCAGATCTCGACCAATACAGAGAACGAGAATTCGAGTCTAAATCTGAAGTTGAAGTTGAAGTCAAGACTCCGTCCGATGCCGAGGCAAAGGCTCTCTCTATCAGCACTACAGCAAGCATGCCCAAGCAAGACGTTGAGAATCTGGAAAGAAAAGCGTCGATACACTCTGAGCCCAGACAAGAAGCGCTAGCCGACGAGGACGAACTCATGCCTGTCTTTCGACATGATCATCAAGACGAGCCTGAGCCATCTTTTGAAGAAATTGACGCCGTTATGAAGCAATTTGAAGTGCATCCTGAGCTGGGAATTGAACGCTTGGACACACCACTTCAATCCACACCCCTTGTGGATATGCGCTTAAGTGGAAATTTTCGCAGTGATGCTCCAAGTCCCAGCCCAGTTAGACTTCATGATAATAGGATTCTACAGAGCGAGGGGTCATATCCACCTTCAGCCGGGCTTGGTATTGGCATTCACAAGCTCAACACTGGAAGGGAAGATGTCAGCGACTGGGGAGGGACATTGCCCGCAGTTGAAGAAGCAAAGTTGCAGTTGCGTTCGCAATTCTTTGATGGCCATGTCAATGAACTAGTTGATGGCATTCTAGAAAACAGATTAGGGCCTCTGGAGCGTACCCTTCAGACAATGCAAAATTCGTTAGCGTTGATTGCAAGTGGTTCAAAGGCGAGACATGACCACAAAAGCATGTCCATAGAAGTCAAAGACTCGGATGCCGATGATGAGGATGATTACGACGCTTTTGAGGGTTTCGCTTCGTACCGAACAAAGTCTCCAATGGCCAGAAGAGAAGTATGGAAGCAGGACAGAATCCGTGCTGCGGTCACTCAAGCACTTGCTTCTTATGAGCCCCCTGTCCCAGCCCCGTCTGCACTTGACTTGACAGAGTTGAGTGAGATTCTGCAAGAGATACGGCAAGTGGCCCTACAGACTAGCTCCCTCAATACACAACATGAGCTTAAAACAGTGGTCGAAGACGTTATCTCTCAGCACCCAAGGTTACGCGGATCGAGAGTCCAACAAGATCACGAATCCACGGAGGGAAAACTGAGGCCCCAGATCGATGGTCTTGAATCAATGCTAAAAATGGCGAAGGAACACACCTCTGAAGAAGTACGCCTAAGACGGCAAGCGGAAGAGCAAGTTGCTGAACTCAAATTGCGCTTGCGCGTTGCGGAAGAAGAAGCCGCGCAGTACCGTGAAGCATCAGAGGAGACTCAGCAGACGTTGGTCGCTTTCCTTGAGGAAAAGGAGTCCTACAAGAATCTCGAAGATCAACTTGACAGCGTGACGCTCCAGAACAATGCTTTGCAGACGACACTTGAAGAGTACCGAGTTTCAAGCGATCAGTGGCGTGATGACATTCGTGAAGAACGATCGAAGAACAAAGCGCTTCGGGAAACCTTGCATAACCTTGCTAAGCAACTGGAAGATCAGTCACAGTCGAGGACATTGTTCCGCAACAAAGTGGAGCGTTTGCAAGAGGATCTTACTCGGGTTGTCCAGGATACCCAATCTGAGCAGGCAGACTCTCGTGAGCGAGAGCACAAACTGCTCAGCAACATTGCACTAGTCGAGGATGCTCTCAGTCAGGAACGTCGACATCGCGCGAGAGCGGAGGCAGAGCTTGACGCTTTGCACAAGGAAAATAGATCTAACCTGCGTTACAAAACAGGCCTCGAAGAGGCCGAGAGAGATATTTCCCGACTCAATGATTTGGTGGCATCCTTGCGTGAAGACAATCGAGCCTTAGACACCAAAGCTTTTGAGCTGGGCCGAGAATTGGAGCATGTGCAGAAGAGCAAAGATGCAGAGGTGGCAACATCAAGCGCACGATTGTCAGCAGAATTGGAGATCACAAAGACACAGCTTCAAAGTATCCGAACGGACGCCGACGCCCAAATAAGCAGACTTCAAAGCCGACTTGATCATGCCGAATTAGATCTAGAGGATCAGAAAGCCAAACATGATTCTATCTTCTCCGAGACCATCGAAGCCCACAAGGAAGCACTCCGCGAATCAAATGAGAGAAGGGAGAGTAGCCTCGAAGACCAACACCAAATGCATGAGAAGAAACTGAACGACCTCCGAGAACGACACACTCGGGAGCTGCATAACTCCTTTGACAACAGAACCAGGCTTGAACATCAGCTCAATGAAAAATTGAGCTTAGGAGAGGACAAGAACAAGCATCTCCAGAGTAGGATTGCTGATCTGGAAGATCGATTGGATGTTGCAAAATCTGCTCTCAGAGCTGCCGCAGAGGCCGCTCTTGCCAAAGGCGTCAACCTCCCAACTCCTGCTCCCTCTGTTGTGGCATCGCCACCACAAAGAGCTGCAAGCGCTTCGATATCCTTTGCTAAAGGTACTGACTTGCCAGAAAAGATTTCTCCACAAGCCTTGCGGGAGTCAATCATGGTCCTACAAGACCAGCTTCAGAACCGAGAAATGAAGATCGAGAAACTCGAAATCGAGCTGGCGGCCATTGACAAAGACGCACCGAACAAGATTAAAGAACGAGATACGGAGATTGGTTGGCTACGCGAGTTGCTCAGTGTACGCGCAGATGACCTAGAGGATATTATCAATACACTGGCCCAACCAGACTTCAACCGTGAGACTGTCAAAGATGCCGCAATAAGACTAAGAGCGAATCTCCAAATGGAGCAACAACTCAAAGAGCGAGCGCACTCCGGACTGGCGACCTCACTTCCGTCTATCTCCTCCTTAACAAGCTATGCGCAGTCACCGAAAGCTCTTCCTATGGCCGCCGTGGCAGCACTGAGCAACTGGCGCCGGGCTCGAGATACATCAATTGGCGCTATATCCGATTTTGCGACCGGTATTGGCAGCCAAACGCCATCAAGATCAACTCTAGGAAGTCCCTCAAGTATACTCTCGGGAATTATGACGCCACCGACGACTACTCAACGACAATCAGGCTCCAGCGAACGCTCTGCACCACCTCCTAGTATGAGGCCTTTGGCTGCAGCTGCAGCTGCACAAGCTCGAAATGGCGGCGTGGAAGCCCGACCTCTCCGAGCGTACAATTCTCAACCACGCGCTTTGTCAAGCCGACAACAGGAGAAACGATCCGAAGAGTCTCACCCCTTTCCTCAAATCAGAGATGGATCACCACATACTCCGACTCAGTCGAAGCGGCCAAGCCTTGACTTTGCAGACGATGTTGATGAAGACGCCTCCCCACTGGATGGCAGACACACGAAACACCTGGAGGAGGCCGAGCCAATTTCAGAATGAAAGTTTCCTACACTGAACGTAACATTTCCTTGGTTGAGTCATTCTTTAGCGAGCGTGATATCCAGAATTAGGTGAAAGATGGAGGTGAAAAGGATGCATCTCATGTCTTCATGTCACATAATACCCCTTGTGAATCACTTTTGCTTTGCAAATAATTACACATTGCTTTTTGTGATCCCACTCGTTGTGAAGGGATGATCTTTTGTATAGACAGGCTGGTGTAAGGGAATTTTCGAGCTTGCACATAGATGTGTTGTCCCGGTTCATGAGCAAGGTCATTTTGTTGCAATCGACATTCGGAAAGACTGTCAGATAGGAATTCTGGTTGTGCACATGGAGTTGACAGGAAGAGACACATCCCCGACGTCAACCTTGCAGCGACAGCTGTTTGCATTTTTATGCAGCCCTGCTATACATTGTACCCTCCCCTCGTCCCCTTGTCCTGCTTTTCAGCGCCTCTTCTCCGACATACTCGACCACCTCTTCGTGCGTCTTGAGATTGTTTTGTACGTTTGCTTTTTCACATAGGTATATATATATATATATGGGTGACACTCCAGGCGTTATCTCGCCTTCGAGCGAGCATTATGTGGGTTTGACCAGCGAGGCGTTTTTGTTTGGTCAGGATGATGGTACATATATCATGGACACGTGTATACACACAACTCAGTTGCTTCAGCGCGGATCGCCGCGTGCAGCCGCTTGTACATAGACGCCTAGGTAACGATTTTCCCATTTTCGACCTTCACGTCTGATTCCCCAGGCCGGTGGGGAATTTATAATTAGTCAGTCGGCAGACAGCCTAGATGACATCTGCTCATACATCGCAATTAACTTCTCATTCCAACTAAGACTTCAGTTCACTACAATTCCTATAGGAGCAAGCCCCTCTACAGTCGCACAGTCGCACAAAAAGAGCCAACGCTTTCTTGAGGTGGGCGAGCATGATCATGCCCCAAGGGACACGTCAGTCCACACTAGATCTTTCACCAGGGCACCTTTTCGCCGTTGTATGCCATGAATTGCCCAGAAGTATCCTCCCTCGTTGCCCTATCAATCTGGTCGATCACGCCATTCACGCCATCTTGGATGGGCACCGGCGCTGTGGTCATTCCAGCAGTTTTCGCCGCGTGGTTGCCTAGCTAATATGTTTTGTCACCAAGAGTCAGTTCAGCCATTTTTCTCGGTGTGGAGAACCCGGGTCAACAAACAAGTTAGTGCTGGAAGGAGATACAAAGCCTCGCTTCCGGGGTATTAGTGGAGGAGGCTCGGGGAAGGGCGCCTACATACATCAGTCTGCAACCAACCCGGATTGATCGGAAACGCAATCAACCGCGGGTTCTCATAGTGAATTCTGCGCGTGACGAAATTCGCAGCGGCCTTGGATGCTCCATAAGCGGTATTCTCGACCGGCAAGCTCTCCACGAGCCCAATGCTGCCGGCACCGGAGGACAGGACCACGAATTTCGGACTCCCGTTGGGGATCGTCGCTGTTGGTGTTGCTGTTGGTGCTGCCGCTGCCGCCGCTGCATCCAGGAGCGACGCGGTTGCTTGAAACAGCAGCAGCGGCGCGACGGCGTTGACGGCGAAATGATCCGCCATCTCGGTTGCGGGCGTGACTCTCGCTTTGCCGAAGTATTTCGACACGCCGGCGTTGGCGATCACCATGTCGAGCTTGGTGATGCCGTGCTGGGATACCAGGATTTCTGCGGCGTCTTGCGCGTCGGTCGAGGACGTGCTGTCGATTTTCACGGTGATTATTTTGCTATCGGTGCCGTGTGGGAGATCTTGTAGGGCAAGTGCTGCGGTGCTGGTGGGGTCGCGCAGGCCTGCAATGAGAGTATGTTTGGGCCGGAGGAGGTATGTTGATAGCAATGCCTTGCCGATACCTGGTCAAGCTCTTCCCGTTAAACATCGATCAACAACAGACTTCTTGGGCAGACTACTGGTTCGGACGTCGTTCAGGGTAACTTACCTCTACTGGAGCCCGTTATCAGGATCACAGTCCTGTCTGGCATCGTGGGAGGCAGAGTTTACTTCCTGGCCTTTCTAGCCGGTCGAGGTTGTCCTAAGTTCCGCAGCGTTCAAAGTTGAAGAGGACGAGTTCCGTGAGAGGGGACCCAAGCGCCGACTTGCAATTTACTCATCCGGTCTTTACAGGACTCCTCCCTTCTGGCCAGGACTGCGTAGGAAATAAACAGTATTTAACCCCGTACCCTTTTTATTTGACGACCGAGTAATAAGATTCATGGACGTACAAGGTATATCGCCGATCCAATCACGCACGCACTGCGCCTCGTCGGATATTTCCCCGACGTTTGGCCACCGACAACAGTATTTTGTGTCTGAAGGTTTCCATGCTTTAAAGGAGCGGTTTCATCGGAAGAGAATTTAATTTGGTTTACACATGACAGTCTCATGGAAGAGGAAAAATCTTGAGCTACAGTGTTGTCGAACCAGCTCCAAAGTTGGGGTATCACAATACAGTGCGAGGCCGAAGCATTTTGGGCTTCGTGACGAAGAACAAAACAACGCCATGGGGACCCAATATGCCTTTGATTTCCTTAGATACGGGCGGCAACTTTCAGACGATCGGATACCGCAGCGTCTCACTAGAAGACTTACGATCATGTACGCTCTTGCGGCAAGGTTTACCTCTGCAAACCTGTCCTACAACTAGCCGATATTGAACATCCTGGCAGATAACTTCAATGTATCACTGTCACAGATCGGCAACGTTCCGGCTATGGCCCAGGCTGGCAATGCTATCGGTTTGCTGATGATCCTGCCTTTGGAGGATTACTTTCCGAGGCGCAGTTTCACGTTGATACTGATGGCCCTCACGACTGTATTCCGGTAAGAGAGTGAGTGTCCCTACGTACGAAACGGCTCCATTTCTGTGCCCATCTCAACTTGACGCAGGCTCGGGATTTGTGTCTCCGAGCGAGACACAGCGTTCCTTACCTTCGCCTACCTTTCGGCACTATTCACGCCCGTCACACAACTTTTGCTGCCGCTAGTGTCAGAGCTGAGTTCTTCTGGAAATCGTGCGTTCAACCTGTCTATCATGAGCACTGGCCCAATTCTTGCTCAGGCGGCGTCCTTTTGAGAAGCTATCCGAAAATTCTCTGGGCCATTGTGACACTTTACCCCAAACACCCTGCGCTTGTGCAAGTAAGGCTTTTATCGTTTTCGACATTCTTCGCCGTGTCCCTATTCTGGACCACGGTCACGTTCCTCCTCTCGGAGCCAATGTACGGATACAGTTCCAGCAAAATCGGTCTTCTGGGTCTCATTGGGCTTGCAACGATGTTGGCCGCTCCAATTTGTGGGAAATACTGTCAGTCTACTAGGCGTCGTCTTAGGAACGTTTCTTGGCAACCAGTCGATTACAGGTCCCATACTGCAGGCGACACTGCTCGATATCGGCTTGGTGATTCTACAGATATCGAATAGGGTTGCTATCCATCCGATCGAACCGCTGATGAGGAACAGGGTCAACACTGCGTTCGTGAGTGTTCTCTATCTAGGTCAGCTGGCAGGTACCAAGGCAGGCAGTATCGTCTACTACTCGTCTGGGGACTGGGTTCCCACAGGCGCGGTAAGTATAGCCGTCCTCAGGGCTGGGTTTTTCATCATCGGGGCCAGAGGACCAAATGAGCAAGGCTGAATAGGCTGGCATGGCGGGTGGAAGTCGAAACCAGAGATGACTTTGGTCAGAGAGGTGCGTGCTCTGAAATGAGTGCCCATACGACTGAGAGCTTGGATTTCCCAATGAACATTATCCTCAAGAAGTTGCTGGTATGCTTCACTTGAGTGGGAGTTGTCTTTTTGTATTCTTGGACCCTGGTTTTAGCTCAGGAATTCGTCCAAACATACGATTGAAAAGATTGTAGCCACCATTATCACCGGAATAGAAAGCGAAACGGTGAAAGGAGCTGTCGCACATCGGAGCGCTGCAAGCAATCAAGTCCCTAGCACAGAGCAGTTCCTGATGGAGCTCAAATAGGCGCAAGGAACCTTTCTGGATCATACGCCATAGAAAATTGCAAAGACCGACCTTGCTGAATGGGAGCATGAAAAACCCCTTTCCAAAGTCTACATCGTCTATCGGGCGTCCGCTTCAGAGTTTTGCCACTGCTGTAAGGCCTGAATTAAAAATTGTAGCTCCAAATTCAGCATTTTGATCCATTGGCCTGGACAATTACAGGTGGTCAGAGTGCGGAGGGGCATGAAAATCCTAGTTAGAAGGTTTGGTGGAACCGTGTTGTTAATCTTGCGGAGAGGGTGGTTCACTGAAGAACGCGTTAGAACTGAGGTGAGTGATTGTCGGAAAAGGTCACCATCGCTGGCTCATGAATGGCCTAAACAGGAAAGCAATATTTCCAAATGAGGTTATTTTTCTTTGAGTACAATGGGAACCGGTTATCAAAATTGAGCGTTTGGTTTTGCTGGATCATACACATCCTATTCGGGAACTCCAAATTACAGTTATCAACATGTCGCGTTGAAGTGCGTATCTACCTACGTAGCCCTCGTTGCAGGATGACTACTAGCTCAAGGAAAACCTCGTCAGGGAAGCAGAATAACCGGACCAGGCAGCATTCGGCGGCGGGCCTATACTCCGAATGGTGCGGCTGTAGCAGTCCATTGTTGGTACGGTAGAGAAGCTGTTTTAGAACTGTAGGTCAGCGAAGGTGCTTGTCATATGAGTCATTGCTCACCGTGAACAAGTAGTCCAGGCTGTGGAGGATCGGCACCACTCGGGAATGGGGGGCCTCACTCTAGTATACGAAAATTATGCTGACTTTGCTTAGATGGTGGGTCTTTTTGTACAGCCAATATAATGATAACATGCGAAATCAAAATGTTCAGGTTCTCTCTTCCTCTCACTCGATGACCACCTGTGTGAACTGACATGCTGCAGCCCAGTTGACGCCATGGTGAACCTCATTATCGCTGCCCTCGGGGGCATAGCATTATTTGGGATATCCAGAAAGATGGTAGCATGGAGGAAGAATTACAAAGTAGCTCTGACAAGTGGCTTTCCCGTTTTCTACTCGCCGTAAGTGGAATTCCTCCAGTGTTGGTGGATGGGTTTTGATCATCCTAGTGTCCATATCTCGAATGCATCGTGGCTGATGATGCAACCGATGCTTGTACCTCTGGCTGAGAAATTACCAAAGGCTTGGACCACACCGTGGCTGCAGTGAGTGTTCTACAAGCTCTTAGCATAACCACTGAAGCTAGAAGATGTCTACTAGAATGGCGCAGCTCTGGAGGATATGGGAGGTGAGTTATCGACCGTTCAAGGAGGTTGGTAGCGACACGTTTATCCTCGCCACCCCAGGCGGGAACCTGGCCTGGACCTGCGACCCGCGTGTTTTCGAGCAAGTGGGCAGCAAGCATGGGAAATTTCAGACGCCAACTGATATGACCAATTTCTTCGATGTGTACGGGCCCTCGCTAGGCTCGACGGAAGCTGAAGAGTGGAGGGCACACCGAAAGGTGCTTGCCACTGGGTTCAACCCTGCGATCGAGACGACAGTATGGGAAGAAACGCAGTTTCAAACAGACACCCTCTTGTCTGTTTGGATGAGAGATGGATCTGTCGTCCCATCGGTGAAACAGTGGACTTCCCGCTTGGCACTACATGTCATCACGAGCGGCTTCTTTCACAAACGATTGACCTGGGATGAATATGATGAAGGGTCAAAAGTTGTACCACTGGGTCATCAACTTACTTTCCAGGAGGCCTTGTCTGGCGTGGTTGACCGGCTAGCGACCATCGCAACTACTCCACGAGCATTGCTTGGGAAAATTCCGCTCAAGTTCTTTCGAAAACCATATGTAGCCTTCACAGACTTCACAAAGTATATGGAAGAGCTTCGTGACGTTGCCGTTGCCAGATTAGAAGAAACAAAGTCCCAGAAAAAGAGGAGCATTCTTGGTGAGCTTACAGCAGAAGCTGAAAGTGCGCACAGTATATGCTGACCATGAACAGAGTCTATTGTGCTTGCTGGTACGCCAGGAATATTAGAGCCTGGGGAGGTCCCGCTTTCGCGAGAAGGCGTTTTTGGTGACATGTTCTTCACACTGCTAGCTGGACATGAATCCACGGGAAATGTCATGGCTTTCATGGTATATCTGATGGCAATTTATCCAGAATACCAGCAGGAATTGCACAAGGCGCTCGACGAGCAACTAGGCAATCGGCCCAGACAGGAATGGACTGTCACGCAGGATTACAACGCCCTTCAGAAAGGCATCCTTGGGGCCGTTCAGAAAGAGACTCTCCGGCTGTATCACCCTGCTCAGTGGAATTTCCGAAGAGCGATGATTGATATCCCTGTGGAGGACTCCCAGAGTCGTACTCATGTGATTCCTGCAAACACCATTGTCATGGTCAATTTCGCGGCGACATATCATGACCCCACCAAATGGACTCAGCGTGATATACCCACAGCCAGGAAGAAAGAATTACACGACTCGCCGGCTCTATACTTTGACCCTCACAGATGGCTGAGGCATGAAGGGCCGGAGACTCAGATACCCCCTTTTGGGGTCGGACCAAGGTCATGCATTGGAAAGGCGTTTGCGCAGGTTGAAATGGTTGCATTTATTGCAACGGTTTTCAAAAAGTATTCGGTTGAGTTGTTAGTTCCTGACGAGACCTTACAAGCTTGCAAGGGCGATGTAAAGCTTGCATGGGATAAGACAAGAGATGATGCTATCCGTCAGCTTAGGGATGATGTGAAGGCTAACATCGCGATCTACCTGTCGAAGGATCTTCCTATCACAATAGCTAAGCGTTGAGAAAAGTAGAAGATTCAGCCACCCGGTATGATGAATACCCACTGTTAGCAACGAAGTTGAGCGCTTCGACTTCGCTCTTTTACGAGACAGCACCCTGGACCATTGGCTCACTGGCTTGTACGGAAGATCAATTATACTCTCGCGCACTTAGACAGCAGCTCCAAATGCCCCACCGGACTTTCTCACGTGCATCATCCCCATGTGCTCCGGACAAATATTTTGCGGACTTTCGGCCTCAAGCTTCAATCGTGAAGTGGCTGTTGTGTCTCGAGTCTTGCCTCAACACAATAACTCTATAGCAGACGCTGTGCGCGTTTGTTAAGATGCCGCCATCCTCCACCAGGCTGCTTGCAGTCCCTCTCCCACCTGCTTTCCTCCTACCGCGCTCATTTATTCAGAGCTCACTCCCTGCGACTCAAACGAGATCTTTCGGTATCCGAGCCATAGAAAAACGGCGGAAGGCCAGCCCTTACAACGATGTTCCAGGGCGCAAACCCTTACTGTCAACGCCAAAAGCGGCTCTCGAACGAAGGATAAAGTCCGATACTCTTCCGCTCCGGACAGGAGCTTTGGCAACGAAGAAGGGGATGACAGCAATTTACGACGAGTCGGGGAAAAGAATACCCTGCACGGTGCTGCAACTCGACCGCAACGAGGTCGTCAGCCATAAGACGATGAAGAAGCATGGTTATTATGCCGTGTGTGTAGGCAGCGGCTGGAAACATCACCGAAACGTCACAAAACCAATGCTGGGGCATTTCTCCGTCCAAGGCGTGAGCCCTAAGCAATACCAACGAGAATTCCGTGTCAGGGACAAGTCAGGGCTGTTGCCTGTTGGGAAGGAGATCAAAGCGAATTGGTTCCTTGTCGGCCAGTTTGTCGACACGCGGTCGGACTGCAAAGGAAAGGGCTTTGCAGGTGTGATGAAGAAATGGGGTTTCCACGGTCAGGATAGAACCCACGGTCACTCTCTCAGTCACAGATCACTTGGGTCGACTGGTAATGGCCAAGGCGGTGGTGGTCGTGTATATCCCGGGAAAAAGATGGCTGGTCGTGTAAGTGACACGGACATATTCACGTCCGACGTTCAAAATACTAACTCGGTGGCGCGTATAGATGGGCGGCCAGCAAAACACTGTGCAGAATTTGAAGGTATTACAGACTGATCCAGAGAACGGACTCGTGGTTGTGAATGGTGAGAACGATATCCCTGAGCACATGTCTTGGAGCCAGATACTAACATATTCTAGGAGCCGTTTCTGGACCCAAGGGCACTTTAGTGTTCATACAAGACGCACTGAAGAAAGCATGGCCAACAATACCTGATCAACCTGAGCCAGTAGCCATCGGCGTTGAACTGAACAAGCCTGTTGATGCGCAGATCACGGCATAGCATTTTCAGCCGGTGTCTTCTAGCGTCTACTGTAATAACACAATGTTCCAATCCTCCAATGTCCGTGCGATAGATCTATTGGCAACGGGTATAGATTGAGTCACCTTTTACGGTCATGGACAGAGGGCCACTCGATGTTTCCATAATCTGATCAGCCATATGGAGGAGAAATTTGTAGGGTGTGAAAATGGCGGTTGAGTTTCGACAGGAAAAATTCTTGTCTGCTGGTAGCAAGCGAGACAGCTAATGACATGATCCATCCCCGCGAGCCGCTTCCGGTCGATCCCTAGTCGCTTTATTGGCCATCCTTCTGCTAAGCGTGTAAGCATATAGACAATTCGTAGCACAGGGCCCTTCTTGCGGGTGATATCTCTCCGTACCGGGATATCGCTCGGCCAAGACATAAGTCAAGCGCCTTTGTAGTCATATCTCATCCCCTGCAGCTCCGTCAAACCCTTCTGAATATCGTTGATACTGGCCCTGACAACAAGGACAATAGCGAAAACCATGCCGGGCAGCAGAAAGAACGCCCAAATCCCGTCTGGCACACCCGACTTGCCCCGAAACCCGAGTGCCAGGAGCGCCAGCAACACGGAGAGGAAAGTATTTAGATACGGGAGATACTGAGTCAGTGGACTATCAGCTCCGCCGAAGAAGTCCGGCAAATCGATCTGACGGCCTCTCCTTCGCAGCGCGACGGCGCTGAGGTCCAGCCTCGGTCTGACCGGGTTGGTGAATAATGCAGCGCCTGTTGGGATCATGTACATGATGTACGCCGTGGCGAGGAGCGATGTAATGCTGAGTAGGCATGCCAGCGTCACGGACTTCTTGGTCGAGAGAAACAGGAAGTATATGAATACGAGGATAGTGATGATGGGCAGGGCGGTGAAGAATACAGTGTACTGGACGTTTGTGGCCGTCTCGCTGCTGCGGAGGTTTGTGATAAGGGTTTCTTGCTCTGTGCGAGATGTGAACATCGCTTCGTCTTCAGAATGACGGCGGGCAGCGCTGTAGTTAGAAGATGGGTGAGAGGAAGTGTGATGCAGAGTAGCATGACTGAAGCGGATAGACCTACCTTCTTCATCCATCTCATCGTGTGAATCATTTGAGCCCTCGCCATCACTCGGATATTTGAAACTTTGCCTCAGCCTTGCACCCGTCATGATCAATTAGGGTTATTATGAATTTATGATGAAAGTCTTGATGACTGTAATCTCAAACTTTGAATGATGCCCATCGAGCTGTCTGTCAGGAAGGCCGCATATGGCTCAATTAGATACAGCAGGGACTGCAGAGATTTAGGCTGCAATAGTGTAGCGAGAAACGTAAACACCTTTTATCAATACAACAGGCAATCTTTGGTCGTAAGTTGGAGATTTCCTGTCAAGCCCACCCAGGAAGATGGCGCTTGCCTATTGGATGCCTGTGTGCCATTGGACTGGGGACTGGAGAAACTTTACGCCGCTCACCCTGTTTGGAAAGGCGGTAACGCCGCCCTGTGAGGTAGATATATCCCATGACTCGGTCCAAGTTAAGGCGACTCCTGGAGTCCTGGCTCATCTCATATACTTACTACCTTCCCACCACGCTAGTCCTTTGTAATAACTAATACGGATACTCCGTAATGATGCTACAATCTTGACTCTGTGCTTCTCTTCTCCCTGTGCTAAGAACCTTTGTCTCTACCATTCAAGTCTTGTTCATGCAAAGGATCGGAAGGTCGATGAAGCTTAGATAGAGGGAAGTTGTGTTGCGTCCTCTAGGGGTTACCGTTCCAACGAGGCTGGTACAGAAAAGGCCAACTGATACTGTTCCTTACACCGCACTTGGGTAGATCTGCTAAAGTTGAGCATGGAGCGAGGTGGCACAGAAAGTGAGAAGGACAGTAGAATATAATCAAGCAACAGAGACGGCACAGCCGGAGGTGTGGTTGATGGCACCTCGTGTTGCTTTGACATGGAATAGGATGGTCATTCCGATTCCTCATACCTTGACCACTATAAAACGCTGATGCTCACAGCAAATCAAGATGTAAGAGGTCTTCTATCCGCTCGCAAGACTCAAGTTTGTGCACTGGCTTGTTTGTAGACAGAGTTTAGGCTGGGCTCTCACCTTAATGAACCTTTGATCGTTGACAGCGATAGAGGCCTTCTACGCCAGTTCCGTCATGTTCGATTGTAAATGAACATTCATTCCTTCTCTTGAGTCTTCTTTCTCTACTCGTTGTTGTCAAGAGCATCGTGTTCGGGGAGTCCTGTCTCATAGGAATCTTGAACTGTGTATGTCACTGTTTGAGAAACTGTTTGAGGTTATTTTTGGTTGGCCGGTGCTTCTCTGCTCTTGTTTATCTGTGGGTGATGCTTCCTGTCAAACGAGGTGGCATTCGTGATGGCCAAAAATAGTTTTATCGTGGTGTACTAGGAAGGTTTTCCACAATTCACAGGTAATTGAGCATTCAGTGGCCGATGACTCTCAGTATTGAATTTGGACGTGTGAGTGCAGGGCACTTGTTCTGTCCGATTTTGTTTCTTCTGAACGGCTCAAGCAAGGACATTGTGCTATCGCGTCGAAAGGTTCAAGGAACAGAGGAGTCTTTATCTTGCACTTATATCGTTCGCTCTAGGGCTTCGGTCAAGAGTGGTCAAAGGATTTGCTGGAGGAATTCCTAGGCTTTCATGAGTCTGTCTACAACGGGTGATACTTTCAGCCTTTTGGTCAGAGCTTGATATGCAGCATCTCTGACTCTCCGATATCTACAAGTCGGAATGCGTTATGTTGTGGTTGGTTCGTCGAGAAGGAATGCAATACAGGCCACCTCGTATCTCAAAAGCCTGTTGCCCACAGCTGTGTTGAGCTACATTCTCAATTGTTTGTGCGTTGTTTTACCTACCACATTCCAGGTCAGGATAGGCACTGAAGGGTGTTGGAAGACTGCGCTGATGCAAAATATCTGGAAGTCGAAACAGAAGGTCGAGCTGGCCCACGTGCGTCTGACAGGTTGTACCTACCCCTTTTCGTTCAATCACCTAAGGTTGGTAGTTAGGTTTACCACAGTTTTCACGCTTGATAATTGCTCGGTCCGCCCCTTTCAGTCCTCAGAAGCCCATTGACTTCAAGCAAGCAAGTTCTATATGCAGATTTACCTCTCCTTGGGTATACTCCTGTCACGAGAATAAGAGAGGCACAGAATACCGACTGCCAAGTGTATTACATCCATGATCCATCGTAGCCAATGGACAACCACCCTCCCAGATTACGCGATACTGATAAGATTTTAAGGGAAGTTCATCTTACCGACCTGCAAGCGCTTACATGTCAATCGTCTCGTTGAATCGTAGAATCCCATTTCCTTTCATTATCCCGTTGATACCTTCTGGCACCATTGACCAGCCAGTATCTGCCCTGGTCTGAGGCGAGGTAGATGGCAGCGTGAAACCTGCGTCATCCGAGGCATCTGAGACTAGCACTAAACCAGCTTGTCTGACAGTGTCAACCAGCGCTGGGACCATTTCGAGTATGCGGGCTGAGCATGTCATACCCATGAAGTTGTTATCAGTAGACAGCCTGGCCGATTCTTTGATTGATGGCCTGGGGCTGACGGAATCCAGAGGGCCAGACGTATTGGCAAGACGACCCAAGTCATTACACAGCAAAACCGGGAAATTAGGTTGTTTCCAATTCAGTGCTGTGCATATGTTGGGGTTGAGAGAGCTGAAAACGATTGATCTTGACAAGTCTGAAGCGCGTGATCGTAAAGACCGGGCATGGTCAAAAACCTCTGTCAGGATTGTGTCCGCGAACGTGTTGACGTCGATGTTTGAATAAACTCCCAGGTTTATGTCTTCAGAATTAGATGGATATAGGATGTGCAAGTTGAGGTTGATGTGTGGCGGGACCACAGCAAGAACTTCGCGTAGGCTAAATACTGACCCTGTAAGTCTCTTGCGCCATTCCAATGTCGCTAACGGGTCGGTGGCTTGGCTGGGTGACAAAGAACCTGTAAGGCGAAGCTTGGTGAGGGTCGCATATTTCAATTGACATAGGGACACTTCGAGGTGATTGTAAGATATGAAATAAGATGGATGGGTGACAGGTATTCCATCACGAGTGAGCTGAACGACCAGTCTCACATAGTCGCCAGAGAGACTTGACCCAGTTATCAAGCCGCTCTGATCGTCCAAAGCACTTGTTGCCTTCCAGTACGTGGCAAACTGCGTGATTTCAAGCGGAGTGCCTGTATAGGGTTTGATGACCTGGAAACTGAAGTTAATCTGTCCGACTGGGCGCAGCCGAGGGTCAAATAGAGGAAGACAGCAATTTCCAGAGCTACTCTGCACTGCTTGAAAGACATCCGGAAGTGCAACAGATTTGGCGATAACCTTGGAGCCGAACGTAGGGAAAATCTCAAAGTCCACAGAAAAAGTGCTGAGATTGTCGATCTGGAAGTAGACGGATCGGGAATCTTCTTGGATCGGGAGCATCAAGTTGCGTGGGATAAGCTCCGAGGTCTTGGATGAAATAGTTAGCCTAGCAGCAGGATAACGAGCCTCGTTGAAGAATTGAATCGCTTTTCCACCTTGATCGAAGTTGATCGCGATGAAACACTTCGTGTCCAGGAAGTTGTGCCCGTACCGACGCAAAGGAATGATTGGCGGTGGCAAGGATAGATCTGGAATCCCATCGCCCTCCAAGTTCATAGCTGGTTCCTCCGGGGTGATCTCCATCGCACCCAACTGGTTGCGAGGAGGCAGCACAGCCCCCAACCTTGATGAGGATCTTCTTTCGGTGTGTCGATGGCTTCGCTCCCATAAGAGATCCATGCATTCGAGATGACCTTCCCAGGCAGCATAGTACATGGCAGTAAGACCTTTTTCATCAAGAGCGTCGGGATCAGCACCACTCTCCAATAACATCCTTAGGCAGTTGACTCTGCCCTCACTCGCCGCATGGAAAAGCGGAGTCCACTGATAGAGCTTATCACGTTGATTGAGATCGGCCCCATGTCTACTCAGAAGGAGCAGTAGATCTGCAGTATGGCTTGAACGAGCCACTAGGTGCTGTGGGAAAAGACCTTCCGCATCTGGGAGTAGTTTTGCAGTCCGTTCGAGCAACAAGGTCGCAACTTCAATTGATTCATGCTGGCAAGCAAGATTTAGAGGTATGTGGTCAGCATCGGATTGTGGGTCAATTCTGGCATTGTTGGCCAAGAGCAATCGAACACAATCGATGCGATGACGCACAATGCTGTGAATTAGTGGCGTGAAGTTGTCGTGGTCTTTGAGGTCGATAGTTCCGGGGTCAGCCTCTAGAAGTCTGCGCACCATACCCTCCCTACCTCGCAAGGAGGCATAGTGTAGTGGAACCCGACCGTAGGCATCTAATCGTGTTACATCAACGCCACGAGTCAAAGCATGCTTGAGCACAAGGTCTTTGCCATAAATAGTGGCTTCATGAAGACAATTTCGCTCATTAATGTCGTCTTCCGCATGAACGTCAACCAGTTCAGAATCGAGAAAGACCTGCAGAGACTCATCAGGGGCTTCGCTGATTGTTGCCAGAAATATTCTCGTGAAACGCTCACTGGCATCAGCTCCGGTGCTCAGCCGCGTAAACCACTCTCGCAATGGACCAAGATTTCCAGCGGCAGATGCCTGGAGTATTTGAAGGTCTATGTCACTCTCTTCGGTGCCGACACGTTGTCCAATGGCGCGATCTGAAGGCACAGATGACTCGTACTGGATGTTGTCACCCTCAGCAAGTGCTTCTAGGTTGAGTCTAGCGGTTGTGGCGCGGTCTGCAAGATCCCGTAAGACATCACGATTGAAACACGGCTGAACCTCAACGGCTCTCTGCAGATATATTTCTTTTGTTCTTGACTGGGCCTGCATTAGTGTCATACTGCTTATAGAGGATATGTCTCCACCTTTGATGTTTTGTCCCACTATTATTCAATATCAGTATTGGTGAAAAAGCAAATGAACAACGGTCAACAAACCTTCTTCAAGATTTTAGAAATTGCTATCTCATTCACCTCAACAAATTGCTAATAGACGTCAGCGCAAGCCTTGGGTTAGAAGGAGCATTTACAGACCTGGAGCTTGTTGAGATCGTTGTCAAACTGCTGGAAGCCTTCCACCAATGTCACAAAGTTGGCGGAGAGTTTTGCGCTGGATGCAATTCGGGCCTGGATAACACGTTTCTTGTCCAGTAATGTTTTCAGTCGCAAGGAAAACTGCCAGTATGTTAGGAGCTAGCATATGAGTTGAGCAGGGACTGTCATACTTCCGCTTCCTTCTGGATATAGAAAACATTGACCTTTTCTATCTCACGTTCCTGATGCCCGTTAGAGAGGTGAAGAAAATCGGCGAGTTGGTGTGCTGACCAAACGAAAGAAGAATACTTCCTTGTTCGCCCTGAGGGCAGCTTGAATGTCTGAAGTAGTTGACTCGCCGCGCGCAGTGATGGTAGGTGTCGCACTGAGTTGTTTGATGAGCTGGTGGAACCGTGAGTGAGTTGGCCTTGTGAAAGTCTAAGATGTATCAAACCTTCTTTAGTGCCTTGTAGTTGACGAAACTGGCCGCATATTCGGGCAGATCCAATTGATGGCGTTGGATCTGCTTTCCGAATTTCCTTATTGGATCAGAAGAAGCCATGACATTAGGGATAAATTACTGTACATGGTAGTGGTGATAGGTCAAATTTAAGCTTGTTGCAAAACCTCGGTAAGGACCCGAAACCTGTAGGGCTCGATGAGGCTCTATTTCAAGGAAACCTGCAGGCTGCTCTTTGCGTCCAGCAAGATGAGTCAGCGCCAGAAAGGTCCAATATTCGGTGGCCCTAGACAAGGTATAACATGCATTGGGGAGGATGGAGGGCAAGAGAAGAAAGTACCGTCAAGCAATAGCAGTGGCAGATGCTGGTTCAGGTCGGAAGGATCTGTGAGAGATCGATGCCCATGTCAATGAAAATTTCAGTACGTATCCGTCTTCTAGATGCTTTGACGACCCGTGACAGTGTGTAGTATTGTGGGTAGGCTTATCGAGATGAGATGCAAACAGGGCGGCGGTCACATGCCAAGACGATGTGTAGGAGGCTGTATTGTGACGAATCAAGGAACGAGATTCACGCACGCTGTCTGTTGGAGAAGAGTAGGTGTAAGGAGTGGTGAAAGCGGTTACACAAAAGATTCACCACATACCTGTGGGTCAGGTGGTGTCTGCTATAGAATAGCGTCTGAAGCGAAAGGCATGCATGAGCGAATATGATTGTGCAGAAGCGACGTTATTAATATCTGAAGAGCGCCAGAAGATCTCCCCAGGTACCCAATCTGTGCCTCTGGGGAAAATGACGGGCAACATCAAGAGTGCTTCACCACACAAAATGCACGGCCAGCAACAGGCCAATCATGTGGACTTCGCTCGGCCATCACGTGTAGTCATGTGCAGTCACGTGGCAATAATATCTACGAGTGTTGTAGAATAATGCATAGCGTCTACGTCACTGCTCTTTGTTTCTGTTTCTCCGCTCTATTACAGTCTCCAGACAAAATCAGTCTTTGTTGACTGCATGCGTCCGAGCCTCAAAGCAGAGGTAGAGCTACTACTATTGACTTCTGAGTCCGGAAACGAAGTCCATCTCTGCCTGAGACATACATAACCCTCTAGGAGAATAGAAAGAGCCATCTAATCTCCTCTCTCCGCGGCATGTCACCTCAATGACGCGACTTCAAGACCACTTCATCCCTTGAACAAACGCACGGTCGACCGCGCACCACCGTCTTGAGCACCTAGGTACCTCGTATACATCTTACTTTTGAATCTCAAAGTCTTCTCATTCTTCTCATTTCTCAATCCTAGACGTGCACTCTCTTGCTCTATTTCTAAAGACCTTTCGACACTCACGATGGCTCCCGTTCCCATCCATGCTTCCTCCCCCATCAGCACGAACCACCCAGCCAATGCCTTTGGCACATCGCCTAGTACTGCAGCAGCACGATACACCCCCCAAACGCCTGCTGATGTTGATGCTGGCTCCACTACTTCAACAAACCCAGAGCCCACGAGGACTGCCCAACCCGGAGCACCCGCGGTCCCTCAACCCACCAATGCCCTCTCCAGTGTTTACAACAACAGGCTTGAGCCCACGGCTACTAGAGCCGAACCCACGAGTACGAGGAACCAGTATGAAAGCCCTCCTCCCCCTCAGCCCGGTGCCGTTCCCTCGCCTTACCATAACACCAATGGATCGACTGCCAAAGTGACCATCCCTCCACCTCCTCGCCCCATTGAAGCTGTTCAGCAGCAGCAGCAGCAGCAGGATAAAGAGGACACTCCATCACTAATCCGACACGCTCTCCCTTCTCCTACCCCAACTCGGACCTATCCCACGCAGTCTCTCCCCCTCCACCTCTACACACCTACCAGATCCGTACCACCAGCAGGAGTCACATCAACATATACAGGACCACAAGACCTTTCACACCCACCCGGATACATGCAAGATACGCGTGCATCGTTTGACGACAAACCCGTTGAGCTGTGCCGACCACTCGACCGACGTGCGAGTCCATCGAGCTCGCGTCGTGGAGGCATCCTTGATGGAGAGCCGACGTTCGAGAGCAGCAACGACAATGAATCGAGCGTTTTGGACACCGCCATGGCGTGGGCCAAGGCTGCAGGCAAGAGCCTAAGTAAAACGGAGGAACAGGTCTGGAAGAGGGTCAATGGGGATGCATCATAGGTAAAAAGACAGTGGGAGAATCCCTCGGGAGTGAGGCTTTCATGGTTCAACAGGCCTGAAAATTGATTTCGGTTCGGTGTGAAATGTACAACTAGATTATTTCCTCAGTCTTGCATGGCCCCTATGTTTTGGATTGGGGCTCGAATAACAGCAGCTGCCTACCATTGCCTCTACCCGGCAAAGCTGCGTGATCGATAAAGCGCAAGAGTAGCCACCTACCACCCAGGTGTGCCTGAGAAGTTGTGCAGCTTTGTCCTGGTTGTTGAGTAATACTAAAGACTGTATTATCATGACTGTAAATGTCATGCGTATGTGAGAGCAATCACCCATGCCATTAATTCTAACGAAAGGAACACTGTTGAAATCGCTCTGTGACAATAGACAGCTCACTCCAAGCTCCTAAATTTTGATTAGAGACACGTACCATGACCATGAACACGCAGTGTCGCGAGCTGATGAAGAAAATGTTTGACGTAGCACAGCTTTACTACTTGCATGTCATGTAAATGAGTTGTGGGTGTGGAAGAAATGTGATGACGATTGGGGACGGCGATGGAGTCGGTTGTGGTCGAGCAAATAGTCAGCTAGTTGGACGGAGTACTTGATGAAGATGGGAAAACTCGTTAGTTGGACTTGGGAGTATTACTACGAGTACTCCGAATGCTACTCTGTGATGGAGGGAACACAAAACAGAAGCGCCCCAGACGCTGGTGAGATGAACGAGGTCATGGTCAGTGGGAACAGATGGATCAGCGGATGAGATAAAGGCAGTAAAGTACAATTGGGATTTCAGGATACAACCACGCAAGCCGTAGCAGTGAGGAGGAGAAATGACTGAGAAAACCCACAACCCTTCCAAACAAACAAGCTTTGAAAGCAAGCCCCTTTGAAATAAAAAGATCAAGAAGGATTTTCAACGATAAACGCTCGTGCCCTTTCCCTGTAACCCCTTGTGCGTTTGCGTTGTGCTGTCGTGAATTGTCTATTTGCAGGTCTTCTTCACTCCCGCCGTCCAGAGACCTTCCGGCTGAACACTCTCTGCGACATTAGCCCTCATCACCACCTCCTCAACTCTTCTCCACAACCCCCTTCTATGAAATCGCTAGAACATGCCCATGCGAGTGGTACCGCCCTAACAAGTTCTTTTTTGTTCGCAGGTCTTTTGAGGTTGAGACGCTTAGCCGGAACCGCCCTTGAAGGCCTTTCCGAAGAGGAGGAGTTGAGCTTCTGTAGACATAATTAGCGAATGAAAGAATGGTTTAGAATGTGCTGGGGGGGAACACGTACGATCATAGATGGACAAGACACCAGCACCGGCAACACCACGGAGAATGTTGGCACCAGCACCCTTGAAGAATGATCGGATGCCCTCAGTAGCCATGATCTGTCTGGCAGCATCGAGCGAGCCCTTGTACTTGACGGCCTAGAATTGCTTGTCAGATTTGCGTTTCGCAGATGAGATTGAACGTGAGAATGAATACGTACCTCACCAGATGTCATCATCATGCGACGACGGATAGTATCAAGAGGATAAGAAGCAATACCAGCACCAGTTGTGACACCCCAGCCGAGCATGAAGGAGGCCAAGAAGTTACCCTCAAGAGGACCGACCAGGAGAACAGGCTTGATGGAATCGTACATGCCGAAGTAGAGACCACGGTAGACGACGATACCAAGAACAGAGGGGCCGAAACCACGGTAGAGACCAGCAATACCGTCAGAAGCCAAAGTCTTGCGGTAGACATCGACGAGGCCGTTGAATTGACGCTCACCACCCTTCTTTGCGGATTTGGCATCGTTTGCAAGACGGGTACTTCGAAGATAATCAGTGCTTGGTTTCAATAGGCGATGTAGTTAGCACATACCGGGCATAATCCAGAGAGTAGACGAAGAGCAGCGAGGTAGCACCAGCCATACCACCGGAAGCCAAGTTACCAGCCATCCACTTGGCATAACCATCACGGTCCTTGTTGAACTTGAACATGGACTTGTAGGTGTCGCGGAAGGCGAAGTTGAGAGCCTGGGTAGGGAAATATCGGATAACGTTGGCAGTGTTGCCTCGCCATAGCGACATGACACCCTCGTTCTTGGCAGTACGGCTGAAGCATTCCATGATGCCATTGTATTTGCGGTCAAGACGACCAGACTTCAACATCTCATCCTGTAGGGCAGAGTGTAAGCAACAGTGCCAAGCTTGTAACCCATGCAATCGGGGGTGTCTTGATAAAGGTTTTTCTTCATCACAGCAATCGTGGATGGTCCGGTGCAGATGATTTAGGAGACGGGGAGATGCGTACCTGATTCTGGATCAAGAGCTTAACGCGCTCGATGGGTGCAGCTGCGGTTTTCTACAAATGGTCAGCTCGAGTCCTGTAGAGATTCCAGGCCGGGTTGAGAACGGCAACTTACTGAGACGGCAGCGGACACACCACCCATAAGAAAGTCGATGGCAAAAGGCGGCTGTATTGACAGTCACGTTAGCATCGTAGCCCAGGAAGAGGATTGATGCAGCTGGCAAGCTTTCCCTGGCACGAGATTTGGAGCTCGAATGCCAGCTGGATCATTGAGCAGTGGAATGGAGTACTTACCAGGCCCATAATGGCCTTTCGCTCCTGAGGAACCTCGCCAGACATGTCTGCGACTGTTCTGTGATATGAGAATGAATGAGTGGAGAGGAAGGAGGATGTTGATGCGAGATGCAAGAAGATGGAAGAAAGATGCAAAGTGAGGTTGAGCGGACAGGTAGAGTATTTTTCAAAAGGGATTGGAGCTCGGAACGGGCTAATCCGAGATGAGGCTAGCGGGAAAGATTACACTTGCATATCTAGAATGTTGCGCCCAGAATCCGAAGAAGGTGCTCCCGAGCCCCCGGGCCGGCTGTTTTTCCAGTCGCGGCCAAATTTATCCATGCCGCAAAATTATCGTGAACCGCGCTGAAAGTCCAGGACTCCCTCAGAAAAAAAAAATCTTTCCTTGGTTGCGCAGGCAAAAATGGGTCGTACTTCCCCTAGCAACCGTAGTTGCCGACGCCATCTAAGCCCCGTTTCCCCACCCACGTATCTGCGAGAGACCTAAACACATCCTTTCATCCCTTAAATCGACGCCTATGGATACGTTCTCAAAGGGCCTTTCTTCGGCTTCTGCGGACTACAGGCAAATCGATGGGGCTAACCTGTCCAACCGTCACAATTGCCTCACTCGCTGTTGGTTGGTCTCCCTCAATATCCCCGTATCATCCAGAAGGTGGGAACTCTCGTCTCCGTATCCGATGCGGTTTAAATGTGTGGTTTTGATTGTCTCTAGAACGTGCCTTCTCCAACCCTTGACCAGGAGTGAGGGTTAGGCATAGGATGAAATCTTGCTACCGAAAGTTGAGGAGTACAGAGGACTTGGTCGTTCCGCCACGGAAATACTCCGCACATAAAAGTAGTTGTAGCACTTCCTGGACGCGAATTCAGGGCACGCGAGTCGGTTGCCGTGCATGTTGTGCATGTTGGTCCCCAGCTAAGCCAGTTGAGGCCTTGTTCTGGCACAAGGCTGCGAAAGTCCGATGTCTACGGAGCACGTGCTCCAAAGTTGATAGACTCAAACCAATCCGAGATGAGAAGACGCATAAGACAAACCCTGCCTCTCATGATTCTGCCGAACCAGCATCCTTCGGTTTCTTGCTCTTCCTTCTCCGCTTCTTCCTGCTGCCTCCAGCTCTGATATCCACATCGCCCTCCCCATCATCCTGGTTGTCTTGAATGTTCACTTCCTCCTTTGGAATCAGCTCACTTGCTTGCACACCCTCTTCATTCCCAAATGTCTCCAATCGCCACTTCCGCAGCCTGGCCTTCTTCCCTAAATGCTTCAGATCCTTACGTTTCTTCTCTGCGTCACGAAACGAAGCAAGCTTCTTCAGTCCAACAAATTCATTGAGTTGTTTGTCGTCGGCCAAGAGTATATCCCTCGAGCTCAAGCCGAAGCTTTTTGGTGATGTCTCTCGATATCGAAATCTCGCCGACTTGGAGCTTTCTGGCAAGCTATTGTTCAATTCGAGCTGCAGTTGGTCATCAACAAGTTGTTCGATTATTCTCCTCTCTTTCTTCGAATCCTGCTTCCTCTCCTCCTTTGCCTTTTTGGCCTGTTTCCGTTTTGACACAGGCTCTTGCTCTTCGTTGGAGAGGCTGAAGTCATCGTTCTTTTCATCATCGAAATCAGGCACAATATCTTTGATGTCAATGTCATCCTCGAACTTTGGCTTTCGAAGTTTGTACTTTCCCTTACTTGCTTCATCGCCACTCGCAACATCTTCTTCCGCGTAATACTTGTCCCCGAACCGTTTTTGCATTTCTGCATCCCATTGCTCATCGTCCCATTCGTCATTGACGAATCGGGACCAATCTTCAGGCAGAATGTCTGCAGTACTTATGCCAGCAGCTCGTTTGATATGGCGGACTTTTTCTTCCAATTCTTCGATCTTGAGTTTTCTTAAACGTGCTTTGTCCTCTTTGCGCTGTTGCTTCTCTGCCTCCTTTTTCTCTTTCTCAGATTCTCGCTTCTTCTGTCTGGGATTCTGCTCTTCTCGTCGGACAGAATACTTTGCAGCCATATCTCTTGCATGCGATCGAAGCTTCTCGTTGGATTTTGCAGGATCTTCGAATCTGAGGTTGTAAGCTTCCTCGAATTCGTCTGCTCGACGTTCTTCCTCATCGTCATCTGACTCAAAGGGATGCAGAGTGTCCCCTGTAGGCGCAGCCCACGCGCGGGAAACCATAAAGTTCGATAGAAATGTTTCGGGGTCTTTGTCGGCGTTATCCACGTCCAGCGTGACTTCGACCTTGGATGGTCTTTCCACAGGTTTTGCAATCAGGAAGTCCGCATCAGAATCCTCCGATTCCTCGTCATCCTCTTCATCTGAGCCATGAGCTGCTGCATGAATCTCGCCAACTATAGACTTTTTCAGCCGTTCTTGCTCCTGATTGTAGGTCAATGGTATGTTCTCTGTCTCTTCCTCTTCAGTCGTGCCGCCATTGAGAAGGTTCTGGCGGTGGTAGTCTTGAAGACGCATAGGCTTTTCCTTGGTTGGCTTCGCTTGGCTTTGATCAGCAGCCTCAGTGTCTGTGTAGAATTTGGAAGTGGCATCGTAGACCCGAGGGTCTTTGGATCGAATTGCATTTATGGTGGCCATGATCTCAGCGTCAACATTTTCTGTAGCCAACTCGCCTTCATCGTCAGACTCGCTGGTTGATTCCTCAGATGAACTTTCGGTGTCGGAGTTTTGACCGTCTCTCTTGCGCTTCCGTGAAGTACTTCCAAGTTTATCTTGCACTGTGTCATGTCAGCTCAGTCGGACCAAAAAAGGAAGGTACGCACGCTTCTGCAACTCTTCTCGTTTCTTGTTATGCTCAAATCGCCGGGCGAAGGATTCATTCACCTTCAAGTGATCGTTGACAACAATAGCGCCCCCATCCTCACTATCAGAAGCGTCGCTGCTCAGTAACTCGCGAGCCATACTGAAGAGTTATTACTGATTCGAGGCTTGTGGACAATATCAATGACAGGGCAGTGTGGTTGTGCAGCACATTTCAAGGCGCTGCCACTCTTGAGCCTTGACCACAAAATTTCTTTCTCCGCACTCTCAAAGGGCGGAGATACCGTGCCAAGAGATACTAAATCGTCACTGAAGCCATGCCACTTGTGGCGCCGAGTCATGCCGCTTTACTATTCAAACCTGTGTACAATCCTAACTGTTACAATTGCCAAACCACCATCCAAGTTCGACTCCTAATTGTCCTGCCTGATCATACATTATCAAGTGGCCGGCTCCTTCAACGACCACTACGCTCTTGGCTTGCAGCTTGTCTTTCAACCTCGCTGCAGTCTCGACAGGAATCCATTTGTCCTCCTTTCCCCAAATCACATTTACTGGCATCTTTTTTCCGACCTCGTGATACCTGCCTTCGATTTCGGCTGTGCTGCGACTATTCGCCTGCATCATTTGTCTCACAAAGCCCTTTCTCCCTTCTTCGCTTATTATCCAAGGTTTCTTGAGCATTTCCATGGTCTCCTTACTCAGCTCAAGGAAAGCCGCATCCCGAATGTATGCCTCGACGACTCCCTCAAATACCGCGCCCGTCAATGATGTGAATACACTCTCATTTTCGGCTACTAGTTTGAATAGAGGCTGCCCAAATGGGCCCACTGCAACCACATCAATCAGACACAGACTTCGATAGTCGCAACCGTGCAACAAGTGTGCCCGTAAGCTCATCAAGCCTCCATGATCATGTGCGACTACGTGAGCCTTGGTTTGACCCCAGTCATTCTCCCAATGTTTGAAGAGAGTAGCGAAAATCTCGGACTGCTGTGCCAGATCTGCATCCAGTGCAACCTCTGCACTAACAGTTTCCTTTCTATCTGGACGAGGCTTACCCAGCGGGCTGTCGCCAAATCCCGGATTGTCAAAGAGGTATACATGAAAGTGCTGGGCCAGCGACTTTGCGTAAACATGCCAAACGCGTGATGACCATGGCGTGCCGTGCACAAAGATCAACGGTGGCGAACTAGCATCACCAAGAGACGTCCAATGGATTTCAAAGTCATAGATCTCAGTGGAGTAGTGGAATGTCTGCGTGAGGTTGATAGGGGAGGACGGTATTGAAGAACCCATATTTACCTGATATTATTTCAGATCCAGTGTCTGAGATCAGATGTTGAGGGGTAAAGGGACTTATGTCTTGAAGATCAGGTTATCTACCCAGGTACGCCTCGCGCGTAAACGCTTACGAAATGACGGCAACAGGATTGACTTGCAACCATCGTAAAGGCTCGGTTACGTCATCCTCGGAAGCGCCGACTACTGGGTGACTACGGATTCTATTTCGAGCGGGAAGAACTCTCCACAGTCCCAACCACATCATACAACTGTGAGTATCCTTCGATCGGACACGGGTCGCGAGAGGTACAAGCATGCCGTGCGAGATAATATGACTGGAGTCCAAGATAACATTCGACTCTAGATCGGCGTTGCGGTCAGTCGGAGAGAACCCTCTCGGCCCACAAGCTGCCAGCCACCAGCGATAGACCGAACTTCAATCGATCAACCAGCAGCTTTAGCCAACTCCTGCACCTTGATACATGAATAAGTTATAAGGAACGGCTGCTTCAGAAGCCTCAAGCCCTACACCTTCCTCAAAACAACATGCTCCACCAGGCAACTGGAAAGTGAAGTCCGTATCCTTTCGCTAACGACTGGTGCTGACATAGTCCTTCCCAAACTTACACTGTGATATTCCGGTCTCGAATTACGCTTTGATATAAGGAAGGTCGGTTGTTCTTGTCCTCAAACCTTTGGTCATATTGTGTGGTCGCACGAGCCTATGAGAGTTCGAAGGGCAAAAATAATTCGAACATATCTATTGTTGACCTACAATATCATGCTCGATCTCTATGCGACCCTTGAGGCTGTTCACTTGACAACGCACGCTCACAGTGCTGAGAGTTCAGCCCAATGTTGGTCAATGTCGTACTCACGAGCATATCACCCCATGATGACGAAGGCCAAAATGGTAAATGTTCTTTATCATTTTCCAGGGCTGAGATAGCCAGAGTAGCTGCCAGGCCATTCTTACCAGGAGATCGCTCAACTAGGCTTTGTGTCTCTGTCCTCGAATCCTCTGGTCGTCCACCGAGCTCAACAGACAACCTGCAGATGGCTTCAAGCAGAGCAATGCGATGATCATCCTGCGACCCTGCCCAAAGTCTCTTCTGGGCCATCATAACGCGCATCACTTCCATGCCCTGCTTGAATCCTTGAACCCGATTTTGCATCGGGTCGTGAATCATCCCGGTGGTGTGGGAGCTATCCAGCAGAATTGTGGTAGCAAAGGGCAGGAGACTCTCAATAAGATCTGTTGGCACATGTCGCAAGTCGCCGTTGTGAATCAAATCCTGTACAAGCTTGCCCACTTCTCGACGTGCATAGTCCAATCGATTTGATACAGCCGGAGATCTGGGCGTATCACTCAGTTGACCTTTGCTGTGATCATCTGCTCTGACTAGGGTCAAATAATAGGGGATCAACAGCAAAGTCTGGTGAAATTGCAGAACACGGTCCTGCCGGCCTGGACCTCCGGACAGTTGACTGCGGGATACTCGGGAATATCTTGCATCATCATGCAGTCTGCAATACCAAGATAGCAGCTGTGTCAGAGTTGTTTCACGCTCCGATGAGATCTTGTCAGGGTCGACTGGCTGACTTCCTATGGTGTACCTGCAGCTCTGTGTCGTTTGCGCTCGATTATATCGATTGAGGATGACTGAAAGTTTGGCGAACTCCACAAAACAAGTTGCGAGCTTCTGGGTCCCATTTCTAGTGCCGCAGGCTTTCGCATACTCAGTCCAACAGGCCTCGTTCGACGGATCTTCCAGATCAGAAGTCTTCAGGTCTTTTTCTAAAATCATGGCAATCTTGGGATGTATCTTCATACTTGGTCCACGTTGTGATGCTAACGATATCAGCTGGTCTCGAACGAAGCAGGACCACCACAGTCGCCTGAACTGTGTTTGGTCAGACCCTGGCTTCTCGCGTTCTTCGAGGTCACAGTGTTTATCGAGCAAATTTGCCGCGGCGCCACACCATTCCCAAGATTCTGACCGAGTTCCAGGACTGTGCCACGAGCCCATGAGGAGGAAAGCATGGACGAGAGCTTTCCAGTCATGTTTGACACCGCAGTCTTGCGCTAACTGTTATGGACTTAGCCGAAAGTTTCACCTATTTTCAAACCATCGCCTACCTTGAAATCAGCGCGAATAGCTTCTCCCAGCTCCTCACGAGATTCATAGCCTTCGGCTCTCAGAAAATCGATGCTTATATGAGGAACGGCTGAGTACAGGATAGAGAGAAACACCAAAGGGCTCAGCCTGTCCTTGCCTTGTTGGATGAAGAATCCTATCGGCTCCTTTTGCACCGTCGTTGCATCTACAACTGGACAGATTGGATGGACGTAAGCGACATATTCATCCACAAGTTTCCGTTTGAGGGTTTCAGAGGACAGATATCGCGGGATCTCATGCAGATCCTCTGAATCGTATGGCTCAAGACTCGTAGGAGTCGATGGGAAGTCAATCGGCTCTGTGTTTTGAGGATTGATTGACCGTGGAAGCTCATGGCGGAGTTTGAGAGCCTCTTTCTCTTGAACGGGTTTCCTACAATGAAGCATGGTCGCTTTTCAGCCACAAAACTCAACTAGAAACGATTCGATGGGAGATTCAACCATTGCTAAGTTATGTTTCACTTACCCTCCCTTATGTGGGTGAACGACGCAGTCAAGGCGATCTTGTTGACAGCGCGAACAAGGCCTATGAAGGTCAGCGTCGCAGCGAACTTTGCGACTTCTACAGCGATCGCAAGCTTGCGTTCTTCGAGGTCTCTTTGCTCCTTGCTTGGCAATGTCGCCAGTTGATGGCCAGAATTTCTTGCTGGACTTGGCCAAGCTCGGTGGAATATTCGCTGCTGATAATGGGTGTTCAGAGCCTCCTCCAGAGTTCATCGTAGGAAAGACCTTGTTGGTTGTATAATTATCAAGGAATTTTAAGCTTTCATAGCCGGAACTTGGACTGTCGATGCCTCCAGGAGACCACATGTCGCTAGGATTACTAATGAGCTCCATGATGTCCAACATTTCCCTTCACCATTTTGAAGATTTTGGAAGGTCAGCAGTTACTCAGAGCACAAGAGCAGAATAGAAGTTCGTCTTGAAAGCCTGTGTGTCAACTTCTGGGGTCCATGACACCAACAGATAACTATTCCCGCAGCCTCGGTGCGCATTCGGCGTCGCATCCACAACTAGCCGGAAAGCCGTCTCCACCTCAAAACAGCAAGAGCCAATAATCGTAGACGCACCGGACTTCTCTCACGCGGATATATTGAATCGGAGTTGCAAGGCGACAACCGACTCCGGAAATGCCTGGACACAAGAGCCAGATTTACTTGCTAACTAAGCCGGAGACTGACCATCTTCCCAATCAGTTCGGCTTGCGAAGAAACCGCAAGCATTGGTTCCTGCTGCTTGAGATGATGCAACTATTGTTGACGCGTCCACAAACCAACGTATCCAAGCTTTGTCAATCATAGATTGAAGCTATACCCAAGGCCAAAGTGGCTGAGAGCCATGGCAACGACTATCCGACGAGGCGTCATAAGTTTCAGAGCAAAAACGAGCTTTGCGATCGTCTCCAACCTTGCTCATGAATCATGATGGTCACTCAGTCATGACATTGTCTCAAAACCCATTTATAGCTGCCCTTGTGGAAAGTGTACGGCTTGCGGAATGGGTTGAAATAGTCGCTAGGCTTCGCTTGCCCGGTCGGAACTTGCCAGAGCGCTCGCTGCGTGTCGTTGGTTTCGAGGACGGCGTCTATTCCGGTGGCCTCTATACATCCTGAGCCTTGTGCGTCCGCTATCTCCCCAATGATCAGGAAGCTACCCTTTCCTAGGACTAGATCAGGAATCCTATTTTGATTGTAGAATCCTGTCGCCTCGTAGATGTCCCGGTGTAGTGCCGGTCGCTCCTAGCAAATCCGAAGAGATTGTCACCATAACATAATATAAAGTCGAGCACGACATAAATTCCCAGTTGATGGGCTGTAGCAACCAGCTGTTTGGATGCCGGGCAATTATGGACTTTTCATTCCCTCTCGCTCTTCCTCTTTTCTTTTCTCTTCTTTTCCTCTCTCCGTACGCGGTGTGCCTCGATGAGGAAGCTAAGCATAGGGCGAGGTCCGCGAACGGCCTGCAATCTCACTACATTACTCATATTGAGGGAACAAACACACCAGCTCAGCCCGCGTCATGTGTGGACCCAGAGACTCCGGCTGGGAGAGTGGCACAAGAATTTTGGCTCTTTGTTGCTCTGCAGTGGACAGGCACCTTCTCGTGGTGCGGAGTGTCAGTGGCCAGCATGCTGGTTTTCGAAACCAAGATCTGTGCAAACCCTCCTGGAGGCCTCACAGCACCTTGTTGTCAGTCACTCACCAATCGTATGCTGTGCTAGTATCCACGCAGCAGCATCTTGCCTATGGAAAATTTTGCTGACGTTCGAGAATCAGGGTCGTGGATACTGACGCATCATCGGCTCCCTGCATCCAAATAGCAACCAGAGCAAAGGGTACGCACTTGACAACTCTACCGGATCCAAGCTGCCTGAGGCTCCGGCAGGCCTCAAGCGATGAGACGAGTGCTCTCAAGATCATTGGCGATATCCTCCTGGCTAGGAGGCGTGTAGGCACCGAAAATGAACGTAGCACATTTCCAACAGATAGAAAAGCTAGCGGCGGAGCAGAGTCACAATTTAGGCAACTGGAATACCTCAACACCTGTGACAAGTTTCAAGGGTTTGCACATGGTGATGGAAATTCCCACGCAAACAAATACGATCCCTACAGCAATCTTCGATGTTCACGAGACAGATCGCAAAGATCGGAGTGTATGGTTCTACAGCGGACAGTAATCTTCGTCCGAGTTCGAAAGGAAAGCCATTCGGACAATGTCTGCAACATCCTCAGGAAGCACGCCCTTGGTGATCTCACACTTATGGAACATTTGCCTGGCGGAACGTTCCGCCAGACCCGGAAAGCGGTGAAAGCCTCTCGGCGGCACCCACGCCAAGAGAGCCTGCAAACATCACTGAAAGGCTCACCCTTCAACCCTTTCCTCTCTTAAAGCAAAGGTTGTAGTTGAGATTGTCAGGTAACGCCCTGTTCTTGAGGGGACTGTGATGAACTGTGCCTTAAAGCAACAGTGAACCCAGACCTGCACCCGGCTACTACCATCTAGGTCAGTGGACCTGGGACCAGTGTAAAACAAACCGTGTGGTTTCGAACACATTTGATATCTGAGTTCCAGTATCAGAATAGTTTTGCTTTCTAGAGAAATCCTGTGTGCTGATCACCATGGTTGTAGCCCTCTCATCGTATGCAGGGGTCTAGGGCTATTTACACGTTTAATCTGGGCCGGGTTCGACTTCTCTCTAGTTAGGAAGTACTCTACTCGATGGCTTTGTCCAAGCTCTTTGGTCGAGGCGAAATTCTCATAAAAGCAGAGTTCGCGACCCTGGCAGTCGAGGGCTCGAGGCAGATAGGGCGCTGGGCGCCGCGAAACAGCTCAGAACAATGGTGCGTCATGGGTGTTAAAGGTGATACTGATGCAGTAGTTCACGGGTAAGGTATGATAGCTACAGCATAGGCATAAAGTGAAAGTTACATGGAGCGATAGGAGCCCAGCTTTACTGGTGGTTAGCATATGAAAAGCGGCGTCTGTAGATTGCAGAGGCCATGGGCCTTCAAGTAAGCCCGTCAAGGTCTGCCCAGCCTCGCCGTGCAATCAAGCGTTCTGGCTCTTCGCGGCCTCTTCGATGAAGCCCCTCAATGTTTTAGCACTCTGGTTCAACAACTGCCGCTCTTCGTCATTCAGTGGAATATCGAGGGTCCTCACGATCCCCTTGCGGCCCAGCACAACCGGCAAGCTCAGACAACAGCCCAGCTCCTCATTCCAGTGTGAGATCGGCCGAACGTTTCGCTGGTCGAATAAGATTGATTTGCAGATACTGGCCGTGAGAGCGGCAATCCCGTATGCCGTGGCCCCCTTGGCTTCAATGATCTTGGCCGCCTTGTCCCTGGTCTCTGCCGAAACGGCCTTGCGGTCGATGGTTATGTCTGGTGGGAGGCATTGATCCAGCGGGACGGCCCCGATGGTCACGGACGACCAAGCGACCTGTTTGCAAAGGACAAATGATTAGTTCTGGTTCTCCTTCTTCGCTCTCCATTTTCCTTCCCCTCAAACGGGAAGTCTTACCAGCTGGGTTTCGCCATGTTCTCCAAGGACATAAGCATCCACGCTCCCGGCGTCTACGCCGACCTTGTCGGCCAGTATACCTCGTAGTCTGGCGCTATCAAGGAAGGTCCCACTACCAATGACCTGTCCCTGAGGAAGACCGGCGAATTTCTGGGCGTAGTACGTCAAGACATCCACCGGGTTCGCCACAAGCAGGATCACGGTCTCTTTCCTGAACGGCTTCATGTCGTTAATGGCGGAACTCAAGATAGCCAAGTTTCTCCCGAGCAGATCAGTGCGTGATTCGCCTGTAAGTAGAAGGCTTAGCTTCGGTGTTGTTCCCATTTTCATCACAAAACCAATCGGCGTTGGTTTGGTTACTGACCTTGTCGCTGCTTAGCACCAGCTGAGATGACCACAACGTCACACTGTCCAGCCTCTCTATGCGTGCCACTTCGGATTCTCACACCACCACCACTGTCGTACACAATGTCAACATATATGGGCCGGACTCAAGGGAGGCCTGAAAGGCGACTATCTGACTACTTACCCAACAGCACCATGATAGGTAGTTGCATCGCCGAGGTCCTTGACCTGTGCGTCTCTCAAGTCCGTCTTGGGGTCCACGAGCAGGACTTCGCTGGCCACGGGGTTGAGAATCAGGCACAATGCAATGGCCGATCCGACTGAGCCAGCGCCCAAAACGGCAATCCGCGACCTGTCCCGCGAGATCTCTGGGTCCATGGCCGGAGGGTCCATTTTCGATCTTCTTCTGGCAAGGGAAAAGCTTCAGTGGAAACGGTTGGTGTTTATTAGTGGAACGAACCTCAAGGGCGATAATGACGGAAAGTGATGAATGGTAGATTAAGTAAAAGCCCCAAACCGGTGCATAGAACGGATGTGATGTTGGATCTTGAGCACAAAAGGTACCGAGAACTTTTGTCACATGCTAGGGCTCTCAGATGAACGTGATGTAAGGTGTCAATTTCAAACCGCTCGTCTTCCTCACAGAGGTTGCCGCTTGGGTTGACATTTACAGTACACAGACAGTACTTGATACAGTGCCAAGTTGGAAGTTGGCGACAGCTGTTCGCTCAGACCACCAAGGAGGCTGTGCGCCCGTGCCTTGTGCTTGTACTTCGCTTGAAGCATGCCAAAGCTGGGCGTTGCGATTGGCAGACATCAGCTGTTCCACAGGCTTCATCGCGACTATCTGCCGCTATTGCTGCGCTCACAGAAGGAGCATATGCTCTGTTAAGCACCTCGTATTAGGCATGATTGATGAGTTTCTCTGGTATTTCTCCACGCCTCTGAAGGTGACTGGCTCGGTGCCTCGCTCCAGGCATTTTCAACGGCCAATGCGGCCAAGGGCCCTCCCGAGCCTTACCTAACCCCGTTGATACTTGGTACACCTTCAACTGAAGTCACAGAGGCGCGGGGCTAAGCTGGGTAGCCTGTCGCGTGCACACTTGTCCCCGCGTTTGAGCGTGTGGGCGATCCGATCGTAAAACCTGTTCGATCCAAACAAGATTCGAATATGCATCTTGTTATCGCCTCTCACGTCAGAGGATAAAGACAAGGAGAATTTTATCCATGAGGCGTGCGATTTCCAAGACGCTTCCAAAACCTAAGGCCTTGGGACTGCTTCCGGGGCGAGGAGCTTGGTCAAACGCCAGCCCTCATATTTTCTTCTTCATGACCTTCACATCCAATGTCTGTAGTATAGACTGGAAGGTGAAATACATACTAAAAGGTTGACGAGTGAACAAACGTGCGTAGGAGGATATAGCTCCTTTTGATTTGACTCGATGTCTGACAATTTCCTGTCGTCGTTCCTGGGTGCGCTTCAAGCCAGTCTTTCGGTGCTGCTGGTGATCTTCTACGGCGTGATTGCCAGTCAGTACAAGCTACTGGATGGGCCTTCGGCGAAGAAGATCTCTGCTGCTTGTGTGCGCTTGTTTCTGCCTGCGCTGCTCATCACGAGAGTCGGGAGTGAGTTGCAGGCTGGAACGGGGACGCGCTATATTCCGATTCTGAGTATGTTTTACCAGGCCTCTCTCTTTCTCTGTATCTCCGAACGTGAAAAGTTTCCATTCTTACTCCGTGCAATTTTTTAGTCTGGGCAATCCTGTACTCTCAGGTCTCCATCGGGATCGGGTTGCTCGCCGTTAAATTTTGGAAATTCCCGGCGTGGGTAACTCCCGCCGTCGCGTTCAATAACACGACCAGTCTGCCGCTGCTGCTGATTGAATCGCTCAGTTCGACGGGAATCCTGGATCGCCTTCTGCTGGATGGAGATTCTACTGAAGAGGCCATCAACCGCGCGCAGTCGTACTTTTTGGTTTGTGCCATTGTGGGAAATTGCTTCACTTTCGCCATTGGCCCTCGCTTGATAGATTCAGAGAATGCTCCAGGCAACGACAAGGACAGCGACGACGGCAGTGACGCTAATGATAGGAACCAAGACGGGGATGATGCAGAACGAGGCTCGATCAACGACGACGAGCTCACCTCGCTCCTGCCACATCGAGTACGCAAGGCCGGAGGGGCGACGCACAAGCGGATATTCTTCATCGGCAATCAAAAGTGGGAAAAATTGAGTCCTCGCACACAGGATGTCCTCGTCTTCCTCTTTGACTTTCTCAATGCGCCGCTCCTGGGCGCAGTTCTTGGTGCGATCATTGGGTTGACACCGCCGCTCCATCGGGCTTTCTTCAACGATTCTAACGATGGTGGGTTCCTCAACGCCTGGCTCACGTCGTCTTTGAAGAAGATCGGCGAGCTATTCGTCACCTTGCAGGTCGTCGTCGTCGGAGTGTCGCTGTCGTCATCGCTGCGCAAAATGAAGCGTGGCGAGGACAATGGTCTCCCGCTGCTCCCGACAGCTCTCGTGCTGCTGGTCAGACTCGTCCTCTGGCCTGTCATCTCTATCGCTGTGGTTTGGTTGCTTGCCACGAAGACAAACACTCTTCAACAGGATCCCATTCTTTGGTTCACCATGATGTTGATGCCGACAGGGCCACCGGCGATGAAGTTGATTGCCATGGCGGAGGTTAACGGAGCTGGTGAGGACGACAAGATGGTCATCTCAAAGGTCTTGACTGTAAGTGCGCCCCCGCTGCAAATAATGTTTTGGATTGTATCTACGCATAGAGGATCAAAAGAGCTAACATCTTCGCTACCCGCCCACAGCTTGCGTATGCTTGTTCGCCGCTTCTAGCTTTGACCGTTGTCGGTAGCTTGTACTCAAGTGAGGCTGCAATTAGGCTGTAATTTCCCGGAGACCAGGTCCTCATCTTGTACTGTGTTCAAGAACATCTACCACACTTGGCGAAATATGCTTTCACACTCCATCATTGTTTGTGTACAAGGCGAAGGACAGCTTGGTCCTGTTCGAAACATGACTAGGTATATTGTGGTGTCATTCCGACCTACAGGTTGTGATATGTTCTACATTACACAGGATGCGCAAATATCGCTTTTGAGAACTGAGTCACATTTTTCACATTCTGGCAACGCAATCAAATCGAGTGAAATCCTCACTAAATGCTCTGTCGTGCTTGTGAAATCTCACGTCGTGTTTTTGGGGCCATCATGAATTCTCAGCATCCTCAAAATTATTCGTATTTGTTTTGTGCGTCCTATAATAGTTGAGAGTAGTCAGTCAGACGGGGTATATGAAGGATGATGTCCAGCCATATGAAGACGTAAATCAATGGCAGGCAGTCCTTAACGTTGACTGTGCACTTACCTTGACCCTCCACTCATCAACCATGCCTCTGTAATCCTCGGGCCCGTAGGGATGAAAGATCTCAGCCCACCAGCCCTTTTTCCTTCTGAATCGCAGATCCAGGTCCCTCAACAACATGTCTATGTATGGGACGGCGTCGAAAACGAAATCTGGGTGCCGCTTTCCGAACGCGCCAGGATAGCGCCATCTTCCAAACTGTGTTTGTAAGATAGTCTCATACGCGACTGAGTCAGGGTCGAGTCTTTGTCGAACTTGCACGGGAGGGGTTGCTGCCTGCCGCTGTGCGGGCAGCCGGCTGTTGAGAAACGCAGTGATCCAGAGCGATTGGACTTCCGCAACGCAGACAGTGTTGATTGTCAAAACGATTCCTAGAAACGCGATCGAGGGCGTAGGAATGCTCGAAGGGGGTACCATGAAACGATATAACCGATATGGGCGTTCTGATACTGCTGATTCTGCATCGATGGAATCGAGGGGTTTGTATTTGTGTAGCACGTTTGGTTGATCAAGCAGGCGAGGGAACTTAGTTAGGATCTCCTTATCAGCCTGCTTGACTAGGTACGCTTCAGACTCGCTGCAGTCAGTTGGCAGGCCAAGTTCAGCATCGATACCAGCAGGGAGGAACGTGATGGATGGTCGGTGGTGCCAGCCCGTTGAGCAGATGAAAGCGTCACCGGCGACAGCGGTGCCATTTGCCAGGTGAACAGTGTTTTTCGAGAGATGGTCGATGTCGGAAATATGCACTTTGATAGTTCCATCGCGCACGAGTGCGAAGAAGTCTGTGGGGTAATTGAAAATCCCCAAAGCTGAGGCGTGCCAGAAAGCAGAAAGTCTGGGCTTTAACTTGGCTGTCTCTGGATGCTTATCAAACCCGGAAAGTTCGATCACATCGCTGGTCAAAATCTTCCAGAAGGCATCGACGAGAAATCTGCCCGCGCGGGTGCCGTGGAGCAGGCCACGTATCCAAGAGAATCCGTCCTGATCACCCCATATACAGGGCGACAGCCAAGTCAGAAAGCGAACACCCACCAGGCCCTCAAGTCTTTTCTTCAGTGGGGTCACATAGGGAGGAGACATATAATTTGTACCATGTCCAGACTCACGGATGATCCAGTCTACGGTCACACCCTGGGTAGCGAAAGCATAGGTTGCATCATAGGCGGATTTGGATCCACCCAAGATGATGACATTCTTGGATGAATTGATCAGCTTGTCAGCCTCGTCTTTCAAGTACTTGACATGAAACAATGGTGCCTGGAAGTTCTCCTGTCCGGGAAATACTGGGACAAAGGGACGGTTGGTTAGACCGGTGGCGAGAATAAGTTTATCCGTCTCGAACTGCTCGGTGACATTGCTGGGGAGCTTAGCAGTGATCTTCCAACGGTTGTCCGCAAGTCTTTCGACCACGTCGACAGCAGCGTTGAGCTTGGTTCTTCTTGTCAGATCAAACTTGGCAGCAAATTGTTGGAGATACCGGTGCAGCTTGGGCCCCGGAATGTGTTCACCCGCCTTGATGCCAAGGGAAGCTTTATCCAGGGGGAAATCGCTATACTCATAAGAACCCACGAGGTTGTTCGACTTGAGGCCTGGATAAAGTCGGCCAGCGGACCAAGTTCCTCCTATTGATTCGGCCGATTCCAAGATCAATAGGTTCGTATCTGGGTAAATTTCGAGGTATGTTTTTGCCATGATTAGTCCATGGATTCCTCCAGGCAGTCAATAACTACTATTCCAACGTCTCAATAGGAATCAGAGCGATCAGAAGGCCTTACCTGCTCCCACTATTATGAGATCGCACAAGGACATTCTGAACTCTTCTTGAAGCTCTTCAGGACAAGAATGCCGTCAGGGGTGGGATCGGTTACAAATGGTACTAATAAAACTTGCAGTAACGCCCATCGGGAGTCTTGGGTAGTTTAGGAGCCCACGCAGAATTTGTAGCTTTGACAGGTATTTCTACGCCGACGAGATGGAATGTTATTGCGGAAACTGTTAGTGCTTGGTTTCCTTTGCCATCGGCGCCGGACAAAAGGTCGTGTTGATACAGTGTGTCGCACGACCTCGAATTAGCTTTATCTCAGACAGGTGCCGCTGCACGTGAGTGCGCGATCTAGACTAAACCACATCTGGCATCCGTGAGCCTTACCTTCCTCGAGGGAAGTGTGGAACGCGCGTCAGTTCTCATCTTTGAGTACACGGCAACTCCAGTGAGTCAGGTTCTAAGGTACAACTCCTTGTAGCACGAAGATTCGTGAAAGGCTGCGGAAGGAAGGACGGAGTCAAGGTGGACCAGGGAAAGTCGATCTTGGTCGTGGACAAGCCGGTACTCTGTACTCGTCGATTCTAATACGGAGTACGGAGTACATCGGCACAAGACAGCGAGGCTGATTTCACGGGGAATTAAGGCTGCTGATATCAAGATTGTCCTCAACTCAGGACCAGCATCAGGGGACAGTGTTTCAAAAGGCCAGGCTTGGCCTGTTCCTGAGCGATCTGCAGTGGAATCGATAAAGCAAGGCTCAATAATACTGAGTACATGCCAAGGTGGAATGGCTTCATGCTCGAGGTCCATTGCACGGGGAGAAGATTACGCGGTGCTCAATTGCGGATGATCCCGAGAGACTGTTAAGGCCCAGCGATCGGATCCCTGCTAATCGGGGGGTGCTGCCTCACGACTATGATATCCGTGAGACCATGGAGAACGAGGTAGCAATGAAAAGCACTAGCAAGAGGATCCGTACGAGGGATTAGCGTCTGCAATCATAAGACTACGAGTACATACATCTACAGTACTCGTAGATTTGAAGACGGCCTTGTCAGCAGGAGAGGAATTCCAACGGAGTACGGAGTACGGGGGATACCATCAAAACCGGAGATAGTTGCAGCAAGGCGGCCCATGGCGTGGACTTTGGGCGGCGAGTCGGTCTCGCTAGTGGCCGCTTTGGAGAGGTCGGAGATTGACAATTGACAGGCACCCGGAAGCGGCGATGACAATGACATGCAGTGTCCTTCCAGAAGCAAGAAACGCATTGCTACTAAGAGCAGGGTTTGGACTCCCTAAGAAAGGGTGGCTCAAGGGGGTTTTCTCTTCTTTGGATGGAGAAGTTGAGTGTATCTAACTATATAGTGAAGGGTGATTTAGGGTACGAGCAATTGGAGCTGGTACAAGCACAAGGTCCAGTCTAGACTCTAGAGTATGGAGGACGAGGACGAGTACAATAGTGATTCTCCGTACCTCGCATGGGCGAGACTGCATTGGGCCGGGCAGTGCACGATAAGCATTAGTACCTGCTGGCGAGCACGTGTCGATAGAAGGAACACGAGACACCAGTGCAAATCACAGGTCACCCACAAAGCCCACCAATTGATCCTTGATTCCTCAAGGCCCTAGGGGAACAACTCTGTTAAATTGGCACTTGAGCTTGCTAGTCGTGGTCAAGGCCAATAGGTTCGGGGGATGGGGCCCGATGGCTTGACTTGGGCGTGCCTAGCGTGCGGCAGAGACACCTAAGATCCGCCTAAGATCCAAAGACTGGGGGCATCATGGAGCTTAGCCTGAAGACAACTGGCTAGTGACTGCCAACCAAGCAGGCAGGGATCAGGCAGGATCAGGCACGCTTGCTTGGCTCAGGCTTTGTTTCTCCTTTGTCCAACCCAGAGGTGAACGAACTGTGCTGCCAGGTCGTCCGTACTGGTCCTGGCACTGCAGTGCGTACCACCACTGCCAACAGGGTGTGTGCTTGTGTATGGGGTATTGTGAGAACCTCGACTCCGTCCTCACCAAGACACCATCGCTTGTCTCTTCTTTGATCTTCCTTCTTTTCTTTGTCACTCCTTTAGTCCAACTCCTAATACCGCCAAATCAGTCATTCTTTTGAAGTTGACCCAAGTCGTTCGTTACCATCCAAGTGCCTTGCTGTTGTGGACAGGCTCCACGTTCCATTCCTTCGCACAGAATTACAGCTCCCACGCCTCGACAAGCAACTCACGAGTTCAGTATTACCTCGATCACACAGCAGCTGCTTAAACAACCATGTATTAATATCACACCTTCGTGCATAAATCAATTCCCCTCAAATCACCAGAACAACGCTCCCACCAACCCCAATCATGCTCGACTCAATAGGACCTGAGAACGAACCTCAGATCCAGCCTCGAAACCCGTACCCTTTTGCCAGACCGGGGCCTATACCTGATGCTAGATTAGACGGGCTGTTTGAGGAAAGACCACCGTCTTTGGTCGCAAGAGAAGAATTTTCTTTCGCTACCACGACCGCCTCGGGTGCTTCATCCACATTCTCCTGTGCCCCGGGCGACAACAGCGGACCATGTGAGAAGTATTACAATGCAGGCGGATCCGGAAACACTGTACCGATTGTGTTGGGGGTCGTGATACCACTGGGAATCGCCATTGTGGTGCTTGTAATCCTGCACCGCCGCCACGTTCTGAAATTAAGAAAGGAGGATGCAGATGACCGGCACAAATCTCTTGACTTCGGTATGGGTGAAGGCCGAGGCAAGTCCCACCAACAAGATGCACAAAGTCGGCCCGAGATGGCGATGGCGATGGATAAGGAAATGGGAGGAAGTCGACGAGAGCGTGGTCTTTCGATGGATTTGGAAGCACACAACCCTTACGTCCTGCCTCCAACACTAAATCATTCGAGAGAATCGTTGCACTCCCTATCTCGGTCAATCACTGGGGACGACAAATACCGAGCCACCAATTTCATCCCTGATGACGGTTCCATACGCCCTGCCTCGAGCTTGAGAAGTCCTCTGGACGACTCGTCCTCTACCTTCACTGGCTCCTCGAGTCGCAGGTTCAACTACGATTCCAAGCATAACCTCTTAACAAATGCCCAGGGCAATCCTTCCGGCCCACCTGTTCGCCATGGCTCTCTATCATCCACACGCGACCGCTCGGTTGATCCAACAACTGGCACTCGTAACCCACTTCCGCCACCAAGCAACAACCTATTAGCCCCCGCCCGAGATTCCTTGGTTAGCACGACTAGCAGTACCGGTGGTGTCAATGCTTTAAGAGCAAGTAATAACTATCTTGCCCAATTCATCAGCGGGGGCGCAGCTCAGAATTCTCAGGAGACAGTCAAGAAGACTCCCTCCGTGGCCCTCGATGAAATGAACCCCGAGAGAGCGGAGGAAGAGCTTCGCGCTCCTCCCCCTGCCATGATGAAGGACGACATCCGCTTCAGCGAAGCATCACTCTCCCCGCCAGCTGCACGAGACCGGTTCCCCGAAACGCCCAGCATCGTATTGAATACTCCTACAGACCGACAACCGGTGGATCCTCCCACAGATCGTCAACCCAGACTACCACAACTTAGCTTCATCAACTCGCAAGGTCAAAAACAGAACTCTCTAGAGCCAGAGATGTTTCCAGAAGTCGACACAGCTTCTCCCACCAATAGCACTCTACATTCAGCAACCACCTCAGTCAACCACCCGCATGACCAGCAGAACGTGCCACATCCACAGCTGCAGACTCAGAACAACCCGGATCAATATGTCGAAGCAGAAGACTACTATGAAGAAGATGAAGATGTTTATGGAGACTACTATCAAGAGTACGGATATCAAGATGGCTATGATCCTCGTCGCTCGACCATGGGCACGCGACCCCTGCCTCCCGATGATCCATCGGAGAATCCCGAGGACAGAGCGAACCGGATCCGATCCTTCTACAAAGAGTACTTCGATGACAGTAAACCAAATAATGCTGGACATCCCGGCGGACACCATGGTTGGCAGCATGGAGGACAGTACGATGGCGGCCATTACGACGACCAGGCAGGCTACTACGACAACTATGGACCAGATGGCCATTATGATGAAGCGCAATATTACCCACCCCGTGGAGGCACCGCGGCCGGCGCATATGGCAGACACAGGGCAACCGTTTCTAATGGCAGTTATATGTCTGGACCGAGAGCGTATTCATCAGTATCTGGCAGGTATGGCCCACCACCGCGTATGGCACCGAAGAAACGCGAAGTTCCCCTCAAGACGCTCCATGTACTTCCTACACCTCACATGCTGAAGGACGACACATTCCTGCCCATTGATTTCGCACCTCCGAAGAAAATTCACAATCAAAGATCGGGTACGCCGGACAGTCTTCGAGGTGGAGAGAGGCCATACTCTCCCTCAGTCCGGGCCCACGTTCCGCTTGCATCGTCATTTGACGATCTGGCGATGATCCCAAGCCCGTAAGTTCTGCCTGCGTTCGTTTCTTGAAAAAAACTTGCTGACATTGGCGTCCAGGCATCAATTACGCAAGTCATCGACGTTCACTGCTCTGGACTTCGCACCTCCCAAATTCCGATCGAATGACACGATGAGTGATGCAGGTAGCATTCGCAGCAACCGATCAGGTGTTTCAGCACTGCACGCACATAACATCAGGACAGGAGCCTATCGTGTCTCCAGGATCCCCAAGGATGTTGGAGGCACCAGAGAGGAATTCACCGAGGCCCTGAGGCCACAATGGGACTTGAACCGATGAGCCGGTGTACCCATGACGAACAGACAGTTGCATACTTATTTCAGAAAATACCGACCCATATGAAGAGGGTGATCATAGCGGATGGAGTTCTAGGGTGTGGTTCCCTTCGTGTGGAGGGGAGTCATAGTGCACCAGAAAAGTTCAAAATATAGTATGAGATACCTCGTCAAATGTGCGAGGTTGGAAATATGGATGGAAATGACACGGTCAGACGGACCTTGAGCCGAGGTGATGCCGCCAGCAACCGACTATGTATGTACTCGGTACTGTAGCGGTAACATCGAATACTACAGGTACTCGTAGCGCTTTGGTCGGTGCAAGTTCAGATAGCTTAATCAGCTGACAATGCCACCGTTCGACTGCACGGGACGAGTGTTCTAGGCTGAAAGACAACCGTGCACTTCCTGATCTCAGCTAAAGGTTATTGTTTCTCTGTGTACTCGTTCTCGTCGAGGTGCAGCAGTTCCTATGCGGCATTCCATGTGCGATCTGGCAGCCGACTGGACCATAAGCTGAGCAATGCCTAGGTTAGTGGAATATTGACTTCTCGGCATGTCTAATTCTGGGACCACAAGCGGGACTGACCCGGCACCCATAGGTCAGAAGCTGAGCCCCAAGCTCCTAGACAATCGCTGGGTTCCAGGGTCCCCGGGCTCCCTAGGCCCTCATCATCTCAATCCCCTTGCTTTCCGCGGCACCATGTGTATCACAACTAGGATCACAACCACACCAGCTGCAGGAGCGAGGGTCTCAGATCCCAAGTGCAAGTTCCATTGAGTCGGACCCGTCAGTATTGGCGGTGTTAGCATGATCAGCCTTGGGGCCCGAAATGACGGCAGCGTCAAGTGCAGCAAAGTGCAGATCTCCAAACCGGCAAATTCGGCCTCCCAAAAGTGGGATTCAAATCTTAGCTCGTCAGCAACTTCCATGGTTTTGGGTGGATTTGGCGTGGGTGAGTGCCTTTGCCCATCGCCCATCGCCCATCGCCCAGGGTGGGTTGGTGTTGTTTTTGTAACGGTGCCGCTATTGATTAGGGTTAGTAGAAAACGGTTTAGTCCCAGTCAAGGGCGCCTTTCCATTGGATTCGAAATCCGAGGTCAGTGACGGGTAGTTCTTAGTGTGGTTAGTCTGAGGCGGGAGGAGCAAATGCCCAGTGGTCACTGGTCAGTCATGGTCAGTGCCCCAAGATCCTTGCTCATGCTTGGCTGCTTCCCTGGGCAAGGACTTTAAGGGCTGCTCTTTCCCGTTCGTCGACCGCTGCGGAAGTGACGCTCAAGTCCCAAGATTCGAGGTCTCACCTCCCTTGATTTCATTAGCCCCCCCACCCGCCGCCAGTCCAAGCTGCGCCCTCCCAGTTCTTCTCACTGCTGCCCATCCGCACAATGCCCTTGTTTCTAAACTGCTTGATTACCACTACCTAGACCTTGCCATCGCCTCTTTTCATTCTTCTCCTCAGCGTCCCCTGTCCTCACTTTCACCCTCTTCGCCCTCCTCGCCATCGAACATCCACTCCCCTTTATACAACCGACGACTGACCGACCTCTCAATTCACTCGCTGCTCTCCTCGATCTATTGAGACCGAAACGATTGTGACTCTGCGCCATATAATTGGCGTCCCCGAGCCAGGGACCATCAGTCATACCGCAATTGACGCCTCCACCACTTTCCCTCCACCCAATCTTGTGGCTAAACACCACATTCGCTATCAACAACCTCGACACACGACTATATCTCCCTCGTGAAGGGACTTGTCATCCTTCACGTCTTCCTCCACAGGCCCTGTGCTGTACTTATCCTGCTCGACTCCCTCTTATCAGGTTTGGGCGGGCTCGGGTTCGCGTTTCGCGAGTCGCGAGTTTTGACAAGGCTTCATCGCTGTCCCTATTGATCAGCCTTTGAGACATTCTCATAAGCCATGTCGGGTGAGTAATATCTGTGCACGCTCGTTGCCTCTCGACTCATCATTGTGTAGAAACCGCCTCGGGGACCGACTCGGTCATCACCACCGTCATCACCACAACCTCGGTCAGCCTGACCACCTCGCCAACTACCACTATTATCGTGACCGACACCTCTACATCTACTGCTGAGACAAGCACCCCTCCGCCCACCACGACTTCCATTGTCACAGAACCAACTTCAACCACTGTAGTGCCGCCGAGCACCAGTCCCAGCGTAATCGACGTCACTCAAACGACGACAATAACACCTCAGCAACCCACCTCGTCAGCGCCCACTATCACCTCGCCCTCTGTGGTGGTCATCACTTCCACACAACCTGGCGAGACATCTATAACACGAACTTCAACAGACACGGCCAATAAAACCACCAGCGCCTCGTCGTCTGCATCTGCACTAAGTGCTTCCGGCACTGGATCGGGTGGTAGCGGAGGGCTCAGTTCTGGCGGGAAGATCGCAATTGCGGTGATCATCCCCATTGTAGTTATCGCTGCCGCATTCCTCATTGGTTTCTTCTTGTGGAGGAAGAGAAAGGCCAGGAAGACCAATGAAGAGCTTCGCAAGAACGAAATGGCTGAATACGGCTTCAATCCCAACAGCGATCCCACATTAGTAGGAGCCGCCGGTGGAGCGTATACTGACAATGTGTCGGAAGCACCAGAAGACAATAGTGGCTACCGTGGATGGGGTGCCACTTCATCAAATCGTAAAGCCTCTACAACATTGGGTTCAAATGGCAAAGCTGCCGCCGCTGGCCTCGCATTGTCTGAGAGCAGCAGTCAACCTGGTGGATATCATGGTTCACCCAATGCACCTTCTGACGCTTATTCTACCGACCCATTGATGAACGGCCATCCAGAGAGTGGCGATGGAGTCGGTGCCCTTGGGGTTGGTGCTGGGCTCAACCGAAACCGAAGTGGCGCAGCTGGTATCCGCCGCGGACCTTCTAACGCCTCGTCAACCTATTCTGAGGGTCATGCCTCCGAGCTATCCTCAGACAACCAGAGTGTACCTGGCCCTTACTACCAGGAAGAGGTTCCATATAATATTTACAACGACGCCGCACCAAGCCATGGTCCCTACGGGGATGGCTCATATGGTGGGGTCAACCAACCGGTGATCAGAGACGTTCAAGCGCGGAGAAACACCCGAATCGAACGGGCACCCACGTTCCCGCAAACACAGGGCGGCATCTCTCAAAACTTTTGAAAATTTGTTGCAATATCAGAGCATTCCATGGGTCATTACTGGGTCGGCTTCAAGCTGCTACCTCATGGTTTGTGGGGTCATATTTCGGAGTTTTCTGTGCATGGTTCAAAAATAGCATGGACAGAACGTCGGGGAAGGATCTGATTCGCATTATTTTATACCCGACATCGTGTTTTGATCAGTTTTGTGGGTTACGAATTCCCTATTCCTATTCAATAAGCTGTGGGGGGTTCTGCAAGGGAAGGATGGGGTGACCTCAGACATTTGTACAGGGCTAATGGACATGGGCATCACATTCCAAGAGGACGTCATAATCACAAAAGTTGGAGGAGCCATCATATGGGTGCATGTATGTCAGCAGGAGAAGACAAGGTTGTGGGTTGAACCGGCGACGGTCTGACCAAAGCACGACCGATTCTTTCGGTCCACCATGTCAATATCTACTTAACTCAGTAATGCAAGATCCGTTTGTATACCATCGACGCCCTTTTGCTGAATCTGCCTAGATATGACTCTCTCACAGCATTACATTATTAGGGCAAGGCTCTCGAAGCTGACCTTGGCTTCAGCATGGCCGCCTGAGGCTCCCCTCACTTGCCGTCACTTTAATGCTTTATATTATCTCATGTTTACACTTGGTGAGATAAGGCGTCTAATTAAGTACCCTTTTACTCGTCAGACACTATTCGGTGTGGAACTCCTGGTAGCAGGATCTTGAGTGACCCCGTTCAAGTAGTCGGTTTAAGTAGGCATATATAGCAAGTCATTCACGAAGCCTCAAAGGAACTCGTTGAAACGGCTGAGTTCTGTGCTCGGTCAGTGGAAACTATCTTGTTTTGGTTCTTTGCTACCGACTTCTCTGGGGGCTGACGTGCCTCCCTGGAGCTGGAATGTTGCAGATCTCCCAGCTGGGCAAGGTCTCTCCAGGGCTCCAGGTCCTCGAACAGTGACAGGCAAATATCAGATCCATCAACACAAACTGGCGACGCTGCATCAACCATTGGGTTTCAACGACGTAAGCTCTCCACCCACGCCGCCCCCTTCTGTAACATTTCAGCCTTTCGCCGCTGCGGTAAATGGCGCAGAATCCTGTTTGTGGCATCTTCGGTCAGATAGGTCCAACGGCGCTCCGCGTGCACGGGGATGTACGTGGGCAACCTTCACTGGAAAGAACTTACCGCAAACACCTGCATGAAATTCAACCTTGGCTTGCCGGCCGCATGGCTTTCTGCATCGACGACGAGGTGTGCTGCCCACTGTGCGGTCAGCTCCTTGCCGTTGGTAAACACTTGTTTGAGCTCCCCGAGCAGGATGAGGTCGTGCCCGGCACTGTCATTGACAAAGACTTGCGTTACCGTGTGATGTCGTGATGCCACGATGGCCCAGGCTTTGTCTCTGCTGCGCGAGATTTCTATCCCGCTCCGGTCAGTTCAGGAAGCTCGTCTGCTGCCCGTTCGAGGCTTTGCTGGTTGGCGCACCTTCAGTCCCTTTGGAGGCCCCTGCAGCCGCCATCATTGTCCCATCTTTCGTGAATACCTCTTCCGCAATTCGAGGCCCGGAGGTACTGGCCTTGTCATCGGCCAGGCTGTAGAAGAGATCAATCAAGCTCTTCACCGACTGGTCGACTTGGACTGCGGTGGGCCAGGTTGTCTTCTCCGTAACATAGCCCATTGTTGCTTCAAAGGTGCCCTTGCCCTGCCCTGAGGTGGAGTGGACGGTGACGAACTGGGGATTTCCTGAAGGTCTCTAGAGAGAGAATTGCGATCAATACCGCGAGGCCGGAATAAAAGAGAAATCACACTTCGGCCCGGACTGGCTCGAGGGTTTCCTTCCGGCATACAATCCCCTCCTCGGTTAATTCTGTGCAACTGCTCGGGCTTACAAATGGTCGAACTCCGAAGACCCATGGCATGGAGCGTGTGTCGTGAGCAAGGGGCTCATGACATCCGATACTAAGCGTTGGCGCCGACATGTGGGCGTGGGCCTTCAAAGACATGCGATCAGAGCACGTAGCCAGGTATGGTTTTGGTGATTATACGTTGGCATTGGCCCCTCTCTCTGGGTCCGATGCAGAGACCCGCTAGAGAACGAGTATTATACTGCTCCTGACACAGCCTCGGTATGTCCTACGGGATGAGAACCAGGCGAGCTACAGAATATGCTATGGGTTTATGATCGCTTATGATCGCTGTCCCTCCTATGAATCGCTTACCATTTTATTCTTGATCGAACCCAGAGCCTCGATCTTGATCTCCACCACATCGCCGGTCTTGAGCCAAGCAGGAGGCTTCATGAAGGCCGCCACTCCGCTGGGAGTGCCGGTCATGATGATGGTGCCCTTCCTGACAGTCCTACCCATGCTGATATACTCCAACAGGTCAGTCATCCGGAAGAGCAGATCATCTGTGTTGGTCTCCTGGCGCAGTTCTCCATTGACGAAAGTCTGGAGCTGAAGATTGGGAGCGCCATCCTGGATCTTGTCCTTGATGAGCGGGCTCTCTGGACTGAGGATTGCAGGGCCGATGGGTGCGAATTTGTCAAACGACTTGGCCATGCCGTGTTGGTTTCCGCATCTTTGGGGAGTCTGCCAGAATCGTGAGGAAACATCGTTGCTCACGGAGTAGCCGAGAATATACGGCAAGGGATCGTCGCCTTTGCGAAAGCCCCGCACGTCCTTTCCAATGACGACCAGTAGTTCGCCTTCGTAGTCCAATTGCTCACATCTCGCATCCACGGGGATGTCTTCATATGGCCCGGCGAGCGAGTCCCCTGGCTTGGTGAAGACGACAGGGAACTCTGGCGTCGGGAATCCCGACTCTTCAATGTGCTTCTTGTAGTTGAGGCCGATGCCGTACACGAGAGGTGTGGATTCTAGAGGACACAGGACTTCTGCGATCTGTGCTGTGTCCTCGGTCGGTTTTAGATCCCAGGGCTCTTCGCCCGACAGAACGTTGGCCGTGCTGCCGACGAGGTTGTCAGGACCGCTGGGCACGTCGCCGTACCGTACTGTGCCGGCCGCGTCCTTGAACCGGACGAGACAAGAGAAAGCCGCGACCATTATTGCAGGAGAAATGGTATGTTTTGGTGGGCGAGCATGAGGGAGACCTCTGGTTAGTTACATACCATTATTATACTCCGGGGGGGATTGACATCTCTCCAGGCGCCCCGCCAAACCTCGACCCTTGATTGCCTCCCTGTGATTGGAAATCTCAAATGGTCCCCACGGAGGATCCTCCACGGTTCTTCACGGAGACCGGGCGAAGAAGCCTCATGGAATGCCCAATGGAAGTTCAGCGAAGTCGAACTTCACCGAGATCAGAGTCCAGTCTTCTCCCAGCGCCGGCCAACTCGCTCCGGGGACCCTTGGTCTCGGGGTTGTTGAGATATCCCGGTAGTTCGGAGTACAGGAAAGCTGCCGAACCATGAGAGGATACCATCCAATGACGTGCACGTGATCCAGCATATTCTCGGGCGATATAAATCTGGATTCCCCCATCCATTTTCTCTTCTTTAAGGCCGTACCATTCTCTCACGTGAGTCGGGGTCTCTTGTCTTGTGCCTTTCGTCGCTATCCGACTGGAAATATCGTGTTTAGTCCGGGCGTCATGTACCGCTTTTATCATCTCGCTTTGCCGTCTTTTGGGAGACTTCGCATGCCCATGCACACATGGCTTACTGTCAAGGCCATTCACTACATTCTCAACGCAAGGACGGTCAGCTGCCTCGTACTGGGCTTTCGTGGTCCTGTCATGTCTGCCACCTAACAGCGCTTCTACCCTAGTAGCGAATAGACCCGGAGCCTCTCCGACTCATTGTAGCAACTGCAGCGCCACCCGACAACTAGATACGTAACCATTTTTATTATTCTTAGCCAGCCTGACGGCTGCTTCCCCCGAATTCGGTGCCATCGTGTAGGCACCTTTGGGTAGGATAGGCTGTTGGGTCATTAGACTACTCGTACGTCGAGGTACTTACGTACAGGTCACGCTTTGAACCACCACTCCGGCTGGTCGAATGAGTTGGAATTTGGTTCGGTATGGCCTCTCCCCCGTATTCGATCAAAGCTTAACCACGACAAGCCAATCACTTTATTTTGTGGCTAACTGCCAGGGAGGATCTGAAATTCTACATATGCAACCAACTATGCGCACGGGGGAAGCTAGAGCGCTATCATCCATGAAGGTGAGGCACTTCTTTTTCGAGCCTTGCTCCTGTTGGAGCCTCCTCTCCCAACCAGCAATTCCCAGAGCGCAGATGTTTGGTGCAAGCTTGCTGGTGCCACTTGCTGCTGGGCTTGAATAGAAGGCATAAACGCTGGTCTTCCGCATGGCCTTGCTCAGGATGATCTCGTCTGTTGACTTTGTCCTCCACTCTGCCCAAGCCATTGCTCCTTCTGCCCCTTTTTAGAGTTCGCAAACATGTCATTCCCCACCAAGCCAGCGTTCGTCATACACGGTGGCTTTGATGAGACCACCGCGAACCATCCCGGGATGAAATTCCTCGAAGAAGTCGAGAACGACTTCGACACCCGCACCTGGGACCCTGAATTCTACGCTCCGGACTTCACCTGGGTCGCGCCCACCGGCCAGGCTACCGAAGGCCGAGAGAGGGCGTTGGAGGCCGCCAAGGCCCTATATATGCCCCTGACTGCACACTGGCACGAGCCCTTCTAACAGGTGTATACCGAGACCGACAATGGCTACAAAATGATCGGGTCGGCCACCATGTGGGCCAACCTCCCCGGCGAGCCGGCGGTGGGGGAGACCAAAAAATACGACAAGAACGGAGAGGCCTGGGACGTCGCTGGACCGGGCGGCTTTCGCTTCCAACTTGTGAAGCACGGCGACACTTCTCAGCTGATAAGGATGGAGGTCACCACGGGTTCGGGACCGCTCGTTACAGCAACGATTCGGCGAGGCTTGCTCAGCCCCAATGATTTGGGAACGTGTCCCGATATAAAGCGAGGGGGTTTTCACTGAGCTCAACGAAGAGTCTGACAGCTTCCGTCCGACCTAGAGGCACCTCGTCACCCTCTCCACGGAGATAACAACAGAGTGCTCTATGGCACCCAAAAGCTGAGGGAATAGTGAATGTCTCGTGGCTCGGGGGGGGGGGGGGTTCACCTTCGGACTCACTTCGGACTCATATCCTCAGGCATTGTGAGAACTTAGAGAGAATAACAATCGTGGATTTGATGTTGTTCATCACGAGTGACTGGAATCACTGGTTGTTTAGCTTGATACTGTTACAAAGGTTGCATGTCTCCGCGACATGCGCCATTTACCCCTGATGGTCTACATGATAGTCCTCCTCGAGATACCAAACGAATCAATGACTCCAATTGAACACGTTCCCGAAATGGGGAGGTTGCCGGACCAGCCTGACTTTGTCCAGAGCATTGACTCTGTTCCCTGCTGTCTCCAGGTGGCCCCGTTGAGCTTGCTCGGTCCTCCTGGCCTTCTGCATTTGTTTGTGGTGAGCTGAAAGCAGTGCCCTTTGCTGTGAAGCCGGTAGGTGTAACAGACTTCTCCTGTCGCTCGCGCGAAGTTGTGCAAGCTGGTTGTTGAGGGTGTGTTCCTGCTTGAGCGCTCGTGTGCTCACCTCACCAGCGGCAGTTCCGGAGCCTGTCTCGGTAGGGTTTGAGCTTGATTCCGGGTCGGCGTGTGACTGTGGTGTTTGATCGAGTGGGGAGGCTGTAATGCTGGCGCTGTCCGAACGCTTTGGAGGTCGTGGTTTCCTCAATCTCGCCTGGGATGGAAGTTGGGCGTCATCATCGAGGCGGCGCTGCATTGAGTCCAGAGTTCGTTGTCGTTCCTCTGTGGCTTCCGAAGATGGGAATTCAAAAAAGCCTCTGAGCTCGGCATCGTCTCCCGAGATGTCATATTTGCAGTGACCCTTCGCCGTCATGTGCTGCTGGACCGCCTGGCGAGTGTTCCGCTGCGTGCCACAGTAGAGACACTCATAGTAACCGGAAATGACGAGGTTAAAATACGAGAGAAGTGTCTCGATGTCCACTAACAAGTGTGCTGCGTCGATGTATAAACCATGGGTCTTCAACATATGGGCCAGATTCTGGTCTAGGTCTGGGTTAGTCTGGTTGCAGAATAAACACTGCGATTCATTGAATTCTAAGTCAGTACTGCTGGGAGACGGAGGACCGGAGATGTTGTCGTAGTTGTCATTGTCACTCTCGGGAGTCTTTTCTCGAACCAGAGCAGCAGGGGCTTCGCCGCGACCCGATTCCGATACCATGGCGGTCGTAGTGGTAGGGGATGGAGGACTCAGATGCTCGGAAGGAGCGACTGTCGAGTGCTGGTGGGGATTTCTTCTGGTTTGGTGATGTTAGTAAAATCAAGATGACGATGGTATTGCTTTATACGACCCTGTGCACAGCCATTTCTTGGGTGAAGTTCCAGTTACCCTTTTTGGAATGTGTTTGGATCCGTCCAAGCGGCATGACTCTTCTATATCGTTGCCAAGGTTCTGGGCTTTTGGCCATGCCCAGACTATCCCGTTTGGGTAATGAGGCGACGCCGTTCTGAGCTCACCCAGGTTGGCCGTTGAACAACCTGAGTCTTAGGCACAGAAGCAAGTCTGAGCTCCAATACCATAGCCTAGTGGAATATTCCAGCCTCAGCCAAATCCGCGTGGGCGGGCTGCTATCCCAGTGAGCTTAACCTGACCTGCGCCCTATGTCAATGTACAGCAGGAGGTGAACGAGAGGCGAGTTGTGTTTAAAAGCAGCGAGCTTGAGGTGAGTGGCAGGGTGCGCTAGTGCGAGCTAATTGACCCGATTTGCGGCGCACTAGCGACGCTGGAGTTAGTACACTGTCTAGCGTATCTTGGGTCAACCTTAAACACAACCTCTACGTCACTGCCCATTCCCAAAACCTCTCGGAAGCGGAAAAAAACACAACAGCCTTGCGAGGCTTCTGTGTCACTTGCTCTATCAAAAGGCTGATGGGACAAGGCTGAGCCGCTAAGCAGACAGGCGGACATAGTCAATCGGCTGAGACTTACTCGTTCTCCGGTCGCTCAGGCTGCCCATCGTGGAGAAAGGGCACCGTGACTCACCACACATTCAACTTCACAGCAACTGAAGGGCCATCACCAACACAACATCATCGCGACCTTGCATGAGTCACCTAGTGCATACTCCAGCCAGGCCAAAGACCTTACGCTTATTCAAGGCATTGGTATTGCATTACCAACAAACGGCCTCGTCCTCGCATTTGTATTTAGGCCTCCAGTGTTTCGCACATTCACGATCAAGTCAAGTAGACTTCATCATAGTAAGACAACGTGTGAAACTCTCTCCTTTACTCGAAAGTTTTCACTCAATCTCTACAATGCCCTCAGACAGGCGTGGTCGGGGCCGTGGTGGCTTAAGGCACGATTCACTCTCGCGCTCTGTGCTTGTGTCCAAGGGTCTCTCCCGGTTGTTGAGACACGCCGCTGAACAAGAGCGGATCCCAATCGACAGCCACGGTTACGTGAGAATGGATCATCTACTAGGGTGGAAGAGATTGAAAAGCATGCAGCCGCCGGTCACGTTCGAGGAAGTCGTCGAAGCGGTCGAAAACAGTGAGAAGAAACGGTTCGCTTTGAAATATGTCGCGAGAGATCCAGGTCCAGCTGAAAGCACACCGGCAGTGGATGCCCCAACCGCTTCTGAGACTAATCAGGCGCCTGCTACTGAGGACGATCTGGAGACGGAGACGCGAAAGGCAATATCGATGTTCCAGTCGACAGTGGGAGACCCCAACACCAAATGCTTCTTCATCCGTGCAACGCAAGGCCACAGCATGAAGGGCGTCGAGGCAGAGAATCTCCTGAAGCCGATCTCGCTCGATGATCCGGCCAGCGTCCCCGACACAGTCGTCCACGGGACATTCTACGGGGCATGGAGCCATATTCTGCAAACCGGCGGCCTAAAGAGCATGACGAGGAATCACGTGCACTTTGCGACGGGTCCCAGCCTCAGCCAAGTGCTCCCAGAGGATGGCACGCAGAAACAGAAAGGAGGTCTGGGCCAGGTGATGGGAGAAAACAAGGTCATCAGCGGCATGCGAAGCGATGCCCAGATCCTCATATACATCGATATCCGGAAGGCGCTGCAAGAAGACAAAGACATGAAGTGGTGGAGGAGCGAGAACGGCGTCATCCTGACGGATGGAATTACGATAGAAGTCGAAGGGGGAGGAAGCATGAAAATTGTGCCGACGAAATACTGGTTGGCAGCCGCGGAGATCAAGGAGAGACTTGGATTGTTGTGGAAGCAAGGCCATGGTGAAGATGGCGTTGTACAGGAGCTGCCCTCGACGCTGCGGAGTCGGCCTGTCCCTAGAGGGAAAGGTGGTGGGCCGAGAGGGAGAGGTGGTGGCAGTGGCAGAGGGAGAGGGAACCAGAAAGAGGAAGTTCAAGGAATTTGATCGGGCAGGCAGGCTCAATTGCTACCACTTCAGAAAAGGTTGGGCTTGATTCTGCGACTACCCGAGGCTTCGATGGTTGCGAGGCAATTTCCCTTGAAAGCAAATTCCGATATATAAACTTCATACCACCTTCAGGAAGATACCAATCCTGAGCTTCTGCTGTAAAGCATGACCGGTTCCCTTCAAATCGCTGCGACGGTATAACGGCTTGTCCATGCAGGTAAATTCATCCGTCGCCCCACGTCAACGCAGTTAAATATATTGGTACCGTTAGCCGGCTGTGCCGCAGGGACCATGCTCATCCATCATATGAGTTGATGCCTCAATAGTCTCCGGCTGGGCAGTGAAAGAGGAAGTTTCATACCTGTGTTAGTCGCATCCTTGGTTTAGCCAAGGACTTAGATAAATTCCGTCACCAACTGAATCGCAGACGAAGAGTGTGAAGCATCCAGTCATTCCACACATTCCTGTGCGCCGCCTCTGAAGGGATCTGGCCTCGTATCCATATTCGATATTGTCTAGTAATCACAGAACGAAGTAAAATCCGGGTTTGAACACAGACATACCAGGAGATTGATGAATGGACTAACATAGTTTAGGCGGCGGGGTCCAGCAGGAAAGGCGGCCGATCGTGGCGTCAGCTCGGTTGCTAGTTGCAAGGCAGGCAGTATCTTTGGGCTAGTCTTAATTACCTTGACCTGGAGATGGCGCCTCTCAAGTTAGTCCGGCAATTGAGGTTTTCACGGAGATATCCTTCAGTAATTGATGGTGCTTCCCTCTGATCACCGGATAGGTGAAACGCAGGGTCAGGGTGGTGCATTAAGTCGCGCCGGTTGTGTAATAAACCAGATGACGGAGGCGCCTACAGCATCGCCGAAGCATTGCTGAAGAAACTAGGTAAGATGCAACTGCGATGAGCCGTCCGAGGATAACGATGATCGGAATCTGAGAAATCATTTTGGTGGAGGCGGTCCCATATTCGTTTTCTTGGCTGCTGGTGGCAGTTGTGGTACTTTGAAGCCCCCATTGACTTTCCCACCTCCGGCTTGAGTGAACGTGCCAGTGGAAAAGTAGCCGGCAGTCTCTGCCTCTCGTTTCCGTTTGAGCTCAGCTTGCACCTTGGGATCAACCAGTTCAAGACCTTGCACAGGTGTGAAAGAAATCGAGCTGGCCGTTCCCGCACCAACTCCGGATGTTCGAAGACCTGACGCGCGAAGACTTGTGGAGTTTCCGCCCATTGCTGTACCAAATGCCTTGAGCGATGTATTCATTCCACTGTTCAAGCTGGTGGAAAGTCCAGAAGTGCCCCAACCGGGATTTTTCTTACTCAATTTGGCCATGGTGCGTCGATCGATCTGGGTGGCACGAATCCTGCCATCATTCTGCTGGCCAATCATGCCCAGTCCAACGGTACCTTCACCCGTTCCATACCCGACTTCCTTCTCTTCCTTACCGAAAACCATTCGATTTTGTTGCTTTCTTAGGTCTGTCATTGCGGTTGCCTCTTTGGCTTTTCTTGCTCTGCGACCTCCTCGCTTTCGACTTGGCTTGTCGTCAGGAGCGGGTAATGCTCGAGGGCCCCGGTTCGGAGGGGGTTCGGTGAGTTTATCAAGTCTTCGTAGACAATCGTCTCGAAGTTGCTCTCCAGTCGAACCATCGGTCGCCTGATGCACACTGTCCACTCGAGCAGCAAGAACTAGTTTGGCAGACACAATCCGCATAGCTTGTATCTTCAGATCGTTGGGTATATCCTGGATCAGGGGCGAATGATAGAGGAAGCCCTGTTGCCTTATTCCAACGTTGGTTGCCAACCCACTTTGCTTCTGTTTTTTCGACCCCATTGATGGTACGTTCCGATCTGGCACCTTTGCAAGGCCTTTCAAGCCACCAGCAAAATTGAGCAATTGAGCGGCCGTGAGAGAGCCAATCAGCGCAGTCAAGTTTGGGGCAAAGACATTCATTCGCGATTGGACATAGTCTGTGAGGATCTTTTTGGCCCTGTCCAATTGTAGAACCATCTCGCATGCCGTCAGGGTTGTTTCAAGCTCGGCTTCGCTCAATGGCTGACCTTCGGTTGTAGTGGCTTCGACGGCCACCACCATCATGGTGGGTCCATCCAGAATAGATCTCAGAGGCGCTTTCACAAGGTTGTCCGACGATTCCGCTATCGACTTGATGTCCTCCAGTGGTCCATTTTGGATGATGGCAACCGTTTTGGCATAGTCGAGCGGGTTAGAGACCAGAGTTTCCAATTGGGGAAATCTGGTAGAATAGTGGTCACGGATGAACTTGTGAACAAGAATGACCTCGCTATCGATTTGAGTCGCAAGGTGATTGGACTGAGTCAGTAGAGCATACTCTGGGTTGTCCTCGATGGAACCAACAGAAGTCGTTCGCTGGTCTAGTGGAATGGCTTGATAGTGTGCAATTTTCTGGAGAATGTGGGAGAGGTCAGGACTGTATGAATGGAGTTGTAAATCACTAGGGCTTGAACGAGCATATTCTTAGGGCTGAGCTTACCTCGAGTACGGGTTGCAGAGTCTTCATCAAGCCAGCCACCGTTCGCACGTCACGTACACCACCGAGGCGCATCTTCTCGACTTTTGCTTTTGTAGTGTCCTCATCCTCGTCCCCCAGATCGTCGTCCCTCCTGGCAACCTCCTCTTCTGCATCCTCCATTTCCTCCTCATCTCCATCTAGCGGTATATCGAGGGTTCCGTTGTTTTGATCATTCTCGTGGGCAGCAGTCTCGTTGCCGGCCTCAAAGCCATTTGCTTCCTCATCGTGCTCGGAGCCAGAGTCCTCGAAATCATTGAGAAGCTCGTCGGCAAGGGTAGCCATGGTGTACGGAATGGCTCCCCAGACCCAAAGAAGATAACAGGAAAAGAATGGCCCGCAATTCTGGCTGAAGACGAGGGAATCTTCGTTGGCAGGTCGATACGTGCCTGGAGATGTCGGGATGCTCTGACGTGCGGAGAAATATTGTTCCCTGTCTTCTAAAATATGATCCATTTCACGTGACTTGGGTTTCTCCGCAGGCTGCATGTTCCAAAAGTTCTTCAAGAGAGCAAAAGACCACCACTCTCAGTCATCTTTCCACCAGAACCTGGCGTGCCCTTGTGGGCTTCGCAATCTCTATCAGTTACTTCACTCCACCCTGATCTGGCAGAGCTGTCCAACACTTCTCGATCAACCGAATAAAAAGTACTCCGGCCAAAACCCATCGTTCACTCGCCGTTGAAGGCAAATCTACTCAAGATGGATTCTTCCAGAGGCCCTCCGCGGGTCAAGAACAAGGCCGCTGCGCCTCAGCAAATATCAGCCGAACAGCTATTGCGCGAGGCTGTCGACAGACAAGAGCCAGGACTACAGGCTCCGACCCAACGGTTTGCGGACCTGGAGGAGCTTCATGAATTTCAAGGACGCAAGCGCAAAGAATTCGAGGACTATGTTCGCCGAAATCCAATTAACATGAACAACTGGATGCGATATGCGCAATGGGAACTCGAGCAGAAAGAATACAGGCGAGCCCGCTCCGTCTTCGAGCGAGCCCTAGATGTGGATAGCACAAGTGTAATCTTGTGGATCCGTTATATCGAGGCAGAAATGAAGACACGGAACATCAACCATGCACGAAACCTGCTCGACCGTGCCGTCACGATCCTTCCCCGCATTGATAAGCTGTGGTATAAATATGTCTATATGGAAGAGACATTGGGTAATGTGCCGGGGACTCGCCAGGTTTTTGAGAGATGGATGAGCTGGGAACCTGACGAGGCTGCTTGGCTGGCGTACATCAAGCTGGAAAAGAGATATGGAGAGTTCGATCGGGCAAGAGCCATTTTCGAGCGCTTTACCATTGTTCACCCTGAGCCACGAAACTGGATCCGATGGGCCAAGTTTGAGGAAGAAAATGGCACGAGCCAGCTGGTTCGGGATGTTTTTGGGGTTGCCATCGAGACGCTGGGAGACGACTTTATGGACGAGAAGCTGTTCATCGCCTATGCACGGTACGAAGCCAAACTCAAAGAATACGAGCGAGCACGGGCAATCTACAGATATGCACTTGACAGACTTCCTAGATCTCAATCGGCCTCTCTACACAAATCCTACACGCAGTTTGAGAAACAGTTTGGAAATCGGGAGGGTGTGGAAGACGTGATTCTTGCCAAGCGAAGAGTACAGTACGAGGAACAGCTGAAAAGTAATACTCGGAACTACGATGTTTGGTTTGACTTTGCCCGGTTGGAAGAAACTGGAGGCGATGTGGAAAAGGTGCGGGACGTGTACGAAAGAGCCATCGCGCAAGTTCCCCCGTCACAAGAGAAGCGGCATTGGCGAAGATATATTTACCTCTGGATCTTCTACGCTCTATGGGAGGAAATGTCGAACAAAGATGTCGAACGAGCCCGGCAAGTCTACCAGGAGTGCCTGAAATTGATTCCGCATAAGAAGTGGACGTTCGCCAAAGTCTGGATCATGACAGCACAGTTTGAAGTCCGTCAGATGCAATTGCAAGCGGCACGGAAAACCCTTGGGCAAGCTGTTGGGATGTGCCCGAAGGACAAAATATTCCGCGGGTACATTGACCTGGAGAAACAATTATTTGAGTTCCTGCGGTGTCGGACCCTCTTCGAAAAGCAGATCGAGTGGAATCCATCCAACAGTCAAGCGTGGATTCAATTTGCCGAACTTGAACGTGGATTGGATGATCTGGATCGAGCAAGGGGGATATTTGAGCTAGGCATTGAGCAGCCGACGTTGGACATGCCAGAGCTTGTTTGGAAGGCCTACATTGACTTTGAGGAATACGAAGAAGAATATGAGCGAGCACGGGCACTTTACGAAAGACTACTCCAGAAGACCGATCACGTTAAGGTGTGGATCAACTATGCACGATTCGAGATCAACGTGCCGGATCCCAATGAGGCAGAAGGCGGTGATGAGGATGACCAGAAGGTGGGTGAAGAGGCGAAACAGAAGGCGCGGAACGTGTTTGAACGGGCGCATGACGTTTTCAAGACCAAGGAAATGAAAGAAGAACGGGTCGACTTGCTCAACGCGTGGCGCTCATTTGAGCGAACTCACGGCTCAGAAGAGGATATCGAGCGGATCGAGAAGCAGATGCCGCGTAAAGTCAAGAAGAGGAGGAAGATGGAAGAGGACCGATTCGAAGAGTACATTGACTATGTGTTCCCAGCAGACGATGAAAGCGCGGCGAAGTTGTCCAAGATGTTACAGATGGCACATCAATGGAAAGCACAGAAGCAAGTAAACGGGTCTGGAGAGTAGGTGGTTACATGAAATCAAATAGGGATCCATATACTCGTACTCGAAGATCTGGGTCTGGATATGGGGAAATCCAATTGGGGAGAGAATTGATGTCATCCTTTGGTTGAATAGCATTTGTCAACAAGGAGGGACCTGGCTCATGTGCTGAGGTCCTCCTGACGATGCTAAAAGGGGAATACCACAAGTCAAGCGAACAGTAATCAACTTGGGATGGCAGCGGTCGATTGAGCTAACAGTTAATGGCCGACAATCCACCCAAGCCATGCATCCAATGCAATTTTAATTTCCGCCAGCCTCGTTTGGAGAAAAAATGCAATGCAATCTTGGATGCACATCGACGATCACAATTCGACGGCGGAGACAGAGAGTTTTGGCTTTGCTCATTCATGCCAGTTCTCCAAATATGGAGGAATGGTGCGTCATCCGTCTTCGGTAGAGTCACTTTGTGCAGCAGATGACGTGGATTGAATTTGGTCTGAAGTGGTGATGCAGTGGGTGTGACGGTTGAAGAGACAGAATGGACAGGGGCCACTTTCGGGGACTGTACGTGGCAGCCGGGGTGGCAGTTCTCCGTAGATATCACTAAGTTGAGTCCAAGAAGGCCCCAAGAGCCCCCAAGACACTCCAAGACACCCCAAGCCGTTGCTGCACTAGACCCACGAGTCATGGCTCAAGACGGGAGCAAAGGGCAAGATGACATAATCTGTGTCTTGTCTCATCTAGCAGGTGTCTAGCACCCAGTGTCTAGTAACTAGTAGTGGGTGTCCGGCATCCTCTGGCACTCTCTGGTGTCTCAAGTGCCCATCCTGCTAACCCAAGTGAGAGCAGTCGATTGGCGCCCAGCAGTTCGTGCATCTTTGGTACCTGCGTCAGCGTCCCGGGAGGCTTTGGTAGTCTTGGGCTAAACCCTCCAGGGCGATCCAGAGCTGATTTGGTTGGGCCAAAAGACCACCTTGAAACAACCACCGCCTGCAATTGACGAGTCTCGTTCTCGTTAACCTTCAACCGAGTTGAGTTCTTGACCGTTACTCGTCAGCGTGTCACAACTGGTGTCTGGGTGTGAATGGGCAGAGATCAAGTTGGATGTGATTGCACTGTAGCCACATGAAGACAGACGGGAGGCACAGAGAGATTCCCTGATAAATTGTGCAACTCCTTTTGCCCATCTGTTGGAACATTGAATTTAACAAGGAAGAAATACGAGGTGACTAGTCCTCGTTGCGACGGCGTTGGTGGGAGCCGTGGTGGTGACTGGTGGGCTGTCCAACGACTCTTTGCAACTCGAACTAGAAGTATGATGGAAACGGAAGAGCCTTTCCCGCGTTTGCTCCCAGGGCCTAGGGGCGTTAGAGGCTTCGAGGCTCCTACTCTGTATGGGTACGGAGGACGGGTGCCGCAACCCTAAGCTTAGCGATTAAATCTACAGTATGCTGTGCCTGGACTTATGCCTGGGGGTTCCTGCATTTCAGGTCCGGGGGACGCCCTTGGCCCTTAGACGACGTCCTTCTTCCGTCCCATTCGCACACCTGGCGTCACAGAATTTGACCTCGCTTCGTCGCCTCCTCAACCTCGACGTGCTCTGCTCCTTCCCGTTTCCTCAGCGTGCCGTCCCTCCTCTTTCCTCACCTCCCATCTTCCACTCTTTTTCTCCTCGTCTTCGACTCACACACACCACCCACCTCAACCACACACAATTGCTCATCATTTCTACCATAATGTCATCAGTTATCACCAAACTACATTGATATTGCCTGCCTTGTTAAGGTTGACAAGTGATCGTCAGGTCCCAATTCAACTCTCGTGGCCCAAACACCCACCTTGACCCACAAATTCACGGGATCATCTCTGCGGACCTCCGTCAGTTGTCGCTTGCAACTGGACCACCTCTCCACCAGCAATCACCCCAAGGTCCATCCTGACAAGACTTGCCTACTCGTGCACACTTGGCCCTTCTCTCACTCCCTCTCCTTGTTTCCATCGCAGCCTACCTTCTTGTCGCAACCAAACCTGCGCTTTATCCTACCAACGTGCCTGCACGTCTTTTGCTTTCCTACCAAATCACTCTCGAGTTGACCTCGAGTCTAGCTACACTCCTTGGAAAAACTTTCACTTGGCCTCTGGATTCCCAACAGACGCCGTTACTCCCAATTTTGATCGCGCCGACCAACTGGCTCGAGCGTACTACCACGTCCCACAGACCCAACCGTTTTGTCGCTCGAGAAACACCTGGGATAGTTTGAACCATTGTCCTCACAGACCGCTCTATCGGTGACGCAACTTCCATCAAGATACTGCACAGCAACCGTTTGAGTCTTATCTCGTCTCACCCAGGAGTCTGCAGGGCAGATCTTCACAACCACCAATTGCTCCCATTCTGCATACGTTCAAAAGAGCATGCATACAATTTACTGATCTCACTCGTTTTACGCGGTGGTGAGGTCATCACACTTGGAAATGTCAAGCTCGCAACTGCCTGTTACCTTCAAGAACCAATGCTCTATCGTTCACAATGGAGTAGTCTATGTCTACTCGCCTGATGCTTTTCAGACCTTGGAGTTGAAAGAGGGTGCGAAGTGGAAAGAGGAACCCAATGGAGTTTCGGTGACCGGCGCTGTTTGCGTGAAAGGAGGCGTTGACGGCGACAATTCTCGACCCGCTCTTTATGTCGTCGGCGGCATCGCGAATGACGCCTCTGCGGACTACTCAGGGTTACAGCGGTTCTCCATCGACGACAAGTCCTGGAAAACCATTGCTCTCACCGCACCTGTAACTCAGCACAGGCACAACCACGGAGCAGCTTATATGACTGCCTCATCCTCGATCGTGGTATACTCGGGCGCTCAAGACTCCTACGATGGTGCATCATCCGAGACATTTCTCCTTCAGACATACCCACCTTACGATGTACTTGCATACAGTTCACAAGCTCCTCCTACCATCAAACCGTTCATGCTCCCGTGGAATGATGATCGTGCTCTCCTAGTAGGAGGCGGCGACACAAACACCAATGCCTTCCTCTTCGATCCCACCGGTGGTTGGCAGGATCTTGGTCTTGTCTTACCCAGTGCCCTGCCTGATCCAGCGATTGCGCAGAGCGCACTATTCACGCTGGACGACAACAGCAAAATCTTGCAAACTTTCCAACTCGGAAGCTCGCCACCAACAGTAATGACCAATGTATTGCTCAACCCCGGAGGCCAACCTGCCAGTTTCAATGAGACTGTAGGTGACGCTGAGCAACCTGCTGTTCCATCAGAAACACCAGGTACTTCTGGCAAAATCAAACGAGCCACCTTTCTAAACAACTACCCGGTATACAATGGCACGTTGGCTCCTTCTGCGACCCGAACCGGGTTCAGTCTTGCACAAGGGGAGGGTGGATTGATAGCATTTGTGGGAGGTAACGATGATAACCCCATATCTTTCTTCAATCAATCCGAAAATGCCTGGGTATCGAACGCCAAACTTCTCGGCACCCAAGAACCTTTGACCACTCCTTCGAGCAGTCGCACGTCAACGATCCCAACTCCAACTGCGTCCTCAGTCCCAACGACCACTCCCACAGCCGCATCCTCATCCTCGAGCAAGAGCCGAGGCCTGACTGTCTTGGGGGCAGTTCTAGGGGGAATTTGTGGGTTGGCTGCCATCTTGATCATTCTATTACTGTGGCTGAGATCTGTTCGTCGAAAGAGAGCACACGCAGAGAGACAAAGTGAATATCCTGACGACAAGAGACGAAGTGGTGACTATAGCTTCGAGGAAAGAGGCTTGCAACCTTTGTCCAAGGCAGGTCAGCCCATGGGAAGAAGTCCGGTACCTTCTGCTGTGATATCAGATGCAGATAGTACGGCGATGTTTGGATCGAAGCCTGATCCCAAGTATCTCATTCGTCGTGTTTCTTCTGACAGGAATCAACCCGGATTCCGTGGGTCTGGCATTGCCTTTGGACAAGCGCTTTTCAAACGAGACAAATCTGCACAATTGAGTATCTCAAAGCCCATGAACCCCATCCTTGGTGACTTTAAAGAACGACCGAGCATCGACCTCGGCGCTGCCACACCAGCGGCAGCTGTCCCAGCGGCTGCCACCAGATTAGCAGCCGCTACTGCTCCAGCACGGAAGCCATCACAGCGCAAGACTGACGAAGGCTGGGGCAAGTATTTCCAGAAAGAGCCACCGACTGGCAACCGTACAACCTTCTTGTCAAGGTCGTCTGCGAGCAAGAGCGGATTTTGGCCAGGCACAGGGGTGCCAGAACCTCAGCTGAGACCTCCAAAAATAATACTCCGAGACAGTATAGGGAATCCGCTCGAAGCCCATAGCGTTGCGGCCGGAAGCCCCAGCTTTGAGTATGGCCCACCAAGCGCGCAATCGCGTGGTCTTCAAGCAGCCCAAGGAATCCCTGCTCGGATCTCCAGTGCAAGTTCAGTGACGACGAACAGCACTGACGATGATTATGAGGATGACCACGTTGACGGCGCATTCTCTAGTGGTGTTCCGGCCAGTGTCAACAACGTGTCCTGGACACCAGTAGGCAATACGTGGTCAGGACCTGCTGAAAGACCTCTGCGTCCTCCAAGTAGCTACGTTGCTGCGCTTGGCCAAGCGCGACCGCTGAACACGGCGTCGTCGAACGATACCAACAATACCTCCGACACCAAGACTTCTTCGATTCCATCCTTCCCCATGCCGAACTCATTACGCTCGGTACAAGCAAGTGGAGCCAACGCGACGGCGGAAGCTGCCAATATTCGGTCTGTGGTGCACTCACCGAACATCACCGGGGATTATTTTGGTAATTTTGGTGATGCTAATGAGGGGCCGAAGGGTAACGATATGTCATGGCTCAACCTGGGGACGCCGAACCGGTGACTCCCGAGCCGGTTCTCGCAGGTACTCTACCAATTCTTGCTAGATGAGGTTGCGCGAAAGCATCTAGTCAATAATACTAGCGCAAAGGTGGACTCTGTTGAGGGCCAATCTGGAGGGATTAAAACTAATACCGAATTATTTCGAACGAAGTCGATGCCTCGACGTACTCATGCCTTTCATTACCCACTACAGGCAGTTACGCGAGAGAGCAGATGGGAGGACGAATTGATTCCCGAATCACCGACTCTGCCGCCTCCTGCCGCTCTTGGGGGATCGTCTGCAAGAGGGTCACTGGCTCGAGAGAGCAAGAGACTGACAATGTGAATGAAAACGAACAGAAACTAAAAGGCGGGAAGAACGTGCTGGTGCTGTGCGACCCAATCAGCCTTTCCTTATACCCTAGTTCCTCGCCGAGCATCTTACGATATGAAAGAACTTGAAGGGTTCATATCGGAGGAGCTAGCAAAAGCACAGATTGATAATGATGGTGAGGATCATGTGTTAATCTGGGACGAGTCGAACGTGTATATTATATGCCCAGGAAGATATCTTCCGTGCCCGACGATAATCTAATGATTTCATAGTGTCCGAAGTAGGATGAAGAGCCGAGGTGAAGAAGCATTTCAGCAGTGGTGCTCTGTATAGCAATGATGATTCTGCAATTGAACCGTCCCTGTACTTCTGGCGAAGGGTGCGTTTGTGTTACTTGATGCATGTAAGGTCTCACTGAGTGAAATAAAAGTTGAGGTCCATCGATGCACATTTTCATTGTCCTTGATGAACTAATTGCGGTGCCACGTCGCGACGAATCAGAGCCTTGCGCTTTCGCACGCAACGCAAAGCCAAGCGGGTTTCCATAATTAATGGCTTTGCCTGTTGATCACTTGCAGAGACTAGTTACCTACGCGTTACTCCCGACTGTGGAGCAGTAGCGTGTAGTCCACGGACTGAACTGTGGGGTAAGCATGAGGCCAAAGAGGATGTCGAAACAGATGCCTTGCATTGAGCACGAGCAGCGCGCACGAGGTGGACCGGTTCGCGTAGACGCCTCCGCCTCCGCCTCCACGCCGGCGCTCGCGCTCTGCACAAGTCATTATTGATTTTTGATTTTTGATTTTGATTTGACTCTCTTTGTGAGGTATGCAGCGATGCACCATGCCGACTCGAGTCGATGGGTCTTTCGGAATCGAGCGTGAGAAACCTTTGGGGAGGGGTTTCCCTCTTCGAATCTAATTTACTTTCTACTGAAATTTATCCCTTTGCGTTTCTGGTGGATGGATTGTGGAATATGGGACAAGGACCTGGTTCCTATGTAGGTGGGTGTGTGTGAATGTGAAATACACATTTATGGAGAGATGCCAGTTACGTCATTCACGGAGCATACATACAGTACATCATTGAGTGCTTGGGATTTGGGTGCCGGTGCCGCCAGAGAAACGGAGGGGTTACATAAGCACATGTGATTTGAGAAATAGGGCTCACCTGCAGCGCAGTGATGGGCGATCAGCGTTGGAGGGATGATCAGCTGATCTGTGGATGTGATCGACCACACAATCTTTTTTAGAACCCGTTGGGTTTTGGATTGCGATCGTCATCTCGGGTGATCTCATCTGACTGCTGCGCGACTTGAGACATTGTGCGCCGAATACTCCGGACCGCGTACTCACCAGCACGCATGTTGCACAATCAGATGCGCTGATTGCTTGGTCGGTGCTGGGACGGCGGCACCGATATCAGTACCGAGCGACACCTCGGGTGGATTGATAGATAGGGTTGTGCGTTGTGCGTTGTGCGTTGTGCCGTGACGCCAGGAAATCGTTATCTGGGAATTTCCAGCGGATGGATGTGCGCAGGATGTCATCTTGCTTAGAGGGGTATGGACCCGGTGGAATGGACGAACTGGTGTTGGCAGTATGTACCGAGTCCTGCTAGTTAGAGACGGTGGGATGGGGAGCTGTGCAACGAAAGGCAAATGGATGCAAAGATGCGTCGACGGTAGAACCTCCGTAGCTGCCCGCAAGAATGATGCCCGTGTTTACCCGCAGAAGAGAAGTTGGAGGCAGAGGGAGGGAGTGGGCGTCGCCTCATATTGCATGATGGCCCGGCTTAGCATTATCTTGCAATTGGTGTCGTTATCTACCGATTTGATAGTGAAGATGGACTAATGGGAGAGGTGCGGCGATGAGGGTGTGCACGCCCACGCGGCCTAGAACCCGATCATGATCACGATCGTTGGGCGGCATGGGTGTGGGTTGAGAAACTCTATTGTGGCGCGTGATTCAACGAGCTGCGATTACTAGCTGGATTGTGCGGATACATACCCAGGACGAGGTGATCTGGACACGGGCCGAGAGAAAAGGTACAATTGAGCAAGCGGTGGTCCCCAAAACTTGGTCGCGGCGAAAGGAACAAGTGATGAAGCCATGTGCTGGCAGCGTGCGCCATAATTAGAGGAACAAAAGGGGGACCGAGTAGGAGTCTGTGCATACTCCGTAGAGTTGCGGAGGCCGGGCGCGCGGGATCCACAGTGGGAAGCAATTCCTAGCGCAAGCGCAATCATGAATTACGAGTGCTCCATACTGTATGGATGTACGGAGACGGAGGACTGCTAATGGAATATGGGACTTTTGGGGGAACTTGATTAATCTGCGGCACGAGGAACGAGGACCTGTAGAAAGGAGCACGAGTGGGAAAGTGGGAAGTTGGTGGTTGCCAGTTGGACGTCGGGTGTCAGACCCCCAGCAGCCAGCAGCACATACCTCGCCCTTCCTGTTCTTTCCTGGCGTGGATCCGACCTGAATCGCCACTTACAAGGTCGACCGGCTGAGGAGTCCGAGCTTAGCAGAGGTGGTGGAGCACGCAGTATGGGCTTCTCGGGCAGGCTTAGGCTTATCATCTAGGCGTTCCAAGGCCAAGGGGAGCCCGCCCGCCAGCCCAGGTGGCCGTGGGCCGTGGTCACTCGTCAGGGCTGCCTGTTGCTGAACTCCTAGAAACAGCACTGAGGGCTGCTGAGGCCCTGCGACCTGCGACCTGCGACCTGCGACCTGGGCTTAAGAGAGTCCCCATCCCCCCCCATTTCCTCCCTAATCCTAATCCTGCCAAACTGCATCACAAGCTGCATAACCGTGGCTACTGCTGCATCTCCATTCCACCATCAAACCATCAACCACTGACACTGCATTCATCCATCACACCTGCAAACATCTAACCATCAACCAAACGCTGCAACGCACCCCGCTTTGTCTACCAGGACATTACTTTACATTCACTCAACCGCTTTCTTTCTTCTTTCTTCTCTTCCTCTCCCTATCTTCCTATATCAAGGGAAGATATTTGCTCGCGCGCGACAACGAGACCACCTCACCAGGTCGTCTCGCCACTCTCAGCTAACAGTCCACACTGTCCCCCAACTTCTCTCTGCTCTGCAGCCTGCGTCGCCTCGCCGACCTTGACTCACACCTGCGCAACTTCGCCGTCAACAGCACCATCAACCATTATCCGAATCGATAATCCAGTCACTGCCTCTTCTGTGTCCCCGTGAATCGTGTGGTGAGTCATCCATCTACTCTGCTAAACACTCTCCTTCACAGGACGTCCTTATCCGCCACGCGTCCCGTCATCCTGCCTCGCGCCCCAACCCAGAGCTGACTCATTCCGCATCTAGAATCCTCACACGATCATCATCTCAGAAAAGTCCATTATGGCTCCTACCTTTTCGGCCCTTGGAATGGCTCTCAACGGCAAGTCCGCATCTGTCGATATCCCAAAGCCTCGCGATGCCATGAACCCCCGGGACACCTTCACTGCTGTACCCGGAGCCTCTGGAAAGAAGCGTTCAGGCATGCTGCCAACTCCTCCGCACTCCATCTCTCCAAACCTTCCGCCTCATGGCCGTCGTCGTGCCAGTCATCAGCAGCAACCTCCCACGTCACCAAAGAGTACCCAGGTCGACTCCGATATCGACTTGCAAGATGCCCCTGATCTCGCCCAGCCAACGGCCCTCAGTGCTGAGGCTCTGGATAGTTTGGGTGATCTCGACAGTGCCGGCGCCATCACCCCAGGCATGCTAGCTAAACATCACCTTCCAGATATCTTGCTGTCCCACGGTCCTCTGGCCATCCGCCACATTATGGGCTATTTGACCACATCCGTCCCCGGTTTCTCACGCATTACTTCTGCCAAAGCCAGGCGCTTGGTCGTCGCTGCGCTTGAGGGCAAAGGCGGCGGGTTAGAAGGTGCTGGCCGAGATGCCGACGTCATGTTCGAGAAGGTTGGCTGGGGCAGATGGGATGCTCGCATCAAGGGCCAGCCACCGAGAGAGCGTCAGGGCAGCGCCATCACTCCGCCCGGTAGTTTACCATCCTCTTATTCTCAACCTGGACTTCAGGTGCCTGGTCAGCGGTCCTGGCGCACGGGATCAGAAAACCTAGGCACCAGTTTCACTGGCAACTCGGCCGTCTTCTCCCACTCCGAAATGGACTATGAAGACCAGGATGTGCTGGAACATGAAGCTGACAAGATGTCCTTGGATGGAAATGATGATGGTTACGTTTCCTCCGTCGCCGAAGAGCCTCTTGATGAGGATCTAGGAGACGGTGAGATTACCGATGAGGAAGATTGGGGAGCCATTGGTGCCGAAGCACTCCGAGCACGGTCGCTTCCCAATGCAGGCCGATCGGTTTCTGGGCCCGGCCGGCTTTATCAGCCCATCGCCACCTATTCCTACCATCCTAGGCAACGAAGCAAGACTCCGGCCGACATTGCAAGAACAGCGCCTGCCCCTGCAATGCCTCTTAATAATCAACATCCCAACTTTTCTCTTCCCACCGGCGCTGGCGTTAATAATTCCCAAGAACAAGCGGCCATCGAGGCATTGCTCAGTCTTGGATCCATGTAATAATATGACGATAATTGGCGTTCGACCACCATGTTTCATATGGATTGGTCGAACACTGGGGCCTCCGGAATGGGAGGGCAACCTGAGTGCCGGACATTCAATATGTCATTCTTTCTCACAAACACACATGAGGATGCACGGCACTCAACCACTCATTGTGACTTGACTAAAGCCACTGATTTTCTTTTCCTGGCGTTTTGGGGGCCATTCTATCACGACACTACTCCATCAATGAACGACTTTATGACCTTGAGCCGCACGGCCTAAGCTGGCTCGGTTTGGTGGATGATCCTCTCTCCAGCACATCATTTTATCCGCTGACAGCTGTGGAAGCTGTTTTTCCTGATTACGTCTCTTTCGAACTGGTTTCCTTTGCTGGCGATGCGTGGACATCAGATCTAGGCACGCCTCAGAGAACGAGAAGGAAACTCTTTAACTTCAATCAACAATATTTCATTTGTAATATTTGCCTCTGCGCAACGCTGCAAACCTGGCGCAGTTCTGGTCTACGCCAGGAAGCAGCACAACATACGACTGGAACAAAATCCGGGGAGGATGAGAGAGCAAGCCTTATTGAGCAGAGTCATCACTCGCCGGTCGTCTTTATTGATCGCACTGGGAAAACATTGATCTGCAACTCTGTCATATTTATTTATTGCACGGAGTAATGAGTGTATTGCCAGAAAACGTTTCCCTTTGAGTCTGGTATTCAATTGTCGCCAATGATCTTGGGGGAAACGGGATGAATGGAGCACTTTATCTGTGCGACCTTCAACCCATACGAATATTTTCTTTTGTTCTCATGGGCACATTTGTGCAGGATGCTAGGGGTGCTAAATGGCCTTGCGGAAGACCGTCGTTACTACTCATTCGAGGGAACAGATGGCCAAAAAGGCTTGGACTTGACATTGGCTGGCCGCGATATGATCCAAGTCAAAACATCCAATGGCAAAGGGAAGATGGAGTTCAGACCAAGAAGCAAACAGCGAGCAAGAAGCAATGCCTCAAGCCGGACAACGAGGTGGCCTGAGATGGCACCGAGGACAGGTAACTTTGGTAGAGGACTTCTCTTGATACCGTTTCCTTCTGTAGACTTCATGTTGTTGTTAGTCATGATATTTGATTAAGAACATGGATCTTCCAGTTGATCAATTGGATCAAGGGTGGCAGATCTTGATGAATATGAATCAGGTTTGTTGTAGTAGTTGGGTTCTGGGCAATTAATTTGCTTAATTCATAGTCCTTGTACTGCGACGCGCCCGCCAGTTTGCACCAGCTCGCGTCCGTGGCTCATCACCCACTTGTACTGCATCATCCACCATCCCAGCCATCTCATTCTGGCAACGTTGGGCTTCACTGGCGGCCAACTCTGCGACCCAGAAATGGCTGAATGCCTCTCTCATGAAATGTATGATCTTGCCATCTCTCCTCCTCTTCAGGTCCACCTCTCCATCTCTGCGTGTCCTTCTGTGTAGCGTTCTGCTTTCCCTCTAGTGCGCCTCGCGTTCTCGGATCGCACGATCAACCGACGAACTACGCGTAACTTGACTCGATTTCCGCCCAACCCTCCAACGCGTCCACAAGCCAGCTGCTTCGACACCAATTCTGTCCCGCTGGCTCTGGCCGGCGAGAGATTCTCCAATGGCTCCTTGGCTGCGCTTAGCAGCTCTCCCTCCGTCGCTGCTGTGTTTAATTGCCAACGCCCTTGTCCCCTCCGCCGGGTCGTCCCAGCCGTGGCCATACAACCTGCCACCCGACGCCAAATACTACCCAGAGGACGAGAGGTTACTCAAACGTGAAACCGACATCCAGCAACGACTACTACAATGTCCCATTCAGGGCGTAAGAAAGATGAGCGGCGATCCTGGCGAGAAATTTTACCTTGACTATTGGCATTTCGAGTCGGAAGGCTACGAAGAGCAAAAGGAAACAGACGGAGAACGGGGAAGCTCTGATATACTTCCCATCTGGGCAAATGCTACATCCTTGTCGTTGTGGACGTCGTTTGATTCACCTGCCAGAGTCCATGACACACCCACGGACCACCAGAGACCAAGACTGCTCGCTCGGGTCCCCGGCTTGCATTTCTTCGATCAGCGTGACTTCAAGTGCCCCTCTGATACCTCGGCCTGTACTTCGATCAACCGGCCAAACAGCTGCTGTGGGACGGGGTCCACGTGTATAATCGTGCAAGACACCGGGCTAGGCGATGTCGGCTGCTGCCCGAACGGCCAGACCTGTGCAGGATCCCTTGGCTCCTGCGCGGAAGGCTATACCGACTGTCCCAATAACCCGGGCGGAGGCTGCTGCATTCCGGGGTACGCGTGCTTCGAAGTCGGATGTGTGCAGACGAATACAGCCACGCAGATTCCTGCTCCAGGACCCTCAACTACCACCGTCACGAGTTACACGACGATAACCCCGTCTGCTCCGACAACCTCAACAAGCAGGACCACGACCTCGAGCAGCTCTTCGTCCAGCACAAGCACTACGCTCCCGCCAGCGATCGTAACTGTAACGCGAACCGTCACAGTGACAAGCTCCACGCCCAGCTCCCTCACCTGCTCGACAGGCTACCGATCGTGCCCGGCCTCCCTGGGCGGCGGCTGCTGTCCCACCGACCGAGAATGCGGCTCCGCGAACTGTCCCGCTACGACGACCACTGGCTCAGCAGAGCCCCCGGTGCGCCCGACACCCGAAACGACCACGACCGAAACGACCACGACCGTCCCAGGCTCCGGATCCACCAGCACGATCGGCTGCCCAACAGGCTTCTACGCCTGCTCAGCATACTACCAAGGCGGGTGCTGCCAGATCGGACGGGACTGTGGCTCGACGTCGTGCCCCGCGAGCGCGAGCACCACGCTCGTCAACTCCAACGGCATCACCATCGTCGCGCCGACCGGCAGCGGCATCACCGCCCCAGCATCCCTCCTCACCGGCTCCTGCGCTCGGGGCTGGGCCACCTGTGCCCCCAGCGTGGGTGGCGGCTGCTGTCCTTCCGGCTATGCCTGCGAGACCGCCACCTGTGCCGCTGCCAGTGGTGGGAGCGATGTTGGAAAGCTCGCACCTGAGAGTGGTGCGGTTAGAGCGTTCATTGGCGGGGGTGGTGCTGGGATGGCTGCTGTGGTAGTTCTGATGAATTCCCTGGTGGGGATCCTCGGCGTTGTGTTATAATTCCATCTCCATGGTCGTGGTGTGTCTCGGTTCCTTTGGTCATTGCATATTCCAGGCTTGGTTTATCCGCTCAGCCCCCCCCTTTTCTTTTCGATTGATGAAATTTCCCTCCAAGTGGCATACTTGTTTTCTCGTCTGTCGCCTGGGAGATCCGAGGGCGGGAGGGGTTGCGGTCGTCATGAATTGAACACTAATTCCATTGCATGGCATTTGCCACTGCGACGGGTCTGTTGGATATGGACGCGGATAAGGTCCCATCTAGTCGGGATACAACTCAGTTCCAGGCCTGCGTTGGGCCGGAGCACACTCACGCTTCTTGCATGGATTGCTGTGTACATAGATAAGATACCCGAGGCATTCGAGGTTATTGGTAGCGGCTGACTGTGTTTTTTTGTTCGTTCTTACGACGTTACGCACACTAAATATATATCGTCACAGGTTCCGTCTCCAAAGCTGTGCTTCTTTCTTCGCAGCCTTCGTGTTCTACGCGACATGGCACTCGTGCCTTGGTACCTACTAGATAGGTATCTGATGCATAAATGCACGTGACGTATATGTCCTCCGTACCTGAGATCGTTCCCACGCGCGTCACCGTCATACGTTGGCCGGCATGGTTGTGCCGATGACATCATATGACGACGGAGGTGTGAGTCTGAAACTGCAATGTACTGAAATGTACGGGGAACACTATCATATTCAAAAATGCTTGGTTGCCATTGTTACCTAATACACACGCCGAAACTATCAGGAACAAGTCCTTGATCTGTAGCCGTTGCTGTTATCATAGCGATCAAAATCACATCATCTTGATTCGTTCTCACACGGCAGAGGGTGATTAGTGAATCATCTCCAACAATAACGTCAACTAGTTATCAGTCGGGGAGGTCAACATGGCTGAAGCGGTAGCAGCGCTATACGCCGTCGAGACGGCTGTCGAAGGTGCTGCCGTCGGAGCAGTTGCACTGGCACAATCAACTGCGCCGCTGCATTTGAGTTTCCGCAAGATCCAGTCTCCAACACAGGGACGAGGACTTGCTAGATCGGGCCACACGGTCAATGTTGTCAGGGGTAAGGTATATCTCATAGGGGGTGATGGTCAAAATGGTGAAGATGGAACGATAGCCACATTGACCTTGCCGGTCGCGTCGTCCACGGGGGGAGAAGGGACTTTGGAACCGCAGGACTTCCAGATCGTGAGTCCGGAGTTCAAGAGTTTGGAGCGTCCGCTAGCTCGGCAAACGCTGTCTGGAGCAGATGGCTCTCGAGGAGGAGACTTCAACAGAATAGGGCATTCCTCGACTGCGATTGACGACAAGCTATTCGTAGTCGGCGGTGGGAGCTCCTCTGGCGGGTCTGCCCATTCGCTCGACAAATTCGTTGTTTTCGACACCTTGACCAGCAGCTACAGCATTCTGGAGGCTGATATATCGAGTTGTGTCGATGGAATACCTCCACCGCGAACAAATCACTCCGCAACTGCCTCGCCATTTCCAACACCGAGTTCATTACCAGACGGTCCCACGGTCGACGCCCACGGAACAGTCTTCATCCACGGCGGACGTTGCACTGATGTGGACACCAGTCATTTTAAAACGCTGCGAGATACGTGGGCCTTCGATATTGGCACGCGGGTTTGGGCGAAACTCCCAGATATCCCAGACCCTTGTCCATTGGAAATCGCTGGTGAAGGCCGGATCGTCAACGTCAATAATAGACTCTGGAGACTCGGGGATGGGTTTGGGAGAGTCATGTATATTGACCTCAATGGAAGTCATTCCTCTGGTGCTGGATCACAGATAAGCATCGCTCTCAAGACTGGTGTCAAGTGGGAGGTGGTCAACTTTGGGACGGAAGCCACGGATGGTGCCTCTCAAGGCAAGATGTCCTCCGAACCCGCCACCACCTCGAGTCAGCCGGTCTCACTGCCCCTACCTAGAGTTTCCAGTGGGGTTGTCCCCATCACAACAGGATCGGGTCGAGAACACCTAATTTACTTCATGGGCCGAGACAGTGTGATCGGACCTCTTGACGACTTCTGGTCCTTCCAGATTGATGCTGACAAGAACACTGCTGCAAGTGTCAAGGACAAGATTAGAGATGCAGTTGCCGCTAACTCAACTAGCTCTTGGAAGTCTGGGAGGCACACCTGGGCAAAGTGCGAACAGAAGAAGGAGGAAAAGCAGGAGAGCAGAGATGCGGTTGCTATGTGGCCACCAGGGCTGTATGACTTTGGGAGCGATGTCTGGTCAGATCAGGGCAGGGACGTCTTCTTGATCTGGGGAGGAAAGAATCGCGGTCACGAAGGCAGTCAGGAGGAAGTGGTTGATGGAGGGTGGGTGGTAACGGTCAAATGAGATGGAATCAGCATCTCTCCGGGGCTGAGGCGCTCGCGTAGTACAGTTGAGAGCCCAATGTCTCTCATCATCTGACTGCGGGTATCTCTCGTTCTCAGAGATCTGAAATAGCGAGATCGAATTCTCATGGCGAATCACTGCGCCCAGCATGTCGAGGGATTTGGCAGCGGACTGCAAGAAGTCCATTTGAACTGATGTCGTCCCATATCCGAAATCTGACTACGCCTTAAACGGTTAGATTGATGATCATTGGACCCACCCCCGATAAGAGCTTCGCATCTTTTTCGAGTAATTGTCGATGGAGTACCACATCTCCCACTCACATCATGCTGGTGACATCGGTGTAGCCTTTCGTCGGTAAGGAGGTGTTAGGACTAAAAGCCAGACGGATCGATGGGCCAAAAAGCCAATCCTGCAAAAGCTCACCAAGTCTACGGGTTTGTCCGCACGCAACAAGCTTGACTGGCAAGGTAACATCTGATGCTTCCCCCGCTTTTTTGGTAAGGTGGTATTGTTCCTACGCTTTGGGAGAATGGTGTTGGGTGCAACGGCATCTATCGAGATATACAATGATCGAAGTACCGCTCAAGATAGAGAGGCTTCCTCGTTCTCTGTGCGGTCGTAGAAGTCCAACATCATGTGGACTTCTCACCTTCTTGCTGGTGTTGTGGCCGCCAGCCTCGTGCCGACCTTGAGTGTAGCTGCTTCCAGCTCGACTAATATACTGACCGCAGCTGGTGATCAAGCAGTCATTCCAGGCTGGTACATGCAATCCAGCCAAAATGCGAACGGTAACTATAGCAATCTGTCCCTCGGTGGGGTGAACATTTCGTCTTGGTATCGAGTTGAAGCTCGAGGGTCCGTCTTTGCAGGCCTGCTGAATAACAATGTCTACAACGACTCATTCCTCTTTTTCTCGGATAACCTCGATACCGCTGTCGATTATTCAGAGTTTCAAGTACCCTGGCTTTTTCGAGAAGAGTTCTCGCTCAGTCCTCAAGCTGGCCAGCATTACTTCCTACAGACAAACGGTATCACTTCTCGTGCTGATATCTATCTCAATGGTGTACAGATAGCCTCCAACGAGACACAGGTGGGCGCTTACGGTGGTAAGAGATATGAGATCACGGAAGCAATTTCAGCAGGAAACAATGCGATCCTCATTGTCGCCTATCCTACCAACTATCTCCGTGACTTTGCAATGGGTTACGTTGACTGGAATCCTTACCCGCCTGACAACGGGACAGGCGTCTGGCGGTATGTGGAATTGGCCCAATCCGATCAAGTTTCATTGTCAACTCCCAGAATTAAAACAGACTTCGAGTACACATGGAAGCAATCCGTTCTCGTGACTGTCCGAGCCGACGTTTCAAACAATGGTAATCAACCAGTCAATGCTACAATCACGGCAACGATTAATGACCCTGACGGATCTGGAGCCTTGACAATTGCTCAGACTGTCAGCCTATTGCCAGGACAAGTCAAGACAGTCTCGATAAGTTCCGATCTGCCTAACCCTCAGATCTGGTGGCCGGCTTCATGGGGTTCTCAACCTTTGTACAGCGTGTCGGTCAATGCAGCTATATCTGGCAATGTTTCGGATGTTTCCGGTCCCCGCAAGTTTGGAATTCGTCATGTCTCTTCATATGTCAGTTCTCATAATGACACTGCATTCATTGTCAACGGCCACCCGTTCCTCGTTATGGGTGCAGGATACACCTCTGATGTCTTCTACCGGTTCGATCCCAATCGGACTCGAGCCCAATTCGAACGTGTACTTGACATGGGTTTAAACACCGTACGCCTTGAGGGTAAACAAGAACACCCTGAGATGTACGCGATAGCTGATGAATTGGGCTTGATGATCATGGCTGGCTGGGAATGCTGCGACAAGTGGGAAGGGTGGGACTACAATGACGAAGCAGATGGTGTACTATGGGGTGATGCGGATTATTCCACCGCAAATACCTCGATGCTTCACGAAGCAGCAATGATGCAAACGCACCCTTCCATGCTCGCATTCCTTGTCGGATCGGATTTTTGGCCAGATGATAGGGCGGTCAAGATATATGTGGACGCGCTGGGCAAGCTTGACTGGCCGAACCCGATCATCGCATCTGCCGCTAAGCGTGGCTACCCCGAGATTCTTGGTCCCTCGGGGATGAAAATGGATGGTCCCTACGACTGGGTCCCACCAAACTACTGGTACGGCGACGACCTTGGAGCAGCCTTTGGATTCGGTTCCGAACTTGGAGCTGGCGTTGGGACACCTGAGATGGTTAGTCTTAAGAAATTCCTCTCCGAGCAGGATCTGGAGGACCTGTGGACGGCTCCAGACATGGGTCTTTACCACATGTCAACGAGCCAGTCGAGCTTCTACGACCGGTCAATATACAATGGCGGGCTGTACAACCGATACGGCGACCCCACAAGCCTCGAAGACTATGTCCTAAAGGCGCAACTCTCAGACTACGAAGCCACAAGAGCTCAATTCGAAGCATATGTCGCCTACAAGGGTAACACTCGGCCAAGCACAGGCCTCATATACTGGATGCTGCAGGGCGCCTGGCCCAACCTTCACTGGCAGCTGTTCGACTATTACGAGCAGCCGATGGGTAGCTACTACGGCGTGAAAGTTGCGACCCGCCCTGAGCACGTCGTCTACGACTACGGACACGGCACCGTCTGGGTGACCAGCAACTCGCTCAACTCCAGCGGGACAAGGACCGTCACTATCGACCTGATCAGCCTTAACGGCACCAACATCACAACAGACTCCACCACTCTAGGCGAAGCCGTGCCTAACGGAAGCACTGAGGTCTCCGAAATTGGCGGACTTGACTCCTTAGAAGACGTCGCCCTGCTGAAACTCACATTGCTGGACGCCGACAACAGCACGCTGAGCCGCAACGTCTACTGGCTCCCAACACAGAACGACGTGATGAACTGGACGAACTCAAGCTGGTACCACACGCCAGTAGTCGAGTACGCGAACCTCACCGGCCTCTTCGCGATGGACAGCGCGAATGTCACCACCACGGCGAGCAGTCCAGGGAGTTCGAATAGCTCGTCGACCGCTGGCAGTGGCACGACCGGCACGGCGGTTACGCTGGAGAACACATCTGACGTTCCAGCCGTGTTCATCCGGCTAGTCCTGGTCTAAAACGACGCCGAGGTCGAGACCGCGTATTGGGATGATAACTACGTCACGCTGTGGCCCCATGAGAAGCTCGAGCTCGGGGTCAACTGGGCAGACGCCGGCAACGGTGCAAGCGTCAGTGTGCTCTGGAGCGGCGTCAATGTTGCCCAGGGCATCTTGCAGCTGCAGCTGCAGCTGCATTGATGGAAGAAAATGTCCGGCCCTTTGCCCTACGGATCCCTTCGTTTTGGGGCCTGGTCCCATACATAAACTGAATAGCACTCACTGCACATACAGCACATCCGCGCAACGCAACGCAAGGCTACTTAATGATAGGACGGTCGGACCTCGGTCCGACGATCGACTACGAGATCGCGTCTGTATTTTCTTTCTTGAGATGTGTATAAATTATATACGTCTCCCTCTCTTGCTTCTTATTCCTACTACAGATCTAGTGCGAGCTATAGGAAAGAAGGCATGGTATGGTTAAGGCCTAAGGGGGGGCCATTGGACGAAAGAGAAATGTTCAGCACGTCAGATTCCTGTTCCATTTTGGATGTCATTTTCACATTTGACTCGTGTCACGGCCCACGGGCACTCGTGCTGACCAAACCCTGTCTAATCGCTTTGGAAAGCATGGTCGCCGTTGGTGGTGAGTTCCATACCCCTCCGGTTTCGAGGCCTTGTGGGTGCTTGCCCTACTCAGAGGTGCTGACCAACTAACTCTTTTGTAGCCTTTCAATAAGTACCCGCTTTCAACCCTTTCAGTGAGCCAAGACTAAGTGCCAGTCCTTGTGATCTTGATCTGATCCTGATGAACCCGATGACAGAGTTATCAGGCGTTTTTTCTATACTTAGATTTGCCAAAGCATCCTCGCCTAGAAAATTGGGTTAGTTCCCTATGCCACAGTCGAATGTTTACTACGGATGTGACTCACCAAAAACACTCCTAGCGTAGAGGTTGGCGCTTAGGAACTGACAGTCACCTTTGAGTCCCGCGTCAGGTGTAAGACAAGTCATGTTAGTGCTTTTCATCAACTGATCCAAGAACTCCCTTAGCGTCTTTGTTGTGCTCTTACTGTTGATGTTGACTTTATTTTCCCATTCGAACTCTGTCCACATAGTACGGAATGCAGACTCTGAGCAGGTTGCAGGTTGAATATAATCCATGATATCAGCATGAACGTCATTGAGGATGACTACACGCGTATCGGTGCCGGATGGGGAGTCGTAGACAACATTTCCAAAAATGACTCCAGTGTCAGTACTTGAGACTTTGATGGTGGACTGGACATTGAGGAAGTCGTGTGGGCCGAGATTATGGGTGGTGGGCCGCTCCACGACTTTCAGGTCCCCAAGAGTAGCGAACTCAACCGACAGGTTTTGCAACGTCTCGTTCGTTTGATTGACCAATAGTACATCGAGAATAATATCGAATTGATGAACTTTGACGTGGGCTTCTGCATAGACTGGATCCGAGAAACCAGTAAGTTGAACAACTCGGCTGAGTTTAGATGAAAGGTCATCGATTGCTGCGTCGCCGCCTGTGGCTTTTTCCAAATCCAGTCCCATCTCATCTGCACCATCCCCGGCATTTTTCTTCGTTAGCTGTCGTATCGAAAAGGTGTCTTCCACTTGGACCGCAGTCTTCGCTTTCTCCACTGCCTCTTTCGCGGCACGCTTTTTCTCCTCGGCTTGTACCATGGCTCGGAAAGCCTTGCGGGTATCATCCAAGAAAGATGTCTCCAGCTCCTTCCGTTCAGTAAACTCTGCAAGAGCACGCACACAAGACATGATACGATCGACAGAATCTTCGTCAATGGGTGCCTTGACAAATTGCGACTGACCAACACGGATAATAGAGATCATGATGAGCATTGCTTCTGCTCGGAGAGCATTGGTGCGAGCTTGATCAGAGGATATTTCTGAGTGCCTCATGACAAGCTTTGTGAGTGTTGAAGATAGGACAGTGCTTAGGTAATAATCGCCATCCAGGACGAGTTGTCGCAACGGAGGCTTTTGGGCCGCTTTTACTGCTTCTAGCCGGGCCTTAGCAGCGGAGTCGCTCGTCATCGCCGTTTCGGTGGCATAGGTTCCATCGGCAAGCACCTTTGTCGAAGCACTGGAAGTTGGTTTGGTCGAGTGTCCATTGACTTGTTCCTTGGATTCCGCATCCTCATTCGCCTGTTCGTCAAGCAGTCTTTGCTCGGAGGCAAGGATGGGGATTTCTCCAAGGCTAGCTCGAATTCGTTTCCAGGCTTCTTTGATGTCGTTCTCCTGCAAAGAGTATTCACCGATCACCCACAACGAACCTCGGTACACCTTTCCTGCGCGCACCTCTCCAAGGGTCGAGACCAGTCTTTCCACAATTGAAGACCTAAGTTTAGGGAATTTCTCAACTACTTCCTTCACAAATGAAATGACATCGACGGCTGAGCTGTTGTTGAAGTCTGCGATGAAATCCATCAAAACGTCCACAACGCTGGCAGCTATCTCCGAAAATTTGATGGCACACTGATGGATAGATTGGATCAGGAGCTGTCGATATTCCGAATTCTTTTCGTACTGTTCCACCACTGTTTTGCTGAGTTCTTTCTTCAGCAGCATCACGATTTCCTGCACGTTCTTGCTAGATACCATTTCCAGCGCAATGGACAAGGCCTTGCGCCGGACGTCGAGATCTGGGCTGGAAAGTACGCGGAGGACTTCCATCGTGAGATCATCCAGCACACCTTGGTTCCGCCGCCTCAACTGGTCGACGCGGTCAAGAACGATCAGTTTCACATTATTGTCTGCTTCTTTGATACTCAACTCAATCAGCTTTCCCGCAGCGGCTTTGACGGCGACTGGATTGCTAGTGAGAGCTGTGAGAGATGTAGCGGCTTCATAGACGACAGTACTTGTGTTTGCTTCCAGCAGATCGAAAATAAGTCGTAGATACCGAGCCTTGTTTTGCTGGTTCTGCACTGCGTCTTTCCGGATGAACTCCAACTCAACCAATTGCAACAGCTCGTCGGCATTTGGCACTCCATCGAGGACTCCTGTCAAATATTCAAGCGCCTTTTCATGGCTAATAGTCATCAGCGCTCCAAATGCATTCCGCTTGCATGTAGTGTCGCTTTCCGCACCGAGGAAAGCAAAGAGCATTTCCGGGGCATCGGGAATGAGATGTTGGGCATGCTGGTAGACTGAAGCCAGCGCCCAAACAGCATTCTTTCTGACATAGGCGTGTCTGTGGTCAAGACAGGTCTGAGCAGCTGAGAGCAGGGGCTCAATCAATTCAGGTTCTCGGAGTTTGGAGAGGAAACGAAGAGTGTTTCCCCGGACGAATTCGTTGGGATGCTGGAGATCGTTCCGGATGCCGTTACTTAAATATGTGTCAGTATGACCACTCGACCACTCGACGACCCACAACCAGTAACTCTTACCAGACTAGGATCATCTCTTGCTTCAACTTTCCATTGGCGTCCAATTTCGGACAAATTTCGTAGTAGAAGTACAGGAGTTTCTTGAGAGGTTTGCTCTTCGAGGGCATGACGAATCGGATAATATGCATGAGAAGATTTGGCATGGGGTCACCGCTGAGCATGATTGTCAGAATACGGCGCATGGTGTCGACCTTTGTCTCATCTGTGCCCTTCTCGAGTTGGGTCTTGAGATCTTGCTGGCTGGGTTGGTCCGCCGTGTTGTCCAAATGGACCAGACTATAAGAGCTGTCAAGGAAACTCGCCATGGCTAAGGTCTATCTGGTGTGAATGAGGGTATGTAGTTGACGGAGGACAGACGGCGCGGTTGACCAAGGAGGTTGTAACTTGGTAGGACACAGCGGACATTCACCACATCTTTTAAACTCTTGGCTCTCCGAGAACGCCCTGATGGAGGTTGTGTTCGACTTCTATCAAATTGTGGTCTCTAGAAAGAGAATGAAGCCCCGAAGACACGGTGCAGGTATGTATTTACTTTCAGGGCAATGCGGTGCTCGAGTCGGAGAGGTGTCCAAAATCGTGTGAAGCCTTGGCAACTGCGGGCGTCGTGAAAGCGGTCTTGGTCCTCGCCGCTTTTAGGTACACACGTGACGCCCATCGCCCCCTTTCTTGAGCTCTTGAGGCTACATAGCAACCTTTCATTCACCTTCCTTATCCTCCAATCAGGCTATCAGTCTCCACGTTGCCCTCACCTGAGCGACTGCATTGTGTGGTGCACCAATCCCTGCATGTCCGAGGCCGCGATAGCAATGCCAGTATGAAGATGCCTCTTTCTCGCTGAATGTCATGCGAAAACCGATTGCATCGAGACTGAACAGAATTTTGAGGAACTCAGAAATTGCTCAACGAGACGCTAACGAGATGCCCTAGCTACGAGACCTAGCTACGAGACTACTGACAGAAATCCTGAACCGTTCGGGGTGCTAAATAAGCAGGCTACGAAATCTCCTGTTTCGCCGTCAGATGCTTCGTAGACATGTCCCAATCAATCACGAAAGCAGAAAAACCAGCGCTCCAGCCATAATCATTCCAACTTTCGAGATGTCGTGCATCACGTTGTGAGACGCAGCGCCGGTAGCGGTAGCTCCGCTGGCTGAAGCTGAGTTTGTGGATTGTGAGGTCGTCGAGGTTGGAGACGCCATCGTTGTCATGGCGTCGGTGGTTAAAGTATTCGTCTGGGCGCCTGTCGCTGACAAGGATGCGACGGCAGAGGAAGAGGCAGAGGAGGACGATGTCACCGACACAGTCGAAGAATTGGTCTGGCCCCCACTGCCCTTTGCCAGTTTCAGGGCGTCGACCACAGAGCAGTTGCGAATGCCGGGTCCGCTAGGCTCTGAAGTTGTGAAGCCGCCCACCACTGTACCATTAATAATACCGTATGGCTGCGTCGCGTTGACATCGCACACCCACCAGCTCTGCACGCCGACGAAGAAGACACTCCCGTCGTCACCGAGGTTGATAGTGTTGCGTTGATAATCACCCGCCAAGGCGCCGCACTCTAACGGGCCTGCATTGTCGGAGATCTCGGTAGCGTTGATGACATAGCAAGGCAAAGCAATATCGGCAACGAGACTCTCGTCCATGAGTTGATTGCTGGTCTCGTTGAAGAAGTACTGATCGCCTGCTGCGCCAAGGGAGTTGCCCGTGCGTTCGGAAAGGATGACCTGGTATGATTGTGCTGCTCCGACGTGTTGTCCAGCGATGAGTTGGCCGCCATGTTGGCCGCCACTGATGACTAGAGGTGTTGCACTGGGTTCTGCGGTCTGTGTCGTAGACTGAGCGATGACGGCGCCCACCAGAGCAAGCGTAAGGGCGAAAGTCTGCATCTTGGTTCTTGTGCGCTGTTTGAAAGGCGGATGAAGGTCTTCGCAAGTACGAGCCCGGATGAGGCTGTGAAATTGATGAAGAAATGCGATGGAGAGGACAGAAATGTCTAAGTTTTTATGTGTACCGCTTGAGCTTATTGTGCGCTTCATGGGGTCCGACCCAAACATTCAGGTAAAGAAATAAATAACTTCTCATAGCAACCATGTCTCAGTGACGCTCGCAACGGGTGGAAGGATAACCTCTAATAACCCTAATCCGGGTTGAGATGCTTAATCGAGCCTAGGTCGACGAGAACTCTGACTGACCTCAGGTTGATTGAGCGGTGCTCAGCCAGTGGCGGGCTGGATGGTAGCATGTCTCCAGATGCGACTCTTCAAAGCACCCTCTACCGTGTTGGTTGCAATGGTGCGACGAGAAAGTTTGATTGGACTGAGTGCATTATGACGATAGCACAGCCTAGTGAGCCTCAGGCCCAAACGTGCACAATGCAGAGAACCGTGCGCCTGGAGTGAGAACACCATTCCCACTCCAGGCTCGCGACGTTCAACGTGTCAACAATCTGATTATACATCCAGAAAGGGCTGGGTGTTTCGTGAAGATATATACATTGGAAAAGCTTGAACTGCTCGCTGCCGTCTTTCGTAGTCTCTTCCTGCAATGATAGGAACATATTAATCGTGATTCCGCCTCTCAACAATCCATGCTACAAAAATGACGGAAGACTCTGAGGTCATCCAGACATGACCTCTTTCTATGGAACACCACGGCTGTCCCGTGGTATCTAGCTCCTTTTACCCATAACCGTATCTAGCACGCCTAGAGTTTCAACGTCGCTCCATCGCGACGTGCCATGATGCACACGTTGAAAGCAAATCTATTCCAGTCTTGAAGTCAAGTCCCGGCGTAAAACCATCAGAGATGAGGTGGGAAAACCAACGGCCAGTCTCTCCGGCCTACCTGGAGAGTCCCAATGCAAAACACCAGTCGAATGCATCAGATAGCACGCTTGCACTATAACTGTAATGATGCCTGGGGCAATGGATCAGCCGCCTCAACATACCAAGACAGGTCACTGTCTTCCTGCATTTCCCATTCCGTAAATCCATTGCCCATAAATCTGAACGGATTGGTACTGTTGTAAACGATCTCGTAATCTTCGGCGCGGATGTCACTGATCAACCGGTGGAAGAGAACAGCACTACCACCAAACAAGGCCGTCACTCTTCCATCTCGTCGACCTCGCTTGTACCACTGTAAGCCCCGCCAGGTTAGTAGAACTCTCTCAAAGCGAAGACAACAGCGATTGTGGAGAAATTAAACACTTACGGAACTGCAACTACCAGTCCACACTAATTTTTTGTGGATCTCGTCGCCATACTTGACAAATGCATCGACTGCGGATGCCTTGGGTACCATGTACTTGATATCTTCGGTTGCCATCTTCTTGATGATCTTGACGAAGTAATCACCGGTCCAATTGAGCGATTCAACAAGTGAGCCGTGGCCGCCCAGGCAGTTAGGCCCCATCATCATGAAGTAGTTTGGGAAGGAGTCGGTCGCAACAGACAGATAAGATTCCGGCTCGTCAGCCCACTTCTTTGCCAGGCTGACTCCGTTCTGACCGACAAGAGAGAATTTTGGACAATGGGAAACGTCGAATCCTGTTGCACACACCACTGTCGAGGGTTATGAGTTCCTGTCATTGTCAAAGGTAGATCAGGAGCCAAAACTTACCAACGTCGCACTCGAATTCCTCACCATCGGCAGTGACAACACCCTTCTCCGTGATCTTGGTGATTGGACTCGAGGTCAAGGCACAATTAGGCTTAAGGAATGATTCCAGATAGCCAGGACCAGGAGTTACTCGACGGCATCCCAACTCCCATTTTGGTATGAGCTGCTCACAAAGCACAGGATCGTGGTTGAGCTTCTCCGCCATCTGCTCTGCGGCAAGTTTCATCACCGCGTCATTCTGCTCGCCCTTGATGAACTATATTTGATGAGTGATTGTGGTTAATTTTGATTGAGGTTCTGGACTTACTAAACGGAAGGCCTTGTTAGTCCGCGCGATGATACCTTTACGGTATTCCTTATGCTGTTCTGGATCTCTGTATCGCTGTTTCTCCTCTTCGGTGTACGCAGGATTCAAGTCATCGGTGTCTCGCCCAAGATGCTTTGAAGGCGGTACTCGATAATAGACCCAAGCAGGGCCTCGGATAAAGTTCTTGACTGTTGTACCCGGTAACTTGGTCATTTGAGGGACAATTTGGATCCCCGACGAGCCGTTGCCAATGACTGCTATTCGTTTGTTGGAATAATCGTAGTTGTGATCCCAGTCAGCAGAATGGGTGACGTGGCCTTTAAATTCAGACAGTCCGGGGATTTTAGGCCACGACGGGTTTCTAGATCACCAGGTCAGACCGCTTTACGACATTGCACACAATTCCATCCAGAGAAAGGCAACAGAAAGTCGACTTAGGAGCACTTACACTAGAACGCCCTGGCCGGAAATTAGGATATCGCAATACTCGTCTCGCTGTTTGCCTTGGTTCTCGACTGTGACCTTCCATTCTCCAGCGGTCTCTTGCCATTGGGCAGCAACCACTTTGGTATCCAGGTAGAGGTCACGATCTAGACTCCATTCCTTGACGGTCTGTTTAATGTAATTTTGGATAGCAGGGCCCTGAGAGAAGCCTTAAAGTCAGCAGTGTCATAGTTTCATTCTTAAGCTAGTGAGGGCTTACCGAGGCGTAAAAGCGATCCCAGTCAGGATTGGGTGCGAATGGAAAGGCCTACCCCGTTAGATAGAACTTCCTTGCGAGGAGCTTGCCAAGCTTACATATATGTGTGAAGGGACGTCGCACTGGACGCCAGGATATGTGTTTACGAGCCATGTTCCTCCAACATCTTTTCTCGCCTCGAAGACCTTGTGTTCAACAATGTCTTGAAGCTCAGGAAATCGATGTTGAAATTTGTGGGCAATGAGAAGTCCTGAGAAACCAGCTCCGATGGTGAAAACGCGGATTTTCCGGGGCGTGTACGCAAAGTCCGGGTTTAGCGGGATTGCATGATGGCTGAAATCGTGCTTTGCTTGATTTCCGTCAACACCCAGGTTAGCTTTTATGGATTTTTGTTGTGATAGCATCTGCGGCAGGTCTTTCGAATGTTGAATGTCAAATGCCGGCACTTCGCCATCAGATACCGGAGGCGTGACCTGGCCTGAGTTGCCCAAAAAGGGAGTCATGGTAGCACGCCGATAACTCGACTCCAAATCGTCGCAAATAAGATGGCGATGCAATTGCGGCTATGCTGGACAGGCCTCCTTGGTGTATGGACTACTCAAGAATCGAACAATATGATATCGCGTATGAGGAGTCGAAAGATGACAAGGGAACAACAGAATGAGATGTAACAGAGTAATTTCAATTGTCTTATGCTTCTCATCAAAGCGTCCGGCAATTTTCATGCATGGAGAATTTCATACCTAAAGCCCTTGGCTTGTTGGGACTTACCTCGATCATCCTATGCTGTCTGCGGACTAGGCTTCCAGTATACTCGATGTCCCGGCAACATACGCACCTGAGCCATGGCTCGATTGCCCACCCACAGGATAATTGCCGAGATGGCGAACATGCCCTTGGTGGACGTTGGAGGGGATGTCTCGAGGGGGAGGAGATTCGGCAGGAGGCTGACTTTCGGCAAAACACTGGCCGTGTTTTCCAAAGTGTCTCGGTATGCCAGATCGAGCGAGCTCCGTTACGGGAGATTTACAGCCGAATGTGCCGGCTTGGCTGAAATCAGCTCCTTGCGGACGCGTAGGTAGGGTACTCTCGTATCAGATCCCGAGAGAGAGAGAGAGAGAGAGAGAGAGAGAGAGAGAGAGAGAGAGGCCGACTTCACAGGCGACTTTGTCAAGTCTAGAACTCCCTCAAGAAGATCGACCTCTTGCATGCATCTATTCCTCGATTGCTCCCCTCCTCCACTCCTCCACTCCTCCCCCCTCCATCAGGCATTGCTGGAGAGTCACAAGGTCCCCAGAGCCTCATCACGTGTCCAGAAAGCACCGTGAAAGATCACCATTACATATCTTGCCAAACCAAGGCTCTGGCCTAGTTGTTAAGGACCGCGATTCAAGGATTGGCATTGAGATTAGCGTAGGCACCCGGGGCTCTCTGTGCTCATGGGCGGAGAGACCCCCTTTCGCGGGAAGTACATTGGATCAGTAGATAGAGAACAGAAAGGTCCGCGATCTTTTCCCTCTAAGCACGCTGAATGAGGATGATCATACCTCGTACTTAGAGCCAGAAGGAATTCTGATTCGACATTGGCTCACGCATTGACGTATTGTCGAAGTGGCCCTTGAACTGAGTAGATTAACGAGGGCGAGGCACTGCGCCCGCGTACCCAGCTTGGCACCTGCCAATATCCAACTTGAAGTCCCGAGCCGTTGCTTCCCCACGGGCCCCCACGTATTGCTGCTTCATCCATCCTTGCGACAGCACCTGTCAATTTGTCCTTGAGTTCAACCGATTTTCTCATTGACTGCACTCTCGCTGTGGCATGATATAGGATCAACGATCGCTCGACATGGGCGAGCCACAATGGGTCCAGTTCTCCGCGCAGCGCCCAAAGAGGAAGAGGGCAGAATTGGCCTGTGAGTTATGTCACTCCAAAAAGGTCGGTCAACCCCTGCTGATGGAGCAAATGTTATCTGACTCTGACTGTAATCATGCAGATCAGATGTGATCTTCAAGCGCGAAGTACACAAGGCCACAACAACTGCACCCACTGTCTCTCTTCCGGGAAAGATTGCAGGTAGGTGCATCCGGGGAGCCTCGAATGTGGCCTGATGTTGAGAACCCTTCTTTGATTAGGCCGCGCACATCGAAGCGTGACAAGGCACGCCAGGTTGCAGACGATCGCCTGCTCAATCCTTTGACTCCTCCTGGCGACATTGACAGCCACAATTTTGACACCAACGCCTTTCAGAGCGAACCCGTCGGGACAGACCTTGATATCGAAATCCCTCCGGCATTGACTCATCTAAGTAGTGTCAACATCTACCAGCCAAGCCTGCCGGTAGCATGCGTCAACCCGCCTGCTACTGAAAGCCCGCAACAGGCCTTTGAAAGAGCCTCAGTCGTCTCCAACGATACGTCGCAGAACTGGAGAGCTTCTGAAAGCGGAACCAACCGTTATGTGGTCGATCCAGGATTTTTGCAGGTTTATGGCCCCGAGAACGCTGACGATGCTCGAAATCAATCCATCCTTGCTAGGAAGGCTCCAAATTTCTTGGACGAATCTCAACCGGACCTGCAGCAGAGCTTTGTGGAAACCTATTTTGAATACTGCTATACTTGGTGCCCTGTGCTGGACAGATCCAGTCTGAGTGCCGATCTCGCAAGATCGCCCTTGCTTGCGAATGCGCTTGCACTCGTTGGCACCCATATCCAACCTCCTATGCTACCCCATGCTGGCCCTGCGTACTATTACGACCGTGCACGCATGAGGTTCTACGATGACGAAGAGCCTGATCTCATTACTTGCCTCAAAGCCGTTTCACTATTCTACTGGTGGTCTCCCCGGCCCCCTTCGGTTGTGCACAGGCATTCTTCTTGGTGGTGGGTGTCGGTCGTGATCAAGCACTGCCAACAAGCCGGTTATCATCGGGAGTCTGAAACAGATCTCGCCGTGCCCGAAGTAGACCTTGGGCTAAGAAGGAGGATCTGGTGGACCGCCTTTGTAAGTCCTTCGAAAGCCGCGCGCTTACCTAACTTGTGGCTGACCTTGATGGTAGGCACGCGAAAGGTTGACGGCGATATGTCAGGGCAAGCCCTGCGTCATCGATCCTGACGACTGCAATATCCCTGAGCCTACGCTAGCAGATTTCTCCGAATCGGAGGACGGAGGCAAGGCTGAGGTCTTCATATACTGGGTACGACTGTGCGCCATCATTGGGCGGATAGCCAAATATCTGTCAAGATCGTCAAATGATGCTTCGTCTTCCTTCCCTGTTCACCACGGCAGGGAATTGATCAACTGGGTCCGGTCGTTACCACCGCATCTGCAACTGCCCATTAATTCAAACCACACGACCAACTTTAATCGGGATGTTCACTTGTTACATTTGCCCTATCTAACAATCATCATTGTCCTCCACCTCAAACGAACATCTTCCCAATCGCTCCCACAAGCATTGCCGCCGGCAACCTTGGCTGCAACTTGCTTGGCCAGAATCCTTAAGGATGTGCTGGTAAGAAGTGGAACGAGGTACCTAATGGGAATTACTTGTTGGTATTGTGGCATGGCATTTATCGCACTTTTGCAAGCCTCACAAACTGAGCATCTCAGACTCGGTGCAGACGCTGATTTGGACATCCTTACCCTTGCAGTCAAGCAGCTGAAGTCCATGTGGGCGACCGCAAATGTCTTCGAGCAGGGCTTCGAGCGACTGCGCGGGAAAAGAAAATCTCCTTCAACATCGTCTGAAGGCCCCGGCCTCGCAGATTTAACTGGAGACCGGGTGAACGATCCACAATTAAGTACAAAAGAGGTCGACATGCATGATGGCATTGACTGGATGGACTATTTCCCGTTCGTGACTGCCCAGACCAGCGTTGTGGCCAACCAGATTCTTGCGCAGCAAAACGCGAACCTGTTCTCCTTCGACAACTTCGGTGACACTTCATTGTCGCACTTCCAAGATCTGTTCGAAGGCCTTGACAGTTGGACGGACCCTAAGCTCTTCGTATGATTGCATCCATAACGACAGCGCGCGGGTTAGGATAAATTGGGTGTACATTTCTAGATTCACTGAGCAATGGTAAATGGTAAGATCCCAACCACGCGTTAGAGTCTGGCACTGGACGCTCGTCTCCTCTCCTGTTCTCTGTCACGCAGTAATCTTCTGAGGATCTTTCCCGACGGAGATTTTGGTATAGCATCGAGGAATTCAATGCCGCCCGTGATCCACTTATATCGAGCCTTCTCCCCTTGGACGTACTCCAGGATATCCAACTTGAGTTTCTCATCGCTCTCATTCGAGGACAGAGCGCTCTGTGATTTTACCACATATGCCTTTGGAATCTCCCCGGCTTTGTTGTCAGGCACGGAGGTGACGGCACAATCAGCAACCGCAACATGATTGAGAAGACAGGCTTCAAGTTCTGCTGGCGCTACTTGATGTCCCTGCACCGAGTTGTTAGCAGTCTTTGACTTTGAGCATCAACTGGGAGGAAGTGACATACCATGACTTTGATAAGCTCTTTGATCCTATCAACGATCCACAGGTGTTCGTTTCCACCGTTGGGTGACAACCGGAACTCGCCTTTGTCACCAGTTTTGAGAAAGCGGCCACTTGGAAGATCGACAAAGGTGGCTTGCGTAGCTTTGTCGTTCTTCAAATATCCGAGTACCACAGCAGGCGACCTGACTAATATCTCACCAGCTTCTCCATGGCCCGTAATCTCTCTCCCGCTCTCGGTATCGATCAGCTTCACCTCGCAGCCAGGCAGCAGGCACCCCGACGAGCCTTGCCAGATGTCATGTGGGCTGGTCGATGTTACTACTGTGGCACTCTCTGTGAGACCATATGCCTGCCGAATAACCCAGCTAGGATGCCGGCACAGCAATTGTTCAGCAATCTCTTTCGCCAGTGGGGCGGCACCTGAAAATATTTGTCGCACCGAGCTGAGGTCATACGACTGCATGATTATCTCGTTGTTTGCCATGCTAATGGCGATGGGTGGCACTAGGTAGAGTGTGTTGATCTTGTATCTGGCAATTGCATTCAGATAGCTTTTAAGCTCGAATTTTGGAAGGATAATGACTTGGTCGCCTCGCCAGGTTGAAGCATGTGCAATAATCACCAGGCCATAAATATGAGACTGTGGTAGTAACCCGAGTGCGACATCTCGATATTCAGAGCCCCTGGTATCGCGACTTGCCTTCTCAAACGTACAGCTCTGGATGGTGTTGGCTATCACATTTCGATGGGATATCATAACAGCTTTCTAAGCAGTCCTTTCATTAGCTAATTCATGGCAGAGCAGAGGCGTGTGCAATAGCATACCGGAAGCCCTGAGGTGCCGCTACTGTAGCATAGGAACGCCGTCTGACGTGCTCCTTGGCCCTGGGTCCATTTATTGGGCTCCAACTCGGACAGCTGCATGCCCATCTCGACAAGTTGGGATATCGTTTTGTACTGGCGCGGAATTGCACCGTCGCCAGGCATCTCACAAACGTAGATGCGCCCGTGAGGTAGGTTTGCCAAAGTAGCCGCTCGCAACGCAATCGGTAGTAATGGCATTACCGTGAATAGAGCTTTGCATCCAGAGAACACTAATTGATGCCGCAGTTCCTCGACTGAGTAGGCCGCGTTGGCAGGAGAGGAAACACCATTGACAGTGAGGATTGCCCAGTTGAGCGTCATTATATCGATCTTTCGGTTTCCCGTCATCAGCGACCAGCCGACGTTTTCTAGCACAGGGATTACTCACCGTATTTAAAGCAAAGATGCAAGCGACCTTGTCGTACTCAGAGCCCTCGTTCACACCCCATCCTAGCTCCCTCGAAAGCGCTCGAGCAAGATAACCTACCCTAGACTTCTGTTCCTGGGCAGATGTACTCCGGCCGGTGAGACCACAAGTGTAAGCATCTAGAGACGTGGTGATGGGAGACCGCCCGTGCTGTTCATCGAACATGAATTCGGGTAATGATACCGTGTCTGGCACATTGGGGAGTGAGGGCACGAAGGAAGGTGATTTGAATGTCATTCTTCTTCAGATCATCCAATATAGGCAAATACGACTGGCAGAGAGCCTCAATGACGAGAAAACATGAAACCAAGAGGAGAAACGAAACGGAAATCCCAAACCCAGTCCCCCACCACCTACCTGTCGGGAGAAGAGGTGACCTAAATCGTAACATTCTCCCCAGTCCAGACTCCACTTCGGTTAGTTTCATATCAATTCGTAGTACTGCCACTGCCAGTCAATTGTAACACTGTTAGTTAAGGTAATTGAGACGGAAGCAGGCATATCGGTTCTTCTACTAGCGCAAGTCGGTGGACACCGATCGAGCGCCGACCGGCAGGGATCCCGGGTCTTACTTCAGTCTTGCCGAACGAATCGGCAGAGACACAGAATTGATAGTTTTGATTCCTCCCCCCGATGCCTTCGCTGTTGCGCTGTGTTATCGGCACTCGTGAATACCTACAGTACTGCTATACACTCGCGGCGGTCGATTTCTGCCGTCAACTACATCTCATGAAGCGACCTATGCCCTATCAGTCTCTGACTAAGCCGGCGGTCTTGGGCTTCGTGGACGCCGTTCATATCACGGTTCATGAACTGAGATGCTACAGCTGACGATTGGCACATTTACCTGCTAACCATTCCCCAGGGGCTGTTTAAGGGAGCATGGCAGACTTCTCTGAGTACGGCGTTCCCAGCCACGAGTGGACAGTGCTCGAGTCGACGCTGCCACCCTTCTCAAAAGACCTCTCACTTGAAGACTTGAAAGCAGGCACGAACCGCGGCAGAGAAGATGTAGCACAACGAGAGTTAGTATCTCTCGCCTCGCAAGTGACAATCCGCGACTACTCGATCTCAGCACGAGATGGGTATGCCCTGGAGGCTCGTTCCTACCGTGCAGTGTCAGCGCCTCCTGACAAGCCACTTCCGATTTATATCCATTTCCATGGCGGTGGCTTCTGCTTCGGAACGTTGAGCTCGGAGGATGCCATCTGCTCGCGTCTTGCGATCAACACCAATGTTGTTGTGCTGAATGTCAACTACCGCCATACGCCGGAGTACTCCTACCCTACGGCGTGGAACGATTCGGAGGATGCTCTGGACTGGGCCCATGGCAACGCAGACATGCTCAATGGTGAGCGAGAGAGAATAGTGATCGGTGGTATCTCAGCAGGAGGCTGGCTTTCAGCGTCCCTTTCACTATCAAACCTGAGAAGGGAGGCTAAATCCCGGGCTCGTATCGTTGGACAGGTCCTCATGATTCCCGCGCTGGTCTACCATGAATGTTATGAATCACAGTTGAAACGTCTCAAGGATCCAAGCTTATCGTCGTACAAACAAAACGAGTTTGCCGCGATCTTACCATTAGAGAGAATTAAACAGTTCAATGAACTCCTCAAGGTCAAGCACGCAGACCCTGAGGACCGCAGACTCAACCCTGGGAATGCCACGCCAGAAGAAGTGAGACATCTACCACCGACAACATTTGGCATCGCTGGTTCAGATCCTCTGCGGGACGAAGCCTTGTTTTATGCGAAACTACTAGCTGACAACGGGTGAGTGCAAGCCCTGGAAATGAAGATGAATTAAACTTACTGACGCTGACTTCTCACAAGTGTCCCTACCAGGGTGAATATGTTCAAAGGTGTGCCTCATGGCTTTCGTCGTTTCTCAGACCAACTTTCGGTGACCAAGGACTGGGATCGAGTCATCGAAGAGGGTATCTTGTGGGCACTGAGCAATCCGGTATCATTCAACACATTCGATATCCAGGCCTACTAAACGCAGGTTTGATCAAGTTGAACGACGATGCTACTTAGTATCTAATAACTGCCTATGTTCTTGTGTCGCCTTGCTTAAGTCTTGAGATATTCAAAGTTTACAATCCAAATCAATGGTCGTATTGCAATGTCGTACTCGCCGAATCTATCACAATGCAGGCAGCACCGCATCCCCCCTGGCCCCCTAATAGGATTCTTCTTCATCCTAGGGTTAAATCGACGTATCCTCTGTCTGCCACCCCCTTCGTCAAAGCCCTATAACCGGGGGCGGGACCATTGTATCTGGCGATGATCCGAGTTTGCTTGTGCTTCAAATTCTTGTTCACGCCAGTCATCCAAGAGTCGACTTCATTAGCCAGGAGACCTTCCGAACATTTATGAACGTGCTCAGTCCACCTCTCAACTCCTTCAGGCGTTGCCTCAATCCGCGTAATATTGTGATCGCGGCAATATTCTATGCAGCTCGACACCCAATTCACCGCGTACTCGATGCTCCTGGGGATATTCCCAAACATTTGATGAGGCCCGAGAATCATCATCATATTTGGGAATTTGTGGACGAATAGTCCCATTTGCGTGCGTGGACCTTCTGCCCATGTGTCCATGATCTTTTGGCCGTCGATGCCGCGGAAGTCGATCGCGGAGAATGCACCGGTAATGGCATCGAACCCAGTAGCATAGATTAAAATGTCTAGCTCGACAAAGTCATCTCGTGTCTTGATGCCGTTTTCGGTAATCCTCTCAATAGGGTCTTCCTTGATGTCGAGTAAGCGAACGTTCGGCTGATTATAAGCCTCAAAATAAAATGTCTCTAGAGGAACTCTTTTCGTGCCGAAGCCGTGATCCCTGGGTATTAGTTTCTCCGCTGTGGCAGGATCATGCACACGTTGTCGAATTTTCTTAGCGATAAAATTCGAAAACTCGGCATTCGCAGCCTTGTCGGTATTGATATCACCGAAATTGCTGAGCCACTTTGCAAACCCGGGCTTCGAGTAGAGCTCTTCCCAGAACGCCTCTCGCTCTTCCTTGGGGACATCGAACGTTCTTCGCTTATCGGCTCCGTGGACGAAGCATGACCATGACTCATTGCATAATCTGAATATCTCGGGATATCTCGATCGAATCTCGTTCATGTCTTCAGGGGTGATCTTGGCGTTATGTAGTGGTGCGGACCAGTTCGGATTCCGCTGAAACACTGTAAGATGGCCGACAGTCTTCACAATCTCTTGGATGGTCTGAATGCCAGTCGCGCCGGTGCCAATTATCCCAACGCGTTTATCCTTTAGCGATATACCTTCTGGCCAGCGAGACGTATGCATCGATACCCCCTCAAAATCGGCGACGCCTGGAATATCTGGGTACGTGGCTTGATTTAAAAGGCCCATAGCGGTGATGAGAAAGCGCGAGGAGTACTGTTTGCCAGTCTCATCGGTGAGTAGCCAAGAGTTACTGTCCTGACAATGCGCTGATTTGACCCGAGTGTTGAATTGGATATCGCCCCTTAAACCGAATTTCTCACAGATAAATTGACAATATTTCAGAGTTTCCGTTTGAGGTGCAAAATGCTCTGTCCAACTCCATTCCTCTAGAAGTTCTTGAGAAAATGAAAAATTGTAGGACCAACTCTCGGAATCAAACCGAGCGCCAGGGTACCGGTTCCTGTGCGATTGTGAATGGATGAGCTCCTGTCTGGGATGTGGTTAAACAGACTTACCAGAACCAGGTGCCACCTTCGCCTGCTCCGGCCTCTAACACTCTCACTCTCAACCCCAATTGTCGCATCTTGATCAGGGAGTAGAGGCCACTAAGGCCGGCTCCAATGACGAGGACATCATAGTCAAACTTGGAATTTGATTCCGTGAACGAGAGTGTACCAAGGCTCCCCATGATCGATTGATTGATTGATCGCCAGATCACGTTAAGCGGTAGGGGTATTTGCTGTAAGTCTCGATGGGTTACAATTTCACCTTGCTCTCCTGGAGTTGTCACTTTTGTATATGTCGTCCGCAAACCAATCCACGACAAGTTTACTGCCGCCTTTCTCCTTCGCCCAGCCAGGGGTCACATCCCCGGAAAACATTTCGGAGAAGGAAGGACTTTGTCGGTAACCCGCATTTGAACCTGAATTGACATTCCCGCTGTGCGTGTTGAGCCGAGGTGCGTGAGGGGAAAACTCTCTCTCCCATGGCCCCAGCGTCAGGCTAGGCCAGGCAAGGCAAGGCAAGGCAAGGCAAGGCTTGGTCTGGAGTGGACCCGTATTCGGTTTTCCCGAACAGGACTGCCTGCTTGCCCTTGACAGATGAGCCGAGACTACGGGGTAGAGATTTGACAGCCCGGCTCGACCGCAGAGTTGCAAGAATCCATCCTAGATGGCACGTGCCATTCGGATATGCGCTATTACGATAAACACAGTTTAGGCTGTTGGACAGGATTTTGTGCAACGTTCATGATATACTCTAGACCTGGTGAAGCCAAAATCTCGTGGCCACCACATCAGTGCAGAGACGTCCCACGCTTTGCACATACGTTGAAACCAATATCTTTCGTACCTAGCGTTCACAATGCCTCTTTCACGTTACACTTATACTGGACCAGTCGACCACACTGTGGTACCCGACAAGTCTAAAGTTCAAGGCAAGTCAGTCATCGTCACAGGAGGTGCCAATGGCATGGGAGAGGCTTTTGTCCGGGCGTTCACTGCTGCCGGAGCGTTCGTGACCTTTGGCGATTTACATCCACGAGGATCTGAAATCGAGAAGGAGCTGAATGTTGATGGTCAGAAGGCTGCCTTTGTGAAATGTGATATTCGGAATTGGGAGGACCAGATACAGCTTTTCGAGACTGCAAGATCGAACAGCCCGAGCAACAGCGTTGATATCGTGATTGCCAACGCTGGAATCAGCAGGAGCTCTGGTGACAGTCTGTGGAATCTTGATGGTATGTAGGATATTTGATCCGTGGAACAGCAGGACTTCCCACTTTGGAAAGTAACGCAACTTGAATCTGACAACATGCCTAGACCCCAACGGTGAGCCCACAAAGCCAGATTTGAATATTGTGAAGGTCAATATGGACGGCACATTGTACACCTGGAAGCTTGCGGTTCATTATTTCCGCAAGCAACCTGACACAGACGATCGCGATCGTTGCTTTATCATCACTGGGAGTATGGTGGCATGGATTGATTCACCGGTATGCCCTTCATACATTTGTTTCCCCAGGCTACGGCTAACACTGATGGTGCCCGTACAGGGAAATTGGGAATATACCGCCACTAAATATGGTCTTCGTGGATTTATGCGGACTGTGCGTCGCTCAAGCTGGGAGCAAGGCATCAGAATCAATTATGTCGCACCTTGCTGGATCAAGAGTGCGATACGGACAGCAGAATATGAAAAGTGGCTTATTGACCACGGTATCGAGTTTGGTGAGCAGGAGGATTGTGCTGGTTGCATGATGAGGATCGCATGTGACAAGACTATCAACGGTACGTGTACAGAACACATTGACTACAGTGTGCAATGCTGATGGGGACGGACGTCTAGGCCACTCGCTCATGATAGTGCCAAGATCCAAGGCGAAGGAAGGGTTTATGGATGTTGATAAAGACGACTATAAGGAGGAAGGGTACTTCAAGAAGACTCAGGAGACCCAACTGGTCATCATTGAAGACAAATGGCGGGATGATTATAAAGTGAGAGTCTATAAGGCCTGATTCGAGACTACTGCTGTAGACTTGAACGACATGAGATGGATGGACTATATTCAAGTAGTCTGTAGAGAATATGCCTGTTGTAAATAGCATTTTCGTGGGCTCAAATGCTCGAATTGGGAGAGGCTGACAACGTCCCCAGATGGGGACATATATTCGTCATTGATGACAATTGCCAAACTGGTATCTGCATCTCGACTCCACTGCATTACATAGCTCATGACTGTGAGAGGGACTCAACCAATGTCCAATCGGTAGACAGACTTTCAAGCAACTAGAAAACCTTAACGGGAAACTGACCTTTCAATAACGGCCAACACCACTTCTTAATCTTCATCAGTTCCACTCTTCTCTGAACATAGCGATGTACATAGATTACTCTGTGACTAGCCCACTTGAACGCTATTTGTAATTTGACACTTTTTGAAGACCTCAGCGCCATTTCTGACAGAGACAACGATGGCTCTTGCTACTCCCGAAACGATGTATGCGTGGCGCAAGCACAGAGGCAATAATGATCCTGTAAGCCACCCAAGGAACCCCATCCCTGTGTTGCCAATAACCGGATAGCCCAGGTCTGGGAGGAGGTCCCAGTCCCTTCCACACCACAAACAGGTTTCTTGTGCAAGATGTTGGCTTCTGGCGGTAGGTCTACCATGGCTCCAGACCTGGATTGTTGTCTGCCGAGACGAACGAACACAGATTCCTTATGCAAACAACGGGAGACGTGGTGAAGCTTTGCTAGCTCTGGTCACGATTTCAGTGAGGCTCAAAGTTGTGTATGTTCTAACTTGTTGAGCTTTCTTCTAGTCTGTCATAGTGATCATTCACTTCTCACAAACGACAAGCAACGGCCGTGGTTCCAGGAAAAGTACATCTTAGTAAGTGACAGCAACCTTGCAAATGAATTGTGCCTAGGCCCTAAGTCTATTGTCCTAGGGCCACGAGGGCTGCGGCGAGATCATCGATATAGGCCAGCAGGTGCAGGATAAGAGGTTTAGAGTGGTAAGTTCTGTGCCGTTGGGCGACGGTCAATCCTCGACCGACACAGATCATAACATGTGCTAAGAACTTGCCTACCTACACAGGGAGACAAGATTGCTCTGCTTGCGGTCCCAGGCTGTGGGCAGGGCACTTGTGTTGAGTGTTCAAGGGACCTCGCGCAACTTTGTCAGCATGGTCACCACTCGGGCATTGGACAAGACGGTTTCTATGCGCCGTATGCAGCGATTGACGTACGGGGAGCTGTAGCCTTGCCCAAAGAAGTCACACCGTCTGCGGCTGCAGTTGCCACGGACGCAGTCACAACTGCATATCACGCCATTACACGACGTGGGGAAGTCAAACCCAACGAGACAGTCTTTCTTTTCGGCCTCGGAGGCCTTGGATTTAATGCCTTGCAAATCATCAAACATGTAGGAGCGAGGGTTATCGTATCAGACATTAGACAGGAAAGACTGGATGCAGCCGCAAGCCTGGGAGTTCCACGGCAGGATCTTGTGCCTGCTGGCAAATCAGTCCAGGAATTCGTGAAAGAAAACGGCTTGCAAAATACAATCGACACAGTCCTAGACTTCGTCGGGACTCACCAGACCTTCGAAGATGCGCAGCAGATAGGTAGGCTTACAGCTTTGATGCCGTGAACTGGCTGACAGGTTTTCAACAGTACGTCTTGCAGGCAAGTTGGTTTGCATTGGCACCTTGGATCTGGAGAACACGGTGCATATGAAAATAGGGATTCGGAAAAGGTTGAGTATTGTCTTCTCCTATGGAGGCCAGCTACGCGACTTGGAAGACGTACTTGATCTGATCGCAAAAGGGGCCATTCAGCCCCAAGTCGAAGAAGGCCAGCTGGAAGACTTTCCGGCAGTATTGAAAGATCTGTGTGATGGGAAAATCAAAGGCCGGATTGCACTTGTACATAAATCGGCATAGGAGCAGGCTCAGCAGGGATTTCATCCCGACTGCGAAACGTGGCCATTCTCACGCTGCTTCATTAAACAGTTTATTGACCGCCGTTGACGCTCGCAGCTTTTGGCAAGCCAATCCCAACTGCTGCAGTAGCACCAGCATCGACAGGAAGGATGGCACCTGTGATCCACCTCGCATGTTCGCTTGCTAAGAATACAACTGCGCAAGCACAATCCCATCCTGTTCCCTCTGTCCCAAGCAAGCTTCGCTTTTTGCGGGCTTCTCGTGCCTCCTCACTCATACCTCCAGCATACATCATGGGCGTGTACAACATCTGTGGGAGGGCTAGGTCAGCTCGCAGCAAGGAAGGGGATCAAAGATACTTGGCTTACCCCTGGGCAAACACAGTTGACTCTGATACCATCATCTGCATGATGTGCAGCCATTGCCCGTGTCATATTGACAATGGCGCCCTTGCTAGTAGGGTAAAGCAAATGAGGTGTGCCGCCCTTTAATCCCGCAACGCTGCCCATATTCACAATTGACCCTTTGAGCTCGCCTTGGTTGCGTTTCATGACAGGGACGGCGAATTTGGCCATTATAACCATGCTTGAGACGTTTATCTCCAAACCCTTTGCCCAGAGTTGCATGTCTACTTCGACGGCTGTTCCAGGAGCACCACCAACACCCACGTTGTTGACCAGGATGTCGAGTCTGCCAAATCTTTCAATGGCAAGCTCGACTACCCGCCGACAGGCTTTCTCATGCGTCACATCCGCCTCGGCAGCAACGGCCTCCCCGCGCCCGGGCTCTGAGTTCACGATGTCCACGGTCCTTGACGCCCACTCTAGGTTTCGGTCGACACATACCACGTGACATCCGTCGCTCGCGAGCAATATTGATATGGCTCGGCCATTGCCAAGGCCATCCCCAGCGCAGCCTGCACCTGTTACTATAGCAACTTTACCCCTAAGTGAGCGTGTTGGCGGTTGGCTGCTGATCTCCAGCGACATGGTGTTTCTGTTGGTAGCTGAAGACCGGTGGAAGGCGACGTTTAACCCTTTGGAGCAGAAGGAGTATCACAGTCTCGGAGACAAGCTCTGTGAGGCCCGAAGCAGCAAGGTGGCATGGTCGTCCATCTGCGCGTCATGCTAGCAGGAGGGAAAAGATGTGTCGTGTTTGTCTCAGATGCCCGGATCGAGGATGCGTGGATAGTCAAGTGCTCGAGCCGAGTCTGAGCAATTGAGATCCTGGTTCCCCTCGTGAACGAATGTGGAGACATCAAGCTGGAAGTCTATACTCAGTAGGAAATGGTTTCGGCTAGATCAAACAGCATCACTATTGATATATCGTCTTGCACAACCTTCCATAACGAGGAAGCCGGAAAATAGCCGATAGTTTGGTGTTCAAGCCTCGGCCAGAACTCGGCCGCATGTTGGTGGCTCTGGCAACCAAGTGAGCCACGGACGCCTCGTGCTTCCAAACTTGGCTTCCGCCGAGTGCGGCATGGATCTACAGCCTGATCACGAGGCCTTGAATATGTATCTCGTTGTGTCATTTTCCGGCTTTCCCCAGAGACCAGAGACTGGTGCACTACTAGTTTTATGCTTCCTTCGACCGAAAATATGGTTCAAGGTCGCGGAGGAACGCCCACTTCAATCTCCTACCCCAACCCTTCTCCTTCCAATCATTTAGAGTCTCTGGAAAGTGCACAACGCCATCTCTGACCGTGGAATCGTGAGCAATGATGACGAAGACGTTCTCTGCGCAATCGAGTTCCTGTAATTGCCGCATGGTCTTCGTTGCTAGTGGGATATCGTGTCCAAATGTCATATCGTACAACGTATCGGAAGTATCTCGCCCTCTCGATGACTGGAGCTCCGCAAAAGCAGTACCAGGACAGAATGGAGTATCGCAAAGAGGTTTATATGGGTGGGGGGTAATTTCAGCCGGTAGTGGAAGGCGCTTGGAGGGGCGAAATATGCCAGCATAATGGCACACATCACCACCCATTAGAACGAAGGTATCTCTGGTTGTTCGAGCCAAGCCGCATAAGTGTCCTATGGCGTGCCCTGGGCTATCGAGCAGATAAAATGAACCATCCCCAAAATAATCAAATGCTGGAAACTGCCCAATGTGCAGAGTATTGGGACCATCAAAATTGATCTCACGAAGCTTTCGTCCGCTATCAAAACCCCGTCAGTAGGAGATCAAGGGTTTGCACAGGCTCATAAGGCTGACCTGTAGTCGCTTTCGCGAATGGGTGACTTTGGATTGGCTGGATAGCCAGGCAACATGGCTTTGGAAAATCCTGGACCGACAATGAGATCGGTGGACGGAGGAAAGCTAGACGGATCACCGATATGATCCCAGTGCCAGTGACTACGCAACGGTCAGCCTACACAGGGCCATTCCCTTACGGCGAACATTGATGGGAGGGGGCCGCAGCCTTACCTCCATATGACTGCTTCGATCTGGGAACCCCTGATCCCGTTCTCCTCTAGGATGTCGACCACGTTCTTCGTGACATGAATGTCGTATTTGGTAGTTGGAATATAGTCGGCGATTGACTTGGCATAATTACAGAAGTCCTTGCGAATTCCCAGATCCCATACCAATTTTCTACCAGATGGATGCTCCAGCAGGAATGTAAGTGATGGCGAGGTCTTGAATGTTTCAAGGCTGGGGACCGGGGGCGCCATAAACCTTTCCAGTATTGCAGGCCCAAAATTGACAGGATTGATAAGTGAGACTTTAACAGCGACCTCACCAGATGGCAAGTCCACCGGAATCTCATTTATTCCCATTGCTATCGTTGTTCGACGTGTCCGCCCAAAACTCATAGCCTTTCCAAAATTTGTTCTCTGGTTGCACAGGATATGAAGTACTGCTTGGTGAGACGAGCCCCGAGCTTCGATTCTCCAGTGGTCCAATATCTGTTGAACAGTTCCAGCTACATATGAGTAGCGTATCTAAAGCGGGTGCTGTCACCAGGCCGCCAGGTTTTGAACAGGCCAGAATGCACCCAAATGCGGTAGACCATGTGGGTACAGGCCGTTTGCCGGTAAGCTGGAGCGCAAGGATCTCAGTCTGAGTTTCTCCCCACAGAGCAGTATGTGTGCTCTAAAGGTATTGTTCTGTAATGCATGGGGGTGGACGGCGAACAGTATGTACAACGATCGACGGAGATACCTCGTAGAGAGTCAAAGCCGGGCCTAGAGGCTTGGTTTTCCCACGTGGAGGCCAGTCCGCTAAACTCGATATAGGTTGCCGAAGATCGGTACGCCGCCCTGGTTCAAGTTTCTCTACCGTCCCCCTGTCCCCCTGTCCCCGGCACACACTTGGCGTGCACCCCGGATGTAGCTCGCTCCCAGGCTGTACTCCAGATTCCAGATTTCCGAACCACATCCACCATGCAAATCCAATTTAAGGGAACTCGTTCGCTTACGCTTAAAATGTCCTGGGGACCAACTCGGCAGTGGGACGTCGATAAAAGATACCCTCTATCCTCACTCATCTTTGGAGAGATTCTGCAGTAACTCTTTGCATACGCGTGGCTGAGTCGTTGAAAAGCTTTGCCTGTCATTTCTCGCAAGCATTGAACAATGTCGCAGCATGAAAAGGCAGATACATCTGTCTCCGAGAATGCGAAGGCCCCAGCAAATACAACCGCCTCGGGCGATGAGGAAACGGGCCTGAAGCATATCGACACTGTTCATGACGATGAGGCGGTCAAGGTCCTCACCACTTATCATGGCGACCAAAGCTGGACACCACAGGAAGAACAGAAGCTTCGTCGGAAGATTGACTGGAAGCTCCTTCCCGTCCTTTGCGGAACCTATAGCCTTTTGTACTATGATAAAGCAATGCTGGGTCAGGCGGTAATCGCAGCCCTCTCTTTCGGTCCAGGGTTAGCACTAACCCCTTGATTTAGGCACTCTTCGGGCTGAGAACAGACCTCAAACTCACCACCGGGGATCGATATTCGTTCTCTTCAGCTATATTCTACCTAGGATTCATAGCTGGTGCATATCCAGCAGTCTATCTTGCACAGCGGTACCCTATTGAACGTGTAGCTTCGGCAATTACGGCCGTCTGGGGGGTAACCCTCATCTGCACGCCGGCTTGCACAACCTATCAGGCCCTTTATGCTCAACGATTCTTCCTTGGTTTCACCGAAGCTGGGATATCACCTATGTTTATGCTCATTGTTGGAGGCTTCTACCGGAAAAATGAACAGGCACTTCGAATGGGTGTCTGGTACAGCTGTACAGGATACGTCTCCATCTTTTCGCCGCTTGTGAATTATGGACTCGGCCATATCCGGGGTGCACTTTCTCCTTGGAAATACATGTACCTGTTTGCTGGCTCAATCACCATCCTGTGGGGCATTGCGATTCTCTTTATTCTTCCGCCCGACCCGATCCGAGCGAAAGGCTTCACTGAGCGCGAACGCTTTATTGCTGTATCGAGGATGCGGGAAAATAACTCAGGAGTGAGAAACACTCATTTCAAGGGAAACCAAGCCACAGAGTTACTTCTCGATTACAAATTCTGGTTCATGTTCTCTATCGCGTTCCTGTGCATGGTCGCGAATGGTCCTATCTCGACTTTCATTCCCATCATTATCAATGGATTCGGATTCAGTCTTCTCAACTCGCTCCTGCTCTTGATGCCGGCCGGCTTTTATGCTGGGACTTTACAACTAATCGCACCATACTTGGCCTACCGGTACAAGAATATCCGTACTTATCTTGTCTTCGGTTGCCAGATGGGTACTGTTTTGGCTTCACTTTTACTCTGGCTTCTCCCGAGGGGACAGACAGGTGCCCTGTTATTCGCCTGCTACATCCTCCCGTCCGTCGGCGGTGGCTATGCAGTGTTAATGGGTCTTTCCCTTGCCAACACTGCTGGATACACCAAGCGTTCCCTAGCGTCATCTGGCTTGTACATCGGATACTGCCTTGGTGAGCACTTGCTCTCAAGCTTCATTTGAGACACAAACTGACTTAGCCACAGGCAATTTCGTGGGCCCGTTGGTGTTCAAGCCACAAGATGCGCCAAGATACGAAAAAGGCTTTATCGTGGTTGTTGCCACCGCGATTGCTGCCGCGGTCCTGGCTGTGATTTACCGCTTCGTTTGCATCTGGGAGAACAGTCGCCGAGACAAGACAGGAACCCTCGAGGGCTTTGAGCACGCTTATGAAGATGACCTGACCGATAAGACCGTAAGTGGCTCACCAAATTATTCTTACCGCCGTTGCTAAAGCTGACATGAACCGCTAGAATCCTCAATTCCGTTACATCATATAGCTTGTTTGCAGCCTTGATGACAGATCTCCTGTTCGAGAGAATTTTGCAGCTGATCTGGGCAACAATGGGCGAGGAACAACTGGGTCCCACGCAGTCTAGTAGGCACGACAGTCATGTACAAGTTCTCATAGAATGCTCCACCTGACACCAGAATGCAGATCATACTGTATTTGAAATACCTTGCCGAGTTTCAGCGTAGCGTCCCCAAACCAGCCGCTTCAAATAGACTTGCAGCCTTGACAGTCACGTGGTTCAACCCTCAGATCGCGTCCACTTCGCCATGTTTTAAGGTCACGCAGGGGCGTCTGGACCATGAAGGACTAAGTGATCATCATCATGTAATGCGCTCTACGGCAATTGCGTCGCTAAGAACTAGTTCGCCTCGCTCGAACAGCACTTTCCGGTTTACCTCGGGCGTCCAGCGCCAGGGCGTTTGCACATCTTGGGTACGTACCAACCGCAACCCCTTCAAACAGGTGTCAGTGACATATCCGAAGTTATGATGGCGGACCGTGGTCATGGGACAAATCAATACTGGCTAAGTAGGCGTGGGCAGTTTAGTGTTGCTTCGTTTAGGGTCTGACTGCTACTCTAAGCATGCGGGAAAACATCACACAGGCTTTCATTACGCCTCGGCAAGGAAGAATGTTTTGAATTGAAGTCATCATGTTCTGGTTGCTCGAAGCAGAAAGGCAGGCTGCTTCTACAAGGTCCGGTGTCTCACTTCTTCCCTGCTCCAGCAGTGAAGCTTCTGGTCTCTCTCTACTCCGGAGTCTCAATCACAAACTTACATGTCCCAGCCTGTCTACTTAAACCGGCTGCTCCGTGGAGAGCATGGGACATGCCTTACCAAGGTACAAGGGAAACTCATTTCAAAAAGCCAGGTCACTGCAACACCAACCACAGGAGCTTCCGGGTCGGTGCCCACCACGCCACCCCAGGCTTATTCTGCAACCCAAGAGAGTCCCCACGCTTCTGTGAGGGCTCAGTTCTTATCACTACAGCAATGAACCAATGACCCTACTGCATCCTCTCGTTCCCTGTGACATCCCTGACGCAGTGGCTCGCCCATATTCCAGGTTTTAGCAGGCGGAATCCACTTAGAGAGCCCAAACTATGGAGGTAGTTGACCAGCCTTTGGACTTCATCCACCTGTCATAGGCTCTTTGCCTCATGGCAGGTGATATGGTCCGAAGTGAGATACAGATACATACCCACGGGACTCCGACTGATCAGCGGGATGGGCCCAGAGCGAGAGCCGTCACACTCCCCCCTCATGTAGCATTACGCAACGCAATGCGTGGGAATCCAATGAAGCACCGAAGTCTCCAGCACCGGCACCCAGAGCAAATGCATCATTTTCCTTATTGCGTGGGATGCGTTAGTCCACGGTGGCACGTTCTTCCTACCTGGACTTCTCTCGCGCAACACAGTCTGCAAACATACACTTATAAAAGCTCACATTAGTCCCAAGGAGTAAGTCCTGATCTTTCCATCCTCCATCACAAATTACAGTCCTCTATAAATCCATACACACTTCATCAGCCAAACGACCACAAAGTCAAACACATCAACCGCCCATCACTTACAATGGAACCTCACTGTGGCACTTGCAACCATGGTTCGGGCGAATGCAACGGCTGTTCATGCTGCACTGTAGGACTTCCCTCCCTACCACACCATGTAAAACACTGCTAATGCATCCAACAGCACTAAGTCTCTTCATCTCTGTCTCATTTCTTCTTTCAGTGCAACTCAGAAGGAATGATGATCGGTGTTATTGCAAGGCCAAATTGATCATGGAAACCCATGCTGGGAAACATGTAATTTCGACTCGCTGTCCCTTTGGATCAGAAAGTGCTTCGCGCATCGTCGGATGGCTAGATAGATATATTCAATAACACTGCTGAGATATATTAATGTGCTTCTTACCTTCGTAGGAGAATAGTAAACGACGAAGGTTTCCGGTCCTTATGAGTCGTAACTTGGATCCGTTGCCTGTTTCCAGCTTCATGCTAGTCACTGACGAGACTGCTTCCACTTTGGTCCGCCCTCTCAGCTCGTGATTATCTGCTGTCGCTTGGCCATGATTACTTACGGTCAAACCCGGTGGTAATGAATCCAACCAGGATGGTGTCGGTAAAGCCGTGCATGCCCTCCAGTCCGCTGGTTCTTAGCACCCAGAAGGTGGAGAGGATGTTGGCTCCTGTTGCTTTTCCACATTGTGGTGTGACATCCCAAACTGTTTCATCGCAGTTGAATCAAAAAATTTCAAACTTTTTTGCGATATGCTCATGGGATATGGCAATATGTAGTGCCGTCTCCATTTCCAAGTCTTTAAGCCGAGGATCTCTACTGCAAGAGGATGCTGCAATTTACCCGAATGCTGGTATTGCTTCAAGATCCCGTCCAAAATGTGCGCTTCACAACACATGGTCTGTATGCTCTTCTGTTGTACCGTGTCCAGCTCTTTTCATGTCGGCTGTAAGACACTGGGGCATCGCGAGTGAGCTCCTTTGTCTTCCGCGTAAGAGAAGGAAGTAGCAAGGGGCTGGGTGGTCTGCATGTCAATGTTCTGCTGATATGTTGCTCAAGAAAAAGGACATAGGTACCAGCCAGGTCACGAAGCACGGAACATTGATCGATCGAAAGAAGGGCTCAGGATGGAAGGCTTCAACCCAGAAATGCCATCTCGGAGATGCCTGGAGTTTCGTCCAGAATGCTCTACTTTGTGAGATTTATCGGTATTCTGCTCAAACAAAAAGACCTTTTGGGTTGGAAAGCAAATGTGGTAATTTCAGAGGTGCAAGAAGAGATGCTCAGTGCAATAGGTTACTACTGTCTACTTATGCCTGCGAAGAAAGCCCTGCTCACAAGAAATGCCTGGGCGAAAAAATGAGGACCTTAAGATCCCTAAGACCTGGTGGTAAATACACGTTAGTGGCGGACTTCCACTGCAGTGCTGCTGCAAGACCTTCCAAAGATGGTTTGGCAACAGATTTGAGAACCTTGACTCTAGGATCAGCCTTGAGAACGATTACCATTTGTCCACGATGCGATTACTTGTATGCCTTTTGCCGCACAGAGGGCTGAATTGAGGCTGGCCAATTGGAGCACAGCGTCATAGTAGGTAGGGTTCCACCCTAGACACTGGCTGTGGCAGTGATAGCACAGGGCCGTCAAAAACCTTCATAGGGATGAAAGCCTTATCATGCCCACCTCAATCATCTTGATATATACCGGATCCTAATAGGAGGCTTCCATTGGCGAGATTCTTACAAGTTACAACCATCTGTACTGAAGGACCCCCGTCAGACGTCTTCCATGGTGAAATGGAAGTCAAGTGTTCTGTCGCCATCCAAATGGCGGTCCTCGTCCCTATCTGATGTTGAGCTACCTTAACAATGCCCTCTTGATCAGAGGGTCCCAGTTTTTCTCCTAGGAATGATTGAATTATAATTACTCCAATGGACGCCATGGGCTCTTGAGCAGGGTTTCACTCCCAATCCCACCTAGATACTGACAATCAAATAACCTCCATCCAGTCACCTCAGGATGATGATATTCCGAGAAAATAGACAGAAAGAGGGAGTGCTTTGTCTCAGCTTCGGGTTCTAGGAAGGCCTGCTTCTGTTGCCTAACTAGCTCATCCTCGCTGTAAGCTCAAACTTGGAAGGTAGTACATTGCTAATTACGATTGATGGATTGTGACGTCCACCTATAACAGCTCTGACTGTACGCTCTAAACGATTAAATGCTACTGTGGCGCGGGAGAGGGCGAGCACAGCGTCCTTACCGTCTCTGACCGAGCATTACACTTCAACTACAAACGACAACGACTATGAGCCTTGTTTTGTTGGATACTATCTCCAAGTTGCGTTGTTGGAATTGGGCTGCGGAATACTCTCATCCAAGACTTTCACCTCGTAGATGGCATGGAATGACCTTCATCATGGGCTTTCTCATAGCCTCGAGCACGTGTTGTCCACGGCCGGCTCTAACTATCCTCGCTGTAGGTGTCGAAACTTCTGACATTCAGAGTCCATGATCTGAGCCGATGCAGCTGTCTCGAGGGAATCAATGATAGATCACGAATACCATGAATGAACATCTATAATACTTACCTGAATGGAAGAGAGAGCCCCTCTGGACTTCCCGTGTAAGGCTGAGTCCATGTGAAGGCTGAGCGACGTATCAAGACACGCAGTCGCAGAACGCCACCGACGTCGTCCGGACTTCTCCGTCTTGCTTAAATAGCTCCAGCTTTCACTGAAGGTCGCCGACATCAACTTCACGGCAAATTTATTTCCCTCCTGTGCGCTTCCAAGTCAGGATCGGAAAGATGAACACTATTCAAGTGTGAAGCTTTTAAATGGCATCAACCGTTGAACTACCTTGCCGAGGGCATATGGTCTGATTCTGATCAACAGCCTAGTGGGTTACTTACATCCATCCCAAAATACCACCCATCGAGGTGAATGGACGTTCCCATGATTCATGATGATCTACATAAATTGTCCCAACGGTTCCCCGCACACCGCCTGACAAACGTGTATCGCTTTTCCATTTACCTCATTGGAACGATTGCAATCTTTGTATGTAGGTCGCAGGGTACAACCTTGTGCAATGAGATCTCCGTTGTTCCTCGAATCCTCCTCTGGTACTTCTCTGTATAATTGTCTAATTTGTTGACCACCATCTCCTCGCTAAACCAACAGTATCCTGAGAGGCACTGAGGCTGGAGGTTTCGAAATGTTATACCGTTCCTTGCTGATTGACTGCTGCGTATCCTTCTGCGTTCCTACATTTCAAGCCACAAGCCATGGGATCACTGGCCTCGTAGCGCGTCTGCTACCGAATCATATTGATAGCTTCGAATTCCAAATCATCGGTCAGAAAAATTCAACCAAGAATGACAGTTACAACGTCTCGTCGGCTTCGAATGGTAAGATCCTGGTAGCAGGAGAATTCGGTCTCGGCTCTAAGCGTTGGGTAAGGTGATTCTGAGATTTGCAACAAAGGAACGCCGTGCTAGTATGATCTGTCTAGCCTTCGAAGGTACTTGACCAAACAAGCAAATGTGGATATATATTGGTACATCGGAAGCCAACTACATCTTGCACCAGGGACGCTTCCGAACATAACAGAACCCGTCGTGGGTTCAAGTGTTGTCCCATACAGATATCATTTCAACACAGGTGCGAATGGCTTTGAAGTTCTCATTTGAGATGCTAACACAATGGTAAAGTTACATTCTCCTACACGACCGCATTTTGGAGCTGGGATGACTGGCAACTCCAGCTCGACTGGATGGCTTTGCGTGGAATCAACCTCCCACTTGCGTGGGTCGGACAATAAAAGCTCCTTTTCGAAACGTTTCTCGACGCAGGTTTCAATGACACAGAGATCTTCGATTATCTCAGCGGGCCGGCTTTCCAGGTTTGGAACCGATTCGACAATATTCAAAGGGACTGGAGCGGTCAGTTGCCGACTTCCTGGATTGATGGACAATTCGGCTTGCAGAAGCAGATTGTCAGCCGTATGGTTGAGCTTGGAATGACTTCTCATCACCCCGGTATACGAACCGTACATTCTTAGATCCTTGGAGAACCCAGAATTGTTTACCCAACTTCAACAAAGTGTTATCTCCAAGCAACAGGAAGCGTATGGTGATATTACGCACTTCTACACTTTTGGACCAGAATAACGAAAATGATCCATCTTCAGGTAGCCTGGACTTTCTCGGGAATCTGACGAAGAACACCTGGGCGTCATTGAAAGCAGCGGACCCTGATTCCATCTGAGTAATGCAAGCCTGGCTCTTTCACAGCAATGAAGACTTTTGGACCAATGAACGAATCGAAGCCTACTTAGGTGGCGCCCCAAATGAAGAAATGCTCATTCAGGACTTTTACTCGGAATCAAGTCCTCAATGGCAACGAACCAACTCATACTATGGCCACTCCTGGATTTGGTGTCAGCTACGCAACTATGGTGGAAATCTGGGCCTGTACGGACAGAACATGAATTCGACGATCAATCTAATTCAAGCGCTCATCATAGTGACAAGGTCATGGCGGGTAGCTGTGAGATCCCGTTGGACAGCTGTGATTCTCTCTTCAAGGCGAGCAGCATAGCGTCTGTTTTCCTCTCGCATCTGCTGCATCGCACTGAGAATTGTGTTGCCGGCTGTGATTGCAGGAAGATTTTGTAATTTTTCGACCTCATCAGCAGTAGAACGAAAGCATTGGGCAAGGTGACCGAAATCAACCTCTTGATCAACGCTGCTTGTGTCATCCATCTTGAGAATGGTGATGGCGGTGGTGATTGTAACAGGGATTATGTTTTGTTTTACGAAAACTCGGTGCACTCAGGAGGAAAAGCCCGCTCCCTCGCTTCCGCGTCCCTCTCCCCCCACTCCCCCAAGCGATCGGCAGGCAGCACCAAAAGTCGCTTCTTGATAAACAGAGACTACCAAGTCGACCAACTGCTACTGCCAGTCATTGCAATTCATCTTTCCTGCTTCATCCAAAATGGCGACAGTGAACGAAACCACAGATGCTGAAACAATACAGCCACACCAAGAAAATGCTGCAGTAGTCCCTAGACGACCACAAGAGCAATTTGAAATAGAGGCATCAGGGGCCCCCAGCGAGGCGGAAGATGATATCGATTACCCAACAGGCGCCAAACTCTGGACGACCCTTGTTTGCCTCTGCCTCACTCTCTTTCTACATGGCCTGGTCGGTAATGCATTACTGAAAGAGGAAAAATGGATCACTAAGAACTACGATTCCAGGATCTCACCATCGTTGCTGTGGCTGTACCGAGCCTCACGGATCAATTCAAGACGGTCAATGACATCGGCTGGTACTCTGCAGCTTAGTGAGTCAACAAGGCCTCTTTGATCACATTTGATTTGACTGACTTCTGCAATTAGCATGATGACGAGCAGTGCTTTCATATTCTTGTTGGTTTCTTACAGGATATTGACTCCCATTTCCAGGCTGATGTTGGCGCAGTTTCGGCAAGGCTTACACCTTATTCTCGAGCAAGCCTCTTTTCATGTTCGGCATAATTACTTTTGAGTTCGGCTCACTGCTATGCACTTTTTCTACAACTTCGAAGATGTTCATTCTCGGCCGTGCTATTGCAGGACTAGGAACGAGTTCGCTGTCCGGAGGAACCGTCAAGATCCTGAGGCACTGCTTTCCCTTGTCAAAGCAGCCGATTGTAACAAGCGCGGTCTTCACTTTCTCGTCCTTGGGCCTTGTATCAGCCCCTATGGTCGGGGGTGCTTTGATCGATGCCTTTAATTGGCGGGCTTGCTTCGGAATCAATCTCCCATTAGGCGTGATCTGTATCGCCATGACTTGGTACGGATTCCACGATCCTGTCAACAACCCAGATATCAACATTCCTCTGAAAGAGAAACTCTGGCGTCTGGATCCTTTGGGCACACTCCTCGTTGTTCCCGCTATTACATGTTTCTTGATGGCCCTCCAGTGGGGAGGCATCAAGTATGGATGGAAAGATTGGCGCATTATCTTACTCTTTGTTCTCTTCGGGATGTTATTTTCCTCTTTTGCTTACGTTCAGTATCGCCGTGGCGAAGCTGCGACACTGCCACCAAGGATAGCCAAGCAGCGAAGTATTATTGCAGCCCTTTGGTTCTCTAGCTGCTGCAATGGCGCTCTGGCTGTGACGGAAGCTTATATCTCCATTTACTTCCAAGGAGTCAAAGGCCTATCGGCCACCTCTTCAGGATTGCTGGGTTTGCCAATGATAGCCGGACTTGGTATTGCCGGTATAGCTGCAGGCATGGGAACGACCGCAATCGGGTACTACTTTCGTAAGTTCAATCGTTCGCATGGGTCAAAAAGCCTATCGCTCACCCGATATATCAGCTTTCATGTTTGCTACCAGCACTCTCGCGCCCATTGCATCTGGCCTCCTCACGACCATCAATCTCGACGAGAGTACGGTGAAAGTGGCGGCACTGCTTGGTTTCCTCGGGGCAGCAATTGGATTTGGCTTACAGATTCCACTACTAGTCGTGCAAACAACCCTATCACCTAAAGATGTGTCACTTGGAACTGCTGTCGTTGGATTTGGAGGAGGAATGGGCTCCGCCCTGTGGACCTGCGCCTCAGCCACGCTTTTTCAAAATCGTCTGGTTGAGGAAGTACAGCGCTATGCCCCCGGCACGAATGGAACGGATTTCGTGCACTCAGGTCTTTCCGAGCTCCGCGACCATATTGGGGGTGCGAATTTGAAGAACGTGCTCTCTGGCTACAACGAAGCTGTGTCACAGACATTGTACATACCTCTAGCGTTGGGTATACTTACCATAATTGGCTCGATCGCAACTGAGCGGAAATCGGTCAAGAAGAAACGATCGTAGACGATGCTTCAGCTGCGATCGGTAGGCGTCAGTAAGGAGACTGAGAGGGAGGCGATGTGAGTCTAGTGAAACCATTTAGAAGTTTCATTTTATGCTTGCCTTGTTCTAATAATATAAGGGTCTCCGGCAGATAGACTTGCACCAAGCTGGTAACTCAGGATGCTAATATGCAGACAGGAGTTTTGGACACTAGGACCTGCTTTTCTCATCGTAGCTTGCACCAGCTTATAGCCTGACTGCCACGATTGGAATGCGCTGGAGCCGCCGGACCCACGATCCACCGAGCATGATCAAGAAGCGGCAAGTTTCTGTGGCATGAGTTCTTCCATCTTGGAGAGCATTTCTATCACCCTGAAAGGTTTGGGCAAGATCCCATCCACTCCGGCAGCAAAAGCATCATATATCTGCTCCTCACGCGCATTGGCAGTAATTGCGATGATGTTGACACGCTTCAGCAATGATCCGTCACGCTCAAGGGCGCGGATTCTCCGTGTACATGCCAGTCCGTCCAGTAAAGGCATCTCGACATCCATAAGGATCCAATCAAGCTCGATAAGCGGCGAGTCCACAGCGGGCTGATGCCACACTCTGCAACTTGTCAGAAAATTCAAGGCTTCGATTCCATGATTGGCGATATAGACAATGCAGCCTGCCCGCTCGAGCTGCTACGTCAGAACCTGAGCATTGATGATGTTGTCCTCTACCAGCAGCACTGAGAGTCGGGGCGGGGCGACGGGCGTATTGCTCAACTGCCTAGATATCCAGCTGATTTTGTCAAGCGGTTCAGATGGTGGGGCGTGAGCTAGTCAGAGATGCAGCTGGGCGAAGAACCTGAGCATGATCCTCCGGGGGATCTGCTCGCCTTACTTTGATGTAGAAAGCGAAGGTGCTTCCTTGTCCAGGTTCGGAAAGAACACCAATTTCACCGCCCATAGTCTCCGTCAGTTGTCGCGACATAAACAGGCCAAGACCTGAGCCCCCATATTTGATGTGCGTCTTTTTGGTGGCTTGCTGGAATCGGTTGAATAGACGCATCATTTCCTCCTGCTGGAGGCCTTTCCCTGTGTCCGATACGGAAAAGAGAAGGTAGACCTGGGCACCGTCACCCCATCCCGGCCCGTTAGTAATGTCTAGGTTCACTTTCTTAGACGGGAACCAGACAATTCCGTTCATATCCGGGCGATCTCCAGTAAACGCTGACTGTCTGATCGTGATCTGACGTCGGGATTCGCGTTTGGTGAATTTGATCGCATTTGTGATGAGGTTGATGAAGACTTGCGTGAGGCGCGAAGGGTCAAGCAAATCCCAGTCGATATCGCGTTCGTCGCAGCTTCGTTCAATCATGTTTTCGACCGTCATTGCGTTCGAATCAAACTCGGCTTGAAACATTCTGAGCGCGGACTGGACGACCACACGGGGCTGTATCACAACTGGGGTGATTGAGAGGAGCTGGGAGTCAAGCTTGGACAGTGTCAATACGTCGTCGATGATTCGTTTCTGATGGGGCAGCACAAAGTAGGATTGTCCTGCCCCCGCTTTCAACGTTCTCATGCATCAGACGAGCAGCGCGCTCGATCGTGCGGTCGGCCGCTAGCCAGTGTTCCAAAGAGCCGGTAATGTCGTCAGCGAGCTGAATTATCGCTGACAGAGGATTCCTCATCTCATGCGAAACGAGATCGATGAAGGCTTCCTGCAGCTTGCGGGCCTTGGTTTCTTCGGCAGCAAGTTTGCTGTGCACCCCTTTGGGTCCATTTGATCTCAATGACATCCGTGACGCAGGCCGCTATACTCTTTAAGACGCCATTTTCGAGCACCGGAAATGCATTCGCGATTACCCAGCATGGTTCATCTTCAGGATTAGAGTTTCCTGCAGCAGTCGGTGGTTTCCACTTTCGAGTCAGTCGGAATTCACTGTCTGAAGGCTTATGCTCCTCGATCAGTTTCATCCAGAATCGTTCGGCAGGCGCCCTAACTTCAGGATGGACAACCTCGATAAAGGGTCGTGAGTATTGATCGTCGGCTGGATGGCCTGTGATCTTATAGTATTGGCCATTCGCCCATATGATATTGCCTTGACCAGTCAGCGTCAATGCTCATATTGATTAGTTTCCATAGAGCAAGACCTACCTTCAGGGGTGACGCGTATCATTCCCACAGGCCCATGTTCAGCGACCTCTCGGATATGTCGCTCATTTTCAGCTAACTGTAGAGTCGGACGCTGCGCCCGTTCTTAGACTTCCATATGATCAATGGCGACGGCTACCGTGGCAGAGACCTGGCGGCACAAGGCGATGACAAATGCATTATCCTCTGGCAGAAAAGCTCGGCGAGGATTGATCCCAAAGACCATAATTCCTAAAAGCCTGCTGCTGACTGATACTGGCGTTATCACGATTCCGTCTGGTTCTTCGCCGTATCCTCGCTAGATAAAATCCTTCATCAGATCATTTGGTAGGGTTCCATCGGTCTTGCGAAGGACTAAAGGTTGGTGCAAGGCTCTAACTTTCCGATAAAGTGGTGGAAGGCCTGTGGAACCATCAAAAACATCAAGTTCAGGTGGTACAAGACAGTGTCCATCAGGCGGTAACCCGATCGACTGCTGAAGTATCAATTTACATGAAACCAGCTCATCATCAGCAGAGTAGGCAAAAGCCATGGGCAAATCTTGCATGTTGCCTCGTAGAGATCGAAAGACATGCTCCCATATAGAATCGTCCTGTTCACTTGAAGGCGAAGCAATCGAATAGAGGGTATTGGACCTGCGACCTTTCACGGTCTCACTCGTGATGTCAATGCCCCTGTTGTAAAAGCCCGACACCGCCCCATTTTCGCCCACGACTGGTAGGATAGTGCCCGCCCAGAAGGTCTCCTGCAGACGGCCGCCGGCTTGCTGGGGGAACACTGCCATTGTGATGAGTTCATAACCTTGAATGTTGGTATGCATAGCGTTGTAAAGAGCATCTACGTCGGACCAGACCTCTTTCCAGATTTCTTCGAACGGAGCTCCTTGGAGGCCGAGACTCTTGTTGAGCTTCTTGCTGACATCTTGATAGGCTTTCAAATTGAAGCAAGAGCACAAATTGGGGCCTCAATAGACAACGGCAGGGTTCGTGTCCGCCATGACAAGGCCTACAATTGCCTGCAGAGCGACAGACCATGCTTCCACAGAACCCAGTTCGGTTACAGACCAGTCGATGCCATTGACAAACCAATCTTTATTCTCGTTCTGTGGAAGGAAATCTGTCCAAGACTTGACTTTGACCTGACTGTGGCTTTATGTTGGTGTAGGATTTAAGTCTTTGTAGGACAGCTTGGATTGAACAACGACATCTGACGCATGCTTGAGTCTCCAGCAGCCACTTGATCTGTCGAAAAATGCATCTTGCTCTATACCCGAACCTATGTCGATACGGATGCTCAACTTTTCCCTACCAGAGCTATCGGTGGAGGAAGATATGCCTAGATCCTGGAGCCGAAGCTGGTCCTCTGAGACCGAGACATTGGTTGTTCATCATTAGCAGCGGTTCCTGCACAATGATTTTCTCGACATGACCACGCTTGTCTGGCTATCTATCAATGCCTCGTCACTCGATGAGGCCCGCTCCGCAATTGAGTGATGGGCAAATCATCGTAGAGCTGGATAACTGTAATGTTTTAATGATGAAAGCCTTCCAAAGCAATATTGTTACAAGCACTGTAAATCACGCCGCAAAGCATTTGTGTCGATGTCAGAACCCGACTAATGGCTAGGTTGACGATTAGTAGAAAGCAGGCGGCGTGAAGCAGGAAAAGAGGATGAAGAATTGCGGCTCTGGATAGGTCTTCCGCGGCTGACGTCGACGGTTCTGGGCCAGATTAAAACAGGGATCCGGCCTTAACTCAAGGGGCGTGCCGCAATAAAGGGCTTGTAGAAAACAAGAAAAGCATCTGACAGGGGCGCCATCTCAGTTTTGCGCCGGGACCTCCCAGGATACCATCGCCCACCGCCTCAGCCTTCCCGTTGTGGAGCATCCGCTACTTATCTCAGTTAGTGGTGACCTGCGTAGGCTGGGATCTGTCAAGATAACCGGACAGGTCCCTCACTCAAGACTATCACTAACATTAGTTAACGCCCCCAAATCGCGGAGGCTGCCCCCACCGCCCCCAGGATATCGGTCACCATGGAAGTCAATATTGAATTCCAACTTTAACTGAAAACGCAATGAGACCCAACCCGCGTTTGAGCGCACTCAGCGTCCCTGGTCACCCATACACGGAGTACCACTAAAGCGTCTTAGCTTATGATGAGCGCTTGTTGAAGGGTGCTGAATGTAGAGGGACCCTGACACGATTTACCTTCTGTTGAACCTTTCATGTCGATTTCAACTAGCTACTGTGCCTAGGCTCAGGGCATGACGCGCCTTGCACACTCTGAGATCCCGCTTACTGTGTTGACAGGGGATCGAGCGTCGATCCAGATCATCGTCGGACTCGCCTTACGAAAACATTGACTTGTCACTCCGTACCTCGCATTCATGATCCTTGTTTCTTTTCGTTTCTCAGAAGTCGAAGTCCACCGCTCGGAGTTTCTCCGGAAGCCTTTCATCGACTACGAGTACTGTTAAAACTAGGATACAACCATCCTGGTGGTGAAAGCTCTGGCCAACATTGTAGAGAATAGGCAGGAAACGCTACCATAGCTCTATCAGTGAGGGGCTCAAGGGCCCTTTGTTAAGACCCTAGGGAACAGAGTTGGGAACAGGCTCCATCTCCTCCAACAACGACCAACTATACGTGCGATGGAAATTGTCTCGATGTCAATATCCATTGCGATAACCAAGATTCGAATTGTGACAACGCTTTAATACAACCCTGGCAAGGGCAACAATGACGTTGTGGATTGTCTCCTTGATCATGGTGCTAATTGCGGTGCAATTCCATTGCCGTTGCGATGGCATTGTCCGCAGCACAAGAGCGCTGAGCATGAATTGGACCCAGGGACGGCCATAGCATGGCTTGTTTGACTCGCTTCAAGATCTTAGGAATATGGGTTAACCGTGTAGGCAACTTTAGAACTTCAGGATCCTTCATTCTCTGAGTTTGTACCCGAGCCTTTCCCTCATTCTGCACTGTCCATCGTGTATGACCCTGTTAACGGTGATCCGTCTGTTGAATGCGAACATGGGGACCCGGATTGGAAGTGACACTTTAGCGAAAGGAGAAGATAAGATGCAGTTTCCTTAATTTCAGGGTGCTTGTTGGACTGAGGTGGGACTTCAAATACTCTCCTTACGAGCATGCGACACACCTAATGGACACGGCTCTCCCGCAGACGCAGCATCCTTGTGCCGCCCTGCTGTTACTCGGTACAAGTGACGAGAGGTACCTTGGAGCCGTACACCGACAAGCCGAATATCTGCTCAGGAGAGCTCCGAGGTTCGCGCTTAAGGATACACACTCAGCATTATCGCACAGGGACGATCCTCCACAGCTTTGGGCCGATTTCTTGGACGCGGTGCCCCGATTCCTGGCCTTATATGGAGTTGCCACCCACAACATCAGATTTCTAGATGAAGCTGTGCTTCAATGCCAGCTGTATGGCGATGTGTTGGGCACCAGCACCATTCTTGAGAATGGAACTACATATAAAGGGCTGTGGATGCAGATTGTCTCGCATCCGGCCAAGCTGCCTCAAGGTGTCTGCTGCCCTGATCCGACCGTTTGGTTGACGGGCAAACGCACTGGCTGTTGCAGGTATCACTAGGCCTCTGACAACGCCGTTGAAGTGGATTCCTCCTCGGACCGTTCAGGAGAACCTCGATGACAACAAATTATTGCTGGAGAAGGAAAAGACACTTGCAACCATCCTCTTCGAGATGTTGAACTGTATAATTGGCCAGGCGCGGGGCCATGATTCAGATCTGCTCAAGAATTACTTAGATGGACACTGGAGTGTACATACGGAATATTCCTGGCTATAATGGCGTCAGCCGTGTATCGCCTGGCTTTACTGCTGCCTGTTACTTTTGCCATGCCTGGGTATCTGGATTGGGCAGACACAAGTCGCAGCGCGGGCTCATCTCACATTGAGAGCCACGGTAGGATTGGTCACGTGGCTGATGTCTCGCATGCCCCTCAGAGGTGCTAAGACGCTTGCAAGTGAGGGCCAAAGCATGGCTGTGCTTATGTCTATTGCATGGAGGGTCTGTCAACATATTGGAATCTGCGATGACTAATATGATGGGTAATTCAGTGGGTGAGTGCGAGGTGATCAGGTCAGAATGACTAAAATTGACTTTTCACAGTGTGTCCAAGTGCGAGCGATGCACAAGGTACAAAGAACATACTGTCGTTGTTTCCAGTAGACTCGGGCATCAAGAGGCAATACTCTTTAGATTACAAATCCTGAAAATGGCGAATGAACCAATTGACTTGCCATAAGGCTGGTCTCGACTTACGGCGATACAGTAAGGTCGATGTGAGAAGAGGCTCCAACTTACCAGGCACAGGGGTGATGGGCCCCTCGGCGCCTCGGGCTCTCAAGGACTCCGTACTCGTAAGGTTATGGGCACTGGGCGTGGCGGTTCTGCCAAGCATTGAAGGCGAGGGGCAATGGGCCTGGGCCAGGGGGTTGGGGGCAAGTTCAGTAGAACAGCATTGCAGATGGAGGGGCACCACAGTACTCCTCATCGCCCCGGGGGTGAAGGTGACAGGGTTCCGTGGGCAACCTATTATAGGGACGTGCTGCCTGTTAGGCTGGAAGATTTAGGCACTGACTGGCTGTCAGCTTCTGCTGAGTTCCTCACTGCTCTTAGTTAAATGGCCTGCGTAAGCCACCTGGTTGGAATGGCTGGAATGGGAGGCGCGGGGCAAGGAGGCCCTCAACCAGAGTCCATTCTTATCCCACTTTGCTCTTGCGTCAACTGCCCCTACTTTTGTCTGGGGCACAACCGAACATCCGACTTGATCGCTATCTCCGCTACCGACAATACATTTCTCTTGCTTGTTCCTCCATATTTTAAGCGCTGCCACCGTTCAAATACTTGCATAATAGGTTATTCGAGACTGACCCTGCTCACGCCTCGCTAATACCCTGAGAGACGGACCCAACTGCCGCTTCTTGCGCCTCCTGTTCATGGTCGACCCTCATCATGGCTGATTCTCCCATCACCAACGCCCCAGTCGGCGCTCAAGAAAAGCCGATCTTGGATAAATTGTTGTTGGTCAGAGACCAGTTACTCCTCTTGAAACAAGATAAAAGCACCTACGTCAAGTCCTCCGATGTCCTCCCCCTCTACGAGAAGGTGGTGGAGCAGGTTTCTCTTCTTAACCAGGCACGAGGCCCTGAGCATCTAGTACAGAACCGAGTCGACACTGTCCTCGATGACTCCCTGCAACTCATCTCCCTCTTCTTCATGGCCATTGGAAGAAACAATGAAGCGCCTGCGCTCTATGCAATGACCGGGACAATCATGCGCCTGTGTCACCACCTCAAAGAGTGCGCCTTTTACAGCAAGAAAGACTTGATCAGCTTGGAGAACTCTCTAGCAAAGATGGAGGCTACTCTGGAACGCGGAAAAGACGTTTACTCCCATCATTTGCTCACCAGGATACAATACCGCATGAAGATCTGCCAGAACCTTTTACAAGAATTGAGAGCCTTCGTATCCACACTTTCTCCCGAAATGGTGCCCACGTGGGAGAAACTCGTATCCATTCTCCGCGCAATAGCAGCCTTGAATACACGAAGCAAGGTACGAATGCTGCCTGTAAGGTCCTCTACCTGAGACTAACCCTGATCCAGTTCAACGTGAAGGACCTTCATGAACTTCGCGATCAGTTGCTACAGATACAATCGACCATGAAAGATGGGAAGTTTCTGGATGAGTCTGGAAATGCATCGGCTGGGCAGGACCTTGTGGTGCCTCTCCTGAACCGGTGCCTCGCTTTTACCGAGATTGTGGAGCAGAAGTAGGAGAATCATCTATGTGCCAAGACGATGAGGTGCTGATAAGTTGAACAGGAAGGGGAAAATCGATGAACGTTTCCAAGAAACTTACGACCATTTAATCGAGATCCGGAACCAGTTAGATCGCTTGACTATGACTCAAGCTTGGTCTCTCCGCGAAACAGATCTGTATATGTGGCAAAGAAAACTCGACCGAATCGATGACTCCAGAAGGGATGGCAACTTCTTTGATGCTGAAGGCCGTCCTGCCGACCTGCATGCTCAGAGAGTAAGTTAGCCTTCTTCGGCCTATCAAATGTAGATCTAACGAAATCAACAGACATTACTATATCTCATTCGACGAGGGTATGCTTTTATCTATCAGCTCCTGATCGCGTCAGAACCCGTTTCAGAAGCTCTGCTTCCCATATACAACCAACTTCTTACCTTGCGGAAATGCCTGGTTGAGGTCAAGAAGGCCGGGGGGGTGTCAAACCCACGGGAGCTCTATCCATACAGCATGAAATTGAACTCGATCGATAATATGAGGGTCGATGGAAAGTTCCAGATCGGCAAGGATATTCCAGAGGGGCAGGGCAGTGTCAATGATCTTCTCGCCGAGTGTTACGATTTAGCATACGAGTTAAGGACCGAGGCTGAGACGGAGAACGATGATGACTGAGGTACGATGTCGGTCTGATCAGTTTGGGTGCATACGATTCCGAGCGCCGATTGTCTTCAGGGGAAGCAAGTGATTCAAGTCTCAAACAAAGAACAACCAACCAACCAACAGAAATAACGATATTATCGGGCTGGTGGCTGTATGCTGTACGGTATGTGGTATGCGTGGCTTGTTCTGCTTCGCAATTGTAGTTTAGCTTCGATGCTAGTATTCCACGGATCACGTCCTGAGTCCTGACAGACCATTTATTCTGCGCTATGACATTCTTCTGCTTCGGTATGCGAAGGTCTATGAACAGTGTCTATTTAGCTTTGAACATGATGGATTGTTATATTACTAGTAACCCGTTCAAATTCAAGTCCACGTCCACCACCTGTGATGCGACGGTCGTGCCGCCAAGACAGTGGAGAAAAAAGCGGAGTTGGATAAATTCTGACCCTAGCCTGGCGTGGATGATTTCTTCGAAAATTTCCCTTGCAGCAACCGCCAGCCTCGAGGTAGGCCAGCGAATACCCAAAACATGAGCCCAAATACTAAAAGGCGAAAGTTGTCGGGTGGCAGCTATGAGGGTTTGACTGCAGTAGATCCTGATCTCAGGACAGCGACGCCTACGCCAACCACGACGAAACCACCCGCAGCCGAAGCGGCTGGCACGAAACCAGATCAGCGGCGCTCGCTGTTTGTTCGTTCACTGCCAGCGTCAGTCACGACAGAACGGCTGACCGAGTACTTCTCCGAGTCGTTCCCCTTGAAGCATGCCACCGTCGTGATCGACCCGCAGACCAAGATCTCCAAGGGATTCGGATTCGTGACGTTCGCGGACGCCGAGGATGCACACGCTGCGATCCAGCAGTTGGACAACTCGGTGCTCGATGGGCGGAAGATAAAAGTTGAGCTCGCACAGTCGAGGCATCGGGATGCGGACGATGTCCCCGGAGGGGCTGGTGCAGTCGCAGATGTTCCAGGCGGAGGCGGTAAGAAAGGCGGTATCAATACCACAGGCGTACAGCTGCGTGCGCAGAGGGAGCAAGATAGGAAAGAAACACAGGCGCCGAGACTGATCGTGAGGAACCTGCCATGGAGTATCAAGACTGCCGAGGATCTTTCGTTGCTGTTTCGCAGTTATGGCAAGGTCAAGCATGCGGTGGTACCCAAGAAGGGACCCCGAGTGCAGTATGGGTTTGGAATTGTTATGCTACGGGGCAAGAAGAATGCCGAGAAGGCTCTGGCTGGGGTAAATGGGAAAGAGGTCGATGGGAGAACACTCGCTGTCGACTGGGCCGTGGATAAGGAGACTTGGGAACAGCAGCAACAGCCTGAACCTGAGGCAACGACCCAGGAAACTAGCGAGCCTCCATCAGGAGCACTTGTGACAGGCAACGAAGAGACTCTACAGCTAGTCGATGGCGGCGATGTATCAGAAGGAACTTCCAGTGAGGGGGAGGGAGTCAACCTTGACGATGAGTCCGGGCCACTAGATGGCCTTTCCGACGAGTCGGAAGGCGATGGGGAAGAGAAAAAAGACAGTGGGAACGACACCACCGTCTTCATCCGCAACGTGCCCTTCACAACCGACGATGAAATCCTCAAGGAGCACTTCTCCACCTTTGGACCCATCCGATATGCACGAGTTGTCTATGACCCGGAAACCGAGCGATCCAAAGGCACCGGTTTCGTGTGCTTCTTTAATGTCGAGGACGCCAAAGCGTGCGTCAGGGAAGCACCGAAACATGACACTCCCACCGACGCCGAAGCCAACAACAAGGACAAAAAGCGCAAAGGCGAGACCCTGAAGCACTCGGTCCTGCAGAACGAAGCGAGCGACCCGTCCGGAAAGTACACGCTTGAAGGGCGGGTGCTGCATGTGACGCGGGCGCTGAGCAGAGAGAACGCGGAGCGGCGCGCGACCGAAGCCAGCGACAAGCGCGACATCCGCGACCGGGACAAGCGGCGGCTGTACCTGCTGTCCGAGGGCTCGGTCGGGCGCGGCACCAAGCTAGCCGACCAGCTAGGCAAGGCGGAGATGGACATCCGCGAGAGCAGCGTGCGCCAGCGTCAGCGCCTGCTCAAGACGAATCCAAACTTGTGCTTGAGCCTGACGCGCCTGAGCATCCGCAACGTCCCGCGCAGCATTGGCAGTAAGGAGCTGAAGGCGCTGGCGCGTGAGGCGGTCGTCGGGTTCGCAAAGGATTGCAAGGCTGGGATCCGCGAGCCGTTGAATAGGGAGGAGCTTCAGCGTGGTGGTGCTGAGATGCGCGAGGCGGACAAGAAGCGGAAGCAGCAGGGCAAGGGGATTGTCAGGCAGGCTAAGGTCGTGTTCGAGGACAAAGAGGGCAGCAAGGTGAAGGACGGCGCGGGCCGGAGTCGAGGCTACGGGTTCATTGAATACGTCAGCCATCGCAACGCGCTGGCGGGCCTACGCTGGCTCAATGGCCGTTCCGTCAAGGGTGCAGGTGACAGGGGTAAAAGGCTGATTGTCGAGTTCGCGATTGAGAACGCCCAGGTCGTGCAGAGACGCAACGAGCGTGAGAAGAGGGCGCATGCCCCGGGAGGAGACCGAGACCAGCAACGGCCCAGGGAGGGGAGGTTCAAGGGAAAACACCCTCCCGACGACAAGGAAGACAAAGGGAAGGACAGCAAGAGGGGCAAGTACGCTCGGAATGCGGACAGAGACGAGAGAGGAAAGGGGAGAGGCCTGAAGCGGAAACGTGGTTCGAATGATGAGACTGCCACTGAAGAGACAACCACCGCCGCCACCAGCGGAGAGGACAAGAACCGTCTCGCGAAACGCAATCGAATCATCGCGAAGAAAAGGCAAGCGAGGAAAGTGCGCAAAGGGTAATGGATGAAAAGATATAGCGTTGTGCTTGTTGATATCGTGCAACTAGCTGATTGGCAGCGGGCGTAGAGACACCGGAAAACTTTCGTTTAAAATGCAATCAAACATCCTCAAAACGAGTATCCATTTTGCTTGGTGTTCTCCCGGAGGCGTTCGGAGTAATGGTCGTTGTTTCAATATGAGGTGCGTTCCCAATATCTTTCCTTGGTCTCATCCCAGGGAGGTGAGCAATTCTTCGATGTTGTCGGTCAATCTTGTCCCGTATTCTGCGCCCCTTTGACCTACAGAGAGAGACAGGGCGAGATGTTAGCGCTCGTTGGAATCTGGAGTGAGGTGTGGTTTGATCTTCACACGAACAAACACCAGTTGCGTGTGGCTGCCACATCGAACACGGTTCCCTTCTCTTCGCATATCCCCAATCCACAACAGGCCGCCGGACAATGTGGCACACTGCAATCCTGCCTCACCTGGTCACAGCTTCTGCAAAGTAGATGTACTGACCTTGCCCACGACATTATATCGCTTGCTGAAGAATGTGTACCATTCGTCCAATACGGTCTTGTGTTTGTCGTCGAGGTCGTCCCAGTCGGGGACACAGTCTTCGGGTTTCAGACTCGACGTTGCGAGGGCGCGGGAGGGGTCTTTTCCGGCGAAGACTGGGGTTTTGGGAAGGGGTCAGTTCAAGTTGTCCACGTATCCTCAGTCTTCGATCACGGGTGGATATTTCCTGCTGGAATGGTTGGGCAAATAAGGGGAGCGGTCTTACCCTGGTATGAACCGCCTGGCGCATACGCGCTGTTCTTCGAAACATCAAAGATGGTGCCCTTGATCGCGACATACGCCGGCTTGTCTGGATTCGTGCCTAAAAGCCGCAGCCAACGGCCGCAGAACCTCAATCACTGTACATCTTGAAAATGACCCCATCCTCGGCGGGCCAAATGTGCGTACCGTCATGACCAGCCAACTGTTCCAGCGACATCAAATCATCCTTTGGAGGCTCGAGCTCGACTTTGGTCTTCGGTTCGAAGCGCTTGTTCTCTGAGTAGGGGCTGGGTGAGGTTGGGTCCGCCATATCCAAGGTAGATTATCGTGACAAACCTCGACTGGAGTCCGTCACTGTGGGAGGAGAAGAAAGGAGAAATGTCAGTATAGGAAGAAATCACGGTGATAGACCCGGAGACACCGATCGACACAAAAGATGGTGCTGCGAGGGAGGGCCAAGAAGGCAGATGGGTGCTGGCACAGCCCCCAGGGACCTTGGGTGTGCTTTGCACCCTTGTGCTGCATGGGCTGATGACATACTCTTTGGACTGCGTTAGGAAAAGGGAAAAGTGCTGGTCGAATTTAGCTCTTGGTAGCACGAGCACGAGCACGGAGGTAGCTTGACCGGGACTCTGCCAGTGGTATGGGACGGATATGTGGCTTGCAAGTTCCTAAGCTTGTCAGGGTACGAGGTCGGGGTGGTTGAGATGGTCATTGAACGCCAACCGGAGGTTACCCAGCGCGGGGCAATCACGTGCTCATGCTACCGCCTAATCGATAAGAAGAGAGGCCGCCACTGACTACGGAGTAGGCCAAGTCGCAGAGGGGAACGAAGCGGGGTGCCTGCCCCTCCATTATTGATCGCATTGGCAGAAACGGGACTCCGTACATACGTACAGCGTTGACCGGAACTCCTTCTTGGCAACCAGTATCATGGTTTCAACCGGCACGCGATCGGTCAGCAGATTAGCACCGAGTACTAATCCGAGCTGTATCATCACCATACCCATTTTGGGGATCACCAATGTAGATCACTGATGTCTGATTTGATTCAATTGTCAATGACTGCTTGTAATACTCCGCAGGGGCGGAAGAAGCACGAGACCACCAGAGGTTTATAACATTTTTCCTACGGTGCAATTAGCAAAGCAACGGGTGGCCGATGTTCGCGTGACAGGTCAGCCAGTGAGGTCGATATGGTTCGTATCTGCCCTTGACGTTATTCATCTTGTGAGGGTGTCGATTTCTCGAGGGGCTGCACTGGTGTTTCAACCATCAGGCTCATGAGGGAGAGGGCTACCTCTGCTGCGGCGAGGACTGTGGTTTCTCCAGCATTGTCGTATACAGGAGCGACCTCGACCACATCGGCGCCAATGACCTTTAGACCCTCAAGCCCATCAAGGATGCTGAGTAGTTCTCGGGTCGTCCAGCCTCCAACTTCCGCTGTGCCTGTACCAGGCGCATATGCAGGGTCGAGCACGTCAATGTCTACCGAAATGTAGACATTGCTTTCGCCTACTCGTGACTTCAGCCTGTCAATGACTCCCGCCACCCCGACTTTGTCAATGTCTCGCGCGGTAGTTATCTCAAATCCACACCGTTTGTCATTTCTCCAGTCATATTTCTTGTTCACCGCTGGAGCACGTATCCCGGCATGGGCTGAGGTATTTAGGATTAATCCTTCTTCATGAGCAATATGGAGGAAGGTTCCATGGTTCACTCCGGCGTAATGAGATATTCCTCCGCCGAGAACCTTTGGATCTACACATTGACACAATCAGTCTCCTCTGTTACACGCCGCCTTCGTAGTCTCAACGGTGCGTTAGGTGCTTGTGACGCCCATCAAGCATCAAGTAATCCTGAGCACAAATGATCCCATGGCTGACTTACCCCAAGTATCGATGTGAGAATCAAAATGGATAACGCTTACAGGTCCCCAGTGATCGATGGTTGACCTCAAAGCCGCTAGAGTAGTGGTGTGATCACCTCCAAGGGTTATCAGGCGAGGCACCCTGGCCACATGCGATGCATTTGCTACTCGGCTCGAAATCGTTTGGTGGGCCTTCAAGAGCTGCTGCAAGGCTACGGTGTTGTCCAAGAAGGTCAGGGGCGCGTCGCCACAATCTACGATCCGAGCCCAGTCAAGGAAGGTATTGTCTTTGGTGTAAGGACTCCAACCAGCAACAGGACTGATTCGTCGCGAACCACTGGCAGAGTGTCAGTTCAATGCGGCGAGTTCGAATATTGACGAGAACCAGTGCCAAGTCACAAAGAAACATGATGCTGTTTTCTTTGGGAATCATTGACATCTTCACACTTACGTTCTGATACCAGTCGGGCCAAAGCGTGTGCCAGGTCGTCCGGTCGTAGCGGTGTCGAATGGAGCTCCCAAAAAAGCTATATCGTACTTGTCAACATGGTCTTCTGCCGACAGACAATGGACCCACGGCAGATTTGCGAATGTTGTCAGTCCGGCGAACTTCTGGGCTTCTAAGAGCTGATCCTGCCCGGGACCGGGTGCATTGGCGAGACCAAGTGAGGTGATTTGTAGTGGGTTGATCGGTGGGAAAATAATGTCACGCCCGAATAACTCAATTGGGAAGAGGAAGAGCAAAACGAGCAATTCAAAGGTCCACCAGGTTGCCACCATGGCGATGGACGATGGGCTGAGGGCGACGGTCTAGCCAGGCCTCCAGTCCTCCAGTCCTCGCACAATGAGTCCAGCACAGTCGCATGCAGCAAACCGTGTGTAGAACTAGATCTGTGGTTTGGCTTGTAGGTAACACATTAAAACTAGTATCAGTAGAACAGTCGTTGAGCAAGGGACTTTGGGACCTGTCCTAAGCTAACAGACACTTGGCATCTGCAGTGTCCAGCTCCACGACGGGCGAGAAATCGCGCATTTGACCCTGGTGGGGGACTGTGAAGATGGGCACCTTCTTAAACTTTGTCTGTTCTGGCTTAGAATTAGGACCGCTTCTATTAGCAGCTGGGGGAAGCATCGAGGCAATCAAGCGAGCAACGTGGCGGTCGTCTGTCTGCAAGGTCCATCTATCTGGGTGTCCGTATATGATGTCCGTATTCGTAGACGGGTATCAGATAACACACGGCAGGAGAGCGCCACTCTAGCCGTATACATGGTATTCATTGCGGGCAGTAACCAGCAGGGGATTCGTAAACCGAGTGCGGAAAGCTCATAACCATCGGCCTCTGGGCGATTGGTGGAACCGCGCTCTCTCTAAGAGCATGGTGGGAATTGTATTGCTTGGGTGCCCCATACTCTGGTCAAACACCACGCACCCGCGGCATAGGCGACTGATACCTTGCACGCATATGTGTTGGAAGCTAGCTGGGTGGCGCTGGTAAGGTAGCAGTATGATTGACAAAGGTCCTTGGCGATGGCTTTTCTAGATTCAGGCCGATCAAGTCTTGTCCTTGGGTTAGCCTGTCGGCGAACGCGCAAGTTGCTTCTCTTCAACTAGCAACTAGCAGATCCGACCCGACTTCCTGCTCTCTCCAGGCGTCTTGCGCCTATCACGAGCCTCGTAAATTGGAGAGGAGTTGGCCAAGGCTGGCGGACGCTCGAAAGCGGGCAAGTGTGAGGTCGAGGTGGGCATCGCGATGTCAGCCGAAATGCAGGACGGTCACTTCAGTTCATTCCACCCGACCTTGTATTGGCCATCTAGTATCTTGTCTGGCTCGCCATCCTCTGCTGCAAGGAAATCTTCCTTTAGATAAGACCAGTGCTTGCCATACCAAGGGCTTGGTATGATATCTTGGGACTGCATAACCGAGTAATCGCACATCGCAAGCCGTGTCACCTCAGACCAGGAATCCATCGCCCCGGCCATGATGGTAAGAGCTAACCAGGGCAGAGTCGACCATCCTTGACTCCCTGCTCGGAGAGCTATCTTTTCGTCATGGTGATCGGCCATTAAATCGAATGGCCCGCCCTTGTTCGCTATTTCTCTCTCTGACGTTTCCTTTGAACCTGTCTGGCGTGAATTGCTGCTAATATCCTTCACCATGGCGAGCACCGGCAATGACCACTTCTATGGAGAGAAGGGGATGCCCGCGCACATGATGGATGAGACCCCCTTGTCTCGAGGTGTCCGTACACATTCTCACGACGATGAAGAAGCTGTTCGACGAGGCTCTCGCAAAGCTTCCGTCGTCGCTTCTCTCAAAGCCAGTTACGGGATTGCCAAGGATGAACCATATGTGGAGAGTATAAGAGGAGGATACGATCATACTCACCGAAAGCTCAAGCCCAGGCACATCCAGCTCATTGGTATTGGGGGAACCATTGGTACTGCTCTATATGTCCAAATTGGACGTGGTCTCCTGAATGGCGGTCCTGGGAGCTTGTTTTTGGCATTTACGATTTGGTAGGTTTTCTGCTTCTGTTTTCCACGAGTCCCATTTCCTGCGATTTTGCGAATGCCCGAAATCGAAGCGTTGAACGAGGCTCGGTCATCGCCATAGTCCTGGACTTGTGCAACCGGTCCAAGATGCAAATCTTATCCTTTCCCCAAATGCAGCATCCTATGCCGTGGTTTATCAGGCTGACCGCTCACTAGGTGTACCTTCATCCTCTGTGTCACGAACTGCATGGCTGAAATGGTTACATATCTCCCTATATCCTCGCCATTCATTCGTTTCGCTGGTCGCTACGTCGATGAAGCCTTTGGTGTCGCCGCGGGCTATAATTTCTTCGTCTTCGAAGCTATGCTGGTACCATTCGAGATTGTGGCTTGCAACGTTATCATCCATTTCTGGAGCGATGTCGTTCCGGCGGGTGGCATAATTGCGATCTGCATTGTTTCATATGCCGTGATCAATATGTTCGCTGTGAAATGGTACGGAGAATCTGAGTTCTGGTTGGCTTTGGGTAAAATGCTACTCATCATCGGCTTGATCATCTACACTTTTATCGCTATGCTTGGAGGAAACCCTTTGCACGATCGATTCGGCTTTCGGTATTGGCAAAACCCTGGATCATTCACCGAACTATGGTATGAAGGTTCGACAGGCCGGTTTGTGGGCTTCTTGCAATGTCTCATTCAGGCCTCATTCACGATTGCTGGCCCCGATTACGTCTCAATGGCAGCAGGTGAGGCTGAAAATCCGCGCAAAGTCCTCCCTAGGGCCTATAAAGCCGTCTTTTACCGCCTCACCGCCTTCTTCGTCCTCGGATCTCTATGCGTAGGAATTCTCGTACCTTACGACGATCCTGAATTGACTGCAGCCTTCGAGACTGGCCAACCTGGCGCTGCAGCATCTCCTTACGTCGTGTCGATGAATCGTCTTCGCATCAAAGTGCTACCTCATATTGTCAATGCAATGGTGCTTGGAAGCGCTTTTTCTGCTGGTAACAGCTATATGTACTGCGCCAGCCGCAGTCTGTTTGGACTTGCGCTTGAAGGCAAGGCCCCTCAGATTTTCAAACGCTGCACAAAGAATGGTGTACCCGTCTACTGTGTGGCGCTTGTCCTGCTTCTTAGTTTATTGAGCTTTTTGCAAGTCAGCAACGACTCGGCCGTCGTACTTGGCTGGTTTGTTAACTTGGTAAGATTGGCCACGGGGGGCTCCCATCAGAGATATACACATCGTGTTGCTAACAATTTCCAGGTGACTGCGTCCCAGCTTATCAACTTCTCTGTGATGTCATATACATACATCAAGTTCAAAAGGGCTCTTGAGGCGCAAGGAATTGACCGTAACACACTGCCTTACAGAGCCTGGTGGCAGCCATATTCGGCTTGGTACGCCCTGGTTGGGACTTTTATCATGACCTTTGTGGGAGGGTATTCAGTCTTCCTTCCCGGCTTCTGGGATGTCCCGACGTTCCTCTTCAGCTACACCATGATAGGTGTATTCCCGATTTTATTCTTCGGTTGGAAATTCTACAAGAAGACAAAGTGGCTAAAGCCTGAAGAGGTCGACCTCAACAAGGACATGGATGAGTTGGAGGAGTACGAGCGAAACTACGTGCCGAGACAGCCTAGGTGAGTTGGGAGACCTCATTTGAGAGCGAGGAGCCAACATACTGACCCTTTGTTTCCAGGAATGCCTTCATGAAGTACTTCGACAAAGTCTTCAGCTAGACCATCCCTTCGCAGCTCCACCCTCTTGCTCGACCCCCGACACAGATCTCCCGGCACGCGAGAGCACATGTTTAGGAAAGCCGGAGGTATCAGACAGCTGGACCAACGAAGGTGAGATGAGGTAGACAGTATGATTTTCGTGCCACGTCAAATGGTTCAAGTTGTGAGACTGGGCCGAATGCAGCAAGACATAACATGAACATGAGGCGCAGTGACCTTGGCCCGAACGCGCATACATGATGCATCAAAAACTCCGGGGAGAGGGTGATATGTAACCTCAAACGGCATGGAAACCGAAAGGGAACAGTCCCCCAACGTGAATCCCCCAAAGCAGCACACTAGTTATAGTCTGCCTGTTTCTTCACTCCTTCCCTCCTTCTCACAATCGTGCGTGACTGTGCTCGCACCTCATCTCGCGCACCTCCTCTGACGCGACTCGACGCGACTCGACTAGACCGTGAACCTCAGCTCCTCATTCCTCCCAGTGAGTTCTGTCCTCGATCTACGAGGCACTGGCATACCCTATACTATTACCCGTAATCGAGAATAAAGCCGCGGCCAAAATTAACAACCCGGTAGCCTTAACAAATATGCACACGAACGCCCTCCCATCTGTCCAGCATAGTATACGCTCCTCCGGTGCCTGGATAACTGAACTCCTCGCAGTCACGGTAGCTTAGGTTTTTTGAACCGTGTACAGGTAGGTAGATATATTGCTTTGATCAGTGCTTAAGTACTACTCCCTCGCTGGCAAGTGCATTTGGCCGCTGCAGAAGAACGAAGGATATATTGTATGCCGCCTTTATCTACCTCCTAGACTAGTTTTTTCCTTGTCGAGCTTCTTTCTTGTCGATGGGATGGGATCTCGTGTTTGCCCTAGAAGTAATGGTAAAGAGGTGGGTAGATCGAATAATCGTTCACATGATTCATCCATTCCTAGGGGCAGTTTTCAAACGGAGCGGTGAAAAGTCAATTAGAAATTAATTTATCCACTAATGGGATTATATATATACATATATATGCATGGTCTGGGAGATCCACCAGATACTCTGTAGGATTCGTGTCCTCCGATCATCTTTCATGAACGCCCTGTGATTCCAGTCCTTCTCACGTTATGTCGCTCGCTCGCGGAGGGGCTCTGCTCCATTATCCATACATGTGTCCAGTTTGGGTCGCTGAGTGAAATTAATCAAACCCCGCCCGTCGCTGGTCGTGTCCATAGATCAGGTTTTGGGAATTTTACATCCTTTCCATAATGCTCGACGAAGCAGCCAGCGAGTGGTAATGGTCGTGGTTGCTTTTGACGCCGTTTCCCGGACGTCATCGAATAATCATGCTCCTGCGTGGAGAGTATGACTGTTGCGTCAGAGTGGGACCTGTGTCGATCCACGATCACCTGGCTTGCGGAAGAGACGTGCTCTCGATGGAGGTCTGGGTTCCCGCTCGATGAAGGCAGGCTAGTTCTCCTGTGTCGTTGCGTATGGAAAGGAACGATCACGAGCAGTGTTCCGCGCGATAGTATGAAACGTTGTCTCAGACTGTCCTGTTTCTCATTTCAGGTGCACTCCTAGGTGCGAGATAACTCCGGCCTGGATGAGTGGCAAAGTTGCGACGAGAGAAATTGAAGCCTCAGTTGGGCTTTTCCGGGTCCAGTGTGTTTGAGCTACGATCGCTAATGGATCTCAGCGTATTGATGGAGACATTCAATTGCAATGAGAAATGGCAGCCGTTGGTTCAATGATGTTGGATCCGCTCAAGAAGATCGAGAGTCTGACGGTCGAGGGAGTCGGTAAAACTACTCTCAGCGCTGAATGGTAAGCCTCTGGTTGTTTAGAAACATATGCAGAAGCTGGTCGGCTGGCGTTCGGCCAGACGTGTAAAATATACGGTCTCTGAGATCGGATTCGAATCGGTGTCCTCTCAATCATCATCGTGCATTGCTTCACTCTTCCGTCTGCCACCGAGCCAAGCTCCCGGAGGTGGTTGGAGCATGCCGTCAACCTCGACAATGATCTGCTCTCGTCTTTGCTCGGCCTTGATTCGTTCTTCCTGCTCTTTTTCGGACTCTTTTCGCCCATTCGCCTCTGCGGCGGCGGCATAATTACCAGCCCCTCCTCTTCCTGGGTGAGCAGAGTATGCATTCGACGGACTGGGTGGCCGTACTGTGCCCAGCGTGACTGGTAAACTGGGGCTGCGTTTCGCCTGGGCGATGTCGTTACTCGAGAGGTAGTTGCCGGCTCCGCCACGTCCCGCGTACAGATACTGTGCAGAGCTCTGCCGCATCTTGAGAGCTTCCTGTGTATCGATATGCTCGAGTTTGGCGGCAGCTTTTCGTCTCTCGCTTAGAGAGGACACCTGGGGCACAGGAGTCTTCTGAGCTTCTAGATCGCTCACCGACTGCGACTTTGCGAGGTCGGATGCCTGCCAGGTGAAATTTCCAGCTCCACCTCGGCCGGTTCGTACATACGGCCCATAGGCGGATGAGTTTGAGACCGAAGACATGGGGCTGTGGGATGGGGAGTTGGTGTAGGTGGTAGGTTCGGAGAAGGTATCCTCATCGGGATGGCTGTTCACGGGCGAGACGGAGGATGCGTAGGAGTCCAGAAGCCATGCGGCCCAAGACTGCGTCGAGGCCATTCTTGGTGAGTGGCCACCAATCGATCAGTTGATTGAATCTCGTTCAAAATCCTCTGCTTTTGTGCTTGTGTAAGGTTGTTTTTGCTGGATGGGCGCTGACTGGTCGAGCGGATAAGACTCTTTTCGTTTACGACTGGTGGTGACGCAGTCCAAGCTGGTCAAGGTGGCACCCTTGCGAATCCTTTTCCGGCATGCAAGTCTGCTGTCTGCCTGTAGTAATGCGAGATCTGGAGTACGCTGCGGGGGGGGATAACGCAATCGAACCTTCAACAGAAGCCAAGAACCCTTGGTCTTGTGGAAGTCAGAACGACTATCTGCAACGTTACAAGTTGTAAGAGTCGAGAAGCAGAGAGAAAAAAAAGGGAGGCTGAAGCCGTTAACTGATGTTCACAGCTAATTAACCACGGGAGGAGGACGTACTCGCCAGTAGTAGTGCTAATCCCTTACAAGGCACTACGGATAGGCTTAAGTTAGGACTGATCAATCACGTTGGGCTTTGGACGTTGGGTGATTGCCGGTCCGTGGCGCCGGACAAGCAGGGAGGCGTTTGACGGCAGATTGCGGTGGTTCATCATTGGGGGGCATGAGGGCAAAGAGGGGGGGGAGGACATGGACCTGGAACGTGGATCTTCTTCGCAAACATGACTTGGTAAGAGCATTGAAGCGAAATAACAAAAATGGAAACATTGCATGGCAAGTACCTACCTAGTGCAAATAATACTACTAGGTAGTCATGGCGATATTGTATTGCTTTGTGGCCTGTGCAAAAAGTCCGGCCGCCAGATCCAATCCAATTGACCGGGTCCCCATATGGACCTCGTTACCATGGATGATGGAGCTCTCAATTGCTAGCTATCGGACATATTCTTCCAATGGTTCCCCCAAATGATCAATTAGAGCTTGATCGAGCTTGTCAGGTCGCCAGGCACCCCCTAAGCTTAGATCTCCATTCGTGACCTAAGCTCAATCTGGACGGTATAGGCGGACTTTAGTGATCACGGTGAGATATAAATATCGACGCAGGAATGTTAGACTGACTGGTCTGACCAGTCTGACCTGTTGACCTTCCCAGAGCCAGGGCCGAATGGGCGTCGATCAGGCTGCAGACATGGGCCTGATCGTCTGGCGCCGGCATGTCTGATGTGCTAGAATCGACCTACGCACTCGGACAGGATAATCCGATCGTTCGCCTGGAGTTTTATAGACAGACTCTTCGCGACCTATAGAAGAGCACATCTGTCATAGTTGGCAGATACAGACTCTTGATGTCGTCTAATACATAGTTGAAGCTAAGATATGCACCGTGTCTGCTGACTGTGTACACAGTAGCACAGGAATTCGGAGTCGCACAGATGTACTCCGTACCAAGCCGATTCTCCCATAAGATCCCTCCCTCTTCGGTCTGAAGGACCGAGGAGGGTTCAACTTCTGCGCCGATGCGCTAGCTCTATTGCTAGAGAGTCGCGTAGTCCATGGCTCTGATAAGACTATTCCACCTTGGGCCCATATCAAGAACTGGTACGGAGTAGAGAGCTCCTCACGGGTGGAGGACATTCCATCTTACAGCTAGCCAGCCAGCCATCAAAAATCGGGCGTCAAGGAATGAATAGCTTGTTCTTTGCCATGCACCAAACCATGCACCTTTCAGCCCGGCTTTTCGCGACAAACATGGGTGCTATCCTGGAAGCTGGATGCGGCAGGTGGGATGTCCCGACCATGATAATTGAGCTTTAGCCCCAGATAGCAGAGATAACTGCGGAGATCAAGGTGTTCGCATTCCACGTTTCCCCCCAGCGTTTCGCCCTCCGATTTTCGGTATATGCATTGCCTGAACCATCTTCATATATGGATGTCGACTACACGAGCATCAGCCTCTTCGGGGCTTGTTGCCTCTGTGGGCAATAGAGTTACCTCTCTCGCCCTGTGTCTACTTCTCACAGCAGTATCAATGCGGGAGACCGAGGTAGCTGACTCTGCTGCCTTACCCCGCCGTTTAGTTCCATCCGCACAACGGGACTGATATGCAGAGTTGGCGCGCTCCGGGGTTATCTCCAGAAACCGACAAGGGTCCAAAACCACTTCAAGAGGAACCCACCTGATACTAGTCGGCAGGACGGACGATTGAGTACAATTGAGTACTCCGTAGCTAAGCTCGACGTAGACGATGAACAACATGGATGAGCCAAAGCTACCATGCCTCGCGGGAGCCCCGAGGTACTTGTGTCTTCGTGTTTAAATTTTGCTTTGACCCCGAATTATATATATAAAATAATGGGTTTTGGTTGTCGACGATCACTATGGCGCGAAGTGCCCCACGGATGATCGGAATCGACCACGATTGATCGACGGCAAGATGCCCGGCTTGGGCATGACTCGTTTAGATGGCATGCCACAGGTGCCAAACAACTTGACTAATGAGTTTTGACTCCCGGATAAATCCAGCGTCTGGGAGGTGCGGAATCTTCGGTTTGTTGACAATCGCTTAACCTGGTATTGTACATACCCATAGGTGGCATTTAATTTGGCAACGGCGCCCCGTGCTCTCGTCCCGCCTCTTGAACGAGTACCCGTACAGGATGCGATGACGACAAAATGTGCATCCGCTGTCCAGTGACAATGCTGACTAGTACCACAGAACGAACCGAGGGCACGGGACCTATGCCACAGCTTGGACAAGCCTACATTACCCCCACAAGGATTGAGGCCATGACGGCATTGCAGAAGTTGATGCGTGATTTTGTGGCCTCGAGACGCAATCATGCGACCTCGCAAGTGCTTGGAAGGTGCTCCATGACTTGTTCAGGGTCGCTTCTCGCCCCTGCTGCAGCTATTCAGATGCGGTTTGGTGCAGCTGATGGCGCTATGTACAACTGGCCCCCTTTGAATTCGTGTTGACTGACTGGTTCGACGGCTTGCGTGCGTGCTAGATGCTCCACACTCACTCCCTTCTGGTCTGGCTGCACCTAGGCAGGCGCTCGCGCGGTCAGGCTGGATGTGTCCCCTCTTCTGGAGAAGGCACTCGTCGTCCAATAGCTTGGAAACCGCCAATCAGGCGCTACAGGGTGGCCAATTGCACGCATTCATCGCCCACAGTGAGACGGCCACCTCTTATCATGATTCGTAAGTTACTTCCGTGCTGTTGACGCCCATCATTCCCTACTTGGACGACCCAGTCCGAGCTGCTCGTACGGAGCAAGTACTTGTGGTAGTAGTGCAACGCTACCCCTCGTCGGGTGCAAGGAGCTTTGTGGGTGCGAACTGCCACAATGTATTATTATTATTTTTGTTTCCCAAGGGCTGGCACCGGTACCAGCTTAATCGGCAGTGCCCAGTTCCCCATTTGTTTGGCCTTGCTCGTACAGTCGGCTGAACATGACCCAGAGACCCGGGAGGCCCGTTCTTGTGCCCGTGCGTCTTTGAAACGCGATGCTTGAACCTTAGTCGTAGGCCTGGGTAATTCTTCCGGATCATGGGGAAAATGGAAGGAGACTGCGCCGAGATGCTGAAATCGGAGTGGCCAAAAGTCGAAGCCCGATTCGTGTTTGGCTCAGGCTCATGCTCAGGCTTACTGCCGACAGGAGCTAGATGTGGAGGCAAGGATGGGGTGGAGGAGAGGGTTGGACTGAAGCATGACTTGATGGGGCCTCGAACCAGAAAATTTTTAGTCAGGTTCTTCTTCACCCCTAGCCAGGAACGGAACGAGTGTGAGCGTGTGGTGCGGCTGCCCTGGGTTGCCTGACCCATGGTCAATGGCCCATGCTCATCCACGGAACCTGGGACCAAGGACGATAGAGCATGAGGCCTGCAGGACCCACGCCATAAACCACGAGAAACGCGAACACTCCAGAACCAGACCAAGAGCTTGCCCATGCCCATGCATGACAGCTTCTTTTATTTTTTTGCCGTCCCGGGCCATGCATCGAACAAAGCAAGCCATCATCTCACATCCCCATCGTGACATGGCCCCCTCGTAGGAAGAACCTGGTCTTCCCGCGGCCTGCCTGTCTAGGTTGGGTTTGGGCTGATCAATGACTCCATGGCCTTAGCTGGTGCAATAGTGAATCCAGGTTATGGTGATCCTCAGACAACGGCAACTGCTCTTTTTATTTCCTTTGCCATTTCGGTCTTGTCGCGGTACGAGGCCTGCGCTGAGGATGGGGCAAGGACTCAAGGAGGGAGCGGACAAATTTCTTTTGCCGCCCGTGCTGCTGAAACAGCTACCAGTGGACGCGCACCGAGGCCTCGAACTTGGGCTGGGGAACTTTGGCATTAATTTCCTGGAACCGACACATGAATCCAGGCACGGTTAACCCCGCAGCAAACCAACTCAGGACGGCCTAGCAGTGGTGGGAAGGGGCGTTAGTCCGCGGTACCTAGGCCAGTTAGCCTGTGTATCAGCCAAAAGGTCAGAGATGCAAAGCCAAAAATGATAGTTAGAATGTTCGGTAGACTTAGAGTCTAGCACGCAAGACGGAATCGGGCGATCAGCAGGCTCGAGCACCGCCGAGGGTTAGGTGGTGTTTGGTCTCGGCCTCTCCAACGGAGTACACTACGAGCTACTCGTACGGAGTTTGTACCCCAAGCTACCGAGTCCTCTTACCTTTATGCCTAAGCTAAGCCTTCCCAGTCAGCACTGCGCCTACGATACCGTTAACTCTACAGCCACACTATGACTTATCCAGGTGTGCAGGTCTCCAACAAGACCTAAACTATCCGCAGTTGCCCCCAATCCACATGACTTCCAGCAACTTAATTCCACCGATCCCACGGAACAGGCCTCAACTAAAGTGATTGACCAACATCCGCCCACGTCCTGAGTTTGCCAGTGCCACGCCCAACGCTCGGGTCAGGTCAGGTCAGGATCACGGCCACAGCCACGGTCACACTTTTGGCCCATGTCTCCTTCTTTTCAATCCACCTGCGACACACTCCTACTGCTCACTACTTTCTACGTACCACTGACACTTTTTATTCTTGCTCCCCATCATTGCTGCCTTACTTTGCATTTCTAATCCAGTTCCTCGCACCCACCCTCCTGTCGTCTCGTCGTCGACAACCTCCTATTCTTTTCACTTGCGGCGCAAACCTCATCGACGTCTTTCCTTCCCTGTCTCGATCTGCAGCCACCCGCGTGTGCCCCCTCGCTGCCCTTGTCACTCGATCGAACTTAGGAATTCCCCCACCAGAACCACACACTCACACACACCCGCACCCACCACACAATCACCACCACACATTGTTCCCTGCTGTCTCCTGACGACTCTCAAGTCTCAAGACTCTGTCTGGTTTTGAACTCGAGGGTCGTCTTATACCAGTCTCTGCCTTCAACATGGCCTCGTCCAAAGTGAGTCAATTCACTTGTCCCTTGCTCAACTGAATGTCCGTGCTGACTTGATTTCTAAACAAAGGAACAACCGACTTCCCGCCCTGTCTCGGGCAGTTTCTCAAAGCATACTCCTGGGGCTTCGAGACAACACTCTCATTCCATTTCCCTCGCTGCTACCAATACTTCCCACCGTGTCAACCGCAGAAAGAGCGTCAACTCCGCCGCCTCCTCCACTGCACAAGCCGCTATCGTGGCCGCGTTGAGAGAACAGGGAGACGCGTCGACGATCCCTCCGCACAGCCATCGCAGGAGCATGGGCTCCAAAAGAAACACCGAATCTCTCTCCATGAGTAGTAGACCCAGCATGCACTCCTACTTCAACGGTTCAGCCACCTCTCCCTCGGCTCAGGACAATGAGGCCCTGGAAGACAATTCATACGACGAGGACGCTCCCCCTTCTTCCAAGTCCATCAGCACCAAGGCTCGAAACCGCAGAGCGAGTGAGGGGTCATACCTGATCAAGGGCGAAGGGAAAAAGCCCTCCTCGGACCTGCGTTGTGATACCTGCGGAAAGGGCTACAAACACAGCAGCTGCTTGACCAAACATCTGTATGAACACACTGACTAAGTTGGCCTTTTCTGCTGTCCGTGAGCTAATGCTAGTAGATGGGAACACGATCCTGCGTGGGCCATCACCTCCAAACTCCTCATTTCGAAGCATCAGCAAGTCCAGCTTCTGGAGGCTGCCTCAGTCTTGTGCACCATGACCTCTGATAATTTGACGCCCGGCCAATCCGAAAACGAATCCTCTCCCGTCGACCCGAGCGACGCTTCTTCTGGCTCGCCAGGATTGTCATCCTCAGAGATGCATGATGGAGTTAGCTCGGTCGAGACAACCCCCCCTCCCATGAGCGAAGGTGCATACCCCGTTCCTTCCTCCAAACGCTTCAGCACCAGCAGCAATGGCTTCTCGCGTTCCTACCGATCGGTCCAGTCGAGCTCATATGCCGAGAGTGTTCTTTCTCCAGGGCTACCCCCTCACAGACTTTCCGGGGTTGATTTCCGACCTACCACCTCGGGTACCGACGATGGCACTCTCGCTGCCGCCACAGCTGGTCTCAGTTTCAATAGCGGCACGCCTCGCACCAAGCCAGTCTATCTCAGTTCAGATGTACCACCTGTACCACCATTGCCACAACAATATCAGTCATTCAATAGCAAGTCTTCCGACAGTACATTGACCAACGTATATAATCCCTTATTGCAGCTGCATCCCACCACCCTGACTCAGAACCTGTCGGATGAAAGAAACTACAGGGACTCTGGGGAAGCGAAAGATATTCACATGGACGATGAAGAAATGTTTCGTATGGAGGAATAAGCAAAAACATCAGCAACACATCTTTCGACCATATCAATTTTTATCACTCCTTTACACCACCATTTACCTACCTTCTTTCTTTGGGCAGACTTTGGGCGTTTTCAGGACTGTATGTATTTGATTATTGCAAGAAAAGGAAAACCAGGTCCATGCTCCGCAGACAGATCCTCAAAGCACCGATGAGTTGACTGAATGATGCAGTTGACGAGGTTAAAGCGAGTGGGACTGTCAGTTTTCTGAGCGTAGAGCGGATCCATATCTGATAACGAAGCATTTGGGGATTGAGCCAAGCCATCGTCGAACTCCCGAGTATAGCTGGTTGCATGGTATTCTTGGACTGGTAGCTGGCATTTCATTAATAGCTCATCAAGTTCTGGCTTTTTGACAGCTGGGACTGGTTACGAATCTTGGAACATGACCAGGCACAAGACGTTTCGCGCTATGGACGACCTTAAACGAACAGAGATCTAGTCGAAATGAATTCTTTTTGAGTCATCGTCTAAAAGGGTGTGAGCGTGGCGCCTTGAAATTTTTCCTACTTTCTACTCTTCCCCACCACCCGTGATCTACACGATCTACACATGTGGTGGGATTGACATATCAACAGTCGATCACTCGGCCTTGTGCAGGAATATTCTGAGCGTGCGGGACTGGTGCACCCACGCGCCAGAGCCCCGGCTGCCAATCACCTTGGCTAAAATCAAGACGAAACTAGAATCTTTACCCCCCGTATGAAGATCGATCCGCAAACGTGTTTACTCGGTCTAATCCCCAAAAGTCTATCGCGCTTGTCACTGAGATCACAGCTCGAACAACCCCCTTCATTTCATTTTCCATCACCGTGTGAGGTTCAAGCTTGATTTGCGCATAACAACCCTTCTCAGAAGTAATTCATTCCACAGATATGTTTTAGTCTCTCAATCTCAAGGTAAGGCGAGGTTCACTCACGCCTGTCCCGTGATCTGTAAGTTCCAGCCTGCCTGCCGACCCCGTGAATCTTGTCGTGCTAATACTCCTCCGTAGTTCTCTGGCAGAGTACACAGACCGAAACGCTTCAAATATTTAGCAGTGACGATGATCATTTTACAGTAGGCCAGGCAGAAGGATATGACAAGGGTTTTGACTTTTTGGAGCTCGCAGACCGAGGTATTTCAGCCTCGTCTCGATACGATGTGGCGCTTTTGAGTTGTGTTAAGGCTCAGTGGTGCGCGTGATTGGATATAAACACAATTTCCAGGCAGACCATCCGAGCCCTAGTCCACTCCTACGACTGGTACATAGGCGTGCGTGTCTCGACAGCAGGACGGAGCAGTATCTCTTGTCTCTATCTCGCTCTCTGTCCACTTCGTTCCCCCAACAACCAGAACATTATCCCCTAACCTACTGATCTCCCCTCAGTATCTACATACCCTATTCTACATACAGTCCCAGAACGAATAAGATAAGGCGAATAAGACGATGCCGCTCAAAGCCAAAGAGCTGACCGCTCACCCAGCATACCAGAAACTGGAATGGGATCTGCCACCGGCGAGGAAAGGGAGGTCAGAAGTCGCTAAGGGGAGGACCGGTGGCCCCTTCAAATTGAATTGGGAGGTCCATGGCGGGGGGAACACTAAGTTGGTGGTGAGTCCAATTTCCAAACTTGAATCGTTGCCTTTTTATGATCTCTGCTCTACATTTTGTATCCATCTGGGATGGGGTGGGAAGCAACGCCAGTGTGGAAACCATAGTGTCTGAAAAATTGGAGACGAATTGTTTTGTTACTGAGAGGCAGTATGCTGCTGAGGCTTCCTGCACGCCCACGTTGAGTTGAAAAGCGTAGCAGACGCAAGCACGCACGTTGCAGGTCGCTTCTCATGCCAGTCTTCCTTTCGTCTTCATCCATCTCTACACTCCATACCGAGATATATTCCTCCATCTATCTAACCACCCCTGTGCACATGTGACAGTGGATAATGGGGCTGGGAGCGTACCGAACCGCGTGGAAACGACAGACGAAATACTTTGGGCACGATCACTCCAAGACGTACTCGTCACTCGTCTTCGACAACCGCGGCATGGGCCTCAGTGACAAGCCTACATGTAGGTACTCAACGTCCGAGATGGCTAAGGACGTCGTGGACCTTCTGAGTAAAATTGGCTGGATTGAGACCTCTTCGGCGTCGACATCACCGAAACCACGCGACCTGCACGTCGTCGGCGTGAGCATGGGCGGGATGATCGCGCAGGAACTGGCCCTTCTGATCCCACACTCAATCGCAAGCCTGATCCTCGTATCGACCTTCTCTCGCATGGTTCGAACAATCCCATTCGTGGAGAATCTGCGGCAGCGGATCAACATGTTCGTGCCGCGCGACATCGACATGCAACTGCATGAGATCGCGCATCGCCTGTTTTCCTCCGAATTCCTCGCCCTCCCAGACACAGAGAACTCCGGCTCAGATCCGACGCTCAACTACCCGACGAACTGGGACCGTTTCGCCGCCAACGAGCTCAGCAAGCGCACTGACAAAGAGGGCTTTACCCGCAAGGGCTTCATGCTGCAGGCCATTGCGGCGGGCTGGCACCTTAAGACGAAAGAGCAGTTGTTGGAGATTAAGGAGAAAGTCGGTGCGGAGCGGATCGCGGTCTTGCATGGGACGATCGATCGGATGATTACTTTCAAGCATTTCGAGATTATCAAGGAGGAGATGGGTGAGGGGCCGACGTACAAGGTCTGGGATGGTAAGGGCCACGTCTTGATGTGGGAGGAGCACGAGGAGTTTAATACTTTTGTAAAGGAGTTTGTCGATCGTCACAGTTGATTAGGGGGGAATGGACAGGACGGTTGTCGTGCTATCCATGATCTAGATCGGTGCATTTTGGCTTTCAGGACCTTCGCACTTGGGTTTATGTAACAGGCGAATCGTATCACTGGACCGAGATAAACGGTGGTGGTTGTTTTTGTTTTGCGACATTAGACCAGTTGCATAGATGACATGAGCAAACGGGAGACATATCAAGGGCATTCAACTCTTCAGCTTTGTCAGTACGACAGCTGCCAGTGTTGCGATTGAAGTGCCTTCAAGAATCAACACTCGATGTCTGGGTAAAGTGTGTCAGTTCGACCATCGACCGTCCTTGTTCAACTTGCGACCCCTTTTACAGGGTCAGATCAACATGGGCACATAGACCGATCTATTCAACGAGGCGAGCGACCGTGAGAAGGATAGTCAGATGGTTTGAATCATTCGTTAAAGGTGTGGGATCGTCTTTTTGTACATCTTATTTCCCATGCAAATCTGTTGCACATCCGAGTGGAGATATGTTTGTACAAATATAAATGTCTCTCTCTCTCTTCTCTTCATATCGCTTCTCCATGGTCATCTCTCGACACGCTGGAGGAGTGGACTTGCTCGTCTAATCTATGCCTCGATCCAGAGTGGTTTCCCCGGGAAGGAAAAAAAGGGTGTCCCTAACGCCGCGCTATGCTCCCGGTAGAAAAAATGACAAGAAAATGTTGCATCTCCAATGCAAAAGACTCGCCCCGTTTCCAAATCAGCTCATTCATGAACGCAATCAACCATTCTTCTCCAGAAACTCCTTCGCCTCGTTGATTTTACTGGCGAGGTACGGGCTCCCGCCTCGATCGGGGTGGTTGACGAGCATCAGCCCTCTGTGGTTTTTCCGGATCTTCTCTTTCGAGAGTGTGCGTTCGCTCAGGTCGAGGATCAAGCTGGCTTCTCGGCGGTTCATCTTCGGTTCGAAACCGCCCTTGTAGAAGGGTCGGCCGAGCGCGTTGAGCCCGTTCGGGTTGCGGTATCGTCGGAATGCGACTAGGCCTGCTCGTCCCTGTTTTCGAGAAGGAATGCGTCTGTGGTTAGTTGGAAATTTTCTTGGAGGTGAGAGATGGGGGGGAAGGTTTGGTTTTATGGATGCTTGCTTGCTTGCTTTGGAAGGTTAAGGGCAAAGGAAAAGACGTACGAAGAAAGCCGCGGCTGCGATGCCTACGCCAATTGCGACGGTTGATGCCATTCTGCTTGACAATGTGAAGTGTGTCGACGAGAGATCCTTTTTATCTGAATCGCGACGAGTGTATGAGATGGCGAGTCTGCGAAGACCGAGTAACGTTCGTTTGTGTAGCTTATATGAATGATTGGTCTTTTCTGAGAAGTCGGCTCTTGTTTCTCGCTCTTTTGGTTCCGCGCAAGAAGAATAATCGGGTCGTCGGCTGGCTTTCCTGATCAGGCGAAGCCGAAGGGTCGCAAATTCTTGGCGGGAATTTTCAAGAACCTCAAAAGATTCTTGTGCAAATCAGGCGGCGCCAACGTTGTATCGACAACGACCCATAATCACAAAGGTCACTCCGCCAGTACCACTTCGCACTCGATAGCAATCATTGCGAGTCGAGGACAGACAGCCTGAACTTGTGTCTGTTCCACTACACAGCGACTTCCAGACGTTGCAGCCCCGAAGAATATCTGTGACCGCCGGCGCAGCGGAGCAGCAGCAGCAGCTATGAGGTGAGATTCTCTTTCTTACAATCCTACCAATATCCCCTTCAGTACATAGAACCGGGACTAACTAAGCCCTCCACTTCGTCCCCACAGGATCGAAACATGCCACCTATGTTCCCGGCCCGTCTATCCCTCGAAAGGAATCACCTTCGTCCGCAACGACGCCAAACTCTTCCGATTCTGCCGATCCAAATGCCACAAGAACTTCAAGATGAAGCGACAACCCCGTAAACTCAAATGGACCAAGACCTCCCGAGCGATGCGCGGCAAGGAAATGATCGTGGACCAGAACCTGCTCCTCTCGCAGTTCGCGAAGCGGCGCAACGCACCCGTGAAGTACGACCGGAACCTGGTGGCCGCGACGATGAAGGCGATGGAGCGGATTGAGGAGATCCGCGCGCGGAGGGAGCGGGTGTATACCCGCCGGCGGTTGAGTGGGAAGGCCCAGCGGGAGGCGAAGAGGAGGCAGAACCTCAAGGTCGTGGCGGAGGGTGAGCATCTTATTCGCAAGGAGTTGGCGGATCTGGAGGCTGCAAGGGCGGAGATGGAGCCGATGGCCGAGAAGGTCAAGATGGAGATGGAGGCCAGTCGGGTCATGGGCGAGGAGAGGCTGCGTCTAAAGAGCAAGAGGAAGTTGTTGGTTGGTGGTGGCACCGAGGAGGAGATGGATCTCGATTGATGAGAAGACCACGTCTGTCACGAATACCCGCCGGCGCTCAGGGAGTTATGTTATTCTGTGGATGGAGAGTGGCGGCGCAAACCCTTGAGAATTATGCTCAGCGCGATGTCGACAAGAGCGATAGAGAGCATTAAAATAGGGGCCAGCATGATGAATGAATATCACCATATCTAAATATTATCCTTCACAAGTGATAGTGGCCCTTTGCTGAATCTCCAAAAGCACGGTACTAAAAGAAAACAGGGATATATATACTGTTGCGGCGAGTTCTCCACCAAAGCTATTGCATAGAACAATCCCACCAGAACATTGCTGGCGGAGGTATTAGACGATCGATGGAAGCAGGTGATGAAAAACCCACTGATAGAAAAGCGATCCCAAAGAAAGGATGATTAGCATTCTTGCCTTAGATGTCAACGTAGCATCTCTCCCGCATTACGCATTAACTCATCTTTCATGATAAACATCATCTCTCCTGTGTCACGATAGCATTATAGGAAAGCCTTCCAGTCCACCCGCAGGCTGCATTGTGCCTTTCAAACCGCTTCATAAAAGATCGCCATTGATTCCCACGGGTCGTTCGTTTAGGCTGTTCACGCCACTTCGTGCTGACTCGAGGCTAGTCCAGAGACGCCCCCAGCCCCCAAAAATCCTAAGCCAAAATACATACACCCGAACGACTAGCGCCGTTCGGGAGCACGAATTGGATTGTCATTGCTCTCTGTTTTATCTGATATTGATGGGGTGTCGTCGAGGTCCGCCTCCATATCACCAGCCTCTATGGTTTTAAGGAGGGACATTGAGGCGAGTAGGTCCGGGTCGTCCGGCTTCAGTGTCTCTTTGCGCAATTCAATGCACTTGGTTGTCATTTCGATTGCCTCATCTCGTCGGCATTGCGCCCACCACGCCCAGGCGAGCTGGTGCATGATTATAGTGTTCTCAGGATGGCTGGGACCTCTGGTACTTGAGTGCATATCAAGAACATGCGCTAGCAGCTTTGCAGCTTCATCATATCGCTTTTGTTCGAGATAAACGCTAGCGAGTTTGTGCTCTTTCTATTGTGAGCGGATGATCTTCGTGATGTCTGTCCCTTAGCAACTTTATCATTTTTGATAGGACGTCTTCTGCGGCTTTGTATTTCTTGTCAAAGACATATATTCCAAAGAGAGCATCCAGGCCTCTGAGCAGTTGCCAATAGTACTCAAGGTCACGCTCTCTTTCGCAGAGTTTCACCATTTTTAAAGCAAGTGTTCTGCTTCTTCGAACTGGCTTCGTACGCGAAGGGTGATTGCTAGAGGATGCATAAGCTGAACTTGAGGATCACTGTAGGAGAAAGCAGCGGAATTCTCTACCTCGGATATCTCCTGCTGTCGACGGTCCAACGCCATCCAACTTGCCTCACAAAGCACTTGGGCCTCCTTTGCTTTTCCCAGGATCGTAAGGGCCATTGAATGAAACGATATACAGCGTATCATCGTCGGATGATCGGCAGCATAGGTTTTACACCAATTGAATGCTTTTCTGGAATAGGCTTCTGCGCCCTCCCAGTCGTGCATTTCGAACAAGGAAGCTGAGCAAGCCAAATATGCCTGCATAGTTATTTTAACGTCCTTCCCAAGGTCTCTTCGCACCCCTTGACCGCTTCAGAGCGCATGACAAATGCTGCATATGGTTTCCCTGAACCATGGAGAAATTCAGCGATTCTTAGGACCAACGAATAGCGTTCTTTTGCTTTGAAGCCGAGTGGCGAGCCACACAAAGTCTGCGCATGGGGTATGAATAAAGGACATATGCCATAAATATCGAAGGCGTTTTCTGGAAAGAGGAAATCGAGATGAGAAATGGCCTTTAACACCGCACTTTGAAGGGTGTTCTGACTTTTAAGCCAATTGCGCATGGCAAGACGAACCAGTCGGTGCATATCAAAAAGAGGAGCAAACAGGCCGTCGTCAGCTTGGAAGATCAGAAAGGAATATGCTTTCAGGGTTCCGAGTGCCTCTTCGGTTCTTCGCTTTGAAGAAAGTCTGGGTAAAATCGATTTAGGGGATATTCTTTTCGCCAATGCACGCGATGAATGCGGGATATTGGGCTGCGTCTGGGTCCTGCTCTCGAATCTGGTTGAAAGAGAGCAGCCATGTAGTAGCAATGGGATTTTGATGTCCCTCGTCATTGAAGTCCTTGCTGAGGAGTTCGATAACCTCATCCTCTGGTTCGTTGAGTAGCTGCAAGTATGTTTTGACGGAGATGTTATTCCGGTTGATATAGGAAGCACACTGTACAATAGCCAGCGGGAGGCAGGTCAACATCTCAAGCAGCTTTCGAGAGCTTGAAGTATCACTCAGAATTTGTGTGCTGATCAACTGATTTCGCAGTATATCCTCAGCTTGGTCAAATTCCATTTCCAGTATTTCTACAGCGTATCTCCCTGCCAACGTCGTGGCGATTTGGCGATTTCGAGTTGTGACAAGAATGGAACCTTTCAAGCCTTTCGGAAGACAGTCTACCAGATTGTCTGGACTGCTCCAACTCTGTCCCAATGTGCTCCATAAATTGGTATCATCGGCATTATCCAATATCATGAGCCACTCTCCATTAAAGTGATGGTCTAGATATTTTGGAACGAGTCGTCGAACATCGCTGTCAGTTCGGTATGTCCAATAGTCTGGCGATGGCGTTGTAGTCACTCTCCAGTTTCAGTGCATCTCTGGCCTGAACCCAAAACACCGAGTATTCTTTTCTTTGATGCTGTGCAATCTCTAGGGCGAGCCTGCTCTTACCAATCCCACCCAGACCAAGGATTGCAACTCTACCTCGTGGATTTGGATGAAATAGAGTTGACTCGATACTGCGTATCTCTTTTGTGCGCCCGACCAATGGAGGCAGGTTACTCGGAACAAATGGGACGTGCCAGAGTGGTTCTACCATCGTAAGATCTAGGCAAATAAAATGAAAGTCAGAAGACATCAACCATAATCCATCAGGTGATAATACTCGCCTTCTGTGGAACGACTGGAATCTCGTGATGCGACTTGATCGGCAAGATCCCAATCATTCAGTAGCGCTTTAAGACAAGACGCCGCAGTCGCAGCAGCAAACCATTGCCATCGCTTGTTCTTGTGGCTATCAGCATAATCACAGACTCCTTTGATGACGAGTGTGTTCTGGAATAGGTCCCAAGCCCCAGCGCCTTCCATCTCAAAGGCAACAAGGCCGAATTCTTTTGCCACGCGGTCACGATGCTCTGCTGATTTCATTACTGTATCTGCCGAACCTATCCGACCAAGGTGCACTTGTGGCGTTGGAACGCTTGGTGCAAATTTTACCCCTTGGTCCCCAGAAAGTCGCTGACGGGGTGCCAACATGTTTGACTCGCAACCGATTCCATTGCAGTCTGCTTCCGCGGCTCTTGGACAGAATATCGGTAGCGCGGACTCACAGATGGCACATGGCGTAGGGTTTGTTCGATGCTTGTGAATATATGATGACTGATAGAACCTGTCTGTCTCTGCACCTGGGTACCTGGTCCGTGGTAGACTCTTCCGCAACGCTGCGATATGTGGCAGAATGTCATGTTGAATTTTGAGGCGATTCGATGTCACTTTCAACTTTGCCAACAGTGAACGAATCTCGGAGCCAGGTCGTGCAAGGGAGGATTCCAGGGTTGCCTTGCTTTGAAATATGTTATGATACTGCCTGCCTAGGTCATATTGAACAAGTGTTTCACTTAGCACGATGTCGCCGAAGATGATCTCGGTCTGGTCATCGGGTCGAAACGGTGCTGCTCCACAGATACCAACGATGAATGCCGCTGTTATACGTTTGAAACTTGAACGAAGACCGGCAGCAACAGTTGCAGCACTGACCTTGCCCATCTCAGGCATATGCGCAAGCACAACATTATGTCCCGACATCACTCCCAGGCTGTATGCATTGCCGTCCCCATTAGCCTTGCCATACTTTTTGTCCCATACTCGGTCGAACAGAGCCTGTACGCATTCGGCCTTGAGAGGTAAGGCCAAGTGATTGCAACCTGAAAATCATCGCGGTCAATAGGAGGAGAGATGATCATACTGCCGGAGACAGGGCCGCAGCATGTGTGCGTCACAGAGAGGCGAGGGTGGGTGGTAGCACGTTCTTCGACCTGGAGTTGGATGTATGCGTATCGGCGAGACTTCACAGGCTCAAGTAGCTGTACATTTGGCCTAACTGTTCATCCTGATCCGAGTCGCAAGCAGTGAGAGGAGGTTCATTATTTCTGTGACCCGAAATCCGACGCGGCTTCACCTCTGGCCAGCGGTAAGGCTCGTCAGGCTGGAGCGTGGAGATGGCGGTTAACGACACAAACTACCCCGGGGCGCCCCGTACCTAAGTAGGTCCTTACCTAAGGTTAGGTACCCTGTGTCTTGTGTATAGGCATCCAATAGGTAGCTTGGCAGACTTACAAAATAATACGGAGTACTTGGTTTAGGTACGTACCCACGTGCTCAGCTAATTTAGCCTCATACTAGTTCCTAAAAGGCCACTTCCATCGCTTGTAGTCCCCTCAACAGTGCTCATCTCTCGCAGGTCCTCCGTACTCTTTTTATACAATGCGATACTCGAGGTGAAACTCTTTGCAGCTTCGGGGCTGACCTTGCAATGTGATGTTTGTTATCTTCAATCAACATTTTGGATCCTTCTATCAAGTATTATTATTGCCCTCACAACACGTGATGGGTTTGGTCAATGCTCAGACTATTGGGCAAGAGCCCGGAGATCGATGTCGCAGAACACTGATGCATGAATGGGCGAAGACGGAGAACTACATTGAGTGAAATGAAAAGTAAACTTTACTATGGAGGACTAGCAAGGTGCGAGTGTGCTGTGCACAAGAATTTTTCGGGCTTTTCCACACAGCCATTTTCCTTCCTCAGTGCCTCTCGTCACAATTCATCTGAGCAATTCGTGGATCTACCGGGGCGAAATGGGCCACAAGGAATTCGCCACATCTTGCTTGCAGCGACCACGCGTAAGGCTACCTGGATGCAACAGCTCAACCCGCCGGCAAGTCATTAGTTGAATGGCTTTCTCTCTCATAAAATCCTCGCTGGTGCGGAATACTCATATGTACCAGGAATTGGGGTCAACCCCAACTCGATCGGATCGGGCTCAGGCCCCATCTCTTCGATACATGCTTGAGATCTCCCAGTTGATATCTGCCCAACATCTCGCCAGGCATGTATCAGTCGTAGCCAGAGAATTTAGTTGACACCAATCCCACTCCAAAATAGTTCGTACCAATCATGCTGCCGGAAGACAATAGCTCTTTTGTCCGAATTCGACTCCTAAATGGAGGAAGTATGATGGCATCGACTAAAGGGATACACCACGATGTGGAAACCGATGAAGTTTTTCGATTGTATGACTGGGCCTTTTACATTCACGATCCGCAGAGTGGGCGCCATGTACTCTGGGATGTGGGCATATCGAAGGTTGGTCTACGATCGTGCCGTTTATGCTTGACGGCCGTGCTCATCCAGGTCTATCACTAGAATAGGGAGGACTACATCCCATCGATAAGACGAGTCATGGACATGATGTCTTGCATTGGGCCCGGTCGAAGTCTCGTTGAGCAGTTGCTCTCCACGGGTGTGAAAGCGGAAGACGTGGACACAGTCTTCTTCAGGTAAGCTCGCAATCGAAAATCAACTATTAGCGTCTACCTTGTGCGTCTGTGCCAACTAACAACTGAGGCAGTCATGCTCACTTCGATCACTGTCGACCGATTGCAGATGAATTTCCCCGTGCTCATGCGTATTTCGGCCCAGGTACCGAACAAGAGTGCGAAGGCAAGATGGAACCACATAACACGGATCCATCAATATCACACAAGTATGACCCCCGAATATTCGACCGTGACGTTTCGAAAGAACGATGGTCTGAACTTGAAGGCCCTTGGGTGAAATTCGGTGCGTTTGACAAAGCCATGGACATTTTCGGTAACGGGGCCTTCTGGATCATCCAAGCACCAGGACACATGCCAGGGAATCTATGTGCAGCGGCCCGAACTGAAGGGGGTGAGTGGGTGCTCTTGGGTTCGGACTGTGCTCACAGCAAGTTAGACTTGAATCGTGTCCAGAAAATCTTATTGGTCGGGCTGATTTCTCTTGCAGGGCTTTGATCGATGGCACATTCGACATTGCAGTCACTATTCTAGCAGATGGCACAAAACGATGTATTCACCAAGACATTCCTGCAGCCGCAGAAACAATAGCCAAGATGCGGGAAATGGAGCGGTCGCATGCCTTTCATATTGCTCTGGCGCATGATGCTACTTGGATGATGGCGGAGAAGAAGGATACAACCTTGTTCAGTATGCTTGACGAGGGCTTCCGCGTGAATATTGATGCGCACATCTCAACTGGAAAGCCTTTCTGAAGCAAGTGGTCAACTACAGGACTGCATCGATGACTCTCCCATGTCTCCAATTCCATCCTTCCAGCAAGAACGGACGTCCTAGCGCCACAGTTGTGGGTTCTACAGACTAATATATGGCGATGGTGCAGGCTCATCATCACTTAATTCTCCCCAAACAGTCCAATGTTTCCCCTTGAATTGCCTTCTCTCAGTCTCGTCTGCAATTGCAATCGCGAAATCAAAGGTGGAGATGCCCTTTAGCCGACTATCTAGAATCTCGGAATCATCTTGATCCCCCTTCAGAGGAATATAGTCAAGGAAAGTGTCATAAGTTCCTGTTTTCCGACCAGAGCGGTACATTGCAGATGGAGACACGAAGGTCCAGTCAAACGAGGTATTGCCCTCGAAGAACAGGAGCGAGGTTCTGCAAGCCGTTATCAGCGGCTTCGCGTGATCATTCTCCGTCGCACGCTTCTCGTGACTCTCGCGGACAAACTGCGCTTCCGGCGTATCTCTTCCCTCTCGCTGGGCGGCTCGAGCACTCCGATAAGCGCGGATATCGAGGCGGGCAGCACCATTGCCGAATCGCTGCTCTAGGTAAGTCACATGGGCGTAGCTATCAGCCATGGATCGCCAATACGCCAACCAGAACTTCGGACTGTCGACAGCGCAAACATTGGTTCCTGGCAGCAACAGACTCCCACAGCCTCCGATCATGATGAAATATACGACTTGTGCCGCCTTGGAAGCAAGGATGATCTTCCGTAGAGTCTCGAGAAATGGCACTGTGTGTTCACAAGAAAGGTTATTCGAAATCCTCCGGGAAAAGGAGCTCGCTCGTGTACCTACTGTATTTCATGCTATCCACACCACTAGAATGCGGCCCATATGCGCATACCATGACTTGCACATCCTTGAACGTTGTCGCAATATCATCGATAGAAGCATTCTCCAGGTCGACAGATCGAGGTTCGTATAGAGCATGCCCGCCAATCTTTCCAGGGCTGCGGGATATTCCAACGACTCTGTGCCCTCGACTCAACAGTTCCGCGGCGACGTGGGATCCTCCCATCCCGGATGGCCCGAGGACTCCCACTGTCAGCATACTTCCCACCATGATTCAATATCAGACATGCAATGCGATAGAGACCACACTATGTGTGGTTGGAGAGTTACTGAGACGACAACCATGCTATGGCTTCAGAAGCAATGGGTGGGGCACTTCTCCCCTGTGTGTCGTTCTGCGCTGCACTTCTCAACTGAGTAAGTGGAGTGAATGGAGAATGTGGAGAAACCTGGGCACGAGGTCAACAGGTTCTCACCCAGGACAAAAGGTGTCGATATGCATCAGACACGTATGCTGCAGATATTCTTCAGAGCGTTTGACGGCATGTATTTTTATCTCTTCCGCCATGGTGATGGCCAGGATGAGTGTAACATGATTGGTGAAGGCATGATAACCAATTAGGGTAGGTGTCAGCCTTGCCGAGACTGGCACACAACTCGAGGCTGACGATCAGTAACACTGTCAGAGTGACGCCCATCGCTCCTCACCGATTGCCGTGCCCATATTTAGATGAGAAGAACACAGTAAGCACAAGTATCGATGGGAAGGACGGTTTCGTCCGCGGGCCTGCAAAGCCGCCGTCAAGTCACATCTCGCCTGCTTATCTTGGGGCATCTTGCGCAATAACCCTCGACCACGTATCGCAGATCACACGGATAGAACTGTTTAGCTCCCCGCGGTCTCTTCCCTGCCCATGACGAATCCTCATGACGCAGCTCTTTTGCTGTCGACACTGGAAATTCGACAGTCGACAGTCGACCCTCGAGATCTTGTATGGAGGATGGAGACGGTTTGGAGGATGTCGGCATCGGAGGTTCAGGCGCCGAGATGCCGACGCGGTACATGCAAAACTTCCCCCACCAACCACCAACGTCTTCATCCTCGTCTTACACATTGAGGGATTGCTGTGGCCTCAGACCATCTGCTTTGCGCGTTTTACCCTTTCAGGTATATCGTCGCGGACTCGATGTGTTTCAGAAGATGAATCTCGGGGTTATATGTCGGTTGTCGGCTACGTACGGGGTACTCTGTATAATACCAGTACATGTCTAACCCACCTCAGTTGATAGAGGACCTGACGTTTCAACCGTGCGCCATATCTGCCCAATCTTTCGACACCTTGCGTGGAACCCCTTTCTATTGGTAGATCAAGTCGAAACGCATGAATGCAGCGTCTCCCGCTGACCACCGAAATGATGGAAGCCATGTACCCGTCATGCTTTGGTAGCCGCTGCATCTCGCCGAAACTGCGGCCATTGTGTGATTGGACCAGGCCGATATTCACTTTCCTCTCTTTGGTAGCTGACTCTTCGCAAATCACAGACCATCCTCCTACGTAGGTCCTCCCTACAGGCAGGTCCTGATGCCTGCGTAGACGTATACCAAATGCTTGGTGTGCGCGGACCTGTGCAGAGCCCATCTGTCGTTTTCACACGGCCATCATATCGCACCACCTGCCGGAGTTCTTTTCTTTGCCCGCCCAACAGTGAAGTCGGAGATGAAAATGCCCAAAGACCGATCGAAAGTCAGAAGGATGTGATATAACTATCGTGCGTTTCCTTCTATCAGGTTGTTCCGATTTCAACTCTAGATCGTGACACCCAAGTGAACGGATATTCCCTCTTCACCTTCCTCCCTAGGATTTGAGCGCAGAAAGGGACTGAACTCCCCGAGACATTCAACTTCAACTTCCACAGTCTGAATCTCCATCCTGAACGGATCCAACCACCGCCATGTCTTCTTCCTACGACCTGACATTTGTCTACGTCTTGGCCTCCATCTTTATTGGTTCCTCCATCATCACTTGCCTGCTCAGATTTATCAAATTCGACATTCAATCAATTCTCTCAACGAAACGAGGCATTGCCATCTCGAGCCTTGCACAGAACATCTATGAGCGTTGGCTCTACGCACTATCGGTGTCAGACCCTCTCTCGCCTCCTGCCAGGTCTTCATCCTCCTCACGGGGCTACCTGGAGACCCTGCCTCAGCGTACTGGCCCTCGTCCTTCCGTGGGTGGCACAAGAAACCTCAAGCAGACCACTCAGACCGTTGCCGGGACCGAGAAGGACCTCAGTAACAGACTGCGCACAGTCATCACAACGATCAACACCACCTATCCCCACACCACTTACCTTGGACGGTCAACTTTCGAAGAGGGCAATGTCACCCTCTTCGCTCGCCACCGTGTCTTCGATCACACCAAGTACTATGGTGAGATCCTCAACGCAGACAAGTTCGACGGCTTCATGTCGACGAAGTTGCACCCCAGCGATGTCAGGACCGTGATTGAGAAAGGATGGGGTCAGAGACATCCCCTGTCCAGTCGACGTGCAGCTTGGTTCCTCTGTCTTGCAGGTCAGCATCAAGTCATCCCAACACCTGAAAGCCGGGTGGTACTTTATGCACCAAGGAGTCAAGAGGACCTTGAGCAGATCGAGCAGATTATCAAGGCTGCAGTGTGGTGGGTCGGGGGTGTTGATTCGAGAGTTGAGCAGGAAAGCTCGTGTTGAGTCAGAAGGAGGTTTGTCGTTCGTGGGATGCCAAAAGATCTGGCGTAGAATGGTACAATGTGGTTAGCTGGCTTGCTCAATGCTGAATAGAAATGGTGGCATCTTCAGCGAGGCTGGGTTTATTGTATGATGAAGCAACAGACTGGTTGAACTTGCTCACCCGGCAGATAGCGTGTAAGAATCACAGATGTTTTCAAATCCACACAGATTGCATTTATTACAATTATTACATGAGAGTTTCTGTTGTATTCGCTTCATACATCTCGTTTCTTCGTGTGTTGTTAGTAGTACGTAGCATACTTCGACGCACCGTCTAGCACCTGAACAAAATTCTCTGCTACAATGCGGTCGGTTTGCTCACTGCGTAGGTTTGCCAAAGCGATCAGTCAACGATCCGAGTTGGCGGAGGAGTGACTGGGGACAAGAAGGACGCTTCAACAACCAAAGATTCGACGCAATGGTGCGTGTCTGCAAGAGAAAGCGAAAGGAAAGAAAGAAGAATGAGCTCGACATACCTCGGATGCAACTCGTCGTACCAGAGGTACCCGTCGGGATTCGTCCCATTCTGCAGCTTGACGCAGGAGGACCCGTTCACCGAGCAGTGGTTCTCGTACCCCCAAACGCTCTCGCCACCTTTCTCAACGCCCGTCCCATTGAGATACATCTCCGGGTCGTTATAGATATCCCCGATGAGCTTGTACGTGTCGAACAGCGCGAAGCTCGCGCCAGGGTAGCGGCCGGCCACCAGTAATTCAAAGGGGGTCTGCACGCGGAAGACCTCATTCACGGACGTAATCGCCTCGTGCATCGTCTCCGCGATGGCCGTATGGTTGGGCCACTTCTCCGGCCAGTACTGGTTGTCGCCGACGCCGTGCAGGGTGTCGTTCGCGTACAGGGGCGCCAGGTGCAGGGGCACGGTGTTCATCAGCACGAAGACGCGGCCGCCGGCGGAGTAGAGCGCGTCGAAGACGGCGTAGATGCATGCCGTGTAGTCGGCGAGCACTTTTCCTGGGATCTGGGAATTGGTCAAGAAGGCCCAGATCCCTAGGTCGTTGGTCCCGATCCAGAGGGCGTAGACGGCCGAGGTGGCGGAGAGGCTGCCCAGTGGGAAGAGGGGGGTGGGTGGGGTGCTGTTGACCTGAGTCGCCGGCAGGTCGGCCAGGAATGCGGGGACTTCGTACTCGAGGACGGATGGGAACGGAGCGTTGATGGCTTCAAACCATCTGGATTTGTTTGAGAGACCTTAGCATATACACGCGTGCGCTGTGGCATGGCTTGGTGGGGGAAGGGGAAGTGGAAGGCTTGCGCGCTGGGATAGTGCCCTTGCGAGGTCGGCTTTACCTGGGTGTGATCTCATTTGAGCACACCGCCCCGGAGACAGCATAGTCGTACAGCGTGAGCGCTGGCATCCACTGGCCGCTGCTGCTGGTCTCACCCGTGTACTGGATGACATAGCGATCCCAGGTCCGGCCGCCGCCGGGCGTGGAGAATGACTCGGGCAGCAGAGTACCGGCTGCGGGCGCGGTGCCGTTGTGGTTGATGAACCACCCTAGACGGCTCTCGTCCGTGTAGCTGTCGCCGAATGTGATGAGAGATTTGAAGTTCGAGAGCGACCAGACGGAGTTCTTTACTGGAGGGTTGTGGTGACGTGGGAGAGTGGTGCTGGCCGTAGGGTGGATGAGGAGCGGGAGGGTGAGGGTGAGGGTGAGGGTGAGAAATGCGCGGGTATAGTTTTGACAGGATATCATCTTGATCGAGTGCCTTTGGAAAGAGAACAGTCTATTGAGAGGAATGGTGAATTCACGCGGGTGAGGATGTGTGAGGGTTTTTATCCAGCTTGATGCCCCCACCGCCTGCAGACCTACCATGTTACGTCTGTATGAAGCTCGGCTACTAGTACTTACCAGTGCCTCTCCAAACATGGATACGGGGCATTTCCTCCAAGATGCTTAGCCAGGAACCAAATGAAGCATACATGCGGTAGTGGGTAGTAACAAATCGCAGTTACTGGTACAGGATGAGTGTACGCTTTGGTGATTGGAGAAATGACGTGCACCAATATTGTTACGTGCCTAGCAGAAGCTTGATTGTTGAGTCTCAGAGTCACCGACGCCGTCAAGAGTTGATAAACATGTTTAGCCTGAAAGGAATGCAGGGTTCCAGGGTTCCAGGATTCCAGGGATGTTGGATGCGGAGAGGCTACACAACGAGTGCTCCACTATCTCAATGCCCGCAGATCAACCGTCCTCCATCCCTTGGACCGTGTGAGGTTTCACGAAATCGTGTCGATCAAAAAGAAGGCAAATTCTGGATGCTCGGATGGACACATTATTTATCCTGTGAGTTCACTTTCCTTCGGCCATAGCTTTGGCCTGAGTAGCCGTGATGCGTTGTCCAGTCTTGTCATAGTGTTTCGAAGCTATCATGTGCCACTTCTTCTTGTCGTACCCATCAGCTAGAGCTTTCATGTCGTTGGTATCGGATTGATCATTCTTAGCCTTGCCGTTGAATTGTCCGTATATGGACGGCCCGACCTTGTCACCGTATCCCAGTCAGTATTCACATGGCTGGAGTACTTCACCTCCATGGGCATTTCGTATCTTACGACTTACCATTTTGTCCTCCGTCTTCGAGTTACCATCTTCTCCCCCAACCTCGGCATTCTTCTTCGCTTCTACCTTCTTCCTCAGGCCTTCTTCACGATTCTTCGCGTCCCGGGCCTCTCTGTCTGGGTCTCTGTCCTTCGTCTTTTTCTTCTTCTTCTGCTCCTGTCTATTTGCCACACCTTCATTCGAATCCTCCTGGTTTTTGCGTTCGATTTCTTTCCAGCGCGCAACTGCTTCGCCTTTGTCCTTGAAAGACGTGGCTTCAATGATATCCGACCATGGTCTGGTTGGGTTCTCGGCCTTCATACGAAGCATGATTCGATCATCTTCGCGCAAGTCGTCTTCTTTGGTGTTCGAGTCAGCTGGCTTCTTGCAAGAGTTTGCTTGTTTGCCGTGCTTGGGTCCATTCTTTGCTGTGTGGACTTTGTTGCAGCATGAGCACTGTGGTCGTCAGTGCGTTCCGATCTGGTGGTCATTGGAAGCGGCAGTAATAAGGGCGGCAGTGACTCACAGTCTTGGCCTTTCGTGGCTTGATGTCCGGGACACCTCGAAAGGCGTCGAAGATTGACATTTTGATTGGTCTTTGCTCGCCATTCTTCGTATAAAACATTGTGAAAGACATTCCGACGGCGAAAGCCAGGGTAGTCAGTGTAGTCAGTAGTCCTGGCTTCTGGAAGAAATTGGGAGGTGCTCGTGCCTATCAGCCATCCGTGGAACTTGCGGGATAGTCGGATAACAAGAAGAATAAGAATGTAAGGCAACAACAAGATGCGTGGACTTACTGCTCTTGTGAAGATGAAGTGAAGTGGAATTGGAAATTGGCATTGTATGGTTCCGCTCACTCACTGATCTGAGGTATCACTAGAACGGGTCACATGACTCCAATGGAAGAAGTGAACCAACGGTTGGCACATCACAAAACAACTGTGACGGAATTGAAGCAAGAGACGGTCTTCCTCTTGACACCTGATAAGGATATTGCCTACCATGGTTTGAAGTGCAAGAGCATGAATGTAGTCCTGAGCATGTCTTTGGCCTGACGGTTTGAATTTACTGTACCTGTACTGGTTCCCGTGCAGCCGGGTGATTGGTATGTCGAAAATCAACTCACCGAATCGTGGTGATGCCGAGGATTGTAAGCTGGACAACTTGTACATACCTTCCTCATGGGCTCGAGGTCAAAAGGGGCAGGATGGCCGAGGAAAAAGGGGCTCGAAATGCCAAGACATTGGAGTTCAGGGGCACGTGCAAGGAATCCATGAGTGACAGCCGCCGCAGCCACGCCAGATCGTAAACTGCGGAGAGAATTGGACACTTTTTATGTTCGTGTTGAATTGTAAAGATCTCCTGACAACACCAACAACAACGTCCAGCCATCAGCACCCGCGGGCGGCTTAGCGACTCCGTCCACTACTTTCCGGATCATTCATATCCTCCTTAACGAGTCAAAATGCGTTTGGGCGCGGCTGCGACCGTTGCAGCCTTTTCGGGCTGGCTAGGGGTTGGCCTGGCCCATAATATTCAACTGAAGGCACATACAAGAGAATGTTTCCATGAAGAGTTGCACAAGGATGATAAGATGACTGTCACTTTCCAAGTTGGTGACCGTGAGTTTGGTGGTGCTGCCAATCTGGACATCGACTTCTACGTGAGTGAAGGACAGGGCCTCGAGTCACTGCCACCCAATGCGGCTTTTCTAACAATAATATTTTCAAACATCTAGATTACCGATCCTTCCGGTTCATATGAGACACAAATCAACTCGGTATCCTCCGGCGATTACTCCTTTGAGGCTCGACAGGATGGACGATATATTTACTGCTTCAGCAATGAACACTGGTCTGCGAACAGCAAGGAAGTTTCATTCAATGTCCATGGTGTTGTCTATGTACCCGAATCCGAGGCCCCACAGGATCCTCTGGAGACAGAAAGTACGTCGTCCCCAATCTCCATGAAGCCTCATAGCTAACGAGTCACCTTTTGCAGTCCGCCAACTTTCCGAACTCCTAGCACAGGTCAAGGACGAACAAGCGTACATTGTCGTCCGGGAACGGACACACAGAAATACAGCAGAGAGCACAAACGCAAGAGTCAAGTGGTGGTCGATATTCCAGCTTGGAGTCTTGATCGGAGAAGGCGTGTTCCAAGTCTGGTGGCTTAAGCGATTCTTCGAGGTGAATAGTCGCCCCCTTCCTTGAACGGCCTGTTTCTCTTCAGTATATCCGCATTGTACATATCCATTTAAGAGGAAGACTTGAGTGTTTGTGGCTGACCATCTGTCTGGTTACAGGTCAAGCGAGTTGTATGATAGTGATGAGGTCTGATAAGTCAACCACCAATCAAAAGCCATTCGGGCGCATTATGACCATTAGCCCTTCCAACAAGGACAGGCTGAGACAGCGAGTTGCGCCTCATGTACAGAAATTGTGTGACGCACCACTAAATGGTCAGTCCCTCAAGCAGTCAGACATGGCACGCACGTCCATCATCAATTTGTGGAGAGCAAGGCCGTCTCTAGCTTGCCGGTTCGTAAGGCGTCCTCATCAAGGATGAAGCGCATGCAACTGTAGTTGCACGAACCAGTAACGGAAAAGACCAGGTGTCGATGCGGTGAATGAGGAGGAGCCCGGCCAAGTAGTGCTCGTAAAGCAAAATATCCCAATCAGTCCGGATTGATCACGTGTGCCATCACCCGTGCTGTCTTGGTCAATGGCACCCGAATGGTTCTCCTCGTGTAAATGCCTACTCGTTAAGTAGGAGGAAGGACCTCTCTAAGCATCTCGGAACGTGAGCTTGCCGTGCTCATCGCTGCAGGCCACATCAATCGAGGCGGTCTGCCCCAGCTCTTATGTTAGCCAAGAGCCACCCCGCATAGGAAGAGGTTCACGAGCATTTGCTGCAGAATGGATGAGCTGCTCCAACTCGTATCCGGTCCTACAAGCATCGCTAACGTCAGTTGGGAGAGCGACCCTCCGATGGTCCAACCCCCGCTTATTTGGAGAGGGACATGTGCCATGGCCTGATTCTCACGTTGTCCAACTTTGAGATAGATTCTCGGATGGACGCCTGGGCCCTATATACGCGGTAGAGTGCGATCCGAATATACGGGAGAACTCCGTATATTCGTATTCGGCTTATTTTCCAGAAGACCGCCTAAAGCGAGATCGTACCACGATTCCTCCTTCTAGCCACATCTGGCAGTGGCTGCATCACCCATGTTCATGATTCCATGGCGCAATGCAATAAGCAGGGCAAGCCATCGGGAAAGCTTCGAAGCGAGATGACCCGGAGCATAAAATTCTTCAAGTTCACTCGTAAAGAGATCCGAATCGAGTGACAGCTTCTTCTGAAGGGCCGTCGCTTATGTGTTTGGGCGTCCTTAGGCCGGCAGAAGATAGCTTGCAGCGGGAGTCCAAGCCTGGAAATGGAATAGTTTACGAGCGACCATCGAGGGTCGACCAGTCCACAAACTCAAAGGCGGCCCCCGTCGCCAGAATCTCCTCCTCCGCTCGCTTTGGAAGCGAAGCCTAATATGTTCTTTGGCTGGCTAGGCTCGCCGATGTTCTCATTCGCTTTCGCCTTCAATTTTCGAATCCTACCCAAATGCCACGCCGTCTTGCTGGTGGGGAACTCCCACTCAACCTTTTCTTTTCCGATCTTCACGAGGTCAGTTCGCTCCTCCATGAACGAGCCTGTAACCGACAAGCATGAGAGCCTAGATAGCTCATAGGTCCCGGCCAAAGCTACCTTGCCTCCTCGCTATTAGTACTGATGACCGGCTTTTTTGCTTTCGGCACAATCTGTCTCTGCTGATCCGAGATGTAGAGGAGCGTAACCACTGGCCACACTTATGCCGGCTACTGGAACGCTTCCTTCCCTGGTATTTACTTCGTGTTCTTGTATTTCCTTCAACTACGAGTGAAAACAACCCCGTATATACATCCATCTTATTATTTATTTATTCATTTAATATCAGCCTCGTTCTTCTGAAACGTGTTGCGGTGCGCCACCAGTCGAATTCCTTCACCGTGGTGGCGTCGTCTATTGATGGTTGTGCCTTTTCGGCGTTAATCCCTCCCAACCAGAGATGAGATTCCCTTGGTCCAAACCGGCAGAGGCCGAAAAGTCGACATCTTCCTCCGATTCTGGTGTTCTCGGGACTACGACGCCAACACCAACCCCAGCAGATACACATAATACCTCGACGGAAATTGTGGATCCAGAAAAGCAAGGCCATGTCCATCAACAGCAGACCAACCCCGGTATTTCCCAGTTAACACCTCCACACGAACAGACGACCACAGAGACAGCCACACCTACAAGCCCAGAGAGTCAGATCCAATCCGAAGCGGCCGGCACAACAACCGACGAGAAAAATGGTGACGAGGTTACGCGCACAATGTCCACGGCGACGCAGTCGACCGACCCAGGTGAACCGGGCGAGGACGACGAGTCGAAATATATCACCGGTGCACCACTCTACCTGCTGACTTTTGGTCTGACACTATCGACCTTTGTCGTCGCGCTCGACAACACCATTATCGCCACGGCGATCCCAAGAATCACGACGGTATTCAACTCCCTTGACGATGTCGGCTGGTATGGTTCGTCGTATCTGTTAACGACGACTTCGCTGCAGCCATCGTTTGGCAAGGTTTATACTTATTTTAATGTGAAATGGACGTATATCTCGGCACTGATCATCTTCGAGGTTGGTTCCGTGCTGTGTGGAGCAGCAGTGAACTCGGAGATGCTCATCGTGGGGAGAGCTGTTGCTGGAGCTGGAGCTGCCGCCTTGTTCTCTGGGGGAATGACCATTGTCGCTTATTCCGTACCGCTGCGAAAGAGACCAATCTATATCGGCCTGTTGTCCAGTATGTTTGGCATTGCATCCGTGGTTGGACCCATTCTGGGAGGAGCCTTTACTGATCGTGAGTGGACCTTTCCCCCCACCCCAAATCTTCGTAAATGGGTTGTCCCGGACTCTTGACTGATATTTTCTTCATTTCAGGTGTATCGTGGCGCTGGTGCTTCTACATCAATCTTCCCATTGGAGCCATCGCCATCGCAGCAGTTTTCTTCTTCTTCCAGAACCCCGTGCGAAAACACAGCAATTTGACCTTGCAACAGAAAATCGGCCAGATTGATCTGCTGGGTGCCTTCTTCTTGATCTGTTCCATTGTCTGCCTGCTTTTAGCACTTCAATGGGGCGGGACGACCTACGCCTGGTCAAACTCCAAGGTGTGGGGATGTATTCTCGGCTTTGGGCTGCTGATATCCACCTTCACGGGAATCCAGCTCTGGAAAGGTGATACGGCGACCCTCCCTCCACGCATCATGTTGAGACAGCGCACCGTCTTCGTCTGTGCCTTTTTCTCCGCCTTTCTGGCCATGGCTCTCTACACGCATATCTTCTATCTCCCATTCTACTTCCAGGCCGTCAAGGGGACAACCGCGGAACAATCCGGGATCCGAACTATCCCGTATCTGGTCAGCATCACTCTGGCGTCGATCCTGGTCGGCGGCAGCGTAACTTTCTTTGGTCCCTATGTACCCTTCACCTGGGTCGGCTCTGCAATTTTTGCCGTCGGTTCTGGTTTACTGTACACCCTCAAGGTCGACTCGTCCACCGCGACGTGGATCGGATACCAGATTCTCGCGGGCCTCGGCGCCGGCGCATGTGTCCAGATCCCATTCATAGCGGTCCAGGTCGTGCTGAACAAGAAGGACATGCCTGTCGGCAACGCGGTGGCAATCTTCTTCAACTCCCTCGGAGGGGCTATTTCCATTTCGATCGCGCAGAACATCTTCTCTAATACCCTCGTCAAGCAGATACCTTTGCACACCACCGGTGTCGATCCGTGGACCATTGTCGCTGCGGGAGCCACCCATATTAAAGAGGTCACGCCGCCGGATCAGATCGCTGGTGTGCTCCAGTCATATAATCTTGCGGTCACAACTGCGTTTATACTGGCGATCGCTTGCTCTGGCATCGCGTTTGCGCTGTCTCTGGGATTCGAGTGGAAGAGCGTCAAGGGGAAGAAACTTGACATGGGAGGTGGCGCGGCGTAGCAGGCTGGCTTTCATAGAGGAGAGGGAAGCACACCTGTGCGTCCGTGCAATTTAGCCTTGGAAACTTTCACAATATCATACACCGCAGGCCTATTCTCTAGTTCAGATCTTCCTCGTACCAGAAACTCATGAAGTCAAACCGTTGGACGGTTTCAAGCAGGCGAGACTGGATGCAGGGAAGGCAGAAAGTTAGCACGGCTGAGCTATATACTCAATAGGGAATTTAGGGGAACCCTTACGATACGACGAGATATAACCCTGGGACAACTCCAAACCCAGCCCTGTGACGGGAAGGTCAAATGGCCTTCAAGTTGCTCGACATCATGATCCGCTAACGGTGAAGCAGGTGCGGACATGGCCGAACAACGCCTGAAGTACACGGTATAGAACTGCCCGGCCTCATCCAGCTCAACCCTCCACAGCTGCACCCGATCCTGCTCAGGGATATCAGAGCAGACGACCGGCAGCCGCACACCGCGTTCCTCAACGCGCATGATCCGCACCGCAATCTCCGCGAGCAGCTGTCCGTCGGCTCCACAGCGCCTCAGCGCCGTAACGGCGCGTCGTCGGTAGTCCACACCGCGGTACTTGGTCGCCACGAAGAACAGTGGCGGGAGGAGCTTCGCGGTCCGTAAGCGGACTTCCGCCGTCATGAGGATCCCGCAGCTGACCATGACGAGCTCGATGCTGGTCGCATAGCCGTCATATGCCATCTCTTGGTTGTCAAACGGCGCGCACCGCGAGATTATCTCGAGGCACAGGTGGTAGATCCGGAGGACGTTCAGGTCACCGAAATCCTTGAGGGTGGTCTCCGTGGGGAGGGCCTTCTCGAAGGCGCTGTAGCACGCGTACCAGTTGTTGAGGCGCGATGTTAGAGAGGGTACGGTGTGGAATCGGGTGCGTGGCGGTGGACCGGAAAGGCGGATTCCTGTGCATTCTAAGGCGAGGGTGTGCAAGGAGAGCGCGGATTCTTCGAGGCCGGTGAAGGCGGAGATGCAGCACCGAGTACAAAGGTGTCGTTGAATGTCGTCTGTGTCTGAAGATTCAATGGGGGTCAAGTAGGTAGGTAGCCTGCGGTGTGGTGGAACGAGATGTTTGTGAAATTCACTCGTCTGGAGCTCCAGCTTTGAAAATATGTGGCTGATTTCCTCAATGGCGGTGTTCTGCGTTGGACTCGTTGCGAGTGAATAATGCGCGGTGATGATCTTCCTCCCAGCGATCAAATGCTGTAGTGCGGGAAAATGGTTTTGCTGGAGCTCGTTGTAGAGCATCAGAAGGAGGCATGCGACCAACACTGTCGCTGCATCTGGACTTGTGGCCCGACTTATGAGTCGAAGAGCTTTTCCATAGTGCCAGCGGAATGGAGCACTGTCATCATTGCTACGAAGCAGGGAGGGCTGGCGAAGATGCATGTCCAGCTGTGCGGCGGCGATCACTAGGTGCCTGATGCTCTCCTCGGATTGGCAGGCTTGGAGGACCAGCCGGTTCCAGAAGGAGGCACTCCCATAGTTGACCAGAGTCGGAGCACAAACCTCGTAGAAATAGTGGCATGCGACCGCGGCCTGTTGATCTTCGACCTGTACGCCTTCATGCAGGACTATTAGGAGTGCCGCAGGCGGCGGTCGCCTGGGAATTGGATATCCATCGCAGTTGCGGCCTGTGCGAGTACATCGTTCGCATGATGGTTTGGCTTCATCGCATTTGACTCGTCTGATTCTGCAGACATGTCCATTGTCAGGGGTTCTTACGAGTAGGATAGGACCGGGCACCTCTTCCAACCAGACCTACCTGCATGTAATGCAGCCAGTGCGACCTCTGCGCTTGGGTTGGGAGCTGTTCTTCACTCCTTGCGGACACAGAGATCCTTCCATCGTTTCCGCGGCGATGGAATTGCGTTCAACCTCCACACGGAGGACGTGTCTGTTTCATCATGTCTCGACGCTGACGTGAACTCAACCTGGTGATCTGGAGCACCTCGCTGTCCATGGAGGACAGGTCTGCTCTCGGAGGTGAAGCCTAACTCCGTAAAGGAGCCTCCCGCTGATTGGTCTGATCGCTTGCTAGTGACTAGCTGCATATCAGGGAATGTCGACTCAGAAGGAGCCTTGCAGAGAAGACAAGGCCCTGGGCTAAACAAGCTTCGATGAGGGAATATAGGATGTGGATGAGTGGCAGGTACCGTCTCGTGCCTTTGCACTGGCCAAATCCACTCACTGGCTGAAGGCGAAACGACAAAATCTTGCACTGAGAAACACGGACCGTGAGGCGGAATGCCAAATCCGTGGTTCGGGCTCACCGTTCACACTATGGTGGCAAATCGCTATCTACTGGAGCGGATTGCGGGAGGGAGTTTCCGCCAAAGCTGGCCTCGTTCCGGGTCTGTCAGTCGAATGAGTGGAAATCTAAAATATTCCCTTGAAGGTGATGGCTTATCCTAGCTATGATAGCGGCACAAACTCAAACTCTGGCGATTTGGTTTTCCTGTTTGTGGAAACTTATAGGTCCTCAAGTTTCTCGACAAAACAACTTACCAGAAATGTTGGTCCATCTTCGAAATTGGGCAGAAAGCCCAGGCTGGCAAAAGGGGCGCCTGTATCACCCGGTCCAACACCCTCTGAAGCCATATGCATAACTGCCCGTATGTTTGCATATCACTCTGCAACTTATACTGCCTACGCTTGCTAAATCACGCCCATTTTATCGAAGACCGCTCCTAGAACCCCAGCTGCCATCGTACCAGCAGAGAACAGGATCATTGAACCGTACATGCTTCCGTAGCCATAGTTCAGCGCCTTGCTCAGTATTGGTAAGTGCAACAAAGATTGAGACAATGGTCCTGAAGCAACATTTCCAATCCCACGTCCCGCGACGAACAGCGCAAATATCAGAGATGGCTCTGCAGTGAGAGTGGTGTCTCTCTCGACTATCTCCCTGATCACGCCGGGCCAGCTCGCCGTCATACACCCCATAAAGAAGCCATGGGTGAAACCGAAGAGAAGTATCAATGCCGCAGATGCTGAGAAGCCCCAGAGTAGTGCAGCACCATTCATGGATGCAAGTGCCGACACAATGATAACGCCCTTCGGAGACCATCGATCGGTAAGGACGCCACCTACAATACTACCGAGAAGTATGCCGACATTAATCAATGACAGGGACGAGGTAGCGACAACTTCGCTAAAACCCAAGGATCGCGCGTAAGAAGGTAGATAAATTCCAGGCAAATAAACGCCCAGGCCTTGAACAACATTTGCAATACAGAAGGCCAGGAACAAAGGTTTCAAAGCGAAGCTCAGACGAGGTCTATAGCGATGAACGTTCAGCGCGGCAGGTAATCGCGGCTTCAGAATGATGAGAGCCACAGCGATGAACACTAGATCGACGACTGACCATACTCGTAAAGTTGTCCGGAACCCGTGGGTTTCGAGGAGCCAAGAGATAATGTATGGGAAAACCAGCCCGGTAAAGCCAGATGCTCCCCAGCAAATCCCGTATGCCAGAGCTTTGCGCCGAACGAACCATTCATCGAGGAACAGAAATGTGGGATAATAGACCATACTGCCTCCCAACGCAGACAGTACGCCTTGCGCAATTATGAGATCGGTGACATTCCCTGCGAAACTTGCACCGATTAGAGCTGCGCAAGTCAGTAGCCCACCCAGACCAATACACTGCTTTCTGCGGTTGGGCCACTGACGAAGGAGTGGAAGGAGCACCGGTGAGCAGAGAAACATCAATCCAGACGATATCGTGCCGACCAAAGGCAACCGCGTATCTGGGCTGTGGAATTCTTGCGACCTGCTGTAAAACTCCTGGAAAATTCCATAGGAGTAAACGAAGCCCCACACCAGCCCTTCCAGCAAAAATGCTCCGAATAGAACCAACCACGCACTGGCTCCACGATCTGTTGGAAGTAAGGAGTGTCCAGCAACTACGTCTTCGTGTGCAGCCTGCTGGCGGTCCAGTGTGTTGGTCTGGTCCCTAAGTTCTAGCGCTTCCTGTGTATCCATGGTAGCGTCTCAAAGGGCACCGTTCTGCTGTCGATATCAAACAATCTGGCAGTTTCCTTTGGGTAATGTGGATGGAAGGTGGAGAGGTTTCTATAGGGGTGAAGGATACTGGGGCAGGTGATTGCGAACTCGCCAGAGTGCTCCAGCATAAAGTTACTGAATGTGAGCATTGAATCCGCACGTAGGCTTACAAATCGTCCCATGCATATGCGCTTCTGCATCACGTCACAAACGATCTCCGGTGCCTGTACTGGGTAGATAAGAAATGTGCGAGCCTCTCACTGGTCTTAAAAGCTAAGGCTGTAGGAGTAGCTATTATTACGTTAATATAATGCTACCTACCTTGATATTAATACGTCAAATCCTCTTCCATAGAATACACCGTAGTAAATTCTATTTTCAAGGGGAAAGGAAGTATTTACAACGATACTAATGACGCATGTCACAGCGCCATGAAATATGCTATACGCGATTAGGAAAGGCGCCATAGACTTAGCACCGAAGTCGAATAGTCTCTCCCGCCGTCGTGTCTGGTGCGGTTATCGCCGACTCTTGTTTTAAAGCGGCGCTCGGTGCTCGGAACTCGGCGCTAGGGCTTAAGTAAACTGCATGAGTCTTGGTACGTCGTGGGCACATGGTCACTCTGTCATTCTCTCACTCACTCTGTCATTTGCGAGTCGATGTTCTTCGTCAAAATCCATTCCAATCGCATGCCATTCTCGCTGAAAGATACCTCAAACTCGATCTTAACTTCTGGCGCAATACTCATTTCATTAAAACATAAAGGTATTTTCTTGTTGCCCGTGTCGCCAGTGAAGGTCACAAGGTCAACCATGCCTTGACCGCTCCGCCGTTAACCGTGTTGCCGTGTCCGCGATGCCGGGTCTCAATCGAAAACCGCGGAGCGCTAGTGCTTCCGGATAAAATTGGGGACCCAACCATTTTGATCAGAAATACCAAATTTAAAGGCCCCTTAGGTACTTCAAATTCCGCTGTTGAATTGATGGTGAGTCAAGTTTGGAATCCTTTCGCTACTTCACTTCCAAGTTTGTTACACAAATCGTTCCCCGATTTCCCTTTTCCTATTCTTACCTTGCGATTCAATATCGACAAGATGGGCTCCATGGCGCCTTCATTATTTTCCTCCTTGCCCGAGGTCGCGAAAGATGAAGTCTTCAGTTTGATGGCGGCTTACAGCTCGGATACCGACCCAAATAAGGTAAATCTTGGCGCAGGGGTATATCGCTGTGATGAGGGCAAATCCTGGCCACTGAAGGTAGTTGGCCAGGTGGAAAAGAGCTTACACGAGCTGCAAGATATTAGTCGCCATGACTATCTGGCTATCGAGGGAGACCCACGATTCTTGCGCGTCGCTCGGAATCTGCTTTTCTCCTCGGCCTTCGAGTCCGCAGACGGACTCCAGCAATCAACAGAATCCCGGGTTGTTTCCGTACAGTCAATTTCGGGTACAGGAGCCAACCATGTCGGTGCTCGCTTTCTAGCTGAGAACCTACGACCGCGTCGAGTATGGTTGTCAGATCCAACTTGGGCCAATCACCATGCGATATGGGAATCTGTGGGCGTTGCGGTACATACGTATCCATACTACAACCAGGAGAGCCGAGCACTTGACTTTACTGCTATGATGGCCACTTTGGAACAGGAGGCCGCCTCCGAAGATGTTATCCTTCTGCATGCTTGCGCCCACAATCCTACAGGTATCGATCCATCACGAGAACAATGGGCTGCAATTGCAGAACTATGTCAACGAAAGCAACTATTTCCTTTCTTCGATAGTGCTTATCAAGGTTTCGCATCTGGAAGTCCAGCTCAGGATGCATGGGCTGTGTGTCACTTTTATGGACTACAACCACGTCTGGAAATGTGTGTTGCTCAATCGTTCTCGAAGAATTTTGGCCTCTATGGGCAAAGAGCAGGAGCCTTTCATTTAGTGATGAACGACCCTTGCCCCTACGCCAGAGATAGAGTTCTTTCCAACTTGTCACAGATAATACGGTCCGAATACTCGGTTTCACCAAGATATGGCTCTACCATCATCAGAACGATTCTCGACAACAAAACGCTGTCGGAAGAATGGTTAGCCGACTTGCAGACTATCAGCGGTCGAATAAAAGCGATGAGAGCTGCACTCTATGACGAGCTTTGCCGTCTGCGTACTCCCGGTTCATGGGTTCATGTACTAGAACAGGTATATCACAACACAAAGCTACTGTTTGAGATTAATCATACTAACAAGCCGGTCAGATTGGCATGTTCTCATACACGGGCCTTACTCCCAGCGAAGTCGAAATACTTCGAGAAAAATTCCACATTTATATGCTGTCTTCAGGACGGATTTCAGTCGCCGGGTGTAAGTCAGCATTCTCCCTGACGACCAAGCCTTGCCACTAACAGCCCTTAGTGAACTCGACAAACGTCCAATATGTTGCAGCTGCTATCCATGCTGTGAGAGCAAATGAGAGCTATAGCTAGCTTGAGTAGTGATGCCAAGGATCCAAAAAATAGTTATTGGGTTCCTCTACGACTACAAGACTCTCCCGCGACTTTCCGAGCAAAATCGAACACAGATGAGCCTGACAGCAGCCTTCTGGTCGTTTGATTTATATATCGTTCCCACAGAGGAACGCTCAATGAGACACGACCTCACGTCTTTAAATCCGGTCCGCGCATTGAAGCCAATAAGAATATTTCGTATATGATGTTCGCGGGACCTAAAAAAGCAGGCATCCTGGGAAAATGGATAGCGCAGAATGCTCCGAAAGGGCCCAAGACGACCCTCATCCACAAATGCCACCAGGGTTATCTATCATGGCCTCCCTCAAGAAGATATGATTCCTAACAGGCAGCGTCCTCGCCAAGAAAGTCCACATCATCGAATTCAGTCTGCTTCAAGCTTGAATGCGATAACAAGGGCGCCGTCAGGTACGAGCCGAGACAGATCTCGAGCTGTCGTCCTTGCTACCAGTGATGCTTGGACTAGATGCTTTTCCTAAAAGCTCATTCTGCATTGATAGTTGACCCAGATCCCTAATTCACCGTACGACGGGAGAGTACTGGTGCTCTGGTAGCGGCAGAAGCAATCCCATTCATTAGATCATCCGTCCTGCCGCCATGTACCCTCTTTTCTCTTCTGCTTTAGATCTTTATAGCTGGTCATAAATGAAAATCCGAATTCCGTAAATACCGGAAAATGAGGAGATGTTAAGCCAGTACTACTTGAAGTCAGTGTGTTAGGGATGTGGTACGAAGTCTCGGTGTCTCGTTGCACCATGTATCCAAAATGCAAGAACTGATTATGCTTTTGGTCATTGATTGCAACGTGAACTGAGCTTTTATATATATATACTACTTGAAATATGAGTGTCGCCGTAATCTAGTAAAAAGTCAACAGGGATATAGTTATCAGACAACGACTAGGATGCACTCACTACGCGGAGATTATATCTTCACCGCTCAGAAAAGAAATGTATTTATGGATTATTTATGTAGGTTTTCTATCACAAATCAGTCACAATTTCTTCTGAAATGACACTATGGCCGAGTGGTTAAGGGTAAGAAAGATCCTCAAATGTCCGGCCATGACTTGTTTCTAACGTAATTGCAGCGTGTGACTAGAATTTCGCTCCTGTCGGCAGTGGAAACCAGGTATCACATCTCTTCGGAGGCACAGGTTCAAGTCCTGTTGGTGTCGAATTGTTTTTTTTTGGGCCGGATGAATGTTTTTGCACAATTGGCGTACAGCCATTCAATTTCTTGTGCGCAGAGTGCGGGGTGAGGGGGGCTGCATGAGACTCACAATACTCGCCCCTAAAAGACTTAGCCGCACAGTATATGGCGTCGAGAGTCGAGAGCAGACCAGACCACTTATGAGTACGACAATATGACTACTAAATACCACGCTTCAACATTGAATGTCCTCTGATTTCTAAATGTCTTCCATACAGACGACAACACAATCAAACCACTAACTACCAGTTACTAGAGTTTCCAATGCACGATTTGCGTACCACTGGAAAAATCAAGCATGAAACAGTGCGGCGAAAGAAAGACAACCCGCGCTCTACACCACGCACTGTGAACAATGCATTCTGGAAAATGGATCAGGACGAGTTTGTCGGTCGGAGGTGATTGCATGACTCGCATCCGTCAAATACAGTAGCACTTGAACGGCAGACTCCATCCTCGACCACTCGAGCTACACAATGTGCTGCCCCTCGATGAAGCAAACTGCACGGACAATCAGCTCGTTTGGACATAAACACGCCGGCACAGCAGAACCCAGCCTATAAGTTCCGCCCACGAATGAGACATGCGCAGTACTTCTTCCGTAAACAAGACCTCAGTGCAACTTCAGCCCGGTAAAAGAGGGGAACACATCTCCTAACTAGATTCAAGCTGTGTCTCCTAGATCTTCGTCACTTCACAAGCACACCCACAGGTCCAGAGCTGAACAAGGCGCCTCTCGACTCAATCTCCTTCCGCACACGCTTTCAACTGCCTGCTCGAAATCCACTCAGCGGCACACGCACATCTTTGCTAGTATCCGGGGAACCAACAGACTGCCTACAAGCGCTTCCCACCCGCACAAACAGTAAGCCATGCCTCGACAGATATGGTACATGGACCAGGATGGTAGGGGCTACTACGACCGTTGCGTCTTGCTGAGAGTAGGCGGAAGATTCCAGGTGACCGATCGTCATGGACACACACGAAATATCATGTTCCTGGAGGATGACAGCTCCGGTGATGAGTCCGACTATCCCAATGATCGAAGGTAAAGCGGGCGCCCAACGGTCCCAAGATTGATTGCCCTCGCAGCTAACTTGGCACGTAGGGGCGGCGGCCGCGATCGACGACCCCAGAACCATACCATCCAGATTTTTGCGAACCAGAATATCTTCTGTTGTGATGGCGGGAGACAACGTGGTGGCTACAGGCGGCGGCATTAAGAATGATATAATGGATATCCCTATTCAGGCCCTTGGGTCGTCAGATTGGTGGTGCTGTTGCCAACACCACCTTGTTCTCCGCAGAGACTATCTTTTCATCACCACTATATCCTCGTTTTTGAGACAGCATCCAAGCATAAAGTTCAGGGTTGTTGTATGCTGCTGTCCAGCTGTCATGCATCAAGTCGGCATATCTTGTGAAATTGATGTCGGCGGCGCCGGCTTTTGTCAAAGCCTCAACCATCTGTTGAGAAGCACGCACAGGTATAATATCATCCAAATCGCCATGGTGGACCCTTGTTATCGATGTCAGCTTTTTCGCCCCGATACATCAGTTTAAACCTACCTACCATTGCGGGATATGCTTGATGTGACTCGCCCGAAGCCGGTCTCCTCCACCACAGATGGGCGCAAGACTAGCGAATCTATTAGGTGAATGCAGTGCCAGTTCCCATGTTCCGTATCCACCCATGCTGAAACCAGTGACGTGAATGCGATCGAGATCGACGTGATATCGGTCTACGATATCGTCCAGGAGCGCTGACAATATTGGCGCATTCCAACCATATCCCCACTCCATGTTCAACGATGGCGTGACAGTGATGAAACCCTCAGCCACCAATGTGCAGACCTCTGCTGGAACAGGTTGAACAGATTTATCGCCTTGTTTTGTTTGTCTGCTCTGTCTCAATCTCGGAGCCAGAGGTATTGATATGGTGGGTGCCGTGTTCGAAGGGTCTGATCTAAATTTGTCGTAGCAGAGGATGACTTTGGGTATTCCATGTCTAATGGATGCAAAAGATTCATTCTTGCCCATTTGAGATTCGCCTGCTCCATGAAGAAAGAGGATTACAGGCCATTTCTTTCCCTTGGCTTTGCTGTCGTAAGCAGGCGGCAGTGACACAAAATGTTCATACCCAAAAGGAGCGTTTGAAGACCTTTGCTCATATAATTCGAAACGAACATTCTCAACCTTCGAATATGGATGTCTTGGGTCCTTGGGAGGATTGTACTGGTCGGTGGTGTGCACTACCATTTTAGGGACGTTCTTAGGACCACGACGGACCTTGTGAAAGTCGTGAAGAGCATTTGGGTTGATTGAAGGGTCATCTCGAACAAGATGTCTGCCGTTCGTTGTCATGTCGCTATGGTTTGGCTGATTGGTCGGAAGGTGAACGGAGAATGTTCAAGGTGTATATCATGCTCTGATATGCTCACTTGAATCAATCGTCGATCTCAATCCCGCTGATGGCGGACCTATCTTCCGAGGGAATGGGCTTTCTAATAATACTTACATCAATATCTTACCATATACATCCTTACACAGCGTCCTACAGCATCCTCAAAATCAGGGTGCTCACGGACAGGAAAGTAGCACGTAATCTGGCAATATGAGATGGCCACAGGGCAAGCTGATAAGCGTGGCTGGCTAATAATTCGGGATCAATCAGTGCTTGTGACCACGGTCCATTGATCTCTTTGGTCAGCGATGACGTCCAGGGTCATCGACATGATTATTGGGACGAAGAGATCATTCAAGGTGAAAGAACTCGACACGAACCGAAACGCGTTCACGTGGACGTTCAAATAGACCGAGGAGCCGATGACGCGCTAGCCTAGATAGGCGGCATTCTTTATCGGCCCTGATTTAATATTACGTCGTTTCAAAGAAATGCGCATGCAAACCACCAATTTCTGATCCCGAGCAGGAGGACTCGAGGTCTAGCTTCGTCCAGCCCTTGAGTCGCTCTGAAAATGGTGCCGCAGTTATGGGGAATTCTCAGAGCTCGAATAAGATCTCTGCCCAGGACAGGTAGCGAGACATCTCACCCGCAGCACCCCTCCCTGCTCTCTTCGCCGCAAGTTCTAACATCTGATCCCCGACACTCAGGGCGATCCTTGACATGAAAATCCAGCGAGACAAACTGCGCCAATATCAGAAACGAATTACAGTGATAACCACCCGCGAAACCGAGATTGCCCGCGAATGCCTCGCGAAAGGCGACAAAGCCAAGGCACTCCTCGCTCTCCGCCGGAAAAAGTACCAGGAATCGCTCCTCTCGAAAACGGACTCTCAGTTGGAGCAACTCGAGAAGCTGACGAGCAGCGTTGAATTCGCGCAGGTGCAAAAGGACGTGGTGTTTGGTCTTCAACAAGGCACACAGGTACTGAACATGATACACAAGGAAATGGGCGGGCTGGAAGGCGTAGAGAAAATGATGGCCGATACGGAGGAAGCGAGAAGGTATCAGGAGGAAATCAGCGAGGCTCTCGCAGGGCAGATGTCGAATGAGGATGAGGACGAAGTAGAGGATGAGCTTGAGGCCATGGAGAGGGAGGTGACTGGTGTCAATGTTCTGCCAGACGCTCCAAACAAGACAATCGTGGGAGAAGGCATCTTGCCCGAAGTCCCCAAGACCGAACTTGAACTGGAGCAGGACAGGCTACAGAAACAGAAAGAGAGGGCTAGGCAGAGGAGGGTGGCACTGGAGGCTTGATGAAGCCTATTTTCTCTAGATTTGATGTTCCGATGCCAGGCTCTGCTCTTTCTTCCCACCAAGCAATATATCCGCCGATGAATACAAGTGACAACTAGCTAGTCTTCTTCGCTCACTGTCCTGGCGTAGAATGACCCACGTTTGTCAGGCCTTGGATGACCTTGTGGTCCTTCGGGTTTGCAGCCGCTTCATAGAGCACGCTGACCGGTTCGCGATTCAATGCCATGAAATCCCCCTTGAAGCCTAAATAACTGATTCTAGTGACATCTTCACTTCCTCCAGAATGGTTGTCCTCGAAAAAAAGATTAATGGATGTCGTGCCGTTCCAAAGGGCGCGGTTCAGAGGAATATCCGCCACATCATTGCTTCGTGGTAGAGTGATAACTTGAGTAGCCTTGAGGTCGGTCGCTGTACTAAAGTCCATGTCATCCCGGTTGCGAAATAGTTTCAGAGTCTGCGGAGCCGAGTCGGAATCGGAAGTACGGATGAGTATTGAATACAGTTTGCATGATCCTGCGAAAGGAATGTGCATCAAAATCTGCTCATCTGCATCGCTTTCAAGTATTGGTTGGTCGTTCAGTCGTTCATCCCATGTCTTCTGAACTATTGCCGCGCCTGATCGCGACTCAGCCTCGTTGAGTGTGACGATGCCTTCGAACTCAATTTGTTTGTAAAGGTTTGACTGAAGCGCGGGCTCCAAGTCGTGAGAGTGGTCGTGGTGGTCTCCGTGACCGCCGTGACCGTGCCCATGTTCCTCATGAGCGTGAGAGTGCTCATGGGAATGAGAGGCCATCTTCTGAGGAGTGTGGTTATGCTGGTTGTGTTGGTGGCATTCATTAATCAACCAATTTGGGCACAATCCTGCGTCATCTAGTTGCTCCCAAATTCATGGCATTCTGCCTTTTCGCTAGACGTTGAGAAGCATGGACTGTGCTCAAAGACTACTACGATCCTCGATGAAGCGAAGGTACCTGTGACTGAGTGAGGCGAGAGCGCCCTCCCTTGAAAACCCCTCCCCTTAGCGCCCCTCGGCCTGCCGCTTTAACTAAACTGTCGCTTGACTGCCTCCCTTTCTCATCCTCACTTTGGCCAATGTGTTACTCATGTCAATACCAGGCCATGGATTTAGCAGTTTCTCAAGTCTGGCTGAGCGTGATACTGCGCCGTATTCTCTCTGTGATGTTCGATTCAGCCTGATAATATTGCATCTACGTCAGTAAAGACGGCGTTGGAACAGCGGATGTTCCTAGCCTCGAGATGAGTGGATGTTTGTTAGATCAGAATCATCAGATAGAATGATCATCATTATGTTTTTTTGGGAATACAGCTGGGTTTTGTTTCGCGGCTAGAAATGTTCCTAGTTTGACCCTTATTCGGCGTATGTCGAACCGATGGAGCCAGGAACGCTACGCCAGTCTCTTCTGCTTTGTAGGTGGTTATACCGCCCCTTGCCCCTATGTCTGCTGCTGCTGCTGCTGCTGCTGCTGCCACGCAGCGCGCTTATGATATACGCCACGGCGGAATGTCTGCTTCAGTGCGGTCACCGCCTCTCGATCCACTGGCAGCGGAGATTGTACAGCACCGATGCCACACAAGTTATTCTTGCGATCAATAAACCAGGCGAGCGTCAGGCCTCCGCCCCAACTCAATGTACCCTCACCGTACCAATTCTCAATATCCTGGAGTGTGAGCAAGCCGCCTAGGCCGTGGCCCACCTTGACATCGGGGTCGATTCCAAGACGGAAGAATGGGCCCGCAGGGCTAGATAGTGCAGCCTGGTGTCCTGATGTAGCGTTGACGCTGAGATGATGTTTGAACATATCATCGACAGTGGCTGGTTTAAGCAGCTTGCCATCGTTGGCCAGCAGCGAATGCAAAACCTTGATGTACTCGGAGCCCGGCATGTACAGGCCATGCCCACCAAAATCTCCACGGTTGCGCTTGTTCATGTCACCGTTGCTGCCGGCTACTGCCACGCCGAGGCCCTCAGGGTCTCCTGGATTCAGATCAATCATGCGTGCGCGCAGGTCCTCACGCGTGACCGGCCAGAACTGGGCATCGGTAATGCCCAATGGACCACAGATGCGTTCTTGCATGTGCTCGCTCAGGGTCCCCCCAGTTACTCTCTCTATGATCTTGCCAGTCCAGTCAAGCCCAGTACCATACATCCAGCTGTCACCCGGGTGGAAACCAAGCGGGTAGCTGAATGCCTCCTCCACTCCTCGAGTTTTGCCCTCTTGTGGCTGGTTAAACTTTTGGCTCCATTGTCCCAGAAGCGGGTTCATGAAGTCGTAGGTTAGGCCGGAGCTGTGCGTGAGCAGCATCTCGAGCGTAATTGGGCGTGCGGCAGGCTCGAGCAATGGAGTTTCACCATCCGCGGACCATCCAGTCATCACTTGCTTGGAGGCAAGCTCAGGAGCGATGGAGGAGATGTCGCCAGTGAGGGTCAACAAGCCATCCTCTACGCATTGCAGAGCTGCAATGGTTGTGATTAGTTTTGTCGCCGACGCGAGGAATAGGACGTCATCGAGCCGCTGGGACCGCTTTTCTCCCGACAACAGGGTCCGCTCTCCGAGAGCTTTGTTATAGACGAAGCGACACTCGGCATCGGTGGCACATATAACAACACCGTTGATATTTCCGGCATCAATGGCCTTTTGAAAGACAGTTTCGATGTCGTCGCCCATTCTGCAGACGAAAAGTCAATCGGCCTTCAATTGAACGCGGGGAACGGGCAGGTACGGAATTCTAAGACTTCCGGAATGGTGCTTTGCTCTGAATATCGGAACCGCACACGAGTAACGGAAAGCAATGAGGTGGTATGTCGACGAAAAGTTCGACTGTTGCCTGCGTAGGGTTATCATCAATTAGGTGAGAAGGGGTTCTGAAAGCTATGAGTAACTTATTGGGCGCCTTATTTCATCTGTCATCTGGCCTGTCCAGAGCCTGATCTTTTTCTCAACCACCAGGCGCCACCATCGTTCGAGGAATTTCTACTGGGCACACATCGAATACACCCAAGTCTCTCTATAGGACTACATGCATACGAGTGGTAGCTTGGTGAAGAGTTCTTTGTCTGGGATATGTGTTTGGACCTTTGAGGTGGTCCCGTAGGACTAACCCCTTGAAGACGAGACTGGGATCGCAAGGCTCCGTCACCTAAACAAAAACCCCGCGAGGTCAGCTATTTAGGCAAACCATCCAATAGGATTGAGCATGAGAGTATTGGATCTATCAGCGTCACCATCAGGACTTTCCAGCATACTTGTACTGATTATTCGAACTACGAGTAAAAGATTTTCAGGCACTACAAGCATCCGATCGAGTAGCCGGTGTGCCCAGAATCAAGTATGGGGTACGTTCTACTTGCAGCTTTGAAAGAGGCGGATTCCATCAAACCAAGAGATGATAACCGAAGCGGCATTAACATATTCATCCACAAGATCGGGCGGCCTTATTCAGTTCTGGCGAGGTAGACGGTTTCCTGTTCCAGTTAGTCATGGTCGATACGCTCTGAAGGATTGGCGTTATATATCATCAAATGCTATCAACAAGTCTTTCCCTTTAGGGTATGGAGACCATTGAAATAGCCACGCCGCGTCGGCGAATTTTGGCCGATATTTATCGCCGAGAATTTCAATTCAGATGGTGGAAGCATTCACCCAGAGTATCAGTTGGCAGCTCTCCAATTTGGATGGACGATTGCGATCAATCCCCGACACTTGAAGAACAAGATTCAAACGCCCAATTAGTAAATCTATATCAACTCGACCTTGAGAGATATTAGTCGGAGTGCACCTCGTCTCGAGCACGGCAACGAAATGGGTTGAGGTAAAATGAGCGATATCGACATTTGTCCGGTTATTGGCGCGTTCTGCTGAAAGTTCAAACACCGAATCCCATGTACCAATTACTTCCGTGGAAGCAAACAAACGTCGCCAAGTGGTAAAATCAGCGGTTCTCAAATTTACCACATCTTGGCCATCATCCACAAGGTCTGCTACTGTACCTTGGAATATCCACTCACACACTTTTATCGGCAATTGCACCGCTGCACTGCACCCAAATAGATTGATAAGATTGAGTTTGGAGATTTTCATACAGTTATGTATTGCCGAAAACTTTTGCATCTGATAATGATAATCCTGGATCTGATATAACCGATGCTACCCCCCTCCATATGGATGATGGAGGGCCACAAGCACCTATCACACCTCCCCCGTCGGTGCCCTCAGACGTGTGATATTGGTTGGATTTACTCTATTTGATCTTAGATCCACGAATCGAGACCTCTAGGCCACCTTCAAGATTCATCATGGGCGAAGGTCGTGCTTCCGTGCTCGAGAAGAGGTTGATATGGAAGTTGGGTAAGCATAACTACTCGAGATTATATGCAACTATGTTAACTTGAGTAGATTTCTTTATTGTTGTGAGTAGCGACACTGGACCAGAATAATGTATACTGAATCCCTAGGCGTATTGTTGCCTGTGCTACTTCCTGAACTACCTTGGTAAGACTTCATCGATTGATAGTGTCACTACAGCCTGTTGATGAGTTCAGATCGAAATGCGCTTGCAAATGCCTATGTGAGTCCGCTAGTATCAGAGGAGTTGCATTCTTGCTGAAGCCCTCAACAGGTGGCTGGTATGAAAGAAAGTCTTTCTTTGAAGCAAAATGATTACAGCCTGCTACTCTCCATCTTCGGAGCAGGGTAAGGCCCTTCAAATGGTCCATATGTCAGAGGCTCACTTCGAAATTAGTATGCTCGTTGGTCAAATTCCTCATGCTCTCATCCTTCAAAAAGTGCAACCTCGGATCTGGATCCCAACAACTGTTATTATCTGGTCTGGCCTTACCATGGCCTGTGCTGGATGCAACAATTTTGCCCAGCTCGCCGCAGTCCGCTTTCTGCAAGGATTCTTCGAAGCAAGCCTTTACAGTGGGACCATGTTTATCATTGGGTCGTGGTAGTATGTACAATTTGTGTGCAAATGAAGATTCCTTCGGTGCTAATAGGTGTCTTTGTAGCAAAGCAGACGAAATCTCCAAGCGAGCGTCCATATTCACTTCCATTGGACAATTTGGATCACTGTTTGCTGGCATTATGATGACAGCTGTCCGCAAGACATTGGACGGCCACGCTGATATGGCCGGCTGGCAATGGGTGTTCATAATTGGTTAGTCCACGCTGCAGAATCGCGGTACTGTCTCTTGTGCACTTGATCCTGACTCACGAAAAGATGGTCTTATGGGAATGCCGGTTGGTATTTTTGGCCTGGTAAGTTCCATGATATTCAGCCTGAAAGCTGGTGCGCTTTTGATATACTGATTGAACAGATCTTCTTTCCAAACACGCCCTTGAAAACAAATATGCCTTACCTCTCGAAGGAGGAGGTCCAATTCGCAATCAACCGTCTACCACCTATCATTAAAGAAAGCACTAAGATCAAACCCAAATCTTTGGCCAAACGAGTCCTGACGAAGCCTACAATGTTCGTCCAGAGCGCTTGTCTGATCAGATTATGAAGCCACTAACTTCGTCCAGCTATATCTTGACCATGTTCTCCGTCTTGTCAGCGATGATAGAGGCGTTTGCATTCCAGGTGTGTCACAAAGGAATATTCCTTTTCGATGAGCACTGCTAACCTTTTTCAAGGGTTGCTTCCTGCTCTGGATGAAGCATTTTGAAGACAAATTCCCCCAATCAGCCGTCACTACGTACCCTCTTGGTATACAGGCGGTTGCCATCTTGTCAATGATCCTTGCTGGAGTGTATATGGACAAGACAAGACGAAACGTGGAGGTCGGTATTCTAACCGGTCTTCTCCAGCTGATATGTGGAGCGATGCTGGTCGTTCCCTCACTCCCCACCGGTGGAACATTCTTTGCCTTCTATCTCAGCGGTACGTCGTTTATGGTGAATCCACTTCTCTACGGGTGGGGAGGGGTTATCGCTCGAAGAGGTGGCGACGACGCAGCACGTGCCATCATCCTATATACCATGAATACTGGAGGTCAGCTTCTCTACACGTGGTGGGGTATCGTCCTTTATCCCGCTGCTGATGCGCCGTACTGGAAGAAAGGCGCCATCGCCTTGATGGCTGCAGTATGCTGTTATCTGTGCGGTCTTTACTGCATGCATTGGGTAAGCTCACCTCGTCCTTGCCGTATGAAAGTGTTATTCACAGCTTTACAGCTCGATCAACGAACAAAAGAAGACCATGCGAATAGATCAGAGGATGATAGCGTCGTCACTCCGGAAACACAGGTGATAGATTTGAAAGCTTAAAATAAAGCCTGATGGTGAGCGGCCAGATTCAACACCAAAGCTAGAACATGCCTAGGTAATAGTGTCGCGTCCAATATCGATCGCATCCATTAGTTGTTGTACGTCTAGGGTAGACAAGCATGCACTCCCGGCCTCACTGCTTGGTTAGTTCACTGAGGGTATCTATACTTACCCTTACAGGCGTCTCCCTATTCCCCTAATGACCAATCCGTTTTACGTCCATCTTGCTTGAACTTTGGGCGTGCCTTTCATTAGTCGTGCTGCACTGTATCTGTTCTTGCAGCCGTGTCGTTGGTGGAAAGACACAATTGGTGAGCTTGCTACTAGTCTGTATATTTCTAATTGACAACACTGCGTTTAAGCGTAGGTGAGGCTCCCGACTGGACCCCAAATCACTTTGCCCCTAGATAATGCCTAAGTGTGATCAGAGATAATTACACAGGCACCATCATCAACCCCTTTTCCCCTCGCGAGGAGATACGTACTGTAGATACAAGGGTCGCGCCCGTGGCAGACCCACCAATAGCCTTGAGCGTAGACACATCAACCTTCCTCGCTTTGTGTCTTGTCTCCTTCTCTCACTTTGGGCGTCCTAAGATGACTCTAGTGGCCTTGCATTCCTTTGTGTCGATGAGAGAATGTGTTTCCTAATGGCGTTGCGCATTTCTGTATGAGCATCTGGTGCTTATGGGCCATTCTGTTGCTGTGGGCGTTCTGTGCCAGACCGCGCGCCCTGAATCTGAAGACAACCGTGTTGAGACACTGATAAAACGGGCATGGTGAGCAGCATGCCCAAACCCAGGACACTTGCTGCACCACTTCGGATGACATGATATCATTTCGCAGTCGTTCGAAGAGAGCTCTGGTGGATCCATGCGATATATCGATAAAAAATATTCCTGAAAGGCCGCTTAGACAAGGCACATCTCCTAGGCCCCTGATATCTCCGGCTATTCTGCCAAACCGGAAGAGGACACTCGTGGCGGCGCACTGAGCAAACACCAGATACGACGGTCTGCTGTCATGTTAGATGGCTTCTACGTGAGCTTCCTTGGCCTCCGGTCTCCAGCAGAAAGACAAGGAGGACAGCCAATAACTTCCACTGGATGGACCTTGTTGGCACAACGTCCGCTGCTACAACAACTTGATGGACTTCCATGAGCATGTTCAACTCCATTACCGGCGCTAGCGGTGATTCAATCATGCAAGCGTGAATATTACAGCCTCGTCCACAACCGTCGCCAAGCGGAAGCCTCGTTGATCTGGAGGCCACACCACAGAGTACATAACCCTCCTTTTGGCACCGCAACGGTGATTTGTTTTCACTCGCTTGACAACACGCTTCATTCGTTCACTCCATTCAATCCCTTGACGCAGCAACCGTTGACCAGCAAACAGCCATTCTTTCCTCGTCTCTATCCGTCCTAAAGGCTCATCACGAGATGAAGTCTATCTTCTTCTGGCTATCCTGCCTGCTTCTGAGCAGTGTCGGCAATGCTATTGGCGCCGCAGGTGCTGGTGACAGTTCTGCAGGCCACACCAACACTACTCTGACTGGAACTACTTCTTCTGCTCTCTATACTTCTGCTTCCACTGCTTCCAATAGCTTGTCATTGCCTGCCGTTCCCACTTCAATCTTCAGTGATGGTCCAGACCGAAAGGCCACTCGTCACTGCAGCCATTCCACCACCACTGTGATCTCATGGATCAAGCACGGCGTGCCCTCTGCAGTCTTCATTCTCAAGACCGTCGCTGTCTTTGGATCACAGACCACATCTTGTAGGCGAAGGCCTCAATCCCACAATGAAACTCGAGCGGCGCTAACATCTCTACAGCTGACGATCTTTCTTTGTCTTCCTCAGGGCCCTTGAGCACTACCCACAGTGAGCACTACCCACAAACTGAACCCTTAAACAAAAATGCCAAGGCCGGAATAAATTGACGATGTTATATCTCCAGATTGTGTCACGACCACTCCAGCCAGTACTACCACTGTCTCTACCTCTACCGGTACGTCTATCCAAGACGATCAAGTCCTTGTGTGTATTGTCAACTAACTTACAATCCCAGGCGACGGCCTATTCCCCAGTGTTAGCACTGAAACTGCCCACCACGTCCTCAACACCGCCCATCTCCCCAATGGGAATGTCTCTATCTTCGTTCGCAGCAGCCGTCGTATCTTGCCCTTGCGTCCTTCGCCTGCCATCTTTTCCAACGCCTCTACAACCTACTTCGCTCGCACACTATCCCCGGCTGGCGCTGCAATCGGCGAGACTACATCCTCCACAATCGTTGCTCCCTTGTCCAACTCAGAGACACCAGACACTGCCCCCACAGACGTTACCACTACAACCATTCTCACTCGCACAACAGCGACCACCACCACCTTCGTTGGCACTGGTGGCACAGCAAACAATGGGACTGAGGCTGCGCGCAGCAGCACTTTGTCTGCCGCTGCCACCGTTGAGACTGAGACCGAGACTGAGACCGAGTCGTTTCCAACCAGCACCCCATTGTCCGGCACTCTCTCTGAAACCACCTCTGTCTTGAACGAAACCGCAGTGAGTACCAGCACGTCGTCTGAAGTTTCAACCACTACCATCACAGCTTCTGTGCTTGTCGGTAACACATCTCCATCCTCTTTTGCCGTCTTCGATTCGGCTTCACCTTCCTCACCAGCTTCAGCTTCAGCTTCGTCGGTCGTGCCATTTGACTCCTCCGCATCTACCACTGACGGCGATCCATACGCATCCCTATGCTGCACCGTGTACACCAACATCTCATCCTCGCCCCTTACCCCCCCAAACCCTAGCCCTGCACCCAGCTCCAGCTCCAGCTACGTCAACATCTCAACCTTCATCGCTTCGGGCCTCACCATCAACGCATCGACCAGCACCGCAGGCATTCTCCCGTCCTCGTCTTCGTCCGAGACTTCCTCCATCGTCCTCTCCACGCCCCACCGCACGCACACCCCGAGAACGACCCTCAGCCCATCCACCGTCCCAGCCAGCACCACGACCGCCACGACTGGCGCCGCACGCGCAGCAGTCCGCCCGGCCCGCGTCTTCGTGCATCTCGCTCACCTCATGGCTCTCCTCGACGTGGTGAAGCTCTGCACTGCTGATGCCGGCACCACTCTTACCGCTGCCGCTCCAGCTGTTCCTGGTCTGCCAATGGCATGCGACAACGGGCCGCTCGCCTCACCATGCCATACCATCTCGTTCACAGCCACCAAGTCAACGACCTACACCATCCACACCACGACCACTGTGCGCTCCACTGTCACGTCCACCACCACAATTGGCAATCACACCACCTCCATGGCTGCGACTTCTAGCGTCATCGAAAACGCCACTTCGTCGCATACCTACACTTTCGGCGTGCATAGTATCGACCCTGTCGCCAGCACCACCCACGCTGCCGCCTCCCACCTCGCCGCCTCGGCATTTGTGGTGCTCGTGCTCTTCACGCTTGGTGCCTGGTTTGTTTTGTGAAGGGGTTTAAGGGAGGCGGGTTTTGGGTTTTCTATGGCGGGTACCTGGATCCCCAATGCTGGTGTTTTTGCCGGCGGCCAACGTGATGATCAATGAACAATTTCTGTGCTTTTTTGCTGGGAGGACGCTGCGTTCAGCTTTCAGGAAATTCCTGTTCATAGTTTCTACAATGAAATTCATTTTCTATGGATGCTTTTCCTATCTGATTTACGGCCGGTGTGCTCCTAGATCCTAAATGAATACGGGTTTAAGAGCTCATATTCCGTAGGTCCACATCAGTCTTCAATGCAGCAAAACTTCCCACACAATCACGGTGGGTCCATGTCCAAGCCTGGCTGTCGAATGTTGGAGCACTCAGGAGACTTACTCCACCCGTTCTGTGGTCCGCTGAGAAGTATACTGCTTCCCATCCTCAGTACCATCGATCTTACCAGGTCCAGGACGCTTGAACTCTTCGCCATCACCAATACCAGGAATGCATTCAAGTTCGGGGTATTCGGCAATAGCACCAGCACCTATACTGCTCCGATGTCCATGGTTGTGAGTATATGCTCGTAATTCCCAGCTACTGCTCCTGTAGAGTTTTTTCCAGCGGCCCGCAAGGCTATTCCCGCCCCTGTTGCTGCTTGAATTCTTGGTGGGAGTCAGGTTCGCGATGCGCGGTAAAGTCATGCTCTTGCTTTTCATTTTCTCAACATGCCTCTTTCTCCCGAATGGCAACGTTCTCCATGAGCCTGGAGTGGGAGTATTGATGTTTGCACCTGACGCGTTCAATGTTGAAAACTCCACCGAGGGTGAGAGATGGTTTTCGCCATCACGCAGCATATCAATGAAATCTCGCACTGCTACCCCGTCCTTCCCACTGGCCGAGCCACACCGCACTTCCCTCTCGTGACTCGGGAAACGCCCCTAAAGCCCAAAGATGTCCTTCAAGGGAGTGGTAGTTCCAGGACGAATCTCCAAATCATTGTTAGGGATAGTACTTGTGAAACGTCGACCTATATCTAGGAAACTTTTCTTTCTCTTGTTGTTCTCCGTCTGTACCGGTGAGGGTTGCAGAAGTGTTTGTTGAGCTTCCACGTCTCCATTTGGCCTGGAAGTGGGTTTTGCATTCTTCGAATTCGCTTCTGAATGGCTTTCTTCTGGAAGAACTTCATCTCGGTCAACGTTCGACAAACTGCTTGTCTTAGAGCTTCGTCGCCTCCCATCACGGTCATATTTAGGGGCGGTCAGAAACCCTCCCACATTCTCATACAGTGGTTTAGCTACAGCTTGCCTGAAACTCCGTTGCCACATGTCACTTGCGCTGTCGAGAAAGAGAAAGTCTGGTGAACTTGGGTCGTGAGTCGCCCCACTGCCTGATCCCTTTCTTTGCCAGTGCGTCCGAGCATTGAGCGAGTGTGCTAAGATATTGCTTGAACGCCGTCGATTCGACGAGACTGCGTCTCCCAAGGAGAAATCCCAATTTCTTGTTTCAAAGGTCGGAGAGTGATTGAGCTCGCTCATCGGTTCACTGTGAGAATCCAATATTGCATGGGCGCTGATTTCTGTCAATCTTTCTATTCTTGCGTCTTCGAGAGCTCCCGTGCTGATTTCGCTCAAGTCTTCATCGTCGTTGGTGGACCTACGACCTCGGTGTCTGGTCGATGATTCGTGAGGTTGTAATTTTGCCCTCTCTGGCATACTAGTGCTTCTGCTTCTTGGGGAAACTCCAAGTCCAGCGTGGCCACAATCAGAGGCTTTATTCGAATATCTCCTGCCAAACCAAGTAGCCTCCTCTGTTCCCGATGGGTTGCCAATATTGTTCAGTGAGGAACTTACCGGGAGGCTGACCGACTCTGATCTTCCACCAATCGCAAGGCTGTTGATATTCCTCCCTGGACAGTTTCGGAGAGAATTATTGGCAGGACCTACTTCACCATCGCTCCAGTAGAATGACGATCCATCATCTCCTACACGATTAGGTTTGAAGCTCAGTCCACTAGCTCCACTGCCAAATGAGGTCACTGTCTTCCATTGAGATCGCATATTCTCGGCCTGGTGCCCTAGTTCGAACAGTCGTCTAGTTTGAGGATCGGAAGGGCGTCTATTGTGTTCCGCAGTGACTCGAGATGACAGGTGACCTGAAGCGGACTGACGCTTTGCTGGGATCGCCACATCCATAGAGGGTCGCTGGAGGTGTGATATCGTGGTATGACTAGTCGTAGGTCTAGAGACAGCGATAAGTGAAGGGCTGGCGAGATTTTGGGAAATGCGCATATTGAATAGGTGCACAGATAGTTGATCTGAATCGTGTCCTGATGTTAGATTTCTTGAAGAAGAGACATCCTTTTTCTGGGGTTCAGAGTCGGTAAGACTAGGGAGGTCGCCGGAGGATTTCTCACGCAGGAAAATTGTTCCAGGGTCACAGTGCGGATCTGATGAGCCAAGATCATTGCTTTTGGGATCTAGTTCTGCAAATTTTGCAATGAACTCAATGAAGGTTGGGTCGAGATTTGATACAATACTGGCACGAACACCATCGTCAGGGTTGGAATTCACACCGTCCATTTGTGTTGCAGTAACAGTAGTGCTAAGTCTCTTGAGGGTTGAAAGGATTTCAACTTGTTCATCGGTGCTGTAACTTAGCTCTGGAGAGGCCAGGCTTGCGACGCTGGCTGGATCCTTTTCTCTCATCGCAATATGGTTGAGCGTGCTATTGGAGTTGAATGAGCTTGGTAGCTTGATTGTGCCGTTTGATATCCCTGTGCTTAGTCTCTGTAGTGCAATCATCGGTGCAGAATCCTTCTCAGCCAAAAGGGCTTCTGTGAAGATTTTCTGTCCAGGAATAGTAAGGAAATCAAGATCGATCGATGCCTTTTCAACATCATCTTTAGTTTGCATATCACCTCCTAGTGAACGGCTGGGGGAGAGGCGAGCTGTCACTGGGATGTCGAGAGAATTCGGAAGCTCTTTTGCTAGCAAAGGGCTCAATCTTAATGTAGCGTCGCCACCTTTCAGCATTGTGGTTCGAATGCTCTTCGCGTCACTGTCATATCCTCCCTCAGTTCCTGTACGGGACATGAGCAACTCAAGTAAGCCATTGGAGTGTTGACTCATAGAGGCCTCCGCAATGTCCACACCAAGTGAAGAAGGATGGATATCGGAAGGATTTTGAGAGGCTTCTTTCAGACCCGGTGGTCCCCTTGGACTGGTTATGCCCAGTCTCCCCTCAGATATCCTCTGTTTGATATGGCTTCCAAGTTGCTCCAATCGACTTGGTGGCTTGGGCTCCGAATCCTTTGAACAGAACTTAAAATCTATGTCGAACGAGGATCGTTTTGGTACCGGCAAATGCATTGACTCGGAAGCTGTTTGATAGCCGCGTACCGAGGAGCTCGACCTAAAGAGCTCTTCTAACATATCATTGTCTGTGGTGGATTGCTTGCGCTTGCCAGACGCATGAGGCACAGTGTCTGGAGGGAGATGCACAGATATGGCTGAATGCCCTTGCATGGTGTTCAGATTCGCGTTGAGGTCACTTTCATCGGGCTGCTGGGAACTGACGCAGCAGATCAAATGGGAGAGCTGCTTTGTGATAAAAGGCATATTGAAAAAAACAGATGTAGGGGCTGGATACAGCGAGGGATGAAAGTCAAAGGAATGCAAGGACAAGTAAGCTCGCAGGCTGATGGAATTGGGTGGCCAGAGTCAAACAACAACACAGACGAGGCAAAAAAATCAGAACATGGGAAAAGCAATTCATAAGAAGAAGGGAGAACTATACTTTTGAGGAATGGAAAGAATGACTCGATCCTGCCTTCGCCAACTGCAGGAGCGTTCGTCAGTATTCGGGCAGTCAGGTTGCGGACGATGTAAAATGTTCTTTTGAGGCCAGGGGGGTTCGTCAGGAGCATGTTGTGTCTAACCTCGCGCAATACATTGAGAACATCCTCACGAGATGAAGCATTTTGACTACCTGATCCACTCTACCTGGTAGAAATATCTGGTATGCTCTCCGCCGTAAGACCTAGAAAAGAAGAGGTTCAGTCGATGGTCATCGGGTGTGGAGTGACGCGCCGTATAGAATTAGGGTGGATTATATGAGCATACAAGGCCACCATCTTCTCCACGGCATGTTGTGCATAATTTCACTGCCAATCCTGTATTCAAGGTGGACCGAAGTGTTCTTCTCTTGCTGTCATTTCCTCCGGCTCTCGCGGGACCATTTTGAGTGTTTTTGCCGATGGTGAGAACTGGAGTGCAGCTCATAGCCAACCAACATCTCCCTTGGCTCTTCTCACGAAGATGCCGATTGATATCCAAATTCAAGAACTCGATACCACCGGCTACAATACAGCAAATTATAGATATGACGCCTATACCGGTGGATTTGAGCTATCCACCCCAGCACACACTGTGAATAATGGCAAATGTCAAGTCTACCGATACTTGAGCCCCTTTCTTCCCGCTGGCTATCCTTCCAGTGTGACCGATGATTACACACCTTATCAAATATACGATTCATTACAAGCATTTGCTTCTACAATTGCTGGCCTTCTGGCCTCTCGCGCTGTCTTCGTTGGTATGGGGGTTGGCTCTGAGGATGCTTCTGTTATTACCACGATGTTATTGTACATTGCGCAGGCAACCATCGGGCGGATCGCAACCATAGCCTTTGCCGACCGTTTTTCACAGCAAATCGAGGCGAACGTCAAGTTCTATCGTTTCTTTGCAGACATTGTTAATGATGCAGCATTTGTTCTAGATTGCATCAGCCCACACTTGCCAATCCTTGGGCGAGCAATTACGTTATGCGTGAGCAACGCATGTCGTGCTCTATGTGGGGTCGCTGGCGGAAGTAGCAAGGCTATCTTGAGCACACACTTTGCAAAGGCAGGCAACATTGGTGAGCTTAATGCTAAGGACGGCAGTCAAGAAACAGTGGTGAGCTTGATTGGGATGTGGGTGGGTGGCCTGGTTGTTAGTAAAGTGGAAGGGATTGCAGAAACCTGGTGCTGCATGATACCGCTTCTGGCGTTGCATCTGTGGTGCAACTGGAAGGCGGTCAAAAGTGTGAGGCTTTCCACTCTGAATACTGAGAGAGCGGTCATATTATTCGACGGAGTACTTCAGGGACAGACAAAGAGTTTAGACGAGGTAGGAAAACAGGAAGGAATCCTAGGGAAAGGTGACATGCTGCGAACAGCCGAGGGCCGACTATTGTCATCTTGCAAAGTCGGTGCGTCTGTGGACGAGTTGCTTCGCATCATGCGTCTCAAAGAGCTTGGTGTTCCTGGCAGACCCGAGACTGCCGGCGAGAGGCTAGCACGCCTATTGGAAGTATTCCACGAAGAGGAATACTTATTATGGGCTGATATAACAACCGGGCAAGCAGTCATCATTTTGAAAGAAGACGCGTCTGTTGTGACTCAAGCGAAAGGATTTCTGCATTTGATGCGCCTCGCAAATTCTCACTCACCTCTACAAAAAGACAAGACAAAAAGGATGGAGGATCCTCAAAAATCCATCATGATGCCCCAGCAGGACGATGAGATCTTGAAATATCTCGAACAAACACTTCATGAGAACAGTACCCTCTGGCCGGCAATCAAAGATCGCGTCCAGGCTGCGGGTTGGGAACTAGAAAAGGGGACCTTAGAACAAGGACCGTCATACCGGGTCCGCATGTGCAACGGACCCGACAGCAAAAAGGACAAGTGAAGTGGCTGTGCTAGTCCCTAAGAAGAGGCCTCTTCGAGTGACGAGCTCAAGGCCAACTTGCTCGCTCATGCAAATAGGATCCCTCTACCAGGTGGAGCCAGCGATGGTTGTAACGTGTGATGTGCTGCGGAGCAGGGTAACAGAAACCAAGCCTGACCGAGCACGTTAGCCACTTTTTGACATCACGATTCGAGTGTTCGCCTCGAATCGGTGGCAAGCTCCATCAAGAAATGGATACTGGTCGCCGGAAGAATTTTTCATCTGCCCTGGGATGTCATTGCTCCGGCTGTTGGTACTGAAGGTTGAGAAATGGGAAATGTTCCTTTGACCCACGTGCCATGCCTGTGCGGAGTGGACCGGGAGTTTTTCCGAAAATAACGCAAGCGGCAAAGAGGCAGGATTTCCTACTCTAGCAATGTTCCAGAAGCTAAGGAGCGCTGCCGGTTAAATGGATGGTTTCTTGGCGTCAAGTGCCCCTGCCACAAGATGTGCTTCTAGAATGCCGCACAATCGCTCCGAGCAAATTGAGCAACGACGTGCATTGTATTATTCGCCTACCTGATGGCAGCTGAAATTGGGAATGGAGGACCGTGCAAGACATAACTATAACGACTGGTAGTGTGTTGAATTTTTCCCAGTTTGAGAAATCAGGCCACCAGGTACTCACAGCGCATCACACTGAGGCAAGTAACATCATACCGCTCCTGCTTGCGTGGACTGTACCTAGATAGGAGATACCAGGTACCTCGTCAACCGTCCTTGGATTGACAGTCGCCGCTCGCATACTGGGGGCCTGTTGACAGGGAGGCCGATGATCAATGTCACGTGAGCAACATGGCCCCGAAGCATGCATCTACATAGTGTGCACCAGAGCCTCCATAATAGCCATATGTTAGCTAGGTGTCAGTGGTAAACGGACAACGTTAGCATCCGCGTGATGAGATTGCTTCCCAAAGATCTTGGACAAGACATGGGGGATTAGTAAAACGCAGCCAATTCAGACTTAGAGTCCACTTGCTTAGAAAGTGGTTAAAGTGGAGCTGGCTTGATACAAGGCGCCAGGCTTGATTAAGAGACGAGTGAAAGTGACTCTTACCCTTTTGTGGGAATGAAGATCGTGTTGCTCGTCAGATGTGTGGCTTGGACATGCTTCAGTTGGAGAATAAGGTAAGCTGAAGCGAGAGACCAAACAACGTTTGGATGCCATAATAGGCTGAGGACCTGGAATTGGGGCAAAGGGCTTGGTGAGACGAGTTGGACCCCATGCACCACATCATGATGTCTTGTGCGGCAGGGCCTGGTCGAATAACAAGGCTCATACAGACTGCAGAGTCCTTTAGTGGCTTTTGGAAGCAGCGGCAATGGGAGGGGGACCTTTTGCTCAAAGGTGTGGATAGAATGCGGGACAGTCGCACGTGAGAGGGTGAAAGAAAACGAAAACCCGAGGGAAGGAGAATGGCATGGCGAAATGGATCGGAATGCGGGCGGCTTTCCAGAAGAACGCATAGAAGACCGAAGGGGGGAGCAATGGTAGGCTAGAAGGAATGGAAGTCAAGATGGAACACAGGCTGCGCAGCACCCTCGTAGAAGCCGGAAGGATGCCTGACTGGAAGGCTCTAGGTGGCAATCGTTGCCTGCAACGAATGCGAGATGCCTGGAGACCCTGGTTAGGACAGTCAGTCGGTGTGATGTATGTAGGTTGTGACGTGTTGATCAAACCTGGGAATGAATGCATTGATATTTGTTTTCAAGTTATCCTCCGTACTCTGTGCTAGCAGAGCCGGAGGCACTAGGCCCTAGGGTCCAAGTCTTCTCTGGTGCTTGCTCCCCTTGGGACTGGGAAGGGATGTGGTATAGGCCTATTGCGCATGCCCCATAAGGTTGACTGGTGATGCTGGTCGCTGGGCCTGCGCGTGCGCGTGCGCCCTGCCCATCCGACAGGAATTGGAGCGTCATGGTTAATTTGTGCCACTCAGCGGGCACGCCTTTGCCTGCTCACCCAATAACGGTGCGTCGGGCCTTAGTTAGTGGGTAACGACCTACTGATCCACGGAAGGCTAGCGAGGCAACGTTGCAGCCCGGTTGCCCTTGCTCTTTGCCCTTTTGCCCTTTTCACCTTCTTTTGATGATTCGTGTGTCTGTGTCGTGCTTCCTTCCGGAACTCTTTTTTGGCTGGTCTTGCCCTCAGCCTACGTGCCTGCCCCTTTTACAACGCTGGGGTATGTGCGCTGCTAGGTGCCACTGCTTGCTTGTATCATTGCTTACATGCACTTTGCACGTCCCCTCTAGAGTCCTCATCCCAGACCTCACCTCTTCCAGTCTTAACGCCCTGCGCAGTACGAATTCTAACATCCTTGTTGGTTGTTTGTCACCTGGGGACCACTGACGCTGCCAGCCCGTCATACCAGCCCAATCCACAATCCCAATTCCCTCTCTACCAAGTTCACCACTCTGCACTCACACGCCCCTGGCCTTTTCCACCTCTCCACCCACCTTGATCGCCTCCGCCTGCGCTGAAATCCATACTGTGGACCATGACTCTTACCTAACTTAACTTTCCTCAATCTAAACGCTCCAGTCCAACTATCAGTAGACTCCACCTCTCAAACTCCTCCCTGTTACCACCTACTCATTGTTTTATTACAACATGACTTTGCTGGAGTCCTGATCTCACCCAAGCCCCTCCGTCACAAGAAGAGACACGAGCAGGGACGCCAATCTCTTCCATATTCTCTTCATCACCCCTTCTCTTCTGGACATCCGTGCTGGATTGGAATTGCCGCTACCTTATACTACTACTACTACACTGCACCTGAGTCACTCCTTCAGCCTTGAACCCGGCGACCAGCCCAATCTGACCGCCCGACGCAGCACCTTCAATCACTTTATCAAGTACCTCTTCAGCTCTTAGCTGTACTCCCCGAAAACCTTTGACACCAGTCGCCGACAGCCTTTCGATCACACGACGCCAACTCTTCATTGCCTACTCCGCTATTTTCTCTTGTCAGTTCCAGACGGATTCGTGGCTTGGACTCTGACACCTGTTTGACGTTGAAGACCCATTGATTCATTCACTTTTGACCCCTCAACACGCTGTCACACACCTTTCTTCTGTAACACAAAAAGAAGCTTGCTCACGGAAAAGGTCTCGGGTGCAGACGGTGAAAAAGATCTTGATCCTCTGCCTGTGTCTGCAACAGCAGAAGAGAATTATTGCTGGGAGTTCTGGCCGTGGGCAATTGATCGCAGCCCGCCATCTCTGTCGACCTTACACCCTGGAGGTTTCAATCCCTGCCCATTTGACCACAATTCGCCGTCTCTCTTTCTATCCTCGGCTGTCTTCGATTGAATCACCAGGAGGTTGGAAGAAGGTTCCAGGGCTGGCGCAATGATCAGGAAGAAGGCGAACAAACTATCCTGGCCATATACACCTGAACCTTCACCCCATCTTGAACCTTCAGTCTACCCATTGGAGGACGTGCCAGAAGATTTCGCCATGTCTGGTGAGGAGCTTCCAAGGGCAAGGCCCATTAGTATGGTGTCTCGGAAAGACGGCGTAATGTCACCAGCAAGACCGACATTAGACGAAGTACTCAACAACACCGCCCCACAACCCTACACCCTCGCAGCGTACACAGCCTTTCTCTCTCAACAACACTGCTTGGAGACCCTTGAATTTACCACCGAGGCGAAGAAATATGCAGAAAAGTACGACGAGGTTTCGGCGCAGCTGGCGGGGATTCCACTGACAATTGACACGGACAAGGGTTATGATTTGATCCAGGATTGGAAAAGGATCCTCGACATCTATGTCAAACCAGGTGCACCACGTGAGATCAATCTACCGGCCGAGGAACGAGACGATCTGGTTGAGCAATCTGCAGACGTTCGACCGCCTCAACCAGAGGCACTTGAGCCAGCAATCAAGAGGATGTACGACCTCATGTCAGAATCCATCTTCATTCCTTTTTGCAACAGTCTCAAGACCGTGTCATACGCACAAACCTATTCCACTATGTCGGCTTGGCAACATGGCGATCTAGAAGCGTCACGCTTAACATTTGATGAACGAGCGATGCACCAACGGATACCATCCCGACGGAGGCGGTCCCCGCCGAATACCTCGGCAGTCTCATTCGAAGCCACCCGATCTCCGCCGCACCATCGACCAACACAATCGTCGTCTCTATCCTCAGCGTTCAGTCGGCAAAGCGGAGTACGGCTGTCTACCCATGTCTCACATTCCTCTGCCGTTTCCGAAGATGCCCTTACCGACAGCAGTAATGGTCCTGAGAGTCCGCCCGCAGGCGAACAAGAGTCCATGGTGACACCGCCTACAACACCTCCAACTAGTGATTTGCATGCAAGTGCAAGTACGAGCGGGCTTGGAAATGGCAATGGACAATTAAGCGGTCTTACATCTATTCCTCTTCCCAAATCCCAGAGGAGCGAGAGCGGAGGTTGGAAGAAAATGGCAAAGATCTTTGGCGGCGGGAGCAAAAAGAAAGGTGGTAGTTTTAATGACTGACGGCGGGCGGACTTGGTGGAGGCAAAATTTCACTCGACCTGTGCAACCAACAGGAATTCTTCACGATGAGTTGAAAAGACTGGATGGCTCGGGCAACCTTGGCTGTTGCAATTGAAGCCATAGCAGCTTGGATGGCGTCTACTCTGGGATAAAACTGGCAGCATCATGAGTCCGGATTTTTGGGAATAACTGGGGAATTTGCGATGTGGCTACGAGATACGACTTAGCATGTGGCGTTTTGATGGCATTTGGATGTATATGTGACAAGCATATTCTTTTAGGCTTGAGCATGATGACCCTATTCTGGAAGGGAGAACAGCAGGAAGCGGGTGAGCAATGGGTGTGTGGACATCGATACACATCAATGGCCGGCCCCACAGTGGCTTGTAATGAGGTTGACGACGGGTAGCGAGAGTCGATATGGACGACTTGAGGAATAGGGGAATAACGGCCCACAGGAGTACGAGTACCAGTACCAGTACCAGTACCTGAGAGCAGAGAGATTATCAATACCTACTCGTAGGTCCAGAATTGAGAAAAGGTGTCCTGAATAAACACCATATGATCGACAATCTCCTAGGATGGTTTAAAACCTTCTCCGAACCGTAAGCATACTGTAGATCAGCGTGATGATCATGGATATTTGGTACTTGGCTGGGTGCTTGGGACCTTGGGTACGTAGTACGGAGTACTACAGAGAACGGAAAGGGATTGGCAGTGACCAACCGTGCGCACCGCTTGCTGAATTGCTGGGGATCCCTTGTGCTCCGGACCTCCTACGTACTCGGGACTGCCAACACGTCGATCACCCACTTAAGAAAAAGAGACCTCACAGCCTACTCGGTACAGAGTAGTCGAATGGTCTCGGCTTGGTACAGGTAATTACGGAGTGCTCCAGGGACTTACTAGGCACCTACCTAGGTACATAATTAGCAGATGTTTAGATTTAAGATATGTGCAAGCATGAAGATATTACATGTATGGAGTACAGTAAGGGCAGCTTGAACGCGGGGGGGCATGGGTGCCCTGGATCTCTAAGGGATGCTTGGGTAGCTGGAAGTCTCATTCCCGGTTGTTAATGAGACTTGACGTTAGCTGGACCCCTAAGGAAGGGTATGTAATTACCAGGCTCCAAGGCCTACCTACCTAAGTAGGGACGAAGTACTTGGTAGCTCATCGGCCGTTTGTTTGGGTTCAACCATCACCCATCACTTCATCTGCTTGAGGTAACGCTCGGCATGCGCACCCCATACCCCCCAAAGGGAAGGCGGCAAATATTAAAGTCGGCCGACGAATACATACAGTACAGATCGGCCTACCTGCACATGTTATTTGACATCTACCTACTCGTAAGCGCGACCTGGCGATTCTGGCGCACAAGCTGAGTTACATACCATACAGGGTTACGGTCTTCTTTCCATGGGCTCAGATCTAACAACGGTGATGCCTAGCCACCTGTCCCCCGACGGGTAGGTACCTGCTTGATACAGCTCTCGAGTCATGAGTCATGACCTTACCAAGTTACCACCCACTGGTTTGCTGCTAATTCCCCTCTGGAGCAGTAATAACCACTAGTAGCGCGTTTAGATCTTCCCGCTTACTAAGTAGTGTCTCCCACTAATGCTACTGGTTAGTAACTCATTACCTGTCCTGCCAGGTAGGTTGTCCTCTCATGCTGCGTGTGCAGATACAGGCTACAGGCTACAGGGGGGTCTCCTGTGCGGGCTGCGCCCCCCCCCCCTGTTAGGCACCTCCTTTACTCGCCCTCCTATGCAACCTCGCTGTCGCCCTGCCTACTACTACGCCGCATACCTACTCTGCCGTCGCCTACCTACTCTACCGCCGTCTACCTATCCTGCCGCCGCCTATACAATGCCTGGGAAGCATAAAAACCGCAAGTCGTACGCCGATCCTGATCGACCGCGCGGCCAGCGCTTAGCAGAAAGAGAACGCACTCAAATCATCACCTTATATACAATTGCTAAATGGAATTAAAGGTAAATTGTAAAAGAACTTCGACTTGCTGAATCTATAGTTCGACTATATATTCGCTCTAGTATCTGTACACCCCAGAAACCAGTTGGTCGTACGCCATTACTTACTACTCGTAAAAGAAGGCGCTTAGTTTAAAGGGCTACGCTTAATGCCTATCATCGTCGCCTATTATATACGGTAATTGCTTAATTAGAAGGTATTTAAGCCTATCGACGCTCTTTAACAACAGCATTCGAAAAAGAGTAATATCATCGTCGTACGGCGTAAGAAAAGCTATTTTTAACTCCTGATTATATATAACAACGTCTACAATAGGCGAAAGCCCATCAATCCTAGGATTTTAATATGTAGAAGCGAGTTAGTTAGACTAATGCCGCATCCTTTACAATAGGAGTATTCGGCAAGATCTATATTACGCGTACGACTAAAGAGAAATATTAATCGGAATACTTAGTTCTAAAATTTTCTAGATTTTCAGCAGCAATAGTATATAGCGCAATATCTAGTGTTAAAAAAGGCCCTTTAATCCTTATAGATAAGGCCTAGGGAAAGGTTAATTCGTAGGTCTATATAGAAAGAGTATTACCTTAATTTTATCAACATCTTCGTAATATTTAATGCTATATCGGCTTTATACGAAGTATTTTAATAGAAGATGGCGTATCTATTTATACTAGCAAGTAAATAAGGGCCTATCATAGAAGGCATTGGATTAATCGAATGGTTTGGCCAGCGCATTTACTAGATCTCAATCCTATTGAGAATGTTTAGCGATTACTGAAATATCGTATTGGGAAACGATTTCCTAGAATAGATGCCGAAGTACGGTAATATTTACTAGAAGAGTGGGATAAACTACAGCCGGAAGACTTTATGAAGTATATAGAGATAATGCCGGAGCGCTGTAGGGCAGTTATCGCCGCGCAAGGTGGCCATACTAAATGGTGAATTGTATATATCATTAAGAGCGACAGCGAGGTTTATACAGGCGGTTTGGCAGTGCAACTAGTGTAACAAGGGGGGGGGGGGGCGCAGCCCGCACAGGAGACCCCCCTGTACAACTAGGCCTAGCCTGTAGCTACTAGCAACAGCCGACAGCACAACAGGCAACTTCATCGCCTCCCCCACAGACTCACAAGATCATTTTTGGCTTCTCCCACAGAAATTCCTGGCGCCATCACCCAGAAAGGTAAAATCTTCAAGCGTCATCCACTTTCGCTTCAAGTGGGCAGCGAACATATTTCCGATCTGAACGTGTCATGCATCGTCGCCTCTTCCAGCCCTCCCTGGTGAGCCAATGATCATGCCTCCATGCACCAAGGCACCAAAGCTTTTCTCCCTTAGCCGACGGGCGTCATGCCTGTCAGGGAAGACTGATGCGCTGACGGCGACTTCAACCCCTGACATTATTTGCCTGACATCGCTTCCTGGAGCTAACTGATGCATGGCTATCTTGAACGAATCTCCTATCTCTCGATTCTACTTCGTCTACGAGGTGAAGAATCCCATGTACGGAGTGCTGTTCCGGCTCCTCGTCCCGTCACCCGCTGCGATGATTCAGCTCCAAAGTCTCCATCCAAGCAACTAAGAAAAGTTTGACATAAAAGGATAGCCTCAACTCAAGCCCAAGAACCACCGGTCGACGGCTGTTGCCGACGTTGTTTTCAGCTCATGTGCTTCCTAAACTAACCCTCCGGACTTGTTCCTCCTTTCTCTTCGAGTCTTGTCTGCCTTTGAGTTGCAAGTTTCCTTCTATCATGACCTTTTCCATCTTCCAATGCCGAGCAAATACTCACATACCGTTGTGCTAGCAAATTATTCCAATCGTGGCATCATCAATTTTCCTAATAGTCAACAATCTGAGGTCGCGACACCTAGTCAACCTTCAACAGGGGCTGACAAATCACAAAACGCGAACAGGAATACATCAGCCTCGCTCACTTCTTCCAAGGGGCAATCGGCCACCGTCGCTTTAGGTCAAAATGCTCCCAGCTCTTCGCGTCAAGTAACCTCGAGCCCGAGTTCTCAGGTAAGTCTATCAAACCAGGGTCGTCACTCTCGCCTACTCCACCATGACAAAACGACCGAGGTTAATCAAATCCGTGCGAAAACGGTCAACGACAATGAATCCAATCAGACCACACCTCGACGTGCACCAAAGAAAGATACACCAACTAGCGCTCGTTTTAATTCGCCATATACCTCTCACGGTGGGCAGCCAGAATTCATCTCCCCTGGAGAATCCCCTGAAGTCGGTAACAACAAATACCAAGACCAGGGCGCCAGCAAACCGCTGAAGCGAAGCATCGCTTATGCAGCACAGACTGTCCAACCACGCCCCGGCCCACCATCTGCTGGTGGCATCCGCCCTCCATCAATATCAGTAAATCGAGCTCCATCCAAGTCCACGACCAACAGTCGCCTGGAGACACTGTTGTCTATTCAACAATTTCTGGATTCTTCGCCCCGGATCGACAGGCCAATCGATCTGAACAAACGTCAAGTCCGAACTCCTGAACCGCAGCGGTCTGTAAAGCAATTGTCTGCGTCACCAGATCTTTCTTCGGCCACAATCAAGCCGACCTCTGCGGGCCAAAGGAACGCTACAAGTTTTATCGATTCATCTGACGAAGATGATCATATTGACAACACGCCCGGGACCTCGGTGCGGAGTGCTAAAACAGCGCCTGTCGTCTCCTCAGCAAAGGATGTTCCCACGGAACAATTGACGAAAGAGCCTGCTGTTGCAGGAAAGGTCCGACTTGACCTGACCAAAAGACTTCCAGCAACACCAGAAAGAGACGTATCCGTTCGTGAGGCCCAGCTAACCGCGCCATGTCACCCTCAAGCAGAACACACGCGCAGTAGGCCGGCTCCCGAGGATGTTGATGACCTGTTTGGCCAACTGCCTCTACAAAAGCATTCTCCTCTCCGAAGGACCAGAACAAAGGAGAAACGAAGATCATTAGGGCTACTATATCCATCACTACGCGAGATTGAAGATGAGCAGCCTGACTTTCATGAACTCCCTGCAACGAAATCGGCCGAGGCACTACCGCTAGAGCCTGCTTTCGCCGACAGTAGAGAGGGTGATCGTGATCATGATGGCGACGATGAGTCTGTGATGAATATTCACGTGCATAGACGGTACTATCGAGCTGTTGACGATGTCATCCCAAAAGATGAAGCTCGACCTCGGATAACGACCGCGAATTCATGGCCCAATCGACGAGCTGCAGCGAGAACACCGACGCCCATCCCGTGGCAATCACCCGTTCGAGATATTGATGAGCACTCAACCACACCAAGCAATAACAGCGAGTTGGAAGAATTGTCAGAACCCAATATCCTGACTCATGCGCAACCGCGATCATCGACCAAGTTTTCTCAGCCGATGCAGAACTTCGGAGTTCCATCGATCATTCGAAGCCCTGTGAAAAGCCCACGAACGAGCATGCCGCAGTATCGCCACGGGGGAGGGACAAACTCGATGGCGAGGCCGTCAAAATTGGCTGGGTCGCGATCACTTCAGAGACTTAAACCGGCACGGTCACTACACCCACCCCTGTCGCGTATTGCAGAGGCCAAGCCACAGGACGAGACGCCTTCCGACTCGACATGGGATTTACCCATGGTAGGAACGACTGGTTCTGGTGTTTTTGGGGCCGAGGTTTTTATGCGTCTCTCAAACGAGAATGATACTCGACCGGAATCGGAAGTGATTATGAAAGTCAATAATACAGAGTTCGATGGTGCCTGGCAGCCAATGCAGGACAATTTCTCGAGCAATATCTCGACACTTACAGGTGATCAAGCTTCAGCAACATTAGAGAGCGACCGGGCCCCTTCTAAACCCATTTGGCACAATACCACTAACAGAAGCCTCGGTTCGCCGATATCCATCCAATCTACACGAGCAAAAGCAGCTAGACTTCGAACCAGCCGCAAACCCAGTGGTGATTCTGAATTAGAATCTGAGGACGACGAAGACGCATATGACGACGACGAAGAAGGGTCAGCCTCCCCACCGCCTGACATCACGCGATATCGCCGTCCCAAGGACGAAGAGAAGGATGGACTACAATCCCTTATTCATGCGCTGAAGGCTGGACCTACCATAAATCACGTTGCAGGACGGGCAACGGGCAGACCCCAGCTCACAGGAATCGACAGATTCGAAGAGATGCTACGTCGTGCCGATGAGGAAGATAGGAGGAAGAAGCATCAGCAGAGAAAGAACAAAATGAGCGATGTCCTGGGACGCCTTTTGAAGCGGTGATCATCTCTAATCCTCGAACAATGGAAGCAAAGCCCGCTTCAAGCCACAAATCCACAAGTTAATTATGCGACTGGTTCAGCATTTCATGCGGTTTTCCTTCCGACTGGCGTGCTGGATAAGTGGAACCCGATGCATATGAAAATGACCAGGGGGGTGCGGTACGTGTGCTTTCGATTCGAATCTTTCTTTCACGATGCGTACGTTTTTAGTTTTCTTCTTATTGCCGTGTATTGTCGTGTCTAATAGCTTTTAAATACATGTACATGCTGCTGAAGGTAGGAGTAAACTAAAGGTTTGAGGGCAGGACTTTGACCGATATGTATCCAAGTAGAGAAGCCTTACCTCTAAGCTGCACATCACTTGGTTCTTCCGATCTTCCTTAATTATCTGTCTCAACGCAGCTCGTTTTGGAATATATTAGGCCGTATGCATGAGCGCAAACCTATTAGCTAGTGGTGTTATGAGCATGTTTCTTGGTGGTTCATCTATCTCATGGCCGACAAGGGGCGTAAGGCGGCATGGTTCTAGTCCCAAAGAGGCACTTGGGAATGACTTGGTCATCGTCGTTCCAGGCTTGGCATCAAGTTGACAGACATTCTCGCTCTTTTCAACATTCTATGCAACCTCTAACATACGACAACATTATCCCGTACTGCTATCTCGAACACCTGGTGGGCTCTTTATATCTCCACCTGCTCTTCTACAATGCGATGACAATGGTTTTGGCCATTGGTACTTCGAATTATGTATTGGCCGTGCATGGTGCCTCAAATTTATGCAAATCGTGGATTCAATGCAGACTTCAATGAGACAGCTGTCGATCATAATGGGATTGAGTCTTCAAAGGAGACCCCTGGTACAAGTGGAAATCTAGACTCGAAGTCGAATGCCATAATCGACATTCAGGCAGCGAAGAATGATCACATCTTCGCCACAATCACTTCATCGAGACTAGACATTTGGTCCATGAGACCGGTGGTTCTGCTTGCCTCGCTATCAAGATCTCTCAAATCGTTGGAAACTTACGGCGCAAACCTCGCGCTCGCACTCAAACCAGATGCAAGTACAATAGTAATTCGTACAGGCGAGAGCTATCTCATCACCTACGCTGTAGAAAGCGATCAGAGTGCTCGTGTCCTCCAACAACAGTACGGATACAGTCAAGCGAAGCGACAGAATGTGATGAGGAATTTTGGTGTTGATGAGACTGCAGGTGTTTCAGAAGTCCTATTGAGATTTCGCAGAGCGTTCAAGATTGATGCCGGAATCAATGCGGTGATTGCACAAGATTCGGAATTAGTGGTGGCGACGAAGAAGCCTGCTGCTGTTCAATGCATTAGATGGGAGCCACAGAAGGACGGTTCACATGCTGTGACTCAATTGATAACCAAAATGGATTGGTTTGGTCAGAAAACTGGCATCTCCATCATGGTTCACGATCGCGCCATGAGCCTCTCTGTTTGGATCTCACAATGCGGGCATGCGTATGCAGTGCAGAGGATCAAACCGCAGGTGTCCCGAGCAGCGTCATCAGATGATTCAATACACATGGCTAAATCCGCACCCACTTCTTCTCCTAAGCTGTTTGATGGTTACTGTTTCCACAAAGCCGAGTCCGGAGAAGCCAAGCTCGCCAGCATCAATGCTCGATTCTCCTTAGTCGCCATTGCGACGATGGGAGGAGACATCATTTGTTATTCTGCTAAAGACTATGTGGGAAATATTCCACTGTCTCACCACTTCAAACAGTCCACCTCTCCTGCATCACGAGGTGTAATCGTATGTCTCATGTGGTCTCCGGATGGCTATTGTCTTTTCGCTGGCTACGAACGCGGCTGGACGACTTGGTCGGTCTTCGGCAAGGAAGGCGCCACTAGTTTCCACGGCAATCTGAGCCATGCTCAATCAAATAATGAGAACTGGCTTCTCTCGCCCCATCGGGCAACATGGATCAGTGGTGGTGCGGAAATCCTCATAACGTCGGAGGATGACGAGCGAATATGGAAGGTTGAAATGTCTCGGAGTGCATCAATGGCCTGTTTCTCATGTGCGAATCTTGTTCGAGCACTTCTTCAAACTCCCTCGGAGCTGACTGTGTATCGTGGTCATGAGCTGCCAGACTTGACCTCGATATCAAATGAGGCCTCCTTATGGCATCATGCTCAATATCCTGCCGTGTATCTGCACAACCAATGGCCCATCAAAACATGTGTTGTATCGCAGGACGGAAGGTACATTGCGATAGCTGGGAGACGAGGCCTTGCTCATTATAGCCTACAAAGCGGGCGGTGGAAAACATTTTCTGACATTACCGTGGAATCATCCTTTGCTGTACGTGGAGGGATGTGCTGGTTCAATCACATCCTTGCAGTGGCAACAGAGAATGCGGCGGGCTACGATCTGCGTTTGTATTCTCGCGAGCTGGATTTAAATCGACACACACTGCATATGGAAGCTTTCTCAATGCCTATTGTGTTTGTCGGCCCTTCAGGTGAAGACTCTCTCCTGGTTTATACCTATGAAAATATTCTTTATCACTATATCCTCAACATCACACCGCGTGGAGCGCAACTCGTACAAGTTGGACAGATCGCGTTTCATGGTATAGTTCGCGCACCGAGCCGTGTTCGGTCGGTTAGCTGGGTGGTTCCTGATGTCCAACTTCGCAATGGCGATCCATCTCGAGATGTGGAATTTGCATCAGTGCTCTTCTTGGTGGATGATAAGTTGGTATTGTTACAATCTTCCCGCAATGAGAAAGATGAGCTTAAATATGACATGCGCGTCATTGCACAACACGTCGAGTACTACATCCTCATGCGCGATCAAATATACTTCAACTTTACCGGCCCAGAAGAATCAGCCCCACCGACGCCCTCACCTGGAACTTCATTCACCATGAGGAGCCAGCATCAGTACTCACTTCGAGACTCTCTTTGGATATTCAGTGGCGATGATCTCAGGCTCTGGCCTGATGTACGCGACCTGTTCCAACACGCTGCAGATGGCAATCTAAACTCCACCCCCGTGCTCTGCATGCCTGTCGACTTCTATCCGCTGTCAATTCTCTTGACCAAGGGAATAGTCCTAGGGATAGAATCCGAACTCGTGCAAAGGCGAGACGTCAACTACGCTCAATTCCGCTCAGGCATCCGAACCCAGTTATTCCTCCCTTACGTCCTCAGGCATCAGCTCTGCGAAGCTGACGACACTGCCGCAGCGTTTGGTCTTGCGAACCAGTACAACCACCTGAGCTACTTCCCTCACGCCCTGGAAATTCTACTGCACCACGTTCTCGACGACGAGGTTGACCGACTCCGCGACCTCAAGAAGAAGCAGAAGGACAAGACAAAAGCGGAAGGTGGCCTAGGCGGGGCAGGGGCGACGGAAGAACAGAATCCAACGTTGCTATCATCAATTGAACTGACCTTGAACCTAGGGCCCTTGCCCGCAGTGCTGTCATTTCTTCAACTCGTCCTCCCACCCGCAACCTACCTCTCGACCATCGTGCAGTGCATCCGCAAAACCGAACTCAGCTCGTGGCGCACACTCTTTGCGCACTTGCCCCCCGCGCTGACGCTCTTCGAAGAAGCCCTCGCGCTCGAAGATCTCAAAACCGCAAGCGGCTATTTAATCGTCCTCCAGGGCCTTGAAGAGGAAGAAGACGAAGCAGCTGAGGAAGGCGCTCCAGCGAACAAGGAGGACCTATCCGACTCCGCAGGAGCGGAGAGTGCCCCTCATAGATACGATGCGCGCAAGTTCGAAGGCTACGTGATCCGGCTGATGAAGCTCGCGCGGCGCAAGAACGACATGGAGGCTCTGTCCGAACTGGCGCGCTTCTTGATGGGCATCGATCCACGCGGCGAGGCGCTGCGTAGAGTCGTTGTTGGCGTCGGGTTTAGAGACGGTGACGAGAACAAACCTAAGTATCTCGACCCTGAGAGGAGAGTTTCGGGCACTCTGGGTGGTGCTGGTGCTGGTGCTGGTGGTGGTGGTGTTGCCACTACTTTGACTATTCCGCCAGTGAGAACTAGACCGATGCGTGGTGGGAGTGCTGTTAGCAGTCGCAGTCCGAGTGCCAGCGCGAGTGAGGGCAGACTGAGTCCTGCCAGTGCGTCGATGGACTATTTCTCGGCGTCGCCGGGTGGGTATTAGGTCGCTTGGTTGGTCTCTGGATCATGCTGGGTGGTAGGAGGCAGGGGATAGCGGAGGCAGACAATATGGTGATGGTGGTTGATAGATAGAGGGGAAAGAAACAATATACATATACTTGGAACGTCTTTATTGAATTGCTGGTCGGTCATGCTTCTTCGTCTTGACGACTACCAGATGATAGATACATACACTTCCTTCTCCATCAGGCTAGCGCTGGTTATGGAGAATCTTACCATCGCGTCCCACTGCCATTGAATCATCCGCGTGCCGATTTTGGCCGGGAGCAGGAAAGCCTTGCAAGATGGTTCGTGGTTTCTGCCGCCGACCAGAAGCATGGGTGGTAGGTCTGCCGTGGATAGCGGCTCTTGCTCCGCACAAAGTCCCATAATGTACATGACGCAAAACGTATCCATATCCATAGACATGCAATGCACAAGGTGTTGACTCTGAATTCGTACATAACGGCTCTTGCGCCGTCTTTTCTTCTCCCTCCTTGCCAGCCTCAAACACGGGGTTGCAGTCCGCGTCGCAAATCAACCCAGCCTCCTGACCTTGTGACTCCTGGTGCCCCCGAATTTCAACCTGGTGGCATCAGTAACCCTCGAAATCAACGGCTTGATCTGCCTCCCCTCGGTGCCCAGTAGCGCTTTTTGAAACGCCTCTCGTCCAGGCCCATAACCCCTCAGAATAACCTCGATGCCGGGGCCGCCGGTCATGGGGCCCGGCCGAACCAAGCTGGCGATTGTCTTCGTGGGATTAGTCGTCATCTTCTTGCCTCCCGTGCGCCACTGCTTCTCGGCCATCTTGCGGAAGAAATATGAGGCGAGCTGGTACGCGGCGTCGTAGGTGCTGCGCTGGGCTTTCCGCAGCCCGATGTCGCCCGCGGACATCGATAGGATGGGGTCGCGGCTGGGCTCGGTGAATGTCAGGTGCATGTTGTGCCGGTGTGCGTAGACGTTGAGGTGGTAGGGTTCTGAGGTGTCGACCTTGGACTGCTCTGCTTCGACGGCGTTCCGCTGGGCCTGCTCCGTCAGCTCGCGTGTGAGGCCCTTGCCGAACCCGCTGAGGCCGAGGCCTGCGGCTCGTTGCCGCGGAGCTGCCGACCGTAGTGCGTCGAGGATGTTGTCTTGTGGTGTTCGCCCGTCTGCTTCTGCTGTCCTGGAGGCGCCGTCCGTGAAGTCCCTCCATCGCTCGGCGGCCGTTCTGCTTGCTGGGTTTCGTGTGTTCGACGACATGTTGCGTGTCATTTGAATCAGGCACGTTCTGCGGCATGATCGACACATGCTCGAGAGAGCCGTGGGGCGCGCCATCATGGCGATTTGGAGGTGTTCGAGCTCCTGGCTGGATGATCGTGGTTGGTTACCAGGTAGTGCGAGCTCGAGACTGCTGCATTGAGCTGGAAATGAAGTTATCCGAAAGTTGGAGCAAAGATGATGTTTGCACAAGAGCTTGGCATGTTTGCTTTCCCGCTGCTGGGTCGGAGCCACGCTGGAGCAGTTATGGACATTGCATTCGATAGCTATCAACGGCTTGGATACAGAAACGACCGATGAGCTTATTAACGATTGCTATGCGGTCATTGATTTGCTGGTATCGCGTATTCATTGGAAGCATACAGGCATCATGTCATTGTGCTAGCCACCTCAATTGGGTTGAGAGTTCACGCAATATACACTGGCGTTAAGAGATGCAGTGGAACGTTTTGGAATACAATAGTACATAGTCGTCATTTTCATATGTTTGACGTTGTTTTCTCGACGCGCGGTTTGTACCCTGAGCACCGTAGACGTGTTGACTCCAGGCCTAAGGTAGGCTAGAGTATTCTGCAATTGACTTATATCCGGGCACTCTCGCTAAATGTGTCAAACTCCGTTTGAGATGTTGCACCCCGATTGAATACATATGCTTTCACACCTCCAGTAGGACGAAACTTCGCCCTGGATGGTGAATGCAATGCGAGTCGTGGGCAGATGGAATTGTCCTGTCGCAAGTGCTAGACTGTCGATCTGGCTCCGTGAAGACGCAGCTGTCCGCAACCGAGATCGAGCCAATTTTTGGTTTTCAGCTAGAGCTTCTCGAAGAATATTACAGAGTCTTGCTCTTGTCCGGGTCCTCCTTGGAGCGACTCCCGAAGCCATAGGCGAGTCCACCACCGACCAGGTTAACCAAGCATAACCCAACAGTAGCACCTCTGATTATACCGCGGGCGCCGAACTTGTTGACAAATCCAAGTCGTCTTCTGCCAGCCAGCACCAGGTACGTCCCGCTCAATGCGGCAGTTGTGCCCGCACTGTCGATCTTATAGCCTTGCAGATTGAGGTAGGTGGAGAATAACAGCAGCGGTGGGAAGATCATGGGGACAGCCTGGAAAGGGCGTGCATGCTGGGCAAAGATCACAGTAGCGAGCAGAGCAGGCGGTACAGGGTTTTCTGTCAAGAGCGTAAGTAAAAAGACTGGCAGCAGTCAATGCGTGTAAATAGCAGGCCATGAGCTCGGGTCAACGAACCTCCCCATTTTTTGGCTGTGACTATAAAGGACTCTTTGGCCTTCTCTTGTTGCTGAGGGTCTGCCATTGTGAAGTCAACCCACGGAGGGGGCGTGGTTGAGACGAAGTTATCCTGCGATGGTCATGAACAAGGGTGGAGGAGTGTTGACGATGTGGTGAAGCTTTGGACGAAACTTGAAGGTACTTACCTCACTCATCGTTCAGTTGCCAACTGCGTCATAATAATGATACATACCTCAGCTGCACAGGCGACGTGCCTGCACTGCTCGCAGGGGGAGGGTTGTCCGAGGCCCAGAAACCCTCCTGGCCTAGTCACAGTTACTCGTTCTGCCAACAAGCTGGTTGTCTCCAGGCAGGAGAGTGGCCTAAGTTAGGCACTTGGTTGGGGATGGAGCGGGTGTTTGAGGGTGCCGAACCATCAATTTAGGAGGCAGAATCCCTAAAAGTCCCTGCCTATTCACCCCACCTGCCCACCTGCCCGCCTTCACTCACGCTGTTCGGTAATAACCAGAAACAATGGCTTAGCGCGGAGAGGCATTGCATCTTCCGTCTCAAACTACATTGTTGGTATGGACACCTTTGCTCGTACTCCATGACCGCAACGCCACTTTTTCTAATCAACGCCCGCACCTGACCCTCGTTCGAACGAACTCCTCTACAACCACATCTTCCTTTCCCATACTTCCGCGAATCCGGATCATCTCAGGCTCTCTCTTCTATTGCGGCATGTCCGCAACCGCTTCTGGCTCGAACGCCAGACCAAATGGCTCAGCAACTTCCAGAGAGCACAACCAGGGCAATCAGGATAGAAAATACACTCCTCAACAGAAGGCAGAAGTTATTCGAATACGGAGATGCACTCCGACATCATTCTATGAGATCCTATCCGTGGAGAAGACTGCCAGTGACGGCGAGATCAAAAAGGCATATCGCAAAATTAGTCTCTTGACCCATCCTGATAAAAATGGCTATGAAGGTGCCGACGAGGCCTTCAAGAGTGAGGAATGCCCAGCTGCTTTCTGTTTTCGCACGCTGACATGAACAGTGGTCTCCCGCGCCTTCCAGATTCTTTCTGACCCAGATAAAAAGTCAAGATATGACCAGTTCGGTGGGGACCCAGACAATCGCTTTTCTAGTTCCGGTGCCGCCGCCGCGGGGGCAAGTCCTTTCAGCGGTTTCGCAAGATCTCCTGGAAGAGGGCCAATGTACGAAGATGAAATATCCCCTGAAGAGTTGTTCAATCGCTTTTTCGGAGGCGGAGGTATGGGCCCGGGTGTTTTTGGTGAGTTGGCATGTACCATCTACTTCGTTGATCAGACGCTAACCTAAATATTCCAGGCGGCGGATTTGGTGGACCTCAATTTGTCTTCAATATGGGAGGTGGCCCCGGGTTTACCGTTCACCGGATGGGAGGTGGAGGTCCCCGACGGCGACCTCGCGATGCAAGCGCCGAGCCCGCTCCGAACGGAATATCCGCATTGACTCAACTGTTACCGTTACTCTTGCTTTTTATCCTTCCTCTCCTCACCTCGTTTTTCTCAGGATCGACGCCATCTGGGCCTCAAGTTCGATTCGATTCACCCGCTCCACCGCATACGATGCACAGAGTCACGCCGAGATACAAGATCGACTATTTTATCAATCCGGCAGAAGTGGACGGGTGGAAGGCGAGGCAATTTAGTTCTTTGGATAAGCAAGCAGAAGTCGATTACATCACGACACTGAAATACCAGTGCGAGAACGAAGTTCATCGAAAGCGGCAAGAAATCAACGACGCAACTGGCTTTTTTTACACTGACGAAGACCGAGTGCGGAGGGCGAGAAATATGCCCATGCCTGGATGTAGACGATTGGATGAACTCAAAATCAGTCTGCAATACTAGCCAGGGCTCCTGGGGCTTTCGCTATCTTGACCATGACATCTATTTTATTGCTTTGCATTTCCGCTTGGCGTTGGCGGAGCGGAGCGGAGCGTCGACTTTGGAGAAATTGGCTGTGTCAGCCAGCGAGGGTTCGAGTCAGGAACGGCTCTGGCATCTGCTTAGGACTGTACAATCTTGTGAATGAATGAATCCCGGTTCTAGAAGTCATTTGTCGGTGTTGCCGCTTTACTACGGGATGCCACTAGCGCCAGTCTAATGGCCATAGCATGGAGCTAGTAACTATAAGTGGATTTACCGTGACGTGATAGGCGGGTTGCCGGCTATTTATCACTACTAGTAGATTAATGATTAGGCTGCGTCTCCATCTCCGAACGCCTTCTCCAAACTTGTCTACACACTTCCATCTTGATCTCAACAAACCGCTACATTTGTCATCGTGGTATACCACTCTAGCAATCATGTCGGATCCCTCTGCAGACTCGGATAAGGTGCGCAAGTCATGGATGCCTCTGGATCTGCTAACAGCCATCAGATTCGAAACAAGAGACTTGCAAAACTTCAGCAGTCTCAGCCTTCAGCCCAGCCGGCCTCGCAAGACCCTACAGACTCGAGTCAGGATGGCACAGAGCTCGTTCCGGGCTCTCAAGAAACCACTAAGCCCGCTAGTACTCCCCAGACGCCCACTCCCACTGAGTCTCCCAAACCAGCCATGAATATAGCAAAGGCTCCATCGCCTCCCCCACCTTCTCGAATACATATCACTTCTGCCGCTATCACCCCTCAGAAACGAGAGATGAATGGCTCCGAGAGACCCAGTCCCAGACAAAATGAGTCTATTGAACAGTGGGAAGACCGGACTCTGCGAAATCTCTTCCGGATTACCCTGGACCCTGATCAGAAGAAGGACCAACATGGACAAGCTTTGCATCCGGTGTCACAACTCAAAGAAGAGCTGGAGTCCGAGAACAAGCCTGTTCTTTTGACCACCGAAATACTCGAGCAGGCTATCATGGAGGCGGGCTCTGCACTCAATAGACTCACTCCGCATGACTGGCTACTTGGATGTTGGAAACGGACAACTCGAATGACCAAGGCAGTAAAGGATCGCTCACCCGAGAACAAGAAGTGGTCCATTCTCTCAGAGGCAAGGAGATTATGTATGAATTGGTGCATATTGTCCATCACCACCCCAGACATCTTTGGAGTCGCTTACGACGGCATCGATGCCCTCGCCGACCATCTACTAAATGATCCTGATGATGACGGTGGTGTATGTCAGGACTTCATCAATGAAGCCGTTTCTAGATTTGAGGAAGACGAGTCTATCAAGGAGGCATTCGTCAGTGCGGTTGAGGCTCTCAGCCGACGACTGGCCAAAGAGACTATGATTTCTGACTATCGACGCTATACTGGAATGTTGCGGCATCTAATCAGATACAAGCCTATCGCGATAGCTATTTCTCAGTCATCAATGTTTGTCGATAAGTCTATTCCAGCTGCACAATTGGAAGTCGCCTCCCTACTCGGGCCCTATTTTCAGATCTCCCCACTACAAGCTGACGTTACAAAATCATACTTCTTCGAGCCCAAGACCATGGATCCTGGCAAAATTCGGAATTCCCAAAACTCGTTACAGTTGGCTCTGAGAACTCATCAAGATGATCTCTTCGATATAGTCAATACACTCGTTCGATCTTCTCCCGAAGCTCGAGAGCGTGTCTTAGATTGGTTTGCTCTCACCGTCAATTCAAATCACAAACGTAGGGCAATGAGAGTTGATAAGACAACTGTCTCCAGTGATGGTTTCATGGTCAACATCAATGTTGTCCTAGATAAGCTGTGTGAACCCTTCATGGATGCCCAGTTTTCTAAGATTGATCGTGTTGATGTTCGATATCTTCGAAGAGATCCTAGGATCGACATCAAAGATGAGACGAAGATCAACTCCACTCAAGAACAATCCGACGAATTCTATGAACACAGGGCGGAAGGCACCAATAATTTCATCTCCGAGTTGTTCTTCTTGACTGTTGCTTCTCACCACTATGGTAGTGAAGCCGCTCGAAACATGCTCAAGGACATGGATCGAGAGCTGAAGTATATGGCCAAACAGATCGAGCAATTTGAGACCGAGAGACATAAGTATATCAACAATCCCGTCCAACTTCAAATGTTTGAGAATGCGCTCAAGAAATACAAAGACCAACATGACAAGGGGTTGGCTTACAAGTATTCTGTACAAGGGGTGCTTCTGGATGAAGTTTCCCAGACACGTTCTATGCAATTCATGCGTTTTGTTACTGTCTGGTTGCTTCGACAGGTGTCCGCTCATAAGCAATTCCCAAGTCAACCAATGACGCTACCTCTTCCGAATGAACAACCAGCGGACTTCATGAATCTGCCCGAATATTTTTTGGATATTATCAGCGGAAGTTTCGGTTTCATCATGTACAACATGCCACAAGTCATCTCTCCCACGCAATCTGATGAGCTAATCATGCTCTGTATCACCTTTCTACGCAATTCCGAATATATCAAAAATCCATATTTAAAAGCCTCTTTGGTTACAATCCTCTTCCGAGGTACTTGGACGTGGCGGCAGGGAGGCAGGGGGATTCTAGCAGACCAGTACAATAGCATGCCCTTCGCTACGGAGAATCTGCTACACTCTCTCATGCAGTTCTTTATTGAAGCCGAGTTTATGGGTGGCCACGGCCAGTTTTTCGACAAATTCAACGTGCGATTCGAGATCTTCCAGATTATTAAATGTATCTGGTCGAACACTGTGTACCGCGAACACCTTCTCAAGGAAGCAAAAGCCAACATAGAGTTTTTTGTTCGATTTGTCAACCTCCTTCTCAATGATGTCACATTCGTTCTTGACGAGTCCTTCACTTCCTTTCACCAGATCTATGATCTTTCAAAAGAATTGTCTCTCGCGGGTACAACACTGGATCAACAACAGCGCCAGGAGAAAGAAGAGGCTCTGGAAGCAGCAAAGGGGAAAGCCAAATCCTACATGCAGTTGACCAATGAAACTGTGGGTATGTTGAAATTGTTCACTGAAGCTCTGGCAGATGCGTTCACAATGCCCGAAATCGTGCAGCGATTGGCTGATATGTTGGACTACAACCTCGATGCAATGGTTGGACCGAAAAGTACGTCGCTCAAAGTTGACAATCTTCAGGAATACAATTTCCAGCCCAAAGTCCTCCTAAGCGAGATCGTCGATGTGTACCTCAATCTCAGTGAGAAGGAGAACTTCATCCTTGCGGTTGCCCGAGATGGAAGGTCTTACAAACCCGACAATTTCTCCTCTGCTGGAAGTATACTACGCAAATTCGTGCTCAAGGGGCCTGAGGAGTTGACACGGTGGAGTAAGTTGATCGAGAAGTTCGCCAAAGCCAAGGAAGAAGATGAAGCCGTGGATGCCGATCTCGGCGATATTCCAGACGAATATCTTGATCCTCTGATGTACACACTCATGGAGGATCCGGTCTTGCTGCCGGTCAGTAGAATTGTGATCGATCGGAGTACGATCCGCAGTCATCTGCTAAGTGACCCGCACGACCCTTTCAATCGTGTACCACTGAAGATTGAAGATGTCATCCCAGGTAAAGCTTTCCTGTTCTTTAGTCTCCTGCCCATCTTCTATGTCTCCTGCTAACAGTTCTTCCCTTCTAGCAACGGATATAAAAGAGAAGATCGCCAAATTCAAGGACGAGAAGATCGGTGGCCGGCGCAAGGACTTTGTTGAGACAGTAAAGGCCGAGGGAGCGACCTCCAGCGTACCTGCTGGTGTCGAGTCTTCTGGGGAATCCATGGATACCAGTCAATGAGGGTACCCATAACACACAGTATGATCTAGCGTCTTTGCTATGAGTCTCGCATGCATTGCACACAACACTAAATGATTGATGAATGAGCCTCAGGAGGTTTGCTGGGGCTGGCTGTGACTAGCTTCCAGTACTCTGTTCGAGTCGCTAGAACCGGATCATGGATTTTATTTCCTTGTCGCCAGATTAGGCAAGCAAACAAACTGAGAGATTAGAACGCTGTTACGATGCAACCAGCAGACAGGAGCTATCGAGTGGGAGAAGCCCGCTACTCCCAGCTGTTGGCAAGGACGCACACCATTTCTGTTATATATACCTCCGAGGTTTCCTCTGCAATATGACGATTATTTTCCCCACGGGGTGGGGGATACTACCGACCCAAAGCACCAGCAGTGCAAGTCATACAGAGCAACAGATGAGTTCCTGCTGCATCTACTTCCCTCACATCTTTGGCAGTCTGCTCACCCTGCTGGATATCGGTTCCAAACTAACACGATTCGTGGATAGACGGCTAGATAAAGACATAGAGCCCAGCATACATACACCTTGCTACAATGAAGCAACCCCGACTATACTCCTTCTATCTCCATGCTCAGAATTAAACCACAGCTTCTTCGTCCCATTCCTTGCTCTTTCTACTGTGGAAGTCCTTGCCCTTCACCGTACGTGGGTTCAGTGGCCCACTGCATGTTTCAATCTGGGTCTCGCTGCAGGTCGAAGGTATTGCCTCCATCATTCGGCCAATGGGCGCGTGAATTTCCTAGTCTCGTGAGTGGATTGTCCTTGATGCCAATGCCAATTGGTCGCGTACTGTCAGAAGGATACTTGTATCCGTACTACCATAGTGAGATTCAGGAATGCTCTCTACTGTGTTGATGACGATGTCATCAAGAGATCCGCCGCCTTGTCTATGCCAACACTCGGTTGTGCATGTGTTGTAGCGGTGGCTTCGTCTTTCGCCTTTGCATTGTTTGTCTATGCTATGAATGCTTGGAACGATTGCCTTTCACTCTTTCCTATAAAGCTTTATTGATTGCCCGCGTTTATGAACTTTTTACCACCCTGAAACCTTTTTATTTGTTGGTTTGCCTGCGTTGTCTCAGTCGCTTTGGTTGCTCACGAACTGCCTAAGGGCTTTCCTGCTGAGTCCTTTACCTCCTTTGTCACTACTTGGTTCCAAATACAGTCGTCCTGTGCACGCTTGCTCGAGTAACTGCCTGCCTGACCGTCAAGCGACAAATCACGCAGCTTGCTTCCGGCAGCCGCGTCATGTCTTTATGTTCACCCGGCGCATGCCTTGCAGAGATAGTGGACTAAGTAGCTGAGGGACTAGTTAGTATCTTTCCTCTTCGGCTCGTACAGTCAGAATTCTCTTCTTCTTTCACAGATATATATGTATCTCAAAGTCTACTGTCTCGTGGAGTGCTGAGCCAGGCTTTCATTGAACAGGTCAATACACTCCTTCGGAACGGCCCAATCCGGCTCACCGACCCCAGGCAGAGACATGAAGTCTGGACCCTGTTGTACATCTATCAAGAATTCGCCAGCAAGAATGCCAGGACAAAGGTGAGCGTCGATGAGCTACTCATTGCAGCCACCCTGCACACTCACGTCGACAGGATCGAGAGCCAACCTAGCACTTCTGTCTCTGGCCAGAATGAAGGCACCGGAACCATGATACCAGTTCCACCACGTCCAAGGCCACGAGCTTCACCAGGGTAAGTGCCACACTGTTTGATCCATCCTCGACTTCATACTTACACCACTAGATCTTACCCCAACCGCGGGTTTAATCGCCATGTGAGGAATGAATGTGTGCATGGACTCAGATTGGGATTCCGCGTCACTGCCGGTGATCCAAGCAGCGCTCTGATCTGGCATGGGCAAGACAGCAACGATAAGGAGTACCGGGGGGAATTGTGCACAAAGCTCGCCGTGGTTGATCTTCTCTGTGTCTGTACTACTGCGCGAACATGCACTTCATAGAAATCCCTCGCAGAGATTAGGGCTAGCAGACCAGTAGCCTTGTTCAGAGATGACATGAAGATTCGGTCAGGGGGAAATTGCTGGGCCAAGGAAATCACAGGCATGGGGCTGATCCGAAGTTGATAGTGCATCCTGGAAAGCCATGAGCTCGAGAATCCAGTTCATGTCGGACGAGAATCGCGTATGCGTGTAGATGTCCAGTCGCGCATGGCGTTAGGCGGCGAGAGGAACTCATGATAATTAACGACAATTAAAGTAACATCAAAGGTCCACCACCATGGCCCAAACTGCTGATCAATGAGGAAATTCCTTGGATCTAATTGTGCATGATGATTCTCCGCTGTGTCTCGACAGGTGGTATAATAGCGCTTATGGATGGATGCACGATTCATGATTCGACTTGTTATTAGGTGGTTTGATCATTACCACCGGCATGCCATTGGCTGGGACGCGTAATCAATCTCCAGGACACTCTTACTCGGTGATTTTGTGATGGTTAGCTTCACTAACATGTTGTTTTCAGGTGGGAAGTCCCTACTCATAGTACTTATCAGCGGAATCCAGAAACAAGCCAGAGGCAGAGGCCCCTCTCAGATCTGAATTCGTACTATACTGCACAGGAAGTGTGTCGGCGTTGGTTCATTTCGTAGTATTATTGCTAGATCTGGAAAAGGTTCTCGACACCATTTGACCTGTTTCCAAGAGATTATTATATACTTGTGGTTCTTTCTTTCCAAACGCCAATTCGCTAAAACTCGTAGTACATGCCGGGCCACGCTTGCCAGATCTGATATCTGAGAATCCGGGACTGTATCAATGCCTATTTTTACCAAAACCGCTTTCAAATAGTGATGTTTTCGCTCATACAACAAAAAGTGCCATTACTGAGTTTCTTCGATTCAACCTTCATCAAAATGCGAGGCCTAGATGTAGTCTTGCAAGAAAGGGGGTTGTACCCTTTTGATCACACCCTTGGGTTTCTCATGTTTTGTGCTGCTTGCTGACGGTGACTTTGATTAGTAGTTGCTCGCTCGGTTGTGAGGATGGTTTTGTCTACGTCATCTCGCATTCGAGCACTGTGGGATTTGGGTCCGTAGGTGTCAAGGTGGTTGTAGTAGAGCCATAAGATGATACAGCTGGAGACGTCAATAAATACTCACAGATTTTTGAAGAGGGCGTTTCCCAACATACCTAGCAATAGTTCCCACTAGACCAACCCAGAGGAAGACCACACTAGCAATAGCACGCCCATTGTCTCGATATCGCAAAGGAGGACTGAGTTTCTCCCGGGCGATGTCGGCGGCATCCTTGCTATCGGCAGAAACCCATGCATTGCCAGTAGCAACAATCACCGTGAGCGCGATAGCATCGGCAAATGCCATGGCCGTGACGACAAGCGCACTTATCCTCCATGACCAGCGGATGTTCTTGGGCTCAAATCTCTCGGGGAAGAAAAGGTCGAAGAAGAACGCGGCACCAAAGATAGTGGCTACAGCAACGCCCACGAAGATGTTGTATGATGCGATTCCAACAAAGTCGTCATTGTGAACAGCAGCGGACGAGTGTAGTCTCTCGATCTCATCTTGTTGATCGACATAATCTGCTATACGTGAGTCGTCGGCACACATTGAGGCGGATGGAGCTACTGACCTGAAAGGGCTGCTGTGCCAAGGGATTCGGAAACCACGCAGCAGATCATCGCGATTTGGTAGACAACAAACTTCGTCCGTCGCAAGTGGTAGTCTCGGTTTCCGAACATATACGAGCTCTTGAATTTCCACCATTGCATATCTCTTAGGTCGAGACCCCATATTACTGCCATTATATGTATTGATCTCGAGAGCCTTGAGACTTGGAGGGTAGAAATTGATTAGTTCGGTTTATTGGCGGGCGAGACGGACACGGTAAGATTGGAATCGCTAGCGAGGAATCGGTAATCACGAATGGCCAACAGACAAATAAACATGGATAGAAGGGAACATAGGGAAGAGCAACACTTAAAGACCATCAACATCACGCGTTTGTGCCTGCAGCACCTATTCATCAGCAAGTGAGGGATTAGCCGGAAGCAGGCCTTGATCGACAACACCCGACCGTACGAGATGAGAAGCGCTGAGAAATCTTCTCTTTTCGATCGAACGGCTCACTTACTGGTCAGCGATGATTCTGGATCCTTTATGGGTGGCCATGATTGATCGCTGAGTGCTAGAAGCTGTTTTGGGCGGGATTCGGCATCCCGGGACACCCGCGATATTTGATGCTGGCCAGTTGTTAGTAGAGTGAAAGGAGAAATGGTTTGAACAAGGCTAACCCAAGACAAGCAAACCGCATGTCAGCCTGACCGGAGCTTGTCAGCTGGACAGCAGCTCTGATACGAAGAACAGCAAATAGGCCTCAGTTCGTGCCCCCGTCAAGCTCCGGGTGTAGTGCCTTCGGAGACATGAGATATGACGTATGAGGCATGACGTCAGCGGCTCCACAGTATACCTCGTCCTCCGTTCTTTTGGTCGGGCTGAGGAACGGGTCGGGGGATGGGCCAAATAGCTAGACTTAGTGAAGGTTCGTCACGACCAGCATGCTACATGAGCTGAATGGCTGGGGAAAGCGGCTTGCCTGTACGTGCACTCGACCTTTCTACCTTGAAAGAGGCATCGAGGGAGACGCCGCTCCCGGTGTTTCAACATGATGGGGTGCGAGAGGGCTTCCTTATCGACTGGAACGAAGGTCACCTCTCGGCCCCGCGGGCCCGCCGCGGCCGCGGAAAATGACCCCAGACAAGCAGTTATGACAAAGGTGGAGGACATCTTTGTTTGTCACCGTGGCTCCTATGTATGTGGAGGCACTCAGGTGCCATCAGCCATTCACTTCTCGCGTTGCTGGGTACCAAAAGTCTCCTGCTCACCAGCCCAGTGAGGCCAGAAAGTGAAGCCAGGATCCAGGGCACCTATGATAATGATAAATTGCCAGTCTGGTCTTGCGAATTGATCAACCACCCCCCTCCGTCCGTATTGTGCCCAATCCTCGAACAGTATCCGGATCTTTCTACCAACAGAAAGACCTGGAACCACCAGTTCATTCTCGAATGATACCTTGACCCTCAACCTTGAAGATGGAAACCATTACTCCCTGACGAAGTCCAACTCAGGCGATCGGAATGGCTGTGTGAATTCTTGCTTGGGGCTGTGAGCTTAGCCTTACCCTGCAAGTCGCAGATACCACACACCCGCCGTTCTGCTGTGCTCCCTTCATCGCATGGAACTGACTTACTACCAAGTTAGAGGTTCCGATTTCTACTACATATTCTAACAATGGTGGTCTATACCATATCTCTGCAAAGGTCGATCACCAACTTGGTGCGGCCTCGGGCCTGAGGAACGTGCTTCATTGGCTAGCTAACTAGTATTTTGTCTGTCCGCAAAGGAGACCCAGAGGATTCAATGCTAACACAGAGAAGACTGCATGAGTAATGAACTTCATGCCCCCTGCAGAGGTGTTCTAAGATCGCCCCGAGCGCAGATGTGGGTACGTGGAGGGGCGGGCGAGGCTGATTGGGGGCGAGGCTGATTTCTTTGTCCGACCAGAGGAAGTCCATACTCGTGCTGCCTGCGATGGCCAAGAAATCGTATAAATACTCCAATCTGCAAGATCGACTGAGTTGAGAGTTGAGAAAATCGCTCCTGCCCAACCCACCATCCGAAGATATCCATATTGGTTGGATTTATCGCTTAACAGCACCGAATCTATTTCAGAAAACCATGCCATCCACCCGGGAGCTAGAGAACCAGGCCTGGCGCGCAGCTCTCATCTATCCATTTGTGATAATTGTTCTAGGTTTCCTCTCCATCTCTTTGGGTGATACATTTCTAGCTGCTTTGCCGCAGGATGAAAATTCACTCTCAGCCAAACCAGATGAGGAAGATGGCAGCCTTGCTGAGAACAAGGTGGAGAATGAACCAGTGGTGATCACCAGATCCAACAGTATGGGAGAAGAACTCTCCGGGACGCCATCTATGGTCGAGAGAAACGAGGTATCCAAACAGCAGGATAAATCTTCTGGCCAGAATCTTGCCTCGACCAAGAAAACAGACACAGCCGAGAACCCACTAACCAAACATCCACTACTATTAGTACTGGCTCCAGGTCTCGCCATTCAAGCTTTTCAGCTCTACCTATTTTATCAAATCAGCAGTATCACAATGACTCTTGTGCGCACATTTAACAGCATAAGCTTCAAAGTCGTATCTGGACTGGGGCTTCACTCTCGCCACAATCATGATCTTGGCAAATATTGGCAAATTAAATGTGGTCTATGCCTCTGCACGTACTGGGCGCCGCGCTAAGTACGAAACGTGGGAAGGGGGGCTTTACGACATCGTTTCTGTCATCTCAGCGTTAGTGATGGTGTATTCCTGGGGTCGAATGATTTGGGCTTAATATGAGGGTATCGGTTTCTGAAGCAGAATGGGCATCCAATCCTGATGTCTTGATGCGATAGAGAATCAAGTACTTTGTCTAGAGTCTAGCTATTCAGCATGTAAAACAGTACGTGGGAGGATACAGCAGTTGGTGACAAGTGGAGAGAGTCCGGGTGTAGTGAGAAGAAGATCAATGTGGAAAGGCTGAGATCATCTTTAACTAATATTAATATTAATAGTATAATTATTATACTTACAGTACGTTGCCTTTGGGAACATTCGCGCCGGGGACTTGGCAGGGGGACCAACGCTTTCGAATGACATTTTTTTCTAGGCATTGAATCTTGCCTTGCTAAGATTTCTAAGAATAATTTATCGCTCTCTTCGTTTGCAACATGTCAGCCTTTCAGTCACTCTCTTATGAATAGACTTTTCCAGACAAGTACCCGGCAAATTTCCAGACATTCTGGCTATACCAGCAACGGTGTTGGAAAACAGTGCGGCAAGCACCTCGAGAGGAATCTGAACATCATGCCTTCTGCCAAAGAACCAGTACCTTCTCTGAAGGTATTAATGCTTCATGGATATACCCAAAACGGACCCCTCTTTCACGCAAAGACGCGCGCCATGGAGAAGCATCTTCAGAAAATATTTCCAGGGATATCATTGAATTATCCTACGGCGCCATTACAATTAAAACCCAGTGATGTACCAGGGTTTGACCCGAGCACAAGCGAAGATGCGGACAGCATTGAAGCCTACGGTTGGTGGCGCCGCTCAGACACCTCCGATCCACCTGAATATTATGGTCTTGACCAGGGTCTGGAATCAGTAGCTAAAGTACTTGAGTCGGAAGGACCATTTGATGGAGTAATAGGATTTTCGCAGGGTGCAGCACTGGCAGCAATGACTGCTTCTCTCCTCGAGGGAGATTCGAGAAAACAAGCATTTAGCAAGGCACAAGAGAAGTCAAAACTTGCGATACCGTATCCCAAAGCCTTTGAGAGTCTGACACACCCGCCATTGAGATTTTGCGCAGCCTACTCCGGCTTCAAGGCACCAGGCGAGCGATATACCGCCTTTTTCGAAGAGCCATACATTCAAACTCCAATATGCCATTTTGTTGGAAGTCTAGACAGTGTGGTCGAAGAGGCACGAACTCAGGCACTGGTTGATGCAGCAGGAGGTGCAGATCGAACACAGGTCGTGGTCCACCCCGGTGGACATTTCGTACCAAGCGGCAAACAGTATCTCGATACAATCGCAGCCTTCATCAAACAAACAACTACGTCAGAGAGCAATAAGAGTGGGAAAGAAGAAGAGCGAGTGGAGGACATGGATGTACCGTTCTGAGTCATCTTGGCCGTGCACTTAGTGTAAAGTTATTCAGATACCCTCGATAGAAAGATCTAGACATAGACATGGACACCTCGAATTGTTTCTAATTAATGACTCGATGTTACTCATCTCGACAGGAGAAATTTGAGTGATTGGTGCGGAAGGGGGAACGGCGATGTCACGTGGAAGGCCCCCTACTAGAACGGACTAGTGCGGTTGCCGCCAAGATTTGGCCAAAATCGAAGTCGCTCGCACACTCCTCGAGAGTAATTCTACCGCCACTTCGACCAGCACGTCAATCGATAATCGCATCTTCCTCCATTCAAGCAACATCAGCGATACTGCAACAGGAAGAAAAGCCCCCATATCGATTCCAATAATCCGTCAAAATGGTATGCAATTTGTCTGGCAGCACATGCACAAATCGATGACCTCAAAAATATCCCCTCTTTTTCACCGGCTCTAGCACACGACCATCCTTCCATCACCAATCTCAACGTCGCCGCTTTCTATATCCAAACACAATGGCTAACATGTCTCCTCGCAGGTTCTCGCAGTCGATCTCCTAAACCCAACCCCTCAGGCTGAGGCCCGCAAGCACAAGCTCAAGGTTAGATGGATTTGAAACGCTACCGAGTTAGTGATTGAAGACTGACCTTGACTTTTCTCTTAGACCCTTGTGCCTGCTCCTCGATCATTCTTCATGGACGTCAAGTGCCCTGGCTGCTTCACCATCACCACCGTCTTCTCCCATGCCCAGACCGTTGTCATCTGCGCAGGCTGCTCGACTGTGCTTTGCCAGCCCACTGGTGGCAAAGCCAGACTCACAGAGGGCTGCTCTTTCCGAAGAAAGTAGATCAACCCTAAAAATATTTCTCTGGAATGACTTGATGGCATTTGATTTGCTAGATAGAAGATGGATTCCCTGGCCCTGACACCGACCCAACGATGAAATGGAGTTCCGGATATCTTGCAAAAAGACTTTAGCATGGCGGGGGCATTTTTACTTGGTTTTCCACCAACACAAACAAAAATACGAAGAGCGGAAAGACGTTTCTGTCTACGAACGGGATCTGCTTTCCGCAAAAAAAGTCTTTTCTGCATCGGACCGACCGGCAGAGGCATGAGGTTCTTGCTTGAACATACTATTATCCCTAGGTAGTGATGTGAGGAAGGCAAAGTCTCACTGTTGAGGAGGCCTTGGCCCATTGCACGAGGCTAGCTCGTGGTTGAGGATGAATGGGCGTGTGTACTCAATAGTACAAAGTCAAAGCAATAAAATCTTCTGAAAAGCAACATAACTCCCCTTTGCCATGTGCTCCTTTTCCAAGTCTTCCACTTTGTATTTGCTTCTGATGTTATAGCATTGCATAACTGTTGTTGTGCTTGCTGTAGATTGTTCTTGTCCATGTCGATGTCTGAGTAGGATAATAACTCAGTATCGCTTCACACACTGGTGTGAACCATGCCAAGAATCCCGGTAGACGTCCGATCTTTAGCTCATTCATATTGCGTTGATTGCGCCGTCTTGTATTGAACATACTGCATCTGGTGAGGAGGATTCTCTGTCTTTCCAGTTGGTGCTCAGCCGATGCAATCCAAGGCCTGTAGAGCCACATACAGTCATGGATAACCGCCTGACTTGGTGCTCTCTCACCCGCGTTGTAGCTCAGTGATGATCTTGTTGGCGAGCTTCTTTTGTTCCTTCTCCTGTAATTCCTTCTCGTCCATCTCGGTTAGGCATTTCCCGACCGCACAGATTCCTCTTAGACCAGATTCTGGGCAGTCCACCCATACCTTTCCATTCTTTCCCACTGCGATCTCGAAGCCTCCAGGAAGCTTTGATCCTAACTCTTCTAATGCAATAACACTCTGTTTCTTTAATAGTCGTTCTGCAAGACCAGGGCTAATGTCGAAGATCATGCCACCATTAAGTTTCCCAAGCCCGTCTGGCTCAGACTTGCCGGTTGATGGATTCACACATGTCAGCTCAATCTCCATATTCTTCGATGCAGACAGTACTTTGGCGTAGACGACGTCACCTGCCTTGAGCTGTGGCCTGGTCTTCTTGGTTACCCCTTCGAAGGCCAATTGGGGCAGCATTGCTTGCTGTGAGTATGAATTGATATGGAGGTAGAAGAAGTCGGCTGATGAAGCCCGCACCTGGGCAATCACCAGGTCTCCAGCCTTGACGATATATCGAGCATCCGGTGTCGATATCTGGACGCTCTTTTTTCTGTAGTCAACCTCAATTGGTCCTCCAATGGTTGAGACGAAATTGCCAGACGTGGTGTCTTGTTGGAGGCCTCGACCAATCTTACGCTTTTGAGATGTCGGTAATTGGCTGGTTGGTATTGCATCCCCGGGCAGGTAGACCTCGACATCGGCCATCGCAACAGCTTTTTGAATTAGAAGAAAAACTAGGCCGCCAAATTTCGCGTATAGTCTTCGCGCGAAACATTTTGATGCCATATATAAGTGCCAAGACACCCACAAGGCTGTCGTCGCTTGACTTACTATTTTGGGATGGCTCCGCAAGGCTCAAAAAAAAGTTCAGAACCTTTTCTGGAAAAGTACCTGACCACGAACTGTGAGCAGTGGAATTCGGTTGTCACAGGCTTCAAAATCTCAATTTTCCCCCTCCTTTTTATCGCAGGCCTGATACATCGTTCCGACTAAAGTTCCCCCAACATCCCCATCTATAACTATGAGTGACGACTCAAACGGGGTGCCAACACCCGGCTCACCCGAACAATATGCCATTGGTATCTCCTTCGGTAATTCGTACAGTTCGATAGCCCATATTTCGGGCGAGGGCAAAGTCGAAGTTATTGCCAATGAAGAAGGCGATCGACAAATTCCTTCCATCCTATCGTACATCGACGGCGAAGAATACCACGGAACTCAAGCCAAGTCGCAGCTGGTTCGAAATAGCAAGAACACAGTCGCATACTTTAGAGATTACATTGGAAAAGAATACAAATCAATAGACCCAACCCCATGCCATGCATCTGCACACCCGATAGAAAGCAATGGCGTTATTGCATTCTCAGTTCAAGACACGGAGAGTGCAACAGCCAACGACGTTACGGTGCCCGAGATCGCCATACGTCACTTGCGCCGACTCAAAAACTCAGCGACCGACTTTTCTGGAAAGGCTGTGACTGCTGCGGTGGTTGCAGTACCAACTGATGCCAATGAGGAGCAGAAGACTGCCATCACAAAGGCTGCCGCAAACATTCAAGTTGAGGTCCTGCAGTATATCCCCGAACCTATTGCTGCCCTGTTGGCATATGACTCCCGCTCAACGGAGCCTGCTACCGATAAGATAGTCCTTGTCGCTGACTTCGGAGGCAACCGATCTGACGCAGCCATCATTGCATCAAGAGGTGGTATGTACAGCATTCTAGCTACCGCTCACGACTACGAGCTCGGTGGTGCACAACTAGATCAGATCTTGATTGATCATTTTGCAAAAGAGTTTGAGAAGAAACATAAATCGGATCCTCGGAAGAACGAACGAAGCCTGGCAAAATTGAAGTTGGAGGCGGAAGCCGTGAAGAAGGCTCTCAGTCTAAGCAGCAGTGCGACTTTCAGCGTTGAAAGTCTTGCTGATGGCGTTGATTTCAGATCTACTATCAACCGGAGTCGTTACGAAATCTCAGCATTCAAGGTCTTTGGCCGATTCACCCGACTGGTTGAAGAAGTGGTCAAGAAGGCCGAGCTTGATGTGCTTGACGTTGATGAGGTCATTCTTTCTGGAGGAACATCTCATACACCCAAGATCGCCAAGAATATCCAGGCCATCTTCCCGGAATCTACACAAGTGTTGGCACCTGCCACCACGCCTTCCTCGTTGAACCCCTCAGAGTTATCAGCTCGAGGTGCCGCTCTACAAGCGTCTCTGATCCAAGAATTCGAAAAGGAGGATATCGAGCAATCCACGCACGAGATGGTCACTGTGACACCTCATATCACTAAAGCAATAGGATACCAAGTGACAGGCCAATCTTCAGACTCGTTCACCGTGATCGTGCCCCCTGACACGGCAGTACCTGCACGGAGAACAACTGTCATCGATGGACTCGAGGGTGACGTGCTCATTCGCGTTTGCGACGCCGAGCGGGATATTAAGGTGACAAAACCCGAGCCGACCGCGAAACCTGAAGCAAACGGCGCCAAGGATAGTGACGATGAAGACTCAGACGACGAGGATGACGAGCCCGAAGAAACCCGGGAGAAAGTGTGGAAGGTCAAGCAAGCGCTTGCAGAATTCGTGTTCAAGGGCCTCAAGAAAGGCTCCAAGGTCGAAGTAACTGCCAATGTGGATGTCGACATTGCGTTGAACTTGTCAGCCAGACATCTCAGTGGTAAGGGTGGTGTGAGAGGTGAGATCAAAGCTGCAGAAGTCACAGAGAATGGGAGTGCTTAGGTGCTCTGCCAGGGGCAGTAGTAATTACGGCCTTTGTAGAAGAGGTCAGCGGCATTGCGAGGCGCCTGCGCTAAGGCGTAACTGTTCTCGTTCCCTTGAGACCGCATTCAGCCCTCTTTCGATGCTCTATGTATTCCCCTCTTTCCACGGCGCGATGATTGAATGAAAGAAAGGGGAAGTCCAAGCGAAGAATAGATGGAAAAGTTTTGATCTGCTTCGGCCTGGAATGCGTGATGGAAATAGGTCGTGGGAGGCGCACAGCTTGGTTTCTCCTCATGACCCCCTTAGGGCCTCGAGGACTGATTAACGTTTTCTCTGCAGAGCACGCACAATAGAGTTCCTCGTTAATGTGATTTTGTTTTCGAGTCAGTTCGCGGTGTCCAAACACTGGTCATGGTAATGCCTACAATCCGCGTGGCCATAGATCAGCACACACGCCTCCAACCAAGGTTATTGTGGCCCTCAGGCTGACTCCACGATAGCCCAGCTCCAAGGTAATTAATTACTAGCTACGATCTCCACTTAAGCTGGTCGTGACCCGTGGGACCATTGAAATTGCCCGGCCACTGGAATGCGAGATATCTACCTCGCTATCTCAACTGACCACAGACCCCATTTAATCCTGATCTTGAGCATCAGGCAGGGGCGCCGCTATTGAATTAGGAAGCAAATAGCCATGCTCAAAACGCGACACCATTCTTGATGTCACAACAAAATATGACTTTGTTCATCCTTAGGATTCTCCTCGATGAAATAGACCTTGTAGAAGAAAATGTCTGCCTACCTTCAACTTGGGCGTTCTTCAGCCTCACCATTGCCGGGGCTCGGTCGAGAACTTGCAGGCTCGCTAGCATGCCCTTCATTCGTTCGAAATGAACGGATGCACACAACTGCGTGTCCTGTTGGCTCATATGACGCAGTGATGAGATGTCTCTGAAACCTAGCAAGCGAAGCATAATGCTTCGAACTGCCAGATCGACAGGTTCGACAATCTTGTGCGACAGATATTCGAGGCAGGCGGGAAGATTGTCCAATTCCAAGGAAACTGACATTGTTGGCTCTTGCGAAATCAAAAAAATACGGGGGTGATGCATTCACGCCATTCATGCGAGGCTGTGGCATGAGCTTGGCCAGATTCTTCCTGCAGAGAGGCTGCGATCCTCAACAACAGCATCGCGACTACGATGTAGTGGCTGCTTACCTCTTCCATGGTTTCGTGGCAATATTGAGGGAACCACGCCCTTGAGATATCGATGATTTGGGACGCATCTGGCCAAAGGCATCCTTGCTGTCATGCGACAATTGTCGTTGTTCCTCGAATGGATACTCTGTTTTGACCTCGGTCCTAACAATGCCTAGGTGGGTGAAGGTGCGACCGCTTTTGATCGTCTAGAACATTGCGTCGCGCTTTTCGACTAGAATTGGATTCCCCTCGATGAGATGGCGAAATACCACCGTGCAATTGCTCGGATTGAAATCTTCGAGAGACTCGAAGTGACTCACACTTGTCCACGGTTGTCTCAAGGGGTTTAAATCTTGCCCACTTACCCGGATTCCATTGGATGATGCAGTTGAGATTGAAGACGAGGAAAGAGACTTTGCTGACACTGTCCTGAACAGAGAATGCGCCAGTCCAACGAAGTCTTGGAGCAACACATTGGAACATTTCAGGAGTTTCACATGGAACTCATGCGTCGCCTTGATGAAAGCGGCCTAAGGGCGGCACCTTTCAGATATCCTATATGCAGGGACGGTGTTGAGCACGAGATAATGGCTCCTGGAGAACACTTTCGTGTGAATTCTCTCGAACCATATTTTGATCCCATTCTGCATTACTGACCCTCGGAAGCAGACTGCAGTATGATTGCCTCCCCAAGGAGTGGACGTGACTAGAGCCATGTCTTTGAGCACAAAACGCCGATCTAGATACTCCATCTACTTTAGTCCTCACGTAAATCAGTAAGTCGTGTACGGAGTTACAGAAAAGCGGAGGGGCGGGTAAGTTGACCATCCGTTGCCAACATAAAAATATCACCATGTCATTATGGCCTGCTGCGGCTCTGTGTGTGTCGTCATATCAGCAGCTGCCTGACTGAGGCATCTTCATAGTCGACGACTTAAAACCTATCGGATACTTCACCTACGTGCTGACGCACAGTAAAGGCCGCGAGCGCGACGCAGTTTAGTCACGGAGGGTTTTGCCCCTCTTGTTTCAAGTCGGCCGAAAGAGGTAATTTACGAGCGAGGCGCGAGGGGGCCGAGAAACAGCGCCCCGTTCCACGGCGGAGATATAATAAATCAGGCCAAGGACAGCGGGCAACAGGCCACCGGTCGACGTGCATGCCTTTGTTCTTGAAGGGGAATAATGCTCTGGGACCCCCCTTCTTACTTTGAGTGAGGGTGAATTCTAACTTGTTTGAGGAAAAGTCGAGAAAGCAACAGGAAAATATTGAGCCAATAGGTGGAGATACAATTCAGTTGCTGGTGGAGGGAAGTCGGTGGGCTAAATTTGACGTGACGCTCGCACCAGAGCTGACCATTCAGAGCGTCCTCATTGGTTGGCCACTTCACAGTTTTCCAGAACAGCAGCAGCGAGGAGGGTCTTGTCAGCGGCCACTTCGAATCTGTCAAAAGGGGGGAGAAGGATATACGGATTATTTTATTCGCCTTCGTTATCCTTTGTACTAATACCCTGAGGAGCACAAGTCATTTCTCATAGCGAAGGACCTATTGTTCGTGGGTGGCTTCAAGTTCTTTGGTGACTGCAACCAAGCGGCCTGGTATTCACCGAAAGGGAAAAATAATCTCTCCGGGGCACCACTTTTATCCAACATGCCTGAAATGGATGGAAGACAATTTGTCAAACCCACATCAGACAAGTTGATGCCAGAGAGGCAGACGAACCCTACTGCTCCAGATCTCGAGGCTTGCCAGCCTTTATTATCACGGACGTCGACTCTGCAGGGCTCACACGGAGGTCCAGACACGCCCACATTCACCTCCGACAAGGGTCAAGCGCGGAGAGGAGCCTGGTCGAACTGGTCGTTCAGGCTGGATGCAAGAATCGTGTCTGATGCCATTCTGGGCCTCTCAGATGGCCTTACAGTCCCTTTCGCGCTGACGGCCGGGCTGACGGCTTTGGGCGATACCAAGTTCGTCATCCTCGGAGGTCTGGCCGAATTGATTGCTGGAGCCATCTCAATGGGCCTCGGAGGATATGTCGGTGCAAAGAGCGAAGTGTAAGTCAATTCTTCATGGTTGTTGGCTCAACTTCTGCCGGTTCCTTTGACTGACGCAAACCTGCAGTGACTCGTACGAGGCCACGGATCGCAAGTGCAATCAGTTGATGCTGCACGAATCAGGCACGGCGACCGACTGTGTTCAGGAATATTTCGAACAGTTCGGCCTTTCAGCTGAGGAGACGAAAAGAGTAGCCGACCATATCAAAGCGTCAACACCGATGTTCAAAGACTTCCTCATGCAGAATCATTTCCAAGCAGCCAAGCCTGACACCAGTCGGCCGTACCTTTCGGCACTTACTTTGGGCATCAGCTATTTTATCGGCGGATTCATTCCTTTGATTCCTTACTTTCTCGTGGCGAGAGCCGATGTTTGGTCTGGCCTCTTGTGGTCGATAGGAGTGATGGCGGTGGTTCTACTGGTGTTCGGCTATGTCAAGACTGGAGTTGTCCGTGGGTGGACTGGGCGAGATAACTACCAAGCTTGCACCGGAGGAGCGGTACAAATGCTGGTGGTGGGTATCATTGCAGCAGGAGCTGCCGTCCTACTTGTTCGGTTAATCAATCAAAGTTGATTGTTTGCATACGGATAGGCGTGGTTAGCCTCCCTGAGAAAGAATGGGTTGATGGTATCGAGTACTAGTAATCCTAGGATCTGGCAAGTCCTAGTAGCTGGAATACCACAAGGAAAAATGGAAAAGTCATTCGGGAATCCAGAAGTGGTTCTATCCATGCGTACACGTGGTACTGGGATTTCTCCCGACCACGCCACCTGCACCTCAGAGAGCAGCGATCACCGGTTCGTCCATACCTGGTACGCCATGAGTCCGTGACTCGCAAAGAATCTTCCTCGGCAGTTTAGAGGATCCATATGGACATGCATGCAATGCAGGTCCGTTGAACTAGGCTTCCTGATAGAGGGTTCATTCGGGTGTAGCATTAGCATTGGGGTACAACTCAGACCGATCAAGTAGTCTCAGCCACGGCCGGTTGTGAGGGTGACGGTCTTCGTCCCCAGTACAATGCTAGTGATAGGCTGCAAGTATGTGGATAGGATAAATGGGCGAGATCCCATCCCACATAGAGACAAAGGCCCGAGGCGAGGATGAGCCACTGACCTCTCAGCACATTAGGTGTTTGCACGGAGTACCAAGCAACGTGGACGAGTAGGTAAGTTAACACTTGGTGATCACTGATCAGCCATGTTGACTGAGGTGTTGTATGGCGGAGTGGCAGAGGTGGCGGTAGAGTTGCAGTACCAAAAACTGGGAATGCGGAATGCGGAATGCGGAAAGAGGGAAGGGGCGTTGCCTCCTCCCGGGGCTCTTTCCCTCGTCCGGGCTTTGGATGCTTCCTCACTTTTCTCCCGCCTTCTCACCACTACCAGGACAACTTCAAGTCCGACTGCACGGTCTTTCGACCGAATTCTTGTAGTGTTGCCATTCGATCCGATGCCTCTTCACATGCGTGGGCTAACTCCCTTGCATGTCACCATCACGGCTCAACAGGAATCCTGCTCTCGCTACCACTCTTAGTGGTTTGCAACTATCTGTACGACCATAGCCCAGCCCTGGCATCGAGAGCGGCGAGCGCCTAATGATGCCCTGATCGCTAGTTGATGAGCGACCCGGAAAATAGTGACCTCGGGTTGACGAGTCACATACTGCGGGCCACCACAAAACTACGCTTCCAATACTCTCTCTATACGACAAAGTTGTGGGTGAGTCTATGAGGACGGAGGATGTCCTGCTCGCATCGGTGTGCCTTCGGGATATGCCCTCATCATAGCCAGGGCATGACTGAACATACTCGCACACTTTCAACCCTCGGCTTCGGCTCGTCCACCCGGCGTGTCCAGCTGCCGGTTTCTATCTAGCCTCGAATTTTCTATGCAGTCTATTGTGGGCCTACTCGTACATACAGTATGTAGCATTGTCCGTCCGTTAACCTTGTTATCAGGATCCGACAACTGCACCTCAGTCTAACCCCGATGGCGATTACCTACCTAGGTACCTATTCCTATGGCTACCTGCTCGCTGTTACTCGATAGCTGGCTTGATCCACATTTCTCGCCATTTTTCAATCTTCCATCTCTGCACCGTGTGCGCCTGATCACACTGTGTGTCGTATCCTATCCAGTTGAGGAGTTCTTGGTATTCCCAAGGCATGGAACTCAAACCGCCCTCTTAAGATGCTAAGGAGCTCATTCGGGGGAATTGACTTCACCTCTCAGCATCGCGCGCCGTTCTTTTTGATGCCTAGACTATCCAAGGTCAATTCTGTCCGGTGCCGCACTATCGATTCCTGACAAAGGTCGGACGGTTACTGTTTTCGTCAAGTGCAATCGCATTCTGAAGTCCCAGGTCAAGCTACATTCTGAGACGGTTTCCAGCTGCAGGTAAGACGGACAGTATTAGCGAATCTCGGCGCAACCAGCAGACTTCACAATGTCTGCACCAGTAATCGTCCACGCATCGTGGAATCTATCGGACTATCGCACCACAGACGAAGGCTCCAACCAAACTTATGTTGGGGAGGTTCAAACAAGAACAAGGTCCGCAGCAGGTAACCGGGTGCATTGCGTCGTTGGCGTTGGCGTTACCTCGGTGTGCAACATAGAACACCACAAATCGAGAGCACACAACATTTCGGCGATGAGCTTGAACATGGCCGCAGATGCTCTGCTTTGCATTTCCGTATTTCTCCCCCAACAAGACGTTTACTGGAAACCCTTGCTTGCGCCGGGCAACATCTACCAGTAAGGTATGCATTCACTAGTTGGAAGCCGCAAAGGAATAGTCCAACGGTCATCATGCAAGCAAGCCCATCCTGCACGCGGGAGGTTGGGACGGCTTGACACCATGTCAAAATGGATCCGTAGTCGCATTGTTGGCGCCTCACGAAGAACTACGGACGATGAAGCGCAGCTGTCGTCGCTAATCGCAAGCATGATATATCTTACGCGGGGCAGGGTCCTTCGGGCCCTCGAGAACCCTAGAGTTGGTATTCTTTAGCTTAGTTTTCGGCAGAAGCGCCTTCACCCAGAGTTTCCCAGAACCTTGACGAGTAGTGCCACCGAGTGGTGGACGAACAGTGAGCAGACCCGTAGTAAACTCTACTTGGGCAAGACGGGATCTTTTCTTCATCAGGACTATTGATTCGTGTGAAATGTTTGGTGCAAAAAGCTGTCGTACTGGGACACAAACTGCACACAATGGCGCACGTGTCATACTGAGAGCCACTCGGAATTTGCAACAATTGTGGGTTGAGCGGCCTTTTACCCGGTCAATCGCCTATGAGGCATAGGTGAGCAGAGAAGCGCCTTTTCGAGAAGCATGTGGCACTAAAGTGCTTGCTATGCAACAACGCTGTAAAACCACACGCGACGGTAGAGCACGAGCAACGATAGACATTTGGGCACGGCAGTAGTTGCTTCTGCACCTTTTGAGCACGGATAGCCGGACTGATGGGCAGACAATCCGGCTCCGCCAACACGTGGGTAAGCACAAGCGAACAACGGCAGCCGGGAGGCTTGAGGAAGATGGTGTGTTGGTTCCTGACGGTGCCTGAAGCCAATCCAACTTCTGCTTAGCTGTCCGGCATTGAGTGCGGTATTTTTCGGGTGACCCAAGGCCCAGCTTCCAATCGGCGGACTCTGGTACCTGGCTCATTTTGCTGGGCGTGAAAGCCCTGACCGTGGGACACTGGCCGACCAGGGGTGTGCCGGATTGACCATCCCCACCGGCATTAGCCTGCGAGGGGATCAGTCTCTGGCGTTGCGCTCCGGTTATCATTCGACATCTAGATCCCAAGCAATCCACTCTTCCTCCCAGGGGTGCTGTGAGGCGTCGGTAATCAGTGTTTCAACCGTTTTTTTGGGACAGAGGGCAAGAATGTCCTTCTCTTCTGCCTCAAGGATCCTGAGTCCGCCCCGACCCCGACAAGCCCATGGATTAACTTTGGCAATCGGCCTTCCCAATGCCCACAGCGTCCACGGTTGACGGCGCTAATGCATGTGCGAAAATCTCTGAACGATGCAGGAGGATCCATCAGTCTGCCCCACGGTCCAAGCAGTTGAGTTTTCTTACGCGGCTTGATGTTGTGTTGTGTTGTGTTGTGTTGACGGGGACAAGTAGGTCGTGTGTTATGTTACTTAAACCACCATCTGTCTTCCTTTGTTGTTTCGTTTCCCGTTTCTGCAACCAATCTGTCAATCCTTTACCAACTTCCTCTCTCTCAATAACCTCGAGCAGGTCTCTGAACAGCATCATTCCTTTGCTGCAAGAACCCTTTGTCGACAGGACCCCTATACACATACAGGACCACTCTTTTTTCGTCCAATCTGACCAACTCATTGTCCAAGTGACCTTACAGTCTTACTACAACTCCAGTTGATCAAAATGCAATTCAAGAACATCATCTCAGGCGCAGCAGTGCTGCTTGCCTCTGCTCCCGCTGTCATGGCTTTGGGATCTGCCACGGTCGTCAACAATTGTGGATACCCTATCTACTTTGCTTCTGTCGGCCAAAGCCAACACGCCAACATGCAACCTCTCCAAGGAAGCTACTCTGAGGGATACTCTCAACAAGGTGTTGGTATCTCGATCAAGTTGGCTCCCAATAACACCGTTGGCGGACCCGTGTCGCAATTCGAATTCACCTGGGCTAATGGCAAGATCGCTTATGACCTCTCCAACATCGATGGCTATCCTTTCTCGGCTGGTGGTATGCAAGTTGTCCCATCCACACAGGGTGACTCGTCCAACCCAACATGTGTTCCGGTTGACTGCCCTGCCGGCCAATCCGTCTGCACTGCTGCCTACAACGCCCCAGATGATGTCCGAACCATGGTCTGTGACGAGAACACCAGCCTCACTCTTACCATGTGCCCCGGTGGAAGTGCCAAGCGAAGCGTCGAAGTCAGGGAACACATCCGATACCGTGTCCATGCTCGCCACTTCACTGTCGAGCAATAAAAGATCTATTATGATGACCTGTTGAAAACGTCCAAGCAACCACCCAACCAAGTTTACCAACTTCCTGCAGCCAGTTCTGCGGATTTCACTTCTTACGCTCCGCATCACGCTGCCTGCATATACACTCTTTGACGACATCTCTATGAGTCGACACATGGTCATGTCAATTGCCCCTTGCAGGACAGTAACCGATCCCGACGATCACATACCTCTTCCCCTTCTTGCATTACAAGTGGTACACCCGGCCGCAGGTCTCCCGAGGAATCCTTGGATCATGGTAACAGCTTGGCCAACATGGCGCTATTATTGTCTAGTTGATGAATCGAAAGTCAACAACCCAATAGAACGAACTTCATGATGAACAACAGCAATCAAACAGCAAAGGCGATTGTGGCGAATACAAAACGTGTCATGGTTTGCAACGAATCAACGCGTGGCGTATGGGGAGGACTCCATTTCCTTTTTCATATCATCTACTTCTCGTCCGAAACGATTTCTCTTCTTTCACACGGAACGTGGAGGACCTTTTAAATTAGTGTTGTAACTGATTTACTAGGAACACCTCACGTCTTATCGACATGGAGTTAAGTGCCTCGGCGGAAGCAAAACATTGACTTTTGTATTGTGCTAGAGGGTGATCACTCTTAACTGACCATTGTGCAGATGGTGGGAAGGAAATTTAGTTTTTTTGGTCTCCACCCCATTTTTGGGAGGGCCTTTCAGCAAAATGTTATAGACTTCGATTCTTGATACCAGCAATTAGGGAAAATGATTATTGCACTGAGAAACTCATCGAACTACTCGCTCTTTTAGTTGGCGTCGTGTCGGCGCGTGGTTGTTGATGTTCGCTAGTAGCAGCGATGACGACGACGGCGACAAGCCCCTGACCGTCGTCCGTGGGTGGTGGCGTTCAGGTACCGTTCCCCCCTAACCCCTTTCCGTACCGTTACGAGTATTTCGTTCTGCGCCCCTTGCATAAGCCTCGCCGAGTTCACGGGCGAGGCGCACATCCAAAACCCCGCTAAAGAGACAGGGCCTCGAACCCTACACGCTGTCACCCCAAGGAGCCTGACGGGTGATGCCACTGATACTTGATGAAACCGGGAAGGCTGGGAAAAAGGGCTGGGGAGATAGATGATGGCGTTCTGCTCGCATTGATGGTGACGGCAATGGTGCTCTTTATCTTTTTGGTCGTCCCTCGCGTGCAAGATTCGGACACTGTACTCGTAAAACCAGAAGCGTGTCTGGGGGCAAAGCGGCAGCCGAAGTCTGGCTGAATGGGCTGCTCAGGCTACGGAGCACCGAGGTGCGGATCCCGATAAGGATCTCCGGGCACCGTGGATAAGGATAACCCTTGCTGCTGTAGCGAGTTAGCTGGGAAGCGAAGGGAACAACCTTGAAAGGCAAGCAAACCCATGAGAGAGAAGGATGGGAATTGAAACAAGCTAGCCCCCTCTACACTCTGTCCTCGTCTCCTATTCGAGTGATGAGTCTACAACTGACTGACTGGCTGGCAGCCCCTGGCTGTCATGGCCTCAACAACAGCAACAATAAGCTAGCTCCCTCGTACCGGTAGGCGCGCGTGAGCTCCATATCTGACCTGGCCGCATGGTTCAAGGAAGGTCTCGAGCTCAAGATCTACTCCCCATGCTCAACCCGCCTAAGGCCGCCGGGGCCAATCTGCCGCGGAATCTCGAGAAAGGCTGAGGCGTGTTCTGCTTGAAACGCGCCGCCTCGTGGATTCGTGGATTCGTGGATTCGTGGAGCATCTGGCATGGGTATCGATGTTCTTGTTTTTTAACCTTCGGTTGAGCTTACTCGAAGGAGGACGACCGCCCCAGCAAAGACCTATTTGTTGTTACCACTTCAATAGCATGAGGGTACGAATACAGTGTCCGTTTATATGGTACGCGCCGCCACGGAAGGGATATATTAGCTGCCAACCTAGGTACTCCGTACCTGGCTAGCATTACGAGTAGGTCGCTTTCTGATACTAACTAATGCCGTCGCGAACACTCTTCTCCGTGCCTCGTACGACACCAAACGGAACGCAATGAAACCGACATGACATGTGGGCTGTGCCTTGGACAGACGAGACTCCTCCCAAATAGAATAAAAGTAATACAACAACATTGCTGATTCGTGCATAGGGGGATACTACCCAACCTCAGCGCCCCCGCTCCCGGAAGCCTAGACTCTCTCTGATCGTCGTGGTCCTTGAGATTGGCAGACTCGCAAATGGCCACGATCATCATGTTCTCTGTCCAAAGCAAAGCACTGCACTGAGTACATGCGTAGCCCCAACGATTTATCGCGCGCCGGAGCTGATGGAATTAATCTTCGGCTGAGAAGTTCTTGAGGGCCCCTCGTGGCGTGAATGGATGAGATCTAGCACAGTGGTGATTGATGTGGTCTGTTGACGGGGTATTTCGTACTGGGATCATCACACGGGGATGGATATACGTATCACTTCTCTAGCCAGAAGTAGCCACGTACGAGCCCAAGGGGCCCACTGGTCAGGCCCGGACCTGCTGTCCGAGGTAAGGGCTTGTACAGATCACCCAGTTGCTCGATACGAAATGGGTACTCCGTACCCGGTGCCAGACTCCCAATAATGCACATCACACATCACACATCACACACGAACACGAACATGAACATAAACACGAACTTTCTGCAAGGGCCATGCCACACGAATTTACGAGATGACCCGTAAGACGGATGCCGCACAAAACTTTCATCATTGTAAATCTTTCTATTCGAGCGGAAAATTCGAGAGGCTGGTGCAGTGACGTGCCGAGCCTTGTTCCCTTCACTATTGGTACCAGACATCCCACTTTCCGTATCTTCCCACCCGTCAATGGCGGATCCATCCATGGTACGAGACGCCTCTCGGCTTACAACTAGCAGCGGACTTCAGTTGGAGAAATGGAGGAGTCTGGAGTCTGGAGTCTGGAGTCTCTGCTGCTTCTATGTTGTACATCTTATCACGAGCGGCCAATTCAGACTTTCCAGGAATGCAATAGTTTCAATCTTCGAGACATTCTCCAAATGCCATTTGGACGGGTTTCCCTGAGCGTAGTTGTGGCCATTGACCCTCTCACCCGTGTAAACAGAGAGGTAGGAAGAAAATGTTCCATGTTCTCTCCGCCAATTCTTGGGGGCGCTGGGATGGGTTGTTTGATCGTTTGTTGTCGTGTGTTCACTCACATCTTGGTGTTTTGCGGACTGTTTTTCTTGTCTGCGTCATACCAGTGAGACATGCATCTGAACAGATCCCACTCTTCAACTCCCACTGGGAGCAATCCATGTCGGCTAGACTTTAGGAGAGATTTGAGTCCCTTCAAGAACCGGGGACGTCAACGTCGGCCCAGCCGACCTGGGTCTGAGGAGGCGAGCAGGTACCAGTCCCAGAGAAGTTGGGCCTTCGATCTTTTGGAAAATGTTGAAGGGAGAAGGCATTCAACGTCCGGTCTGATTGACGGCGGCCATCCTTGAGAACGATTGGTGAATAGCAATTGCTGCCCTCCCTGTGAGGTGAGTGCAGAAGGGCCCCTCGGGCTTGTCTTGGTCCTTTCTAACCTCCATGTGTTCGTGAAAAGTACGGGCCCAGTTCTCTTGTCCAGAGCGTATTTTGTCAGATGACCTTGATGGTCTCCAACACCAATGGCAACTGCTTTCGTAGTGACTGGTCCTCATCGAATGAATGGTTGCGAATGTGTGCAACCCCTAACCGCTCATAGTCAACCAAGTTCTTAGAGACATTCAGGATCAAGGCTTCGACATAGCGGCCGGATGGCCCGGCCTCGAGACCACGAAGAAACATGCATTTAACAGTCCCACCAATTTGCGAATCCGTTAGATGCACGTCGCTCACCAAAAACGCCTGCAGCCCTGGTGTCAATTGTATCATCGGATGCCCGTTGAGGGTGCTTCGAACGACCACACCTTCCATCGTTGGTGAGGACAGTCTGATGAAACCAGATTGGGGAATAATCGCCCCGTATGGGTCGGCAGTGCTTGGCTCACTGTATGCCTCTTCCAGAACAGCTTGGAACTTACTGTTGTGCTCAATGGCATCATTTCGGATGAGACGGCCTTGACATGATGCCCAAGACCAGCTTGGTGCCACATACTCAGATGCTCTTCGGCCTTTCTTGGCTTCCCACAGAAGCATGCTTAGGATGAAGTTAGACCACAATCCCGCCACATACCTGCCGAGATGTTCGCATTGGAATCGAGCAGCAAGTCCAGACAGAGCAGAGAGACGATCCTTGTCTTTTGTGATATGTCGACTTTGGTAAGATAGCACAAGCTCGTCCCATCGATTCGCTCTTTCCACTACTTTCAAGCCGTCCAAACTGGACAGGTCGTAGCGTTTCCTCGAAGTAACGGCATCTACAGCTTCAAGATCTAGAGCGTCATTTTATGTGGTCAGGATTGCATCAGTGGGTAGGACGAAGACATCAACCTCGATAGTTTGTTAAAGACAGATTTGAAGGGTTACTTACGACCACATTCACAAGCACATGTAGTTGCACATTCCCATATGATCTCGCCAGCAGCAAAATGGACCAGTCTGGTGGCTAGTAGTCGCTCCTGTAAGGTCCAAGCACGACGGAATACGGGCCATTGCTGCTCGAGAGATGGATCTCCTAGTATGTTGCCGTGGATCGTAGGTTCTTGCACCAAGATGTGAGTTGGATCGCCTGGTCCTTTCTGAAGCTTATTCTTGAACGTCCGAGAACCAGATCTTTCGTTCAGAAAACCAAATCCAACGTGATTGGCATTTGCAGCTGATATTACGAGAATAGCTTCGCCATAAATGTCACCCATTCGAGCTGCTTCGGAGTTCCAATCATCCAAATCGTCTTGGATAATGCACAATGCATCGATCCAGATATAGCGATAGCCAATGGCCCTGACAAAATCAATCGCATCTCGATAGGTTGCAGGTAGCGCTTGCCAAGGTATGCTTCGCAAATGGTTCTTGTAATTGTTCAATTTGGTGGTGATGTGGCCCGACGGGCCCCAACAATAGGACAATGCTAAGTATGGCACCGTCTTCCCTCCAAAGTCATCGATTAGCCGCGTCTGATCCTGGTTGTTGCCGATGCATATGAGTCTTTTGGGCAGTGAACGAGGCATTCCATCAGCAGCCGTGCCGCAAAGCTCCGTATGGTGCTTCCAAAGGCAATTTTGGAGCCACAAACGCGGTCTAAAGATGCTCTGCCTGGGCTCGCTGGGTAGTTGTTGACCTACACTCATTGTGGCCCAAGGCAACTGGAGACCTATGAAAGGGTCAATTGAGAGATTCAAGAGCGGTTAAGGATGCCTAACATTTACTAGGCACAGCAAGCTGCAAATCATATTCTCTTGGAATGGGGGCTCCTGGTCCAGGAAGCCATGAAAATGTCAAAACCAAAGGGTACTTTGCATCAAAGGGGACACATATTTCCACCTTGGCTTGATGTATCGCATTCAGCCCTTGGGCTTTGGTTCGGGCTAGCCACCGGAAAATGTCAAAGACCATGACACATAGTTGGCATTCCCTACTGGCAGAGAACTTCAGATCTTTCAGTGGGATGGGCAGGCTGTGGTAATCGCTGTATTGAAAATATCGCTTGAACATTCGATGCCTTGAGGGACCGCCTTTCCAATAGATTATCTTGTTCCTGTCTAGGTTATGGCATACCGGACAAGACGCGAGATCTTTCTTCAGTTCTCCAGACCCCAAACTGGTGCCAGTACATGATGACACAGCCATCAGGAAACGACGTAGAAACAGCTCTCGTAATCAAGAACAAACTCGCATCGCTAGCCGTATGAGGGAATGAGGATACACATCATATATTGCGGTGTCGACTGCAGGAGGGACATCTATACATATCCAAGTTTCGAGAATCAATATTCATCAATGTCTCCGTCTAAAGCACAGGGGTCTCGAAATCTTGAGCCTCGCCAGTGAAACGTGTTACTAAGAAGTTTAGACAAGCTACACGTGGGTGACTCTGGGGGCCGGTGAAAATGCCAAGTCGATGACTAATTGAGTCACGTGTGGGTGCGGAGGAATCTTCCAGCGCAAATCAGCGAAATCATTTCTCGGAAACGAACTCTACATCACTTTTCAAGACTGGACTCCCACACTCTCTGCCTCTGTCGTCTTCAACTAGTCGCGACTCCAACCACCAGAACGTTAACCCCCCCCCCCATTGTTTGGCCATCATGTCGTCGCAAAGAGAGACATACCAACTCCCATCCCAGGGCTCTGGATTCAGCGGGTTCGCGTCGGGTTACGCCGCAGGTGACGCATCGGGCGGGCCAACTGTCCAGTATGTGTGTGGCGAATGTGCAGCCAAAGTCAGCTTAGCAAAGGGCGATGCGATTCGATGCAGCATGTGCGGCCACAGAGTCCTCTACAAGGAGAGAACCAAGAGGTATGGAGGCAGGCTCCAGCATATTTGTTGACAAAAACTGACTCCGTTGTAGGATGGTACAGTTCGAGGCCCGATAGTGGAGATTCTCTCTTCGCGGAGAGGTCGAGCAGAGATTCCAGGGTTAGAACATGAGTCTTTCTGCCACGGAGCACAGCGATGGCGTTTGGGGCAGAGTGATAAAACATTACGGAGAGCAGAAAAAATTCTGATCTGGTATTGGACCCGAATACCGAAAGGACTTTTGAGACAGACTCAATCTATAGTCTGTTGGTGAACTCTATGAACTTTTCAAATTCCTCGAGGGCTTTGCCGCTTTCTATACACCATCTGGCCTTCTTTACACCTTCTTTCCATCTTAGACCTGCAGGACCAGTCTCCCTGATGGCCTCCCCGCTTTCGCATGTGTCTGCATCACAGGCGCCACTGATCACTAGCAATGCTGCGATGTTCATGAGCACGAAGTGCAAGATAGGATCGTCTCTGCTTCGCTCGTTGCGAAGGATACTCATCAGGACAGCGGCGTTTTGCTTAGGAAGCTTGCCTCCGCCTACCTCGGAGAGGGGATGCGATGGTAGACCGAAATCATCTGGTCCAATTGCGAACTTTTCAACTTTGGCAACGTATCGAGGAGCGATCTCATCATCACTTGTGTCATAGTCCTCATCATCATCTGGATCACCCTTGTATTTCGGATTTGGCGCTTCCCTCAACAACCAGCAATTTGTTTTCCCAGCACAGCTGATTTCATCGAGATCCTCTTGGCCACATACCACCAGGGCCTTTCTAGCACCAGATAACAACAGCGCCTGTGCAAAAACCGGTCCAAGCTCTTGGTACGCAACGCCAACGACGCGAGCTTCGATGTGTTGTTCAACGGGATTTGCAAGCGGTCCCATCAGATTGAAAATGGTTCGCAGACCCAGTTCCCTCCTGACCGTCGCAGCGTACTTCATGCCCGGGTGGAAGTTGGGAGCGTACAGGAAAGTGTAGTTGGTGTGCTCATAGGCCTCTGGGAGCCTCTCTGCAGTGAGGGCCTCGATTTTGGGGGCTTTGGGGACAATAGCATTGAGCACATCTGCAGATCCGGACATGGATGTTTGCGCACGATTGCCATGCTTGGCCATCAGCAGGATTGGAGAAGCGATGATAGAGGAAGTAGTTGATATATTGAAGGTCGAATGTGAATCTCCTCCCGTTCCTACAATATCACAAAGCCCTCCTCGGTATGTCCCAAGTCCACGTTTCCTCTTTTTCACCACCGCCCGTAATTCCTTGCTCTTGACCTGAATGGCGGCATTGCGCATGCTCTCCGCGCATTTCGCAATAACATCAGGGTGTCGATCTCGGCCCGTAGAGTGGAGAAGGGTCAACAATGCGGCGGTCTGGGTTCCGTTCAGTTCGTTCTCAAAGGTGCGGGAAAATGCAAGAGCAATGTCCTCTGCCTTGACACTGTTGTCTAGCGGTGGAGGGGCGGAGAGCTTTTTGAGTAGGGGAGCAATGGAAACATATCGAGGTGGAGGGTCTGTCATTTTCGTGAGGATAGTTGGCTATGCTTGTCGCACAGCTAGAAATTCAAACAATAGAGCAACTTTGCTTGCAACGACAATCTATGGCCTATAAATCAAGCTCCCTTGGTATGAGTCAAAGGCGCTGGTTCCCACTTGACTGCGGGGGAGATCTGAAAGTGTTCCTGTAATTCTGCTAGTGGGTGCCAAGTTTATAGCCCAGAGGCTAACGCAAAATGACCGCACTAGTGCCTGAATCAGTACTAGCGTAAAATTTAGTTTCTCCTTGAGAATTCGATATGAAGGAACCAAGCACGGCCGTGATCGTTTGAGGCCTAAGGACAGAGCACATTATTCAGAGTCTCTATGGTTAGGGTTGCTACTTTTATGTACTTCTTGTCAATTGACTTGATTGTTATGGCTGAATGCACTAGTAGCTGGCTTCAAAATCTGGCGTTCAATTGCACGCTTAAGTCGCGATCTGTCGTAAGGGGCACCCTACGCAGACTCCGAGAGCCTGCCACACCTTCCACGAGCTTGTTGACGACCTGCATATCTTCTTAGCTGTGGCGCTAACGCCATTTCTGGGGCAGCTCTCGTTCGAGCCCTCTGCCCTCTAAGATGTCAACTACCCAGTTTCCAAGATTAGGTAAGTATGTAAACGCATGGCCATTGCCACCTGTAGCGACCAGAACCGAGCTTTGGCCAGTCAGACGCTCGATGACGAAGTGGTTGTCAAACGAATCGGTACACCAGCAAAGTCTTAAAGTTCGTAGTCGATACCTTCGGCTGCTAGTTCAGGAAGATATTCAACCTAGAAATTCTTTCATGACGGTCATTGCTTATTGTGGTATCCGATTGAATTGCTGGCCGCAAGTGTATCTGGTAATGTGTACGCTGCGCGCGACTCCATCTGCTTGCATCTTAGGATAGGTGTAGTTTGTGCCGCTATATCCTATCTTTAAGTGACTCTGTTCATCACGGGCAAACCCATACAGACCACCTTCTGGACCATCTCGCACCCTGTAAGTCCACGTTGGAAATTTATCAGGGGCAAAACGGTCGAAGAGAGGGGAGCTTTCGGAAATTTTCAAGTGAATAACTGAGCATGCTGTTGTTTCGCAAAGCCCGTCCAGCAGCGGAAGCAATCCCGGGGACCAGCGACCACACGCGATGATAACGGTGTCTGGGTATGTCCTTTACCGTCTCGGGTCCTGATACCAGTAATATTTCGTGCCGAGTCGTGGGTAAAGGACTCAAATTCGCCCTCCCCTGGTCCGAGTATAACCTGCGCTCCCGACTTTGGCCCTGTGAAGAGCGAACATGCAGGCGTTGTCGGTCACAGCCGTCCCTCTTGCGTGTCGAGAATACCATTGTAAAATTGTAACGCTTGCCCTTCGCCTTGCGATTGACTGGTTCAATACCGTATGAGATGTTCTTGTTCTGTGGAAGCTACCTCAAAGGAAGGCAGTTCCGCCTGGTTAGTAAAAGAGAGGTTGCCATTGTTGATGAAGACTCTGCCCGAAGTCCTCATACATTCCGGAACATAAATCCCATTTTCAAGTTCGTCGTTCCAAGCACGTCAGCCTTGCACGGCTGCTGTGGAGAGATCTTGGTACTCAGTCTGTGTACCGTATGTGGATCTAATGATCTTGTTAAACTTGACTGATGCAGCGTCACATCCTTTCAGATAGTAATATAGGGTTTCTTCATATGGCTGTTTGTCGAATACAATCACACTCCGATATTCCCGTCCGCCGAGATGTAAAGCCGTGCTCAGTCCGTCGACATCTGCACATAATACCTTTATGATAATCTGATTTGCATTCTTGACGCCCGAATTAGTGTTTGCCATCGAAGAAGCGAGATCTGATGTTTTGATATCATTTTTCAGAGGCAAAGTTAGGGTTTCACACAACGTCTGATAGTAATCTAGAACGGTGGGAGGCGCTGGTTAGATGACGCCATTGCTGTACAATTCGATCATGTATCGAGTTGGGTTCTTCCTTTCCATCGCCTGGGGTATCCCCCCCCTCCAATTTCCTTCTCTCCATTCACCAGACGGCCAATTCGAGCGTGCAACAATGCTCCTAATACTTCCTCTATTTGCATTCTTTCTGTCACTGCACCTTCCCTCTACTCATACTATCGCAGGAATTCTTAATGCTCGGTCTAGCCATTCTGAAAACCCCCTCCAGAACATCAGCCTATGAACCTCTCATGATTGATCAATCACCTGCGGGTTCGGTCAATTATCATGATGGAAGGACATATAAGCAATCTTCTAGGGCAGCCTCATTTGCTGATCATACCACCAAACTACTCGTATATCTAACCCCTCAAGGTGTGGAGCAACAAACTTTGAAGCTTCTTCAAGTCTGTGGAGCCAATGGTAGCCTCATGAATAGGCAAATTAGGAGACCCGCTCTGATGGCCCACTGAGGTATACTCGGAACTTATGTCTCAAGAACGTCGCAGCTTCGTCAAGCTAGTCAGAACCTCTAAGATCCATTGCTTGCAGAGACCTCGCCCTCGCTCATAACGGGAGCAAATCCTCTCGATTTGCCTTCATGGAGGTCTGACTCCAAACTCTCTTGTCATCGTCTCTGAAGTTAAGACCTTCAACCTAGGACCAGAATCTGTACGTTTGGGTGTACGAGAATATGGTCCTCTTCATAAGACTCCACCAGATGCAGGAAATGCAGTTCTCTGCCTTGGTTGAGCAGGACTAGGGAAAGAAGCTTTCGCTTTTACTTGATCATAGACGACTAGGGAGTACACGGACTATCATTGTGACTCAGGATCCTCGCTTGGCGTTCTGGATACTTGGTTAGCTTGACTGATAGATCCATCGATATGAAACTAAAGAGCGTTTCTCCTTCTATGCCCGTACAAGCATATGGGCCCCGACAGCTTGGCAAACATGGTGTTCAGTCCAACGAGGTAGTATACATGGGAAAGGTAGGAATCTGGCCCAAGCTCAAGTGTCTCAGTCTTCAAAAGGGTCAGCAAATATGTCTGAACACGTCACAAGACTCTATCTCTAGATGCCGGCACATAATATCAATTGAGAAAGACTCTGCAAAGATAACTAAGGACCATTCTCTGGATCCGCAACCTTTCGATCGCAGGATTTCATCATCCAACTGATCTTTTTGAGCTGGTCTCTCATACTGTGCTTTATTTGCAATATCTTCCTCGGGAGCCGGCCTCCCTTGATTGTCGCTTGTGAACTGCGCTTCATACCTTATATTCACCAGAGAACAAGAATCGATAAAAGCATCCAATCGAACGATCGAACGGATGGCTTTCGGAGTCCTTGAGGATCTTACTTTGGTTAAGGTTCCAGGGACGGTCGTTTTGACAAATTCGGACGCGAACACGCTCGAAGGTCAGCCGCAATAGATCTGTTCATCTCGTGGCACTACTAATGGCCTTCGTAGAATCTCAAATGGATGGCAAGTTGAAGAAGATTGGATCTATTACACTACTTCCTCAACCAACCGACAGCTCCCATGATCCATTGAATTGGTCAGTTACTCCCCGAACAAAAGAATTGCGTATTGATGAATGACACAGGCCGTGGTTGAGGAAGAATGTTCTCTTAGTCGTGATTGCATCAGCATCTGGTGTTACGGTGTCGTAAGTGCATCGAGGAGCTGACTTGAGCCGAATTTTGAATTTCAACAGACTGGGCCCCATGATATCCCCTGGGCTGCCACTTCTGGCGATGCAGTATCAGAAGAGCCTTGACATGATATCGACTTACCTAGTCGGTTTATTCATTCTTTGGACCGGTGTCTTCACATTCTTTACTTCCGCAGCAGCCTCGGTCTGGGGCAAGAGAATGGTATTTGTGCTTTCTGCTGCGGCGTTGCTGGCACTTAACGCTTGGGGCTTCTTCGTAAAGGTGGGAAGTTATACGTCTTATGTTCTCCGATGTTGAGATTTGTTAACATATCTAGTCGTTTGAGGAATTTGTCGCGATGCGCCTGCTCCAAGGATTCGCCTCGGCTCCCTTCGAGACCCTTGTGACGTCCACTATCCAAGACCTCTTCTTCGTCCACCAGCGTGGCCAGAAGATGGCCATTTGGGGACTCATGTCAACTTGTGGGGTTCTCCTAGGGTTTGTCTAAGCCGTGCATATGGCCTGAGCCAGAGCTAATGTTTTAATAGCCAAGTCATCTCTGGTGTTATAATCGAGCGACTAGGTGTCAAATATACCTTTGGTATCAGCGCCATGATATTTGTCCCCCTTTTGATTGCGACCTTCTTCTTCGTCCCAGAGACAGTGTACCAGCGTGGTACACATTTCAAAATGGTGGATATCGTGAGTGACGAGAAGATCACAACCACCATGACTTTCCGATCTAACGTTCCCGACCATTCCCAGCATTCAGCATACGCGGTGTTTCGTGGCCGTGTTTCCAATGAGAGTTTCTTGAGGCAGCTCATAAAACCTTTCCCACTCTTCATCTATCCCGCGGTCGTGTTTGGTAGCTTCATCTATGGAAGCTTCTTCACGTGGCTAGTGGCACTATCTGTTCTATCCGTACCAATGTTCGCAGCACCACCCTACAACCTGACACCCTCGCAAGTTGGTCTGACAAACCTGCCGTTGCTTGTTGTCGGCCTTGTTGGGTCTCCCGTTTCAGGATGGATGGCCGATAAAGTGATTCGCTGCATGGCCAAGCGTAACAACGGCATCTATGAGCCCGAATTCAGACTGACCCTCATGATCCCTGGCGCACTTCTCTCCACAATTGGTTTCTTTGGCCTGGGATCCTCAATCGCACAAGGTGCAAAGATTGGATGGCCATTGGCATTCATTTCTTTGCACTCTCTTGCAATCCCGTTCGCAAGCCAGGCTGCGTTTACTTACGTTGTTGACTGCCACCCTGAAGACGCCAACCAAGCCTTTGTCACCATTGGACTCGTGAAGGCTATCCTAACATTCTTAGTTACCACGTCTGTGAACGGTTGGTTCGCGTCTCAGGGTGCAAAGATGGTTTTCTGGTCCATTGGAGGGTTGAATCTGGGAATCTGCCTGCTTACGATTCCCGTGTACGTCTTTGGAAAGAAGTTTCGAGCATTGGTAAGGAAAGCCCGTATTGAAATCTGTCACAAAATCTAGTGATAGACGGAGAAGGGCCATCAAAAACTGATAATTTGTTCTAGGTTGCCCGCAAAATCTCAACTAAGATCTCGGCTTAGGACCTCTTTGATTCTCCTGCGCGAAATCCAGCGCCCATCAATCTTGCGAAGAACAGTGATGATGTGTCAGGATGTGTTAGTAGCATAGAGCTACCAATGGCTTGATATGATGGGATATGAGATAAACGAATGATTAGGGTTTGATACCAGGTGCTCTACTTAATCGATTAACTACTACCGTCTGACGCCGCCACCACTGGTAGGGAAGCACAACGAAAGGGAAGGGCGGTCGAGAAATCAGCGTTGGCGAACTTTGTCGTATAGCTTTTGTATCGCTAGACGGGGCACAGATCTTCCTCACCATAGCCCCAGCAGTACGGCTTCTTCCAATCTTTTGACGGCAAATCGCTACGCGTATTTTTGCAGTATCATGATGTACATGAACAAATAAATGTGCACTGACGTACTCGAGCTAGTAGATGCATAACTGTTGTCTCAACTATGCCATATGAGTGCGGCGTTTTCCTCGTCTTACTGGAATTCAGGATGAAGGATTGGGTCCTCTAAACAGGCCAGTGATAGGGCAATAGGGCCAGCAATCATCAGGTTCCTGGAGATTTCCCCATCAATACGGAGTAGATCATATAAAGCTGTAGAGTCGGATCTCTTAGTGCATAAGTTCATCATGCATAGCCAATTGCTAGCTCCTACAGTGTCCCAGTCTCGTCTTCCGTAGGATCCTCATAGCTCATTCACTGGCGCAACAGGTCTACCAGTCTTGAACAGACTTCTGATGTTCTCAAAGCACTCCTTCTCGCTCTTGTGGAAAGCTACATCTGTCAAGCCACCCATGTGAGGTTGTAGGATGACTTTCTGTTCACTCAGCTCCCCGGATCTGAGCTCATCTCGGACATGAGGTTCATTGACGAAGACGTCTAGGCACCACCTTCCCGCTTCGCAGTGCCTCAAGTAGTGCATCTTCGTCCACTATTGCGCCACGGGCTGTGTTGACGAAGTATGTGCCGTCTCTCATGGCAGCAAATTCTTTCGTTGAGATAAGATTTGTGGTTTCCGCGTTGAGAGGACAGCTGATTGAGATAATGTCGGATGATCCGAGAAGGTCACTTAGTGTTGCTGAATATGTAGCGTTATATCTCGATTCTTCATCTAGGGATAGCTGATGACGATTATGATATCTGATCTTCATGTTGAACACGGCAGCCTTTTTCGCAATGTACTGAAGCAGCCAGATTGAGTCAATATCATTACATATTCTTTAGTTGAGTAATGCGCTCAGTTGCCACGAGAAGGGATATGACTCGCCTTTCCAATACTTCCCAACCCTACAATACCCAAAGTCAGTCCAGCAGGGTCTTTGCTTGGTACAATACTTTGCTTCCACGTCCCATCTCTGGCCTGTCTCTCAGCCACCGTGGTATTTCGGAGCACAGCCAGAATCAAGAACACGGCCATATCAGCTGTGGCTTCAGCGACGGCATCGATTGTGTTACAGAACCAGATCTTGTTCTCAGTCATCCAATCAATATCGAACTCATTGTATCCGGCTGAAGCGCTGGTGATGATTTTGCAGTGGGGCACAAGGGCGCCGAGTAATTCCTCGTCAAACGGCTCGTAAGCTGGCGTGCCCATACGGACAATGAAGGCATCCACTTGTCCATATTGCGCAATTAGTTTCGGTAGTCTCTCTTGAGTCTCTACGCGATTTGTTGCGTCTAGAATCTGGAAATCGAATTCTCTTTTGAAAGATTCCAAGTAGTCGTGCCCGATGAACCTGGGGTCGCCGAGCGCCACGACCCGCGGTTTCCTGGTTTGGTTTGTGGCCATTGAAAAAAATCGTCTGAGAGAATTCCGAGTTAAAGATCTGTACTGTTTCTCCCCTTGTTCAAGGAGCGGCCAGCGAGCGTTCCGTTAAGTCTAATGTTTTGACAATCAGATTTGGGTGCTGAACTGCAATCTTCGTCACTATCTTGAGGAAGACAACTGTGAATGGAGAAGCTGGACGCGGCACTCTCCGTTTTTCTTTGTATAGGGACGATGTTTGGTGGAGATCTCCACGAATAAGGTGGTTCACTGGACATGAAATTAGACTGTGACCTGAAGCCAGGCCCAGCATATGTAAAGACAAGATTACCGAGCAGAGGTTCCTACTTGGTAATTATGTCACTTGGCAAGCCCAGTGCGTCCACATAACTTGAAGGACGACACATTTCCAGAAATGAGCAGGTTCGAGACAGACGTCGTCTGGCGAAGCATACAACGTTTGCGAAATAGCGGGAAGAAGAGCTGCTAATAACATGGAAGAGGTGAGGAAAACTGGATGAAAAGTATATGACTGGGTGCACGTCCCAAGCAGAAGGTGTCGCCTGCGTTCACATCTTTAGGGTCCTTAGCAGCCCCTGAAAATGAAGCCTTGTCGCGCAATTGCAGGTCATCTGGTCAAGAAATCTGCACCATCCTTAAGCCCTCCGGCTAGGGCTTTACAAGGTTATGTGAGGGGCAGTTGGTACCCGTCGACAAGTCTTAGGACCAATTCGACTTGGCCCGTTTTAACTTCTTCGCTCTCATGGTACTTGAGATGTGGTGGAAGGTCATTAAGATCTTCAGTTGAGGATCTTAGCCGAAGCTATGAGCACTACGGTCTAAATTATTTCCTCTATAGAGTGATTATGTTTGTTGTAGGAGTCTTCTGCGCCGGGCGAATTACCAGTGGTCAATTGCAGATCCCTATTTAGTGACCGAGACATGGAACTTCCACGACTGACTAACCACTCGATAGCCGATCATACCTAGCGCGCCCATACCATGCTCAAAACCGATAGTGACTGATTATTCAGCGTCAGCCGGGAGGCATGTCTCCCTAAAATGTCTCGGATGTACTCGAAAGATCAGGATGCTGATTAACTGATGAATTGCGGCGGGGGCGGGGCTCAGAAAACTTGGTCTCGGAAGAGCCTTCCTTTCGAATGATTTTGATGGTCTTCATGCGTTCTGCGCCAACGTCGACCTCAACGCAAGCGCAAAATGGAGCTATTTGTCCATATCACATTGGAAGATGGCGGCGGGAAAGAACCCAGCTTTACAGACTCCATAAAGCCAACGATATATGTACATAAGATCTCCGCATCTCGTTCTTCAAGCCTAACCCAGCTTGAAACCGGCCTAACGTGGGGGCGATGAAGGTAAACCCTGTTTGGGATCGGGAGACACAGTCAGCCGAGCGACAATGCGTACTCTTTCGCGCTGAATGCCATTTGTAAAGATGTAAGTCGGTAGCTGCAAAACCTCCTCTCCCTCGATTCCTTCATTCTGCTGTTGGCATGTGCGCGTGCCAAAATTCTGCAGACTTCATTTCTCCCATTCATAATGCAGAGACGTCGGGATGTCATCGACTTCCGAGACAACCGTCCCGAAGCAAGATTTTCTCTGGGTCAACCATGATGCCAACAATCTGAAACCGGCGCCCCAGAATAGACAGCAGATCTTCAAACACGTCCAAAGGAAGTACCGGCCATGGAAGCGGGGGCAGGAGACCAAAGCACTCAGAAACTCAGCAAAAGTCCCCAAGCCAAAGTGGGATAGCGAGGAAGCAACAAAAAGCTCCGTTGGGGACAAGGAGGCAGTCATTGAGGTTCCCACATCGCCTAAGACTTTGATTGGAAAAGGCAATTCAGATCCGTTCGCGGCGTTTGCCTTGACGATCACGCCTGAAGCGAACCGCTTCTTGACTTTCTACAGAGATTATATCTTGCCAGCGACCTACTTCCAGATTCGCTATAAAACTAGGGCTACTCTTGCGAAGGAGAACTGGCAGGACCAGGTGACTGGACTGCACGATGTCGGCACTGGATATGCCACCCTTGCTTTCCACAGTTCTACGGCGGTAAGGTACAGTCCCACTTTGCGGCCTGCAGCTCTGAAGTTCATGAATCAAAGCATGCTCTCCTTGCGCGAGAAGATTGCCAAGGACAGCGTTGCACAAGAGGTCCCGTATGCATGGCATATGACGGTCCTGTTTGCGGCTGAGGTGAACGCTGCCAACCTCAAGAATGCCACAACGCATGGCAGAATGCTCTTCAATCTACAGAAGCAATTGTTTGCCAGGGGCAAGCTCGACTACAGGATTCTCCTGTATCAGCTGTACCTCGACTCTCAACTTAGCTCCATGTTTCTAATGCGCACGATATTTGACGTTGACTCATGGGCGCTTGACTTCATTGCGCCGGTCGGGAAAGCAGCAGCCAGGAATCCCCAGCAGATCGTGTCGCCAGATACAGTTTTAGACCCTTCGATAGACACCGAAGAGCTCCAGCAGTGGTTCCAGATTCGACGAGAACAACTCAACTACGTGTTCATGCGAATCCAGCAGCAAGTCACCACTGTCTCGCCTGTCATCACTACCTGGCGCTTTGCGAGAACATGCATCTTCAACGGCCGAATGGTACATCACTTTTTGAAAGCGGAGGCAGAGTTGAGGCGTCCCGGCTTGGAGCAGGAAGTCAAGGATCACCTATATGCTCAACAGTACCTCGCCCTTGCAGGTCTATGGCATGTGAGAGATCCGTTCATGAACCCGATCCTTCTCGGAAGGCCAATATATGACGGAACGGCGATCCTCGTCGCACTTCGGAAAACACTCGAACTGGATCGCGGAGCGGCAGAGCACCCTTTCAGCATGAGCAGCTGGGATCGGTACAAGAACGCTCGACTCTGGGCGCTGTATGTTGGCGCTCTAGCAGAGCGAGCGCCAAATACATTTTCCGCCCAGGTGGTACAATCGTTATCATGGTTCAACACGAACCTCGCCGAGCAGGCGGCTGCAATGGGCATCTGGACATGGAGTGCGGCAAAAGTGGTCTTTGATGGCTTTTTGTACCATGAATCCATGTCCGCTCTGGGATCTGACTGGTTTGAGCTGCTAATGACCAGCAGGGCAATCGCATTGCCTTTGAGAGACATGTCCACAGATAATGCAAGTTAAGGGGGCTCTATCATAAGCCTATCAATATATATGGAAATCACTGACTTCCTGGAAGCATGGAGAGCCTAGGTCAGGATTTGATGAATCTATCCCAGTCTCGAGATCACTGCGATTCGAAGACCACATGAAATTGAAACATTGTGAATGCCGATGTTAGAATGTTGATGACTCACCCGAAAACTGCTACATTGTGGGTGATTCTGCACTTTCGCCTGCTGATGTAAGACTTGACTGCTTCGGATGAAACTGTTTAATTGTTAGCCTCAGTAGAAAGGTTTGATCGGGTCTGAGAGGCAAGAGTGCGCTCGTTTGTATTGGCACATTCAAATAGGCATGATTCAACATAGACGCTTAGCTATGAATAGGATCTGGTCTTAGAGGCATTGCGTTGCCTCTAATTCGCCTTGGCAACCAGCGAGAAATTATTACTCTCAACGCAAGATAGTTGACATCACAGGCATCTCTAACAAACTTGCGGGTCACTATTCTGAGATATGCTAGGCTCCAAGATGCTCGTCTTCGGTGGTACGGGCCATTCCGGTACCTGCCTGCTACGTGAGTTCCTTTCCGAGGACATGCAACAGCATTGTTCGCAAGAAATCCGACAAATGTCCCTGAAGATCTCAGATTCAACCCACAACTTGAGGTGGGGTGTTCACTGAAGTGCCGGTTCGAGGCATGCGAATTTGGTACTAAAAGACCATGCAGGTTATCAAAGGCGAGCTTCGTGATCGCGATGCGCTCTTGACTGCGATATCCCAAAGCAACGTGATACGATCACTGATGGAGCCCAACACGCTTTTCGATGTCAATCAGACCACGTACATGGAGTTTAACGAGACAGGGTTCAGCCGATGAATCAGCACAGCGCACAGGGGATTTTCGCCATCAGCACTCTCTCGGTTTGGCAGCCAGAGGACCGAATTTTTGCTGGGACGACTAATCGTAGCAGCACTAGTCTTCTTCATCGCTCACTTCGGTTGGCAAACTGCCCGTGCTATTGGGCGTGTTTTCGAGGAACGGGGGGGGGGGGGGGGGGGGGGGGGGGGGGTTAGCCTGGACAGTCTTCCGGATTGCTGCTATACGTGGCGGCCACAGCTTGCGGACTGGAAGAACAACCGCGAAGATAGAGAGACTTTTGAGGGTTGGATTGGACAGGAGGGATGGTTTCCTGAATAGAAGAGAGCAGCCCTCGCGAGGTGGTTAGGAGACGCAGTCGAGGACGGAAGCCAAGATGGGTTCGAAAGATGCCTGCCGTAAGTCGATTAAGTGGAGGGAATGCAAGAAATACATGATAAATACCTAGGGCTTGAAAGGTCTCGACCTTCAAGATGGCATTCATGGCCACAAATTCCCCTGCTGGCAGACCAAGAGGCATTGATTCGACATAGGACTTACTATCAGCAAGGCCTAGATTGCTGGGAGCTGAGACTATATCACAGACTCATAGACCGGTGCTCCTAGAATCTTTTATATATCGATATGGATCACTCCACACAAGAAATGAAGTTGTACTAATAACATTTGCGTGCATTCTATTCCATGTTTGAGCAATAGATGTGATCTTAAAGCGGCGACTGGTAACCGGAGTGACTTTGATTCACACGTGATCACCTATTAGAAGTGACTAGCAACACCAGCCTAAATATTTCCAGGAACTACATTTTTCGACAGCCAGCTCAACGTCTCTTCCAGACACATAGCCACCACGCTCCATAGACGTTCGGTCTCCAAGTGGCCTCTCGGGATGGCTCCACGACTGCAACTGCGCTCACTGAGCCAACTGGCGGAGCTGCAAGTCTTCGCCAAACCTCATATCTGCGGCCGCTGCTCATATGCAACAGCAGTATCAACCGTGCCAGCCTTCTCAGACGCGGAGATAGAATCTTCACGACCGCCTTTGAAACGTTATCCTTCCAATCAGCCGCCCTCACACCGAGACCCTAAATACCGGAAATCTCAACGTATCCGGTCCTACGTCTCGCTCCTCCAAACCACACCCTTGATCATCCTCTTCCAACACAACTCTCTCAAGGCCATAGAATGGACCGGCATCCGTCGCGAGCTGACGTCTGCACTACGGAAGCTAGACGCCCAGCTCCTAACTCAAGGCGCGGCTCAAGAGGACTTGATTGGAGAGTACGTCAAGCTACAGGTCATCAAGACCACCATGTTCGAACCCGCACTGCGGATCGCCGAGTACTACCGACCGGAGGAGCAGAGTCAACGAGAGAAACTCATTCCTACCCTGGCGGGGATTGGTTCCGTGGCCGCAGACCCTTCCCTCACGCACGCCCTATCCGAATCCGCATACCAAGCCATCCAAGAACACAAGGGCGTGCATCCCTTGACACCCCTCCTAACAGGCTCCCTTGCTATCCTGACCTTCCCGACCGTGTCGCCGCAGCACATTAAGACGGCATTCTCCATCCTCACACCACAGGCGCCTCAGTTCCCTGCTCCACCGCGCCGTTTGAACCCATCGCTCTATGAACTGCCAGTGCAGGAGGGATTGAAGAAGTTGATGCTCCTCGGGGCCCGTATCGACGGCCAGGTCTTTGACAAGGACGGCACGAAGTGGGTGGGAAGCATCGAAGGTGGAATGACTGGTCTGCGCGCACAGCTCGTTGGCCTGCTTCAAGGCTTTGGCGCCGGTCTCACTCATACACTGGAGAGTGCCGGCAGAAGCATTTGGTTCACCATGGAGAGTAGGAGAAATATGCTTGAAGAGGGCAAGACTGGCCAAGGAGAGCAACCTGCAAAGACCGGGTAGGGCCATGCCCTGGCTTTGGCAGGGAGAGCGGCAGTGCGGGCCGTGGTAGGGCTTTTCCCGCTCCGCTTTCAAGAAGAGTTTGCTTAAAGTGGGAGGTCGAGCCCTGTTGGCCATGTGTTTATCGGGGCCAACTGTATGAGTAAGGACGGCGAAAAGGATCGACTTGTCCCATTTATAGACATTGAACTTGCTGGATCAAAGTGGAAATTTGTCTCTACATAGAAAATATGACTGCACAGCCATATCATTTCACAAAAGAGTTACCGAGAGCTCTTGGCTCTTGCTTTCGACCGCTTACATGCTTGCGCTTCTTCCACTATGAGCAAATATGCGCTCATTAGCAACCACACCCTCCCCACAAGCAAAGCTGCTTAGCCATTGACAGATATTTTGAGCCAATCGCAAGACCACTGAATGCTGATCAAGGTTCAGAACAGTGGTATCCAGCTTAATGGCAGACACCCACACAGTATATGCTTGCACACCCATTGCCCAGCCTGGGTGTGGACGCCACTTCCAAGCCCACTGAAGAGATAATACAAGAAGCCTATCCATGGGCTCACATCCACGGTGAGTACTCGTACATTGCAGAGACAGTTAACAGCAAGCAGAATCAGGTTCAGAGGAGGTCCTTTGCTACAAAGAGACCAATAGGCGAGGCTGCAGAAAATTTTGGGCCATCAAAGAATGGACTCGAAATCTCAACTGTGCCCAGTCACCTATGTTGCTTTCGCAGGTTTCTTGATGGCAGGAGAGTCCACGCCATAAACGGACTTGTGCTCTTCCAGGTATCGTTCGCGGTCGGCGGCGGCTTTATTGTTATATGGCTAGGCAGAAGAGTTAGTGGACATTTTCATGCATCTGCAAATTAATCATTGGTTCTTACCTTCTTCGCATTGTCAGAAAGCTGAGCCCATTCTTTGCCAATCAGCTTGGCACTTTCGCCGACAGAAAGGCCTTGAAGATCTCCAGAAGCGTAACGGTCGCCGAAGAAGTATGAGTATGCATTGCGAGGTTGTTTGACAGATCGATCGTCTTGGATTTGTCTGTAAGTGGTCTTATGGCCTGCGGCTTTTGCTTGTGCGGTGAGCTGTTTGCGAGCATTGTTCGCCTTTTTGATTTCAAGAGGTGTATGGCTTTGAACCCATTTCTTGTATGCTTGCGCATTTTTCTGTGCATTGGCGTTCGCTTCGTGATTGAGACGCTAAACCCAATGTCAGCAGGTGTAAATCTCAAATACTGAGGGGTATTCTAACTTCGCGCTCTTCTGGCGATAGATTCCGATACTTGGTAGAAACGCTGTTAGCACTGGCGGCTATACTGCCATGGGATCCTTTGCTCTCGGCTACAAGGAGCAATGTGTACGCAGTTGCGGGGAGCTGCTTGGGTTTGTCGAGGAGTGCTGCATTCCGCAATTCCACACGAGCAGCTCGGGCTTTCTGGGCTACAGCAGTCTTGGTTGGGGCTTTCTTGACTCTGGGCTTCTTTGCTTTAGGCTTCGTCGCAACCTTCTTCTTTGATTTCCTCACTCCCTGCTTCTTGGCCGCAGGTTTCTTGGGGCCTGCCCTTTTGGTTCCTGTAGTGCTTCTGGAGGCTGCTCTGGATTTGCGGGCGGGTTTGGCAGCGGTTGTCGCGTATGTTCGAGCCTGCTTGAACCGGGCGGTAAGTTCAGAAAAGCCGTTGCGAAGTGTTTGATGGTGATTATTGGTGAAACATGCACAGGAGACGCGTAGATACGAGTTGGATGGACCAGGTCGCGTGAACGGTCGGGCTGAATTGGCCCAGAGCTTGGATAAGCCTCGTGAGTAAGTAGGTGCAGCCGCCATTACGGCCTGGGACAAAGGAATGAGAGGAGATGTGATCTAAAGACAAGACCTAGTGTTGGGACAGTTACTCGTAAGATCTGAGCAACATGAATGGCATTGTATGCTTCATAAGTTGTGGGTGGCTGGGGTGACGGGTACCTTCGCATTGGACTTGCTGCCTCTTGAAACGCGTGACAACGTTGCTTGCTGTGGCTTGAGCTCCCACTTTGATCACGTGCAAGATCGGGTCGGTCAGACTAGCATCCGAAGGCCAAGCAAATGAGGGACCGCGGTCGGAAAAATGTCCAGGCGGCAACGGCACAAGGTATTATCGACTGTTATTGCAGTCGCAGCCTCGACACATCTTGATGGTACGACATAGGAAGCCAAACTAATTCTATCATTCGCCAGCAGCAGTAAATGATTTACCATATCCCCTCTCCCTTCCTTGTATTCTCCTTTGCCTGAAGCCACCATATGGTGGGCCACAGTGCAGATTCCCGTCTCCTCGTGGTAGCCAAACAAAGTCGACACTTCGAGCCTGGTCCTGGGGCGGGTTACGCAGTAAAGCCCACTTGATTTGCAGCCACAGGATGGCTAGGCACGGGGACACTCGCTCACCATCACCTGTAGGCAGTTCATATTCCTCGTCAAAACGGAGCCGAAGAGATGAAGCTCGATACGAAAGCAGCCGTCGGGACGATGACAGAACCCATAGGAGGAAGCATTCTAGATCTCGGAGTCCTGAGGTGAGCCGTCATCGGACCAGTAGCTTACGATCTTACATGCTAACCATTTATCTTACCAGCGTCGGCCTCGCGATCGCGATAGGGACAGAGACCGAGATCGGGATCGAGACCGCGACCCTAACCGAGATGGTCACCGACGACGAGATCGTTCCTTAGATCGCCGTTACGACCATCGAAGAGACGAAGACTACTACTACTCGAGGAGGGACAGATCAAGAGAGCGCAGACGGTCAAGGGACCGTGCCGATCGCCGCAGGAGCCGAGACAGAGACCCTCGCTCAAGGCACGATGAACCTCGTGACAAGGACCGCCGGGTTAGAGATGAATCTACAGAATCACGGAAGCGCAAGAGGGATTCCAGTAGAGACCGCCCTGCGAAGAAAGATCTAACTGATGTGTCCCGAGAAGTAAGTCAAGCCACACGCTCCTGTGTGTCCAGTGCTCATCGCTCTATTCAGACCTCGAAACCTTCAACGCCAACCGCGCTCACAGCAGAAGACCAAAAGGCAGCCCGACTTGCCAAATTGGACCAATGGAAGAGGAAACAGGCTGAAGAACAAGCTAAGAAGCAAAAGGAACTTGAGGCTGCTGGCGGTGCGCGCAGTATTTTGAATGAGATTGACCGAAGAGCAGGACTTTCTCCAGCTGCGGTCTCACCACAGTCTGCCACAACACCCGTCACAGTAGATATCCCTTCTCCAGCTCCCATGCCTTATGCAGGCAAATTCGATCCAAAAGCAATCGCAAAGAAGGCCCATCATACCTCCTCTGCAACCAAAGTCCTTGGCGGTGATATCACTACCCCGGCTGTTACAAATGGCCACCCATTGAAGACGAGCTCGTCAACTTCTACGTCCAATTCACCGACAAATTCCCACCTCGCAAAATCGTTGAAGGCCACTGGCAATCTGGGCAAATTTGGACTCGGAAGCAAAGCTTCTATCGATACCGATGTTGCCAAGAGGTCTTTAGATTTTGAGGATGACGAAGGTACGAAGAAGAAACTGGAAAAGTTGCCGAATATGATCCTCGAGCAGACTAATGGTACACCTGATGCTCAACCTGACGAAGCCGACGAGGGAGATGATGACGTTGATCTCCAAGACGGTGATGCAGGAGAGGCGGGGCTCGCTGCCGCACGTGCTGCTGCAGAACAACGTAGCAAAGCTGAAAGGGGGGAAGACACTAATATGGTTGATGCACCTGCAGCTCCTGATGCAACAGCTGCCGAGATACAAGAAGATAAGGAAGAAGTTGACGCTCTCGATGCTTTTATGCTGGACCTGAACCCCGTTACAAGAGTAGGGCCCTTCAAGCAGAAGGACAGCTTGAAGTCTCGACAACGTGAGCCAGAGGCTCTTTTCGGAGATGACGAAGTCGAACTAACCGCGGTCGACGATGAGAATCCCGATAATATATTATCCATGGCTAGTGCAACAGCCAAGAAGAAAAAGAAAGATATACCTGCTGTAAACCATTCCAAAGTTCCATATCAACCTTTCCGTCGGAATTTCTATTCAGAACCCATCGATATGGCAGACTGGACAGAAGAAGAAGTGATAAGCCTCCGAATGCAGCTCGACAACATCAAAGTACGAGGTATTGATGTTCCAAAGCCTGTTCAGAAATGGGCACAGTGTGGTCTGGGCGTTCAAGTTTTGGAAGTCATTCAAAAGCTGGGTTATGAAGCACCAACGAGTATCCAGGCCCAAGCGGTACCAGCAGTCATGTCTGGCAGAGATGTCATCGGTGTGGCAAAGACTGGATCTGGCAAGACGATAGCATTCTTGCTTCCAATGTTTCGACATATCAAAGATCAACGTCCTCTCGAGCCACTTGATGGGCCTATTGGCTTAATCCTGAGCCCCACAAGAGAGTTAGCTACACAAATTCACAAAGAGTGCAAACCTTTCTTGAAGGCTCTAGGACTGAGAGCAGTTTGCGCCTATGGCGGTGCACCTATCAAGGATCAGATTGCCGATCTCAAGAGAGGTGCTGAGATCGTGGTTTGCACACCTGGTCGTATGATCGACCTACTCGCTGCCAACAGTGGCCGAGTAACAAACTTGAAGCGAATAACATATGTCGTTCTTGACGAGGCTGATCGAATGTTCGACATGGGTTTTGAGCCACAGGTCATGAAGATACTGTCCAACATCCGACCAGATCGCCAAACGGTTCTATTTTCTGCAACTTTTCCACGCCAGATGGAAGCGCTCGCGAGAAAGACACTATCTAAGCCAGTTGAAATCGTTGTTGGTGGGCGAAGTGTTGTAGCCCCCGAAATTACTCAAGTTGTGGAGGTTCGAGAAGAAAGTACGAAGTTCATTCGACTGCTCGAGCTCCTTGGTAAATTGTACGAGGATGACAAGAACGAGGACGATCGGGCACTGATTTTTGTTGATCGACAAGAGTCAGCAGATGGTCTTCTTCGAGATTTGATGAGGAAAGGGTACCCTTGTATGTCAATTCATGGAGGCAAGGATCAGATTGACAGGGACTCGACCATTGACGATTTCAAGGCTGGAGTTGTCCCAATTTTAATAGCTACATCTGTTGCTGCTCGCGGACTTGATGTCAAACAGTTGAAGCTTGTTGTCAATTACGATGCCCCAAATCATCTTGAGGACTACGTGCACCGAGCTGGGCGTACAGGCAGGGCAGGAAACACTGGGACTGCAGTCACTTTCTTAACGGAGGATCAGGACAGGTATGCCGTTGACATCGCAAAGGCGCTGAAGCAAAGTGGTCAACCTATACCTGAGCCGGTCCAGAAATTGGTTGATTCGTTTATGGAGAAAGTCAAGTCTGGCAAAGAAAAAGCTGGTGCTTCAGGTTTTGGGGGCAAAGGTTTGGAACGACTTGACCAAGAACGTGATGCCGCCAAAGCTCGAGAACGCAAAACTTTCAAGACCGGCGAAGAAGGTGATGAGCAGGAAGAAAAAGAGGAAGAAAAGGATGTTAAGGTCGGCGACGACATTTTCTCCAAAGCTGCATCCGGTGTCAAAGCATCCGAAACCCCATCATCCACCGCGCTTCCTGGTGTACCCAAAGGTATTGATCTCGATGGAAAAATCACAGTCCATAAGACTGAGCGAGAAACTCCATCGGCCGGGCCTACAAACCAGATGGACAAGGTCGCTGCGGCGGTTGGTGCCATCAATCAGAAATTATCCAAGGCCGGGGTCATGCGCTCTGGTGTTCCTATTGACAACAAAGGCCCGGACGCTGGGGCTTTCCATGCCACTTTGGAGATCAACGATTTTCCCCGTAAGTACCTTCTTGTTCTCTCAACTAGATCCATTTCTAACAATTTCTATAGAAAAAGCACGTTGGGCCGTCACCAACCGTACAAACGTCGCGAAAATCCTCGAATCGACTGGCACCTCCATCACCACGAAAGGCTCCTTCTACCCCACTGGCAAAGAGCCTGGACCAAACGAAAACCCGAAGCTGTATATTCTTGTTGAAGGCGATACTGAGGTCGTGGTACACGACGCAATGCGTGAGTTGATGAGGTTATTGAAGGAAGGCACCATGAGCGCCGCCGATGCAGCTGAGAGGACAACAGGTCGCTACTCAGTCGTCTAAGTTTTCAAATGAGGCAGATAAGGTCCCTGATTCGAAGTATCCAACTCGTTGCTAGACAATAAGATCGGAGTGAGAAAATCTAGCTAGCGAGGCCATGAGTCTAACCTTAATTGTGCTCTTCCCTTTCCCATTCCGCTATTTGATTCCACCAACTCCGTCCTGTTTTGACGAATGTTTTCTTGGCCACTGCTTTACATGCTTACATGCCTTTGGTACCCAGGTATACCGTAAATGGATAAGCCCCTCGCCTTCCTTCTGCCGACTTTGGCTATCAAATCACGTGTTCTTCAACCCAAAAGAGCAAGGGGCAACAGAGATGACTGGGCCAAACGCATGCACGACGAACCCGTCGTGCGTGTTGCACACAGCTACGACCACTCGCAATGGTATGACTTGGCTACGTCAAACCAACCTAACAAGGATTTTCCTAGAACCATAGTCCCCATTTATGGTCCACACGCCTTTCGGCAGCTGGCATTTTCCAGCCAGTTTGCCGCACTAACCAGACCGTTACTAGTTAGCATGAAGATCTACTTGGGCAGGTTCTGGCGCTACGATCTCCGTTGAGGCAACGAGAATGATCGACCCGCTTCATCGTTGGATAACACATGTGGGTCTTGTCTATCCTTTGAGTACCTGCCTAAGGTAAGAAAGGGGAGTCAGCCGTGCTATGTTGGCGAAGTTTCCAGATCATGCTTTCTACCGTTTAGGGGTGTCCTGTTCGTGAGTCACACTTTGTAAGTTTGTGAGGGAAGTGGCGATGGGAGAAGGGAGAGGAGAGGAGGAATAGAAGCGGAGGGAAAGGAGCATTTGTGTTCAAGATCAACAATGCCCTCCCTCATCAGTGATCATTGGTTGCTGGAAGCAGCTTGCTTTGATGGCATTCTCCTTGCTCCCAGTCCTCACTCCTCTCAAGGGAAGAAGAGATTGGCATACTGCCCTAAGTGTACACCCGAACTATCACTGGAGACCTGTGTACCTGTTCCCTCCCAGCATCACTAGTTTATACCTAGGCCCTCGAGAATCAAGTTGAAGCCGTGGTCTTTGACTTGAATCTACACCTAATTTTTTCTTGATGTCGCTAGATCCCTTGAGGCATGTGATGAGCGGGAGCTACAGAATCCAGGTATAGCCTCACGGTCTAGGGCTCGAGCTAGCCGCCCGTCAGGGCATTAATGGGAGTTAGTTTGGTCACAATGTGTATGTGTGTGAATTGATTTTTCAGGGCTTCACGTCTTTAGCTAATGGTACATGTTCTCGGGCCTATAATCTTCAAGCAAGGGTATCTCTGTCATCAATCGTTATACATGATGTCGTAATGTTTTGTACAAGTGTCCTGCCCTGTTTTGGTTTAGGCTCTGAAATTGCTCCGATTTCCAGACTAAATTCCAATCAGTTGTATTGTTCATGGGTATCTCAATGTCATCAATCAACTGTATGCCCTCTTCGTGAATTCTTTCTAGTAATCCTGTGTTAGTGTATGTCATTGAGCTCTGAATTCTCTGGATCTGTTCGAGTGTGACCGTCTATCCGAAATGCTGGTCCGGGAAAGCTGTTGCAAGCAAAGAAGGGGTCAGTCAGAGGTCAATAGTAAACAGTGGATAAGATGTTGCAACTACTTACATGTTGTTGGCGAGAAGCTTGCAAAGTGGGGTCTCCTGGGGCTTTACCACCCAACCGCCCTCTTCCCAGGAGTTCCTGTTGTTAGTAGATGTGAGGTAGTAAATGTTAGTCGTTGTCGATGTTGTGACTTGGTGGCATTGTCAATTGTCTGAATGCCTATAAGATAATCAGACTTCTAATGTCCGGTGCAAGATCGTGAAAGAAGGGAGGTACCTATTGAATGGTCGAGCAATAGCCAGCATGGAGAAAAGTGATGTTTGGAAACTACCCGACCACCCACTTTCCAAGGATGAGGATGCTGCTGGTCAGTATCCTTCCACTTGTGTTAGTTTCTGTAAGGTGCTACTGGTAGGCACTGAACGAAGGTAAGGTTAGTACTTGCAAAGGATTAGGGAGAATAGAGGAAAGGGAATACCTTTGGTTAGTAGAGTAAGAGCCAACAGAATTCTTGGAAACCACCCGACCACCCGCTTTCCAAGAGTGAGGGTGCTATTAGTTAGCATTGTGTCAGTCGTGTTGATCTCACATTGTCTGTCTGGTGACGTGTTGCTGAAAGAGCTATGGATGGAGAGACAGTTAGTATCTATTCACGATCAGAGGCAATAGGGAGGGAATACCTTTGGCTTGTAGAGTAAGAGCCAATAGAGTGTTTGGAAACCATCCATCCGCCCGCTTTTCAAAAGATGAAGATGCTGTGTGTTCGTCTTGTGTTCGGGTTTTTGAGAGGGAGGGTAGTGGTAGGGATGCGATCTGTTAGTTAAGTCGATGACAAAGATGTGTGACTTCCGTTCTGGCCGACTCCCGACCTATAGCTTCTGAAGTCCCCTTTGTTCCACAATAAAATTCTCGAAGCTGTCCCAGTCCAACTGCTGGCGCTCCTCCTTTCCACCAGGCTTTCCAGTCCCACTGCTGGTGCCATCCTCCGAGCTGTCTGTCCCACTCGCTTGCAGAATCTACAAGGCCGTCCAATGAGCTTCAGCCCTTAAGGTGGTTGGACTTTGTCAACGCTAGTTAAAGGGTTGGAGCCTTAGATGGTGTAGAATAGGGGCTCTTGAGCGATCACTCTGTTGAAATAGTCTCCGAAGGATCTGTCGCTGCTGGACCATTCGGAACTGATGCTCATTGGTCCCAAGTCCAACCTCAAGAGCCCTGTAGAGCTAGGGTCGGTTGAGTCCAAGTTGGACTCCATGGTGTTGACGACCCCGTCTCTGAGGACGGCCTGTAGCACCTGTTGCTCAGGCGGTGTCTGTATGGCCATGGCCACAGTGTTAATGCCGGTATTGCTGGCGTCCGGCAACGGGTCAGCAATTTGCTGAGGCTCGATGTCGATCAAGCCGGCGTCGAACTGGAACTCATTTACCCGGACGCCAGCGGGAAGGTCCTTTTGGAGAACTAGACCCCAACTTAGTGGCTTGAGACGGCACTTGTTCTCGTGCCGCCTCATATTCTTGGGGAGGCTTTTGTGACGACAGCCTCTCCATTGGCACACTAACGCGTTCGTTTCCAGTGTTTGGTGTGCCGTTTTCCTGTGGTCGCTGAGGGTCTTGGCTGTGATCGACCCACGCCACTTGCAACCGATTTCGGGGCAACGAAGCAGTTCGCCAGTGTGCTTCCTCGTGTGCTCTGCGAGGCTGGCCTTTGTCGTGTAGCTTTTGGTGCAACCAATCCAGGCGCAGTAGAATCTTTTGCCCTGTTGTCGAGCCATTCTGGACGATTCAACAACAGGCGGGCGGAAGATCTTGAGAGTAAGGTTGGATGTATGAAGGTGGCGGCTTCCAAGAACTTAAGGGTAAGGTTAGGGGCGAAGGAAGAGGTTGCAGGTGTACACTGTTTGTAAGAGATACTGTTCTAGATTGAAGCACTCGTCAGGGGAAATGACTTGGCTTTAGATGAAATAGTAGCCTACATCAGTATCGTATGTACAACACTCTCTGAGAGTAATCAATGGTGAAGGGGGGAAAGGGTAGGCTTAAATATGAATTTGGTTCGTACATATCATTGCTATGTTCCATTCCTTACGCACTAGAAAAGTCTGTGTGCAGTATACTTCAAAACAAAGGCGATGACTCCGTTGCGCTTTGGGGGGGGGGGGGAGAAAAACATGCATGGGGAACAGTGTTTGAGGTTGTCTTTGGTACCGAGATGCTGTTGCGAGTGTAGCGAGTGTGAGGCAGCATCGAACCAAGCAGTGATCAATTGAAGTGGATAGGTGGGACTGGAAACATCACAAGTGCAAACGCAGAAGTATTCTGCTATAGACTTACTTCTTCAGTATGTGGGTCGAGACACAACTGCTATGCGACCCAAAGTGAAAGCATAATTCGGTCATGACACTGGCGCAGTGGTCTTCGTCTTGAAAGTCTAAGTCTATCGCGATTGACGAGAACACAAACATGGCCCGCTTTGGGCGGAAGCAGTCTTGTGAGGTGAGCCAGGGAGTAATAGTGCGAACTGGGCCGAGACGAGGCACAAATGTGTGGGGTTCGTATCGACTTCAGAAACCATGTCCTTAGCACAGGATAGCGAGTTGGGAATCGGATTAGGTTCGACAACTTCATCGTGACGATCGATACTGTCAGCCTATAGTGGTCCCACAAGGCACAATCCTGGTCATCCTGTCCGAAGTATATCGAGACAAGGGATGGATCGCAAGGTCGCTGCATTGCGTTCACTCCCTAAGCAGTCGCAGTGGCCCAAGTTTTGTCAAGTCGGAGTACCCTTGGGTAGGGGTTGGTCACCGCAGCCAGTACTTCGGAATACAGTGTGTAGACAATTAGCTCCCGCAGGATGTCTTGGATGAAGAAGACTCGAATGCCTGGACGGTGCAGCAATCACCTGGCCGCAATTGCGTGGTCATCGACGGCAGATTCATTGTTCTAATCATTTGTTTAGTGGCATAGTGCTGGAGGAGAGCTGGCCATGACAGAAGTGTTGTAGCAATCTCCTCGCAGACGCATAATCTCATTGAGCATTGAGATTGGCTCTTGAGAGACCTGCTAAGCGGTAATTGAAAACAATCATTCAGTTGTCGTTGTTCACACGTATGATAAGTGATCCGCCCGCAAGTTCGAGTTTGGTCAGCGGTGGATTCAACGAGGCTCTGGCGCTTCAGGGGGTCAATTGATAATGACATCCCATTGGATGACTGGCTTGGTGGATCGCGCGGAGCCAATCCACTCGAACATCTCTTGTTGTTGGTGGTGGTAATGTCATTCCAATCAATGAGAGGGACCAATACATTGCTCGAAAACCTTACCTATGGAGTCAGTGTGCGACAAGAAATCACCTATTGGGTGCGAACAGACGTGAAGTTCAGATAAAGTACGGAGCCTTCCATCCGTTTACCGAGCCTGGGCGCACGTGACCAGGGATTCTTGGAGACGATGAATCGCCAAGCACGACCGCCCCTCCTCAACTTTCACTTCCTCTCAACTTCCATGTTATCTCTGATGCTGCGGTAAGCCTCTGGAGTTGCGAAGCCAGGAATACGAAAGTAACGTCTCTCTCGATAAGATCGGTAGTCTAACAGCGGAACCAAAATGGGCAACATCTGTTCTAAGTCTTCGAACCAACCTGATAACTTCTCCACTCCAGGCAGGACGGTCGGCGCTAGCCCACAAACTCCAAAGGCTTCTACAGCGCCCGTGCCTAAGAAGATAATCACTAGTACGCCAGGGCGGACCCTTGGAGGGAGGGATGAGACAGCGAGCCCCAACGATGCAAGAGGGGCCGCAGCAAAGGCCGCCGAAGTAAGTCTTGGATGTGCATTACTGCACCGTGACGACCTCTTGTGCTCGAAACCATGGACCCACTAGATTATGCTAACAAAGATTTCTACAGCAACGAGCAATGAACTCTAACAAACCCGGAGGCAAACTCGCGACGCAATTGCAGAGCCAGAAAAAGCAAACGCAGAACCAGCTTCTCAATTCGGGCTCAGAAGCAGAAAGGAGAGCCCGCGATGCAGATGCGAATGCGGAGGCACGAAACTGGAATTGATGGGTCTCTACCAGGGTAGTTACTTCGCTCTTAACAGAACCCAATCGGACCCAAGATCAATGCCTTTCCTTTCGCTGCCATGTGTGGACCCCATCTCCCACTCGGATTCCGGTAACTCCCAGAACCTTGTTTACACAGCCTTGCATCCCAACCTCGCGTCTCTTGCTCTATTGGCGGGCTCCATTTTGCAAACCAACGGTTGTCTCCACCCAACGCCTTCTGCTCCTCTCTGGACGATGCCTAGTAGCAGGATCCGCTTGAAGATCCACTTAGGCACCGTTCATCTAAAGTTTTGAGATCAAGTCAGGCAGATCGATCTTGTGGCTTTTATGGATGGATCCCAGCAATTCACTGTGGCGCGTCCTTTTGCAGGAAACACAACGCCAGCCTGCACTTGGTTTTTTTCTAATGGTTGAAAGTTCCGACACACATGGGGTATACCAATGGAGGTTCAAACGTTTCCCCTTTTTCTCTCCTTTTTCGGTTACAGACCGACTGATCATATCCAGCAGTGACATTTGCACCTGCTCAATCCCAGTACATACGCCAACTACTCTAGAATACATTCCATGATTCGAAATCTCCTTGCAGAATTAGACGAACTTCTGGTGTTAACCCTAGTCCCCGTGTCACGACTGAGTCCATACTACACCCAACTTGAACACCTCGGGACAGAATCGGCTTCAACCTTGGGCCCTTGCTCTGACTCATGGCGGACGCCCCTGTGAGAGGCTGTCCAAAAGATAGCCCAACTGACCATGGCCTCCACTGAAAAGTTATGGAGTATTGAGTTGGTCGCGACTGCCCATGGTCAACGTGTTCGGTACCCACTTCGCCAGTGCATGCATCCAAAGTTCGCAATGCTGCAATGATCGCGTATCTCCCTCCTGGACAGTGCGACCCATCCAGATCGTTGAGATCGTGTTTTCACCGATCTGTTCCAAGATCCTCAGTGGTGACATCCCCTTCAAACCCTGCCCAAATGAATAATTCAATCTGGCTACTGTGCATTCCAATTGCGAGAGGAAGACCTGCTGCAAAGTCGTCCTGAAACGGCTTGCCCTGAGAGACTGCTGGTTCAGCTGCACCGAAGGCCAGGTGCCATTCACCTGCGGCTTCCTCTTCACCTGCCTATACCTCTCGTGATGCTGCCAGCGATTTTCGAGTCCCTCTCGGATTCAAGGTTTCCCTTTTTGGCAGAGTATCCGAATTTGGGCTCTGCCAAAAAAGGCACACTTCGCTCTCTTTGCCATTCCATCCGCTTCTATCCAGCCATCCTCGAAACTCCGCTCACTCTTACTCGCTCACCGTACAAGCACCGTTCCATTAGAAATGTATAATGCCCACAGGGCGTAATGCCCGGTCCGAATCTGTACGGCTTCGCGCAGACCGAAGTTCTCATTCTCTCCGTTCCACCATTGAACTGCGACTCCACCCATCTCGATCTAGCAGCAATGCATGACCAGGTTGTGAGATCGATTCTCTGCGTTCTCACGACCGCTGCTGTGCTGCGCAAGGTGAATCTCTGTGAAGGACCCTTGTTCGGCTCTTGTCCTAGCCCAAGCGGACAGCCCATCCCTGCATGACCTGACAAATTTAGTAAAAGAAAGGATTCGACGTCTTACGGAAGGAAAGTCTGTTGGGAGGGGACGGCCGAAGCTACGAGAGACGATTTGGGGGGGAAGAAAACAGATACTTTGGTTCTGGCATGCACAGCGAGTCTGGCGTTGAACTTTAGCATGGAGAGCTTTTGTTCAGTGTCACTTGATCTCTCCTCAGTCGAGAGACCCGCTGGCATCTACTGCTGTTGTGATGAGGAATGTGGGCACAAAGAGTGCGGGTGGAGCATTCAGAACCGGCGTCGTAGACAGGCATGGATGGCGAAAGAAGTGAAAGAATGGGAAGGAGTGGGAACTTGGTGAGAAGCGTTCAATTCGGCTTGTGGCAGACGTGACCAAGGCAATTTTGGAGAGCAGCGGGGACGATGGGGCCCCTTGCTCTGTTCAAAGGCGATAGACGAGTAGAAATAGGGGTGACCTTGGGTGGATAAAGGCACAAGTTAGAGACACAAGAGGTAAGGCAGCGATACCTGAATGATATGGTCAAGAAGTCAATCTGTGCACAGTTTAGTTGGCCGATCATGTTCACATTTTCTAGATGACTGCTAAGGTGAGGGAGGGCAGTAGACGTCCCAGCCGAGAGGGCATCTGTACGGACATCTAGTCCTCACCAAAGTTCTCCGCTTCTGAGATGTGGGAGGCTATCTGGCTCACCCCGGGTATGACATTTCCCTCCTCTGCAATCAATCCACTGTGAAAGCACAGTGAACCGTTTTCGCCTGTTGATCTCTCATCATTCGCTCGATTGTCGAGCAGCAGGTTCTTGACGGAACGAAGATTGTGACTTTTGGTGTTTGTGTGGAAAACCCAGTGGACCCCCAGCGGTTCTACAAACGCCATGCACCTTCTAATGCTCCTTGAGTGATGTTTCATGCATGGCATGGCATGCCAGTAGCTCTAGTCTGCTCGTGACATGCTGCATGTCCTTCCACGCAGACATATTCCGTAGAAACGTGAGCTCAAGTCGTTGGAGATGGTCACCAGCCATGAAAATTGACTGCTGGCCTTCTTCATCTTCCTTTTTCATTGTCATAATGAACATTCAAATCCCACCAAATACATGCAAAGAAAATACCCGATCACTCAGGGTTACCCTCGCCTGGAAGAAGATTACCTCGGACGGCAAACATCTTACCAGTTGTGCCCGAAACGAAGCCGTCGACTTGACGAGCGTACTGCTCAACCTGGCGTGAGTTTAACATACTCTCAAGGCGGTTAGGCTCTGTAGGTAGCTTGAACAATCTCTGCCACTCGTCCTCAGGAAGCGGAGGTTGCTTGGACAGAGCACGTGCGGCGTTCTCGGCCTTTCGCTTCGTTTGCCATTGTTGGATCTTAGCCTGCTCACGGGCAAGGGCACGGGAGTAATAAGAGAAGTTGTTTGCTTCAACGTGGTGGGTTTCAATGCTGTCTAGTAGATTGTCGGCGGTCTGCGAAAGGAATGGGTCAATGTTGATGGACAGGGTATCAAAGGTCGGGGCAAGACCGTCGGATTTGAAGACAGGATTGTTCTCGATCTCAGCCACAGAAGTTGGTGGCTTGAGAGTTCCGCTGGCGAGTAACGAGGGGATCTGGTGGAGGAATGTATTCACAAGGAGTGAGTTATGGATTGTGACGGGCAATTCGACCAGGATATCAGTGTACTTGAAGCCAGATTTTTGAAGACTAAACATGAGCGGAAAGAGTATGTCAGCATATGAGGCTTCTTTCAGCATGGATTGATGCAAGCAAGGTAGGGTGAACTCACTTGTCAGTAGTAAATTTGTTCTCCTTGTAAGCGGCCATGAATTGTGGAGTGAGTCGGAAAGCACGCAGACTAAGAACGCCCTGGGAACTGCGGCTGACATCATGGACCAAAGCGACAGTCTTTTCATTCAAGTCTTTCTGGTAGTGGTACTGGTTCTCAATGAAGTTCATATTGATGAAGTTTCCCAAGTTCGCACTCGTGTACCATCCGACATTGTTGGCGTCGATGTTGACTTCTCGCAAGTGTCTGATCATATCGGCCTGGTAGGCAGTGCTGGACTTGTGGCGAGGGGCGGCAGCGGCACTGTTGAAATGTTGTTGTTGTTCGTACTGGCTCTCGGGTGGTAGATCGACGACGGGGAAATTGAAGCAGTTTGTGATTTCGAGTGTGCCGTTGACGTCCATGCCGACGAGGCTGCCGGTGGCAGTGGTGGGGAAACGAGTTGAGCAGTGCTTGATGACTTTCATAACAACCTATTTACCGTTAAACCAAATTCGTGAGTTCGGAAGTAGTCTGGTCATACCAAAGCCTCGAGTTGGACCGCTTTCAGCGGCGCTTCTTTGCTGGGGAAAATTGTTAGTGGAGGGGTTTCCTAAATGTCTTTCAGGGTAGTTGATCGCTTACTCTGCGGTCGCCATGGCTGGGGCTTGGATAGAAGCAACGATGGCAGGCTGTGGTCGTCTTGGAATAATTAATGGACCTTGTTCGGCAACAGGAAGGCCAGCAGCTGTGTTTGATGCTGCTCGTGTAGTCCGTTGTTCGACATTGTTTGATGAGTTCGCCTGCGACTTTGTGGGAGTTCCGAACATTTTTCCGATCCGGCGGAAGGTTAGCCGAGTGTAAGGGAATTTTTGGATGAAACGGCGATGACTTCTTTTCTTCGTGAACTGCCGGCAGAACCAGACTCGTTTGAGTTGGAGTTGGATTGATATTGAAAGCGAAGACAGTCCGGTGAGAAGGAAGGTGATCTTGCTATTTCTGTTAGCTAGGTAGTTTGCAAAGCCGCTGACCACCCTGGACCATGTCGTATCATGCCATGGGCTTGTTACATATGTACTTGGTCTCATCAGCCCTGATTAGATTAGATCTATACATATTTCTACTAGACACGCCTGTATGTACTACACATGGTATTTTTTATCGCTATGATGAAGGCTTCACGCAAGAATCATCCTATTTCCACCTAGGTAGGCATCATCCAGTCTCTACGTCGTGTCACAAACAATCCCGCTGCCGGCATACAATTACGAGCTTTTGCCAGGATGCCGACATCGGTGGGGCCTGTCTCGATGATGGCATGATGTTCCCCAGCCCAAATTTCGCCCGCAACGAGCTTGTCTGTCTCTTTTTCTGCCACTAATTCCATCACCATGATGAATCCCGCAGCTTGTCTATAGCCTTTGTCCTGCCTTCTCTATGATTTCATATACGTTGTCAAGCGTCTGATTGTCCATGTCGTCTAACACTAATACCGATATCTGGCTTGTAAGCTTGCCGACCCCATACCTAAACAGTGAATTGAGATTGAACCATAATTTAGGCTGGCGCATTTGCTGCTTTCTCTGTCGATCTTCTTGTCTACCCACTAGACACTTTAAAGACGCGTCTACAGTCAGAAGACTACCAGAAACTCTACAAAAATGTTGATGGCACCTCCAAACGCGCCCTTTTCCGCGGCCTGTACCAAGGCGTCGGCTCGATCATCCTCATCACCATCCCCTCCTCTGGCGTGTTCTTCACCACGTACGAAGCTCTGAAATCCAGCATAAATACAGCCATCCCTCCAAACTCAACGCTGTATCTGCCCCAACCTGCCGTACACGCTGCGGCCAGTGTTGGCGCGGAGTTGGTGAGCTGTGCTATCCTGACACCAGCGGAAGTTCTCAAGCAAAATGCTCAAATGCTCAGTTCAGGAGGACGCGGGTCTACATCGTTGCAAGTCTTTCGGCAATTCAGAAGCAATCCCGCGAGGCTATGGAGGGGATACACTGCGTTGGCTGCAAGGAACCTTCCATTTACCGGCTTGCAATTCCCCATTTTCGAATATCTGAAAGAGTATTTCATGAAGAGGAGGAAAGCAAAGAGAGACGGAGCCCCAGTAAATGGTATTGCTGAACGTGCCATGATTACTGCCATGAGCGCTGGTATCGCTGGTAGTGGAGCCGCATGGATCACTACACCGATAGATGTCGTCAAAACAAGGATCATGTTGGCAGCTGGCTCTGGTGACGATCCTTCCTCCTCGAAACTTGACGGAAAGGCGAAAGCGTCGAATTTGCTATTCCAGGGGACTCAAGGCTCGCGAAAGAGCGGGTTCACCGTTGCAAGAGATATCCTGGGCAAAGAAGGTGTTCGGGGCCTTTTCCGTGGAGCTTTGCTACGAGCTGGTTGGACCGCTCTGGGAAGTGGTCTCTACTTAGGTTGCTACGAAGGTGGTAGATTCTACCTGGAAGATAGGAGGGAGAACATCAAGGAAGGAGACCATCTCATGCAGCGTGACTGGTCTAAAGTCAAGGTCGGTGTTGGTGGAAGCCGATCCCATGATATCGTCAAAAAGAGTGCCTGGCAGGACGATTGAACGGGATTCTGCCCTCTATTATGAGGATGTATATGCACAGTCCTTCTCACTGGCTAAATATCTGTTTAACATACCAGACAACACGGAATCCTGTGGACAACTTGGTCTGACCGCGCAGCAATTGGCCTATCTACGACCGGTATGGCTGTCATGGCCACGGATTACAGAAACCATGCGAGTCGAACATTAGGTATGAGATATTCTTTTCATATCAGATCGGGATGGTTTCGATCTTGGACATATCCCAGAAGAACTGATCGAGGCCTGCAACGCATGCCTACCTTACTTCTTCGACCAAGCTGACGCCAGTCCTGCCCTTGCTTCCTCTGAAAGGCGTGCACCCACTCCCGGGAGACTGCTAGTAGTCCCAAAAACCCAAACAGGTTCTTCAAGAAGGTCCACCTCTCGAGAGCTACTCTCCTGGCCAGGTCATTGGTAGAAATCAAGAGTGAAGCATTGCTCAACAAGGGAGGAAAGGAGCTGATTTGTCAAACATCTGCACATTGAACCGTCACGTGCTGGTTGAAGCTAGTTGGACGAGCTTGATAGAATGAAGAGCTTGCGTAAAGAAGATATATAGATCTCAAACTACGATTCAGCCCGGAACCAGGATTGGAAATATAGAACCCTGCCTCATGACCCATGATGTAAGAGATGCAGGAGTTTAGAAGCTCTTGTCTGTCGAATAGGGCTCTCGCTTGCATTGTTCTTCGTGTCTACACTGACTCGTGAAGCCAGTCTCACTTTTGGCTGTGGCATTTCTATCGCTCTATGTTCATCACGTCATTTCCACGTCTCCATCATCATGTTCATTAACCTCCACCTCCAAATCGTCATCACCATCGTCCGCTTCTTCATCGTCATCTTCATCTTCCCACGCGTTGTCGTCGTCGTCCACTTGATCCTCAATACCAAGAGCTGTATTCAGCTGCTGAACCAGCTCTAAAGCATGGTCGCGCAACCGATCATCCTCATACTGCTGGACACGGAACAACCGTAGACAACTATCCAACCATGTCTTGGCTTGTTCTTGGCTCTTCTTGCGCGCTTCCTCATCCCCTTGTGTCTTTTCCGCTACCAGCGTCTGACACCATCCGCCCAGATACCAGGATTCAACACTCTGGTCGTCTTCACGGATCAGACCCTGCAGTACATCAAATGCCTCCGCTTCCGCCTCGACCTCCATTAGTAATCGACTCAGACTGACCCTTGTTGCGAAATCAGGCCGACTTTCACTTTCCACCTCAGATGGAATGCCCTTCCAGATCTCCATACTTCGCTTGAGAGCCTGGCGGGCATCATCAAATCGCTCCTGGCTGATTCTCACACTCGCCAAGGTCTGCAGTACGCCTGCGCTCAGTTGGTCTGGGCAGATGGCCACCGCCTCCGTAATGTAGCTTTCGCAGCGTTGCTCCGCGTCCGCTTCCCAGGACAAGTCCGTCATGTACACTTCTGTCATGGCAGCAAGTGCGTCGGCGAGTTTCGACCGCTTTTCGTTCAACACCTCAGTTACTTGCTCATCGTCAGAGACATCCTCCAACACCTCGATTTCGTTGCGTAGGACCTCGGTCGCTTTTGTGAAGTAGGAAATTGATTCTCCTCCTCCTCCTTCACTTAATTGCGCAAGCCAGAGGCATGGTTCGGCGGAGATCAAGGCTCCATCCGGGTCCATCGCTGTAGCGCGGAGGAATGATGTGCGTGCGGCATCGACTGCGCCAACTGCCAGTTGTATCTCTGCCTCTAGGCTCAATGCGACCGGTAGAGTAGGTTGCCCTTCCGCGGCAAGTTTGAGGAGCGTGTCAATGTCGCTGTCTGAATTGTTGTGTTGTTGTTGCTGCTGCCGTTCCTCCTCGAGTCTGCGGAGGGCTTCTTCGGCAAGCGGCAATGCGATCTCCGGCTGTGACTGTTCGAGGAGTGCGGCTGCTTCACTCAGAAGGTCTTCTATCGATTGTTTAGACGTTTGGTGTTTGGATGATTTGACGAGTGGAGAGGCGGTCGAGTGCAGAATATCTTTGTCCTTGCCCCGCTTCTGGTGGTTTTTCGTTTTCGTCTTCGCCATCGTTCGAATCCTTCCTAGAGTTGTATGGGACAGAATGAGAGCCTCTGAGCAGCGTTTGTGATTAGGAACAATCAAATTTCGAGGCTCGACATTCCTGGTATTTGGAGACAAAAAGTTTGAGGTCACAAATTTGCGGGGAAACTCTGCCGAGGCAGCATCACGTGCTAAATGATACGAGACGAGGTCAGCCCCCGCATGGGAGGCTCTAAACCTCCCTACTCTGAATTGCGCCTTATTACACCACACAAGCCACGATCACTTATTTGCTACCTGATGATAATGGCTCTCACAGGTTGCCTCAGTTCCCCTGGGTTTGCCAAGGAACTGTGAGATGTAAAGCAAGAAATGATGATGGCAGGGCGATCTTTATGTCGTCATGTAAACGCAACTAACTCCAACGGTTTCTGCCTCCAGCCCGAACTTGTGGATAGTCAGGACAGGTCAACTACCTTGTGATGTTTCTACAAAAGCGCCTATCACTGTCGGGATTACCAATGATTCCGCGGTGCATGTGACAGCAACCCCTGGAATATAACTTTTAACTGCAACAAACCAGCCCATCCCGGGGGATATTCTTTCCGGAGTTGATGCTCTGACGTCAAAGCACCCCTGAGATCTTCACAAAGATCCTCTCCAATCAAAAGTGCACACGGCCTTGAGGGCTACTGGCTCCTTTTGGCCCAAAGGCTCTTGTAAGTATGAGTTTTCCCATGGTCTGCAGTTTTTTCATGATACTTTCTTCCACGTTTTATTTTCTGTACCCGCGCTATGTCAAAGGTCAAGTCAGCAGTTTCGAACATAGGCGTGCAAATTTCACACCGCAAAGATGACATTAACTCTAAATTGGGCCTTCACGACCATGAAGAATCACGAGGAGGCTCTGAGCAGGATGTTGTACACGTAATCCACGATGAAATTGACGACTGGTCCAGCACCGAGGATGAGGAGCAGTATGGCCATCAATCTTACCCGGCAAAAGATCTAGAAGAATTCCTGCAGAACGACGATCCTCCGGAGGTGCGTCGTAATTACGGTAGATTGCCGCTCATGCAATCTCAGGATAATGCCTTTGACCCCAAGCAGAAGATCGGATGGACCCGTCTGGTGGAAATTGGGCCCAAAATGATCGGGAAGGAAATCTCATTTCGTGCTCGAATACACGTGGTGCGACATATGAGCGCAGCAATGGCCTTCATCCTTTTCCGAGAGAATATCACCACTGTTCAGGGAGTGCTCAGCGCACGAGAGGACGGGGTTTCAGAGAGCATGGTAAGGTGGGCCCAGCACATCAGGCCCGGTTCGATTGTCCTTGTGCAAGCAACAGCAAAACAACCCGACAAACAGATACACGGAGCGAGCACCCATGATGTGGAGCTTCTGATTCAGCAACTTCATGTGGTTTCTGCGAGAAAGGCACCGGTCCCATTCTCTGTTTATGAGGCAGAGGGAGCAACCGACGGCCGTGCAATTGCAGACCGGGTTCGTCTGAGGAATAGAATACTTGATCTAAGAACACCGACATCGCAAGCCATCTTCAGAATTCAATCCGAGGTCTGTCGGACTTTTCGTTCGTTCCTGGACCAGCATGAATTCCTCGAGATTCACACACCAAAATTGCAAGGTGGCGCAACCGAAGGCGGCGCGGATGTCTTCAAGCTTGATTACTTTGGCCGCCCTGCGTTCCTTGCCCAGAGCCCTCAGCTGGCTAAACAAATGTGTATCTCTGCTGATATGGAGAGGGTCTACGAAATCGGACCTGTTTTCAGAGCCGGTAGGTGCATTATCTGAATCGATAATTGTTGCTGATGATGACCTAGAAAACTCAAACACTCCGAGACATATGACCGAGTACGTAGGGTTAGATGTGGAATTGGCCATCAGTCACCACTATCACGAAGCCATGTGGCTGATAGATGCCACTTTAAAAGAGATTTTCAGAACTGTCCATGATCGACATCAAAATGACATTGCTACCTTGAAGCACCACTTCCCTCACGAGAAGCTGATATGGTTGCCTCAGACACCAAGAATTACTTTCGCTCAGGGCGTTCAACTTCTGAATGACTCGGGCTGGGAGAATGACAGCGGCAAGCCGCAATCAGAAGATGAAGACCTGCCAACCCAAGCTGAGAGACGCCTAGGGGAACTGATCAAAGAGAAGTTCAAGACGGATTACTATATCCTAGACAAGTTTCCAACCGCCTCTCGGCCGTTCTATACAATGCTAGATCCTGACAATGACAAGGTCACGAATTCGTTCGATTTTATGGTAAGAGGCCAAGAGATATTATCAGGTGGCCAGCGTGTTCACGAATATGAAGTATTGGTGGAACGGATGAAAACATCTGAAATGGACACAGATTCACTGAAAGAATACATGCAAGGGTTTGAATGGATTGCACCTCCTCATGCGGGAGCTGGAATCGGACTTGAAAGACTTATATCCTTGATACTGGATCTTGGTAACGTGCGGTATGCGACGTTGTTTCCGCGAGATCCCAAGAGCTTCCCGCAAGCCAAATTGAGTTCAGACTTACCTCACCCAGAGGACAGTACTTTGCAAAGACCTAAAGGCCATCTACCCAACTTAGAAAACCTCGTTGCAAACTATGGCGATGCAACCAACACGTCTTGGATGGACGAACGGTTCAAGATCTGGAGAGACGAGAAGACCGGTGCTGCAATATCTTATGTACCGACCCATGATCGAGCCATCTGTGCGGGAAATCCACTTTGTGACCAAAAACAATTAGAGGATGTTATAACAGCGTTTTTGAAGTGGCTCCGGCGCGAAACCAAACTCAGACCCCTGTTTATTTTAGTAGGTAAAGATGTGGAAGACATACTGGCGGATCGTCTAGGATGGAAGAGCTTTACGAATGTATCCGAACAACGTGTCAATTTGGCGAGCAATGGGCATCTGGATGTCAGTAGCGATGTCGATCGAAAAATCCGACACGCGAGGAAGGAAAGTGTCCAAGTGAATAGATATGGAGACAATGTACCAGAAGACGTTCGGAAACGATGCGAAGAACGAATCGAGGGATGGAAAGAGAGTAAAACCGGATCGCAGGTTCATTTGAGCGACATCACCCCTTTTGCCGACGCTCGGCACCGCCAGTATTTTGTGGCAGAGGATCCGCAAGGTAAGATACATTCGCTGGTTGTCCTCGCTCTATTGGCGTCGAGGTGGGGTGTTCAAGTGAAATGGGCTCTGGATTTTCCTGGAGCAACCAACGGGGCCATTGAATTAGCAGTCTTTACGGCTCTCAAGAGCGCTGCTGATGCTGGAACTAAGACATGCACTTTCGGAGCAGGCGCCGCCAGCAGACTGACGACTGGCCGTAAAGTGGGCAGAGTGAAGTCGGCAGCATTGAATTCGCTCTATCAAACCTTAGCGGCCAAATTTAATTTGGATCAGAAGACAGGCTTTAGATCCAAGTTCAACACTCTGGATGATCCGCTCTTCCTGTGTTATCCTCCTCGAGGGCTGGGTCCGAAAGGAGCACAAGCGATCGTGGACTTCTTTCAGACAGAGTGACATCGACAGGAAGATATCTCACCGCGATACACTTTAGTGAGGATTGGCCTGGAGTTGGTGGCTGTGTCATGGCACACCTGACTCAATTAATGACCTGGAAGAGAATAATATAGTTGCAGTAATGTAAACTGATGAGCTTTAACAATGAGATGATATGATACCATAATTCCAATAGTACGAGTAACTAGCTACTGTAGACTCCTGTTGCCGCAGCCTTGCAGCCCACAGCACAGACACTAGATAACTAGTTCGGAGCCTTGCAATCCCCTCAGTCCTTTCCCGAGGTAAACATGGTTCAGCTCAACCCCGAGATATTCCGCCAGGCGACACAGCCAAGTCTCAAGACTCTTAGCCATCTAGGGGACTAACTCCTCGTACCTACTAGTGAAGGCACTAACTTGACTTCAAAGTTCTTTACAAGATCCCACTTCTTTCGGCATCCTAATTCCTTGTGGGAGCGGCATGACTTCTGTGAGATGACATAGCCACCAACCTCTAACGGCGCGCATTCTATACTCACATTCATTTGCCACGTGTGGTGGACCAGACGCACCTTCTCAGTTCATTTGCGGTACATTAACCGCGCTTTGCTTCAACGGCCAAATGGGCACTGCAAACGAAGAATGAATCTCCAGTGGTCGCATCATCAAGTCAACCCACAACGAGTCAAACGCCGGCCACGTGTCCAGTCAGCATGTGTACGGTGCAGACGACAAAAGCTCAGGGTGATTTAAGAGCTCCTTTCCTCGCTGGGTCTCCTTCTAAACTCAGAACGCTAGTGTGATCAAGAGCGGCCGTGCTCACTGTGCCTCCGTTCAGATGTAGAGTGTGTCTCTGAGCCAGCTGAAAGGTATGTCCTCTGCAACGATAGCCACAGGTGCACAGTCCTGATGGATAGCCAAGTGATCGCAGTCGGAAAAGGATCTTTCGAGGGGCCGATGCGCAAGACGAGGCCCATACAGCTCCTAATGCCGCTTTTCAAGATCAAGTTAGCCAGAAGAACCCAGTTCTAAGCGCAAGGGGCTCGCCTGACGACGATTCAGAAGACAGAGGTAGCCTATCCGGTGAGCGGCACACTCGACCTGCGAATAAGCGAGCCTCCATGAGTTTACACTCCGTCTCGGGCACAACTCGCCTTCAAGCATTTGATGAGCGACCATCGTCCGTTGGATTAACGCAACAGGTCTGCGAGCTCCATTTGGCTCCCCATATCCACGTGTCGTCTGGTCGGTACTGATATTGACCTAGATCATCGACGATTTTAGTCCAGAGACCATACTTGAAAGCTCTACCTCGGCATTGCCTGGTGGCAGCGTGATGCCAAAACCACGTAAGGGTAGGCAGCAAGAACAATTGCCACTAGATCAACTTCTCGGGATCACTTTACCCCCAAAGACTGTCACCGACTATCTCCTTGACAAGTACTTCGACGCGGTACATTGGTTCATGACCATATTCCACGAACCTAGTCTGCGGTTGACGTACGATAGACTGATGAGTTCACGGCGCTGCTCGAGATTGACACTGAATCGTGCTCGGGTCTTGCTGCTGCTGATCTGCCTCGGAGCAAATTATGCAACTGAAGATGAGATTCGTCAAAAGTTTCCGTCGTTCGGCTTGCTTTCGTTTCGGAAACAGTCCTTAGAAAACGTCGAGAGTAGCTTGAATGATCTTTTCGACGCCGCTGGTATCGAGTCGATACAGGTGTGCGTCCTTCTTGGAAGTTATCACCTGTATCATGGAAAGCCAAACTTAGCATTCGTCGTTCTCGGAGCTGGCCTTCAGTGTGCGCAGTTGATGAACCTGCACAAAGAGTCATCCTGGCGAGGATTGTCAGAGGTAGCAAAAGAAGAGCGGAGAAGAACCTTCTGGGCATTATTTGTGTTTGATCGGTGAGTGTCATTGGTAAGGAAGTTCATGCAATGCTGATTTCCACGCTCAGGTTTGCAGCAACTATATTCGGAAAACCCTGTGGACTACCCCTCGAAGATATCGAAGTCAAGATACCAGAGGTCATCGGTGACAAAACTGTTCAACATCCTCATTTCAAATCTATTGCGACAATGCCAGACGGCTCCGTCGAGCCAGTGACAACATTCTCATATCTGAAGTTCAAGCTGAAGTTTTATCAAATATCTTCTTCTATTATTGGGGACTTATATTTTCATCGAAACCCCAATGTGATAGAACTAGCCGCGAAGGTATCACGAATTCACCAAGAGCTAGTTGAGTTTCACAACGGCCTCCCTCCGGAGCTGAGGCTAGATGAGCTTTGTTCGACGCCAGACGCACCCGTCACTCCTGAAACACGACCATTCATATTGCAAGCCCTTGCACTACAGGTGGCATACGACAATGTCCAGATTCTACTTCATCGCCCGCTCCTGTCTCAGGATTTACAGTATTTCAAGGAGATTAAAAGTTCTACTTCCGATGGCGAATTAAACACAGAAGCCGCTAGCAGGTCGCGCTCGCCCTCTTCGAGAGACGTTCACCAGGTCCTTCTTTCAAGCCGAGATCGTTGCTGGGAATCTGCAATACGGTCGTCGAACCTGGGAAAACACCAACAATGCCTCCGTTCCGCTAGGGAAAGTCATGCAGCCGCCTTCCTGGGCATCAATTTGTTCACAGCAGGAATGGTGCTTTGTGTCATAGCCCTATCTCGTCCACTCTCATCTCAAGCACAGATTGCTAAGCAGGCAGTGGCGCGTATAATGGCCCTTTCCCGCTTTTTGGCTGGTCGAGTTCTCCTCTCGGCGCAAACAACCAAAGTCCTTAGAGATCTCGTGCGCTTGATTGGGGATAAGGAGGTCGACGTCATATTATCTGGATCCGAAGCGTTTGAAAATGCAGCTACAGCTACCATAACGGCATCAAAGAGCTCAGTGAGACGACCGCCGACCCCATCTTCAACTGAAATGACTGCTCCCGTATCAGATGAACAAGATGCCGTAAGTCAACTATTGGACTTACAATCGCAGTTCCAGGTACAGCAGCGGCAACAGTCAGGTTCGACTGATGTCGTCCCAGAGCCACCAGCTTCCACCGACTTCGACTTCTCTGGACTCGAGAATTTAGACTTCAATAACGGGCTGTTTACACTCCAGCAAGGTAAGTCCTCGATATTGCTGCTGCTGCTGCTCTTCAAGTTTATTAGAGACAGAATAACTGATCTAGCAGCGATGTTTCCGTCCTCCCTTGTCGGAACACCTGATATAAACCAAACAAATGGTGAGACGGGCCGAAGCGAACCTTGGAATCCAGAACAATACAATGCCGAGCACGGTTTCGTCGAATCAACTAGTGGCAGTGAAAATGGCCTTGTTGGGACTGATTTTAATATGATGAACACAGTCGGCCAAACATGGCTGTGGGACTCGATGACCTGGAATACCTGAAGATCGACCGCATTGACAAACATGATCCCATTACTTCCGGAGAGCCCTTGCACAGTCGCGGCGGAATAAGTGACTCTTCTGCAAAGGACCGCAACCGCTAAACAGCAAAGGACGTTGCTCGCTTTCATCTGGTCACAATCAGTACTAGAACAGTGCAGCCACATGAACACGACATTGTCAAGTCTATTATCGACTAGTGGTCACTAAACCCTGCTGCGCACACATTGGACCGCATGAGCTGCTCATGTTTTACCGAAAAGTTACAGCGCGGCTTGCAATGGTTGAGATTAAAGGCTCCACCAAAAACAAGGAGAGCTAACGCTTTGATCCATACATGTATGACTGCTCAGTACACAAACTAATGCATCATCGCAGGTGGCCAGACCCACTCTCACATCGCCAATCAGGGCTTTTGCTCCTCAAACGCAGCAAGCCTGGACTCCAATTCCCTCACGAGCGAGCTATCGAGGAACTCCTCAACCTTGTCCGCTAGCGTCCCATCCTCGTTGAGATGGATGATGAAAATGTACTCATTATGATACGGGCCAGCAACGGTGTTTGCCGAACACTTTGCGAAGACAGCCACTTTGCGTGCTGCTTCGTCCACCATCGGCTCCTTATAACGGGCATTGACCTTGAATCCATCTGGAACCAGTGGCATGAGAAATTCAATATGGCGACGAAACCCGTCGATGTCCTGTGCCGAACGGCCGAGAGACTCCGGTAAGAAGTGCTGTGTCGACTTGGTACTGCGTTTAGCTAGGAGGGCGTCGATTGTCCATGTTTCAAAGGCTTCGACCAAGGCGATTGCTGTTTCGAGGAGTTGAGCGCGAGTCGGTGCCATTTGTGATTGGAAAAGTTAACTAAGTATTATATTTTGTGAACCTTAAGCTAAACGGAATATGTCCGAATGTTGGTGCTGTTGATATGATACTGCAAGTCCCGTACAATCACAGCTGGTCAGGGACGAAGTATTTATACTTAAAATCTATACTCGCTGGGTGCTACACTCATCCACTCCCCAATAGCGCACGTGAAGTGTCGGTCCATTTTCCTTTCGGAACTGGCACGAATGCTCAATAGTAAGTATCCTTGTACGCCTTATATCCGGGGCCTTCACATATCATCCACGCCACTGACAACGATATAAAGTCCACTTGATGCATACCTACGTATATTGTTTCCTGCGTGGACGGGAAATCAATGGAGTGTCTTTGTTCCGCCCCTCGGAGACATTCAATGATTGGGGGATGATTTTACCAGTACCTGCATGAAACCACTCGTACCTGTACAGGCCGGAGGTAGTGGATTACCGAGCCAGCCTATCAAGCCGCGAGGTACAATTGATTTAGGAAGAGGTGGGGATCTGAGCATTATGGATGCAAATGACAATGCCTAAATGTAAAAGGACGAGCAGGAGTAATGCGGACATAACGGAGATATTGGGATGGGATATCCCATATAAGCTTCGCCGTATAAATGGCGCTTATGGTGTATATGATTCACTGTTAGATTTGGGGTATCGAAGACGCTGATCACGCATGATCCACGCACCCAATGCACGCTGCATGTGAACGAAGCGCTACTATACTCCGTACGTTCGGTCCGTTCATAAAGAGGTTGGGTTGCAAGGGACAAAATCATCGGCGATATCTCCAAAGTGAAAAACGCAGCATAACCTGAATACAACAACATGCGAACCCTCATTTAGCAGCACACTTCGCCGCGAAAACTCGCTTGTCCTTGACGTTTGCTATGCCTCGAGACAATCACACTGAAAGCGAAGATCACACCAAAGCAATGGCGTTGCCCAGCACCGCAGAGCCTTCCCCCCTTATGGCACAACCTCCAGCTGCCTCCGAGGCGACTTCTGCCCCTGTCTCTGGACCCCGCCCTCCATTCTCCATCCACGCGGAGCTACGTTCACTGCGCCACGAGAAGAAGAATCAAGACCTGCACCGCCTACCTCCTGGGACGACGGTACGGCGACGTCCGATCAACCACGCACCGGTGGCGGACATCCACGCGGGGGCGCAGGTGCCGAAGTGTGTGTACGTGTCGCGGCAGACGCCGGTGATCGCGGCGGTGAAGCGCGTGAAGAAGATTCTCAGGGAGATTGAGCGGAGGGCGGTCAGGGAGGCTCTTGAAGGAGGTGGTGGACGTGGCGAAAAGGGGCGAGCGCGGAGGACGATTGGCGGCGGCGGCGGAGGAGGAGTAGTGGCGCAGGGTGTTTCCAAGGTCAATGAGGTGCTACGCCGCGACAGAGAGGAGGTGCTGGTCAAGGCGAGCGGAAGGGCGATGGAGCAGGCGCTACAGGTCGCTGAATGGTTCCGGAGTAAAGAAAAGGAGGTCCTGTGTGATGTCGTGGTTAGGACCGGGAATATCAGTGTGGTAGACGATATTATTGAGGTGGAAGGGGATGAAGAAGTGGGACAAAATACTAGTGAGCTGGAGGTGGAACGCAAGGAGGACAATGATTCTTCGAAGATCGAGTGTGGAGAGAGTACGTTGGAACTCATTGGGGATACGACAACAACAACGGTCCTGCGAAGCTCGGAGCGATTGACGGAGAGTCAGAAGGATAACGAGGATGTGTCGATGATAACGATCGGCGATCAGTCCCAGCCTACGTCAAAGAGCAGGAAGCGGAAGAGGAAGAAGAAACCAATGTATGCCGCCGATGATGTGCCTGAAGCACGGTTACGTTGGGTCAAGACTATTGAGATTGCAATTTCGTTGAAGGGATAGGTATACTCGGTACTGTGATGAACAAAAGTGATCACATTGGGATTCCGGTACGTCCGTGTAGTCTATACCCACAGCCCTCTCCTATCAAAGACTGATTAGAACCGAGCAAGCGAACTGATATTCATCAGACATAGCAGCCGAGGAAGAACGCCCAAAGTTGATTGGTGTTGCGGTTCTGGGAGTGTCTCCAAGCCCTTGCAGCGGCTTTGTGCGCTTCACTCGTGTTTCCTGCGGCTTTTTTATCGAGCCCTCTAGACACCCCATCAAGATTCTGCAAACGGAGCACCGAATGGGTTGGGACTTCCAAGGTCTCTTGGATCGGCAGTGGCCTGATATAACACAACTACCCGAACTCCTCTCGAGAATAAATTGGAACGGGCGGGATTTCGCGCTGTAGCGGATTTTAGGAGCCTAAGATGCTTCTGCTGGGGCTGGTTTTCTGAATGAAACTTTCTCCACAGCAACGTTCTCGTTCCCATTCGCGTCGGTCCGTAGTTGGTATACATATAGTACGAGGACATCACCTTGGATCTGCATAACAATGTTAATTGGATGAGGATGCGTCAAGGTCGTTCTGAAGGCTTACATCCATTAGGCAGAAGCTTGGGACTGGCTCTTCGTCAATAGCGGTCCAGTTCGAGGTGAAAGCACCGGTTCCACTACCAGGATTGACGAAGAATTTCCCCTCTAACTCATATGCTTCGAACTTGTGCGTTCCGCCCCAGAGCAAAACATCAACATCCATTTGTCGAGCTGCGATGAGCAACGCATCGGCGTCGCCTTGTGGTATTATGGTATGGCCGTGTGTAAATCCGAAACGGAGTCCTCCATGCTGAACAACTTTGGAGAGTGCTAGATTGGAGGCTTCGATGTCGTAGTCTCCCTTGACGATGTGTAAATCTGGAGCTGTCTGTCGCAAGAAGTCATATGTCTCTTTGTCTGTAAGGTTTCCTAGGCAGATGATTTGACCAATCTTTCCCGGTGAAAGGAGCTTCCGGAACTAGGACGCAGGTTGTCAGTGGCTTCTCGAGAAAAGCTGAGGAGTCGTAGGAGGCACCCACCTTTGCTGGAAGATCCTGTGAATAGTGTCAATGCCGCGATCGCAATTGGGCCTAAGACAAGGGCGGGCTTACCGGGGCTCTGTCTGGGATGAAGAGATCACCGATGACCAAGACTAATCTGGAGGCCATGCCCCTTAGTTGGAAAGTAATTCCTCAGTCAGCAACTGCGCATGTTCTTTATCTCAAGAACGCAAAGCGCGAGAGAAGGCTGAATATATCGATTGGTAGGTAGCACTAGTATTCACACCTAAACGCAAGCGCAAGCGAAGTCAGTATGAGGAGTGCCAATTGGTACGGTGAAGTGAATGCCCCGTAGTTGGAAAGGAAGGGCTTGGCCGCCGATTTCCAAAGGCTTAACTTGAAGTAGACTAGCTCCATAGGGCTGAGTCTTGGCACGAATATGGTCACCTGAAAAATCCCGTCCTCAGCTAGAGCACTGAATCCTATGTTCGCCGGCGAGGCTAAGAGGCGTTATTAATATTGCATTTGCCATTTTTCGTACTTCGACACTCGGTTTACCTGGCTAAGGTACATGTACTTCCGGCACAGATGGGTGTGGGGCTCTGACCGGATTAGTACTGTACAGCCCATACAGCCAGACTCTGAGGGCTACTCGATTTCCATGTATAATAGCTGTTCCAAGAGGGCCGGGTGCCAAAGCTCGATGCTACTCTATAATATCATGGTCCATTTCAAATACATCCGCTCCTATAATGGCCGGTCAAATCTTTGCCCCTCGGCACATGGAAGGACTTCTCCCCAAAAGGCTTCCCGCATGCATACAGTACTACTGCCAAGAAGTGCGGGACAGCCATTCGGCACGTTGCTCAGGGGCATCATGCTCCCCTCGTCTCGTGTCCTCAACGGCTTAAACAAGACCTCTACTTGTACAGGATGGTGACGCCCCGAGGTGGCCGGCAAAGAGGGCCTCCCATGCAAGTTCTGTAAACCCTTCTAACCACTTAACTTTCCACCTCACAATGAGCTTTCTGCTCGCCCCTATGCCCGATATGCTGGCCAATGGGGCTTTGAGAATTGATAGTGCTTTGCCGTCGACAATTTGCGCACCAACTATCGCGTAAAGAGAGCTGAAAGCTTTTCCACTACCTGCGATTCCTCGGTTACATCGTCTCTACAAACGCGAGGATTGGGGGCCCTTCCGCACAACTTCCTGAGAGACCATCTACAGTCTGAATCCTGGGGCGTCTGGCTGCTATAATTATGACCATCTCCGAAGTTATCGAAACATGTTCCATACCCTTGACAACAGTGCCCAAGCTTCACTGTGAAACATTTCTTGAAGCGTAACACGACTATTTCTGACACCGACTCCACTGTTATATTAACCTAGCAAATCCCCGCTATTCTTCATTTTCTGATATCTCTACAGTGCTATGGGCAATATTGGCAGATCAAGTACAGGCTGTGCCTTATGCCGCAAGCGCAAGATCAAGGTCGGCAGTAAAATTGACTTCCGACATTAAAGGTCATCGTACTTACTCTCGAACAGTGTGACGAGGGAAAGCCTGGTTGCAAACGCTGCGCTCAAATACACAGACCTTGTCCAGGCTACCCCTTCCAGGTCCAATTACAGATACGCACACCTTCAAACAGTCCGCCAGAAGAATTAAACAGTCCCTCTATTCTTTCTGGCCCTGTCCTCCCTCCAGACCATCCGGCGTCGATACTATCACAACATCTTCCCCGTGGAATCCAACCTAACAAAGTAAAGCTCGAATCCGCCGCTGATAAAGCGGCCCCCGAGAAGGTCGCTCCATCTCACCGCGCGATTTCCCCACCGCCCCGTTACGATATACATCACCAATCACTGTGCTTTTTCCTTAACTTGTTCTGTTTCCAGGCTGGGCGCCTTTATGCAGTTCCTGTATTGGACTTTCTACCAGATTTAATTCAGAATGCGGCCCCTTATTCCTGCATTAAGCAAGCCGCAATGGCGGTGTCTCGTATGACACTGGCCGATCAGTACAGCGGCAAAGATATTAGACTACAAACTGGTAAGGAGTACGGCTACGCCTTGAAATTGGCCAACGCCACTATCCGAGACAATGCTGCCAGTATACAAGACGAGACCGTTGTAGCTGTCTGGCTGTTGGGCCTCTATGAGGTAGGCGCACCACTTTTAAGAGTAACATCAAGCATGATCTAATTCAAGTCTAGATGATTAGTATCATCCTCACACATGGCAGGACATCGGAAGGCTCTTTGACCGAGGAAGAAGAATGGCAGTCTCATATCTCTCATGTAAAAGGAGCGATGAATCTGCTGAGGCTTCGCGGGCTCGTACAATTCACGCATCCTCGATCGGAGAAGATCTTTCGTATCTTCAAGGCGGCTATTGTAAGCCGCATTTAATTTGTGGAAACGCTGTACTGAACTGACCGTTGGTAGCAAATGCGTCTCTTCATTCTGAATTCGGTGACCTCAAAAGACTTTGACGATCTTGAGATCGACGTGTACAATGAGGATCAAGAATTCGTTCCTTCCAAGACCGCAAACAAAGCTACTGCGTACTTTCACAGTGTGGCCCGTTTGCTGGAGAAGATCAAGCAATTTCTCATTCGGAGATCTGACAAGCCTGAGCTGGTTGATAGAGTCAAAGCTGACGGATATACCCTCCTTCAATACGGCGAAGCCCTGGATGTAAGCATGGAAGGCTGGAGCAAGGATGAACCTGGATGGGACATTATGTCTGTCCGTGCTGAAACAGCCGGTACCATGTGGGCTCTTTACCCTTCTCATGCGGTCTACTATTTCTACAGTTTCTGGATCTACCTCTACTGGTTGCGATTCCTCAGTGCCCGCGTCAAGCTCTATGAAGCTCTCATTGAATTGCGGAAGGTCGTTTCGCAGGAGAGTCTCTCTAACGATGCTCGTCGAGGTTCTGCGACCCAAAATTTACACCTCTCAAAATACAGGACCATCATACAGATGACCGCAGCTGAGCTCATCGGGCTAACAGCCTATGCTCTAGGAGATGTTACACCGACGGGTGCTTTCAATTCGTCGGCCTCAGGTCGGAGCCCACATGGCGGCTTCCGAGAGATCAACGTTGTTGCAACGATGCAACTGGTGATACCGCTGAAGATGTTGCAGAGGTCGCAATATCCCACTCCAACGCAAAAGGGGGCAGTCGACCTTGCAATCACACATATTGGCGACGGATTTCGGCGGCAACCTCTTCTTCTCACCTGATTATGTCCAAATAAGCGTAGCTGGCGCAGTCTGTATCTGGGTGAGGCTTGACGATTATATTATTGGGAGGAACTAGTGAATTTCTATCGCACCCTTATACCCACTCGCGTACCCACTCGCGTGAGAAATGTGCGCATATGTGCCTTCATAGCTATCAAAGACGACATAATATTCCTCTCGGACTTCTAATACCCAAGGTTCGACACGAATAATGACATCGCTTTGGACTGACTGTCCGCATTATACTCTCCGTATGAACATTTCAGCTCGACGGGGCCACCCCAGACTTAGCGTGTACGTAGAGATTCGATGGAAGTTGAGCAGGAGCTAAAATACGGAGATATACGAAGACAGATAAAAGTGACACACTGCAGAGTTCAGCGGGACTACAACGGGGTCTAGATATCCATCCCGTGGGAAGGCTGAAACCAGGGTCGAGGAAGTGTCGGAAAACTTTACCGTAGGAGATGTGCTGCTATGAAAGCATCTCCACCCTAGTAGTGCCAAGACTTTCACTTGGACCTCGTCGAATGGGCAGCTTAACCTCCTCCCTCATGGATTGGGTTTTACTGAAGTCTACGTGAAGCTGCAACTCCCTCATTTAGATAGCTCTAGCCACCACATCTCATTTCATGCGAGATCGCATAGGCCTCTGAGAAAGACTCACAAGGCCGGGCGTTCACAGCACCCACAACCTCGAGGCCAACCATGGCCGCCACCAAACCGATCAAAGACGTCGTGGGCGTCGCGAAGGTACATGCATACTACACGCCCTTCCCCTGGAATCCGCCCAGAGCGCTCTCTCTGCCACATCCCCTCCTCCCTTAAATCCTCAGCCCAAAAATCTGATAATTCCATGACTACGCAGAAATACACCCAGCAAAGCACCGGCATGTACGAGCGCATCCGACGGTTCTTCGCGGTCGACCCCGACCGAAGCAACGGCATCCCGGTACGACACTTCCGCAACCCACCTCCAGGCGGGCTCGACCCGCTTGCCTACGACGAGGCGGTGACGACGCCAGCGGCCGACATCGCAGACAACCCGTATTGGAAGCGAGACGTGCGCAGGGCGTACCCCAAACTGAGCACCGTGACGCAGGGCGACTCTGTCGGGCTGTTGTCCATCGGGAGTGCCGCCGCGCCCAGTCCCAAGCTGCTTGCGGGAGAGGAAGGGTCAAAACAGCTCGTTGCGGTCAAGGAGCAAGGTCAGAAGGGCCTGGCGGCTTACTTTGAACAGGAGAAGGGTGCCGCTACCGTGTTAGGCCAGGATGGTTTGCCGCCTTTGCCGGTTGCGGTCAGATCGAAGAGTGTCACGGCGGAGAAATATGAGTTGGGACACACCGCTTATGGTGAAGAGTATGTTCTTGCACGAGGGGGACTCGTCCCCCGTTTCTCTCTTCTCGCCTCGCTCTTATCTGGGTTGTTTTGCTAACTTGTGTTGCTGCAGCTACCCCTGCCGAAACTTCGTTTGAGTTCTAAAGTCTCTATATAAAAAATGATTAAAAGGGGGGAAACCGGGTGGCTCATAGTCGCCGTGGGGCCCAATCTGTACATAGTTCCAAGCCCCAGGCCCACAAAGTACACATTGTGTAAAGAATGTCGAAGAGAGATTAACAAAAGGGCAGATTGATCATGGTTTCAATTCAAAGCCGCCCGCCGCTCTTCTTCAATGGCGGCCTGTTTCTGCTCCATGATTTCGCGCTGACGTGTGACTTCTTCGCCAATTGCCTTCTCACCCTTCCGCCTTTGGCGTTCCTCAAAGGCTTGTCGGCCTTTCATAATTCTCTTGACGATCTCGCCAGCATTGACGTTTGCGTAAGGATGAGATTCTATTTCTCGCAGAATGCCCATTTCCTTAGCATCCGTGTATGGATCGTACGTCGAGGGCATGAAGGCCGTGGGGCCATGGTACACTGCGCTGACTTGGCCCAGCGGGATGGCCTCGAGGTACTGCTTCGAAGGTGAGAATGGAGCGCCAAAGATGATGGAGTGGACGTAGCGGCATTGCAGCACACAGAGACCACGCTCGAAGATGTTCATGATTGGATAGTTGAGCCCTTTCCAATGATTGATTACGGCATCGTTGTGGACTCCTGCAATGACGTAGGCTTTGCCCTGTTCTGCCTCGTTGACGCGCTTCAGAAACTCAATATGCCCAGATGAGAAGAGATCGAAGCCTCCATCGACGTAGACGATGCGTTGGCCCGGCTGCGGACCCTTTCCTGAGACAAGTCGTTTGAAGAAGCCAGAATCGTGGGTTTCATGTGCAGAATTGGCCTTGCTGCCTGGGCCCCACGTCCAGACTTCTGACCCGGGGTGCAGAGCCGTCTCATCTGTAGCGTAGTCCTTTATTCTTTGGAGCATAGCAGCCCCTGCTTTGACACGTTCGGAGTCGGCCTTGCCTTCGGAGACACCTTCAAGTTCGTCCATTAAGGATCTGATGAAATGGCCCTTAGTACATAGCAGCATTCGGCCGACCAGATCAGTAGTCGATATGCCAGGGGTTCTTTTCACCACTAAGAACCGTTGGGCAGCCTTGACATAGCGGTAGCAGTCTTCGCCGCTGGCATCGGAAGTGATGTCATCGCCATGGACAACATACCAACATCCATAGTGTGAGATCCACGGTAAGGCTGTAACATATGGTGCGTAGGGAACCGATTTGGTCGACCATCGGCACGCATCAACAGCAGCCACTCTTTTCTGAATTAGTGGATTGAAGTGACAGGAAAAGAAAAGAAAAGAAAGAAAAAAGTAAACACACCGCTCGTCCAAGGTCATGACAGTCGGGCCCTTGTTCTCCAGGATTTCTTCATCCGAATGAACACCTACATACAACGCCTTTCCGAGTTGGCGTGCCTGGAATAGGGCACCAGCATGGCCTGGAGGGATTTCATGGTCAGATTCGCATCTAGTTTACCTACCTCGAATGGAGATATTTTTGGGGGGACTTGGTGATAGCCTACCATGGTGGGCAAAGTCGAAGCAGCCGTCGACCCATATGCGCTCTTTGAGAATCTCTTGATCCTCTTGAGGATCTACTGGCCATTCGCCAGCTTTTGGCACATCGTCACTCATATTTTGATGTTCAGATACACCTACGCTTTTCTACTCGGATATCGGGAACGAAAGCAGCAATCTGGAAGAAGCCGTTGTGATCGAGAGAACAAAGAATAAGAATGGCGCTAATCCCGGGGTATGAAACAGCCGCGCTGCCCCTGAACAAATGGCACACCCCACTGGTCGCTTGTTTCCTGGTCCCGCAGCCGCCCGAGTTTTAAGCAAAAGAAGCCCTTTACGGAGTACCTTTAGGCTTTAACCCTTTCGCTTTTGGAGGGCCCCCTTGCGTAATCACGCCTGCAGGAGCCCCCTAGCATCCCGATTCCCTACTATTGCCTCTCCGCTCCTTTTTCCATCCCATCACGACTCACGAGAGCCCGAAGGAACAAGTTAGACTTTCCAGACACAGCATTTTACAGTCCGCACGCACATCATACTCCCTCACCAAGCATAAACTAGGCACGATTTGGGCACTCTGGGCCCCAGTAGCCTGGTGGTACAGGACAGATTCGGGGCCACAGTACCACTACCACTGCCTTACGACTCCCACACACCTTCACCAGCGCGAATAGGATGACCGAAACTTCCCAGCGCGACGGCTCCATAAGCTCGACCAATTCAGGAGGAGGAGCCAGTGGTTTCCTTTCCAAAATCACCAGATCGCCCTCTCGCAGGCATAAACCTCTGGGGTCTAACGGATCTATCGATGCTACCCTTTCTGTCGCAGGTTCGACACCACCGCGTCCTCGTCCTCGACCAGGCTATCCCCGTACTACCACCGCACCCGCAGCCCCCGTCACTCTCAATGCAATCAAGGCAGATATCGTTGCCCGCAACAGTGATGTGACGGGCGCCGCAACGGCACCATCCCAGAATATGTTTCTTCTACCCATCGACAATTACGCTCGCCCGGTCGCCCGAACTCCTCTTCAGAAATCTCCCAGCGATCCCAACACAAGCAACGGGGTGAATGGCAAGACTGCAATTGCGGATGGATTCAAGGCCGTGCCATCTGATATGGACGTCCCATCTGCTATGGCCATGAATGGCATGCTCTCCAACAGTGCCGCAGCAGCCCTGGCGAACACATCTGCACTACATGCCCATATTCAAGAGATGACCACCAAAAGAATAGCTACGTTGGAATATCTGCGGAAAGCCCACGAGGGAAGATCCTTCTGGTTCAACACAGTGCGGTTTGCAGAAGCCGACATTTGCAAATTGCCCTCCTACACTGTCACAAGACTATCTCGACGGGCTATGAACTATATGCTTTTGGGAATGTCATTGCCCATCATCATCGATGTGCACCCGCAGTCTCATGCCCAGAGCACAGCGTCCACGATGACAGCAGTCGCACAAGACTATCTAAGGAGCCTCAATGCACTACTCACCGAATTTGAATCCTTCCAACAACTACATCCTCCTGACGGAAGTACCGCAAGCTCCCTGAGTCGAGCCCGCATTCCACAAATGTTCAAGAGATCAGGCACGATAGCAAGACCTCGAAAGTCAAGTGGACCAGTCTCTGAGATTGGTCTACCGATGCAACCTCCCACCTCCTCACCGCCGAGCATGCCAGAGGGTGGACATCATCATGTATCACATCCTTCTATAGACACCACTGCTACAGGATTGACTTTATCTTCCACCGCAACGACACTTGTCACTCCCTCCCCCTCCGCGCCGTTGTCCTCTGGCAATTTCCCCAGCGCTTCGGCTTTCCCTCCTCCAGGGCCGTCCGACGCACCCAATTCGACTTTACTCACCAATGAAGGGCCCTACACTTATCTTCAAACACCCCCTTTACCCTTCACCCCGGACTTCTTCACTGTTTTTGCCACACTATGTGACGTCCTCATCGATACCTATCAGCGGTTGATGCAGATTTTGACAGGCCCCAGTGCATGCACGCCACTTGTGAGCGATCTATTTAACAAAGTGGATGCTCGAATAAGAAAAGTGATGATTTCAGCTGTTGTCAGGGAATTTGAGAGCGCTTCACGGGAAAATGCAAAGAGAGAGCTGATGGGCGTGCAAAAGGTGGTTCTGGTTGGATTGATGGCGTAAAGCTTCGTGGTCTACAAATAGTACTCCTGGAATGCTCGCCACAAGTTTAAACCACGTGAACGATGATTGCTTGGTTCGCAAGGCGTTGGGAGATCGATGCATTGGCAAGAGAGATGAAGTCTGATGAAGTCTCTGTACGAGTAGAATATGCGCTGACACCCTTACGTGGAACGCCTGGGGATGGGGGTTCTCCTAGCGATCAAAGATCCATTCTCAGGCCTGTGTAATACTAGTGGACTGATGGCGCTGGTGTGGCGCTCATGAGGCTGGGATGAGGGAATGGGATGGTGTTACGAGTGAGATAGATCTAGGCCTGAGATCTCCTGAGGGCATTATCGGCCGTCCAGATCCCTTCATGAGCTGGCTCGTAGCCTGTAAGTCATCAGAAGACCTCTTGCCTCTGACACTATCTTTTTTGGTTTTCATGCAGAGAAGTAGTCTCGTGAGTCTCTGATGGCAGGGTGGACGTAGTGCTCATTGGTGGGTGAATTGGACAGGAGAATAAGGAGACAGACAAAGTAAGTAATATCAGCCAGCTGCCCCTCATTGCAGGATCCCAAGATAACCAATTTCTTCAGGGACCACACAAGCTCGTTCCAGAGAGCGGGGGAGTGCCCGGCCAAAGCACGACTATTTGTCGTTTTGTGTTGCTGCTGTTCGAGATCAGGGGTAGATCAAACGGATGGGCAAATTTGTGGCAGTCTGGCAGTCTGGCAGTCTGGCAGTATGTTGAATGAAGTGACAGGGGCTGTGTTGGATGAGCTTCAGCCGGCTCCCTTTGCGAAGAGCCCACACAGAGATCCCAATTAAAGCCCTCTGGCTCCAGGTAGCTAAGTTAGTGCCCGCGGGCCTGAAGGTCTTTACCCATTGCCCAATTCCCACAGGCTGACCCCTCGCTTTTGTGCTAATCAACTCCGACAATTTGCCTGGACTTTTAGGTATCCTGGACCCTGAGATAACTTAACCAGTCGTCTAGACCGTCGCGCAGAAGTCAATTCTCCTCCCCCAGGAAAATCTGGCGTTATTCATGCAATGTTCCTGGCTCCTAAGGCCCAGTTTAGGCTCGAATAGGCATGGTCATCTCACTCTTGGCACAACCTAAAGACCCAGAAACCTTCATCGTCCACCCATCACGCGCACCTTCACGTCTGCGTTCCCGCGGTTCAGAACTGCCAGATGCGCCGCATCGTCCGTCAAATCTTAATTGCAGTCCCTTGGACCAGACTGGCGATTTTCTCTTATCTCCCCGTTGGAGTCTGCCCATGTGTTGCTCTTAACTCTTCTCACAATCGTTTCTGTAATTTGGATGATTTCATGCTTAACATCTACGTCTAGCACAACCAGCCATCATTCATATCCCCGTCGAAATAACGGACCCGAAAGATTCATCTCGGTTGAGTTGCGGGAAGGCCATTCGAAAATTTTGTACATAACTTATCACTCCCACATTCATATTGGTGCTAGTCGGCCGTCATGGGGATCCGTCGTGGCCAGGCACTCGGCCTCGCGCTGAGCGTCGTGGTCATTTACTTTCTCTTCTTTGCGGGATCAGACTCGACCGATTTCCGGAGAACCACTGAAGCATCTCTCGCGCGCCGCCGCGGCATCCTGCGTGGTACCCTATCCGATGTAGATTTGACTGCGCAGACCAACCGAGAACTGCAGAAGATTCTCGATAAGCAGAAGGAACTGGGCGGTCAGAGTCGTTCGCATTCCAATGCTGAAGAGATTGCCGTTGCTGGACGAGTATCCATGCCCAAGACGAACGACAAACCCAGATATCCCGTTGCCAGCGGGCATGGTGGCACCTCGGACGGAAAGGGCGCAGAAGCTGCTTTGGATGCACTTCACGACAAGGAAGAAGCCCTAGATGGCGAAAGTTTGGCTCGGGAGGAGTTACAGGCTATTCTCAAAAAGAGTCCAAGTAAGAGATCCATATAATTCTGGAATCTGTTAACATAAACTGCCGTACTGACCAGCACTGCCTCAGTCATCATCTTTTCAAAGTCCTATTGTCCCTATTCCAAGCGCGCCAAAGCTCTCCTGCTTGAGACCTACACCATTTCACCTACTCCTTATGTTGTGGAGTTGGACTTGATGAACCAGCCTATCCCCAGACCTGCACACCAGCACCATCTTACTGACGATGATGGAGAGGGTGGCGATGCCCCTCAACCCACTATCGGTCGCAAGCTCCAAGACCTTCTCGCGAGCCTCACTGGTCGCCGAACAGTTCCCAACATCATGATAAATGCACAGAGTCTGGGTGGCAGCGATGACATCACTCGCCTTCATGCTGACGGTACTCTTGCTGACGAGATCAAGAAGCTCGGTGGAAAGAGGATCGTCAGCGTCGAAAGGTCAATGCATAGCGAGGAGACTTGATGCAGTCAGTCCGTCTGCTTCTCCCGTGTCGGGTTTACTGCATTGTGAAATGTGGCAGCGGCGACTGCTCGGTTTCCGCCACATCCTAGCCCTCCAAGCTGCTGAGTTTCAAAGTTTTCCGAGACATATGGTGGACAGAACTGATGGGCTTGAACGATCCTCAACTGTGCACGATGTTCAACTCGTACTCTGTGCGGACTCGGCAATCCTATATGGGTCCCCTGCGACGCCTCAAGTGTCCGCGATTGCCCAGGAACAGTAATGGTCTTGTTCGATGAGGGGACACCGGACCCATGAAAGGACTGGGCCTTTCAGCGGGTCGTTTGTTGCCTAGTTTGAGCTCTACCCTGAGCGGGAGAGATGTCCATCGCTTGAATCGTGTCCCGGAAGTATCGACAACACATCATTGTCACCATGGAGAAAAACGCACCTTTCAGATCTTCCACATTAGCCAGTCCCGCCATTTGCTGTCCTGAAGTTCCCTCATGGCATACTCAACGTGTTCGTTGAGGGCGGTTTTTCCATCAATGGAGTCAACATTTCGAAGCATTATATGATCCTCCTCCATCATGGCAAAGATCTTTTCGAGATTACCTCGGCTGTTTGAAGGAAGATGTCTCCTGTTAGCTTTCAACATCGGACTTGGTGATGGTCACCATCCAGCTCCGCACACTGTTCGAATCTTGGTTTGAATCTGCGACAAGACCAGACCAGAAGAATCCCTCGTCTACTCTTTTCACCATCTCGTCACTGCAAACTTTGAGCACCAAGATAGAATCACGAACGATTCCTCGTTGTGCCTGGTGATCGCCATTCTTCGGTCTATGCAGACCTGCCTTCTCTTTGCTTGGAATATTGGAGACTCTTTCCGGTCTAAAGATGCGGCAATGCACTTCGGCCAAACTCAGCATCACTCTGGTTTTGCACTGGATTTGGGCTACTTCTCCATCGAGGATAATATTACCCGAGCTAGCATCAGAAATGCAATGTTTGGAACGCTCAGCATCGACATCTCCACTGGCTTTTTTGTTACTTCAGGTAGTTGAGAACAACGATATATTTGCTGTCATGCTGCTGAATACGACTCTATTCCTCTTCCCGCGTATTTCTTTCCTTGAAACTTCCGGTATTTTGGTCTTCGTGTCGTCATATTCGACAACCCTCAGTCAAGACTGCTTTGATGGGCCGTGCCTGTGCTGACCTGACCCTAGTGGATGTGTTCACCGGAAAGCTTTGACTCCTGATACGCAGGCGTGGTCTCGCTGTGATCTTAATCAATCTGTCTCGGAGTCCAAATATCCGCGCTCTCGTATGGCTTGGTTACACAATAGCATTTCATATTGATGAAGCTCCGAGGAGCTCTCCCTATTCGCTAGCCTTGAGCCGTGCGCCTGTAGCGAAAGGAGCGGGCCCGGTTCTCCCTCCTATCCGATGAAGCCTCTCAAGTTAGTCCTGGTAAGAGTGGGTGTCGTATATGTACTGTGCAAGGGATACTTAGTATGCGTTGTCGTCGTCCCCTGGCGGTTATGCCGGATGTATCCAGATCCAGACTCGGAGCAACTAATGATCGATCATGAACCGGCCGCATTCATCATCTCGCTCACTTTCAACTCCTACAGGGGAGCGCCTTGCAACATTTGCTTTGATCTCGTCCTGCTAGGCATGTAGCTTGCTGCGTCTATACATGGCCTGTAGAGCCCAAGTCCAACTCAGAGCTGAGGAGGAGGGGAAAAACCGAGAATGGGTAATCTCAAGCACGGCTAATCATACGTTGAGGTTGTGTAGGCCCTTGTAAGCTTTCGGGGGAGGGAAGGGAGGAAATGGTAAGAACAACAGGGCCGGGTCAGTAGCCACTGCGGTATCTCATCTTCCTGACACCTTCACAAGGCCCCGTGATGTGGTGGTTCACACATACGCACCAATTTCAGGTGTGGCAGATGCGACTTTCTCGGTGTTTGACTTTTGGAGCATGAAAGAAGCTGTGCTCATGTCAGCCACAGAGAAACACTTGCCGAAGTAGAAAATGCTCTGCCAAACACCGAAAGTGGCGGCTCGCTGTGGGAGTGTCTCGTCGGGCAATGGGTTGTTGGCGATCGTGTGTTCTGGTGGAAAGTCAAGATAAGGCAGCCCCAACTCCTGATACGTTTCAGCCTTGGGCGCACGAACCCATCTCTGGCTCGAGTTAATAGGGCTTCTTGGGGAAGAAAACGAGTTGCGAGGCTTTGGTGGGCGACCAAGAAGAGAAGACGTGTGATCACGTACCTAGCGTCTACGCAAAGCATACCTCCTGTATGATTAGGGGCACCGAGACCGCGTCATGGGAGATCATGTCTGTGCCACAGCAGAGCACAGCCCGGCCGACCCTCTACTTGTGAGAACAGGCCCCATTTCTCCGAGCGATGTCTCTTGGACAGTGGGTAGCTTGTACGGATAGGTGGTAGAGTACAGTACCAAAGGTCAACTCAACCGATATCTGCGTTGCTGGATCCGAACTTCTTGCCTCTGTCGATCCGCCCACGTGCAATGGGACCGTCCATATCAGAGCAACGTATCAAGTGACAGAGTTGACATGCGTGACCGTTCCGTGCCTGTATGCGTGTTGAATGCAGAGGACACATTATCCACCCGGGAGACACCAGGCGCACGGCACGACGCGCAAGGCCAGAACCTGTCAAACATGGGGAAGTTGGGTCCATGCATATGGTACAGACGACCTACGATCTTTCCGTTGTGTCACAAGAAACACTCCACCCCTCTGCATCATGTCAAAGGCTCGTGTACCAGCTGCAAGATTTTGGAGAGGCCGGGTGTTTGTATTCAGTATGCATGTGTAGGTGTGGGTGTGTGGGTGTGAGAGCCACACAAGCATGCGATAGAGATCTACCCCGTGCTGCAATCTGGAATGATCTTCATCCCTGAGGCAATCCGAACCGCGGAGTGCTGTACGTAAATACAAATGTTTGATGCCCTGATCGACCTCGCATACATCTCCATTCAGATAGGCTTTCACTAACATTGGTTAGGAAAGCGGCACGATGTTCAAGGGTAGAGCGGGGAGGGACGGACCTTGTAGGGAGGAGGGGGGAGGGGGAGGGAGAATACACAGTATGGAGTACCATTCGGGAAAAAAATCACCCCCACCAGGGGTGAAGGTTTACTCGGGTACGCAGGAACAGAGGAGTACTAGTATACTCGTACAGTACTAGTCCTAAGCGAACCCTAATGCGGTTGATACCTACTCCGTACATTGCAAGGCATCTAAGGGAGAGGAACCGTGAAGAGACTCGGATAACAAAAGAGGCACGAAGCACTAGCGATCGAGGGCGAACTGCTTATGCAGGGGAAGTTCGGTTTGATTTCCAAGAACAGAAGGAGAGGGAGGGATAGAGAGGGAGGCGAGGAGAAACTAAGTAACCGAGGACAAGGGGAGGTGAGAAGAAGGAGAAGAATTGGCAGCATGGGAAATTTGAAGCGATTGAAGCGAAGCACATCATGACACGGGATGAGGTACACAGTGCCGAGCCCAATCACAAGTATCCTGGATGTACTTGGCAGCGGCAGCAGTAGTGGTACTACTATCTATGTACATAGTTCGTAGCTTCAGTGTCCAACTGCAACGGGCATTACAGTCTATCTTCCTATGTGAGGACTCCGAGTGTATCCATCTCCCATCGTAGCAGAGTCAGTTCTTAACGTTCACTCTTGATGCCCGGTTCTGGGGTTTGTCTGGTCTACTCTATGCCTATGTGCTCCGTACGAGGTACGTCGCACCCTGCCTTGGGTTGCACTAGGCATAGGGCGGGCTCGGGTCTGAAACTCAAAGACGAAAGCGAGAGGAAGACGCCGATGGTCAAGGATGCGAAAGTGATATCTTTCGGACCAGGTTCTGCAATTGGCATGAGAGCCATCGAAAAAGTAAAGAGGAGACAAACCACGCACGCTGAAGTGGCAGCCTTGATGACCTCCTGTTTGGACCAGGATATCTTTTTTCAGACCACTTCCAGACTGCAGTACGAGTAACTCTCGCCTTGAACTGCCCTCTTTCTCCCTCTGTTCCCTTGCTAGCTGCCGCCCGCGCCTGCTTCTCGTAACCGAGATCTGTCACTGAACGCCTCCCCGTTATCTCTCCCCGGCCGCTCCCTGCACGGAGTATTTCCTGGAGAACAGGGCGTTTCTTGCCCGCCTCAAGTACGAGTGCGGATACCTGTCCGCCACTGTCAAATGTTAGTGACACACACATATCCACCTTCGAGCGGTCTGCTCTTGCAAGCCTGTGCACTTGTCATAATTTCATCACGATCAGCCTCAAGCCTCAACCGCCTCGGTTGCATGCATGTCTCTCAGTCTCGAGCGTCTAGACTTTCCCTCCTTGGAAAAAGCCCGAGGGATTCCAGTTGATCACCCAAGCTCCCCCCTGCTTCGGGTTCGGTGAGTGATTGTGATCGGCGCAGGGGTTTAAAGAAGCTTTATTTCGACCTTACTCGTAAGGCCTCGTTTGTTAGTCCTTTTGCCCGCCCAAGCGTTAACGCTCTGTACATGACCGGTCCTCCCTGAGGGCTGCTCACGAGTTCCGAGTACGACTCATGCGAACGAGTAGTTTGTTCTTAACAGCTTGGAGGCAGTTCAACAGGGGTATCTGAAAAAACCGTTGATCTCTAATCTCGCTTCGAACCGTGCTCAGCATCACGAACGATACCTTTGTACTCACTGTCGGTCACTGCATAAGCTCGTTCTAACGCCACGAGTCACGACACTGGCTTGCGGTTTGGAATACGACTATGGCCTCCTATCTGCGAGGGACCTTGGCAAGAATCGCCATTCGAGTTGGTTTGCATTTGATCTTTTTTGAAAATCTTCCTCTTGGAAGGAGCAGTACTTGGTAGTCTCTCTGTCTCACTCTTTCCTTCCATAGTAATCTCTCAATCAAAACTCCCAGGACGAGGTGCAATGCTGTGGCAATGGACAATCTTCACTCACACGGTCCATGGTGCAAAAAGTATGATCTCTAAGGGGGCAAAGGGCAAAAAGAAGGTATTTCTCACATCCCGTCGACAAGGCCACTGTATATGAACCAACAACAAACTTTAGTGGGCATTCATAACAAATGATAGCCGACTCGGCCCCGCCGTTTTCATGGTGGGCCAAACAAAAAACATTAAGAAAAGCTCAAGTTGGGGTATGGTTCTGCGCTCTCTCCGCATAATCTTCGTAATGCTAGCAGCATGTCTGTTCCAACCCGACCTGTTGGGGATATGGGCAAGGAAAAAAACAATAAAATGGTGTGAAAATGGTGCTCCGTCCATGTCGACGTCGATAAAATAATATGACCCTCTCTCATTCTGCGAACGCCCTCAACGCCATGCCAGAAATAGTGACAAACACCTGGTTCGTAGCACGTCCGCTGGCCTGCGTTTCCAGATATCTCTTGGCCAAATCCCGCTCTGAAGAGAGTTCGCTGTGTCCAGCTGCACGGGAGCCTAACAACATGATGCTGTAAATGGTGTCTCGATTCTCTTGGCTGTCCAATAGTGGTCGGATTTGACTCAAGATAGCTGAAGGCACACCGTGTCCGTTGGGGTGTTGGTTTGCTGCCGCCGTTTCAACCAACTTCCAAAAGTCATCGGATCTCTTCATGGCTTGCTTTTCAAAGGCTCTCGTTTTCGGTTCGGGGTCGGCTTCATATTGATGCACGAAATCGGCAAGTGATGTTGTAGGACTGCTGAATGGTTGACCAGTCAGAAGTGCCCCCAACGCTCGGCATCTCCGTGCTAGCTTATCGGTTTCCTCTCCGCTTGAATCCTCAGGTCTCACACAGAGTTCAAGCAATGCCCAGGTCACCCGGGCTTCCTGACTTGCTAACGTGGCAATATCAGAATTGGACGTGTCTGTATGGTTACTAACCAATGTTAGATACGCGAGGACGTTTCCGAGTTGAACCCGATCGGCACATAATAGTTGGAAGCCTTCTTTTGCAAACCATTTAGAGGAACCAGACTCCAAGACTTTGTCGAGACCGGGGGCGAAGGCAATGTCATAGATCTTCCGGATAGACTCAAGATTGGGCACAGAATCAGGCGGAATAGGGGGAACAGTGGGAACTTTGGCGCCGGCAATAGTACATATGGACTCAATCGTCCGCCGGTCTGGACGCGAATCGAGGTCTGTCATTGCTATACTGTTCCGGGAGTTAGTGAGATGAGATGAGAGATTTGATATCGAAAGTGTACGTACGACGTCCAGTCGGAGGATACGGAAGTCCAGTCTGAGAAGGACCGTCCATGTGATATGGTTGGTTCAGGTGGGGCAACAGTTGCTCTGGTGGTCTGGGATAGGGATACTCTGTATGATCACGAGGCGAGCTGTTGACAATGCCTGAATTGTTGTGCGTCGAGATAGGAGGGCTGATGGGTGTGGTGGTAAATCTCCTTGATTGATTGTTGACGGCTGATGTTGTTGGTGTGTGGTTGGCGTGCGAGTTATTGGCTGAAGATGACGGTGCAGGGTGAATGGAATGGGGTCCTTGTGACTGGAAGACTGGGTCGTAACCTTGACACACACGTTTACTCTTCATACAATTCCTGCACTCGGGTCGACCTTCGTCACACTATTCAGTTGAGAAGATGAATCGTTAGTTTCGGCAGGCAGTAGGGGTTAAGAGACAAAAATAGAAGGAGCAAGGGGAGACGCAAGTGCACGCGAGGAAATTGGATCCCTCCGCCCCCGCCAACGAAGATAGCTAGCTAGAGACTCAGATAGTCAATGCGCAATCTCGTGGCGAGGAAAAGCCTCGTCAGGTCAGGGGATCGCTTGTACAAGTGTGTAGCGCTGATGTGCAGAGTTTGGCAATGTGGGAAGAAGATGAGCTCAGGGACGAGGAGTGTTTGAGGTTGCGATTGGATTTGTGTGTGCCAGGCGAAACTGTAAAGTCTGTGTGCGTGTGCGTGGGTGCGTGGGTGCGTGGGTGCGTCCGCGCCCAGCATGCGAGGATCGCCGGACGGAGCGAGGGCGGTGGGGGGAGGGGGGAAGGGGAGGTGGAAGGGCCAGGGCAAGGGAGAGGGAGAGGATAGGCTATGCGGGCACCGGGCACAAGAGGAGAGCCAACGTTGGCAAGCCCGAGGGCCGCGAGGCCCCCCAGGGTGGTCAAGTTTAGGCTCTTAGGCTCTTAGGCTCAAGGCACAGGCCACTAGCACTCCAAATTGGTTTGTGCGTGGTGAACTCCAGGTGCGCCACCATCACCACAAACGACCAAGTGGAGCACGTGTAATCCTGCCCCCAAGCCCCAGGCTCACACCCAAGCCCAACCTGCCAACTGCTCGGCCCGTTGGCTCATTTTGGGACGCGGGAATTGCAACCGTTGATAATGCACCAACGCTCGGACAAGGCTGCATCTGGAATAGAATACAATCATGGAAAAACAGTACTCACTTTGATACGTCTCTTCCGGCAAGTCAGGCACCCTGTCTTAGTCCGCCTTTTCACCTCCTTGGCCTTGTGCCGAGTCGGGGCGACAATGAGGTTGGGATCGGTTGTCGAGGGCAGTGGCATCCGCCCATGCATTGGTTGGTAAGGCGAGTGAATGCCCGAGGGGAGGCCTGGGTATATAGGTCGAGCCTGCATGTATTCGTGCCCTAGGGGAGGTGGAGGCGGGGGTGGTGCAGGTCGTACAGCATACGGATATGGTAGCGGTGGTAGCACACGTGGCGCCGCTGGTGGAGGTGGCGGTAGCGGTTGTATCACATCTGGCGATGACCTCTGTACTGTCTGCGCATGGAAATCAATGCTGCTGATGGGCGGTAGACTGATTGAGGCCGACATTGGTTGTAGTGACCCGGAGGTTGAATATGAATAATTCATCGACTCGTACACGGGTGACACCGCCGTCCCCAGCGAGTAGCCTTGAGGGTTGGGGGGATAAGGGCTGATGAACTCCAGTTCAGCTGCCAGCGATCCAACGCTGATGAACAATGGCCTTGCCGATTTGTGTGTGGTTGTTTTGCGAGGGCGTCTTCGTCACCTCTTTTTTGGAGCGCGGGTGAATTTGTTTTCTCCTCTAGACAAGCGAGAGTACACTCATTACTGAATCAGGGTGAAATGGTCAGCGTCAGGTATTCCTCGAACTCTTCGCACAACAACTGGAAAGTGTTGTCGGAGAAATGGGAGCAGGATGATGTACTCAGAACAGGGACGACGTGAGTGATCTCGTAGGAGGGTGCAGTGGGTAGCAAAGCAGGAATGAACAAGCAGCAAGATGCAGGTAAGTAGGCGACACAAAAGAACGATCCAAGGCGAGAAGGGATAAACCTGGCCTGGACTGGGATAGGGAGCGGATCTTGCCAGTACCGAGCGGAGGACAAGACTCCAGGCAATTCAAGAGTCAAGACTTCTATTGATTGCTAGCGTTGGTGAAGGCCTGCACCATAGTAACATGATGCTGCTCTATTGCAGCACAACAGAACAGGGCAGTCCAGTGGCATGGCTGGAAGGAGGATGAACGCAAGACAGGGCTCCTCTAGACTAGCGGTTGGATCCCCTTGATGGGTCGTCGCCCGTTCAGGCCCCGTGAAACAATTCACTGTCTGTTCTGGGTCTGTCCAGAGTCTGGAGGGAGGCGGACGGGGGGGTGAGGGAGCAGGAGGATACTCTTCTCTCAAGGCGACACGGACGCCCAAGTGCCGGAGCAAGAGGGAAGCAGTGAGTGCTGAGCAGGAATCAGACGTTGATGGGATGGCGAAATTGGAACGACACTCGCTTCGAGTCGCTTCGAGTCGCTCAGCCGCCCTAGACGACAAGCACAGTGAGAGAGCGAGGGTGCCGCTGCAACAAAGACCCCTCTGCCAAATCTTGAGAGCCAATGCGATAGCCCATCAGCAAAGGAATGGGGCCTAGAGGAGCCCATAGCCCGACATGTCCACCGGTGCTTTGCTACTCATCGTTGCTGGCGAAGTGCAACCCATCCCTGCTAGCAGTCCGTCCCTATCCATCCCCTGGTATCCCAGTCAAACGGGCGTCTCGCTTAGGGCATCTCCCGGCGCCAGACGACCTTAGGCTCGAGTCTAAGCAAAACGAGGTGCCTAAAGCGTCAAGGTGGCCTCGAAGAAAACCTTTGTCGTTAGCGTCCGCCGGCCAGCGCGCCCTCGCTCATACATACTGCTCTCCTTGGCTCCAGTCCCTAGCCTCCTAGCCTCCTTAGCCTCCTAGTGCTCCCACTCAGTCGACTTGCAGCGAGCGAGCTCTGTCTATCATGCATCGGAGAGCACTAGCTAGACACGGTAACATTGATTTCTATCACCGCACCAAATCATCCTCCTGATTTCGACATGGCTTCCTCTCCAATGCGGCAAGTGATTGAGAGCTGTGAAAAGCACCTTGTTGTTATGAGACCATGAGACCATGAGACCAGAGACAATGTGTCAGTGGAATTGAATTGGCGGAGTGCACTTTCCAGAAGGGACATGACACTGTAACTCGAACTGGGTGGAACTAGATTTAGTTGCCTTGGTGGCCCACCCCCCAGTCATGAATTCATCATCGCCATCACCCATGCTGACTGGGGCCCACCACAAGGGACAAATAAAAGCCGGTGGAAAGCTGAACTTGAAGCAAGAGATGACGGGGACGAAAAACACAATACTGGTAAGAGAACATGGAAGTAAACATACTAGTCCTGGAGAGTCCGTTGCAAACAATCCACCATTCCACCATTCCACCATTCCACCATGCATTCGCTCATTACTCGTAATTATCAACTGACTTCCGACATCCTTGCCTCTCAATAATGTTAACCCACCACTGCCCTCACCGTTCGGCAAGCTTGTTGAAACGTTGCCGGTCGATCTGATGTTTGGTTTGATGCCCCGTCTCGCTCGTCTCCGTTAGTGACTTGGTTGACTCGTGGAGTGGTGGATGTCTGATCTCTGAGACCTTCCCGTGCTCGATACCCACGTCCAAGAGCCCCAGGTCCAACGTCCAGGGGATCGGGACTGGTTCCCTCCAAGCGGTCACGATGCTGCTCGACCGTTGCCAAGCACCTCTAGAACCCTGCTAGTCAGTTTTCGAGAATTGGTGCACTTGGGGCCTCGTGCGAGGTCAGGTAGCTGGTCGTACCAGTACGAGGAGCTACTCGTAGGCGGTGGCCATTGCTGTCAGTCCACAACTCCACAGCCGCTCGCCACTCTCGACCAGATTGGCAACCGATCGCAGGGAACTGGGAAAGGAACCCCATCCATCAGCCATGGCCCATGACCGCCCATCAACCCACAGCCTACCGACAGCCTACGGGTACTCTGTACAGCCCACGGCCCATCCACACCTGCATCCCGCCAATCTGAATTTAGCTTTTGTGGCCCTTGATAACCAAGATGCTTTTCAATGTGACCATGTCAGCATCAGATCCTTTTCCCCAGTAATAACAGCAGTAATCCCAACTCAATTCCTGGTATTCCTCGTTCGTTTCCTGACGGAGTCCTCGACTCGTCCTAGGGTCAGGTTTGTACGGAGCAAGCCTGCCTGCCACGACTCCCTGTCTCCCTGTCTCCCTGTCTCCCTGTCCCCCCTCCCCCTCCCCGTTTTCGTGTTCCTGTCTCTTTTCGTGTGTCCGGCCCTCCGCACTCGGCTTTTGTTCAAACCTCGGTGGTACTTCTCTCGCACCGAACTGCCCCGCTAGGCAATTTCTGGAGAGTTTCGACAGTACAAGAGATTGGCGTGTGTGATGAGCTGTCGATTGTCGAAACGGTGGTTTGATCACCACCAACCCCGTTACGTTGTTACTGATTGAAACACTTTCTGAAAGATACCCCTCCCCAAGTCCCAATGTGCTGCCAGAGGACACTACACTGCGCCACGGTTGGTTCGATTCCGAGGCCTCCGTGCACCTGTTCCCAAATGACCGCCACAGAAACCGTTTGCTCCACCAAATCTGGTGCACGGACGCCCTGTGTTCCTTGCAAAGTACCCAATCTCAGCTCCCGACGCTTTGTTTTCGGTGTGTGTTTGGCCCCTTTGACCCTGTAGGCAGATCATCCTCATGGTGCAGGTGCTCGGTACAGTTTGACAAAGTATGTAATCGGCCACCCGCTACGCATGATCCTCCGCATCTGATCCGGTATCGAAACAGCATGCATTTGTCAACCATTTGTCCTTTCATCTGCTTTCGTGTTACATGAGCGCTACCCGTTAATACGGCAAATGCATGAAATTAACAACCTTGAGACGCCAGATGTAGACCTGGAGATTCTTCAGGGGCATGGGTGTCATGGTGTCCTTGTTGTGCTCAGATGGTGCCCTAGTGGCGCCTAACAGCCTGTCTGACCCTGGTCATCTTCTTGCAGAAAAAGTAGGGCTGTTTTCGAGAGCGATGAGTGTCATCGGAAGCTTGACTGACAAGAACTTACTGGGCTATTTCTGCATGCCAGGGATATATACGGATACCTGTTGGTCAATGCTGGACAATTCTCCGAACCACCCTACCGGGGTCGACCACTGGACAGGCAACCGAGCCCAATCGCCAGCCTGGAGCCTTTGCCTAAACAACAGCTTGCTCGCCTGCACCGCTTGTGTAACCCTAATGGCTAGGCGCATGAGCTGTCGCTCGCCCCTTCCCCTTCGAATATAACCGAAGGGTCTGAAATGACTCGAGTGTCCATCGGCATTTGCCATTGGGCGAATTGGTACCCTGTGGGTAACCTTTGCCCGGGTTCAAAGTCGCATCTTCGTAAGTGTCGGCTATTCCGCGTGCCTGTTGCTTTGAAACACCGCCAAGAGGCTCCCAGTGGCAGCCTAGCTCCAAAAGCGCGGGTGATCCTTTACATCCTTGAGTGCTCGATAGACATCTCGAACTGGTGCTAGTCAGTGTCTTCAATATCGGAATATTGGTCAAAAGTGTAGTGCTAGCTGATTCATTTTAAGGGTAGATGAACACGCGTACAAGGAGTGTTTCGTATGAATTCCAGGATTTTGCTGCTCGGAAAGTCACTTCTGAGTACCCTCGCATGTTGGGTGGTAGATGCGTACAGAGTATCATCTCCTGTTGCGTCGCGGCCGCGAAGTTGTAATCAAGGAAGATGCTGGCAGCCTAGTTAATAGAAGGTTTGTCTCCGTCATCCACGGGTACCTACCTGATAGCGGCTGCAACCCCGTATTCAGCTCGGAACGGCCAATGCTTCCTACACAGCATGCTGCAGAAGGTACTGGATCATGTCCACGTGGTCCACCACGTAGTGCAACCTCCTACTTGAGACCAACAATGACCAATGATGCTCCTAGGAAACCGTAGCAAGGTTCAGTCCATACCAAAATGCAATCTGTGTCTGATTGATGTTCCCTGATCGGTCATCTCGCTTATCTGGCTTTGTCGCTTCGTCTATGCCTCTCCGAATGGAAGCATCACTGTGAATGCTCGAAATACCTGTAAGTTGGCTCACGACACCTTGGCCTTCCGCCGCTTGAACACTGGCATTGGTAACTCTTCTGGAATGTTGTCCACAGCGGCCCCTCTTTGGGCACGACACAGCTCTTCTTTCCTGAGGACATCATCCTCGCTTTTGACCACTCTACAGGGCTGCCCTCCCTCCAGCTTGACAGGCGTTGAAGCCCGATCGCCCGCGGCAGCGAGAGGGGTGACCTTGATTTGATCAGCAGCCTCAACGTGACCCTCTGGTGATCTAGATGGTGGTGCTGTGGGTTTGTCTCTCTTCGCCGTCGAAATTGAACCAGACAACAAGCCGTCCAGATCTGCCTCGTCATACCCAGGGAATCGCCTGGTTGTGGCGCCCCATCTAGGCCTCGCGACTATTCCTTCTCTTTCTCCTGTCTCCTCCTCTTCTTCCTGGCCTTCCAGCTTCCGCTTCTTGACGCCAACGCTTAGGGGCTGTTCTCTTTGTTCCTCAATGACGGGCTGATTGGATATAACAGCCCAGTCACCAGCCATGGCCATCTCAGAGCGGACCTGTTCGGGGACTTTGATGCCTAAATCGGCAAGCTGTGCCCATTGTCTTTTCTGATCCGCTGCTGACTGAAAGACTGGAGCTGATATTCTGCTGGGCTGAGGGGCAGGCTGTGCGCCTGAACCGAGGGTGTTGGCAGGATCGGAGGATGATGAGCCAAAGGTGCCTTTCAGACGGTCAACCTCTGCCTTGGCCCGTTGTTTATCTCGCTCAGACCGTTCATGACCGTTCTGGATATCTCGGAGGAAGCGTTTGAGGTTGCTCTGATGCTTGGCGGTGCTTTCATGTTGCTTGCGCTCAAAAGGAGTGTCCTTCACATAAGTGCTACAATGTTTGCACCAATACTTAGGCTAGTCGAATGGTCAGTACATGTTAGGGAGGTAGAAGTCTGGGGTATGGTGATGTCCTGCTTACCGTTGATTTCCAGTACTCCGACATTGTTATTTGCAAGTCAAATGTGGGAATGAGGTAATACTGAGTGCGGCTGATGGGACTACCGGAAGTGTCCTATGACATAGGATAGTTTTCCCGGTTGCCCACGCGTAATCTTGGAGAGGCGGGAGAGGTGGTGGCGAAATGTTGGAGACTTGGTGCGGAAAGACCAAACACGAAATCGATCGAAGGCGCAGGCAACCCGCAGCAAATAGAAGGCACGGGGAGCGGGAGGCATGGCCGCGAGGGGTAGGGGAAGACGAGCGAATTTCGCCAAGTCGAGAAGGGCCGTGGCTGCCGAGAGAACAAAAAGACGCTGTGCGAAAAACTACCCATTGTTTCTGTCAGGCACAATGTTTCTGAGCACGACTGTAGTGTCGTGACACACAGGCGGTTAATCGGTGTTCAAATGACAAAATCACGTGCCCCTACATCTAGGCTAGATATCCCTAGCGAGAAGATACACCAATCATAAGCGACTCAAGAAGCAAGGACCCCGAGCTTGCCCGTTCCGCTTCTTCCCTGCGCGAAAAAGTTTGACGAAATCTCGTCTTCATCTTCCCTTTTACCCGTCGTTTTCACCCCAGGCCCCAATCATTGAATCGCTCTCCACGTTTATACCCATCAGATATACGTTCTTTTGTTCAGTGCTGAACTCATCAACTTTGTTCTATAGACTGACTTGACATAGTCACCACTTGAAGCCGCATCCGAGTCTTGCACAGGACAATAACCTTAAGAGAGGAGCTTCCTATTGGCACACCTTGTTCACGCGACATACACGTCCCCTTTACCTCCATCCTCGATTCAATTGTCATACTACAAGATGAAGATCTTCTCCTCGACCTACACCTTCGACTATTCGTGGGAGGAGGTGACTACAAATAACTGGCGGAAATATTGTCCGTGGAACGACAAAGCCTCACACGTGCTTGGCGTTGACACATTATCCCGGCATGTCGATGCTGCCACTGGCATCCTGCGTACCGAACGATTGATTACATGCAAGCAAAATGCGCCCCAGTGGGTTCTGACCATTCTCGGTGGCGAGACTACAAGTTATGTCTACGAGGTGTCTTACGTGGATCCCACAACCAAAAAGGTCACCATGGTTAGCACAAACATGACATGGTCCAATCTTCTGCAATGTCGAGAAACGGTGGTTTACCAGCCTTCGACGTCAGATGCTAATGGGAAGACCGAGTTCAAACAAGAAGCCAAGATAGTTGCCCTGTGTGGTGGGTGGCAAAAGATCCGGACCAAGATCGAAGAAGCCAGTGTAGAACGATTCCGGGAAAATGCAGCTCGAGGACGAGAAGGTTTTGAGATGGTCCTCGAAATGTCCAGGAGAGTGTTTGGCGAAGAACGTGAGAGGCTTCAACTTGGACAGGCGATTGTTATTTAAGTCGGACAATGTTCCGGCTGCGATTGAAGATTTGGTTTCGACCATACCACGATTAACGAGCATCACTTAGAGCGAGAGCATCGACTGGCGTATAATATTTATTACAGGCTGCGGAAAAAAGAAACGGGCCTCTTATCGGCTGCTTCGGACGTCGGAGATGATCCAAGCAAAAATTACTTATTTCTGGCTTCAGCAAGGCGTTCAGGATTGGGATCGGCTTGGGAAAACACGGGTTTTGCCGAAGACGTGACGATACCACATATACCACCTTACTATTTTATTAGAAGAATAGAGAAGGAGAAGAGCTAGAACCTCAGGGTACTATTGTGACATTACATAGGAAATCACTCCCATCGGCCAATGGAAATGTTTAAAACTAGCTACATACCTGATTCCTCGGTGTTTTGCACCTCGTACGTGATGTTGGATGCTAGGAATGTGAGCGGCAATCGGCACTTCAGTTGTGACAGCTCAATGTCTATTTCTGAGATCGTCTGTCGGCCACGGCGTCCGTCCAAGCTGTGATAGCTGAAGAATGGGGTACCTGTGCACCCGCATAGTTCCGAGTTGCGGTCTAAAGGGTTCGAGGTACCTGGGAGATGGAGATGCAAGGCTTACAGGACAAGGCTCTGGGAATTAAGCTGCCTGCGCAGACCTTCGGCTCTACACGTGAGTAACTCGTTAGATTAGCGGACAGAGTCGATCACTTCACTTGTTCATGAATACGAGGAAGCATGGAAGAAGGACCAGTGCAAGCCAACGGACGCATTCCACCCTCCTGCGGGAAATTTACCCGCGGGGCCACGACTGGTCAAGGCGGCTGCACAAGGACATGAACCCTTGTTCGGTTCTGGATATCCTTACTCCTGAGCATCCGGCACAAATCAGACACCCTTCCTCTCTCCAAGCGTAGGGTCCGTGGTTGCTTTGAGGAAGCGGTCGATCACCCTACGCCCTCCCTGGCATTAGCAGCCTCGCTTTGGGACTCCTCCTTGCAGCCAGACAGCCATACACCCATTCCCATCCCCCTTTCTCCAATCATCCTGCCCTTCTCTGCCACCTCGTACGGAGTACCTCTTCTGTTTTGCTGAATCGACTGCTCCGCAGACCGTATATCCTGTCTGCTATTGAATCATCCACTCCTTCCATCCCTTCTGTCGCAAGGCACAATATCATGGCCAACCACACCCTTCCACAGCCTTAATCAACGGTTCTTAACTGTGGCTGTCGCTTACACCAGAAACCTTTGAGCAAAGTCAAATTTCCTTGGGATCATCGTCTAGCCTAGTGCCACCGATTGGCCGCGTTCCCGTCCATCCATCCCATCCCCATCCCGGTCCCTCTCCTTGAATTCTTGTCCATGCACACCGTTTCACGCCTTCACTCTCTGCATGCGCTCGAGGCATGGAAGTCAACGGTGCAGCGCCTATTGACCACCTTTATACCTATACATTGCCTCCACTGTCTCTAGATCCAGCCATTCCTTCGCCGACCTTGGACTTCTCACGACCGTCGCATATGCGCTATCACTCCCGCGACAATTCCGAATCCGTCCAGGTCATTTCTTCTCTCATCGACTCATTGAGCGCACTCTCCGCCGAGGCCAGGCGTGAGCTGCGAGACGACTTTGAACTTGACCAGTATACAACTAATTCGCACCCTGCACGAAATCAGACTCCTCCCGTCTCCACCGAACCCCCCGGTGCAGATGATTTGGATCGCGACCTCCATGACCCCCCTTTAATCGATGACAGCAGTGACGGAGATGTCGCCGCAGCGCCCGTAATCCGCTACGCGAGAAGGCCTCCTGTGCTGTCCAAAAGGTCAAGCCGGTCCAGATTCTATTCTTTGAATACATCCCAGCCTGGTCTGGCTACTCGAGAGTCACAACAGAGCCTCCGTTCCCGTGCTGAATCTGAAAGCGTGGGGGTCCCCAGCATTGAAAGAAGACACGGGTCCAGTGCAAGTTCCACCTTCTCATTGATCAGCGGCTTCAGTGTTCCGCGAAGACACCCGACCAGTGAATCCATACGGGAGATGGCCACACGCCCAGTTGCTCCGAAGCAGATCTCCTCGGACAGGCGGCGAAGAACCGAATCCCTGTACAGTGTTGACCAAGACAAGGAAATCCGCCATTCTGCTCGATCTTCATCCATTGACGGCCACTCTGCCACGGGAATGCAAGCTAGTGATAACTACGCGCCGGAAAGTCCATCCACGGGTGCGCTAAGTCGTCTGAGTAGGGGCGATCTTGGAAACCATATGATTCCTTCTCGTCGTTCATCCTTAAGACGAAGTGTGTCTGGACTACCCGAGAATTCTCTGGAAAATTACAGATACTCCTTGCCTACAAACAAGCTCAAGGAACTCAATATCGATACAGATCTTCTTGAGAGTGAAGATTCCACAGTGCGAAGGATCCGAGAGCTTCAAGAAGCACGGGAAAAGCGCCAGAAAGAATGGCGAAATGAGGCACGAAAATCCGAGAGGGCAGCTAAGAGACACACCATTGCAACGGCCAAGGTGTCAAGGCGGTCTAGCCCTTATCCGAATTCGAGGCTGTCTGTAACTGAGGTCGTAGTCGAGACCCCAGAGGGAGAAAGTCCGCTCGAAATGTCTGCTTGTGTTACAGCTGCAGACCTAGCAATGATGCCGGTCATAGTCAATGATCCTCAAACCCCCTTGTCCGCAGTGGCGCCATCGCACACCTTCCCCAACAGCGCAGTTCCATCCCGGACAAATAGCATTTACGGTTCCAATAAAAGCCCGGCGGCACATCTCAAGCGCAACTCGACGACCAACTCGATCAAACAAGATTCGAGCTTGTTCGAACTCAAGACTATATCTGATGAGGTTGATGCGTTTCTGGGGGCACCGCGGCTTACGCAGAGGATTCGGCATCCCCGGACTGGCCGAACCATTGCATTTTCAGAGGTCGGAGATCCGAATGGATTTGTTGTTTTGTGTTGTGTTGGCATGGGGCTGACTCGATATCTGACCGCCTTCTACGACGAACTAGCACGGACTCTTCGACTACGGCTAATTACACCAGATAGACCTGGTGTTGGAGAAAGCTCATCCGTGCCGGAGGCATCCTGCACACCTTTGAATTGGGTGGACGACGTGGCGGTGATTTGCAGCCAGTTAGAGATTACTCGATTTTCGCTTCTTGCCCACTCTGCCGGAGCGATATATGCTCTGGCCACGGCTCTAAAGATGCCCCAGTACGTCCGTGGGCGAATTCATCTGCTTGCGCCTTGGATACCTCCATCACAAATGCCTAAGGGAGCGGCTTTAGGGCCTGACTCTCAACCAATCGCAAACCTCCCTTTGTCCCACAAGATTTTGAGCGTGCTCCCGGCACAAATCCTTCGGGTTGCCAATTCCCGTTTCTTGACAGCAACCAGTGCCTCTGTCGATGCAAAACCTCTGAAGAAGAAGAACAAAAATCTCGAAACCTTCGATACTTCCATGGACTATTCGTTCCAGGATTTGAACGAGGACAGCCTTTTTGAGAATACTATGGCCGACATCGACAAGGAAAATATCCCAACGGGAAGTGCGGGCAGATCCCGAGGGATGTCGTGTTATCAAGCCAACACTGAGGCTCTGAAGCAACAATCAAATGGAATCAAACTACCAGGCACTGACTCAAGGCGTCAAACACAATACTCGGTCAAATCAGCGATGCCAGCATCGCGGCCAGTGTCTCCTCGATTGACAGTGGAGGCCCGACACGCACTATACAATAAAACGCTTACGCACCGAATCTGGGCACTGGCTACACAGAATGCCAACCCGGCAACTGACTTGGTGGTCTGTTTGGAACGGCGTAAAACCATAGGGTTTCGATACCCTGAGGTTACTCGTTCCGTGGTAATCCATCATGGGGCAAAAGATACTCGAGTGCCGCTCGACAACGTGCGGTGGCTGCACAGCGTGATGAAACGTTGTGAGCTGAGAGTGTTGGACAATGAGGGACATGGACTGATGGCGTCCGCATCGGCCATGTCAGCCGTTCTTGGCGAGATCGCCAAAGAATGGGAGGAGTGGGAGAAGATAGCATTGGGAAAGGAGAAGAGAAAGAAGGAAGATGTAGGCTCGACACATTCAAGGGGAAGGTGATGTTGAGCCCGCTGCTAGCGTGTTGATAAAACGATCTTGGTTGGTAGCCATCGTCCGGCACGAATTGAGCGAACTTATACTAATCGAATATGGATGTGAGGGAAACGGATCCCCGTGTATACAAGGAAACAGTAATAATTGAGAGGCATGAAAACCGGCGTGCGTGACTGAAGATCATGACCTTGATCTCCTGCTCGTGATATCGCCCTCAACGTCTCCTGGGCGCGACCCTCGACCCTGTTCACCGTAGGCACTGAAGGCGCTCAAGCGCTTCTTAGGCTGCGGCAGTAAGTGAAGCCCAAGAGAGTCCCGGACATCGTCCCCTGCTGCCTCTCGTTGCCCTTATTGGCCTTGACCTTTCTCCGATTTTCTGTTCCCCTCCCAGTTCCGCTTTTTGCTTTCATCTTGCATTCTGGTTCCAACCTCAAGTCTCGTCACCCCACTCCATGCCTTTTCTTCGGATCCATGATAGAACATAATTTCACTGCAACAGTTCTTATCTTTTGTTCACGCTTCCTCTCACTTCCTACAACCTCTGATCGAGCCACGGCTGTAGCTGAATCGCGACACTCGAACATATAGGCCCTCAATCTCACCGTGCCCTTCATGAGCGAAATCACGGATGCATGGGAGGACGAATGGTCCAATGTTGCTGATGTATGTGGGATGAACGCACCGTCTTCGCCCCAGCTCCTCCTGATGTCCATGTGTCTCACGCGTTCTACCAAACAGAAAAGGCCGCCGTCCCAGGCTCCCGAATCGAAAAAACCGTCCTCAAAAGTCTCGAAGGCCCAGAAACGGGCCCAACAGGCTGAGTTTAACCGACAACTATGGGCTGAAGCGTATGTTGCATAAGCTCGCTGGATCATATCTGAAAATTTCCACTGACGTCTTGATTCAGCGAAGGCCCGAAGCAGACAAACTATTTCCTCGAATCTCGAAACGTGGTGCCCCTTCGCTCAGAATTCAAGCCCCCACCTGTACTTCTCTCCAGAAAAGGACCTGTCATCCAGACACGCAGACCAGCTCCAATTGGAGTAGAGGCTCTAAGCCTCAACGAGTCCACATCCTCGCGCAACAACGAGGACTCGTCCGAGGATGAAGAGGATCACAAAGCCAAAGAACTTAGCCTCGCTGAGCGCCAGGCCCAAGCGGTAAAAGACCGTGAGGAGAAGCAGCGGAAATACGAAGAACGGAGGCAAGAATTGTTCGGAACGACTTCTAGCAGCGGAAATACCTCGCAGCAACACTTGAACAACGCCAATACTAGATCTGGGACATCCACGCCGTCCAGCTTGACCCCACCCGGCTCACGCTCGGCGACTCCAAATCGTGGCGGAAGGGGCAAAGGAGGCAGGGGCGGTCGCGTTCCTGGAGGTCCCGGATCCAACACGTCTACAAGAAATCAGTCACGAGGATCCCAGCATCGAGAATTGTATGACCCATCCCATACTCCAAAACCAAACCGAGAAGAGTCGCAACATGCTCGTACCCCCGACATCCACCCGATTCGCACGCCTCGAGGGCCAAATGGCAGCGGTAGAGGAGGATTCGGTTTCTCGAGTTCCCGTGCCGGCCATGTCTCATATGGACATCAAGCACATACCTCAGCTACCGCCTTTACGACAAGTTTTAACACCACAGTTTAACCACCTGCGGTGCTGTATGCATTACGGCAATACACAAAGTCTGGAGGAAGCACCAATCCACGCGAGATCATGCCAAGTATAAGCTCCATCAAGTCAAGATCATACGCCTTTCTTAGCGACAACGGTAGGCTATGACAACAGACAGATGCAAGACTAGCCGCCTCAATATCCCCAGCTCCCGGAGCACATCCTGCCGGCTCCCGTTTGCCAACTCGCCTGGCACGGAATTTCTCTCTGGCAGACTCTCTTCGGGCACATAACACAAGATGGACGCCGCAATGCAATTTAGCTCTTTCGCTCGCCACCGAATCCTAATGGCATGTGCACTAGCATGTGCACCTGAAGTCTCGACTCCGGACAGCCCACCTCCTTCGGGAAAACCCACTCTTGCACAGCCCCCAACGCAGTGCAGACACTGACGATGAGGGTATCACAAACAGCACCACCTCGTCCACTCGCCCTCACATATCAAAAGGGCTTAAGAATCAGCTGAAATGCATAGCGAAAACCACCGCTGGGACCGAAACATTGTTCTTGGAAGCCGAGTCCGGCTCCAGCTAGAGCTTTTTATTCATTTTCATCGCGGAACCAAAAGCTGAAGCCATAACAGCCTAGAGACTCATTGAAATTAAAGTGAGCGAGTCCACGGGGACTAGTCAACTTCATTACATGCATTTACCGACCATCGACCAACCGACGACTTAGCCAGATGGTGGCAGCACAGCCGCAGCAAAGAAAGAAGAATACTTTGCCGAGGACGTCCCATTCAACACTGCCATTCACATTGCTTATTGCTTAGTGCTGAATGCTCATTGCCACGATATGATATCCTCGATCCAGCGATCTGATTTGATTACATCCTTTGAATCCATAACACAGAGAGAGAGAGAGTCAGTACATACATATTTTACCTCCCAGTCCCGGGGTCTCAGGTCGATTGAAGTTCTTCCTAGTATTTGCTGTGAAGATTCAAGTACGGACCCCCGGCATAGTAGAACCCGAATTTTTGAGGGTTTGAAATATTCGTGGCACGACATCACATGTAGAGAACAGAGAGGCCGGTCAATTCAGTTTCATGTTGCCCGGTTCCTTCATTGTTTGGTTGCCCATGTTCAAACATCAACATGGAGACTTTCGCGTCTGCTCAAGATCATAATCACGGTCGCGATCAGCCAAGAATCAGATAGACGCATCTTCAACTTTTTAGCACGTCCAGGGAGTTAGCTGATCAGGCACTCGTCATACCGTTGACGACATCATCCTCCTGGAGACCAAGATGGCCCCAAACATCACCACCGAGGCCGAATCCCTCTTGGGCGACGATCCGCTTAGCATATGCAATCTCCACAATCGTCTTCTTGTTGGCCGCTACTACGCTTGCACCGTCGGCATTATTCCCCGTGCCGCGCAGACTATCCCAGCCATCCTCGCCAACACCACGATAGACACCATGGTATGAGTTCTCGTCGCTGACCGTGCGACGTACACGTTCATCGCTCTCAATCGCATCTACCCACTGACGCCAGCGGGTACCGATCTCCGGGCGCGGGAAATTGCGGTAGTAGCTGAGCACGCGCGACAGGCGGATGATCCACGGCGCAAAGACCACATCGACGTACCCAATTTCGCTTCCAAGGAAATATGGGCCTGTTGCGTGGCTTGCGTTGACAAGTGCAGTGATGTTTTTCTGCAGCGTCGAAACCAACATCGTGTGCTGCTCGGTGTTGGATCTATTCTGGGATTCGAGTTCATCGTCGACACCGTCCAGTTGACTCTGTGGGCTGGGAGGCGGGGTGAGCAGTAAGGAATAGAAACTTGGCAGAATTTTGCGGTTGATGTGGTCGGTCCACAGCCTACAGTGGGCGCGCAGTTGTGGGTTCCCTAGAGGGAGCAAATTATGACCCATAGCCAGGTCCTCGAGGTACTCCATGATAACACCACTTTCCCAGACACCCCAATTGCCATGACGGATGCAGGGTATGCTTGCTCCAGGGTTAACCTCAAGCATATCGGGAGGATTGTAGTTTTCCAGATGGGGCGGCATAACTTCCACCATTTGGTAGGGGATACCCTTGATCTCGAGGGCGATCCAGACTCGCTGAGCGAACGGACAAAAGCTATTGGCGAAGAACGTGATCTTCGACGATGCAGGGCTTGCGTGTGAACGCGCTGTGAAGAATGCCATCCCGCTGGCGCGGAAGGTCGGGGATTGCGACTCGCCAGATCTTGGAGGGTTGGCAGTCGGGTTTGTAGTGGTGCTGCCGGTAGTGGGCGGTGCGGTAGGTGTGATTTTCTACAATCGATGCGGGTTAGCTTCACCGAAGCGGAAGAGGTAGAGGAATGTTGTAGTGTTTTCTCAAACAAGATCGATCGCAACTTGTGGCTTGCAGTCGGCATAAATGGCCAAAAGAGAAGCTCGCAATGTAGACAAAATGATATTAGAAGAGGGAACTCACACTTAACCGCTTCCTCTCCTTCTCCTCCTTCAATAACCATCTTTGCACGGTGTTTTTCTTGATTCGGTCACTCTCCTCGAGGGTATGCTTGTGATCCAAGTCCATAGCGAGACTAGGACCCAACATGGTCGAATCTCCTTCCTCATCCATGGCGCTCTCATTCACATCACCACTACCCAGTCCCTCTGATCGCTTTAACTCGCTGACCGCACCACCACCTGGATTTCCACGGACGCGCTGGATCGTGAACCATCGCTTTCCCTCGGCACCGGGATGACCCTTCGGGTAACGAGGAGGCAGTTCCAGCAAACCGTAGCTTTGGTCGCTGACCGGGTTGGTCGGATTGTTACTGCCATCTTCTTGAATGATGGTCAATTCGCTCTCATCGCCGATACCACTGTTCTGTAACGAGGAGAGGGCGGCACCTGCCTCACCTAGGAGCTCGGGGTTGATATTTCCGTTGTACAGCGATGGCATCTCACTGGGGCTAGCTTGCACCAATCCTTGCTTCCGTGCCTCCTCGACTGAACAGTACTCCGTAACTTTGATCTTTACATCACATAGATCCCGTTCGCGGGCCTGGCGCTTGCGCTTCTTCTTGTTTGGGTCGTCGCTCTTGGGTGTACCACTAGGACGGCCTTTGAGTCGACAGTCCCAGTAATGCGACACGAAGGGCTTGCGCTTATATTTTTGGGTCGAGCGATGGGAGTAGACATTGTCAACGTGTGGAAAATAGGTTAAGTATTCTTCTTCAGATAAAACGAGAGTATCGGTGACGTTGAAGAGTTTCTCACGCCATTCTTGTAGATTGGGCGGGTTGGTCATGAGGGGGAATGTATCACTGAACGGATTGGCGGCGACAGCGACTTCCTCGTCGCCGAGGTTGTTGCCCGCACTGCCTGGGGTGTTGTGTCGTTCATGATGGCGTGCAGACCACGGGTCGGAGTGGATCAGACCCTGAGGCGTAGTGTAGACTGAAGTCTGCTTGGATGCTTGACGAGGAGTGCCATTGGGAAAAGTCGAGGTAGAGTTCTTCCAGACTAGACTGCTTCCTGTAGAGCTTAGGTTGTTGTAGAGAGATTGGGACGCACTTGGCTGGGTAAGGAGATTCGCAGCAGCCTGTGTGATTGAGTAATCTTCCGGCTGAGGGTTTGAAGCTGTTGTTGCGACGCTCGCGGTCCTCGATGGTGTTGCTGCAGGCTGTTGTGTATGAGATTGCGACGCGCGTCTCTGAACCTTCCGAGTCGACTGTGGACTTCGACTGGTGGAAGGAGTTCCATCAGGGTTCTTAGACGTGATACTTTGACTTCTTCTTTGAGCAGGGCTGTTGCCATTCTGCAGGGTCAATGAGGAATCGGTTGGGTCAGCGTAGGCTGATACCGCTGGGGCTGACTGGCTGTTTTGCGTAGAAGCAGCATGAGAATCGTTGGGAGTAGCGAATTGGATGGGCTGAACAGGCACAGCGAAGTTTGGTAGAGAGTCTGGGTCCATCTTCTTGGGCTGGTACGCCGTATCTTCGATATCCCGATGATATGCAGGAAACGGGGATGGCCTTGCTGGTGGATCGTAGAATGGGTTGCTGCTTTTCGAAGGTGAAAGGGAGTTTGAGGTGGAAAAGAGGGAATTGCGAGAAAAGCCACGAAAAGCGGCAAGGCACGGAAGATTTGCCACGTGACTAGGTTAGTAATATCACGTAACTGCGAAGACATCTGCGTTTCCGACAACGGACACCTTCCTACTAACTTCACTTAACACTACTGATATCTTATATTCATCGAAACTGCACGATGCCGCGTGTCTATAAGGTAAGACTGAGCTCAGTGAGGATAGAGGTGAGATAATTGTGAGTGATGACATTCAATATGATGGCGTGTACCAACGACTCGACTCTCGCTTTGGAGTGGCTCCCCAGCCTTACTGTACACACCGCAGGGCGCGCAGTGAAGAAGCAGAACCAAAATTTCAAGCCACTCATGTCAATGTTATAACTTCATTGTAGGAGACAAAATAGCCTGCATCTACAGGATTCGAATCCCGACCATCCGTCGAAAGTCCAAAAAAAGATTGGCATCTGTGGTAATACCTCAGTCCTGACGTAGTAGAAACGACTCCGCAGATCCCTCTGAAACGTCTCCTATAGATGGGCTGTCCAGAATGTAATAGTATGGTTCCATTTGTGGGCTTTCAATTACCACCTTCCCATCCAGGAGGAGGTCCCTCCGCCGACAAGCACCCCAAAGTCAGGGTCTTTCTACACGGTTGCGCTACTCAGTTTGAGATGATACAGATTGGGATTACTTCTGGGGGAGTAGATTATATGGTACTTCCTTTAAGTACGTCACATGGACCGTTTTCCTTCACTGCTTACTGCCTGGGGGTTGTTTGACTGGACAAAGGTCACCCTGACCTCGTCACTACACGACACGCTGTTTGAGAATTCTTCACCAAGAAAGAGGGTGCCATATCACTTTCTCAAGATGGCCTTCGGTTATACATACTTGCGACACTTTTGCATTCGTTTGCGTGTGTCTGTTTGCTATCCACTTTCCTTATACCCGAGCCACTTCAAGAGCATTATCAGAACATTCATCCTTCAATGGGCCTCAACTCCTTTGCCCGCGTGGTAGTGTTACTTTTGCTTCTTCTCTCGCATACCCCTATTTGTCATGCTCTCTGGCCGGAATTCCTGGATCCTGCGGCAGAGGCATCCCAACTCTTTGACGCTGTCAAAGATGCAGTGCAGATCGCCAGAGTCGTGGCAGCAACATTTAATGATTGTGATACGACCTACAACCGCTACTTTCGACAACGAGATTCCCAACTTGTGAGGCACTTCTTCCAGAGAATAACCGATATCCCTCTCGACACAGCCATCAATGCGGATAGCCTCGAAGAGGTATTCAATAAACCAATCAAAGATGGCCTTCGTGAAAAGTACGCCAAATTATCGATCTCATACGGACCCCATCCCAATCGACCGGATCAGTCGGATCCAGATCCGTGTACGTCGCATCGGAGGTTCGCACAGATGGAGAACGGGCGATCTGAGAACGGCATGATCACGGTTTGCGAAAGAACATTTCGCTTGCCACTGTCATCAGAGATCGAGAATTCACCTGCTGGGGCAAGGACGCGCGGGGCAATCCTCGATCATGGGTTTAGCTGCGACGGTCTCGGCTACAATGACTCTGGCTGGATGAAGACCATGGGCTCAACCCTGCTTCACGAGCTTATGCATTGGTCTTATCCATTTGACGACCTTTCTGATTTCCACTACGATATTGAAGAGAGCGACCTCGGCTACACACAGATCACCGACTTCGTAAACGTCAATCCGCAGCCTGACTGGCCACCCAAGGGATATGGACCGTATTATTCAGCGATGCTTAGAGACCTGGAAAACGATGGGATGAGCTCCAAGACACTTCAAAATGTGGATAATTGCGTCTACTATGCTGTCTCGAAGTATTGCTCCTTCACATACAAGAAAACTTTCGGGCCTGCGACCAGTCAAAACGACACTGTCCGATATAGGGGGAGACCTTCGAGACCGGGGCGGAGCGCGTGGGAACCGCGTGATGTGTCAGTCGACGAAGATGTTCCACCTCAAGTGAATGAGGCTTCTGCACAGACCCGACAGGAGACGCGATCCTGACTGGGGGGCTTTTTATTAACCATCGAGAAACCTGGTGCTCTTCGTCACAGAAATCCACGATAGATGTGGTCACTGGTTACTCCCCTGACGCCATCGGCCCTTCATACGAACACGAGTTACAGGAGCTCTATGTAGTCTGCGAGGCTTCAGGCAACGCGGTGCCCGTCGCCCTCCCCTGCTCATGCAGCGTGCGAAGTTCATTACCTACTGATTTGGATCAGAGTATCTTACCAAAGCCTCTAAATCATTCTGGCTGAAATAATGCTCCCTTTCAAACAAGTGTCATTCGCGTAATTCCCGATCCTCACCCCCAAGACTCCAAGACAATCCAAGGATAAGGCAAGACAGCTCTTCCATCTCACTACCATGACGCCGTCCCCTCTGCAAATCCCCCTTCCCTAAACGCTCGCCGTCACCCCATCACCCCATCTTCCGATCCTTCTTCTTATCATACGCGCTGGTATTCTTGAACGGGAATCCTGTCGTGCGTTTATCGGCGCCGGTGCGCTTCGAGGTACGTCCAGCGCCCGTCCCGAAGACCATGCACCACTACAGCAATACTGTGATTTAGCAAACAACGTAACGCAACACAGCCCTTCCATATTGAGCACATGTAGAGGTACAAAACTCACCATGCCCATACAAGCCAGAGCACCATACCCGGCAGAGCCCAACAGAAACCCCGTCTGGGAGACATTGACGTAGCGCATGTAGCAGTAGATCGCCGTCAAGAGGTGGAACAGCATGGTGACGCGAAGGATGGGCACTGCATAGGATGCCTTTGGGTCGGTGCTGTCGTCGAGGCTGGCGATGGGTGCGGCGATGCTCGACGACAAGGGGATCGTGCCCGTGAAGAACAGCACGATCACCCCGAGCACGCTCAGCGAGAGGCCCAGGGAGCGGGAGAGGTAGACCTCGATGTCTGGAATTTTCAGCCGGTCAGTCAGTTCTGGGCAGGTTATTTGCTTTTGCTTTTGCTTTGATATTTGACAATGCATGGAAGCTGTCGCAAACGGCAGGGCCAGGAAGTGTATAGGTTGAAAGACACTTAGACTGCTCTGCGTCCCAGTATCTGCGCCGCATTTTGCGCCCCCAATACCCTACTCCTCTATCAACGATGTGCATTTCTTACGGATATGGTTCGGTTCGCCCAACAACGATAGAAAAGCGGAGGGAGGAAAAAAACACATCATTACAAACGAGGGGCGGGCCATACCAGTTGATCCATGGCCCTCCTTCGCCAACAAGACAATCACCAATTTAGGGCACGTTAGCAGGGGCAGGGCCTGGATCCCAAGCCATGCTCCTGTGCTGTAAGTGTAGGCAGAGAAGACCTTGTTCGGCGGGTAGAAGAAACATGTCAGTGCTTGGTCTGCTGTCGCCACATCTTAGATAGGCAGATTAGATCTACAACTTACATCCATGTTGGGCGGAATTGGTCAGTTACAGAAGGGAAGGATGGTACCCAGTTGGTAAGATCAGCAGCCGGCCGTGAGTATGAGCAAGGTCGATGACACACGGAGGCTTCGCTATTGCTGCGAGGGGAGACCAAGGACGAGGCTCGTAGTGTTGTGCGAGTGATTGGGCTTGGGGACGTTTGGAGGGTGACGTCATCGCTCGACCATGCCCAATGTGTTCTCCTTCTAGTGTGGAGTCCAGGTTCTACGAGTACGACGAACTTGAACTGAAGACCATAGCGACCAACTCGCAATATAAAGGCGGAATTTCCTAGTATCATGCTAGCATGGTGGGAGAGGTAAAAGAATGCCCATCACCAACAGCACCTCGTCATAGACCAACGCCCAACTCATCGCGAGTTTTAGATGTGCTCAAACGCCTTTTGGGATGCTCTTGTCTTGCACTGTATCACCATCTTATCATCCAGCTCCCTTGCAGCACGAATCACAAATCGTGAACCAACGTGTCCTGACGATATTCCTTTTCAGATGCACCCACTCTTCTGGAAACACGTGGACACATGCATTCATTATCATTTTTCTATACTCCAGAATTTCATATTGTCGTAAAGTTTGGCACAGCATTGAGTTGCGCACGACCACGGTCTTTCTCTATTTTATGAGTTCTGGAATGCATTAAATGCCTTATAGGTGTATCCAATGAACGGCAAGCTCATTTCAGCATCTTGCTCTGGTAGCACTTGTTTAGCGTGAGCTCGGTGCATGGCGCTGTTGTCTTCTTGTGGGATCTCGTCAATTGGGAAGTAGCTGACGTCGATATTGGATGACAACTTAGGCTCAAAGGGTGCGCGAATCTTTCTCAGCTGATCCCACACCACGCCACGGAAGAAAGGGTGTTTCTTGATACTTGAAGCACCATCGTGCGCACCGCCTTCCTTACCAAGTCGGTCCGCTGCGTCGCACAAGAAGCTATCCAGGTTAGTCCCTACTCCTCAATGATAAATGCTTTGCTCACCTTCGAATCATGTCTTCGGCATCCCTTCCCAGCACGAGTTCGTCAGGGAAGTACAACGACTCGCGCCAGTTCACAATCTTTCGATAAGTATCGTGCGTATCTTCGGCACAGAACGGGGGCCAGCCAACGAGACATTCGAACATGATTGCTCCAACTGACCACCAATCGCACAAATAGGTATAGCCCTGACCCAGGAAGATCTCAGGCGCGATATAGTCTGGAGTTCCTACAGTGGAATAGGCCATGTGGCGCCTTGACTTTCGCCATGTGTTGACCAATCCACGATTGCTGACAGTAAGATTGATCTGTTCGTTGAGTGCCATTGAGTTTCGATTTCCGGACTTGTCATTCGCATTTGATTTGAGAAGGGCCTGGTAGTAGGAGTTCTCATGTTGTTTGCGGCCGCCAGTTGATAGGCCAAAGTCAGTCAACTTGATGTGACCACCTCGATCCAACAGAATATTATCTGGCTTGATATCACTGGACGGGGTCAGTCGGGTTAGTCATCAATGCTTGAAGAGATCATGGAAAAGCCTTACCGATGCAAGAAACCCAACTTGTGCACGGCCTCGATTGCCATGACGATTTCAGCCATATAAAAGCGCGTGATATCTTCCGAGAAGATTTCATATTTGATCAACATAGTCATCAAATCGCCGCCAGGCAAGAACTCCATCAACATGTAGAGGAAAGCCGCGTCCTGGAACGAAGCATGCAACTTAACCAGCCATGGGTTGTCCTTGGAGTCTGCAAGAATATCTCGCTCAGCACGAACATGGGCCAACTGGTCCTTCTTGAACATTTCTGATTTGATCAGCGACTTCAGTGCGTAGATTTTGCCATCTGATTTGCGTTGCACAAGCTTGACTTCTCCGAAAGCTCCTTTGCCAATGACTTTGATGGTGGTGAAATTCTGGGGACTTTCCTTTGTTCGGATGAACCGCAAGAAACGAGCTTCCTTCTGGGCGAGGGTATCGATATCCTTCTGTTTTTGGAGGTCGGAGATATTGGGGTCCTTGAGTATCGCATCAAGCTCTTTTGCACGACTGTTCCGATCCCTGGCTCGCTCAATGTTTTCTTGGAAAAAACTGTTGACCAGTTGTTTTGCTGCAGTTCCACGCTTCAGGATGTTGTCCGAATACTTTCGCGGGTTTGGTTGCTCCTCCTCCTCCGTCTTTGGGGCAGCCCTGGGCATTGGAGGTGCCAAATGGCTTTGATAGGGATTCTGGGTTTGTCTGGCCTCACCAGCGGTCCGTGGTCGGGCATTGGCAGGAGAAGGGGTCCGGTTGACATTGGCCCTTGGGGTCGCACTCAAATCTTGATTGGAGAACTGTTGAATCAACCCACTTGTGCCATCGTTATTATTGTTGACCATGTATGGCCTGGAATTCGCTTGATAGGCAGGTTGAGGTGATTGAAGACTGGCCTGCTGCTGCTGCTGCTGCTGCTGCTGATATTGGTATTGCTGCTGCTGATATTGTTGGTGCGGGTGCTGCTGCTGTTGTTGCGGGGGCTGTTGAGGGTACTGTTGATTCATAAAATATCCATTGTTGGTTGCAGGGTTGGGAGATAACATGCTTCCTCCCATGTAATCTTGCTGTTGAGCACCGTAGATGGGTTGGGGAAATGTCGAGGGGGTTGTAGGATACATGCGTGCATTGGCAGCATCAAAGTTGTGTTGATTGTCAAACTGAAAGTTCAGACGCAGTCGATTGGTGTCGTGGTCCATAATGGTGGATGGTGGACCGTATGGTTGGGCTGCGAAGGGTGTGGGTTGATTGTTCACCGCCTGCGGACACCAATCGATCTAGGTGTTGAGGGCTACTTTTTGAGTCAGAAAGGGTCTTGACAAGTCTGAGATGCGTAGAAACCAGCGCGTCTGTACCTGGATGAGAAGAGCCTTGAGATCGACAGGTGTCGGTAACCCAACTCCTTGTGTCAGTTGTCGAGGGGGTTGTTAAGGGTGCGGAAGACTTTTGTGGGGCGTTCGACCTGGAGGAAGATAGCGACGAAGGTGAGGATAAGAGGCAGGGTAAGGCAGGGAGAGGCAGGGAGAGGACGAGGGCGATGATGAGTAAAGGAGCAAGCGGACCAGACCAGGAAGAATGTTGGCAGAAGGGAAGCAGGAGCAAGTGTTTTGTTTTAGGGATGGGGACAGGACGACGACGAGGATGGAGCCATGGCCCTTGCAATTGGAACTGCAAAAAAAGGGTTGCGGTCTGTACGAAGGGGATGCCGTTGTCAGTTCACTTTAGGTACGGGCTAGGCGCACTGGGCCCTGGGTGGTCACTGGTCACTGGTCACTGGTGATTAGGGGCCGAGGGGCTCCCTCTGCTCTTTTCTCGTAGGCGTCGTCGGCTCGAGTTAGTTAGTTTGATGCTAGCGGGCAAGCTTAAAACCACCGCATCCTGGGCTTTCTGGGATTCCTAGGCTCCTTGGACCGAGGGGCTCCCCTTAGCCACGACTGGACGTCTTCTATTCAGGCACGGGCAATTCATTGGTTCTCACACTGCTACCCTGACTGACAGGCATCTGCTGTGAGCCTGTGCCCATCCGAGTGACTCGTGGTTCGGCTGCACACGACCACAATCACAGCAACAAGGACTGCTCACGTGGTGGCCCGTGACACTGTCACTGTCACACATGCTCAACACCCTTGGCACAAGAACGCGACACCCACTGGCTGTCTTTTTGGGAGCCACTGGCCGAGACAAGTGCAACCAGCTTCTACAGAAAGGACGGACATTGTCTCGGGAACAACGTCTTCTTGTGGTGATCATTCAGTGGCCCCTGGTTGAAGATATCCGACCCAACATGTAAGTGGAGAAAGAGGGTGTTTGATCGGTATCGGCTTGTCTCGCCTCAAACAAAGAGGCGTGAACCATACAAGCCCCTGCTACCAACTACGAGTGTTCCGTATACAAAGTCCGCAGTAGGCTATGTCTACTGCCAAAATGAGCCCTAGTAGATCAGTGAGTTAGTGCGAGCAGCCCTCCGCTACGCTAATCGTCGATGCTTCTATATACGGCAGGTTATCCGAGGATTGCTAAGGACAAACTTCGGACCACCGCAGTGTGCCCGGAGAAAGCCAAAGCTAAGACCCTGGCTATCTTTTTTTTCCCGTACTGCAACTCAAGGTATTATTGACACTGACATGCTATCCACCACTCCTAGCAAATACTGCTACTACCTTTGACGCAGCGCCTCAGGCATTCACACACTACAGCACACCACCAGCCTTCGTCACCATGGCTGACACACCCCCGAAACCAGATGCTATTCCGGAAGGTGGACAGTATCAGCCTCCAAAACCTCCACCCAAGCAGAATCCTGTTTTTCGCATGATGGGCAAGTTGTGTATCCGCTATTCCGCATGAATGCTTTGCTGACTAGTTACAGGATTGCCAAATTTTCGATTCAGGCTGCCCTCACGGAACTGGATGATCTTCCTCACCATCACCGGCTCTTGGACTGCCGCTGTAGTCTATGACCGTCGCGAGAAGAAAAGGGTACAGAAGAAATGGTGTGACCTGGTCTCTCACATTTCACAAGAACCTCTCGATGTAAAACAAATGCGCAGGAAACTGACAATATTCCTGTCCGCTCCTCCAGGAGACGGTATCCGTCCCTCAAGAGAATATTTCAAGGAATACGTCAAGCCAGTGCTCGTTGCTGCCGCGCTGGACTACGATGTGATAGAAGGTCGCAAAGAGGGCGATGTAAGATATGGAACCGCCGAACAGATAAGAAGATTGCGGCGGAGAAGGGGCGAGAAAGGCCCTGAATCAGCAGAGGAGAGAGAGCCTGACACGGAGACGCTTGTTGAGAATATTCGGGACGCTGTGAACATCACCCCGGAGCCAGGTACAAGAGGCGATCTTGTTCTCGGCAGACATACCTGGAAAGAATACATACGAGGACTAAATGAAGGCTGGCTTGGTCCTGTCGAGGAGCCTCGACCGCCACCTGAACCGCTCTCCGAACCATCACCCATCCATCCTCCCCCGGGAGTTCTGATAGATGAACCTACCGGAGACACAGAATCCCCGCATGAATCTGAAATGAAAGAGGAAGAGAAGCAGGAAGCAAAGAAAAAACCATCCCCACCTCCAGCATATCTCTCCATAGAACAATACTCCTCCGCACCTCTCTCCCCACATATACCATCACAACTGGAACCCTCACAACCCATACACCAACAACATCTCCTCGGGTTCCTCAAGACACCCCAGCGAATGTACAACTTCCTCAACCGCCGCCACTTGGCCGATCAAATTGGCCGAGAGACTGCAGCCATCGTCCTCGCCGCAAGCAGACCCTACGAACAGACCACCAGCTTTGCCACCACATCCGCGGGCCTTGAAGCCGACCCAGTAGCCACAAGAGCGCCAGAGAACGACGCCGACACCGACGCCGGCATTGTGCAGACTGGCCAGACGTGGGAGCAACAGACTGTCCTCGCCAACGAGGAGCGAGCCTGGCACAAATCAGTCCGGAAGCCACGGAAGGAGTGCGATATAACCGAGCAAATATGGACGAAAGACGTTGTGCTGGACACTCGTGTTGGTGAGCGGATGAGGAGGTTCGCTCTCCAGCCCGAGGAAGAAGCCCGAGCGAACAGGATCGCCAGCGGAGCAGAACAGTCGCGCGCCGTGCCCATCCAAGACCTGCGGGCCGAGAAGGTGGTACTTGGGGATATTTCTGAAGAAGAATAAACCTGTACTTATCCAGCGAAGGCAGGCCGTCATGCTAGGGGGGTTTCCAACTACATCGCATGGATAGGCATGGCATGGTCGACAAGCCCGATGGGCTCCTACTGAGATCAATGCCACGCACACACCAGCAATTCTAAACTGTACAAACATATGTAACCACTGATAGTAATGTAAAACCATCCACTACCTATCGATAAACTACCTATCTTAGCCTTGACCCCGTCTATGCCAACATCCTATCTCCCTTAAAACGGCTCTACGCGGACTCTAACCCCCCTCAACAACCTCCCTTCTCTCCCACCACCACCATTAGTCCACGGACTGCCCTCCAAATCCAGGAAATCGCCCCACGGTCGCATTCCATCAAGGATCTGCGTCTCCCGCTTCTTGAACCTCTGACCATCTCGGACGATGAACAATGGCTCTCGCAGCAAGCAACCATCATCACCGACAGTAGTCTTTGCACTCTGGTCGTCATTCCGATCACCATCGTCTCTGGATTCTGACTCGCTTGAGTCGACGTCCCAGTCTCCCCAAGCAACCCAGGAGTTCTTCTCATCGCTATGATCCCCTCCACCATCATTGGCAGCGCCCGTGTTGCGTGAAATCGGCTCGACCGGGTCGTACTCGTGAGACTCATAGACGAGCTTGAATTGCAACGGCGCAAGGGAGAAGGATTTCGCAACGAGCGACTTCAACCGGTACACTGAGATGGTAGTAGGGAGCGCGCGGCTCAGCGACTTCAGCGACCCTGTCTCTACCCCTACCGGTGAACCTTCATTGAGCGGTGGTTGTGCGGTGGAGAGAATGCCATCTGCATGGCTAATGACTGTATCTGGAACATAGAAGAACGCATCGACCAGCCTCGAGCCCAGCGTGCCAGCAGCGTAGGTCTCGATATTTGTTTTGACACCGCCAGCGCCATCTACTTCCGCCACCGTGTGAGCTGTCGCCCTGTAAATCTGCAACGCACGTTCGAGCAGGTCATCTCTTTCATATTTGGCACAGAGAGAGCTGTAAAGAGGGTGTTTGCCGCGAATCGAGTCTACATGGCTCTCCAAAGCAGAAACCACTTTCGAAGAATCAGAGCCTCTGTCGCGGTCGACAGTGTCCAACACCAGCGAGATCTCCTTCTCGGCCACGGAGAGATAGTAGATCTCGCCTTCCTCTCTGTCGCGGCTCGTGATTGTCGTGTAGTTTAGGGATACCAACTTGGGGATCCGCGCGAGTGTGAGATAGTATGATATCGAATCGGACTGGGCGCCGGCAGTTTGGGACCCGCGCTCTGGCTGCTTGCTGGCCTCTGATGGTCGGTCTTGCGGCTCTTGTTGAGCCGATGTCTGGTAGAGAGGGTTACGCGAAATGCGAAGAGATGTCAGATTTGGGAAGACTGTTGGGAGGTAATTGACGAAGCTGTAGTCCTGAATGTTGTTTCCGGTAAGATTCAAGGTTTCCAGGTTCTCGAAGACAGGTAATTTGCCAGATGCGACGGCGTCGAGTCCAATGTGGGAGATCATATTCCCTTGGAAAGAAAGAGTCGTGGTATTTGGGAAGAGCGAGAAAATGGGTTTCAAGCACGAAAGACTGGTGAATTTGTTATTGTCGAATATTATTGTCGTGATTGATGGGAGCTTGACCCTTGCGACGAGTGTAAAGGAGTCAAAATTATTGTCCAGGAGCATTAAAGTCTTTAGTGCTGGGAAGGCGATGGATGCTGATGGGGACAAAATCTGGATAACCTGCTCTGGTTCCAAGAGACATTCGCTCAAATGCAATTCTTCCACATGCTGAAATGACTGATCTTTTTTTGCGAATCGTTCTCGCTGGTAATCATGGAGCCGGAGACCGCTCGCCTTGAGGATTTTTAGTTTTTTAAACGGCTGAGACATATATGCCACATCCTGCCACGTTTCAATTGGATTCCAGCCGATGTCCAATTCTGCGATACTCGGACAAGTTTTGCCTAGTTCTTGCCGTGCACCTTCAATTTCTTGAGTCGTGGCATCACGTCTCGCGACTCCAATAACAGTCAATTCGTCCGCAAGGACTATTCGAAGCTCAGCCAGGACAGACAATTGCTTCTGGATCTTTTCAAAGCCAACCTCTTCAACAACTTTGCCTGAAATGGCAATGGTACTGGTCGTTTCAACACCTCCAGCTTCACCGTGAGGGGCTTTCTTCGCCCTTCCGTATTTGAATCTGATGGCCTCAAGTAGTGTTCTCTCCGGGTCAGGCTTTCTGCTAGGTCTCACAAAGGAGGCAGCGGTTGGTGAAGAAGACAAACATTGGAATATTCGCTGGCCCTCGTGAACCCCATCGTGCTTTCCTCGAGTTGGGTCATCCCATTCGACACCAAGCCACTCGCCTTTCGTGCCTGATAGAGGTCCATAGTAGCGGACTGAACAGAGTGCACCGCCGTAGGATCGGCGCTGACCAATGTATGGAGGATTTTCATCCATAGTTGCCCTGCTACAGCAGATCAATGGTATCTCCTATGATTCGGCTTAATCTCCATTGCAGTGCGAACCAAATCAGGACCCAAGATTTGGTCCACCAAAGTCGTCGTGAAGCGGTGGCGTGTGTTGCGACAAGAAATGATTTGGATCAAGCACACATGTTCAGCGATCTCCCGACACTGAGAACTCAAGTCTGTCTTCTCAGCAGCATATCTTTGCTGTTTAAACGATCAGTCAATCAAAGCAACTAAAGACAGAGTACTCGGTGAGACATTGGAGCCTTACAGTACGGTGTTCAACGTCATGATTCACGGCTGCCAAGACCCACAATCACCCTGACTCGGACGACCACTCCCCCTGAGTCACCAACCTTACTCACCTTCCTCGTTGACTAATTGGAACTTTAAGTCACCCCAAGTTCATCGGCACAATTGACTATGCCCAATCAGGTATTTAGAACTAAGTTTCGTCATTAACCTGGCTCTGCCCGCCACCCCGTGGTACTGGTGAGGCTATCCGCAACATAATTTGGGTACAGTATTTATCCTGCAAGATATCTCACTTTGGTTTCGTAGACCAGCTAGTCATCAATCTTGTGTTGATGACCGCCTCTATTAGTGTTATTTCACCCCCAGACCGCATTAGTCTTCGACGCAGAAGATCATGAGCGAAGAAAGCAAGTGGAACATCCCCGAGGGCGAGTTTTGTATCTATGGCACGGTGAATGAGCCAATTCCTCACTAACCCGTCTCGCCGCGTCAAACTCACACAACCTATCTTCTGATTGTCGCTGACAATGACAGGTTTACGCTGACCCTAGACACGCCGATGAGGTCGAGGCTATTTACAAAGAGACGACCAGACTTGCCCAATTCGAGGATGGTATTGTGTACTACTGTCTCTCACGCGATCAAGATGACCCTTCAATATTCCACTTCTTCGAACGGTACAAATCCAAAGCTGCTTTCGACCAACATAACCAACAGGACATAATCCAGAAATTCATCAAGAGTGGCTGGATGAAGGATGTAAAGGCAGTTTTCGCCAAGCCCATCACACCATGATGGCAAATACTGTTTGCTCATGGAGAAAGCAATAGCCAGAGCGATGTCGACTGGCGAAGTAGACCTCGACGCAGAACGCATTATCAATTCAAAAACCCTCTCACGAAGATGCTTGGGGCCTTCAATTCGAACATCAACTTCATATTGTAATTGGGTATTAGTACAACAGAGTTCCATCTCACTCATACCGAAGTTGACAGCTTCCATTGACTGCTCTGGCGGAGCCACATTTCAAATGTTTGTAAGCCAGGTTCTTCTCTCCGTGCTGATGCAATGTCCACATGAAAACCTTCCTTCTCAAAGAACTCCATACTTGATCGTGCGCCTTCAATAAACCGCCTCATAGCGTGGCCGACGACAGACCAAGTCCTCGGCAAGGGGCGTCCGGTCACTCGCCGAAACACCTTGTCAGTCTCCTGTAGTGTCATTTCATCACCTGCAAGACCAATTACTCGGCCAGCCCAGGCATCACGGTGGAGCAAAGCCTTCGCAGCGAAGACACCAATGTCATGTGTGCTGACAAACTGCATGCGACAGTCAGCTGGCATCGTAGTAATCAGTGCGCCCATCATCTGCCCGAACATGCCAGGGTTATAGCTGTCCATAAAGCTGGCAGGTCTCAGTATCGTCCACTGGGTCTTTGAGTTCTCGCATTTCTCTCGTAAATGCAATTTAATACGGTGCTTACCGGCGAAGTGCGGTACGTTGGTCGGATTCTCCCAGCTGACGACCTCGCCCCCACGATCGACACTTGAGAACACAATATGCATTATCCCGTGCGCGATGGCCGCGTCGATGAGATCGAGTGACTATTCTTCGTCCTTGGGTGGAACTGTGACCAGGAAAATCGCATCAATGTGTGGGTGCGTGTTGAGTAGCGGTTCGGGGTCTCGGCTGTCGCCTTCCACGAGTGTGATGTTAGGAACTTTTCATGCAGGTCTTGAGCTTTGACAGATGTGACTGAACGTGTGAGGGCCAGGATACTGGGAGGTTCTCCTGTTGGGGAAGGCTCGCTAAGTGCGGCAATTGTGCCAGAGCCTTGTTGGCCGGTTGCACCGACGACGAGAATCTGTAGAGGAGCCATCGACGCGAAAATATTGAATGTAAAATCAAAGTCTAGAAAATACACATGAGATACAACATTAGCCACATACCATAAATACGTGGGTGTCTATCCATCTTTAAATGCCCAATATGGCATATGGTGGGTTCTGCTGCGGAGACTTTTCGGACTGTTTTCCAATAACCGGGTTCAACCATCAGACCAGCGTGCTTAATGGAGTCATGCCTTGATTGAGGCAAAAACGAATGCTTGAATTTCCTCTGAAGCGGCAGCCTTCATGGTCGCTCTTTTTACTCAAGTAGGTCCGTGGCTAACATTTATACATGTCGTGATATCTGCAACTGGTAGCTAGGTACTCCATCCCTGGATCGATTAGATTCATAAGCAGTAATCCTCGCTGCTGTGTACGCTTTCTTCTACACTCTTGCAAAGATCTCAGCCTTTCCTGGCTCCTTGTCGCCAAAGGATCCAACTCCGCCCTTAAGTGCACTTTCCTCATTGACACTGGCACCTTCAAGCACGACCGCGCCATCCAGATCCTCTTCAGGCCTGATGTAATTCTTAGGCTCGAGCCATTGGGAAAGAGGCATCATCAACGTCGGCTTCCAAATGATATTGCAAAGCCAAAACGTGCCGAAGGAGACAATGAGTCCGATTGGATAGGCGAAGTAGTAGAGTCTGGTGACGCCCAAAGGCATGGGCACTCCCATATTCCCAAGGAAACCGGGGAAGTTGGGGCAGATCGCGACCACGTATGCGATGTAGGCTCGGAAGTTCCAGCCATGGTTGAAGTAGTACGCTCCCGATTTGCTGGCAGTATACAGATCTGGAACTTTGAGGTGTCCTCGAGCCACTATGTAATAGTTGCAGATGAGGACTCCTGTTATCGAAGAGAGAAAAACTTGGTAAGACGCGAGGAATTTGATGAATACGGCGGCCGATCCTAAAAGGTACCATGGGTTTATAGCGAGAGACACGATCTGGCATATAAACATGCCGGTACGTATGCTTATGTATTTTGGGAAAAGGGCTGCGATATCGTTTCCGGCTAAATGTTTGATCAGTATTCGCTCGATCGAATCCGCAGAAGCACTTCTATATTTGACTAACCTGGAATGCTGTTCTCAAAGACGGACGAGAACAGCGCTGAGTATGCAAACATGAAGGCGAGGAAAAAGCAACCTGCCCTATTCTTTGCCGTGTAGTTCTCCGTTTGTATGCGGTCCAGCAGAATCAACGGATTCCATTCTCTTTCTCCAAAGATCAAGACTGAGCTGGATGCGACGATGTTGCCTACAATGTTCACCAGGAAATCTGCTAGAGGATACCCAACTATGTTGCCCAAGATCACGTCCGATGGCTTCTTTGCATATCTTTGGAAATCTGCAGCATTACTGGCAAACGTTGCACTTCCTCCCATGGATATGAAGATAAACTTTACGATAAGCCAGCCTTTCTCGGAGCCATGGACTCTTGAGGGCTGGGAGAGAACAGGACCGGGACCTCCTGCAAGAGTGAGAGTCCAACCGAGCATAGCAGCAGCCGAGACGATGTAAACCACGAGTTTTATATCTGGGGAGCATTAGCCCAGGAAACCTAGAATGCCTGTGTGGACTTGGGCTTACATATTAGGATACGCATCTTCGGGATTGGTATGAAAAGGAAACAAGCGGTTGTGAGCCTTGTCGGTGTCAGGATAACTCATAGTGTCCATCTCTCGTAGCCTTTGCTTGCATACCAGAAAAGGATATAACCAATCATAGATCCACTGGTAAGTGCCGAGCCCGAGCCCATTTTATTTGGTATCTTCGCGATGCCAGGGAATATGGCATGTAACATCGTGCTTGACATGTCAGAATTGGCCGACGATTCGGGGTCCTAAGTCGGCTTACTAGACGCATTGCCCTCCTTGTATACCCTATTTTATATCAGTCAAGCTCTAAGTGGGAGAGTATAGTCCGTACGTTGACACCGTTCCAAACCGTCGCCATAACAGCACGGTTGAACGTTGGCCACCATGCACCAAACACCCCAAAAGCGGCTCGGTTGAGGATGGGGAAGCCAACATGGTAAACCCTGAGAGATTAATCTGGTCAGTGTCTGAAATACCTATGCATGAAGAGGCAGATCAAAAATCACTCTCCTCGAATGAAGAAGGCCTTTCCGGGCAGGAGATATTCCATCTCTGATTGAAAAAGTAAACTTACGCTCCAGGGCGACCGTTAACGACAAAGATGGTCGCAACCAGAATCCAGCCAGCAATTTGACAGCCCATGACTTCCCATAAACTCAAGCCCGCCGCTTGAGCGGCGCTCCCTCCATACCAGGTGGCAACTGATCAAGGGGAAATTAGCTATTGTCAATCTTAAGGTACAACGAAGGACTATCTCACCAGTAGCAACAGCTGAAAACCAAAAGGTGAAGTACGTCGTTTGTGACCACGTACGGTCCTTTAGAGCCAATGGGCGAATGTCGTCGTTGTCTAACCATGCATCTCTTGCATCGACACCTTCCGCGCCCTTCACGATGAAGCGCCGTTTAAGTCCCGAAGTAAGCCCCATGATATTTCGTCTTGCAAGCCGCTATGAGGACCTACTGTCGGACTTCAAGCGAAGGTGGTGCCTGCGTATTCGAGCATGGTGTTGGGTACGAGATAGGAGAATCATCTTTGCTCATATACATGCTGTTCTCTGAATTCTTCTCAGGTAAGTCAGATAATCGCAGAGTCTGGAGCCTGGATTGATCCGCTCCAGCTCGAGTCCATAACAACTTTGGGCTATCTGATATCGCTAAGCAGATAAGGATCAACGTCGATCTCCATCGTCGATGGCCGCAGCCAAGAAACCCCCAAACGTTCAGATCTAAGTGTTACACCCCCAAAGATGTAGGTTTTCCCTCGGATAGATAGAATGGATATGGATATTGAACAGAGCAACGGCGAGGTCCGATCCCAATGGGGGGAAGTGGAGGTATCAACCTGCCGACCTAGGATAATGACGACTTCCACGGTTTCACAGATGTAGAAGCTTGAGATTTGCGCACCAGTTTCGTGAAGGCTCCCCGCTAGGTCTGTGTGGTCTCCCATCGCCCTCACTTGCCTCCACATCAGGCGAGGCGCCGCCCAGAGCACCACCGTAGAGCGCAGGCATTCGTCACGGAACGCCGACTCAAATGCTGCCATTTCCCTTCACTCTGGCGTGATCGACTTAAGTGTGCGTTCAGTGCGCCTTCCGCAGCTTCATTGAATTTAACCTCGTTGTACAGACGCCCTCAGAATGCTAGACGACCCTGACATTAGACGTAAACAGCGTTCAGATACCAGAAAGAACTTGACGAATATGCTATCCTCGATCTGCCAGAGATACTCTCTATATTATTGTTAATGTTACACCAAATAACACTACCCACAAATAGCCATATGCGTCACCTGTCAAATTGTTGGGCATACTAATATCCCCTTAAGCCGTTGCGCAGCCTTTCAGGAGGACGTTCCCTCTGTTAAAGCCTAATCTTGGCTGGACCTCTTGACCTCATCCCTGGGCCTTGAAGATCTGAGAGGTGTAGCATACGCCAAACGAACGTGCATCGTCATAGAAGCGCAGCCCAACCATGAGCAGCAAGGCTACACAGGCTCGCTATCATCGATGCCCTAAGCGACGGCGCCAGAAATTGGCCATGGGATCGATGAGCGGTCGGATTCGAGCACCCAGTCTGAATCTGAAGTCACCAGCAACGAGCAGCAAATGAGCGGTGAAGGTGACAACTTTCTTCCACACACGAAATGTCTCGGGAAAATACACGCAAACTCAACGACGCTTGAGGAGCATTTAGGCTTGTTTCGAGTCATTATCCTCCGGTCAGCAGGGTAGGAGCTGCCATTCGTCTGCGATTGAGCCTGCTATGTAGCGTCGTCCTTGTCACTTTCGAGGACGGTGCCAAGTTCGGACAGCTTTGCGGCCGCCTTAAAATCCCATGAGAGGTGCACGGATGATTGACTCGGTGTTGTTTGGCGTTGTCGCTATTGTTGAAAAGTACCTGCACGCATGAACAAAGCTTTCAGGCTAGACGAAGTTGTTGCCGATGTCGAGATCAACGTATCCGGAAATGCAGACGCTGGCAATGACCTGGAACCACGTTTATCAATGCACGGGATCTACATGCAACGCCCAGCACATGGAGGCTATATACGAGGATGAAAATTTGACACATGCTGGATTCGACTTGGGCGTAGAGCGCGAGAATGGCCGATCGACATCGGCTAACTCTCGTCTGAAGGCAGATGATTCCGAAATTGTCGAAGCTGCGCTGAAGAGAGTCTACGAGCAGAAATCTCAAGACCGCGGGCTTCACTGCCTAGATTGTGGTGCTTTGGTCCAAACTTGACTGCTTCCTGGCGGAAAAGAGCAGTCGAATTCATGCTTCAGAGGGACACGGGACCTATTCCAGATGAGTTTCGGCCCTGGAGGAGGTATGGCAACCTAGTCCATACCGAGTATGTATGCCGGTCTTTTATGGTGGAAAAGAAGTTCGTCGGAATATGTCAGTGTCAGTCTCAGGCTGCGAACAATCCCTTGAATGAGCAATGGCAGGGCTTCATCGCCTTAGATCGCACTCTGCTTCGTGAGCACTAACAAGAAATCCTCATTATTTCCGATGGCAGATATGCCCTCGTTTGCAGCAAATCGTAGATACGGGTCACATTTCAACCTAGATACACAGCATGTTTCCAGTCAGAGGTACTATATATGTTCTTTTCAGGTTTGCTCCACGCTGACCTGGCTCCATCAATTGACCCATCAAGCTAGATGGAGCAAGTCCGTGCTTCGAAAGGCACAAAATAACGACTTGAATAGGGGCTTGCGTACTTGCTACCAAGAGGAGATGAATACTGCGAGTAGGTACATAAGTAGAGCGACTCTACCCCTCGGCGGGCCGGTGATGGGTACATATGTAAAGGCCTTAGAGTGACGCAAGCCTGTGGTTGGAGGCTGGCATCTGATTTTGATTGAACTCCCATTTTCTCTCCTTCCACAGCCTCAACTTCAACAAGCTTCGACGGCTGCGCCACGAGACTCATATCTAGATGGGATTCCCGTCATTGACATTTGTGTCATACAAGATGGGCCATTAGCACGCAGAGCCCTGGCAAAAGAGATCAAGAAGGCGGGAGAGTATATAGGGGATCTTTTACGGCAAAAATCACGGGATCGATGAGAGTGTTATTGAACATGCCTAGAACGCTGCGTGGTCATGAGAACTCAGCTATCTCAACCGCTGGTTCTCTCGAATCGACAGGACCCTAAGTTTTTGAAGCAACCAGTTGAAGAAAAGTTGAAAGTAGCATCAACGTACCCCAAAATCTCAACCGCTCTTCGGCTCGCCGCTCAGCTCGGTCATCCCCTCCGATTCAGTCGACAAGAACGAGGCGTCTACGTGGCGTTATGATTCCAAGTTTGATCCTGAGGAGTGAGAGCTCAGTGATTCCGGGAGAGGTACAAGCGTGGCTACATGGGGAACACTTTTGTTTGCAAAAACTTCCAGGAGATTACCATCACCTACTGGGAAGCATGTCTCTTTCTGGCGAGGGCAATTATCAACTCTCTGCGGCCTCTCTGCGGCCTCTCTGATGATTACTTTGATGGACTGACGACTTATCCTGGGGCTGACGGAGTGTACAGCTAATATCCCGCCTTGAATCCGGATGAGCTTGCGAAACCCGGTCCAAGTGATTTGGGCCCATGTCTCACATACGGACCTACAATGCCTCACAATACTCTGTTAACACCGAGTTGGAGGGCTTCACGTCCTCAACCATCAGCGAATCACATTCCAGACACGCTGGTCATCAACAATAGGGACTGTTTGCTGAGGGCGACAAAGGACAAATCCAAGTCGTTGGCACATCGTGTATACAACCGTTCAAGCATGGATCTATTGAATATGCCATATTTCATTGGCTTTAATTCCGGTGAGAAGTGTTCTGTGCTGCTAACTTGCACAGACGAGCGGATTCCTCCAAAGCTACGAGCCGATTTCAAGTGGTGAGATTTGTCCTCCTTCTGATCAGTGGCCAGTGGTGTCAGCTTCGTTTTGAGCAAGCGGGAACCAAGTAGATAGCCAACCGTCATCCAACGAAATCGAAGTCCATGTTGGTGGAAATCTAGCTCCGAAATGTGCTTAATAAATTTATCAATTGGTCTGCAGTCAAGCATTGTTAGTCGTTCATGAGCAGAGATAGAGGGACGGATTATCAAAATCTCAATTGTTACGATGTTTTTGAATTTGCCTGCATTCTTTGTAGCTTCCAGATTGAAAGGAGTAGCTGATCAAGTCTCATGTAAACCCCCGACGTCTTTCAAATGTACTCCATATACAAGTAAATTGGATAAGTACCGAACCCCACCCTCTAGGCATCTTGCATGGTGCAACAACAGAGAAAGCCGACCTCTGCACTCCAGCAATAACGCGACCAGCGCTTGCCTTGCACCCTCATACCTTGGCGATTGATATGGGCAGGCATAAGCGTCCCAGGGGCCGCGGTCGGCCGCTTATCGGTGTGGGCGCAACCACCAGCCATGCGGATTACTTTGGGGTACCACCTCTAGATAATTAGGGCACGTGTTGGTAGATGGGAACCAGTAAGATCACTATGATTATTCCGTCTCGGCGCTTTTGACCCAGTCGCCTGTACGGGGCAATGCCTCGCCCATTGCTTGCCTGAATATGTTCGAATTACGATGTCAATGTGACGCATCTGTTGCCTCTGGAAAGCTGCAAATTTCCAAAGGGAGACATATGGCCCTTCGGTGGAAGGTTTTCTTGAAATACCGGCCATAAGGGATCGAACAACTATGCCACAGTGATGACCGAAGCCGAACAGCGTCCACTGGAAGCGAAACGCAGTCGCAGTAAAAAGGTAGTGGCCCAGACTGGAAGTCAACCAGGATATGTTCGGCCATATCGATGCACAGTTGCCTCCTGCACCAAAGCCTTCACACGTGCCGAGCACCTCAAAAGACATCAACTTAATCATAACTCAGGGAAGGTTTGGAGGTGTATTACGTGCTCGGTCACCTTTGTGCGAAAGGATCTGTGGCAACGCCATCTTAAAGTCTCCCATGAGAAGAACGGTGTCTCTGCGCTAGATGACTCCGCGAGGGCTGAGCCTAGTGAGACTGCCTCCTTTGGTGCTGCTTCAGAGGCGTGCACTTCCATCGAAGGCTCTAGATGGAATTCCGACACTTCTATCCCACTACTGGGCGAATCTTTAAGAGACGCATCGTTTCAACATCCCATAGAGGAAGGTGTGTCTGCAAAAATGTCAGATGAGTTTGATGAAACTCCTGAGGTATGCCAACCTGTGCCACGTGATTCTCTCGGCCTCTGGACTACAGGTTTCGAAGAATCTTGGATACAGGAGATGGAGGAATGGCGATCAGACTTCTGCACCCATCAGAGTACACGGTTCACCGACACTGATATGCAGTGGTTCTTCGACAACCAGCAATTATTGGACTTAGAACCCGAGAAAGATTCGGTGCAGGGTTCTCAATCCTTTGAGTACTCGAATCCAACACCACTCAGAGACATATCAACTATTGCAGCAGAGATTTACAATGTCAACGGCCAGCTCCCGCCTGTGTATCTACAAGAATCGCAATCGAAAATCTTCGTGGCGAAGACAGGTGAATTCGACCCTCCAAGCTGTGGGTTCCGAGTATGCAACGGCCTTACGAACGAGCGCCGCATCGAGCTCTTGATGGATTTACGCAACCTCTCGAATGTTGATCTCCGTGATCCAATATTCTCTTTGAACAGCATGAAACAGGGCATCCACCTTTTCTGTCGCAATGTGAACATTGAATATGCTTTTGTTCATCATGAACTTATATGTCCTTCTTCACAAGAACACCGGCAGGCCATCATCGATGTGTTTGGCGAGGAACCCGGCTCGCAGCTGATTTGGGTAATCATAACACTGGGCTGGACATTAATGAGGAGTGACAATAATCATGAATATCACATGGCTTCTACGATACAGCGTGTTATCAGGACTTCCATTATCAATGTGACTTTATCTCCCTCAATTGCGATCTTTGCTGACTTGTGCTTCAGCACCCTGGATTGACGAACACACCTCCGTTATGGATAGTTCAAACATTGTTCTTAGTGCTTTTGTTTGCGAGGTACCAAGGAACTCGAGAAGAATATGGGTTTGCCTCCATGTTTCATGGCGTTCTCATTGAAGTAGGTAACTGGATATGGTGATAACAGGCCAACAAACTGACTTTTCATCTCAGGCGACGCGGCGCATAGATTATAGATGGGATCGAGCGAGTATCTCCTTGCAACCGAAGCAAGGCGTATCCACACGAGTCTGGATAAAATGGATAGAGACCGAGACAATTAGAAGGTTCGCAACCAGTCATCCGCATCATTGACCACGCTTACTGACCACCGAAAACACCACAGACTCATCTTGCAGACATTTGCGCTTGATGTGAAGCATGCGATTTTACACGGTGGGGAGCTTTCAATGACACCGTTCGAATTAAACCTGCGACTCCCCTTTTCAGAGGACGCATGGTATGCTACATCTGCCCCCGAGTGGGCTCAGCTTCTCAGCACCACCACAAACGAGCCAGTTTCATTCTTGCCAATGCTCAAGAAGTCTTGGAATCCACCTTCAACTAAAATCTTGACAGAAACACTCCCTCGTGGAGCAAACATCATTATGTACGGCTTGGTATCAATAGCCCGTGAATTATCTCATAGAGAACATCACAGTCTCTCTACTCGTTCAAGTAATACCCTTATTTGGCTAGGTAACAAGACGAGACGCTCGTTCGAAATATGGGAAGCGTCGTGGAAGAAGGTTCCGGCTGACCTGGGCCTGAAGGCATTTGCCTGGCGCGATTGTCTTTGTGTGATTCGACTTGCACATACACTCTACGAAATAAGTCCTATGGACCTCCAGACAGTTGCAGGTAAAGAGGTCATTGAAGGTAAGAGGCGGGGCGCTTCAGATTATGCACAGTCCAAGAGAAAACTACGTCTTTGGGCGAAGCACGAGCGTGCATCACTGGGAGTATTCCGTGAGTATACGCCTTTCCTCGTGCAGACCAGTACCTTACTATACTCCCAGATGCGGCTACTCTGATTCAAGAGCGACTTAATGGCGAGTCACCGAGCACCCATTGTCACCACTGCTTATGGAGTTTCTACCTGGCCTGCTTAATTTGCTGGAACTTTGGATTTGCGTTGACGAAGGCGACAACAGTCTCCGATGACTTAGTGGCAGACGGAAAGATCTTATCGATAGAATTGGCTGAGAAAGAGTGCCGAGATTATCTCTTTGCTGCTGTCAACATGCATCAAGAAGCCGGCGAACACAACATGCTGGCTCTCAGCCGTCCAGGCGGCATGCTAATTGTGGTCATTGAGTTCTTGAAGGCTCGCTGTGAAGCGGGGATCATCGAGGAGAGCATCGAGTGCTTGAACCGCCTCAGCGGGATTTGTGGCTCGGATTCGTGATGCGGAGATTCCAAGCAAGAGTGCCTTGGTTTGCACTACCAGCTTGCCGATACTGGAAGGCCGGCTCCAGCCGTCCAAGATATGATTATAAAGTTATACTAATTTTGCACAAAGAGTTTCTATTCGGGAAACGATTGTTAAATCCACATCCTGACTTGATCCCCAAGATAACTCATTGATTGGCCTGTCGGTGCCTTATCTGCATACTGAGTATCAAGTGGGGCTTGTACACCAAAGTCGGATAAGAACGCTTTTTGATTGACAACTGCTCCAAGATACAGACGCACGATACCCCCAAATCCCGCACTTAGTCCTTTTTGTACAACTCCATTACCACGAAGGGCCAAGAATTCTAAGTAGTATGTGGCCATTGCAAGCAGCTGGCATCGGCCAGATATGAAGTACTTGCGGTGTGTAGCTCCAGCCACACGTCAGTTAAAATTGAACGGACGACAACAGGGCGTCCGTGCTCCCTTGATTCTATTTGCCTGCTTAGATCACCAACCACGTCTCACCACGCGAGTCAACTCAACCAAGGGCTACGGTTTGCTCCCACATTCATCCTGTGACCATGATATGGGCTTTTTGGGTATTAGCGATCACCCTGTGGCCGGTCAGTGGCGCCCGCGATGCGTCAGGTATACCATATGTGAATGACTCTGTAGTACAAGCTCATCTCAGCGCGAGAGTTCAGCTGATAGAAGCCGAAAAGGAAACGAGGCAAGGTCAGCAAAACTTGCTAACTGCTAGTTTCCTTTGAATGAAAAGTCAATGACTCTGGCATAGATCATGCCTTTCGCAGCTCACTTTCCGCCGTTGCGCAACAGGCTGAACGAATTGTTGCGGCCATCAGACAAGATGAGATAGACCACTACTGGCGCGTCTACGCTCCATTGGGCCAGGATGATAGAGAGAGATTCGCTGGAATGATGTTTCCCGAAGCCAAACCATACATTCCAGGTACTGAACTGTGGAACATTGTTCAGCGTATGCCCAAGGGTTCACTGCTGCATGCTCACTCGACCGCGCTGGTATCCGTTGATGTCATCATTGACAGTCTTCTCACCACCGAGGGAGTCGTCATCTCTGCCTCACAAAGCATTTCCTCAGAGATCAGTGGGAGAAATGCGACTATCTCCTTTACACACGCCAACACGACTGTCTCTGCGTCTCTACCGTCCCTGCATTCCACAGAATACGTGGCGAACTCGTTTGTTCCAATCACTGTGGCAGCGACCACGTATCCCGGAGGGCGCGATGCATTTACTTCGTTCCTGAAATCCAAGATGACACTCACACCAGAAGAATCGATCCGGCACGATCTCGGCGTCGATGCTATCTGGAGGAAATTCCAGAGCTGCTTTGGTCCCATAGGCGCGGCGCTGAACTATGAACCCATCATTCGAACGTACTGGAAAACCCTCTTTGAGAACCTAGTGGATGATGGGGTATACTGGGTCGAGCTCCGTAGTGGTGGTTCGTCCGCAACATTAATTGCTGAGGGACAGGCAGAGGCTGATCCAGATCTTGATTTTTGGTGGGATGTTATGATTGACGAAGTGGAGAATTTCAAGGCCACGGCTAAAGGTCAGAGCTTCTGGGGAGTGAGGGTCATTTGGTCGGACCTAAGGGGTTGGAATCGTACGGTGCTTACTAACAGTGAGTTCGCACCCTCAAATTCCTTCCCATCTTGAGGACGGGTTACTCACGGACAAGAAGACTAATCCCCTGAACCAGCCATGCAAATTGCCATTCAGAGAAAATTGAATTACCCAGACCTGTTCAGCGGCTATGATTTGGTTGCACAGGAAGACCTAGGACGTCCATTGTCGGACCTCGCGCCAGAGCTAATCTGGTTCCAAGAGCAAACTCAGGCCCATAATGTCTCACTGCCTTTCTTCTTCCACGCGGGAGAGACGCTGGGAGATGGGAACAGCACAGATTCGAATCTGTTTGACGCGATCCTCTTCGACACTCGGCGCATAGGACATGGCTTTTCGCTGTACAAGCATCCCAAGCTCATGGAAGAGGTGATAGGAAATCGGATCATGGTTGAGGTCTGCCCGATATCGAATGAAGTGCTTCGCCTTGCCACAGATGTCCTGCACCATCCTATCCCAGCCATGATTGCACATGGCGTTGCTACATCGATTAGTAATGACGACCCTTCAATCATGGGCCAAGACGACCCAGGCCTCAGCTATGACTTCTACCAGGCGATTCAGGCTTATGATAATCTTGGGCTGGGAGGCTTGGTAAGAACCTTTCCTAATGACTCTATTCATCCTTACGCTGACGCGCTTTGGTGGCAGGGTGCTCTAGCCGAGAATAGCGTCCGCTGGTCCAACTTTGCGGACCAGACAAAGGCTGAATGGCTGCATGATATCGATATGGGAGTCGACGGCACTGGCATAAAAGCTAGACGTATGAGGGAATGGAAGCAGAAATGGGAGGACTTCTGTGAATGGATCGTGGAGGAATACGGGGAGAGGTACAACGCCAGCTTACCTGCCCCATGGTCGACAAACACCTTGAAATAGTATAGAAACTACATTTGGAAAGGTACATAACGTCCTTTTCCGGCAGGTGTCCAACTCTTTCAACGCTCGGGACGAGTAGTAAGGGGTGACTCGTTGCATTTGCCCCTTCCGCAAGGATGGGAAGGCTGCATCGAAGCCAAGCGTGTTAATCGCTTGATTGCATGCATGTTTGTTCTAGAATACAGCCAGAAAACCTAACGGGCTTGAGTAAGTCCGGGAATCTGCCAGTCTTTAACCTCGCAACGTAAGTGGTCAAGACAAACGCAAGTTCTGAATTGTGGCTTTTGGTGGCGTTGATCCTGCGTCATCCAGGGGGATGGATCTCGCATCAAGACATTGGCTGAGCCTTTCGGTTCCGAACTTCCCTGTCGTTGCCAAGCGATGTCTCGGTCCTTCGTAATGTGTCGATAAGGTATTCACGCTGGGTGTTATGGGGAACTATCGTCGAGGTCTTGTGCCTGATATCATTTAGCTAATTCTGTCATTCATTCTATCTATTCATCAAAACCGCTTAAATTGACAGAGCATTTGGTGCCTTATTTTGTCCTGTCAGTGTAAGTCGGTTCTAGACGACAAAGTCCGCCAGAGCAGATAGCCAAGTGCCCCAATTACCAGTATGGTTGCGAATTTGGCCCAACGGCCTGTGGCTTTATTAGGTGCTGGAACACAAGGTCGGAGACTGGCATATATGGTACTGTGCTCTCCTGTCCGAACATCAGGGACTTTTGGACTAAGAACAGGCTCGCGCATATTTAGTGGTCGAGTAAAGGTTGCCCAGTACATTTGATCGATGCACAGGAAAGGCAATTGAGTGATGGTGCGGAATACATACAGGGGCTTCGTGCTGCTGCCAAAATTCCAGAGACAATTTGGGGAGAGGTCAAGACATTTACTTCTGATAACTTGGCAGCGGCCCTCGAGGGAATCTGGCTGGTGGTTGAGGTATGTCATTCTTTAGTCAATTCGGTCTAAATTTTTGGTATTCTGACATCCACTAATCAAACTACCGGGTTAGTGTGTACCTGAGAAACTTGAATTGAAAAGAAGTATGGTTGCTCAGTTGGACAAGCTGGCGCCAACTTCCGCCTTGATTGCCTCGAACTCGAGCAGTTATCCAATTTCCGAGATTATTGAGGGTTTGGAACTTTCAAATGAACGGCGTGTGCTCAGTGCTCACAGTTGTAAGGCTCATCCTCTCATATGCACTTTTTGTCTCCTGAAATTTCCAATATGCTGATTAATGAAAAGACTGGCCTCCAGAATCTTCTGGTGAGTTGCTCTCCATTCGCTATTATTTGTATACTGAATCGCTGGTATAGCACTGGAAATCATGGGCCATCAACGCACAAATCCGGAATACATATCCTTGCTGATGGAGGAGTCTCGAAAGCATGGTTTTAGCCCGTACCATGTGAAAAAAGACTCAATGGGTTATATTTATAATCGGTAAGATACTGCTCAGGCATTAAATCAATGTTCTAGGCATCCTCCAGATCATCCTCTGACGATATTGGCACAGAATATGGGCTGCGATCAAACGGGAAGCCCTTCTAACTGCAGCCGAGGGCGTTGCGACGCCTTCCGAAATAGATGGGATATTCAAGGATGTCTTAAAGACCCCAAAAGGCCCCTTCGAGCAAATGGACGTGGTGGGATTAGACGTCGTGCTCAACATCGAAGAACATTATGCAGAGAAGCGGCCAGACATACCTTCAGAGCCTCGTGACTACCTCAAGAAATTGATTGAAAATGGACAGTTAGGTGTCAAAAACGGACGGGGTTTCTATAACTACTAGTTTAGAGGATTGTTCTGTACTGGCAGATTGCTGGTGGGATCGTGGGAGGCTCCAGGAGCAATGGTGTGCTATCCTTGGACGGTATGGTATATAAGGGGCTTCAACGGAGTCTGGAGCGTGGGAATGGTTGAGACAATATCACAGCGACTTCGAGGGCTCTGGCATGAGCCTGCGAAAGTGAGTTACATTGAACACCATCGACCTGGATGCTTCCCGCCTGTAGCTTTAGACAGTGTGAAATAGGATTGGATGAGCGCGAAGAATTCTTTCAGATCTTCCGACACGTAGATTTCATACACCTTCCTGACCGCAAGGGGAACTTCGTTGTACATGATTGAGAGTACTTAGGCAGGAAGGAGCAGACCGTCAAAAGGTCGTTCCTTCCCCATGGAAATCTCCGTACCCCGGAAAACGGCAGTCGCGATGGTCCCCGTTGCCCGTTTTCGCATTGGCTTTGATTGGTTCATCTGGGCCGTAGCGCGACAAGCTTTTCGATAATCGAATCAGCTTGTGACCACACCAAGTCTTCCTTCAACGACACCACCTCATGTCAAGAGAACATCTGTTTTCATAACCCCGAAATGCGTGCTCGCGCTCTCGGGAGCTTGTCTCAAGGCAATGGCGCACAGTGACCGGACCCACCGGCGAGTTCAGTTCTCAAGTTGCGATGAATGTCGAAAATCCCGAGTTGCTTGTGATGCGGGCAGAGCACGCCGGAGCCAGCATGATCCTCAAGAGTTGATGTCCTGCACGAGATGCCTCAACCGACAGTGGCAATGCACCTTCGAGGTTTGCTCGTTCCCACTTGGAAGATGCCCTAGTTCCCCATCCCCCCCTACTGACACTATTCTCAAAAGTGGATGAAACAGCATCCAGGGCCCTCGATAGCTTTACGCACTGAACCACAGAGAAGGCCCAAGAAGGCTCGGCCGCGAGCGCTGATTGAAAGTGCCTCTGTTGACGAACGGCAATCAGTGATCTCTGACCAAGCCGGGGTTATGGCCCTCCAGCAAAGTCCTGGCCCATACGAGGCAGATTTTAGGTACTATCTCCCCATGTCAATGAAGCTTCTCGGCTTATGGACAAGTTTCTCGTCCACATGGGCTTCCCGAGAACCTTCCCAAGCTTTCCCTACATCCGTAGCGAGCGTCGAAGTATCGACCAGCCTTGTCGATCAATCATGGCTTCATACTATCTACGACACGGCATTCGAAACGGTATTCGGTTCGTGGATGGGAAGATATAGCAACCCGTTCGCGTATGTGCATTCTGTTTCCATTTTCATCTTCCTATTTGCCTGACAAGTCTAGGTTCGGAGAGCAGAGCCTGTCAGATATAGTGAGCATCCGTCGACTTTGCAGCCAGCTTGATAAGTGGATAGAGGATGGGCATGATGGCACAGGTACCATGCTGGATTTCGGTGCCTCACCGGAGTCATTCAAAAATGAGAACGATATGCAGATTGACAACTACCTCGATTGTGCTATACAGGGGTTTGCTGCACGATGGCTGCCACTGATCTCTCCTATCAGTACTACAGGAGCTCCCTGTCTCGAAATTGTGAGGAGCTTATGGCGGCGCGCGCACAGAGATATGCTCAAAGTCATCAACAGACCGTCCTATCGATCCATGCTGGCCTTACTACTCTTTGCTCTTACCCCAACTCCAGTCGGTATATCTGAAGAAGAAGAGTTGGATGGTGTCTCCGGCCAACATTGTGTTCATGCCGCGCTGCAACAAATCCAGTCACTCCGTGCTCGCCAGAGAAGCCTTCAATTTAACGGCACACGGGTAAGCCTTGCCAGTGTGCGACGCACTTCGGCTACAAGTCCCCAGTCACTTGCCACCACCAACTTCATCAATGCTGAGAGTACAGCATATTGGGCTGCATTAACATTTGACACATCTGCGTCCCTGACCATGAGTTGTAGACCCTTACTTTCGTCCGGGCTTTTTGGTTTCGACGCCGAACCGTCGTGGCGTATGGTTCGGACATGTGCAGAAATATTCAAAGGAATGACAAAGGACTGGAAAGAACCTGATTTCGAGATGACTAATGAAAAGGCAAATCAAATCATAGCCTCTGGAGCAGCGTGGAAGTTATTACAATGGAAATTGACCGCTAATCTCAAGGAGTCACTACGAGATGGACACGACGAGATTGAGGTGAACAAAGCGTTCAATGCTGTTTCCGACGCTATTGACCATTTCAACGTCACCTACCGAGATTTGCTCAGTGCATGTCAGACTCGAATACAGTTTTTCAGTCAGGAAACGAAACTTCGCTGGTGTAAGTGGATTCCCGTTGTCCTATACTTTCCAGACTAATTTGGCGACTAGACGAACTGGTGATGCATTACAATCTCAGCATCTTGATGGTTCCAGATATAGTAGCTACCACGCACCGTGAGGACCTATTATCCTTGTTCTCGGCAAAGCGAATGAATGCAGAGACCTGGGTCATGAATTGCCTAGAGTTCGGCCTCAACAACAAGTACACCCTACAACTTCGAAGCGACAAAAGCCCTTCTGATCCGAAAGCACCCATCACCTCAGAGAATACGGTTACAGTTCCATTGGTTGCAATAGACCCGTATCCACATCATGTTGTTGCAGCTGTGAAACTCATGCAACAAGCTATCGACAGGGACTCCGCCAGAGGCAAGATCGGTTCGGGTGCTTACAATAATCTCCTCTCCACATTGAGGCAGACATTGGAGCAGTTACCCCAGTGCTCAAAATCCGTACAAATGGCCAGAGCCGATTTTGCAAAACCGGAGCATCCTTCCCAGCCAGCATATCCACAATGGTGAGAACACGCCACTCAAGGGATACGCAGTTTGTCATGAGGTCTTTCCCGGAGACGATGCTTAGGTGGGTCTTCGGTCTGGAACCTGTACACTGGTCCTACTGTCCCTCAAGTCTGTGAGGCATCATTAAGGATGCGAAAGCCCAGGGCAGCGTAAGCGAGCCTGGCGAGCGCAGATGCCTATCTCGCTAATGGGTAGAGTGCAATCAAACCCCAACAATTGCAAAGGAAGAGGAGCAAGCCACTTTTCGTCAAACATGTGTTGCGGGGAAACGTTTCGCTCCCCATGGGCAAGATGCGTGTCAGCCCCGTGCGTCATGTTACATTCGGATCCGACCAAAATACTGAGATCTTCGATTTTTAAGCTTAGATCTAGGTCCGCCTACATCCAACAAGACCTCGAGTTAAGCGAACAGTGCAACAGATTGGCAATGCTCTACACTCCTAGTGTCCATCCTTTTTTGCCACCAGCTCCCAAACAGCGAATCAGCAATATGCAATCTACCACTATTCAACAAAATAACATGGGCTTAGACAGGGTATTTCGCATCCGGGCTCTGGGCACATGTCAGTTCGGGGGGTGGATACCCTGGCGCACGTACGGGAATCAAAAAGAGTATAAGATATCTCATTGACCTCGTCATGCTGTCATTGCATTGTGTTACCAGTTAATTGCCATCAAGTTTCCAATATCTTCTCTTACTGTACCATGGCCATTCATACTGCAGCAAACATGCACGAAACATCCCCAAATAACGAAAAATGGGCGGATGATCAAGTCGAGAAGTCAATCAGCGAGAAACACGTTGTAAGTCAATCTCACCCCGCCAGAACAGTTGTCCCTTTCCTAATATCGCAAAAAGGGTTCCAAGCATCATGATCCAAACTGGACGGGCGAGGATGTCGATACATCCGGCGTTGATCCTCAAAAGACGCTTCGCAAGATGGATCTACGCCTCATCCCGATGCTGGCTCTGCTTTACCTGCTCAGTTTCTTGGATAGATCAAACATCGGAAATGCTAAGATTCAAGGCATGCAAACCGACCTGAAGCTAACAGGTCCGGAATACAACCTCTGTGCGACTGTTTTCGTAGGTAAATTATGTTCCTGCCTTCTGATTAACCACTAACGTTTGTATCTAGTTCTTCACTTACTGCGCATTTGAGATTCCCTCAAACCTTCTCCTCAAGCGCTTTCGACCATCGATCTGGCTTCCTTCGATCATGGTCGCATGGGGCCTCGTGATGACGCTCATGGGCCTCGTGACTTCGTACCATGGGCTCCTCATTTCCCGTATTTTCCTAGGTGTTGCAGAAGCGGGCTTGTTCCCGGGGGTTGCTTTTTATCTCACGTCATGGTATGTAAGAGAGGAGCTTGCATTCCGTCAAGGTCTATTTTTCAGCGCTGCGAGCGTGGCCGGTGCTTTCTCGGGTCTCCTTGCATATGCAATCGCCAAGATGGATGGAGTAGGTGGAAGGACCGGATGGCAATGGATCTTTATCCTTGAAGGCATTTTGACAGTGGTAGTGGCATTTGCTGCTTACTTCCTACTCTACGATTTCCCTGATACCGCCAGCTTCTTGACGGTTGAAGAGAAAGCTTGGGTTGTGCATCGTCTGAAATACCAAGGGAGTGAGAAGACTGGAAGACTCGTGGCTGAAAGTGATCATTTTGAATGGAAATATGTTGTGCAAGGTAAGTGTATTTGCATCCGTTGATTGAGATGCTTTGGTTAACAGCTTGGATAGCGGTTACTGACTGGCAGCTATACCTGTCTCTGTTCATGTATTGGGGAATCGTTTGTCCTTTGTGTAAGTCTTACTCCCGATCCCATTGTTTGCCCCCCCGGGCAGTGTTTCGAGCTCAACTCGAGAATTCCTCTTCACTCTCCATGGGATTCCTAGGCTCTTGCCTCATTTTCTCATTGGACTGCTCATCCCTCTCTCCACTTGATTCATCACCCGAAGCTATAATTTTACTAATCTGAACTTTGAACGAGAACAGACTCCATCTCGCTTTTCCTACCTAGCATTATCAAAGAATTGGGCTATATATCGACCACAGCTCAGTTACTGACCATCCCAATCTACATTACTGCGGCAATTCTCGCAGTTGTCGTCTGTTGGTTGGCCGACCGAGCGAGCAAGCGAGGAGAATCGCGATGGCCTTACGTCTTCTTCCCAATGTGTGCTATTCTGGTCGGGTTCGTCATGGCCATCTCGGCATCCGCAGTCGGAGGCGTTCCTGGTGTCGTATATGCCGGTGTCTTCATCGCCACTTGTGGAATTTACCCAGCGTTCCCCAACAACATCACTTGGATCAGCAACAATCTTGCAGGAAGCTACAAGCGCGCCGCCGGAATGGCATTCCAGATCGGCGCTGGCAATCTCGGTGGTGCCATGGCGAGCAACTTCTACCGTGCCCAGGACGCGCCCAAATACTTGCTCGGCCACGGCTTGGATATCGGTTTTGTCGTCTTGGGCCTCGCCGCCGTTGTCACTCTGAGAATCGCCTATGGTCGGATCAACAGCAACAGGGAAAAGAGCGGTGCCGCTGAAGGACTCACAGACAAGGAGCTCTCTGACTTGGGTGACAGGAGCCCTTCATTCAGATATACGCTATAGGCGCGGATGTTAGTAGAGTGGGACACTATTCAATAAGTGCCACGATGGAACTGTGTTAACCACCTTGCTTAAATCTTTATGATCCGGCTGTCACCTAGTCTTCTCAAGGAATGACTGCGCTTACTCGAGAAAGTGGATTAAGGTGGCGAAAGATAGTTGAGTCTTAGAATCATTAATTACATCTCAGTTTAAATGAAGAGACCCTTCTGCACAAAAATCAAATCCCAGAAACGAGTTTATAGTACTTCAGTGCCGTAGCCCCATTCAGCACCAATGGGTTGCACTTCAACCCAATAGGTTTTCCACACCCGAGTCGGCCCTATGTAGTGATTATTACTATGTAGCGTCAGGTACGGAGGACATCCTGCACAGTCCAGCATCTCTCACGGCTTTCAGTCGACTGCACAAGGGGAATTGTCCTTCTCCGTAACCGACCCCCGGCAGGAGGGCGCAAAGCAGGTATGTATTAGAAAACACAACAAAAGCCCTCTTTGGTGGCAGGCATGTCAGCATATTTGAACAGGAAAAAGAGAAACGAATCTTGCGTCGACGCTCTCATTGTACTGTTTTGCTTCGGTTGTGGGAAAAATCAGGGTTGCTTAATAAACTCATCTCGTCGTGCACATTTTCTGGGTATCTTCTAAGCTAGGCGCGATGTAATAGTGTACATAGATATGACACGAATAACGCCGGACGCTATGCAAAATTCGAGCCTGATGAAAGGAGGACACCTCCTTGCTGGCGATGCAAGGGCTGCACTCGCCGCGCAGCCAACCAGCCAACCAACCGACGGACCTTAAGGCTCAACATCCTCAAAGACATCGTCCTCGTCCTCGTCCATGCCAGACTTCTCCATCTCGGAGTCGTCCTCGACCTTGGGCGCGACCTCGACACCAGCCGGGTTCAGCAGCAAGGCGTCGTTCTGCTTGTACTCTGGCTTGAGCTCCCACTTCCCGTTGAAGTCGCCGGCCTTCCACATGAACGCGATCTCGTCCAGCGTCTGCCGGAGGTAGGCCTCCGGCTGGTTGACTTTCGCCTTGAGGTCGCGTAGGCCCCAGATGCGGTGCTGGCGGAATAACTCGAGCAGTTTATCAATCAACACATGTTTCTCAACGCGCGCGGCGCGGGTCTCTTTCTGAGCTTGGCGGCGCGCTTGTGCGTTCTGGTGGGAGGAGGGGGTGGGATGTTAGCTAACTTCAGTGGTGAGGGAGGAGAGGGAGAGGGCAAATGTAGGGATGTGATATGTCGGTCTGGAACTTACCTTGAGAGCGTTTGCTTTGTCGGTCTGCGTCATGAACGGTAGATGTTTCCTCGAAGGGTCCTGGTCGCCGGTTGCGAAGATCGCTTGTTCTCGGCTGGGGATCTTGAGGAGCTCTGCGGCTTGCTTATTCTCCAGCACAAAGTACTCGTCGTTCTTGACCGGGACCGCTTCAAACTCCTTTGCAACCGTGCCCGTGATCGCGGTCTGTTTAGGGATTGGCCGACGTGCATACGGTGTGTATCGGCCTTTGTTCTCCTTCTTCTTGATCTGGCGTTTGTGGTTTTCGTACAGGTACGATCGCCCTTGTCCTGGGTTTCCGTCCTCGTCAAGATCGTCCCAGGTGAATGTCCGAGCTTTGTAGCCTGGTAGATCTTTCTCTGAAAACACCATCGCTTGGCCGGGTCTTCGGCTCCTGACTTTCTCGATGGGCGGGAGGGAGAGGTTGTATTCTTTTGGCTCGTTCTCGAATTGAGGTAGCTTGTTTAGCAGTAGACTGACCTAGCATAGAGCGTTAGCCGAGCCACGCAGAAAATAGGGACGTGCTCCGTTCGTACCCTGGATGGATTTGATTCTGAACCCTCCACCCTGATGGTGCCGATCTCAATCTCGTCTTCGTCATTCAGGGTGGAAAGAGCCTCCCACAGCGACTTGGGGACATGGCTCAGCCACAGCTGCTGTTGTGCCTGGGAAAAGTCGAGATCGCCGGTCTCCTCGTACATGTCCTCGTCATCGTCGACGTAGGGCGAAGGCGAGTCATCTGCGGGCTCTGGCTTGATGACTTGGTCTGACACGGATTCTACTTTGACTGTGGGAATTCCAGAGCCTTGTAGAGTAGCCATGGTGGAAAGTGATAGATAACACTGTGAGAGACGCAATGGAAGGGGGAGTATCAAAGAAATATGCGGAGAAGTCCAAGACGAGGCACAGCTGGGGCGCACAGTGACGGTGACAGATGGCAGGCATCCTATGCTGCTTCTAGATCACGTGATTGATTTCTCGTGTTTCTTTAAGGCGACGGCAGAAATAACTCCTTCTGGGAATGTGTTGAATCACCCTCCTGATTAGCTGCATTGGAAGCCATGGCTAATAATAATACGTACTCGTCTAGCTAGGGTGGGAGCATTTATGAGAATATATCTTGTCTGCTTCTCGCAAACTCAAGGGCCACGCCTTGTGTCACTTCGTGGCCGGCTACCAGCGCACCTGAATACTCCAAATTCCTCCCCGTTGATGTCACACCTAGGCATAGGCTACCCGCTGAACTATCTAGGTAACACAGATCGGCCATCACACCGTCATCATGACCTGATGTTGCACCGACTAGATAAGCGGATGGCTCCTCCATTTTTCTTCGTTCTCTTTGTCTATCCATAATAAGTACGAGTGGCACACTCACCCGATGACCTCGACCCCAACCGCTTTACCATCTCTCAAGGTGAAGCGCAGAAGAGTCCCCTTTTTCGCGCTTCGAGGACCGACCTTGGGGGTAGGCGGGTTTCCTGCCCTGTTCTTGTGGACCTTGCGTCGTCGAGTGCTTCTGATTCTGGATCGTGTTGGTGTTGGTGACAAGTCAATAATTGGCGTCAACTCGGCTAGCGGTGATACCGAAGCCAGTGGAAGGACTTGTCTGGGGTTATGAAATCCAACGAATTCCAGGGAGACAAGCGCATCGCCGACAGGTTTCATCAATTCTTGGACTGGCGACTGCAGGGCATTGGAACTACCCGCCGTTGAGACTATGAGGGAACTTGATCAGCCTGATGATGGCTCAAAGCGATTAGAGGAGTGAGCTAACCTTTTGATTTGGTTTGAACAGCCTTTCCGTATTGTGTTTGGGCCGTAGACTTGTAAGCCCCGAATGTTTGCATTTTCACCAAAACTGGTGTGTTGATATGGTATATTTTGATCTATTTCCAGTTGTTCTTTCCCAAAAGTTCTTTATCGGAATGTAAAATTTCTTGTCGGGCTAATGCTGGGACATGAAGAGTGATAGCGAGGCGTGGCTGACATTTAATGATATATCTCGGTAGAAAGATACCATCGCCGACGACCGTGAGGGTTCCTTTGTTTGGGTTGGCTATTTGATTGCACGGTGAGACAGTTGTTTGAAATTCTAGCGCCTGGGCTCACGTGGTAGTTGCGATTGTCATTGTTGAATATAGTTCATCCAAACACTTGACAGTGTTTGACAAGGCATGCACGGAAAAAGAGCTTTTGGGAGAAAGAATTCATGCATGAACCAGGTGGAAAGTTGCAGCAGAGCGCCATAGACTCTAGAGGTAATTGTGTCGGGCGGCTGCGTACCATGCAGGATGGACTATGCAGAGACAAAGAAACGCTGCATCATCTCAACCCACAAAGCTTCAAAATCAAAATCAAAATCAAAGAAACATGGCACTTCAACCAAGACCACTTCTCATCATTATGGGCAACACCTTGTCTTGCAGGCTCTTGTAAATGTCCAGAATACCCACCATTCCAGCCCATTTCTTGGCTAGGGTGTTCAACAAAATCAGACATGTTCCGGAAATCTCGTGGATCTCAGCAAAGTCGATCTGGTCACTTTGGGCTTCTCCTGTAAAATCTCGGGAGAAGCTCACCACTGGCAGCCTTCCATCGATTGCTAGGAGACAGTGCGCCATTATGATGATTGTGGCCTGGAAGATGTAATGTGCTGAAACTATTGTAATTGGGTACATGCCCCAGGGGCTGCCTTCTGTGCCACGGAAGAGTTTGTGGTAGAATTCTACCACATGAACAGCGGAGTAATAGCTTTCTCGGGGGACGATCTCTGTGACCTCTTGTGGTAGGACGTGGTCTTTGGTGGCAACCAGCGCACGGAGGAGTAGAGGTTGGAAAAGAAAGCAGATCGATGAGTCAAAACCCATGTCGCAGGTCATACTACCCATACCAAGGCCAGTGTCAATGAACTGTAATTCACGACGCCAGGCTATGATACGCTCGAGGTTCTGCTCATACCAAATTCGGGGTAGATTGGGTGCCACAGCAGGTAGGTAAAGCTCTCGAAAAATTTCGGAGCGGATGTATGTCAAACGGTAGTAGTGGCTAGTGAGTATGAGCTGGAGTGAGTCTGGATCTGCCAGTGCAGATTCATTCAGTGTGGCTGGGTATTCAGCGGTAATTATTTCCTCGGTGAGATCCGAAGGGCGACCTAAGTGCTGGCCTACGGTACGCTCGATGGTATACAGACCCCAAAATATGGAGCGTCGCCGTCTCCGTGCCTTCTCATCTTCGTATTCATCGTTTGTCTCCGTGTGGTAGCTCAGCTCTACACTCAGGCGGCAGGCAAAGTCGAGGAGCTTCCAAATATCGCCCTTTCTAGGATAGAATAAGGTGAACATAATCAATAGGAGAAGGGCCTCGAGAGCATCAGGAGATACATCGGAGGTGACCTCTTCGACGCATTGAAGGCCTTCTGTGTAGTAAGACATGGACTCTGTGTCATAGATAGAATGATGACGGGCTTTGTTGGCAGCTGCTACAGCGCAGATCATGGTCACGCGGAAGAATTGATGTGCTTCCTTACCGGTGAGGTATTTGGCATTAGAGCCGTGGTGACGGAGATATATTTCGACATCCTGGCTTAGATCCTCTGAATCAAAGAAAACAACCAGACTGTTGGTTGTGGACATGTACAGATTGATAAGCATATCGATCTCCGAGCGAGACGGGGTTGGTCTAGGCTGAAGAGGTTGCTGAACCTCAGTACTTTGAGCGTTCAACCAAAACTCTGGACCCGCATACTCTGGGTGATGAACCATAGGTCCCAGCTTCGCCTGGGCATGGACGAGCACCTCGACAACAAGGGCATATGGCGAAGAACTGCCCAGAAACTGCCAGCAGGTTGGGTTTGCATGTTGGATAATAAAATGCTTGTCGAAGGACAGATCGCTGGTATAGGTTCCCCATTCATTGGTCGGGCCATCCAGATGAGTGGAAGCCAGAGAAATATTGCGTTCATGATGATGCGAAAGACGAAATGGATCCAGCGGTTCACTGGTACCATTTACAGCGGCCTGGACGGAGCGAAGACGACCTAGGCGGGTCAACAGTGAATGCACATAGCTTCGTGGTAAGGTCTGTTGCAAGGCATGGTCGAAGAAGGTGCACTCGGCCTTGCCCTTCTCACAGAGTCGACAAGCTGGCAGGTTTGTGTCACACTTCCTGCGTAGCCGGCGACATCTCTGACAGGTAGGCAATAGGCGCGTCAAGTCGGCTTCGGAGATGGTCGTGGACTCAAGATCCATATTGCGGTATAGGTGATCAAGTCCGCAGGTAGCCTTAGGAGTTGAGGGTGGAAATTAGGACATGTGCGCTTCTGATGAAGTCACAGCCTTGCAGAAATCCGAGACATATATAAATCTGACTACCAATGTCCCAGTTTCATATATCCTCCCGTCCGAGAGCGAGCAGCAACGACGTGACACGGTCTCAGATGAAGAGGGAAAAAGTATGATGGGATTGCCAACGTGCGGGCAAGACGGCAAGGGCAACTGACGATGCTAGCCGGTCGATTAGCCGGTCCCCGTTTGGTGTTTGGCGTTGAGTTGGGCGAGTCGGCGGGGAAAGAACTCCATCTCCAGGGCACCTTCTCCATTGGTGACTCGTACGGTTATCGGTATGGACGCCGTAAGATACCAGTGCGAACCGATACGGACCAGCCCCAGACTCCCCTCTTCCTACTGTAAGTTTTTCCGCCAGGCCCGTTCTCAGTATTGTTACATTATTACTGTACGATAAGGAATCCCAGGAAACTCAACACCCGCCCACCCCTACAATCTTGCCCCAGGCATCCACCCACAGGTGCCCGCCACTGGCATTTCTGCCGTTGTTCTATCAACCAGCGATCGCCTCCCACGCCCATCCAATCTTTTGCTATTGCGGCGAATCTACCTAACTTGACTCGGGAAATTATACCCACGCCCTGCTGCATTGTCGCACGTTGCATGTCCAATACTAATCCCATCTTCTGAAACCGGTGTGCCAAGTGCTTCACTTTGGGGGTTACAGTCATACAGACTAATACTGCTGGTCTTGGACGCAACTCACTGGATATCCGGTCATTGCACCATCGTCCATCCTCACCTGCCATCTGACGCGAGGGCATTGACACACTGACAAAGGTAGTCAACTCTAGAGTCTCGCTATCTCGGAGATAGGTACCACGTATTCATCCTCTGCAACGTCATGACCCTTTGCTTTCAATGTCAACACTAAGTCATGGCTGAATGTCGCCGCTCTGTTCTCTCGTGCGCCAGATGTCGCCGCCGCAAAATCAAATGTGATCGAGCCATTCCCTGTGGTCAATGCATCACCGCCAAATCGGATTGTACGGGCTACAGTTCAAAGGATCACGATCCCAACATCCCGCGTAGCATCGTACAACATCTGGAATCCGAAATTGCAAAGGTCGAAGGCGACCTCGCTCGCAATGGCCATCTGGAAGAACTCAATGCCTCGGACATCTTGGCTGGCATGCCCACTAACGAGGGTGTTCCCCTCGACGAGACCACCACGGCTCTGCCAATAATCGATATGCCTCCAATGGATCAAGTCAGCCCCAAACTCACACTATCCCTTGATGTATCACCACCAGTACTTGAGAGGGATACTTCTCGAGATGAGATTATGTCTTGCGGCGAAATACAGGCAATGATTTTTGCCATTTTGCCAACAGGACCCGGTATCACCGACCTTATTGCCCGAGTCCGCATGAGTTTGACACCGTCTACCGCAATTGCTTCTGGCTCGCCGCGAGAGACGAGGAGGAAATCCATCTCTCGAGCCAGTAATGAAGTCAGCTGCACAATGTTGAAATCTATTCCTGGCGCCATTCTAAGGTCTCTCGTCAAGAAATACATGACGCGGGTATACCCTATCTTTCCAATCCTATATTCTCCAGCATTGTGGAAACAACTCGACAATGTGATCAAAACGTTGCAAGACCTACCCGACCGTCATCGAGCAGTAGCGCCGTCTTTCGACTTTCTGATCATCTATCTCATGCTTTCCATCTCAGCCACTTTAGGGTCCGCCAAGACTGGTCATGAAGCGAAGCATATGGTGTTCTCGGGTAGTCTGTTCGAAGAAGGCATTCAGCACTTGTCCGAAAAGGCAAAAATACCATCTGATCTAGCGGGGATCCAAGTAACCTTATTGGTTCTACAATATGCCTCCATCAATCCTCGACTCGCGAACGTATGGATGCTTACAGGGGCGGCAATGCGTGCATGCTTGGAGCTGGGTCTGCACCGTGAGGCGCCAGAAGGTCTTAATTTCGACCCACTGACATTGGATCTCCGGCGTCGACTGTTCTGGTGTGCCTACAACTTTGACCGTGCAATATGTTCAGCCTTGCAACGGCCTCTCAGTATACCAGACCAAACCATAGATGCACATTTTCCATCCGTTCTAGACGACCGCCACATCACCGCACAGGGCATTGACGCCACGGGCATCGAGACCAAGACACACAATTTACGTTGGATTCATTTCCGCCGCTTGCAGTCTGCGATGACAGAAGTCCACTTCCAGGGCAAACCACTCGAAGAAGGCCAAACCTGGGAAGACTGGCTCGTTTTCATGGAGCGGCGCCTCCAAGCGTGGTACGAAGACTACAACGACGGGCATGAATTGACCGAGTTCACTCTCGCGCATGGCCTGACCAACTTGCACCGTCCATCACCACGAGTTCCGATGCCAGCACAGCGCAGTCTCATGGTGGCGTTTGAGGCAGCCTGCAGCTCTGCCAAGTCCCTGCGTGACCATATCCTGAATGGCTTCTATCGACGGTCGTGGCTGATTGCGCACCACGTGCTGGAAAACAGTATGGTGGTCCTGTTCTGCCTCCGCCACGGCTTTGACACGATCAGTTCGCGATTCAACGCACAGCAGATCTTTGAAATGACCAAGGTCTTCACGGCAAACTTTCTCTCCCTGGCTGCGCAGGGCTGGAATGAAGTCTCCAATTACGCTGGTGTGTACGAACGTCTCCTCGGCCCATTACTCGAGTCGGTATTCAGCAACCGACCACCGAGTCTCTCCTCCTTCGGCCCCGCGCAGGACGCAGAGCTCACAAGAATGCTGTATCCGGGCCCCGCACAGTTGGACCAGCTGCGCTTTGGCGCGAGGAGTGGCTTTGACGCCGGCAGCATCAACATGTTCGACGTGGGCTCGCTGAACTGGGATGACTTCAGCGTGAGTGACGGCCGCAGCGGCAGTGCAGATGGGTTTGTCGCCGGTTGGGATCTGTTCGACCCTGCCGGCGGTGCCGGAGGTGCGAATGGCGTCGGTGCTCAGGACTTGGTGTTCGGCATGGCTTGACTTTAGTTCAATTTGATCTATCGATCCCCCTGCGCCATGTGTCGGCCGTGCATCCCACTCCGACCAACTTGCGCAGGACGAAGAGAGAAATAAATAAAATCATGAACGATCGCACGGGAGGTTCAGCTGTCCCTGGTACGGTCGGCGGTATTCGCTTTGTTCCATTTTTACAGAGGCGTTTTGGGAGGCCTGCGTTGGTTCAGCACATGGCCATTGGCAGGGGTGAATTTGCACCAAGCGCCTAGCCCATGCTGATCGGTGTATCTGGCCACCTGGCGGTCTATCTCTGTATCTCTGTCGATCCCTAAGCACCCGAGTACCTTGCTAAGGAGGTAGTCAGTTAGTCCCCGGCAGCATGCAATAACTCGCTATATGCCAGCCACATGCCGTATTTTACGACTTCCCTCCTGCCTTGCCACTGCACACTATAGTCAAGATCCCGTATAAGCTTACTTAGATTTTCGTCTCTTCTGCTGCAATTATAGCGGTGAGCGGTCGGTGTGGACGAAGATCAGCGTATTTTTATCCCATGATATTGGGTGTTTATTGGGTCTACATTTACATACATACATGATCGATTGGGCATTTCTGCAACTTTAGGGGTTTATAGACACAGGGCTCGGAGTTCTAAATCGACTTCTCCTGCTTGTCAAATACCAGTTCGGGGTTTTCGACGAGCCTGAAATCAAACCGGGTGCAGGAGACTCTTCTGATTTCAAAGTTCGGAAGAACACACTGCTTTAGGCGGCAGGGAAGATGTCTTGGAGCTCCTCTGAGATGCGCCTGGGGATGAAGAAGTCGACGCCATCGGAGTTGTTGCCAATCGACTCCGTGATGCGCTCGCGGAGGAATGAGTACCAGTCGCGGATGGAGATCAGCCTGCCTTCGTGGCCGTTTAACTCTGATATGGCCCGTAAGGCGGATTCTTCCATCACATATCGCTTTCCTGGGGTTTCGATCGTCAGAGACACGATTCGGCCGTGGTTGGCTTCGAATTTCACCTGGGTGCCCTGGACCACGGCGCCGGCGAATTCGAAGCGTGGGGTCCCGTCATAAATCCAGGCCTCGGTCTGGAGTTCGGCGAGGCCGGAGGCCAGGGAAGGAATCTCGGGTCTCTCAGCGTTATCGAAGATTTCGTCCCCAAGGACAACCTCGTTGTGGCTTTCCTTGCGCCCCTGACCATCACCGTACATCTCCCAGAAATGTTGCGCTATTGCATTTGTCATGACTTTCTTCACTGCGTCCCTCGCCTGGGGGTCAGGTGTCCAAGCTAGGTTTCCGACAGGGCTTCTAACGCTCTCAACACCCTTCGCTTGTATAAGACCTCGTCCCCGGCTTCTCAGTAGACCCGAGATCTTGTGTAGGTAGGGGCTCGAAATTAATAGTGTACCATGATGCAGCGCCCTTCCTTTGGTAATCTTGTACGCGCTGCCACTAACTTTGAGCCATTGCAGCGTGTCACCTTTGTCCTTCATGACAATGTCGTTACGGTCATTCACTTTTAGCTCACTAAAGCCATATCTGGGGGACAAAGGTTTGAGAGCGCGCACCGCCATTTCGGCGTGCGTGCTACGTTTGAAAGTCTTGGAATTGGGCACGATGACCGAGTAGTTCAAATTTCCATCGTCATGAAAGACAGTCCCACCCCCGCTGCGGCGGCGGATGAGGTCCATTGGAGAGGTCGAATGTCGAATGCTAGGAGCATGGGCTCCTGCCGCGAGAAATCCATCACCTTTGGGTTCTAGGCCCTCTCTCAGTCTCTTTATATCTGCCTCAAGCCATGGGTTTTGATTGCGTCCTATCACGACGCACGGCCGATTCGTGTAGAAGAGAAGGATGCGCGAGTTGGGGCATGAATTGGTGAGGATATAGTGCTCAATGGCGAGGTTACGGTACGGATCGTTGGACGTGAGATGGAAAACGAGAGGCGAGGTGGAGGTGGACACGGTGGACAAGTCACTCAAACTCCATCCTTTTGGGTGGTCGGAGGTCGCCACTCCTTTGCTTGCTGTTATATGAATAGGAGCGAATGTGACCGAGGGTGGCCAGACGGTGGCGGGCTTTCCAGCAGCCAGCAGACATCTGGAGGACAACAGGAGCGGCGATAAAGCCGTCCGCATTTGTAGAAGGGAAAAGAGAAAGGGAGCAACGGCCGCCGTGGGAAGAAAGCCTCACCGCTGTGCATGTTGTCGGTTGTAGACGATCGCTAAGCCCTACTCCGTAAAGCTCCTCATAAAATGCAGTTAGTATCATTAGCACCGGTTATTTCTCCTTGCGCACCGCATATGGAAAGTCAGCCGAAGGGCGGTGTTTCTCATTTTCTCTATCTCGTTGCGCCTCTCTGGTCGCCCTGTGATGTAAAGTCATTGTGAAACTTACACCCAGAATCCTAGAACCTTTTCCGCCATTAAAAGCGTACAATATTGCCATTCCCTATGCCAGCATGTGCCTTTGCACCTAGGTCCTTCAGTCCTATCCTGGATTCAGATGCTCCTCTGGTCCTGTTTATATTGTCATCACCATCGTCTCAATCTGGAAATCGGTGCGGACCAATCACTAAACTCTCGGCTAAGGGCCTGCCGCACCCACATCTGTCATTCTTGTACGAGACACTCCGGACTCCTGAATCTTGAGCGAGAAATTCATCGTCTTGACTTGTGCCCCATCAATTCTCCCTTTGCTCACTGCATGACAGGCAAGCCTTCGTTCTCGTTAGACCGGCCTGGGCCACTCTTTATCAATTTGCCTCGCGCGTGTTATGTTACTCATCAATGGCCCGCTGCTTTCCAGCTCCAATACTGCTGGTTGCTTCATCCTGAGGCTCGCCAATGAGACCGGGCTCTCTGATCGGTTCCCGCCAACTGCAACCTGACGCTGCATAAAGGCCCTGCCTAATATCCGAAATGCGGTGTAACCTTCCCGTGTGAATCTCTTGATGTAAATGATCCGAAAACAAGAATTGCCTCATCACTCGTCTAGCGTCTTCCCACGCAGATAGTCCCATGTCAGCAGCTAGACTCTGATAACTCGCCTCGAACCATCCTAGGGCATCGTTCTCCGTAAGATGCACCTTCTCAGCCAGAGCGCCCACGTAGAGCGCCCATAGACGAAGCCTCTTGAACTGGGTCTGTTCACCCTTCCTCTCGCTTTCCATGAGCTTCTTCCGAATATCTTTGATCAATTTCCCCCCAAAACGCACGGGTTCTGGTGATCCAAGCACCATGTTTGCCATCAAGGCTGTCACAAGGCATGAATAGTCTTGGGTCAAAGGCCAACTGAATAGATGGGGGTAGATGGCCAGGTCGACATGGTGGTCTGCCAGACGTGAAATGCAATCGAATTTGCGAAGTTGCCGCCATCGAAGTACTTGGTCGTCGCTCGGGACGTCGTGGCCATGAGTGTATTCGTCCACTTTGAAGAGCTCTCGCAGGTCAGTAATAATAGCTTTCATCAGAGGATTCTCAATCAATGGATCAACCGCTGCCGAATGGTCGCCATAAATACCTGCTGCCATCAACCGTGCTTTCCAGGGTTGACTGAGTGGACCCGGGGTCCACTCCTGCGCAGGAAAGAGCGGCCGGGTTTCGAATTTGAGGGCGAAATAGCAGTCGCAAGACAAAAGATCTTCTCGGAACCACGAATCCAACAATATCACACCACCGGCCGAGTTCACAAGGTTGCGAAGCATTTTGAGATGCATGCGTGCGGTCGAGGTGTTGTCGGCCAAGGTCTCAGAAGAGAAGAGTTTCAAAATAGCTTTCAGTGTGGTTAGCTCCTTATTACCTTGTGCAGACACTCGCTGGCGCAACTCGGTCATGGCCTGTCCTTGGTAGAATCGGGATTGATACATAAGGTTGTCGTCGTCAGTAAGGCTGCCCATCGCCGCTGCAAGAAGACTCAGGTAAGCATTTGCATAACAAGTGTCCTGGTTGATGAGAACTATGTCGTCCCAACTCCTAGCAACTTCCCAGGTATTTTGGGCTCTCTCGGATTCTTTGGGCCAGATCGATGGAATGAAAGACTCGTAGGCGTAGCCGATTAAATTGTTGACGAGTGGGGTCATAGAAGCAATATCTGGGTCGAATGGGCTTTCTGGGAGGATTAATTGTTGATTCATAGTCCCTAATAAAGATGTCGGGTCATCGTTCATGATGCTAGAACGGGTAGAAGGTGTCGATGCCGCCGAGGTCTGGAAGCCACTGCTTGATGGTTGTGTCGAGCCCAATCCTGGGTAGCCTAGTTGCGATGGATCGGCAGTCCATGGGTCAAACCCGAAAGGTATCAAGGATGGTATAGACTTGGGCTGAAAACTATTTGTCAATGGTGTTCTTCTAGGGTTGAGATATGGAACACGACGTACAGACTGATGCTGCTGTCGGATCTGCGCCTGCTGACTTTGCGACTGTGAGGATGAGGACGAGGATGAGACGTGTTGGTGCGAGGGAGGCGAAAATGGGCCGACGGGGACATTTGCGGATGCCCTCAGCTTCTTTGCTTGTTCCTGCTTCTTCCATCTCTCGTACCGGTTCATGACGTGCCACGATACGGCAGCATTGTGGTCTTTCGAGTCGATATTGCCAGCATCCTTATTGACAAAGGAAAACTCACCGCGGAAGGGTGCTGGATGCTCCGTGGAATTGGTGTCTTTAGTTTCTTTGGACATGAGGTATATTTTGTCGTGCTGAGATGATCCAAATTCCGCCACCGTATTGTGGTATATAAGAGTCGCCATGGTTCCGCGCGTGGAAAGCGACGATGGTTTTGAATAGAAGTCCCATGATGCAAAATGACGAGAAGCTGAAAGTAGATTCTATATGGAATTGTTCATCCTTAGCTCAGCAATCCAGATTTCCATGGAAGTATTCCCAATCGCCCAGGAGCTAACGGTACCCTTGACCCCGTCCCAATGAGGTGTTGGCCGATGAGGAGTGTCATCCACGGTCTAACCGTTTCCTGAAGGCCATCAGCGGCGCATGATTGGACCCTTGGACCGAATCTTGACGGCCGATGCAGCCCCAAGCCTGATGAGACTTAGGCAGGATGATGGCTTGTGAACGGGTTCGTCTCGGTCGAAAACAAAGTCCCAGTCAGTATTAGGTTACGAAAGCGCGTTTGGCAGCAGTGTGTGAAGGCAAGTAATAATGCAGGCAACTAATTCCCGGCCTGCAATATGATGCTGTTTGGCCAAAAGATTGAGCCATCATCGATGTACCGATCGCATCGCCATGATGCGATTAGAAATCACACCGTCTGGCAGCAATCGAGCAAGCAAAGCGTAGAAAGCTATCTCGTAAATCGCTCGCTTAAGCAAGATGGGAATTGAATGCCGTAGGGGTGGCCGCAGGGGGGAGAGAACAGCAGTGCCTCGTGCAAGATAGAGTAGTAGTACTCCGTACATGTCGCGAGTTTTCGGCAACAAGCATTGAGAACTTACGGGAGACTTGGGAGACTTGGGAGACTTGGGAGATTCGTCAGACGCCGAATAGAGGGAGAAGGCTATGCGTAAAGAAGCGCTACACACCCGTCAGTCCCTGCTAGCCCCCAGCGGTCCAGCACCCACCCAGCACCCAGGCTAACAGAGTCTGATGACAATTGCGCTTTCTGTTGCTTAGGTCAGGAATGCGTCATAGAGCGTCTTTGCCAACAGCCTAAGGGGGTAAATTTCAATCGTGGCTGAGGGGCCGGGGCTTGACGGGATAGCTCATCCTCGTCCTCGTAGGATGAGGATCATCATATTCAGGCCTTGAAAAGACGGTGTTCACGGGAAGTCCACATCCCGATCGAAGCCTCTTTCTATCTGAATCCCTTTAGCAATCGATAGCGGAATCAAATCCCCAGGTATCCATCGTGGTCATGTATGCTTGTTTTCCAAGGCTTCTAGAATGCAACAGGCCTTGTTCTTGTTGACGATGACTCTAGAAGCCAATGCCACGAGATTGCGTTATCTGGCGATCTCCATTGTCTATCCATAGCCCCATACTTCGTTGGCGAAAAGTGAAGCAATGGATTGCTCCTTTCTCGCTTAGTCACGGCGGGTGTCTCCCGCTACTTTATGAGGCAATTGTCTCGAATTTCATCCAAGGTAGCAATCAGGAACCGTAGGAACGACGGGGAAATCATAAACACTGCCTATATTTACTAGTGAGGGATACCGTTGCGCTACTTATCTTGATTCCCTGCAAGAGAGAGTGTCCAAAGATCTGTCAAGGTTTCGCTGTCAATCAGAATATCTCGCAAATGCACCCTTTCGAGCTAGCCGCGGAAAACGAAACCCTCTCCCGCCCACATACGCATACCTTCGAATCCTTTTTTGACCAGCCATCGAGAGGAGCAAAACTTGATGGATCCCAAGCCGAGATGGAAAACATCCCAGAAACTCGTGACTCCGGTCTTTTTTGGAAAGTTTAGAGCCCACTAACTAGATTCACAGGTGGATTACCTCGTACCTCTACCAAGGGGAGAGGCGAGTATCGCAAACAATCAAGAATAGGACTTGCTCGAATAGGTACAGTGGATGCAAGAAACCCCCCTAAATTGTGACAGATAAGCGGGGTGATACCGACGAGGCATGCCCTAGATAGTGCAGAAATAATCAACCATCCCCGACACCAAACTCCCGACACCCCGTTGGCAACCACATATTTATGTCTCCTCGAACAATGCCCGGTTCTTGGGTTCAGATATCATACGTTGACCGCAAGTGGAATGGACCCTCAAGGCTCATGCCCACAGATAGCATGCTCCATGGCCTTTCGCAACAAAATTGGTCTTTACACATATATGCTGCGATGGTTCCACCTCTGCAACTAATGTCACCGCTCGTTACACGAACCTGTTTCGGCTGAAGCACTATGTATATTAACTATCAAACGTGAGAGTCGACGGACTCGACCCGCTTTTACATCTGCCGCTCCTACAGCATCACGCGGGAAGCTGTCATCCTTGATGAAATTCACTCTCCTGACAGGTAGGACTTTCGAGAGCCTGAAGCAGTTGCCTTGCGATCAACGGGTGGAAGGCAAGAATCTTTGAGGTAGGAAACGAGAATGACAAAGGAGATATAGAGAGGAAAATGGCCCTTCAACAGATCTTACTAAAATCTAGGATAAGCTTTTGATGTCAACCATTAGGGCGGCAGATCCTGCCTATTGGAAGCAGGAGCGTAGGTGGATGAGAATGACCAATATAAAGCGGTTGCCCTTCCAGAGGTGAATCGAGCATGACCATCAGATCAAGTTTGGAAAGGGGCTCGGCAGTCAGCAGTCCAACCCAGCACGCAGGAGACCCTTGGACAAGATCTTTACTCAACTGTTCTTTCTGATGCCCGATTAACCTTGGGTCATAAACCATAGCCCAGAATGGCAGAATGGGTGACTCCAAGTCGGAAAAAGTGGCAGGTGAGTTTCCTTCAAGCGTTGCAAAGACTAATGACAAGGGTGGACGCAAGCTCGTTGTCGACAATGACGTTGATAAAATCCAAGAGATGCCCGAGAGCGTGTCATATATGGGGGCGGAACCCGCTTGAATATTTGATTCCAGACTTCGGCGCGAGACATTCAATTCAGACTGTATGGCGTCGCTCCCGGGGTCTGCGGCTAACTGACAAGCGACTAGGAGCGTGAGTATAGAGTATGAACACGAGAAGGTGTTCAAGGCAGTCTATCTAGCCTCGTTGTTTACGCACCATCGAAGTCATCACCCCTACAAAATGGAACATCTCGCGCTAAACTGACTGATTACCTCGAAACCGTCTTCATCATACACTGCATAGGGGCGAAGGCCATTGGTCAGCTGCCAGAATCGCTTCGGCCATCACAACGTGCACCGCATCGGCACGGCACTCAACCTGAGAAAGTTTGGACAAGGGAAGTCCTTCGCTATTCCCGAGAGCTGTACTCGCTTGTCGCTCATAGGGATGACTTGAGCGAAACACGGGCATAATTAATTCCTAGCTGATCGAAGGTACAATAGGCGATGGCCATTTCAGCTACGGATCTCGACGACCTCCTGTGACAAAGGCTTTGGATATGTCAGATTACAGACATTGGCCGCTTTGCAATGAGGTTGACAGGTATGTCAGCCTTATGCAGCAAACGTAAGCGACCGAAGCTCCTGACCGCTGGGTAGGCAAGATACAGGCTTCGGAGTGCTCAATATTGATATGTACGGGGTACATCGCCAACATCTGGCCGAGCACCCTTTGGGACAAACCTTTGCTTCCTTACCTGGGTAGTCTGTCCAACCGATTGCCTCCAGGTTCGCACTGGTGTTGACTCAAAAGACTAAGTGCTGCAGCTGCAGCTGCGTGAGAGGGTGTGTCTGTCTCTCGTACACAGCAACAAGATTGAGGAGGTACGTTTGTACGCATGCAGTGCGTTTCCGGACCTATCGACTCGCAAATCTCAAGCCCATGCTCTATCGGCCCCGTCTTGAGTCTTGATTCTTGACTCTTCAGGCGTCGACAAAATCAACGTATGGCTCGTGATTCGCCAACTTGAACCGCCGTGGTGTCCCTCCTTTCCTCCCAGAGTCCCAGCTCTCATGCAGATGGACCAAAAGGGGGTCCGCGTTTGACAATCGAGACCGTCGCTAGCCGGGCCAGGAGAGAAAGATTTGGCTACATAACTAGTACCCCGTGCTGGTCGGCCTACCTACGAGGCCCTACGGTATACGTATACTAGTCTGTCAGGTTCTCGACCCGACTTCTTGTTCTCTCGGACACAAGCACAAGCTGCAGGCGTCATAATCAGAGGTGGTTGTTATATTAAAGCCGATGAAGGAAAGCTAATTGTGCCCTTTAAAACTTGAACGTTCCGATCAGCGATCAGTGATCACTGGAGTAGCAAGGGATGCCAGGGACTGGGGTACAGTAGTACGAGTTTTCTGTCAAGGGCACCTCGTAGATCCAAGGATCATCATCGATGGTGCGCATGACACAGGCAGAATCTTCCGCAGTGGCTGATGAGCTAGTTATTAGTTGAGCTAGGTTACGAGAGATTTAGGTTAAGAGCTTTCTTAGTGTCTTAACTTTTGCCCCCCCCCAGATGAAGCACTTAGGGGTTTCCCTGGGCTTGCGGGAAAGGGAAACTCAAAACTGTGATGGGCTTTTGTACTTGGAAGACCATTTGGCCACTCGCGAGTCGAGGCGACGGAGGAATGCCACGGCTGAACCGAACGAGTAGCTTGATGGTCGAGGAGCAACACTACATACTGACAGTGACACCACACTGGTAGCTGGCGAAGGGTGTCGGGCGTCCGATGGAGGGAAATATTTGAACAAGCTTTCGTTCAAACAACCCCGGATACCTGCCAGACAACGGCGAATCCAGAAATCGCCATATTTCTGCCGACGCTTGTCGTGGATTGCTGTTGCGTTTTTGCTAGGTAATCCTACTCGTAGTGAAGAAATAAAACCTCACTGTTCGGGCGCGTGCTACTCCGAATAGGCGAGCGGCCGGCATGCTCTATAGACACAGCTCATTTCTGTACTGTAGTACTGGGTCAAGTCTGACATGAAGGCGATATTTCAACGTCGCATGAGCATCCATCCATCCATCCATCCATGCACTGTACGTGAAGTCGTCGAGGAAGAGGGAATGGCATTACCTGATACAGACTGTACGTGCGCCAGTAGCTGTTTGAGGCCTGGAAATCCGATGCCCAGTTGGCCACCTTTTCAAACCAAGTGTGTGGGGGACCCCGGCTCCGTCGTCTGATCTCGTCAGCCGCACCTTTCTCTCTTCGCTGAGCAAGGTGATCCGGATGCTTCTTGTTGGGATGGAAGGTAGTGTTGCAGTCTGGGACCCTCATACGTATGTTCCTGGGTCTGTTGCGGGCGGCTCATCGTGGCCAAGCAGCTAGATGATAATAGCACCAAGTCAAGTGTTCCTTATACCTAGCTATGTACGGAGTACTAGGTAGGCAGAATCAATTATGGACCATGTAAAGTACGAGGTAGACGTTCCAAGTACCGATCGGATACCACTACTAAAATAATGGCGGCAGCTTTCACCTGCTAAAATTGGGGTGGGATTCGACGGCTTGTGCACAGGCTACGAGGAAAGGTGTTGGCATAGCAGCTCCTCTGGAACGCACGAGGAGGAGTACTCGGTATGTCCTGGTACCTCACACACTGCACGCGACGGCTTGCCTTTGCCTGCTCACAAGAATGGCCTGACCACTGGCGATGATTTGAAGCCGAAAGGGACCCCACAGCATGCCATGACCCACAGTAAATGGCCCACAGTGGGCTCCAAACACGCATGGTGGTCCTCGATCGTCATCCTGACGCGAGAGTCATTGGGCAAGTGCGCTTAGTGGAAGAAGTGGAGTTGATGGGGATGAGCGAGAGACGGAGGCGTGGCGGCACGCATTTACGAGTACAGGATGGAGCAGTCTTCGAAAACTCAGCCAGATGAGGAACAGTGTGAACGGCGAAAACAAGGACTCAGAATCGCAAACCGCGACAAAGGTGGTGAAAGGTATCTAAATTTGCTAATAGTAAGTAAGCGTCAGAAGCCCCGTGAGTTTGGCGACACCTGAAATCAATTAAGAAGCATGACCCTCGATGCTATACTCGGTACGGAGTACATATCCGTACATACTCAGCGGTGCTCGCTACCTCGTAAAAAACTTGGCGAATCTCCGAGGGGAGAGAGGAAAACGAGCCATATTCGTGGGAGATTTTTGGTGAGGGCAAGGGTGGTCGTGATGATCGTGTTGATCGTGTTGATCGTTCCTCTGAACGGGTTTGGTTGATTTGGCATGTGAAAATTCCGCCCCAGCAGGATTCGGGTACCATCGCATGCATTTGCCTCAAGCACTCCTGTCTGTGCCTGTCACGAACGACCACATCAACATTTTCTGGGTGATTTGGCAGCCGTCTCTGGCAGGAGATCTGTTCGCTCGTGTGCTCAGGTGCAATGCCTGCAGGATTGTCCGTTGTTCCTCATCATCCAAGTACCTTACATAAGATTGGGAGTATGTGACGACACCTTGCCTGTAAACTCTATGCAGCACTCTTAGACGCGTGCCACAGGCGTCAGTAACTAACCAAGCAGTTAGAGGCGAAGCTGGAGGAAAGGCGCAGCCCCAGGGGACGGCTGGCGCTGCTAGGCCAAGCCCCTCCCCTTCCATGCTTATTTGGCCCTGATCCCTGCTCGGCCGAGTGGCTGCGAGGGGGTTCACCCTGGTCGTCTTGGGCTCCCCTGGGCCTCCCTTCAAGCCTAAAGGCCTCTGGCACGGCGATTTGGGCTGGCACTGGCCGTCTCCACAAGCCTATCCAGACCTGTCTGATTCTATTCCCGGTCTCCCAACGCCACCCGTGCCTTTGCCTCGTACAGTGCTCACACCTACCTTGAGATTGTCAGAACAGATACTGCATTGATGCAAGGATGGATGACCGAAGTGATGATTGTTTATCGAAGGCTGGCCCTCTGGCAATGGGAGGCCCTTGATATCTGCCATGTCCGCTGGTGCATCTGCCCTGCAATCAAACGTGTGGTGACATTGCTCACGGCAAACTGCAGTGGCCTGACGAAGATAAGTCTTGGGATTCTGAGTCGTGGCTTGCCGGGGCTCACAGTCCACGGTACTTGGAACCTCGTATGCCTACTAACCACTCACAAGTTCCAGCGCCAGCGCGCAGTGATAAAACTTATTCCATAATGTCCCGACACGGAGCACAGAGAGAGATTCCCAAGGTCTCACTGGCACTGAAATGCCGCACACGTGCGGATGGCAAACTTGTGCTCCAACCACCAAATGGCTGGTGACTTCAATTGCACGGAGTAGTAGCTAAGGTATATATGTATGTATGTACATACTGTAGATACTTCGACGTTAATCAGGCTATCATCAGTAGCAACCAGTAGTATGTATTCGGGACTTCGCTTGTGTCTTCTCGCACTTTTAATTGCCGTTCAAGACACAGGTGGACAAATGCGCAATTGGCGCGAGACTAGGTCAAGATCCATACTGCAAGCGAGGTCGTTCAAGAAGAATGGAGGCACATCTGAGGCTCGAGGGCCTACCATGTACACTTACTCTGTACTGTACAGTAGCATGCCTTGCCCTGCCCTGCCATGCAATGATGCAACACCCCGTTCGCCCCTCGCCCTGGCCCGCACGAAGCCTTGGGACTCGGGTACAAAGCATTCCCAGCCCTGGTCGACCAAGTCTGTAGTTACCAACCTAACCTGACCACCAAGCTGGACACGAGGGGTTGGTGGATTTGCCTCCTGCAGAGTGGTGGCTAGTGGCTTGTTTGTTGGGTGTGTCACTTGCAGCTGGGTGATGGGGCAGGGGGTGGAAAGGGAAAGGCAGCAAAAACCAGAGACCAACTCGGTTATACTCGTAACATGTCATGTCAAACTCGAGCTGTGGTGGTGGTGGTTGATGCATGGCTGAACGCACCCACCTGTGTTGGGAACGCTTGATAGAGATGGGCGCTCAACCGACGAAAGCCAGAGCGGGCCGAACTCCTAGAAAGTATCGAAACCCCAGCGGTCCTTGAGTAGCCAATGCAGTAGAACCACGGCGCACCGAGTAAATAAGATGCACACTTGGCGACTGGGTGCGATTGTTTACACTGACAGACCACGGCAAGTTAGAAGAATCTACCCCGGAACACTCCGGACTAGTAGGTCGCCACGCCCACAGACGCCCGGGCTGGCATTTATTTCATATCCGGAGGTTTCGTAGCATAGTCCTCTGTCTACTACATACTCTACGGAGTAGTTGAGCAGGACGGCAGGGGGATTGTGCTGGGGGAAAAGCGAGCCAAAGAGTTGACTTGCGAGGACGGGCGTCTTCGTAATTAACGTCCCCTAGAAAGCTGCCCTAGACGGTTAACTACTTAGCCGTGTTAGTTAGTGCCTGGGGCCGGAGTGGGCACCAGAGGCAACTAATCCTTAGCGGCCTTGGGACCCTCGCCCCCTCCAGCGCCTCCACCTCTCGCCGTCATTCAGCATTTCTGATCATCATTTCTGATCAGTGATGCACTGATGACTGCACCACCCACCAGGGCCACTACTAACTAGTGACTATCTGCTCCTCCTACAGTACCCACCCACCACCCACCACCAAAGGTCCGACGGGTGCCCTGCGCTGGATTGGTGATGCTTGCACTGGATGCTGCAGGTGCTATTGCTGCTTCCGCGCCACTGCTCTGACTGCCTCTTGTATCCTGTCCTGCGCTCCAAAACTGCCCTCCAACCAATTCAATTCAGTCCTCGTGCTGCCTTTGCCCTTGCCAGCCGACCTCGATCTTCTTGTCTCTCTTCACCTCTTCCCATTTTTCTAGTATATGCCTTTGTATCTTTCGGTTCTTTGACCCCTTCGTCCTACCGCACACAACCATTGTTTGTAGCCTCAAGCCCGACCCGCTTCTGCTCCGCCGTGGTTGAGTTCCGCTTATCCTCTGTCGCAGCCGGTATCTAACAGCCGGTCGAACACGTCTGCCAGACACTAAGGGTGCATTTCACACACTACTACTACAATCACACTCTCTTGACAATCGACGATATTGCCTCGCTGGTCGAGACGTTGCTTCATCGAGTCCCGCCACTGCATATCTGCCTCTGCCGAACCACTCAGCCTTTGCTTTGTTCAACCCTATCACGCTCTCGCACCAATCGGCGAACGTTTTCGTAATTCGATACCCTCTACGCCCCAGGTGCTTGGGAAAAAGGCACATGGCCGACTTGGATGTTTGCTGCGTTGCGGGCGGAGGCGACTTCTGAGTCTGCGTAAAGTCGACCAAACTCTACTAGAGTCACGCGAGGAACTCAAAAAGACAAATAGGAACCCCGTCCCTTCCAACAATGGCGGAGAACACTGGAATAAGATGGGATCCAAACCTACAGCAGGCCCGTCGCACCACGGAAACTGCTACTACACTGGACCCTCTAACATCCGCCCAAATTTACCATGCAACAGTGGACTCTGCGCGCAGCGATGGGGATGATATATTGACACAACGGAACACGCCCACCGCGCTTTCTGCCCAGCGCTCTGTTGATCCTATTGATGAGGCACTGTGCGCCGATTTGGATTCAATATCACACCAGGATAGTCCCAGTCCAGCTTTTGCCCCACTACGGACCCAGCAGTCCCTCCCTTCTTCCGCGCCCAACTCCTCACAATCGCTCAAGGCTTTAAGTGAAAGAGAAGCTGATACCTCTGGAGCCTCTGTCTCGAGAGCTCTTTCAGCGAGGTCTTCACATGGACAAATACGGGCTCGACGGACTTCTACTCACATCAAATCTGCCTCACTATCTACCACAAAGCGATCTGTTTTGGATCGTCCAACTTATCCTGACCAGTCTTTTGCTGCTTTACAGTCGCAATTCTACAACGCCAGGCCTCACCCTCCTTTGCGTGCCAGAAGCTCACACCCGGCTCAGAATCTCCTTTACAACGACATGTCAAACTGGATATCACAACCAAAGGACCGGGGCTCCGTGAATCAAAGCACCAAGACCGCTGACAACACCCCAATGTCGAGCCCGGGTCTGTTTAGTCCTTCAGCCCGTCTTCCCTCTGCCTCCTCCCTGGATGATCTCGGCCCACAGCTACACCATCTTCAGGCTCCAAAAGAGACAGACTTCGCCGAGATAGAACATGACACCTTTTCGGGGAACAAGTTCATCAACAACTACGAAGTGGTGCAGGAACTTGGCCGTGGAGAGCACGGCAAGGTGAAGCTCGGAAGAAACATGGAGACTGCCGCTATGGTCGCTATCAAAATCGTCCCTAGATACTCGGTCAAGCGCCGGCTGGGCCGTCTAGGTGCGCCTGAAGACCGTACCAAGCGAGAAGTGGCCATCTTGAAGAAAGCTCGACATCCCAACGTGGTCAGTCTCCTGGAAGTCATTGATGACCCAAACAAGAACAAGGTTTATCTCATTCTCGAGTACGTAGAGAAAGGTGAAATCAAGTGGAGAAAGCCTGGTGTGCGTGAAGTTCTATCTGTCAACAATGCCAGATTTGACCAAGAACGCCGCGGAGCAACCCTGTCACTTGAACCGAGTGAACGAGATATCTTCCATGTCACTCAGGCACAACGCCGACACGAGCAAATGGACAGGGACAGAACCCGAAACGCCGCGTTTCACTCCGTGCCGAATTGGAGCCTGGAACACGGTGATGCGTTCGAGGACGATGACCACTTCCTGGATATTTCACGCACTCCTTCACAGCAATTCTACGGCTCCAGTTCTAATGCTGGGCCATCTCGGACAACCTCACATGACGACCATGCCAACCTCGGCGACACAGCGCTAATGGGCAGCATGTGGGGTGCATACGACCCCAGCGACTACCGCGACCGCAAATTCAGCATTGCAGCCAGCGCTGCGTCGCACATGTCTTCCGAGTTCAATTTCGAGGCCAATGACGAGCTTTCTTACGTGCCTGCAATGACGCTTGAAGAAGCCCGGCGTGCAATTCGAGATACTCTCTCTGGCCTTCAGTTCCTCCATTTCATTGGAATCATTCACCGCGACATCAAGCCTGCCAATCTCCTCGTTGGTAGCAACGGTACTGTCAAAATATCAGACTTCGGCGTTTCCTATCTCGGACGTCACACAACTGATAAGGATCCTGAGAATCACCTGACCGAGAAAGACGTTGCCTCGCTCGATGATGAAAAGGACCTTGCGAGGTCTGTAGGAACGCCGGCTTTTTGGGCCCCAGAACTGTGCTATGAAGATGTCTCCATGTTTGCCGACAATGCCGCTCCGAAGATAACCGGCGCCTTGGATTTGTGGGCTTTGGGCATCACTCTCTACTGCATGGTCTATGCTCGCCTACCCTTTTACGCCAGCGAAGGAATGGGCTTGCATGCAGCAGTTTGTACCTCAGAAGTCTTCCTTCCCAAAACACGGCTCGTTCCTGTGGACACGTCAAAAGACCGACCATCCTCCCAAGTACCAATCTCGATCAATAGCAACAAGCGTTTGGACTTCGAGCTCAAATTCGAAGAGGTTCCCGAGGCTGTGCGAGATCTGATTCGCTGTCTCCTGGTCAAAGACCCCGCAAAGAGAATGACCATCGACCAAGCCAAGCAACACGCATGGGTTACCGAGGGCATGCAAGATCCTGATTCCTGGATCCTGAACACTGGACTGGAGAAGGAAAGTAAGAAGAAGATTTTGGAGGTCGACGAAAAAGAAGTTTCTCATGCCGTCGGAAAACGCAACATTATCGAGCGTGCGCTTAACACAGCTGGACGAATTGCAGGCAGTCTGCTTGGCCGAACCAATACCCGTAAACGAGCCCCAAGCGCTGCAACGTCCACCAGCCACTCGAGCGATTCACTTGCATCGCCATCCAGTGGAAGCACAGTCGGGCGATTCGACAAGGAAAAGATGAGAGAAGCACGGAGATCAAGCCTTCGCGGGGACGAAGTCTTGACCGCCCTGAAGACTTCTCGAGAGAACACTGAACATCCACTAGCGCAAAGTCAGACCGCAAGCCCTTTTGACCACCCGCAAGAGTATTTCAGCGAGGGCTTATCGGGTCAAAAGGCAGCATCTGCTGGGTGCAGTCCGACGGTAGAAAAAGAGCCACGCCCCCAAGCACCCGAACGAGGTGTTTCGACCTTTTCGAATGCTGAGTCGGTCAAGACAATCAGGGCTTCGCAGATGCATCGACTGCCTTCTCCATTGCCAGATATCTCGCAAGAACCCGATCGATCAGTATCACAAGAGAGGGGTGTCAGAGCAAGGGTTGATGGAATATGGGAAGGCACTAAGTCACTCGTCCGAATTGGAAGTCGAGACCGCCGCACAAGGAGCGATCGCTCTCCTGGAGCCTCTAGTCGAAATTCTTCAGAGTGCGACATCCAGGCAGCACGTGGAGGTCCCAGTCTCGCAATTAGCACTGCATCAGCTGCAGGTGCCTTTGAGCGACCTGACGCTCTTCGGACCACCATGTCACCTGTGATTTACAATACTTCTGCCCCCGTGCCCCCTTCCACAACCAATGCCCCTCACAAAACCTCCTTTCAAGCACCAACGTCGACACCAGAGGCATTCGAACACGCCCAGGAGGTTAATCAGAGAAGAATGATTTTGGAAGCTCACTACCAGGCAGAAGCTGAGGCCGAAGCCGCTACTCGATCTCTGAGCCAAACTTCCTTTGATGACGAGTGTCCACCGTCACCAGATGATATCGCATTCTTGAAGAAGCAACGCACGAAACTTGCTGATGATCCTCCTGAATTATCCATTGAGTCCGCACCCATTCAAGCTGGACCCTCAGCCAGCACTATTGCTTCCTCAACGGACGGCTACGGCGCTAGTAGTGTCTCGCAAAGCATGTCCATTCCGAGCTTTGGCATTGTCTCAAGTGCATCCTCACCTCCCGGCGAAGGTTTTTTTGGCCCAGAGACTGCAGATGCCCCACTAGATCTCCCTTTGGTGGTCAAGGAAACAGAGCCATCCTTCATGCGAACTGCCGACACGGTAACAAAACATGGGAGACCCATGCAAGTCGCCACTGGCGCAGCACTTGAAGACCGCCAGGGCCCAGCTTACGATGACGGTAATGGTGATTGTGATAGTGACTATGATGATTCTGATGAGGAAGACATGATGATCATGGGCCCCTCGCGGAAGAAGGGTTGAATGTCCATGAAAAGTACGATTTGTGACTACCCTCTCACTCACTTCTACAACGGCGAATTTTGATACGATCTCTCTACTCCCCAGCATGACATCACAACAAGATCCACCATCACACACATTTCCTGATTTTCCCCTCCTAGATACCCTGATTTTAGACAGCAAGGCGCAGGATGTCCTTCGAATTCCTTTCTTTATGTTATGAACTTGGATGTTACTGCAGCAGTCGGACAGGATCATGTTCGCAAGGATGGTACAATTGAACAGCATTAATGCAAGGCGTGAAGTGAAAGAACAAGAAAAGCCCGGAGGATGTTTTGTGCTTAAGTCGAAGAAACACGAGCAGTCTTCTTGTACACCAAAGCCCAATGTGGAAAAGGATTATGGGACACAACCAGAAAAGTACACCAGCATGCAGAACGAATTGAACCAAGCTTTGATGAGGGCCATTCTTTTTTTTCCCGGCTACCTGTACTATGAGGAGGAAATGAACGATATGATGCTCGTAGCTGTTGATTCTCTTGAGGGCTTGAATGAAAACAAAACCAACATTTCAATTATATGTTTACTCCTTTTTTTTTGGTTTTTTTTGGCCGCTTCGCCTTGACCAAGGCGTCTCGAGCTAGTGCTCCCTGTTCTGAAAATTCTCAAGTGAGTTGATCTACTCGTAAATTGGAACTCCCTACGCTTCGCGGGTTCACGGTCAGCTGATGATCCGCTTATCACGTGAGCCAAGACTTCCAGCCCTGGGTGGACAATCACGAAGCAAGTTCTTGAATCTGTTCAAACCAATTTAGCCTCCTTATCTGTGGCATGGAGCCAGCTTCTCAGATTACAGCTAAACGGACAGGTTGCCTCCATTCAAGCCGGCGACAGACAGTCGAAGGAAGTAGGGATCTTCCTCAATCCGCTTTCGAATATCCCCAGTGGAGAGTTCATCAATATCCCAAAGACTCCATACGAAGCGACCGTGAAGAAATCCGGCCGCCTTAGTAGCAAGCCAGACTGCAAATCCGCCGCAAAGATCATCTAAGCCGGCGCGCAAATTTGTCAGCATAAATGGTCTACACCCGATAGGGGCTGGCCAAGCTCACCGTCGTCGAAAAGGTCCCCTCGAGGAACTCCCATATTGATCCAGCCATCGCTGTATATCAGTCCTGGGTGGAAGCTGACGACTTGAACCTTCTCGGCTGGGACATCCTGGGCGAGGACCTGGAAAACCAAGGTGCTGGTTGCCTTAGAAAGACTGTACGCAGGGCGATCCTTTATGCCAGGATGGGCCATCATATGCACCGCGCTGGTCGAGAGGTTGACTATGAACTGCAACTCATTTGATTAGTCAGAAAATCCTCACATTACATTAAAAAGCACAATAATGATGGGAGGAAGTATCAACAAAGTACCCAGGTGACAAGGGCATGCTCACCTTTTGCTTATCCCCTGGTTGGGCATAGAGCCTCTCGGCGAAGTAGAGAGGAGATTTCGCGTTTACTTCCACCTGCGACCAGACTTCCTCGACCCCAAGCTTGAGCACCGGCTTGGGCTCCGTAAACTTGGCTGCATTTGCAACCCAAACGTCCACTATGATGTTCTGTGCGGCGAGCTCCTTCCAGAATGCGTCGACTTGAGTGACATCCACAATATCGACAGTGCGATGGACGATCTTGGTGCTGGAGCCTACAGTCTTGGCCTCCCTCTGGAGCTGGATCGTCGCCGCCGCCAGCACGTCGGCGCGCCTGCCAATAATGATGACCGTATCGGCGCATGCTCGCACAAAAGCTCGTGCGATGGAAATACCAACGCCGGTGCCACCGCCGGGTATTAGAACGACTTTGCCGGCTTGGCTCAATTCTGGTCTCGAGGGTGAGATGGCTGGGTATGCCTTGCGATGGATGGTTTTCGTCACGTTGGTGTCGGAGACTGACTTGAGCAGCTTCTCTATGAGTGCTTGATCCATTTCTAGGGATTGGTGGCTTAGGGGACTTCTGTAAGTGTTTCTGGTGACTTTTGCTAAGATATTCTTTCTTGCGTAGGAACTGGGTGCCGTTTGAACTATATCACTCATCACTAGAACTATAGCGCAGTGGTACTTTTATACTTGATTGGATTTGGTCTGAATGACCCTCCGTGACGCAGTTCGACACTTTACAGTCCCTGTCGGAGCAACCTACATACATTGGCGATGTTGATTTCTAATGCTCACCGGCTTTTACCGTTCGGCCGAGGACCAGAATACCTCAAGTTTCCTGACCAGACTACAGCGGCTTTCTTGAAGCAATCCACAGACAACATGGAGCGGCTCTTCTAGATTGCCCTGCAGCACTGTCGGACGCTATCCCAACTCGGATAGGGTCCGCAAGGCTGGGCGATCATTCGAAAGGCCACCAGTCGCAGCTTAAAAGTCCCTGCCCTCCACAAATTCACATCCGACAATGCTGGATAAAACGTCCTCCATCACACTTGATCAGCATTAGCCTTCAACATGGGCTCCCAACCTCTTACGCTAGTCTATGCCGTTTCGCATTTCCAAAATGAGCATTGTAAAATCATCGACATTCTCGAGTCCAACGCTTGTAAACACCTGCTTAGTGTCCGTAATTTGCACTAAAGTCATGTCCTTCGTTGAGGACACCTTCTCCCATGCTAGCGACGAGTCCGCCTCCCAAGCTTCTTTCTGAGGGGTGTACGTAATATTCGTCTGGCAAGGCATTGATCCACTCTGCTGCAACACCAAGTATACTGCTTGAACACCACAAGCAACTATCGCCGTCCGTCGAATCGTCTCGGCAAGTATCCAATCGTCCCAGGCGAGGTGAGCAGAGCATAAGGTGGGCAACTCCGCCGAACCAAAGGAAACTCGATCCCGCCGCGCTGGCGAGTTCAATGTGTTGCCTGGGTGTGTTGTGCGGGTGTAACGGTCTAGCAACTGTTGGACCGAAGAATATAGCGCTGGAATACGACTCTCTGCGACAAACCGCATTCGGATGTCACCGTCATAGAGACCCAGAAACTGGTATACCAACAAAGCTTGTACCCGAGCAACATACTCCAGACAGTCTATAGGATTCGGCGTACTACTAGTGTGTTGGTCCGGCGAAGCTTCTACTGCAGAAACAGCATAATCTTGCAACAGCTGTGTCGCGCGCTCCTCAATGATTCGCAAAACCACCTGCTCATTCGACGGCGTCTTCTTCAGATAGCACGACAGAGCCATGTACGCATCCTGCATACAACGTGGGAAGTGTGTCCTGTACAGTTGCTTGTGGATGAACGGATTGCTGCCCGTGTTAACCCACTGTTGAAACCAACGATTGATTTTGGAGACATGGCGCTTAAGGTCACTCGAGCGCAGCGTGGTCCCCTCTGGTTGCGGGAAAGGCTCATACTCCTCTGTCGGTACGATCGATGCCGTGGGCACCTCTGACGGTCCGAGCCAACCACAAGGGAGAGACTGGCAACCCCCAACACTGCTGTTATCAGATAGCGCACCAGGAAATCCCGGTAAATTAAAATCAAGAGAAAATCTCTCGGCGTGCCCATCAGCTATTTGACCACCCAAAAAAGAGCCCGAAGCAACTCCCGGGCCGGCATCACCGTATGGTAGTGGCAACGGCAACGACAAGTCGGTAGTACTAATAGCGTCAAAAGAAAACCTAGGGGCATCATTGAGACCGAAGCCATCGCAAAGCACGAAGCAAGACGGCTTGGATGCTGGGTACGTGCACTCGATGCCGCTCTTCCTGCATCGCGCGCAAAGGGGCATCTGCTTCCCGCATTTCCGTTTCGCTCGATGGCACGCGCGGCATGCTTTGGTGGGCGCCCCTGGGGGTCTAGACATGGTAGCTTCTTTCAACGCTTTTGCTGGAAAAGTACGGATGAATGGTCAATAGGCTGGCGAGTAGGCTCATGGGAAAACGGAAGGAGGACTATGTGAGGGAGCAGTAGTCGAAGCACATTGCATTGCGGGCGCTGTCCGTTTCAGGATAGTCGCCGCACTTTCTTCCACTACTCCTAGGTACGAGGGAGGTTGCACTTCAGTGCTTCCACTCAGATAGGGAGGTAACCTGGGGATGTAGGTATGATCCTGTGGCGGATTTCACCCCTCCGCACTGCTAACGGAGCATCACATTCATCCGTGGCATCTCCTCTCCGTCCGTCGGCAATGATTCATCCTTTCAATACGCCGTCAATTGGATGGCCTTAGCCGGAGAGCGTCAATACTCATAATGGAAATATTATTTTCAGAGTTGACCCTACAAGAGTCAGATCTATGTGGTGAGGAAGGACATGTCAAAAGTTAAAACACATGGATCACGCATGGGTCCTTGAGATATATGCCGACCAACTTACATCATTTAACGAACTAGTTTCTGACTGGGCTGTCCGTCCTCTATAAAATGACAAGGCTAGGCTCCTTTAGGGACAGATTGGTGGGAGAGGCCATTCATGCGTGGCGGAAGATGAGCTTGAGGTTGAAACCTTTGAACTTCGATGACAAAATTAGGGCATCTAGAGGGCTGCCTGCTTGATAGTTCCTCCTGAAATGGGCCATTGGGCGTTGTGAAGGGGTCCAGACAGATTGCTAGTTAGGCAAAGCCTGTGTGAAGGTGATGAACACAATACGAAGCCTGTCGGCGCGTTACATGACCGCCTAGTCCTTTCGACCTTTTGATTCACCATGGGAAGGCTTCATGAAAGATATGGTACAAACGTAGTTCAACCAGTCGGGAGATACGTGTGCGTAAGTGGTGGTTTGTTGTGCAAAGTGCCCTCGGCTCAACCTGGGTCGATCCGTCCCCCAATGGGTGCAGAACGCCTCCCAGCGCCCCCTGCCCCGGGAGGTCGAGGGCCTCCCTAAGGAAATGTAAATCAACTTGACCCGGTCGGTCCCTCCATACCAAGCACCCAGCACGAGCAGCTAAACCACCCGCGCCCAGGCGTTTCCCACCTACCTAACAATAACGGAGCTGAGTCTTGCAGCAACCTCGTTTGAGACATATCCAAGAATAAATCTTTTCGACGGAATATGGCCGAAATGGCCTCTCCAGTCCTGCCGAACATCAGCGATCTCCTTATCTATCCCTGTCTTTAGCTATAATCTTGGATGCTGGTGGTAGCTGGCTGCCGCGACAGTCCTCCACGTTGCTTCCACCTGCAGTCATGCAAGGCCAGCAAAGGCGTTAGCCCGAAGCCTGCAGTAGAGCTCGATTAACTGTTCAATTTTCCACTTCAGGCATCTTGTTCAGTACTGTGTTCATTATCCCCAAGATTATCATTGATGTACCCCTTGGGCAGCATCGACGATCAAGACAGAGAAGTCGCGAGGAAGGGATGCCGTGTTCTGTCCACTCAAAGCCACAGGGGACGGCCCCAAATGAAATGTTTCTTTCAACTCTGTACTGGAATGTGAACCAACCCAAAGACCAATGGACTGAACATTGCCCCGAGTTCCTGCTTGGACAGAGCCAACAGAGTATCAAAATTTTGTCTACGAAGAATCAAGATTTCAAGAGGCTCTCCTGGCCACAGGTCCAAGATCTAGTCAGTACGTCCTCGCATTCCCTATCTTAAAGTTCTCCTGAGCTGAACGAGAGCGGATTGAGACATCGTAAAAATCGAGTTGAAGGGGCCCCGTTGACAGAAGCAAAACGTCGCTTTCTAGGGTCGAACCAAATCAATTGTTTTCAGAGGTCTGCCGCACACCTACGTGGATACCGCGAATACACATACCAATTGAAGAAGATGCATGGCTTGGTATTATCCTTCTTGCAACAGGACCGACTCAATGGGACGACACCACTCCCTCTGGTGACAAAGCATTCTCCAATCCTGCAGACTTCAAGATCTTGTACAATGACTGGCCTTATTTCATCGACGAGAACGTCGCTCACCTTGTTGTGTGGACTAAATTCTTCATTGATGAAGATGAGAAGAATGGGGAAGTGACTGAAGCGGCGAAAGCCACCATTGAAGCCCTCATCACGAGAACCTTCTGCTCTAGCAATAATGATCCTTCCCGGAAGATGGAGAGAAATCAGATCGTCTGGTTTAAAAATTGGAGAAGTCTGAAAAGCATTCACGACTTAGGTATGTGGCTGCAAGAGGAAGCCTACATGAGGCGCGGACTTATTGAGAGTACAGAGCATTTCCATATCATGCTGTACAAACCACCAACTGAACTTTTGCAAACCATCACCCATGGGGATCGCCCAGGATACGAGAGATGAACTGTAAGAGCAAGTCAATAGTCCTCATTCTTCTTGGCTTACCCGTTGCCTCTGCCTTTAACTGGCTGCCCATGGGGTGTCAGAACGGAGACCATAATTGCTGGATTAGAAGAGAATCAAGATTGGTCACAACGCACGCTTGATGAATCGCGATGCAAAAAGATGCCATGATAGATTGATCTTCCTTATGCTCCTTGCTACGGCAATATCCACAGCATAAAGATGAAATTATATCACTAGCTGAAGGTCGCAAACTTCGCTGTAGCTCCGCATCCGCTCGATGTCAGGCACCATTTCCGACACAATGCGCTCTCATGGGATTGACGCTAGTATCAGGTACCAATTCACATCTCTATCGCAATCTTGAAGCTGCCTGGTCCGGTGCATTACTGAAGGGGTGGCTTATGTCTTGACAGAAAGGGATCGGTGAGATTCCAAGCTCGGGCCGCTGTCAAACTTCGCATTCCAGCATCAACCTTAAAGAGTTTGTCAGCCCGGTCGCTCCCCTCGAATAACGGTTCTCTTTAGTGAAATTGAGGATGGCACAAGATACCAGAATCAGAATTCTTACCTCGCGGCTATACTATATTTAGTAAAAAGAATTCACACAATACGAGGCCCGGCTCCTCGATATTTGAACATGTTATCATCAATCTATGCTATCAGAATGCAATAGTTAGGTAAGGTCGGCCGTTCTTCCCCGACGACAGGTTTGACTGGGATATTAGAATTTACTGGAGGTCAATGTCAGGGCGCTTGAGAAACGTTGATCCCTTCAAATCGTTCACTAATATGAGTGACAGATCAGCCGACGTTCGCTCCGGGATCCTTTGCTGCCTCGTCTGCGCGAAACTAAATACGCTGTTCGAGCTGTAAGGGTGTGAGCCGATGATAGATAAGATGGACAAGGCGTCTCTCTGATATTCCAGCCTTTTACGCGTCGCCCTATTTGTCGACACTAGAAGGCAAGGCTGATCAGCATCTCATTTTTATCTCACTCCACCGGTTGCCGACATGGCCCGGTATGCCCCCCTCAGTAATCAAGAGCATACACACGCACTTGACATCAACAACGAACCGTTGCCTGTATGGAAGCTCGAATCCAAGTCCGAGACGTGGCTATCCGGCCGTGATGGGTTTAAGCAACGCCTGGTATCTGCGTTACCACGATTCGCGCAGCCAGGAGGGATCCAGCACAGAAAGCTAGGGCCAACGTCCTACCTGGACGCCCTGAGAGGATGGGCGGCCGTTGGTGTGTTCTGGGCGCATTCCTTCAATGTCGGTGGAGACAACTGGAGACGACAACCATTTCTCAATGTCATATTCAACGGGTCTTCGATGGTAGCCTTATTCTTCGTTATCTCAGGCTACGTCTTGGGATACCGGCTGCTAATTTTCATGCGAAAGGGCGAATCCGAAGCCCTGCTTACGTCCCTTGCATCATCTACGTTTCGAAGATATATAAGGCTTTACGGTAGCGCAGCGTGTGCCTGTCTTATAGCGATGATTTTGATGCGACTGCGGATATACGAAGGCTGTTACCCGCCCGATAGCATTCGGAAAGAGACTCTTTGGCAGCAGCTTGTGGACTACACATTCGACATGATTTACTTCACCAATCCCTTCGGCCATATCAGAGGGTGGCCATCAGACGATATCGCTACTTCGAGATACCTCAGTCCAATGTGGAGTATCGCGGCAGAGTATCGCGGAAGCGTGGCTCTTTTTGCCTTCTGCACCGGCGTATGCAAAATGTCGACCAAAACTCGGATGATTTCAACTTGGGTAGTCATGGTTGTCTGCTATATTTGGCAAGCAGTCTACATTGCCGAGTTTATGGCCGGCCTTTTTATTGCGGACTTGGCCCTCAGTCGCAGTCCTGAACGTCTGGACAGTCCATGGGCAATTCCTAAACAGCATCAGCACAGCCAAAAACGAAGGTCCAAGGTCAAATACATCTGCATCTTCCTCCTCGGCCTGTTTCTGTTGAGTCAGCCAGACTCGACCAACTTATTTCCGTGGAACCACATGGCAGGAGCAATCCCATACTGGTGGCACCCTGATGGCAAATACCTCTTCTGGTACGGGTTTGGAGCGTTCGCCCTCGTCTACGCATTGGAATTCTTTCCCGCACTCCAGAAACCGCTACATTGGCGGCTATCGCAATATTTGGGAGACATCTCATTCGGACTCTATGCCATGCACGGCCCTTTCCTCCTAGGACCCTATATGCAGGTCATGATACCACTCCGCGAGCAGTACCTGGGCAATTCCGTCTTGAAATACATTCCAGGCTTCGTCGTTTACCCTTTGATGGTATTGATCGCGGCGGACTATTTTGAGCGTGTCGACAAGACGGTTGTTCGGCTGGCGAGATCCCTGCAGAATATCATGTTTTTATAGTTGCTTGCAAACCATCAAAAATTGTACTGTATCAATTAACCATTCTCTCGCTTCGTCTTCCCAGGCTATGCGAGCATATACTTTCCTTGTACATATTTGTAGATTTCGTGCAAATAGCTGACTGGAAACCCCCAAATACGTGTGGCCTCTACATGTGTCGTAAGGCAAAACCTTCAAGGCAATTCCGTTGGCCACAGGCCTGTCTCACTTCACCATGAACGCCCTCGTCTTTGCGCGCATAGCGTATCATTGATCGCCATAAATAAGGAGAGGCCAGTTCCAGGAGAGAAGATTGACAGCTGTCACTGTCTTACTTCAACCGTTCAACGTCGCTGGACGATAGGCTTGGCGCGGGCACATGAGATTGAATTCCGTGTATCAGCAGAAGAGGCAGGGCAGAAGTGGATAAATGTGAACAGACAGCTTCTTATAGCTTGAGATGACGAGATGTCTTTGCAAGGGGCTTCAGACATGGATCTGTGGGACATAGGTTTTTCGATAGTTCAAGTTCGTAGTATCGCCTACGGAAGCGTGACTTAAAGCATACGAGTGTTCGCAGGTTCTCATCCTCAACTCAATATTCTAAGGCCACAGTGTACGCCCACACAATTAGTATAGGCAACATCACCAAGGCTCTCAGGTCGAGGAAATTGGGTTGGCTGCCCCGATCAGACAAACGTCCTCGTTTCCAGCCATTTCCCAAACCACACCACACCATTATCAATCCGCGTAAAATAATCCGCCACCCACAGAATAACCAACGTCGTAAAAACCATCCCAGGAAGACCTGAGAAGAAGCCGTCACCCAGGTGTGCTGCGCGCCACGGCTCCACGTAAGGCATGTAAAGACACCAATTGACGGTGTTATGCATCGCGTAGACACCGAAGGAGAGATCACCCAGGTACTGGGAAACCCCGCTTTCCAAAGGGATCTGAAGCATGCGGCACCGGTCTAGTGTGAAGACCAGGAGACTCGAACCGACACTCAGCCAGATATGCTGGCCCAGCTCGGCGGGGTAGTACCACGGGATTGCTTTGCTGAGATATGGCCAAAGGAAATAGTTCGAATAGCCGAATTCAGTGGGCGGTTGTCCCAGGAGAAACATTGCTATTAGGAACAGGCAAACATATCCGGCCTTGGCGAGGGGGGACTGCCTGCGTGGCTTTTCTGGTACCGAATCGAGGTCGTCCTGCTGTGGCAGCCGAGTGCGAGACAATCTCTCCGGGTAGCGGTCGAATGAGAAGTCGGCGATGAGGACTCCGAGAAGAAATATCCCAGCGTAAGCAGCTGCCCACAGGTAGCAGAGTGCCATTACCACGCAGCAAAAAACCCTCCGGCCCCTGGTGGTCAAGAAGGATGCGGCGGCACAGAACCAGAAGACAACTAGACTCCCTCGAAACTCGACCGGAATAGTCCACATCTGGTCGAGGTACTTGGTTCGGAATACTTGGGGAGACCAGTAACCGTGAATGTCGGCAAAGGGACTGCTAGCAGCAATAGTGTCCCATGTCCAATCCACCATTTGGGCCAGGAATGTGGCTTTGCGGAACTCTGGTTTGCACCATCCGAGATATACGGCGATGGCTGTGACAAGCGACGCCATGCCGGTCGAAGCATATAGCCGCAGCCATCGTCTGAATGTCGACGAAGCTAGAGCCTTTTGAAGACCCGGCTCTCGATTCCGCATCATACGGAGCAGTCGGTGACTGAGGACATAGCCTGAGATGACAAAAAATATGTCAACCATTGCCCTCCCGTTGAGAAAGGCGCTGAAAACCGGTTTCTCGAGGATTGTCGCCTTGTTCCCGAATGTATGGAAATTCATGACGAGAAGGGCGACCCAGCCTCTCAGAGCATCCAGATAGGCGGTGGGATGCAGCTCTTTCTTGATCGTCAGGCCACCGGGTTGCATGTACCTTGGCAGGAGAGAGATAACAAAGGACAGTATGCCCCGGAGGAAAGTTTTCACGTCTGCTACCTCACGGCTTGGCCAGCTCTTCCACCCTGAAGACATCTCCAAGCTCGAGGAATCTCTCCATCTGGGCAACCGGTACCACCGTGGCAAGGGTGTTGGTTCTGTTCTCTCGATCTCCACGTCGGAAGGTGGAGAGGAGGCATGCTGGTCCGCCTGAGTATCTGCAATATGCTGTGTAATGAGCGCAACAGACTGTTCCATTCTAGCCAGGCTACTGAAACCGCAAGAATGGATTAACCACGGTGATGCGAACGGAAAAATGAAGAAGATTCTGGCGCTGGCTGTGAATGAACAGCGCCTCACGAGGGCAATGAGGTTTGATTAAGGCGACATCGTCAAAGAAAAGGAGCTATCGCGCTCACATACTTGTATAGAGCATTAAGATTGAGTGCTCAATTGAATAGGGGATACGTGACCTGACACGGGACGTGATGGCTTGTCCTCACGCTCGGATCTGTGACCTGAGCATCTTCGCCGGACATTCGATCTCGACAAGATCGTTGTGCACTGTCTGCATTCAACGCAAGGTCTGAGCTTGCAAGGGCTGGCATGGCATGCTCGAAGACATATTTGGGGTGATTATCTCCGCCATCTGCAAAGTATCAACTTCAAGGTCTCTCCCCAGGCATGGCCAGCGGTTCTCTCCCGTTGGTGATTCCCTCTCTAGATCCACAAAGTTTTGGAAAATGCGTCGGGCAAAACGAGAAGACCAACGCCATTTGTCCGTGGTGGGTGATCACCAAGACAGTTATCTGGTATTGACAGTGCTTGACACCTGTTGGCACCGGCCAGGCGTAAAACGAGGAATGCAAGCACTGACTCCTACACGATGTCGGAGTGCCTTAGCGAGATTTGGATCCAAGAAACTCATCTTGGCCATGATCTTGCCATTTCCAGTAATCTTGCTTACCTGGTTGAGACATTGGGCCGAAGTTGATGAACCAGCGGGGGTAAAATGGTGAGCTCTCGTCCAGCGAATTTTTGCAGATGAAGGATCAAAATTTAGCGCCAGTGAAAGAGCCATTGGATATTATTGCCATATATGGCAATGTAGATTACCTAGTCGAGAGCACATTCGGGGATTCATGAACCAGCGGAGGTGAAATGGTGGCCTCTCGTCCAGCGAATGTTTTCCAGGTTCCCTTCGAAGGATCGATCGGTCGACCACGCAGGGAAAGGAGCTAGCGGCTGCTATTAATTCAAAAGTCTCAACCTGTATTAGAACTTTAGCTGTCGACAGCCTAGCGTGCCAATATTACGTCTCCTCGACGGGTGACTCTGAGAGCCGTGGTTCTTCTCACATCTGAGCTGCAAGGTGCCGAGGACCCAGGTTGGTAGGTAATGAATGCCCAGGTATTTTTGCAATCAACAAGATGTAGAAGCATGGCTTTGCGCTTTCACTACTCATTGGAACCGACAGCTCCATCCACTCAGTTCAGCTTCGACAAAGATCATGAGTTGGACCATGATTGGGTTTAGCTGGCCTGCCTCCAGCCTGCTGGGTTCGGCACGGTAGATTCGCCATGACAAATGCGACTCTGGCGCGAATCGTCCGCACACAGAGAATCTCTAATGTTATCGGCTCGAGGATTGTCTGGGCTGGGCTGGCCTAGGCGCTTCAAACTCACGTACTGTAAGAACAGTGGTCAGAAACTAGTCACTATTTAGCAGGGAGTCAGAGACCGAATCAGTTTCGTAGTTTGGGTATAAGCGGCTTGGGCTTCCACACCCTCGTCGGGGTCCCCCCGGCCCCCCGGGCCCCCGCGATATCTTCTGTGTACCACTCGAGCAAGGGCTCGGATTGTGATTCCAATGGGCCTGAGAAGCAGATGAGAGAACTCAAGTAATCTTTGCCTTGGAGCAGATAATCGCTTGTACTCGATTCTCAGATATCCTGTTGCAACATGAGGTTAGTGTCTTCACAAATGTCTGACAAACTTGAGGAACCCACATTGAAAAGGTGCAGCTTGGTCAACGAATATGTCAGCAACACCGCAACGAGAACCGCCCGACAGCGATGCACATACTGGACGACAAGTCCAGAAGCGAGCTTCTCAGGCGTGTCACCAATGTCGGTCACGGAAGATAAAATGCGACTTAGTCGATACTGGTGCACCTTGTAACAACTGTCAGGTTGATCACATTGAGTGTACAACTTCTCTATCAAAGAGGACCAGGAAATATCGACTGTTAAAAGCCCAGCTTCTACGAAACTCAGCATCTTGCTCACTACTCCTTCCACGAAAGCAGACAGAAACAACAATTACTTCTTCGTCTCCCAAATCTGAAGCCACCGCCATCTCGAATGAAATATTCCCACCCCAGCCGAAGAATGACCAAGTACCGCATCCTTGCCAACCCGTCATTCACGAATCAGCCTGTCTCGACCATCTCCCACCTTATATTCGCCGTCCACCCCACAAAATCAAACCTGGGGAGCTTGAGTATCTAAGTCATTGTGGTGCACTGTCAGTCCCAGATGACGAGCTCCGTGATCAGCTGCTTCTCTCCGTCCTACTCTATGTTTATCCATTTCTTCCCGTTTTGGATCTTCAGGAATTTCTTGACGGAGTCGAGGGCAAGGATGGCGCCAAACTCAGTCTCATCCTCTTTCAAGCCGTAATGTTTGCTGGGACAGCCTTCGTCGACCTCCACTATCTCCTTGATGCCGGTTTCGATAACAGAATTGCAGCCAGATCTCATTTCTTCCAAAAGATTAAGGTGAGAATCGTTGGATGTTTGTCTTCCGATCTAAAAGGCTGACATGAGAACTCCAGTTGCTTTACGACTTCGGATGGGAAACTGATCGTGTTATATTGATACAATCCACACTACTGCACGCATACTGGTATGTCTGCACTAATGATCAAAAAGACCCATGGTACTGGTTAGGGGTTTGTCTGAGCCTCGCCACTGGAATTGGGCTCAATGTGGAGAGCACCTATGAGTCGCTTAATGCTCGGACCTGCCGGCTCTGGAGAAGAATATGGTGGACCTGTGTTTCTAGGGACCGAATCATGTGTCTCTTAACAAGGAGGCAGATGCGGATCAAGTACGAAGAGACCAGTCTACCGACTTTGAAGTTTAAAGACTTTGACACTCAACCACTGAGCACCAAGATCGAATTACTTAGAGATTCCCCTGTTGTCAATGACTGTGTCTACAAGGTGATGCTGGCGGACATGTTCATGTCCAAGGTAGACCTTCTCTTGATAGCTGGCCAAATTGTCGCCTATGCATACAACGTTCAGCGCTTTGATAGTTCGACAACGGAGTGGGCGATGTTTTATGCCCCGAAGCCTAAGCGTGACTTGGACTCAGACTCTCTCGATCAACTCCAAAGCAAACTCGGACAATGGTCTCGAAATTTGAACAGCTACTGCCACATCGATTATCACGATGATCACGAAACCTCAGATGTGCCTCCCAAACTTCCAGGATCAGTCTTACTCGTGCACCGTGCAACGCTAAAGCTAGTCCATCTAATGGCAGAAGAAGCACTGCTGCGCCCACTAACCTTTCCTGAAGGACCACAACAACGCTCGACTCCGGTATGTTCGAAACCCGAAGACAGCTCTACGGCCGGGGCAAGACTTGGTGTGAGCCGAATAGCCACTGAGATCGGGCAAATCGTCCATGGACTTCGACAAAAGAATGTTCTAGGATATGCACATCCACTGGTCGTTGGGTGTCTCCTGACTGCGGTTGCATCAATCCTGGTGGATATCCGACTGGAAAGGAAATCGCTTGCCGATGCCCCGGCTCATCAATATAACGACTGCGTCCAATCTCTTATGACACTGAGCGAAGTATGGCCTATCGCCGAAAGAACATTGGCGATGGTAAATCAGATGGCAACAAATAATCAAATCTGGTTCGCGAGGTCTTTGAAGATGCTCTGCAAGCCATTATCCACAACATCAAAACAGACCCCAGCATCAGAGGGTTCGGCCATATGCAGCCCTTACTCTCCAAAGCAAGATGGTCAAGATAGAATTCAATCTGACCACACCTACGGTGCCGATGGAGCGAGCGTCATCCAGGTGCCGTCTTCTCTCAATCTTCCTTGCTTTCACGAAAACGGCGGCCCTGGACAGACTAGTGTTGGAATCCACAACTCTCACACATCGAATTACTTGGCCTTCATGTATCCTTTCCCGTGGACGGCAGCGGACTTCGATGTCTTCGACCCTAACACATGTCAGGAACTTTTCGCGGACCATTCCGTGGATACCTTCGACGCTGGAGGAACCTTCAATATAGTTATGCCGGCATACCCTTCGGCCCTGGAACACCAGCACCGTGTTGAGGATACGACAGAGAGGCCGTCCACAACGCTGCCGGATATTTGGAGATGAAATACGTGAGGAATGGGCTTACGACGCTTCTTTGGCCAGATGATCGACGACTAATATGCTACGATCACAATCTTTATCATTCCAATAATCATAATCCACAGCTCAATAAACCCTCAATGTTTTATCTGGGAGGCGCTAGTTCTGTGAATACGTAGTTTAAAAACAGCTCGTCACATTCCATTTCCGTCCGTGGTCCTCCAACAGGCCATCCGTTCGAGTACGTATGCATCTCGCCTTTGCCTACATGTACGTCGATCCTGACACCAACATCCCTCGACCGTTTGATCCATCTGGTACTGTCGGTCATCAATATCTCTGCATCGCCATAGAAGACCAACTGTGGAGGAAGCCTTGAGACATCTCTGGCAAGCACAGGGCTAATTTCGGGCGTGTCGAAGGGTAGGCCGTCAGGTCTGAGCATGTCGTTCATGGCTACGTAGGTCTGGTCGTACGTATGGATGTAGTCGGTCTCCAAGAGTGGGTGACCCTTGATTCCTGTCAGTGCACTGGAGACATCGGTCCAGGGAGAATGTGCCACGGCGCAGCGCGGCTGCGGAAGGGATGTATGATCTCGCATATAAAGCATTGCCAGGAGTATCAGCCCACCTAAAGACAACAATGTTGAACGTGAGCGACTTTTCGGCGAAGGTTGTCATAGAAAAGCAGTATGATGGGCGATCTTACCTCCGGCAGATGTTCCTGAGAAAACAATCTTCGAGGCTGGAACCCCTTGGGCAAGAAGCCACTCGTACATAGCTATGAAGGAATTTCGCTGGGCCGGCCACTTCTTCTCGCTAGATAATGCTACGTGGCAATGACTGGTGTCAGCCGGTATCTCCGACGGCGGTAACAGGCTGCCGTGGCTACAAAGAGAGAGACCTAGTAGCAAAGACTTACGATATTTGACCGTCACAATGGCAATATCTTGCCCCATGGACTTGGCCTTTCTGGCCCAGCGCCGAAAAGCGCTCGCATTTTGTAAGCCATGCCCAATAGCATATCCGCCGCCGTGAGCGAAAAGAACAATCGCATCCTTGTTCTTCAGTTCAGCCACATCAGTGTTGGGGATAACCCAGCCTCCAACCGCAGCTTTTTGGTGCTGGCGGTCCTCGCCAGAGCCCGCGAGCACGATTTCCTGACATCGATGGCCCCACGGCTCCGAGCAGAAAACCTTGGAGTTCGCGGAATGGGCAGTGCTGATCCACACGCGTGCGAGAGCGTTGCGCAGCGAGAGTTTGCGTGCTCGGAATGGCAGGACGATGCGCACAAGAAGGACGAGGAAACTACGCCCTGATCCGAGAAGGAGGATCTTCAGCGTTGTTACCGGGTTTTTCAGTAAGATGTTCCATTTTATGTCGGGCATGGGTGGATGTGCTTAGTCAGTTGACAGGATATAGATTTGCTTATTGGTTGGCTAGTCTGGGAAAGAGGGCTGCGTAGGGGAGTTGATATATGGCTCCATGTGTAATTGACAGTCATGCAAGGATATCGACCTCGGGGACTTTGATTTGCCCTGTGGGCGGACGATGGGAGAAGGATATCGGTAGACCACGAATATTATCTATACCAGACACTGTAGGTTTCATCTGCCAATACCCCTCTTGTCGAGTCCTCGGTCCGGTCTCACGGGTATAGCCGAATCAACGGGCCACAGTATAGTGCTCAGCCAGCTTGCGAGCCGTTGTGATCATCACATTACTTCATTGGATTGAATGAGCCGTCCTGTTGCCGCCGATCGATCCATTTGGAGACCAGGAAGTGGTGATTCGCCTGCCGCTAACCCCGCGGTTAATGTGCGGAAAGATCTGTAGTCTATCAAACTCCATCGAGAATATGGCCTATGCAGGAAAGGAAAGTAATTAGATCATGTCAACAACATACGGCATGTGGTTGCACCAGTAGCATTCAACCGCCGACCTTTGAATCTTGAGCGTGTTTGTCGTCGGCCTGTCTCTTGAAAATGAGCATTGGTCAGTAGTCCTTGGCTGATTGCACTATGACTGCATCATCCGGGACAGGATAACTTTCCAACTAAAGAAAGAATGCAAGATTGAGATTAACGAGGAAACCATGAATATCGAGGTTCGACCACGTGGGATAGACAATAGTATCACGTGATAGCGCCCGCTCAAACGATTCTCCGAAGTCCAAAATGGGGAACTAAATTTCCATGCGCCCTTGAATTTCATGATCAAGTAGGACGAGGTGCTCCCATAGCTTGTAGCACATCATTATACAGCCAAATTACGATCAAAGACCTCTTGTTCTTCCTCCGCATCCGATTATTATTATTCTTGCCGGACCGATGGCATGACCTAGAGCTTTTGAGCTAGAGGTCTCTCTCCTTTCGAGCAAGCGTTCCTGATCCATCCAACGGTCATCCGCCCAAGATTAAGCCCCGGCTCGCTCCTCCATCAGGATGCAGAAAGTGCTGCGTATAAATCTCAATGCCCGCAATCAAGCTCTCCAGAAAGCCCGCCGAAAACACTTGAAGGAACTAAAAAAGGACTGGCAAACGCACGATGACCACCGAATCCTTCTAGACCGTGAAAGCCGGACTTTGGTCAAAAATGAGCGGAAAGAACGACGCGAAGACTGGTTTGCAGGGCCATTGGCGCCAAAAAGAGACGTTGGAAAGAATCATGCCGTTTATGGCGCTCTGTCTTCTGCATTTATGAAAGGACCTGACATCCCCAACGCCCTCTCAAAGTGGCCCAAAAGCAAAGGTGATGACTTGATTGGTGACGACTGGAGAGGCAAGGGAAATGAGGGTAACCTTGTAGAAGGTGACCGTGTTTGCGTCGTTCACGGGGCGGATGCGATAGTTGGCCAGATTGGAACCATCCATGAGATTTTCAAGGAACGGCGAGAGCTCACCATCAAGGGTTTCAACACGGTCTGTCCGCCACCATTCGTACACATAACACTGCGCAACGAGCATAACACTGACATTTGTAGGCTGATGTGCGAATGGACCCAGGGCAAACAGGGCGCAAACAAAGACCGTTTCAGCCTTTCGACAGGCCGATTCCCATCGACGATGTCCGTGTCGTCTTTCGACACACAGAATCAGATCCAATAACTGGCCGTGTTATAAGGGACCGTGACGTCCTTGTTGAGTCCATCGAAGGCCGTGGTCCATATTTTGAGAGAGACAACGGATCTCCTCTGCCCCGCCATACCCGCTATGTGGCTGGCTCAAAGACCGAAATTCCTTGGCCCTCTGTTGAATCAGTTCAGTTTACACATTTCCCCGGCGATACTCGCCGCTTAGAACTGGAAAAGAGAACATATACGCCTAGTGTGCATGAGAACCCTCTACCGCATCCATCCATTATTGACGAGCTCCGACCGAAATACCAAAATGACCGTATGGCACACGAGTACGACTATGTGGCCAAAAAGATTGTTGAAGACGCGCGCTCGAAGTGGTATGAGGAACGCGGCATCAACACGCCCGCAATGGAATTGCAACAGAAGTTGAGAGAGAAGAGTAGACAGCGGGCATTGGAGTTACAGGCCGCATTGAAAGCGGAAACATCGCCCCAAAGGAACGGGCTTCCAGATCAGGATGTCAAGGAGAGTATTGAAGATTTCGAGATGGACGAGGCAGCCCAAGACCAAGACGGCATGGGCTACAGAGCTGACTGGGAGAAAGAAGTTGTTGTCCATGAGGCTCCGACGAACATTACACGGTAATTTAGATCATGATTCAAGCAGAGCGAGCCTTCAGATGGGGTTCCAACAAGAAGGGAAGGTATCGGTGTCCCTCAAAAAGGCCCTCCGAGCTGTAACCATACATATATATTCATGTACAAGATCAATTGAATAAAGGTCTCTTCATCACAAGAAGGAAGTAATTTTTTAAGTACAACATCAGCCAGACCATGTGTTGACCATGCTCTTCTAATGCACTGCCCTGGATTGAGACCGCAGCTTTATCCATCCGAATAATTATTTACTGCGATTGGTGGAATCCATTTCCAGCCCTCTGTCTCGGGAACGCTTTCATCACAATACGTATCACCTTGTTACACGTTCCCCTTTCCGTATGTGCTTCAATCCGCTTGCAAATGCCTATGTGACCAACGGCCCAATGTATTCGACCCTCCGCCCTTCTTTCTCTACCAGTTGCGGCCACTGCACGATAAAGCGGCTTACCAGGGGCTTTAACAGCCGACCACTTAAACTCAACGTTTGCACTCGCGCCCAGCTCTCAATATAGATGCTGCGCATTTGGCTGGTTTTGGCCGCGCCTTTAGGCGTTGCTTGGGTGTCGTTGTCGGATGAGTCCCCACCGAGCCCGAAGAAAAGTAGGACTATTGATGCTATGATCACGACGACGCCTGTCCCCGGTCCGTTGGTGAGAATCAGATCTGGACATCCCCTGGCAGACTTGGTGGTCTGGAGATCTGGATGAGATCCCCTCAAAATTCGGATGCAGTCCCACAGACACCTCAGCGAGCTGACTGGGGCGGTCAGTAGTGATTGGTGAACCTTTCGGGCGCGGTGGACGGTCACAACGTCGTAGGTAGTGGCGGTAGTAGGGTCGGAATCCATATTATCGGAGAGAGAAGACTCGAACCGATGCGCTTTCTGAGCGGAGAAGGAGTCCCCGGAGCTGACTACATATGTTCGATGAGTGAAATTGAATGGCGCTTGGAGATATGGTAGAGACGTCGAGAGGATATTAAGCATTTCAGCTGTGTGACCTCCGGATCCGAGGACAATGAGAAGGTGCGCTGAGTGGCTTGTGATCGCCGCCGAACGGTTCTGCGAGGTGGATTTCCTGTTTTCTGGGGAGAGGATGGTGGCTAGGCGGAAGAATGAGAGATTGATGACAATGAATAAAGTGGCCAGACCTAAAAGCAGTACCTTATGGAATGCTGTGAAACCTGAGAGATTCGGGATGTTGAAAAAGGAGGGCTCATCGGGGCTCAAAGGTGGACTTGGGTGATGTTGGTAACGAGGATCCATGGTGTCGATAGCTTGTGACCGTGTAGAGCACAGTCTCCTATCGATGTGTGCCTACGATGGGTTTAAACGATCTTGTCTTCCCTCCTTGTTCAAATCACGTTGGGAAGGTATCTGGAGTACTTTCTTCTCAGTAGATGCAGCGTTCGAACGGTCATCTTTGAGCATTCATGATTCACCGGACAACTGAGATGAAGACAAGGAGCCGAATTGTTCAATCCCACATTGCGTGTTCATTCTCATGGCGCGATGCCACCGCGAGTATTCAGTTTGAAGTGTCCTTTGGGCTTCGCAGCACTTAGTATCCAGCAGATCTATCTGAGTGTATGTACTGTTAGCGCTTTACTAGTAGCGCCTTGGCATTCAACTATGAAGCAGCGGGATAAGTCAGCGAAAACGGTAATACGTTTTCGCTCAATCTAGACGTTTCCGTTGTAGGCAGTCAGCCTCGCAGCGCTCGTTACTACTGGGAGAATGCAGAGCGGCCACTGCCCCTTGAGTGATGGCCCATTTATAACGATAGATCTTTCTTCCTTCTCTTCGTCTCCTCATCCCGCTTGAGTCCTTGTCCTTGAGCGATGAAACAATATGCCAATTCAGCTCCGCCCGCGATTATCTTGTCACTACTGTGGACGGAGATCAAAACTCTCCAAGAAAGAAGGCCGCAGATTTCAGTGCGACTACTGTCTCGCAGTGAACTTCTTCGATGAGGTATTTACGCCTTGTTACTGCTGTTCCTGCGCTCTTGATGCTAACGTTTGACAGCACGGCGACGTTGCAGATGTCCCGGTCGAGGAGACTGCACCACAACAATACGCAGCCGAATCCGTCGTTACAGGAGACCCTCTTGCAAACCACTTCTCCGCTGAAGATTCTATATTTTGCTCCACCTGTCTGAAGAATCAGCATCTCTATACTACAGCCCTATCCCAGTTCCTGCCTGATCCCGAGGATCCCGACTACGACAAGATTGAAGCACAGCTACCGATCTTTAAAAATGGATTGGAAGAGAGATATCCACAATGTTGTGCCAAGTGCGAGCCAAAGGTCAGAGCTCAGTTAAACAGGGCCACCTATAATGCGAAAAGCGATCATATAAGAAGAGTGCTGGACAAGTCGCGAAAGCAGAGAATTGCTAGCCGAAGAGGGTGGAGGAGCCTCCTCGTCAGTGCTGCTGGGTTGGGTTATGCCCTGAGTATCATTTTCCAGGCTGCCTGGCACCTCTACGGATCCCAATTGCAACCGGCTCCGATCATTGATGGGTTGCGACTATCTCAATGCCTCAGTGAAAGACCTTTGAACAAGCAATGCTTGAATCTGATGGAGCGTTTCGTGGGACTATCCCTTGGTCTCGGCCTCCTCTGCGTATGGTGGAACCCAAAATGGCAGCATAAACTCTCGAACAACGAAGGCAAGTTAGTGGGACTCGAAAAGTATTATTTAATCCAACTCGGTCTTCTGCTCTCGAGATTCGCTGTCTGGGCAATATTGCAAGATGTTCCTCTTGACAACAGAACGACTACCATAGTCCACGCAGTTTTCGCCCTTGTCTTCATGGCGGTGGCACTTTGGTCCAACATGAGAGTTATCCAAGTCCGGCTAGCCTTACCCATTGACTGGAACATAGACCCTGCTCCTCTGTTATCCAGCAGGCAGTTTATCCCTCCAGAAAGTAGTTTCCCCTCACAACAAACACAAATTCAGGAGCGAGCATTCAATCTCGATACATTGTCCTCTGCAACCGCGCCATCATATGAACCCTGGAGGCCGCCTACACCGCCCAACGATAGCGGAGAATCAATGGACTGGACACCTTCGCAGCCAGCATTCGAGCCACTGCCCAAAACAATACATTACCTATCGGCCAGCCCTTCTCCTTTTCATGGCAGACTTCCTGCACTGCCTGCGAGAGGAGTTCACACACATTCTGGCCGCGTCGCAAACGAACCAAAAGAGGCCATTGGGCTACCTCCTGGATTTTTCGACAGTAAACCAAATTCTATCCTACCTCCGCGGCAAGCGAATGCATCTGGTGAGGCAATGGCACAACCCACGTTCTTTGGGCATGAAAGACAAGCCGATACTGGACTGGAGAACATCTTTGAAACTGTTTTTTCATTCCAAGATCGAAGTGTCCCGCATTCGGCTGAGGCTCGTGTACCGAACCTGCGTTCAAGTTCGCAGCATGTTGCTGAAGGCTACAATGCTGGGTCATTGTCGTCAGCAACTGCGCGGGATCTTTCGAGTCAGATGGTCATTAGCGGAGTTGCGTTCTTCCTCCTTCTGGTAGCCTTGATGACTTGGCTACTTGAAGTCACAGTGAAGCCAGAAGGCTCCAGTTTGGGATATTACATTGTGCTAGCAAGTGCATCAATACCCACCATTCACTTCCTTCGCGACATTCTTATTGGACGAATAAATGAAAACTTTTTGTGGCTCATCATTTTTGCCATGGAGGCGTCCTCGTTGGTTGGCCTTGCGTACGCTAGAGGCTTGCTCGAAGGGGGCTTCATCGATCTATGGAATAAGCTCTCTATCGCAGCTGTGGCACTTCTCTTGCCACAGGAGTTTGTGAGAATGACATCGTCCTGCATGGGGTTGAACGGCAAACCCCGACGCACGAGATCCTCACCCACCGTGCAAGCTCCAACCGAGCCTGGCACCCATCGGGGATCACTCTTAGCTCAACCTTCGATGCGGGATACCATGAGTACCACCTCAGCTGTGGTGGCACCAGCCTCTCCCAACCTTCGCAACAGTAACTTTCGACGAGACTCCGACGAATCCACCGCTAGCAGGCCCACCACTGCCAGCAGCTCAACCACAAAGCGCTGGGAAAGCCCCAACCTACGCACCGACAGGTGTCAATGGGAGCCTCGTGAAAAGAGGGCCTCTCCGGAGAGGGCTTGTGTGTCGGAAGACATAGGTGGATTATCTTTGAACGACACTGCTTTAAGAGGTGACGGACGTGGTAGAAAAGATACGGCGGCACCTTGGGGTTTACCCTCGTCAACTACCTCGAGAACATTTGGTTCTACTCCCAGGGCGAGAAGGGGATTTTAATGCCGTGGTCTCTGTTTTATTTCTCTGAATATGGCATAGCGAGGTTGGGTCCGGGGCATATCATTAGAATGAAATTCGGACTCTGCATGGCTGGATGTGCGAGTGTGGACAGTCCACCATATTTTAGCGGATTAGTTGACAAGATACCATTCATGAATATTAACGATAAGCCTATACATCTAGGCGTGGTTATAAGTACATATCAAGACGAGAGCATGGAATAATAATCGTCATCAGATTAAATCGTGATAAGGCTATGACTTCCCCCCCTCCGTTTTGTCTATGTCAATTTCTGCTTAATGAAGAACGAGCGCAGATGCGACAATTGCCATGCACATGTAACACCCAAGACACCCAATTGAATCAGCGTCCAGCGCACGATCTTTGCATTTGTCGACTCGCTCTGGTCGCGGAACTCGGCTTCCCGTTCCTGTCGCGCTCTGTTAGCATCTTGTAGAGAAGGATTTAAGAAATGTAGAATTGGGGCAGAGGGCATACTCTCTGGAAAATCTGTTCACGCCTGATATCCGATAGCCGGCCGTTCAACTCCTTAACTTTGGCGACGATACTATCAATCTTGGATTTATCCTCGCTCTCGATCTTGCTGGTCTCGCCGATGGCCAGGTCGATGGTTAACTTGACTCCGCCGCCCGTGACGCCTGCGCCGCCGAACCAGCCGCCCACGCTGACGGCCGCGGACCCAGAGGGGGAAAAGCACAGCCGGTGCAGACCGCTGTCGGCCGCCGAGAAGGTGAATTTCGACGGGGTGTTGGAAGACGTCGAGGTCTGCGTGACCACCCGGTGGTCGTTGTCGAAGGTCTCTTCAACCGTGATTTGGATGGAGAGGTCGTTCGTCACGTAGAAGGACTGTGTTTGCGGGTTGTACGCTTCGGACTTGTATGTGCCTGTGTTTCCGGTGTGTTAGCTAGGCGCCGGCATTCATCGTAGGCGTAGTGTTGGTTCAAAAGGAATCGCAGGTTGGGGAGTGAAGGGGGTGCATGGGACAAACTCACCAACGACCAAGGTGTCCTTGGGCAGGTCCTCGTAGAAACACTTGGGCGTCGTGCCATCGAGGTAGAAGTAAAGGGCCTGTGATGAGGTGACCAGCGATGCCAGGGCGGCCGTGACCGCTAGAACCGACTTCATGTTGTCTTCGATAAGCGTTGAGTGACACTTCGCCTCAGGATTAAAGTCGACCACTATTATTTACCTGCGGCCTCAAAATGTCCATTCAATCAAGTTTCAGGGGGCTGCAGATTGCCAAGATTTCCTACGGCGGAGTGTAGATTAAAGGGGGGGCCGTCTCCTCTCAGTCCTTGCAGCCTCGCGCTAAGGCTGATAAAGGCACATCGCTCACGATAGATTTACCAAGATACTACTATGAAGTACAGATATATATTTAAAGACTGGCACTGGCAAGCACATTACACGATAGAGCCGTCCATAATGATACTATGTCTTGCCTGTTCATCTTTCTCGATCAAATACACTGCAGTCTCGACCGACGGGTTTTCTCGAGCTGAGGCTGACTAACTGATGAAGGACTTGAACGCAAAGGGCAGCAGTCCCAGCAATGGGACCATCGTGAACTGTTTCGCCCTCTTTCAACAGAACCAGCTATTCGAGCTATCTTTCTTGTTCATGCATCATATCGTCGGACCGCACGGCAAGTCTCTACCTGCCATGTCTTTGCTCCAAATTTCTGATACCGTCTTCCCCAACCACGTTACCCACATCTGCACAGATGATCTACGGATTGTTTGCTGTTTCCAGGTTCGGTCCAGGAACGAAATTTGGGGATTCATATTAACCAGCGCAAGCCTTGTGAAGCTTTAGGCTATCACAAACTCTCTCCATCATTCACCACTGTTTGGGTATGATGATGCGGTGGTGATGCGGGGAATTCGACGTGTGGTACAGAGTATTCATCGTCTGCGGACTCCCTCGGCACGCCTGCGAGACCTCGACCATCGAAGTATGCACGCATGCTCTCTTTCTCGTCAAGAGAACCCCAACAGATCTTCATGACTGTGAAGAACCCATGTTTGCGCTTCCACATACCCCATGGCGGTTGCTGGTGAGATGGTATCGGCCTCCAAGAGATCCATTAATAGCTTCAAATGTTCATAGTCGGTGGAGGTGGCCGTCCACGGTAAGTTACACTTTAAAAGGTTGGTCTCATTATTCAAATTTTGAAAATCCACCCACGTCTTTCGACTTCTTCAATCTCTGCTTGGCAATATGTATACATTCGTTAGCATTTCCATAACCTGGCTTGCAATCTCGACCATTGGGCAAGCACAGGTGCCTGGCACAGACGGGCCGATTGTCGAGGATTGTGGGTTCAATGGTCTTGTCGCCTGCGTCAACAGATATGTAAGGTCTAGCCCGGAGGCCATCTCAAATGTCTTTTTGCTGAAAGCCAGCAGGCTGCTGTCTTACCATACCAGTTCAACCGGTCTATCACATCTCTGGCTGCAGATTATGACTTTCGGGACACAAATGTCTCTAGCGATGCCTCATTTGGGCGTCTAAAAGAGGCACGTTTCGCGGTGTTCGAAAAAGAGCGTGGCCTGGACTACCTGGGTTCAAATCCTACTTGGGAATTCATGTTCAAGGTTGCCAACTCAGTTCACGAAGCGCCCGTCTACGATCCACACAGTAACCTGCTGTACATGTCAGAACTGCCTCCTGTTGGCGGGAATCCACTTGACTATGTCTCGCAGCTTGTTGTTAATCTGAACCAAGATCCTCCGACCATCGAGAGATTCACTCCAAATCCACCTGTCGTGGCACCTAACGGTGGCACCTTCCACAATGGCCAGATCATCTGGTCAGCAAGTGCGTCTTTCGACACTGGGAATGGGACCAATCAAAGGATCTCCTTGCATGCCATCGACCCATCTACAAATGAATCATCTGTTCTTCTGAATAACTACTTCGGCTATTACTTCAACAACCTCGACGATGTCGCTGTACACCCCTCATCCGGCGAAATCTTCTTCACTGATCCCGATTACCCCTGGTTCAATGGGCGAAGTGATACAGCACCCCAGCTCCCAACGGCCAGCTATCGGTTTAATCCGAAGACCGGCGCTGTGGTCGTTATCGATGATACTCTCGAGCAACCCAATGGCATCGCCTTCGATGCAGCAGGCGAAACCTTGTACATCACCGAAACTGGTGCGTTAACAGGAAGCATTGACCCAGCGGTCGGTCCAGGGACAAAACACTACAACACAACAGGCAAGCGATCCATTTACGCATTTGACGTTACCAACAACGGGACCAAAATCGCCAACAAGCGTTCCTTCTACCTCGCGCAGGACTATATCCCCGATGGATTGAAGGTCAGCCGTGAAGGGCTCATCTTGACCGCTGGGGGGAAAGGATTAGACGTTATCGATGACACAGGGAAACTTCTCATTCGCGTTCAGGCGAACCACTCGGTCTCGAACTTTGCTTTTACAGGCCCAGAGCTGAATACTGTTTGGTTGTTGGGGGCCAATGGCATTAGTAGAGTCCAATGGAACATCACTGGCCAGGTCTTGGAATGACAAGATGGGTAAGAGTGTGATGCTTCATAGTAGACTGGGTGGAATGTGTGGGCCCTCCAAGTCTTCCTTGATCCTGATGTTAGGGTGAAGGGTAATCCAACTTCCAGGGACAGTTCTCCGGAGCGCGTAAAAATATATAGCAAAAGAACTCGTGTCTGACGGGGAACTAGACATACTGATTGGCTGAACATCTGGTGCAAATAATCAACATCTTTTCGTCAGACAGGACCACCACCCCCGCCGCCCCAGCATCGAATGCTAAGGGGCGCCTAGCCAGGTACCCAGGGCAGTCACTTAGCCCTCGCCGCCTTCACATCTTTCCTCTTTCGCGAATTCTGCCGGGGTAATCGATCGCGATTTCTTTCGCACTTGATCCTGTTGACTTTCTCAAGCATTGCCTTGCCCAACTGCGTCCACTTTGCTCCCCCCACAACGCGTCCTAAGGGCTTATGAAGGCCGACAGCGACCTACCCAATTCCTGAAACTGGCACATCTCTTATTCCTCATCAAATAGCCATCATGGCGACCACGAGCGATATTCGAGACATCATGAATCTGGGCCAGGCCGGCCCTCGCCAGCCCGCTCCCAAGAAGAAGAAACACAGCGAGCCGCAAGTCCGTATGACCGGCATCAATCGCGAGGTCCAGGCTCTCATGGGCGACTCAGTCCCTCCCATTGCTATTGTCGATCAATCTCTCTACAAACCTCGACCCTCCCTCGCCCGATCCTTCGTCCCCAGGCACTGGGAAGAGAAACAATTCCAACACGGTGGGCGGGCAGATGGACTTGTTCTAAAACATTGGAAGCGTGCCATTCCCGGTTCAAACCAACGACGTTCAGTGGTTCCCGAGTTAAACGCATCAGCCGATGTTGAGATGAGCGATGATTCGAAGACCGCTCCAGCAGTCCAGGAATATCAATTCGAGGAGGAATATCCCTCGCATAAATGGAACATCGCTGTTAACATCGCTTCCTATACCGATGAGCAGTATGGAAACTTGCTGAAGTCTCAGGAATGGACCAAGCAAGAGACCGATTATTTGATGGAACTGTGCCGTGATTTCGATCTTCGCTGGCTCCTGATTGCAGACCGCTATGATCCAAAAGATATACCGTCTCCCACTACAACCCTAGACACTGCCGCTCCGTCAGGCAACGAATTGGCTATAAAGCCTCAATACCCAAACCGATCGATGGAGGCATTGAAGTCAAGATACTACGGTATCGCCGCTAAAATGCTTGAAATCAACACTCCGGCAAGCACTATGACCCAGACAGAGTTTCAACTTTGGGAGAAGATGCGGAATTTCGACATGAAAACGGAGACGATGCGCAAAGCGATGGCCGAGAAGTTGTTCGAACGTACCAAAGATGAGGCTGATGAGGAAAGAATACTTCTCGAGGAACTGCACCGCATAACCAAGAATGAAGATGATTTTATCAAAATGAGACGTGATCTTTATGCCAGACTCGAACCCGTTGCCCCAATACGCAGAACTGAGCGGGGTGAAGAACAATCCACTGCGATGTACCAGACATCCCAAGGGTTGTCCATGCTATTACAGTCTCTACTAGCGAAGGAAAAGAGATTGAAACGTCCTCCAGTTCCAGGGAGTGCAGAAGCTGGCCCTGCTAATGGTATACCCGCCGATTTCAAAAACCACGAGAAAGGAAGAAATCCTAGTCAACATCATCGCCGGGACACTATGGAGACAATAGCTGATGATCATGCGCCCGGTCCACAGAAGAAGGGTTCTACATCCCAGCCGGTTGTCAGAGTTCTAACGCCCCAAGACGAAGCTCGATTCGGAGTCTCGCATCCTCATGAACGGCTTACCAGCGGTGTACAGTTTCGACATGAGAAGATTAATAGACTGACAATGGCAAAAAGTCAAACTCAAACAACCAAGATACAAGCTGCATTGGCGGAACTAGGAATTCCACCAAGACTCCTCATGCCTACAGAGAGAGTGTGCCGGGAATTCGAGAGGCTCACCGCTGAAATTAACATTCTCTTGGACACAAGAAAGGTCAATGAGAAAATTACGACAGAGATCAAGATCTTAGAAGAAGCTCGACGTATCAGATTGGGACAGTTAAAGGAGGGAGAGCGGGCCGCAACGGTTGCGACATCCGATGCTATGGACGTCGATTCATCACAAGTTGTAGAAGATTCGAAGCTCGAGAATATGCAAGTAGAATCGCAGCTTGTTGCCGAAGATGATGAAGATGCTGAAGGCGAAGAAGATGTTCCTGAAGAGAACAAAGACGGTACTCCGATTGACCAAAATTTGGAGGACAAAACAAAACTCGAGAATCATGACGATGCTATGCAGCTGAAGGCCAACGCAAATGCAGACGAGGACGAGGACGACGGCGACGATGATGAAGACGAAGATGAAGCCTCTACAGCTGCCGTCAAACAAGTGGAAGCGGATAGTGACGAGGACGAGGATGAGGAAGAAGATGAGGAAACAGGAGTGGTTGAGGAGTCCGCACAGGAAGACGATGACGAAGAGGAAGAAGAAGAAGAAGAGGAGGAGGAAGAGGAGGAGGAGGAGGAGGACGAGGATGTGGATGAGGGATCTGATCATCAAATGGGCGTTCACAACGATGAACAGGGAGAAGAAGACGATAATGTCATGCAGGCGGATGAGGACGAAGATGACGATGCTGTAGTCGCCCAAACACCCAGCGAACAGGATGCTGACCAAGCCGATGG